CTTAACAAATTCCTTCTGTTCCTGCTTGATGGCGGTGTCGACGGAGACCTGAGCATTTCCAGCCTTGGTCTCGGTGACATAGGTCCTGTAAGCAGGGGTGGCGAGCGCCCGCCGGGGAAGCAGCTGTGCTGACGACAGCCGGCGCGCATAGGCTCGGGATGCCTGTCTCAAGGCGAAAGGAGCCACGCTAGACATGATGGATAGCAATTTACAGCCCCAACATAAATGATCCAGCTGGTGTTGTGATGGTGGATGATGGCAATATGGCCGAGGTTTGTTAGAGGAGCTGATGGTGACGTGCGAAAAAAGTCGGGGCCGTTATATCATTGCCAAGCCGCTATCCCGGATCAGGTTATATCCGACCGGGGACCGGGGTCGGAGATCGGACATACGGGGCTTTTCTATAAGTGCACTCGTAGATAACTAGGCAATCATATCTGGAGCAGTTCCAATTCTTATAGGGTCCAGATCAGAGAATAAGAGGAACTTTTTTTTTCTCTTTCTAGTGAAGGCAGGTCCTCCCGGCAAACTTCAGGCTGTTTCCAGACCATCGACATTGGCAACTATAGACCAGTGCCAACGCCATTCCCTGATTATTTCCAAAATATCCTTAAACTAGATTCTTAAAGATGGATCATAATTTTCTCACTAGCGTTTAAAACCTTGGTTTTGCTGGCCAGTTGGCCCGTACTGCAGAGGCGATTTGGGAGGTAAAAATTTAAGCCACCTAGACAGGGTATTGAATACCTAGTATATCGAAGGATCCGCACGCACTCTGTCTAAATTAGCCATTGCTCCGTAGTATCAACAAGCATTAGAAGAAAATTAGTATTATCTTGATATGGGTTTTATTGTTGTTGGGTCACAATTTCGTTGTAAGTTCATGCGCTTCCACTTAATATATATAATATCCCGAGCGCCTCACTAGTGTAAACACCAGCAAAAACAACAAATTAGGTGCTCTAATCAATAAATACAACCCTAGTTATAATCATACCTACCACAAAAATACCACCAGCGTTAATGGCAGCTTTAATTCAAATACCGTACTTGCCCTTTCCCGCCTATTCCGAGTCCGCGGCTTGCTCCTGCCTTTGAAAACCGGAGTTACCCATCTCAGAATAAGAAGGCACATCCAATCGATCCGCCGGTTGTGCTTGCCTATCTGGGATATACCTTAGTGCTGTAGGTGCGCCTGGTTCGAGGGAAATTTTAGAAGTAAATTGGTTGGCACCCAGACAACCAAGAGATACTGATTAATTCAGAATCAAAGAGACGGGCAGACAATTGCTTCCCTGGAAGCTTTTAGCCGCGGTGGTATTTGATCCAAGAAACTCATGCGGGGGTCCATAGGAACTCAGCCTGGGCATGCATGCTTATGGAATTCCACTGCGCCCTTGATAGCATGACTTGCTGTCTTGGAACAATGCGCCTGATCGGAGCAAACGCAAGAAATACCACAGACCGACGCCCCGTAACATGAGGGACACTGAAGCCACAACCTCATCACTCCGTCGGGGAATAATAATCATCACTAGGAGCCATCAACATCAACTTGTTGTTCACCAAGGAACCTTACAGAGTGCAAAGTAGACGAGAGTGGGACCTGGAATGTCCCTTGGCCAGTCACGAGCCCGTCACGAGTCATGGCACAGCCACGATTTCGGCCCTATTATGTCATAGACCGCTCAGCCACAGGCAAACAGTGTGAGCGTCAGCGTTCGTGAAAGTCAAGGCACCAGCAAACCAGCCAATTCCCACGTTCTCCCCACTTACTTCCTCAGCCCTGTTTCTCGTTCTTCTTCCCCCCTTCCTTTCTCGTTATCCACCTCAAACAACCCCCTTTACTCCATACCTAGCAATTCCGCTGCCTCCCGAAACACCCAGTGTGCGAGATGAGTTTAAAGGGTTTCCAGAAGAGCATTGCCCGCGCCCCGCAAACCTTCAAGCAAAAGTTCAACATCGGCGAGCATACCCAGGATGCGGTCTACTCGGATGCAGAACGCCGGTTTCAGGAACTCGAGAAGGAGACCAAGAAACTTCACGATGAGTCAAAAAAGTACTTCGACGCCGTGAATGGTAGGTTTCCCTCTCCACGAACGACTCTCGCCTTATCCGGTCTAACACTGTACCCCGCTTAGGCATTTTGGACCACCAGATCGAATTCTCCAAGGCCATGACAGAGTTATACAAACCTATTTCTGGCCGTGCCTCCGACCCAAGCACATATACGATTGAAGGAAACCCTGAAGGGATTCGGGCCTGCGAGGAATATGAAGCAATCGTGCAGGACTTGAAGGAATCACTAGCGCCTGAGCTGGAGATGATTGACTCTCGCGTCGTCAGCCCTGCGCAGCAGCTCTTGGATGTGATTAAGGCGATTCGCAAGATTGGCGTTAAGCGAGACCATAAAAAGCTGGACTACGACCGTCATCGTGCCACCCTCAAGAAGCTTCAAGATAAGAAGGATAAGTCGCTGAAGGATGAGAAGGCCCTTTATAAGGCTGAGGGTGATGTGGAGCAAGCAACATCAGAATTCAACGGCTATAACGATCTGCTCAAGGAAGAGCTGCCCAAACTGTTCCAGCTTGAGGCCGAATTCATCCGACCGCTATTTCAATCCTTCTATTACATGCAGCTGAACATCTTCTATACTCTGCACGACAAAATGCAAGGCCTTAACATTGGTTATTTCGACTTAACGCGGGATATTGAGGAGGCATACGAGGAGAAGCGCGGGGACGCCAGGGAGAAAGCGGAAGAACTCACTATTGTCCATTATAAGACGACAGGCGGTCGCCGCCCGGGAGCAGGCTCGAAGATGAGTGTTAAAGACAAACTGGCTGCCGAGAAGGGCCGCTTTGGATCAAAGGCCAGCGACCCCGATGTTGTCGAGAACCCACCACCTCCCTACTCCCCCGGTTCCTCTAGTGGAAGCGCCCTTGCCGCCGCCGCAGCCAAAAAGCCAGCACCTCCACCTCCGAAGCCGAAGCCTTCTCGATTCAATGCGGCCACCGAGACGGTTACAGCACTGTACGATTACGAAGCACAGGCTCACGGTGATTTGAGCTTCACTGCTGGCGACGTCATCGAAATCGTACACCGGACGGACAATACAAACGAGTGGTGGACCGGCCGTGTTGACGGACGAGAAGGACAGTTCCCAGGTAAGATTCCCCCCTTGGACTATTGTCCTACTTTACTAACGCGTTGCAGCGAACTATGTCCAATTGAACTAGTATATGAGACCGGAGTTAATATACAGCTGTTCTAATTCTATTTCCTGCAAATTTTATACCTGTTTTCGGAGTTGGAGTCTCACCAGGGCTTTCTACACTCGCATAAAGAATTGTCGTTCGTTGGCCCTTTCGCCTACACCGCAGCGCTCATGGCATTGACACCGTGTATATATAATATTTCTTGATTTTCAGCAATTGAACTACGACTGCATCAGTACTCTGTCAGTGGGTCACTCTCCATGTCCGTGTAGACTTGGGGAAATATTTCATCATCGAATTGAAGGTGACAATCTACCAGGACGTCTACTGCAGAGACTTGTAATTTAATCTTCATATATAAGGATTGTCCACAGCCCTCATTACCCAGCCTTACAGATTAAGTAGACAATACAAAAATCTAACATATGAAGGTTAAAGTTATAGCGTAAATCTACAAAATATGGACGCAATAATGGCTGGAATGTCTTCAATAACTGTTCTTTTCAATCGTATAGAAGAGAAAGAGCGCAGTGCTTTACCGTGGAGTAAGAAGTAGAGCCCCACCAGATCTCCAAGCAATGATCTCATCTGTATAAATACCCCAACTCCAACTCGGACTCTCACTCTTGCTCTTGCTCACTCAACTTGCTCAACTCTCCTATTCCTCTATTCTCATTCCAGTCCAGCAATAAAAACAACCATGGCTGCCCTCAAGGGTCTTCGTTCCACCTACCGAATGAACTCGGGCCACGAGATTCCTATTCTAGGATATGGTGTAAGCAATCAACCACACCAAGAGCCAGCAGGTTCACTAACAGAAGCCAGGTCTATATGATGTAAATCTCTATCTTATCAAATATAGAGACGTGCGCTAACTAGGTATCGTCCAGTCCAGCATCCAAAACAGAGGAGACAACCCGAGAGGCTCTGCGCATCGGATATCGCCATGTACGACCACGGTTTCCCACCATTCAAAGGACCTAGCTAATCCAAACAGGTTGACTCCGCAATTATGTATCGCAACGAAAAGCCTTGCGGGCGCGCAATGGCTGCGTCCGGCATCGACCGATCCGAGATCTTCTTCACTACCAAGATCCCCCCAGGGTCAATGGGGTACAATGCCACCAAGCGGGCAATCGAGTCGAGCCTAAAAACAGCGGAGCAGGAGTACTTTGACTTGTGAGTTGAGAGTTACGATCCTTGTCCCTCCTAGATCATACAGCTTGTCCGGCTTGTCTGACTAACTATGTGATTTCTTTGTGATATGTAGAGTCCTCCTCCACGCCCCTTACGGTGGAAAAGAAGCCCGACTCGGCTCGTGGAAAGCCCTCGTTGAAGCCCAGAAGGCTGGAAAGACAAAATCTATCGGAGTCTCGAACTACGGCATTCACCATCTTGACGAACTAGAAGCTTACATCCAGTCCAGCGGCGATGGGAGCAAGATCGATGTTGGGCAGTATGAGATACACCCGTGGTGTGACCGGTCCGGGATAATCGAGTGGCTACAAAAGCGAAATATCATTGTCGAGGCGTATTCGCCCTTGGCGCATGGTGAGAGGATGAGGGAACCTCTGTTGGCGAAGCTGGGGCAGAAGTATGGCAAGTCGCCGGCGCAGATTATGATTCGGTGGGGGTTGCAGAAGGTGAGTTCTACCCTCTTTGCTTTTTCCGCTATATCAAAGTGACCTTCATCTGGTGGGAGAGTGTACGGACAGACTTGATGGTAATTAACTGGTTTCAGGGCCTTGTACCACTTCCCAAATCCGTCACGCCCAATCGCATCCAGGAGAATGCGGACGTGTTTGATTTCGAACTATCGGATGAGGACATGAATATTCTGCACACAGGAGAGTATTCGCCAACGGACTGGGATCCTACTCTTGACTATGATTAGACGGGTGGATGTAGATAGTTGGTGCTGCTGTGGTAAGAGATAGTGTAGTAGAAGATCGGCCCCCGCGCTGCTTAGCAATCGATCATTTTGACATCTGCAACCCCACCATCACCACCCTCCAACTGCAATCTCGCCCTCGCCTCCCTCTTAAACAAGGAAGCTCTTGAATGCGAAAATAGATTTTTTGTATTATCAAGCCTGCTATAATCAGCGACCATGAAGTTAATCCTTTCCACCTCGTACGTGATCCCCGCCATCCCTACCTAGCCCACCACCCAACGCCCTCCCTCGAACAAGCACAATCGCACGTCAACAAGGACTAACTGAAATATCTACCAGGAATATAATGACCTCTGGCGGCCCCTCCGTCATCCGCCAACCGTCAACGTTCAAATCCAATGTCGAACTAGTAAACTCCCTCCGCGCAAACATCCAAACCGCGCAACAATCAACCGCGACCACAAGCAACGGGACTTCAACCGAACACTCGGCCTCATGGACAAGAAAGGACGATGATGCACTATATATCCCTGCTGTGGACTTCTCGCAGCGCGGACTCGCCGAGGAACGCTCCCAATACGACATCACCGTCAAACTATTCTACCTCCCCGGCATCCCCATCTCACGCCGATGCGCGCACACAAAACAGGCGATCGATCTCGTGCTGAAGGAGTTGCATGTTGACTCGATCGACCTGCTGATCGTTTCTTTCCCCGGGATTCTCTTCGATGCGGAAGATGATAGCGAGGAAGAGGAAGTCAGTTCCGTTGATGACGGGAGCGAAGAGCAGTCCGACGACTTCGATAGCCTGGTGCAGACATGGCGCAGTCTAGAGAGTCTCTATGATCAGGGGAAGATCTCGCAGTTGGGCGTTGCGGAGTTCGGGAGTGAGCGGTTGGCGAGGTTTCTCGAGCACACGCGGGTCAAGCCGTCTGTGGACCAGATTAATTTGAAGGACTGCTGTGTTGTCCCGAAGAGTCTGATTCTGTATGCGAAGCAAGAGAAGATTGATTTGCTGACGCATAATGATTGTAATGACATCCTGCCTGTTGGGACGACGAGAGAGTTGCTGGGGCCGGGCGAGCGTGGGGCAGGGATTCTGGCATCGACGGCGGATGCGCAGGATGGTGTGCAGGGGGATATTGAGACGCAGTGGGTGGTGAAGTATACGGCTGTGGTGAAGGACCGGGGTGTTGTTGAGAACAAGGGTTATTTTGCCCTTGCGGATGTTGGGAGCTGTGTTGAGCCCTGACTTTAGTTTCGTCGTCTACAGATTTGTTTCTTCGCATGTAAAAGCGTGGCGTTTATGCTTTGGATTGCAATGCATCTTGTTTGAGCCTGTATAGGCCGTTGTTGAATTTAGGTAGACTACCCAATCATACTCCTCTTCCTCCCTCTCATTCGTACATCTTCCAGCCTCTTCAGCGCCGAAACAGCGCCTCTATGACTCTCCTTATACCCAACAAGAACCTCGTCAAAGAATCTCTCCGTCCGCGGATGCGAACTCCCAAACGCCCTCTCAAGGACATATAAATCCACCGCCCGATCCTCGTCCGCTGAACTCTGACTCGCCAGTCCAAAATCAATCATCACAACCTCACCCTCCAAAGACGGTGAACCCTCTCCGCCATCCTGTACTGAACCCCCCACAGGCCTCAGCATAAGATTGCTCGTCGTCAAATCCCCATGTATAACCCCGGCCTTATGCAACCCCCCAACCGCCGTCCCAATCCTCTTCATAAGCCCGCGAACCTTCTTTTCCTCTTCCAAATTCACCACCTGCCCCAGTTCCTTATTCTCCCTCCTTTCAATTCCCTTAATGTGCGCCTCCCACTGATCCAAAGCCGCCCTCACAACGCCGCCCTCGACCCACTCCATAACCAGCCAGCTCCCTCCGCCGGCGCCCTCCCAGTCCATCCCCAGGAGCGCGGGGACGCTAACCCCTTCCTTCACTAGTTTCTGCAAGCATCGCGCCTCCTGTAGGATTCTGGCGCGGGTCAACCGTCGGTCCAGGATTGGGTGTCGGTAGGGTTTTGACGGGCGGATCTTGAGCGCGACGTGTGTAGTTGGGTCTAGGAAGGTGGTTTTGTATAAGTGCGCTTCGGCGCCTTGATAAATCGGCGTCAGCGGAGTTGAGAGTTCTGAGTCTGTTTCTGATGTGGTAGTGGTGAGGATTCTGCTGAATGGTGGGGGTGGGTGGTTTGTTCCTGGCATTGTGGGCGGTTTCGGACGGCGAGGCTCGTTTGCTCCGGTTTTTAGGTGTTTTGGGGTTGGTTGTGGTATTTCGGAGGGTTCGGTTTTGTGTTTGGGCATCTGGTTTGGGTTTGGTTTGCTTGGTGAGGTGGTGGATTGAGGTTGAAGTTTAGGGAAGAATGTAGGAGGGGAAGAAGCTCTGATAAATTTGTGGTGGGGAACTTTTTATCTTTTGGGCCGAACCGCGAGATAACGGCGGAGAGTCACCACGGATTGTACTCTACAGGAGCTGCAAGGATAGTAAACTATTGATAGATTGTTTTATATCGAATACTAATTCTTAGATCTAAGCCACCACGTGAACCATGAGTATTCCATCAATCGTACAAACGCTAAACGCCCAATATGCTTTTCCCTGGAAACTGGAATAATCTATGCCTTTCTCTTCTTGCTCTTCTGGTTGTGAACATCATTCCAAGCATCTTCAAAGGTAGTCTTCTTCGCCCCGATCTGGTTTTCGTAGAAATTCATCTTACGCACAACCTCCATCGCACCTGTACCCAGAGACACCGTCTTGCCCATGATGATACACTCCGAGACACCCTCGATGAGATCTGTCCGGCCGGCTCCACCAGCATCGAACAGGTGGTCCGCTGTTTTCTCGAACGAGGCCAGTTGCAGAACGGAGTCGCGCATCTTTGCCAGACCGAATCGGGTGATACCTAGTACCTCGCCCTTGTAGGTCATGACATCGGCCAGTAGCTGCATGTGACGCGGGTCGATGTCCATGTCCTTCATGACTTCGCTGATTTCTTGGATAATGGTCTTCCGGGCTGCTTCGATTCCGAGAACGTCACGCACTTCCATAACGTTGTTAGACATGGTACGGAGGCCATCGACACCGTCCGTGTTCATGCACTGTCGGAGTCCGTATCCTTCGACCAAGAGGGTGTTCTTCTCAGATTTTTCGTCGGTACGGATGATAGCACGGCTTGCTTGCGGGTGTCCGAGGACTTGGATGTCGGGGAGGAGACGCTTGAGAGCCTTCAAGCGGAGGAAGGGATCCGCACTAGTGGCGGCAATCTCTGTCTTGGACAGCTTGTCCTTGCTAGAAGGATCCAAATCGATCATAATGTGGATGTGGGAGCGCGTTGATCTGAACGTCAAGTCGTCTGCCTTGAATCGTCGGGTGCTCTCGATCGCACGACGGATCTTCGGGATCGATAGATCAAGTTCCAAATCTCTAATCGTGTTCCAGTTGATCTTGACGGTCAAGAACGCCTCTTTCCCGGTCCAGGTTTCCCGGATATAATGGGCGATATCGCGCAAGAAAGTCTTTTCGATACGTCCCTTGACCATGCGGGCACCGACAACGTGTTGCTTTTCAACCAGCTCGCAAGCAATAACAGGAGTACTGATCTCTTTGGAGGCGTTGATGATTTCCTTGATACGGGGAACACCCTGGGTGATACTCATACCGGCGACACCAGCAAAATGGAAAGTCTTCAAAGTCATCTGGGTACCAGGCTCTCCAATGGACTGGGCACCAACAGCGCCAACAGCATGTCCTGGCTCAACTTGGGCTCTCTTGTACTTCGTCAGACACTCAGTAATGAAAGTCCGAAGCGTCGTCTCCGTGAGCTTTCCTGTGTGGTTCAACCCCTTGATGGTCCTCTCGTCGGACGGGTCGCTGTCGCCACCTCGAGAAATCAGCTTGTCCGCTTTCGTTCCAACGTATTGCTGAATAGATTCGAGGAAGTCACGGGCACTCTCGAATTGGTCAATACCGTGGTCAGTACGATCCATATAGCCCAGCTCAGTTCCCATCAGATCTTTCCGTAGAAGCTTGGCACGCTCCTTTGAGAGCATTTCCTCACATACTTGCATGATCTCAGCGGGGGACAGACTGCGCTCATCATTCTCATAGGTCGTAGACTCGGAGTGAATGAAAGTTCGGTCGAAGTGGACTGGCCTAGCTTTGCCCTCCATATCCACGGGATCCAACTTGTCGTCACCATACTGGAATTGCACAATTCCCTGGGACGAGTTTCGCACTGTGTCATCATATCCAGTAGAAAGATCTTCCAGAGACTTCATAAGACGACGTGACATGTAACCGGTTTCGGCAGTCTTGACTGCAGTGTCAACCAGACCTTCACGACCAGACATGGCGTGGAAAATAAATTCGTAGGGAAGAAGACCCGAGAAGAAACTGTTCCGAACGAAGCCCTTTGACGGGGGCTGTCGGGCATTCTTTGGGAAATGGGGTAGGGTTCGATCCTGGAAACCATCCTGCACACGCTGGCCGCCAATAATTTGTTGACCCACGAGAGCAACCATCTGAGACACGTTGATACTGGAACCTTTCGATCCAGATGTAGCCATGATCAGTGGAGAGTTGTATTTGCTCAACTGTTGAATACACTCATCACCAGCCTGTTGACGGACTTTACTCAAAATACCAGAGAGCTGGTTTTCCATGGTCTGCAATTCGTCACACCCAGGATATTTTTCCAGCGTTCCAGCCTTGTATTGTGCAATAACCTCGTCACACTTCGCGTATGCCGCTTCGACTAGGTCGTTCTTCGAACGAATCAGTTTCTCGCTGGGGTATACGTCTGTGATTCCGATAGAAAAGCCCATGTTCGTGAACCAACGAGCCGATAGTTTCGATAGACGGTTCATTCCCTCGGCTGCTGCGGCTGGGCCAAAATCACGAAGCATAATATAGAACACATTGTCCTTCTTTCCAGAACCAATTGTAGACTTGTCCATCACACCACACATGACCTCTGAATTCCGAACGACAAGCCATCCATCGTTGGGGTCCAGGTCCCTTGGCCGATCCTTTGCTTGCTTGAATTCTCTGCAAGCGGCGTCTAGGTTGACCATAACGGGGTCGTCTTTATTTGGGCGCATCAAAATGTTGAAAACTTGCTTTCCTGTCCAGAGCATTTGTGGTTTAAGAACCGCAGGCGCTGGAAGATCGAAACGGGTTTCCGGGCCAAGCATGTACAAGCATATCTGGGTGAAAGTACGTCGGTCGAAGAAGTTATCCTTGCTGCTGAGCAGATAGGCGGCACTAATGAAATCTTGAATAGCGGCAATAATCGGCTCTCCGTTTTTGGGGGTTGCCAAGTTATTCTTCACACCCATCAACTCCATTGCTTCGGCTCTGGCCTCTTCTGTCTGAGGCACGTGAAGGTTCATTTCGTCACCATCGAAATCAGCATTGTATGGATTGCAAACACACTCGTTCAATCGGAATGTTCGGTGAGGGCGAACTTTTGCAAAATGGGATAGAATACTGAGTTTGTGGAGAGAGGGCTGACGGTTGAACAGGACGATATCACCATCTTCAATATGGCGTTCAACAATGTCTCCTTCCTGCAGTTGGTCGGCAATGAACTTCAAGTTACCGTACTTGAGCATAGTCTTCAATGGGTTGCCTTTCTTGACGATATAGTTGGCACCCGGCCACTTTTTTGTTCCATTTCGGACCCGTTGCTGTAACTTCTCCTTGTTGTATCTAGAGACCACCTCGGGATAAGTCATATTCTTTGCAACAAGCTCCGGAACCGCAACCTCATCAACACGTAGATTAGGATCAGGCGAAATAACAGTTCGACCAGAGAAATCGACACGCTTTCCGGAAAGATTACCACGGAATCGACCCTGCTTTCCTTTCAAACGCTGCACAAAACCACGGATGGGCTTTCCCAGGTCCGCCTTGTTGAGACCCGGAACATCACTGTTGATATAGACAGCAATTTGTAGCTGCATGTAGTCCCAGCATTCCATAATGGTCTGCACAGGTGCACCTTTCAACAAAGAATTTTTGAGATTAATGTTACTCTGAACAATATCTCCCAACTTGGCCGTCAGATCATCCTCAGTGGACGAAGCATCCTGACCCACGGAGGGGCGAATACAAACCGGCGGTGCAGGGATGAACTGCCAAAGAAACATCTCCGGTCTTGCTTCCTTAGGATCCAAGCCTAACAGCTCGCAATCGCTATCTGAGATGCGCTTGAACAAGTTCAAGACCCGCAGTGCATTCAAATCATCCTGGGCTTTTTTGTAGTGTTTCTCCACCTCCCCGTTCGAACTCCTCGCCTCTTCGAGCGACCTATCGAAAACAATCTTGCTAGGCGGCGGGACCTTTTTCATGGATGTCGACGCATTAAAGGCACGGAATTTGTCATGGGTAATTTTAAGAGAGCTGGTGCCTGTTTTCTTAACCACGCCGTTCACAGTACCACAGTATTCGCAGGTTCGGGTCTTGCGGCAGCGTTCGTTGACTCGTTTGGCAATCTGCAACCGTCGCAGGTTATCCAGTCGCGGGCGGCGCATCTCACGGAGAAAAGCACGGCGCTCTGATTCCGGAAGCAGGATATGCGAACACTCCTTGCAAATTTCCTGCAAGATACTAATCACCCGCTTGAAATATCCCACATGGAACGCAGGCAAGACGAGTCTCACATGGCCGAAATGGCCGTTGCAAACTTGCAGCGCACCGCCGCAGGTCTGGCAGGACGAGGACTTGTTCGAAATACCCATGCGCCCGTCGAGAGGGCCATGAGGAACGACGGCTCGGTCATTTTCGAGGTTGTAGAATTTGCGGTCGGATACTTCCACCACGCCTTGGCTGACAATGTCATCGTTGGACCTGCGGAGAAGCCGGAGCCGTTAGCCTCTCCCTGCGCCGGCGAAACCCTCGACCAGCGATCACTTACAGAACGCCAAACTTCAGCTCCTTGATCACTTTAGGGACGCGGTCGATGACCTGGGCCTTGCCCAGGTCGGCCTGCACACCTTCCAGAGGCTGCATCACGCTCTTCAAGGAATGATCATGGCAGGATATGAGTCAACGGGGTTGGAGGTCGGAGGCGCGGGAGCTGGGACAAAATTCGCTCGGGTGTGAAACAGGAGTCGGCGCAATAGTCTGGATAAATTAGTAGGCAAGCACCGCCGTCAAGAAACCTTAGAAGTGAACTGAGAGGGCCGTGGAGGTGGGAGAGTGAGAGGCTGCAAGTCAAGTTAACGGCGGGGTCGGCGACGAAACTTTTTTCGCGCCGACAGAGCTCCCCCCTCATCTCGTCCAATCAGCGACAACCCAACTATACCAGGTTCTGTCGGTTGAATGTGGAGGTCCATTGGAAGTATATAATGTTTTTAACCCAAATCTGAATAATGTACACGTTCAAAATTTCTATATAATACAATGTACAGCTGAAATCGCTACTTCGACAGGAATGCTTGGAACGCCTTGTGCTCAATCACCACATTTCCAACGGCTCTGAGTCGCTTTCGTCCTTCCTTCTGTTTCTCCAACAGCTTCCTTCGCCGACTAACATCACTGGCATGGAGTTTTGCCAGCACATCTTTCCGGTATGGCTTGACTGTTTCACGCGCCACGACTTTGCGGCCGACCGCCGCCTGGATGATAACCTCGAACAACTGTCGGTCGACATGCTCTTTGAACTTGGTCACCCACTGTCTTCCCAGTCTCTCCACCTGGCTATAGTGGACGAGTCGAGCAACAGCATCCACAGGTGCTTTGTTAACGAGCATTTGCAGCTTGACAATGTTGCTGGTTCTCCAACCAGACTCCTCGTAGTCTAGCGAAGCGTATCCTTTCGTCCCGCCCTTCAGCTTGCCAAAGAAATCGTCGACCAGTTGGGCCAGAGGGAGCTGGTACTTGAGGATAACTTGAGTTGAGGTGAAATACTCCAAGCTCTGTTGCTCTCCTCGATTCGCTTCGCAAAGTTCAATAACTTTTCCGAGATATTCATCAGGGAAAGTCAAAGTGGCCAAAACGTACGGCTCTTGCAACTCTGCAACCTTCATGCGCACCGTGTCCTCGTCCGGAAATTTGGCTGGGCTGGCAATAATGTCCTCCTTCCCATCCTTCCAGATGACCTTAACCGGGACGGACGGCGGGGTAATGATAATACTCGCACCGTGTTCCTGACGAAGGCGGTCCTCAAAGACCGAGCAGTGCAAAGTCCCCAGAAACCCGAGTCTAAAGCCTGCCCCAAGCGCCTCCGAGGACTCTTTTTGCACAGTGATACTTCGATCGTTAAGCATGAGCTGGTTGACGCTGTCCTCCAGGTGTTCAAAATGGTCTGCATCTACAGGATACGCAGCTACAAAGACCATTGCCTTGGGCTCCTCGAATCCAGGCAGTGGCTCCACGAGCTTCTCCGACCCGACCGTGGTAAAAGTGTCACCAATCTTGGCCTCTTTACTTCGTTTCATACCCGGGTTGAAGTAAATGTATCCGACTTGACCGGCGCGGAGGACAGTTTGGGCGGTTTCGGTAGGATATTGGATACCAACTTCCCCCACGAAATACTTAATCCCTGTTACGAAGGACACAACTTGCTGACCGCTGCGGAGTTCACCATCGAACACACGGACTAGGCAGATAACGCCCTTGTAAGAATCGTACCAGGAATCGACAAGCAGCATGCGGAGAGGTTTCTTGGAGTCGCCGACCGGTCTATTCTGTTGTCAGCACATCACATGGAATCGCGCAGGAAAAGAGAGAAACGTACGCAGGGATCTTCTCCACAATTGTAGGGAGAAGTTTTTCCACATTCAGTCCTGTCTTTGCTGAAACGAGCACTGCATCTTCCGTATCAAGCTCAAACGACTGCTCCAACTGATCCAGGGCGCGTTCCGGTTCGGCGGAGGGTAGGTCGACCTTATTGATGATGGGGACCAACTCCAATCCCTGAGAAAAGGCAAGGTAAAAGTTCGCGACAGTCTGTGCCTGAATACCTTGACTGGCATCAACCAGCAGTAGCGCCCCTCCGCAACTTGCGTAACTCCGCGACACTTCCGCGCGAAAATCGACGTGGCCCGGGGTATCAACAAGGTGCAGAAGATAGTCCTCCCCTTTATGGTTGTATATCATAGTACATGTCTGTGCTTTGACTGTAATTCCTCGTTCGCGCTCGACATCGAGTTTGTCTAGAACCTGCTTATTCGTCCCCGGTTTGATTGTGCCGGTAAGTTCCAGGAGTCGGTCGGAGAGTGTGCTCTTTCCATGGTCGACGTGCGCGACAATACAGAAGTTGCGATATCGTTCAATTGGGATCGCGGATATTCTGGTTTCGAGATCGGTCATAGAAACTTTCGAAGGGCCCCTTGAGGCATTGTAGGAAGAGGTGGTGGTAAAAAACCGGGTTGCGTAGGAAGATCTGGACGCCTTAAGAAGGCTGGACGCAGGCCATTTCGGAGCCGCGCTCAGCCATCCGGCTAACTGCAGGCATCCTCGCATTGGGAGTGCTGCAATAGCATGGGAATGACGACTTGCTTGACAGGGAATCTGAGTCGGGTTGTTGCGTGGTGGACAGTCGACCGGAGATCGATCGGCAAAAAAGTTGGCTGCGGAGAAGTGACCAGTCCCGGGCGGTCGACCAAATTGCTGCGGTGACTATCGCGAGTAAACAAAGCTCAACTTCTTCCACTCTCAAACCCCCTTCAGCAGCAGAAACGCACTCATCTTCTGGTGATATTCAATTGCACACATATTAGATTGCAATGTCTGCGTCAAAAGATAAGTCCAAGGTTCACAAGCTCTCCTTGAAAGGTAAGCACCCACCCCTCTGTCCCCCGCATACTAGAGACTCACCAGCAATAGGATCCGGAAAGCTTGTGGCCGAATTCGTGAGTCCGCCATTGCCACTGCCATAGTTGATGCTAATGTATTCAGTTTGAATACTCTATCAACTCCATCCTGTAAGCTTGTTCTCGCAGGTCTCCGGATCAGCTCATTAACGCCGCTCCAGGTTCCAACGAGGGGTGTATCCTCCAGAGGATTTCACAACGTAAGTCTCAATGCCTCTCATACTTTGGGGGAGTACAAACTAACTATTTTTTTGTCCAGTGTCAAGAAGTATGGCTTGAACATGCTCGGTTAGTCGACCCTCCCCCTCCCCGCGACTCCCGTTAACGGACTCAGTCACCGCCGATGATCAGGTGAAGGCGTACATCAAGAAGATCATGTCTCAATTGAACAAATGGATGCTAGGGGGCAAGATCTCCAAGCTCGTTGTTGTTATTACGGACAAAGAGACTGGTGAGCACGTGGAGCGATGGCAGTTTGATGTGGAAATATTTGGGAAGAAGTCCAAGAGTCAGTCGACTCGCAAGTCAGGCGATAAGGAGAACGATACGCCGGGGTATGTTCTGTCAAATACGTCAAATTTGTGCACTCGCTGACAGTCTTTATTCCCAGAGATGCCCAGTCCGAATCCCCGGAAGCCGAGAAAACAGAAAAGCAAATCCAAGAGGAGATCCAGGCTATCTTCCGACAAATCACTGCCTCTGTTACATTCCTTCCCGTGTTGGACGGCGACTGCACATTCAACGTCCTTGTTTACGCAGATGCAGACTCGGAGGTTCCGGTCGAATGGGGCGACAGCGATGCCAAAGATATCAAGAATGCCGAGAAGGTACAACTTCGGAGCTTCAGCACCAACAACCACAGGGTAGAGACGATGGTCAGCTACCGTCTTGCCGATTAAACGTGAAATGAGAAGCTGGTCAGGCGTTTTGTCGGAGTCACCTTGTTGTTTTCTAGGTTATTTCCGGGTATATAACAGATATCTCGCATCATAATGATTAACAATGATATATGATCATCACGCTCTACACCAAGGCAGCTCTATTATCCAGGGAAACCACTCGCCGCTATCCCAGCAAACCAAATCCTCAACCACAGTTTCCAAACCAACACCAACCCACAGTCCCCTTTCCATTCCATCAACCCATCCTCGCTTCACCCTCTTGTCCTTCAACTCGCCCCCAACGCCATACTTATCCTCTCTCCATAGCCCTATACCCCGTTTCTCCTCTCCCTCCACCAACTCTTCTAATGGCGTCACCTCCTCTGGCGGATTTATCCCAACAACACTCCCTCTACCCTGTTCACCCATCCCCACAGCCGGGAAATGACACTCCATGAACCGTTCTCGCTTAAACTCATGCGTCACCACTGTCACTCTCTGCGGATATACACCCGTATATAACCGAAAGTGAATAATAGAGAATAGCACATTCTGGTAAGAATCCGCGGCATGTGTTTCGGCCGTCACCCTGCTTGGATCTATACGAGATGCGTAGCCGAAGAACTGGTTGTCTTTTGCAAGATTCTTCATAGTTATCAATCAGTTGCTCTCAGTTTATACCATGCATTTTTTATATTACTAAATCAACTTACCAGATAAGAATTCCCCTCGGTAATTTCAGTCGCTGGTCGTTTTGTCGCGCCCCTACATTCAGCGTCCGTCGAGTTAGCAAGGCCAGGCACTCATAGAAGGGGTTGGAGGGGATATCCAATCCCATGACAATTCTCTCAACCAGTCCAGGATTAACATATGGTTAGTTAATTGATAGCACATACCCAGAAAAAACAAGTAAACTCTCTGCATCCTGTGCTAAGAGCCGAATACCTGCCTTGACATGCTCTGTAAACGTAGGCGTTTCCCCGCGTTGAAAGGGCTCAATTAGCCTGTTAATAATCAGACATATATCAGTCTATGGTATATCTTATATCCCATAACATTAATGAGTCTAATCTTACCATTCTTCCTCGTCTTGGCCCTTATTTGGTCCGCCCACATAGATTGCGTGGCAGCAGACGACGATTAAATGTGTGGGCATTCGGACGCCGCTTACTGTGGATATTGGTAAAGTAGTAACTAGGGGTGTAATAGAGAGTATGATAACGATAGAAACTGGGGGTATATCTCAGGCCCTTCCTAATCCAGCTGGTGTGAAGGAATAAGTGCTACTATAAAGTAGGTGCAGTGGTACGGAGTGGTGTACCTCCCTTGACGAGCCCCACCATGGATCCAGCTTATTTCTACTGCAAGTCACTACTGTTTGGGAGCGCTCTTCGAACCCGACCAGGGTAGGTTATTTACAGGTTAAATTTTTGTGAATAATGAATATTGAATATTTGGTTGACTACACACACGCAATAAGCCTGGAAAATCCTCAAAAGAGGCCCTGTCAAACCATTCAGGGCAATTCAATTCCAGCACAAACACCCCAATCCGTCCTATACTGGGTACCTATGTAATGTACAATGCTCGCTCTGTCCAGATATATCATATGGCTTAAATCCGATGCTAGAAATAGACATAGAAACAGAACCGAATGCCGAACAAGAGCCGCTGTAAGGTATTAGATGAGAACGGCGCCACCCAGTGTAATCCTAGATATCCATCCCTAACTCCACAGAAATCACTATGCGTGTATTGTATGCAGGTGAAAGCAAAGCGCCATGCTAGTAGATGAAATGGTGTTTTCGCGGATGAAAGATAGAATAAAGAAATGTGGCGACAGATGAAAAAAAGTCAAGCCCGATCAGGTCAAGTCAAGTCACAACGCCGGAACACCGTCGGGGTTGATCAAGATCGAACCGAAAAATTGGAGTATGTAAAATGCGAAAGTAATGCAAGTGAAAATGCACGTCGGGGTATCAGGTTTCGTCGATGATACTAAGTTAAGTTAAAGAGGGTCATGGCGAAATGTACAGTCATCGCCCTTGAGACACCTTCCTTCAGCCCAGTATCGGCATGCAACTAATCCGACCTTGGGCTAATTCAGAGTCAGTATAAAGCCGAGTATGGGGTCTGGGATCAAATACTTACGTGTTTCTTATTGGGTGGGTTCATTCGGTTCCGCTTCCACCTATCGTCGCCATCAGAGCCACCATTTTCACGCATACGTTTACGCTCTGGGTCCTCGTAGTGCCCCGATGATTGAGGCTGAGCTGGAGCCGCGGCTTGAGGAGGGGTGCTGCCACCCGTTTGCTGGGTTTGATTTTGGTTGCTGAACTGGGAGATGATGGCAGCAAGATATGGCGGTATGGCCGGCTGCTGAGGCTGGGCTTGAGGTTGAGGTTGAGGCTGAGGCTGAGGCGGCGGCTGTGATTGCGCTGGCTGCGGTTGTGGTTGCGGTTGTTGTCCACCATAAAGCATAGCCAGAAGCCGCTGGTCGATTGCAGGGGGCTGAGGAATTTGCGGGACTTGAGGCACCTGTGGCTGCGGCTGAGGTTGCTGTTGTCGAAGCATGCTGATCGTTTGCTCCAGGTTGAAAGCAGGGGTTTGCGTCGGGGTGGGAGCTTGAGGTGGGGGAGTTGACTGTTGCGGCTGGCCAGGGTTTTGGATGGACTTGAGCAGGTTAAAGACGAACTGATTATTCTGCGCGCTCGGCTGGCCCTGGGGAGTCGGCTGAGGCTTGGTCATCGAATAATACCGCTCTTGTCTAGCCTTGACTTGATCTGGCAACTCTCCAAATGGAAGGACCTCGGGCACCTCTTCGTCATTATCCGGAGGTGGGGGCTCCTTAGCAGACGGGGGCACATCCGCAGGCGAAGTGTGGAACACCATAAGCGTCGTGGCTTCCCGATGCTCCTGAGCCTTCGCTTCGGGACTCGTAGGTTTCTGGGTGCCACAACGTTTAATATGGTTCCTCGCACGGTCCTCAGCGGGGATGTCGCCATCATCAATTTCTATGCCAGTTAGATACGGAAGAACAAGATTAAATGGCAACGGGTTCTTACCAGAGGGAGCATAGTATTCAAAGAGCTGCTCCTCTCGCGCACCGCTATCATCATCCTCTTCAAGCTCATCCAGATTCTTGTGAAGTTTGAGGACGCTTCCTTCACCCTTCACGTCACCTACTTGTCGAGAACGGTCACCCGGTCCAAGCTCCTCATCCGGATCGTGGGTGAAGTAGCGAATATCAGTAAGAGAGTCATCAGGTTTCCAGGTGACGCGCAATTTTCTTCGCGCCTCCTTGCGGAGTCTCTTTTCCCGTTCTTCTTCTGTCTCGGGGGTTTTACTTTCAGGAGTCTCCTGTGGAGCAGGTTCTTTCTGCTTGTTAAGGTCTGCCATGATATCACCGAAAGAAAATGCTGGTCGGGGGGCATCTTTCTTTTCAGCAGGAGTGCTGTCACGTCATTAGTATACGAAATCGATAGAAGAATCCGCGGACAGTTCTAGTCAACTTACCTGGTCTTAGCGGCTGCGGCGGCTCTCTCCGCATTCGATGTACCGGGTTTCTTGGACGCGGAAGTTAGAGTTCCAAAAAGGTTCGTGGGTTTTGGTGCAACAATGTTCGCCTTTGGGCGTGCGGCAATAGAAGCCGCGCCTCCAGGGGCCTTGTTCTCTTGCCCAGCCTCTTGATTGCGCTTAGCCGCGCCATTAGTGGATGGCCCGCTGGGCTTCAAGCCGGGCTTGGTATTTGACGTAACTACTACCTTCTTCGCAGCCGGCTGTTGCCCGTTGGTCTCCCCATCTCGTGGCCGTTTAGACCCAGAGATATCTTTACGCGCACCATCTACAGCTGCGCCATCAGGGTTTTTGGCGGGCGAACCTTCCTGTGGATCTGATTTTCTTTTCTCCTGCTTCCGCTTGGTCCTTGCGGCGGCGTTGTCGAGTATGGTTTGTGAAAGAGTTTTCACTTCTGGAGTGCCCTTCTTCACAAATCTTGGGAGCAATTTCGCCACATTCGTTTTCTGGAGGACATCTTCATCAACAGTGATGAATCGGGCGAGCAACTGGAAAATTATGTCAGCAAATAGTCACACAACTAGTAACCGCAGAAGGGTCGGCATAAAATATTCACCTTCAGGATATTCAAAGTCAACGTTCCGTCAATATCGGAGGCTTGGTGCCGGTCCAAGAGGAAAGAGTACATTGCTGCTACAGCCATGGGATGTTCACCCAGCCTAAATTTCAGTCAGCTTCCCAACCCACTACCGAGTAGAATAATTAAAATAATCGAATCCAAAAGCCTGGGGAACTTTCAACCCGGTGGTGCTTTGCCAATTCTATGTGGTGTTCACTGCTGTTCCTTAGGAAAGAAGCATTCTTCTCATAAATCACAGGCAGCTGAAGGCAATCGTCACCGAGTACAAAGTTAAAAGTTCACCCTTATTATGTAAGGATTCTTTAAGACATGATGGCAACCATATTAGGGAGATTACATGAGAGGTTCTCTCAATTTGTTTCTGACTTCTATGGCCGTGGCAAGAATATGCCAGGTAGGCAAAACAAAGGAAAAGGAAGAGGAAATTCACATACTTTTCAACGATGATAGGGTGACCTTTGGCAAGAGTGGTACTGACGACGACATCCATGAGGCGTCGTTGCAGGGCAACCTGCTTTCTAAGCTCACTTGTATTGCTCGATTCACCCTTATTTTCTGCTGTTTTCAAAGCCTGGGCGCTTTCTTTCCACGTATCCCTTAGGCTTTTAACAACGTCTTTGAATGCAACTAATGCGTTCTTAACTTTGTCGACCTTAGGCCGTCTATTACGCGGAGACCACACAGCACGGAGCGCATCATACTGTGCAGCAGCTTCAGGTTCATTAGGGCGAGTAGGCGGTAGAGGAGATGGCTCTTCTGGCTCCTGTATTTCAAGAGAGTCATCAGACTCGTAACTATCTGAGCCCGAAGAAACCGAGCCTTTCCCGTCTGCCTTTTTAATAGCTGCCTTTTTAGGTTGAGACTGCTTTTTAGTAGCGGGTGGTTTAGCTCGTATGGGCGCAGGCTTAGCTGCCAAAGGAGGGTTTGCTGGTGGAGCTTTAAGGCCTACTTTGGGGTTAATGATTAATTACAGAATGAAATCTAACACAAACATACCATTGATAGGAGCGACCGCAGCCCTCGGAGCCTGGCCAGGAACAAGGCCGCTGTTCATTCTAGGCTGGCTCATAACCGACTGCATGGGTACATTATCCGGGAAATACCTATACATTCTAGTTAAAAGCATAAGAATGAGCACTAAAAAGGAAGTAATGAAGGGAGAACGTACTTTGGATCCTCTGCGGGGTTTACATAAACAAATTGATTGTTTAAAGAGGGATTGTTTAGAGAGGAGTTCTGTGTCACCGGCTGGGGAGGGTTGATGAACTGCGGGTTAATCGTCTGCTCCGGAATACCTTGCGGCTGCTGTGAAAATTCATTGGGAAAGTTGATGGAGGGGTGCTACTAGAGTTAGTTAAATACTCAAGGAGAAAAGGTTTGGTAAATTGCCTACCGTAGGGTCATCAGGGAACCCGGGGGAAATGGCATATTGCGGAAGAGAGTTCTGGTGCAGTGGTGGGTAGGAGGCAGGTTGTGGCTGCTGCTGAGGGGGTTGCGGCGAGTGTGACTGTGAGAAGGCATCCGGAATCGCAATATGTTGAGGGGCGTAGAAGTTGGGATTAAATGAGTATGACTGGTAGTGAGAATTATCGGATGCTGGGGGTCTCGAGTCAAATGTCACCTGTTCCTGGGCATACGGTGGCACCTGCCGATACTGCGCCGGCATCCCCAGTTCCTGCGGTGTTGGGGGAGCCATGGCAGGTTGGTGATGCAGCGGGTTTTGCTGCCATGACTGGGGCGTTGGCGGTTGATATAAGCCATGGCCCTGGTCACGTTGGAGTTGCTGTGAATGCAACACAGGATGGTCCCAGCCTATTCCCAAAGGCTGCTGTGGTGGTGGTTGTGGAGTCGACTGCTGCTGAGGAGGGTGTGAATGGTGATGTGAAGAGTCCTGGTTGGCATACGGATCCAGACTCCAGTATTCGGGAGGCAGCGAGGCCGGGTTTACTGGGTCCATGATGGCGCAGATCCTCCGCCAGCCCGAATTGGCTTAGGATTGCAAATTGAAGAGAACCCAAGTTAAATACTACAAGGCGGCGGATGTAGGTAAACGAAGCCTGAGAAACCAAGCTGGTTCACAGTCAACGCAAGGTATCGCCTGGCACGTGCGATACTCCCAATTAGGAAAGGATCCAGTGCCGCTTTAACCGGTTGGGGAATCGGAGGTTTGCGTTGTTTGATTGGCTGCGACCGGGCGAGGAACAGCGCAGGGCAGGAACCTTCACTGGGACAGTTGTGCAGGCGTCCGCGGTGGGAGCTGGCCGGGGTTGAACTTGCTTGACGTGCTTGACGTGCTCACTGCTGGTTTCTGTGCTCCTGCTGGCCCTCAGAGCTTAGCAGCAAGTTAAGGTACGCAGGCGATAGTCCTGGAATACCTGCGAGTCCCGTTCCACGCTGCTGCACCCTCTTCGCCTTTCTCTTATTTAATAAAAAGCAGAACAAAAAAAGGGTCTTTGCGATGCACAGGCTGGAGCAACGCAGTTCGAATACACCGACCAAAAATTAGTACTGTCGGTCCAAGTAGACGTATAGACGTAGATAATTCTGTTCCCTTTTCCTCTTGGGTTTCTGCTTTTTTTTTCTTCCCCAAAGTATCCTCTTAACCGGTCCCTCTTCAGTTTCCCTTTCAGCCTTTGACTCTTTTTCCCGCTCGTACGGCTCTCGTACGGGCTCTCCTAAACTTGAAGTTTCCTTAAAAGATGGAACGAAATGACCCTAATCAGAAGAATCGCTCAGAGCTGCCGTTAGACAGCATTGTCTCGCTTTACAGGAAGGGTTGAGTGGTTAGGGAAGGGGAGTAGGTGGTGACGACGGGATGGCTGGGTCTCACTGAGTGGGCAGAGCTGCAAATTCCCCCCTTTCAGCTCGCTGGCTGGGTTCACGTGATGTGTTTGCTCTGTTTGCTGCCGCGGTCAGAAGCGGCTTAGCCCGATTACCTCAGCCGGTCCTCCTCAACGGGAAGCTCCCAGAGGAGGCCAGGTGGAGTGTGGTTGTAGATAGTCCTATCTAGATCTTTGGACGTCCTCGTGCTGAGCTCCTGTTCCCGTGGTTGCTCTCTTGCGATTCAGGTTTGTGGTTGCGAGCACCTCCAGCCATCTCACTTTTGCCTCGGTTGCTTAGTGCCCTTGTGCTATCGGCGACTTCTTATTGTCATGAACGGCTTTGGAGCTAGGTAAACTGAGAATAGGCACCATGGCATCCCAGCCCACCTCTCTACGAGACCGTCAGGTCGGTAGGTTTCTGGCTCGCTCTCCATTCTACCGCGCTGTTCCTGGCTAACAATATCTCAGTTTCCATTCAGAAAATCCTTAACCTGAACCACGACCCGAGTACCGCGGAGGACGCCACCCACGAACCCTCCGCACAAGGCCTCATTTCAACCCCTATACTCAACGAAGATGGCGACCCGATCTGGAAGGTGTTGGTGTTTGACAACATGGGCCGGGATGTTATCAGCAGTGTACTGCGTGTCAATGATCTCAGAGCTTGGGGGGTAACCATCCATCTGTATGCGCTCCTCCCACTTTTCCTCCGCGAGACGACATTACGCCTAACCAAGTCTTAATAGGGGCATCAATGCCACTCGATACCCTATCCCCGACGTCCCAGTTGTTTACCTTGTCGAACCTACGGCTTCTAACATCCAGGCGATTGCAAGCGACCTTCAGCGCGGCCTTTACTCCCCCGCCTACATCAATTTCCTGTCATCCGTTCCCCGCCCGCTTCTCGAAGACTTTGCGTCTCAAATAGCAACAACCGGAACGTCCGAGCATATCTCTCAGGTCTACGATCAGTACCTAAACTTCATTGTTGCCGAGCCAGATCTCTTCAGCCTGGGTATGGGGAATGATGCCTACTGGAGAATCAACAGTGCGAAGACCAGCGATGCCGACCTCGATGAAATCGTTGATAGGATTGTCAGTGGGTTATTCAGTGTCAGCGTTACGATGGGTATGTGAAATCGTAGTCGAACAAAGTGCGTCCCTTGCTGACCGAATCCAGGTGCCATCCCAATCATCAGATGTCCTAAAGGCGGTGCGGCGGAGCTTATCGCCACGAAGCTGGATCGCAAGTTGCGCGATCACATACTAAACTCCAAGGATAACCTTTTCTCAACCAACAAAAAGTCCACTCCCGGCGTTCCTTCCGCGCGGCCGGTCTTAGTTATCGTTGACCGCAACGTCGATCTGGTTCCGATGCTCTCTCACTCGTGGACCTACCAATCGCTTGTGCAGGATGTTCTCCAGATGAGACTGAACCGTATAACGGTAGAAACACCTCTAAACGAGTCGAACCCTTCCAGTGGCACCACAAAGAAAGCATATGATCTCGGCAGTAATGACTTCTTCTGGAAGCGTAACGCGGGAGCTCCATTTCCGCACGTTGCAGAAGAGATTGATGCCGAATTAACACGATATAAGGAGGATGCCACTGAAATTACAAGGAAGACAGGAGCCTCATCGATCGAGGATCTGCAGGCTGACACGAGTGCCTCCGCGCAACACCTCAAGGCCGCCATTACCCTCTTGCCAGAGCTGCGAGAACGCAAGTCAATCCTAGACATGCACATGAACATCGCCACTGCTCTTCTGAAAGGTATCAAGGACCGCCAACTAGATAACTTCTTCGAGCTTGAAGAAAGCATCACAAAGCAATCCAAGGCACAAATGCTTGAATTAGTCAATGACCCCGCCAAGGGCACCAACCCAACGGACAAGCTTCGAATTTTCCTAATCTGGTTCTTGAGCACCGAAACTGAACTCTCACGGGCAGACATCGGCCAGTTTGAAGAAGCCCTCACCCGCGCAGGAGTCGAAGACGTCAGCTCCATCGCGTATATCAGGCAGGTCCGCGAGCTCACTCGAATGACAATGATGACCACAGCTGCGCCGCAACAGCAATCATCAGATATCTTCCGTGGATTCTCTTCCCTCTCCAACCGCCTAACAGACCGCATCACATCAGGAGCCCTGGGCGCCAACTTCGACTCCCTCATTTCCGGCGTCAAGAACTTCCTCCCCGCCAACAAAGACCTAACCCTCACCAAAATCACTGAATCAATCATGGATCCGACTGCAGCATCCAGCTCCGCAATCGCAAAAACGGAAAACTACCTATACTTCGACCCAAGGAGCACCAACGCCCGTGGAACCATTCCCCCTGCATCCGCCTCCCGCAACCCCCAATCAGGATCGTCCGGCGGTCCAGGCACAGGAGCGAGCTTCGGCCAGCGCCGCCAAGCCTTCAACGAAGCAATCGTCTTCACGGTCGGCGGTGGAAGCATGGATGAGTATGGCAACTTGCAAGACTGGGTACAGCGCACAAGCGGGCAACAGGGTAACGAGGGAGCGAATAACAACCGCCCCGGGAATGAGCCTCTTGGTGGCCCAAGGCGGAGAGTTGTCTACGGCAGTACGGACTTGATGAATGCTAATGATTTCTTGACTGAGTCCTTGGCAAAATTGGGAAGGGAGGGCTAGATATCTAGATGCCTCTAGATACAGCTTTTCTTTCTTTTCTTTTTCTGCTTCTCTCCTATTGATGGAGTTGTGTTTACGATAGATTTCTTGCCGCCTCGCAAAACTTGAACTTGCTATAATTTAATGCCTAGCTTAACTTGTGAATAAGATGACTTTTTACTCTCTTGGTTGTTTTCGTCACGGCTCCGTATCATGGAATTCTCACCGTAGAACTAGAATGGGAGAGTAGCGTATGAGTTAATACCTCATTATTACCTAGCTATATGCTATATAAGTAAACTGAATAACGGTTATTCGCTCCCACGATGTCTAAGCCAAACCAACCGACCACATAGTCGAGTCAAAGCCAGACCGAATCGAGGCGGGTAAACGGGTAGAACATAAAAACAAAGGAAAACGAAAATAGCAACATGTCCGACTGGAGAGAAATGAACTGAAAGAAAAAGAAAAAGCAGGAAGCAGAAAAGAAAAGAAAGTCATCTGATATATGGCCCGCTCTATGCATCCGTCCCATGCATACCATGGCCCATTGAGTCCAGCCACTCGGCATGGTAACTAACGATCAATGCAAGAATAAACAACCCCCCATGATGCACCCCCGAGTAAAGGGCAGCTACGCTGCATGAGTGAACGGAAAGAAAGGATAAAGAAGAGATGCTATGCTACAGAGAAAAAAACGAAAGACAAAGAAAAAGGCGGTGGTGCCCTATCACACGATCCCAAGCGAATCCCTCCTCGCACTCCGCACAGAAATATCATGTTCAACTGCAATCCCGGACTGCTCAGAAGAAACCGAAGTAGATTCATTCCTGAAACCCTTCTTCTTGTTCTTGTCCTCCTTCTCCGTCAAGGGCCGCGATTCGGAATAGCAGTGAGTGCATTGCTTGGCGGTTGAATTAGAGGATGCCATCGTGTATTGCTGGTGTCTGCCCTTGTATCCTGAGAAAGAGAGGATCTGCCACAGGTTGCGGCCGTTGGAAGAGGCTTGATTGGGTTTGTCAAGCGTTGTGCCGGCCCACAGAGAAGATAGAGGTAGGGAGAGGGTTACTAGGGTTAAGACATTGGTGGAGAGTTCTGGGACGTCGGTTGAGTAGTTTACTATTGAGAAGATGGCTGGTAGAGTTGGTTAGCTGACGGTTCACTTTTCACTTGGGGGTTAGTAATACCTGGGATGATCAGGGTCTGGCAGCCCATGACGAAGATAACTTTCATAGGGCCGAATTCGGTGATACCGAGTTTGCGACGGAGTCGAATGGCAAAGCCAAGTTTTGTTATGAAGACCATACAGAAGAAGCAGATGCTCACGGTGAGGACAATGTTCGCGGTGCTCTCCAACCAGTTGAGGGGCACCGGACTGTTGGCTGAAATGATAATGCTCTTTACGTTCTCAACCGACAGCCAGTACCGAAATCCGGTCGGGACGAGGGCAACAACGACAGACACGCAAAGCAAAGCACGACGGTAGATGCGTCTCAGGTTCGAACAAACAACCTGCGTCTGAAGGACCAGCGATACCTCGATGATCGTCAGGAGCAAAGCTGCGAAAATGACTCCCAGAGCGGAGTTTGCATAGTCAGAGGTAGGAACTTGGGAGTAGTCGCCGGTGAAGACTGCATAGGCTTTCAAGAAGCCCGAGGTGAAGACGATGATCGAGCAGAGCAGTCTCGCGAAGTTGAGGAGCAGTGCGAGACAGTTGAGCCAGAAAACATAGGAAGCACGCTTCTCGGCTCTAGTCAGCAGAAGAAGTATAACCAGAAGAACGACAGTTGCTCCAAGCTGCGAGCCGTAGTTGATGCACACCCGGATCGGATACTGAGCAAAGTCGTCGACCATGGCAATGGGCACGTCGAACGGAGTTCCATCCGCGAGGTGGAAAGTGACATTTTGGGCCCAGGGGTCAAAATCTGAAGACATGATAGTTGATGCAAGGAGCAGGCGTAGTGTGGCGGGGTAGTTGGTCCGTTTCGCAAGAGACTGTAGAAGAGCTTGGGACTCGCCAAAGGGGATTGCAGGAGGAAAGATGGTATAGGAAGGAAGATTTGTATATAAGAGATTCAAGCACGCAGATTCTCCTGCAAGGTCTGAGGGGTGTTCCTCTGGATAATCACTGATTCTGCAGCCACACGGATTGAAATATCGCCATGTCTTGCTGTCCTGGTGTAACACCCAAGACAAACAATATCAAGAGCAGGCAAGGAGGAAATGCAACAATATAGGGTTCGCTGCAAGCCAAGAAAAATGACTGGCACTCATGATCGTCACCTCAACCCACAATCCGCAGGCTGGTTGTGTTGGGGCCCGGTGCTGACTCGAGACAAACAATAGCAAGCAGTGGCGGAAGAACAATAGGTGTTGCGGACGACGTCACCTAGGGGCGCAACTCCATGGCGCAGTATAATATAAGGTGTCTCCCATGGTCCGCCGTGATTGCATCTCTTTCAAAAATAACCTCGGGGGGTCCATCCATTGAAACCATGATTCCGAGACAAAGAGAAGCAGTACACAGCCGGAGGCCGGAAATGGCAGCCAGTCTGACAGCCCGGCATTCCAGACCAGCATTCGTCCCAGGGTAGATTAGCGACTAGCGACTAGCGACCATTGAGATCGCCGCTAATCCATGGCCCAAATCTTCCTGTCTATTTTGAATTTCACCCTAGGTAACAGATTCCTCCAGAGCGTGGTTCATGCCGGATTCGCGGGTGCCAGGGCCGCTGTGAGCCACAAGGGGTTAAAACTGAGAACAGTTCCAAGTTCCAACACCAACGTGCAGCTTGAAATCACTTCAAAGGCCCCTTGCTTGGCCTCCTTGATCTCCTTGGCCATGTCAACGTGGAATGGCGTCCTCCGGTTGGCTCAGTCGCCATGCTTTGAAGTCTATACACTGAGGCCGTAGGCACGCTTATCGTAAGCAATGGATATTATCCATGCCGGCGGCTTTTCTGCTTAAGCACAGGCCTGTGCCCCGCATGTTTGCGTCAATTCAGGTATAGAATATAACTAGTCTTGAGGATTGGTGTTGTAGGCGTGGACCGTATCTAGTTCAGGCACCGGGGATGACTGACTAAGGGCCAAGACTGCGGGGATGCTCTCCCGTCAAGCTTCCAATTGTGTCAGTGAGTGTCCATCGATCAACTCCCCGCCCCCAGAGCTCCCTCGACATGGCTTCGGTCCCACAGAGGACGCTGAATTGGTTGTACAGTGTTCTGATCAGGGTGAGTCGCTGAAATCATCGTCTGGAATGGCCACCGCTGACCCATTCAGGACCACTACGACCCTAGGCAAACATATCAAGATCCCAACCGCACCTACTACGATGTCGCAAACGTCCTGGCCAAATTTCCCACTCTCGCCCCTGAAACCGCGGTCTACAGTAAGCTTCGGACATTCTTGGTACCCAGTTAGCAAACCCAGTTATTGACGCATCGCGCTGTGCAGCCTACGAGACCGGATTCTCTGCTCTCCTTCTGCAACTGTCAGGAACATTACCCGTCAACTATCGCGGTACCGTTTTTAAATTTCCTGTCGCATTATGGATCCCGAATACCTACCCCCGCGAGCCACCGATTGTCTATGTGAGGCCGACAGAGTATATGACGGTTCGAGTGGGCCAGCATGTGACGTTGGAGGGGAGGGTCTATCACCATTATCTAGCGCACTGGGCTGGGGCTTGGGAGGTTAGTACAACTGGCGTTTGAGAGAAGTTATTCCGTCCTCCAGCTTCTGACTATTGTACCCCACAGCGCTCTTCTATCCTTGATCTCTTGTCGATTCTACAGGACGTCTTTGCGAAGGAACCGCCGGTGAAATACAAGCAGCCGCAATCTGTACCGCAACAACCGCACCAGGCGCACCAGGTCCAGACACCCCCTCCGCGTCCTCCTCTACCCCCAGAACTCGCAAGTTCATCCATTCGTACATCAGTGCCTCAATCGCCTGCAATTCAATCCCCTCAGCTTGCTTCCCCAGTACCACCTCCTCCTCCCCCTAAGCCAGGCCAGCTACCAAGCGCTACGGATACACCGCAACAGAGCGCTCAAGTGCAACATCACAACACTCCGCCGCCGCTACCTCCATTACCACCGAAGGAGCAGGGCCATCGACAGTCAATATCTCAAGTTCACGGCGCTGTCGGGAGCCCACAGAACAGGACTTCCCAGTACCTACCACATCAAGGCAATGTCCCTGGAGGACCATATCCTCCGCAAGCGCAGGTACCACCTTTCCAACCTACACAGCAACATACCGCTCCCGCTCCGGGTCCTGCATATACTCCAGGCCCCGGTTACTATCAGGGCCCAAACGGAACACGCGATATTGCCCCGCCTAATCCACCTCCTCAACTCCAAGGGCAACAGGTGTTTCCTCGCCCGACATACCACCAACAGCCTCCCCCAGCTCCGCAAGTACAGCCCCATCCACCTCATCAGGGGCCGCCTCGAACTGTTCCAACCAGCCAGCAACCACCCCTGCAGCCAAAACCCGCAGCAGAAGATCTACTAACATCTCCCTTCGAGCTCAACCTCCCATCCTTCACGCCTACGGGCCCCGCACCACCCATTCCCCCAAACCCGGAAAAAGACGCCCTCCTCCAAGCTGTCTCCAAAGCCCTCACCGAAACCCTCCAAGCAAACATCGCCCACTCCGAATCCGCAGCCCACTCTCTAACCTCCCAATCGCACTCTCTCCACGCCGCAATCACAAATCTCCAAGGCGAAATCTCCTCCCTAAACACCCTCAACTCAACCCTCGAGTCCAACACCTCCGTCCTCCAACAATCCCTCCACCGCGCAGACGCCGTCATCGCAGACGCCCAGTCCCGCGTCTCTACAACCCAGCCCTCCTCAAGCGCAGACCCCGCGTCCACCGGCCTCCCCGCAATCGACGAAATACTCGTCGCCCCGACAGTCGTGGGCAAACAGCTCTACGACCTCGTCGCCGAGGAACGAGGCATTCAGCAGGCTATATACGCTCTCCAAGCTGCCCTCGTCAAAGGCGTCATCAGCGTTGAGACCTGGTCCCGCCATACCCGTGGTCTAGCTCGTGAGGCATTCATGAAGCGCGCGCTGATCAGGAAGATTGGGAAAGGGATGGGGCTGGAGGAACACGGATTTTAGTTGGTATAAATGACATTATGCGTTATGTGATAGCATTTGCTTTAGAGATGATGAATCTTAATCTACTGGTAGATGAGATGAACTATATTTATACTTAAAATGCTTCAGTCAGTACTTGAATACTTCCCTAGGAATCTGATACATATTTTACTACTAATAAAAGCATCTAGCGGCTTTTTCTCTTGCTCAAGTCATCAAAGGGTCAGTTCAGGCGTAAGATACATTCACTACAGAAGCAGGGAATTAACAATCTGAAAGACAGTAGAGAAGGAGAAAGATAGGTAGGTAGGTAGATAGGTAGATATTGTTCGAAGTCAACAGAGGACCAGATAGGATGATGGATATATAGAAGAAAAGGTGAAATGAAGGAGGCGTAGCGTAGCCATTCATATACAGAGAAAAGGGTGGCGGTGTCAAATAAAAGGTAAATCAAGAGCATCGCATCTATAACAATAAACAAAATGGTGAGATTGAGATTGAGATTTCCACCCCCCCCCCGTGCGCCAAATGGGAACCCAACACCAAAAAAAGAATCAGACGTCATGAATAATAAACAGAGGTAAATGAGGTGTTTTTCTCTCTTCATTTTTTTGAGCGGTTTATTTTACTTCATTTACATCTGCGAAGGGACTCTCTCCACGGGGAGGCGGAGCTCCGCTGTGTCGTTTCGTGCTTGCGTCGGACCCGTCTAAGAAGGCCGAGTTGCGTTTGTTGTCTGTCTCGGTTGGTGTTTCGGTTTGGTCGTTGAAGGGGCTTTGGACGATAGCTGGCGAGTCTTCGATCACTGTTGGGGCATGCGATCGCCGAGTCGTTTCTACGTTGCTGGATGTGTTGTTCTTGGTTGTGGCAGTTCCCCCATCGTTTGACGAACTCACATCAGCAGCAGAGGTGCTGGACGAGGGTTCGGGACTAGATTCGGGTTGCTCCGCAATAGGCTGGACGGGCGATGATTTGACCGCGTCGTTCTTCTTTCCAAGAGTCTTCACCATGACAGGTTTAGCAGTGACAGCACGGCCCACAATTGAGCTGTTGTTGTTTGCGTCGGTAACTCCTGCCTTGGCGAGCTGCGACTGAGTGATAGCAGGAACAGCGGGGGCATCAGGGCTCAGTGTGTTAGGTGAACTGCCATTTTGGACGTTAACAACAGCAGCACGAGTGCGGGTCACCTGCTGAGCAGGGATAGGGCTGACAATAGCGTCGTTGCGGTAGATAGTCGTGGCGACACTACTTCGTAGAGTGTTGGCCATGGAACGGCGATCGGTTGTCATATCAGACCAGGACGAGTCGCGGAGATCCCCAGGCATGAAGAAATGCTGATCGGCCGACGCGCCAGGGAGAGGAGGAACAGGGGGTACGAGAGGTGTGTCCGGAGGAGATCGGTTTGTGACGCCCGGAATGTAAGCAATTTGAATAACATTCGACGCTCGAGTCAAAACGGTCGACGCAATCGAGTGAGTTGACTTCCTCGACTGTGCAGCACTGGCGGCACCACCAACAGAACGGGGAGCGTACGAGCTCTTTTCCGACTCGTCCGATTGTTGTTGGCGCTTTTTGCGGATGACGAACCACCAGATCAGAAAGGTGATGATTCCAACCACCGCAAGACCTCCAATAACACCACCCGCAATGGCGCCCGCGTTGGTTCCTCCCCCTCCTCCTCCTTCTCCACTAGACGAACTCTCCTGTGAGTCTGAGGAACTGCTTGTGGACGTTTTGACACAGTTTACAGATGCGCATTCGTTGCATGACTGTGCTGTCATCATGCATGTTGTGCCCGACGGGCAGTTACATGCAGGAGCTTCTTGCGGACATTCTTTACAGCCTGAGCCGGCACGGGCAAACAAGGCTATGTTCTGTTAGCGATACATTTGCTAGCGGTCGGCATAATAACAGCACATACCGTGAGGTGAGAGGGGATCAAGAGCGTGAGGAGACATGGTGAAATGGTTTGAAATAGTGCCGGAACAAAAAAAACTCAAAGTGCTGTCGTGACAAATATGAAGGCTTCGCTGGGTATTAAACGGTGTTGGAAAAATAAAAGAGCGGCTTGCCGGTCAACGGCGTAGAGAGCGTGGTTTGTTGTGAAGAACGAGTGTGCAGATACTCCAGACGTCGAGTCGTGGGAGTTATAGTTGGATCATGAAAGGAATCGATGTTCTTCGAACTGAATAGGTCGAGGCTGGCACACTAGAACGGGCGACTATAAGCAGTAATGGTCATAGTCTGCTATTCAGTGGATCCGAAATATTCAATATATCAAGGTTCAAGGCCGGGGTCCTCCCAATCGGACAATTTGTTGCGTCGTTAGGATGGGTGGCTCGATGTCAATTGCTTGGTGGTCCGCCGCCAGGAGGTTGACGTTGTTGGACACGCGTTTGGCGAAGGTCAGGTACGAGCGCAAACGACGGTTCAGGGGAAACGAAGCAATCCGAGAGGGGAAAACAATCCCTCGACGATGCGAAGGTCCGGGCAACGAAGATAGAAACTATATTGATGAAGTAGGAGGGGGATATAAAAGAAAGGGTAATATAAAGCAGTCAAGAGAAGGAGATGAAAGAGAAAAGGCCTCAAGTTGTCTCATCAACTGGGGGGTTGGCGGGAGTGGAGATGAAGGAAGAGGGAGCGCCAGACGACAATTAAAGGCACCAGGGAGAGACAGTCTCGATTATGCGCACGCACTCCCGCTCGCTACCTCCACCGTTTCGGCTTTGTTCGCTGCCACGGCTGCTGCTTTCAATCATATGAAGTCGTTTCTGTACTACATAACTCCCTGGTTATTTCACGATCATATCATGAGGCCGGCTGTGTCACCAGTCTCCAAATTTCGAGGTTTCTTTATATTAAACTCTCGGCCTCGATGCGCGACATGAAAGAGCGAACCAGTCACGCAGCCGCCAGCGAGTCCGGAAAAGGTATAGAACCAACACTGTAACAATGATTTTCTCTCGACTCACTCGTTGCAAGTCCACTATCCTTCAACTTTCCTGGCAGGCGCTTGGGTCGATCAGACAGCCCACCCAGCCATGTCGAACTGCTTCGGGCCAAATACAGTCTAGCCAGGGCCCCTAGCATGGAGCTTAGGCGGTCCGGTGTCTCATCTCACACAGCGTCCTTGCTAATTGAGCCAGATCCCGTCTGCGCAGGGCGTGCGCGAGAGGCCGGCGGGCGTGTCCCAAGAGTGGTTCCTGGAGCGGGCGAGTGGTTCTGGACCAACCCACGTTCTCTCCGGGAGATGAGGGAGATTACACCGGGGCAGCTGGTCGAATCACATCGCTTCTTCGCCTGAGGCACGGACGGCAGGTAATCAAAAGGACGAGGGCGACGCTCATGCCAACGTTGACTGCCCTCCGATCCTTCCTTCTTCCGGCTTGCTGGCGTCCACCATCAAGAATCCAGATCATGGTGGAGTCTGGAGGCTGATTATTCAAGGCGCATCAGTGTCAAAGGCCCAAAGTCTCACAACACTCATTCGTTCCCCAGTGACTGTCTCCATCTTATTGACCACTGTCCAGACTCCAACGTGGGGATTGGCGAGCTTGGATCTAAGATTGTGGTGAAGCAACTTTAGCAGCGTGCTGTCGCTCTGTCAAGGTTCGCTCTCTCGGAGCATAATGTCCACCGTAGTCCACTGTGCATCAACCTGTCTGTTGTTCTAGAGTTGTCAGTGTCGGTCTTGAGTGGGGAGGCCAACTCACTGTCAGTGTGAGGTTGTAGGTCGATCATACAGTTTTCCTGCATGTGTCGGGAAAGAGTGACAGAGTTTTAAAGGCAGCCTGACGCACATTTGTCTGGGCCTGCACGGTGATGGGGCATCTCAGTCTGACCAATATACGCAGGGCTGTTGCCCAACGTTCAATGCGATCTATCAAAAATCTCGTGTGTCTGTTATCGGGATAACTTAGACCAGTCGGATAACAGATTTGACACTGTTGCATCAGCTGTTGCCAGGTTCAGCTGATAAAAATGCACCTGTTCAAGGTCATTGAGGATTGTGTTGCAGGCGAGAAAATGGATATATATTCCCGCAACCACCACTTTTCCCATGACTTGGCAGCCCACACAGCAGCAGATATTTATACAACGTAGACCACACCAATCGCATGCTATACCATCCAAGCATTATTCAATTTTGTCGAATATAGAGTAATACTATTCGACGATAAGAATACCAATTGGCATCCAGCGGTCCTTCGACATGGCTGGATATGCTACAAAGTTTTCTTCCAGTTTTACTACTAGAAGCCAGCACTTCCTTATTCACCCAGGTACAAGGCACCGACGATGTGAAGTCGACATTACCCCCGATCACCGAGATATGAACTCATGACACTGTTGCCGCTTGGAACTGCAGGTACATGCTCCGTTTTTCGGACTCGGCTGCATCCGAAATATAACTGCCAGGTACAAGAAGTACGTCTCCATAGATACATGTGGATCATCACAACGACAGAGCCGATGTGCAAAGGCCACCTATTACAAGGGAGGGAGCCTGCTTCTTCGGTAGCAGTGTGGTGCATTAATTTTGTTTTTTTTTTTTTTTTAAATAAACTCAGCGGACCCAGAAGAGACATTGTGTCGGTGTCATTAAAGTGCGAGCATTACATCCCGTTGTGTGGACATGCCATGCCGTTGGGCGGCTGGTCTCACTTGACATCTGCACTATTTAGAACTCGTTCACTCAAAGGATCTGATCGACGTCATGCTAAATGCCTGCACAAGGCTCGAAGCGGATGTCGCATGTAAAACAGAGCAACTGAGAAAAACCAGAGCCGTGGAGGAGATACCAGGGAGAGAGAGAGGGGCGTTGAGATTTCTCAGCCTTTGACGCTAAAAGCGCTGATCTTTAGGGTAGCATACCTCAGGCAGTGAGTTTGATATTCAGGTAACCTGCAATGCAACCACTCCAGCTGAGGATTGGAGGGAACTGCATTAATCATGGGCTGTTCCGTCAGGCGACTCATGTCCCGTCCCAAGCGGTCAGTGTCAGTGTCAGCTCCAGAAGAGGGGTCTGCGGCTCTGCATGACGCTGAAGCCGTTGATTGGAGTTGCATCCATCTCCATTATTATTCTCCAGCAGACCGGCTGAGCTGGCGCTAAGGGTCTAAGAATAGGAATGGAAGACGACTCGAAAAACGGCCAAAATCGCGGTTAGTCGCTGCTCAGCCACGGATAGGTTTAGGGGGCAAGACGAGTTTGCAAAAACCAAGCACAATACCGTATAGGAGAAATTGGGTGGCGGTGCCACTGAAACAATGATTGACCACTAACCAAGCCCGCTGGCAGTGGGCACTCCACCCACAGTCTCCAGCGTTCTTCGGATTGGACGGTTGGACAATCTCCTCGAGTTTGGCAACAATTAAGGATGCAAAACTGGCTTCCCGAGCGACCAACGGCAAAGAAACACGGTTTCGCACAGTCGCTCTTAAGAGGGTCTGCTATATTTGGCGGAGAGCTAACCGGTTCGGGGCCATCGGATGACCCCGCCAGGCCCCCTGAAATGTTCCGCCTGGAGTGTCTGGTGGACGGCGGACGGCTAGTAACACTCGATCTGAGAATACAGAGCTTCATCGCATCATGAAGCCTCAGGATGTATTTTATCTTCATGTATGACGGAAGAGCGGCAGCACCAGGAATGGCATGCCTCAGCGCGACGCCTTCCATGTTTCGCGGTTCCTCAGGAATCCTGTGCAACGAGACCGACCCATTGGCAAGGGAGAAGATATGGAATGCACCCTTTCAAGACATGGTCACTGTTGCAATACGGGTGTGGGCTCGCTGCACAGTTCAATGTGCCTCAACGCTCAGGGGCTAACGAATGAAATGCACGAAAAGAGTTTTATACGAAGGACAAGAGTTCCTTTGTCGACAATCTCCAAATAATATACGAGATCACCATGATGGCGGCGCAAGTCGCAACTGAAGTGAACAGATCAAGTAGTCATTTGTCGGTTGCAAATTACCGGTACGGGTGTTCGGCGGGATTGGCTTACGGAGAGTGGATTCGAGATTTGCAAATTCATCGTCTGTCCCCTGGCGGTGAACATCCAGAATATCCAGAATAATATCAAAACACCATGAACAGAATGAGGAGAATACAGTCAAACTCGACTGATGTGAAGAGCGATGGATATGTCTGCTGTCTATTTAGAACTCAAGAAACTAAGAATCAAGATAAATGCATGTAGAGCCGATAAATGACCCGTCCCCTGGAGCTGCAGGAAGCGTGCGCTTGTAACCAGCCCCAGCCAGTTACCAGTGGTAAGGAATCCTGGCCCCGATTCCCCTTCTCACCACCTCCTCCAATCTCTCGCGGCGTGTCTGGATTGCTGGGAGAGAAAAAAGGGTGGCTCATTTTTACTTCGCTGAGCCCCGGTTTCCTTCTTGCAACCACAACTTTTCTCATCCTGCACGCCTCCGCCTCCCTTCCCTAACCACGGGCGAAGAGTGAAGACTAGTCGCAGCTAAATATACTGGAGCCACTCTCTTGTCGCTCCCTTTCCTAGTTCAACGCTGTCTCACTTGCTGTCTGTTTTTTTGGGGCCTCCTCCTCAGCCCTGGCGGCTTTTTCCACGTTCCTGCTCGTCCTGCGCCTCTCGCTCAGCTCAAGACTTCCCTCTTCTGTCTTGTTTTATTTCTGAACCGCTTCTCTCGCTCCATCTCGCTTTTCAATTCTTTCGCTTCGTTCATCTTTATTCATTCTTTTCTTTCGCGTCGCGTGGACTTCACGCGGTCTTGGCTCCTATTTGACCTTCGAAGTTGGGGCAATCTTTTTTCCTTTTCTCCTTGTTTTCCTGATACCCCTTCCATTCGAGTCCTTGCGTTCTGCTTCAACTTGTGTTTGCTTGACCTCGAGCAAGCCCAGTTCGCAGGTACCATACCTTAATCACACTTACCATGGCTTACAACGGCGCCAACTCGCCTGGGGCCAAAGAATACGATGATGCCCATCGTCTTCAGGATCTGGGACACCCCAACACCTCTGTAAGTTCTGCGCCGACTGATGCGATGAATACTCTTTTTTTTTTTTTACCGAGTATGTGAGCTAAGACTTTTTCTCTGTCATTTTAGTATGAAGAAGAAGCCTCAAGGGGATTGTTATCTAACCAGCAAAGCCCTTTCGCCGGCCCCTTCGATGACCCCCATCAGCGTGGCCTGACGGCTTCGCCAGTTCAAAGACCGACCTCTGGATACAGTTTGACAGAGTCTTACGCTCCAGATGCCGGTTACCATGATCCATACGGTGGTAATGGATCGGTCTACTCGGGCCAGTCAGAGAACCCTGCGGCCGCTTTTGGCGTTCCGGGACGTGTAGCTTCGCCCTACGCTCGGAGCGAAACTTCCTCTACAGAAGCCTGGCGGCAACGACAGGCGCCTGGCCCTGGCGGCGGCGGCGGCGGTGGCGGACTTCGTCGCTATGCTACCAGAAAGGTTAAGCTAGTTCAGGGTTCCGTCCTGAGTGTGGACTACCCTGTTCCTAGCGCCATTCAGAATGCTATTCAGGCCAAGTATCGGAATGATCTGGAGGGTGGAAGTGAAGAATTCACGCATATGCGATGTGAGTAGCTTTTGAAGGACCTGGGCTGGAATCGAAGAACTGACAACCCTCAATAGACACTGCCGCGACTTGCGATCCCAACGAATTTACACTCCACAACGGTTATAACCTTCGTCCGGCGATGTACAACAGACATACAGAGTTGCTGATCGCCATCACCTATTATAACGAAGATAAGACGCTTACTGCGCGTACACTGCATGGTGTTATGCAAAATATTCGCGATATTGTCAATCTCAAGAAATCAGAATTCTGGAACAAAGGTGGCCCTGCCTGGCAGAAGATTGTTGTCTGTCTTGTTTTCGATGGTATCGACCCTTGTGACAAAGACACCTTGGATGTCTTGGCCACGGTTGGTATATACCAGGATGGTGTCATGAAACGTGACGTTGATGGAAAGGAAACCGTTGCTCATATTGTATGCTCATACTTTTTTGAACATTTTCACTGGGATTTGCTTACTGACAAGTAGTAGTTTGAGTACACCACCCAGCTCTCTGTCACCCCGAACCAGCAGCTCATCCGACCCACGGACGATGGCCCTAGCACTCTTCCTCCTGTGCAAATGATGTTCTGTCTCAAGCAAAAGAACAGCAAGAAGATCAACTCTCACAGATGGCTTTTCAATGCCTTCGGCCGTATTCTGAACCCTGAAGTTTGCATTTTGCTCGATGCTGGTACGAAGCCTGGCCACAAGTCTTTGCTCTACCTCTGGGAAGCTTTCTATAACGACAAGGATCTTGGAGGTGCATGTGGTGAAATTCACGCTATGTTGGGTAAGGGATGGAAGAAACTCCTGAACCCCTTAGTTGCCGCACAGAACTTCGAGTATAAGATCAGTAACATTCTTGATAAGCCTTTGGAGAGTTCTTTTGGCTATGTCAGTGTGTTGCCTGGTGCATTCTCGGCATATCGATTCCGCGCAATCATGGGTCGTCCTCTTGAACAGTATTTCCATGGTGATCACACTCTTTCCAAACAGCTGGGTAAGAAGGGTATTGAGGGCATGAACATCTTCAAGAAGAACATGTTCTTGGCTGAGGATCGTATCCTGTGTTTCGAACTGGTGGCCAAAGCGGGTTCCAAATGGCACTTGTCGTATGTCAAGGCGTCCAAGGGTGAAACTGATGTACCCGAAGGTGCGCCCGAGTTCATCTCCCAGCGTCGTCGTTGGTTGAACGGTTCTTTTGCTGCCGGTATCTATTCGCTCATGCACTTCGGACGTATGTACAAGAGTGGACACAACATCATTCGAATGTTCTTCCTCCATCTTCAAATGTTGTACAATTGGTTCTCAACTTTCTTGACCTGGTTTTCTCTCGGTAAGTCAATGACTCTCGATTACGGATTATTTGTTTACCTACGCTAACATTCATCTTAATAGCATCTTACTGGCTTACAACTACTGTCATTATGGACTTGGTCGGAACTCCCAGCTCGAGCAACGGTGACACTGCTTTCCCATTCGGTTACACTGCAACTCCTATCATCAACACTTTGGTGAAATACATCTACCTCGCGTTCCTCCTGCTGCAGTTTATTCTCGCGCTTGGAAACCGACCGAAGGGATCCAAGTTGTCATACCTTGCATCGTTTATTGTCTTTGGTATCATCCAGCTTTACGTTGTCGTTGACGCGCTCTACCTCGTGGTACGCGCGTTTAGTAATAGCGATACCATGTCCTTTGACACCACTCACGGCGTTAGCGCTTTCCTGAGCTCGTTCTTCGGATCCAGCGGTGCTGGTATTATTATTATTGCTCTTGCTGCTACATTCGGTCTCTACTTCGTTGCGTCGTTCATGTACTTGGACCCGTGGCACATGTTCACGTCTTTCCCCGCGTACATGGCTGTCCAGTCGTCGTACATCAATATCCTGAACGTTTACGCCTTCAGCAATTGGCACGATGTGTCCTGGGGTACTAAAGGTTCCGATAAAGCGGATGCGCTCCCCTCCGCGAAGACCTCTGGAGGCAAGGAGGCGGTTATTGAGGAAATCGACAAGCCTCAGGCTGATATTGACAGTCAATTCGAGTCCACAGTCAAGCGGGCCCTGACTCCTTATGTGGCACCGGTGGAGAAGGAAGAAAAATCCCTGGATGACTCATACAAGAGTTTCCGTACTCGGCTGGTCACTCTCTGGCTCTTTAGTAACGGTCTGATGGCCGTCTGCATTACCAGCGAAAGTGTGAACAAGTTCGGATTTACGGTATGTTTTGATGACGCTCTATTTGCTTATTTGACATTAAACTAACGGAAACCTACAGAACGTATCAACCGAACGTACCGCACGTTTCTTCCAGGCCCTTCTGTGGTCTAATGCTGTTATTGCTCTCGTTCGTTTTATTGGAGCCACTTGGTTCCTTGGAAAGACGGGTCTTCTCTGCTGCTTTGCCCGCCGGTAGAGGCATATGTTTTCCTAATGAAAAGTCAAGCACGAGATACCCTGCAAGTGGATGTATTGCATGGGAATCCAGGAGTTATTCTTGGCACATTTTATTGTGATCTTGTATTTTACATATGATGCTCAATCACTGTTTGTTTTATTTTTTTATTTTATTTTTTCTTCCTCATCCGGCACTGTGCCCACTGAAACCCTCATGTTAAGGCCTGCAGGAGTTCTTGAGATGATGTAGATTCCTAATAGTTAGATTCAATGAGATATCTGAAGCGTGATTGCCTGCTTCTTGTTGAGAATTAAACGGTGTACAAGGCAGAAATGTAGGCTTGGCTGAATGGCGTCAGGCTGCGGCTCCGCCCGCTCCCATCCGTTTGCGAACTCCATACCTAGTCAGTTCTCTCAAGGTAATCTGCGAGCGTTTCTTTTTTACGCAGTCTACTAATTACCACTACAAAAGTTGTTGACGGACTTTGTTTCCGCGATTAAAACTACGTCGGCTCAACTCTTAGTGGCAACACTTGCGAAGGTAACTAAGAGCGCCAGACCCCACCCGCTTCCCCTCGTAGAGCCGCCTCTGATTATTATCCGTCACATTAATCCTCACCCCCCCCCATAAAAGTCCCGGGTTCTCTCGACACCGTTTCTGAGTTTTTTCATTCTGTTCTTATATCTGCATCGGCATTCACCATGCTCAAAATCTGGTCTATGGTATGCTCTCTTCCCCGTGCCCTTTAGACTGCCCTTCGGACGTATCACAACATCGCGAACGCCGGCTAACCGCCTCAACCCAACAGAAACAACAGCAGCAGCAGGCTGAAAATGCCGAAGGCGCTGCGGGGAAAAAGAAGAAGAAGGTCACGGCCGCCCAGCTGCGCGTCCAGCGAGGTACGTTTTGAATCCACCTCCGCGGGGTTTCCGTTGGGCGTTTCCGGATAGATGCCCTTTCCCCGCTGCCGGCAAAAGAGATATCAGACATCACCACTAACACTTGGGTTCTTTACCTGTATAGACCTCCAAGAACTCACCCTGGGCAGCACAATGAAAATGGCCTTCCCGAACCCTGACGACATCTTGAACTTCACGCTTACGATCGAGCCTGACGAGGGCATGTATAAGGGCGGTTCGTTCGTCTTCACCTTTGCCGTGAACCAGAACTTCCCGCATGACCCGCCGAAAGTAAAATGCACGCAAAAGATATATCATCCGAATATTGATCTCGAGGGGAACGTTTGTCTTAATATTCTGCGCGAGGACTGGAAGCCCGTTTTGAATTTGAATGCGGTTGTTGTGGGGATGCAGGTTTGTTTCACCTTTCTTTTTATCATATCCTACGTTGGATTTTTGGAAGATGAAGTTTCATCATGTGTATTGCTTTTGTTCTGGTGCTAATACGGTTTGGATTATTAGTTCCTCTTCCTCGAACCGAACGCTTCCGATCCGCTGAATAAAGACGCCGCGGAGGACCTACGGCAGAACCGCGATGTTTTCAAGCGCAATGTCCGGAACTCGATGGGTGGGGGGAACGTCCGCAGCGTCTCCTTCGATAAGGTATTGCGATAAGTAGGTGGTATACGATAACCTACGAGCAACTCTCTTTCGCGACGTTATAACCACCACCACACTCGTTCTTTGATAGAAGACGAGCTGGGATCTCGCTATGTCAAGGTCCGATAGACAAGAAGATACAATACATCAGCCAACGGTGCGAATTGTCGCCTTCGGGTGGCGATTTGCTAGGACGACGCAATGCATGTGATGCAGTGAAGGCACTGTGACTGCTTGGCCAACTTAGTAGTCATGGCGGTGCTGGATGGGAATAAATGGAATGGAATGGAAATGGAATACGGGATGGACTGGGGATTGACTCGCCACTACACACCCAATTATTAAGGCTTACTATCTGATGAATTATTTTTAGCGACTGGATAGATTCCCTCATGAATATGACTATTGCGATTTTTTCTGCTAGGAGCGAACCCTCAGTTTCCTGCTCTTGTATATGGCAAAGGCTACGGGCAAGGTGGTGCTATGCTCTCTCTGCTGCATGCCACTAATGTTGCTTTTGAGTATGGGGTTAGTGGTATAAATGATCTAGTCCTCTGGCGAATACCGACCCCCGTGCAGGCATATCATGACGCGGGTTGGTGCTGCACGCTTTTCGACAAGGCATCTACATCTACGCACTCGAGCATCGGAGATCGAATAGTATACAACACCACGGTTGATAGTACAAGTGTATATATACAACTAACGCGCGGGCACAGAGAACAAAGGAAAATAGTCGATAGTAGATAGTCTAACATAGCTTTGCTTTCTTATTTCGTTCCGTCACACCACATCAAAATCTCCACCAGACAGCCGACACAGACTTGAACAATAATCCACAGGGTATAATGAGTAAACGAAGTAAAGGACGAATGGAGCCCGGGTATATGTCCTTGGGCATTTCTCGCTAACTCGCAGGATGTAGATGTGATGTTCATTCAAATGAAAGCGCGCGGGCATCTACATCGTTGGGGATTGGTCGACTGGCTAATGGAGGAAATTGACAATTTTGAATGAGGCGTCTAGACCTGGCCGGCAGCGCGCTGCTCCTCGAGGCGAGCGTAGTAGTTGTCACGGGCGCGGACGCGGGGGAGGTGGTAGCCTGGTTGAGAGATGGCATGTTAGAAACGAATTGACGACAGCATAGCCCATTTGGGTGAAATGAGGAGTGGTTTGATCTCAACTTACCGTACCACCAGAGGTAGCCGAAAGTGGTACCGAAGCCTATAACCATAGAGCAATTAGTCACTGTCTTGGTAGTGGTGATAGCGGAAGTCGCGGTTGCTAATGATACGGCAGCCACCGAGACTTGAACGGTGTATTGACACCCCCAAACTCGGAAGTCGTGATCTGAACCTCCAATGCGAGATTTCCCCTTCTAGCTTGTGCTGGGTTTCGAGGGTGGGCCGATGCTATCGGGTACGGGCTTACCGAAGGCGGTGCTCAGGTCAAGGACCAGGCCACGGCGGAGAATCTATACGACAGGTACGTTAGCCGGTCAAGCATTTCCTTGCAATGGCGGAAAGGCCCCAAGGTGCCAGTCGAAAGTGGTGGGGATGAGTAACGTACGCCAGTGATGGGAGCGACGGCAGCCATTGCGAAATATTTATCGTAGGGATTGACGAGAAGAGTCTATCCTGAGAGTATGCTGCAGCAAACGGAACTGCCTTGCGTTGTGGTGGTGAGGTGAGAGAGGGGAGAGAAGAAGGGAATGAGTGGTGATGTTGGATGTTAAGCCGAAGTGAAGCTTTCCGATCCGGCACGGTACAGTAAGCGACCGCTTTGAGTGGCCTGATTCTGTTGCAGGACAGTGCAAGACCACACAACTTGCCTATGGTTAAAAAGCGACTCCAGGTAATTCTTTACTTAAAATTCACTAGTAAGCTCATAAATAGACATCCTCCAGTGCTTTTAAAGAGTCACCTTTGACCCGAAATCCTGATACTTTAAGGTAGCAATAGTTTATGCCTGAGGCCAAAATAACGTCACGTGGAGCTGCACGGGATCTGCTGCTTGGCTTCATCACCGCGCTCAACCGTGAACAACTCACTCATTCACCCTGCCCTCAACTACACTCTGCAATGGCGCCACCAGAGCCGGCCGTTAAACGGTCATTCTCGACCCTTTCTGAACAGCCGGCCGAGCCTGATGCGAAACGAATCAAGCGCCCCTACCATCACCACCATCGTTTACGTGATCCTGTTGACTTGAGCCTACCGGAGCCTGCTATCGCCGATGACGCCTACGTCGACGGGGTTATGAATCGCATTATTGGGCAGTCCTTACAGAACTCTGGCTTTGAGATCGCGGATCCTCTCGCGGTTGAGAGTTTCCGCGATGCGGCAGAGGAGTGTATGTTATGCACTGATTACAAGGTATCGTTATAGAAGCAATTGTTGACGGAGTTGTGTTAGATCTTTTCCGACTTGTATCATACGTGCGCACATCGATGCTCTCGAGCCGACGCCTCCAACCAATTCCCCACGATTTTGAATATGCTTTGAAGCGTCACTCGCTGCCTGTCGATTCGCTTTTCCCACACCTAGAACCTCCCCCAAAGACTGAACCGATCCCTACACAGCTACCGAGCCCTCCGCCTGAGGAAGAGGATGATTTCAAGATCTTGCCTTCTCTCGAACCAGAGTTAAGTGGAGAAGATGATCGCGCCAGAAGTCCATATATTCCGAAGCATTTCCCCGAGTTCCCGAGCAAGCATACCTATCGCCACACACCAGTTTTCACCGAGCGAGAACGAGATCCGCGCAAAATCCGTGAGCGCGCGGCGGATGATGGGCGGCATGGCGAGGAGGCTTTGCGTAAGCTAGCTCGAGCGGCATTCAAAGACAACCAGCCAGGCTCTGGGGCCCGTGATAAGAAGCAATGGGGTAGAAAGCTAGAGAGCTTCGAGGGCATGTTTGAGAAGACAGTCAAGAGTCTATCCAAAAAGGCGCCGAATAATGCAGCTGCGGGCAGCTTTAATGCGACGGAGGTCGAGTCTGCTGCGGAGACTGAAGCAAAGCCAGGTAGGACCAAGGGCTTAGCCGGCATAGAACTGCCACCGATTATAAACTGTGAAAGGGGTCTCTGGCGGCGAAACGCGACGTCATCAAGGCAAAGGCCGGAGGAGAAGTCGGCCAACGCGAAGCAGAATCCAGATCTATCACGAGTTGAGAGCTGGGTAAGCGTGTGAGAACCCGACAATCGGGTTTGGCATGAGCATCATAGCGGCGTCCGGCGTTTGGCAACATTTATGTTTAGCATTATTCGATAAGATACCCATGTGTAGTATAATTGAGATTGTCTTGAAAATCGCTATCGTGTCGTATCCGTAGAAGCAAGCAAACTCCAACCCAAACTCCGTATATGCAAAATGCTGCCCGTTCTCGCCGATTTTCAGACCTTCGATCTATCCTAGGCCTCGCCTTTTCGCTTTGCATCTTCTTCCGCTTGCCGAATAGGTTCCCATGAAGTTGTCTCGACAGTTAATCCTCCTGCGCATCTAAAGGAAAAGTCAGCCCGTTCGCGATCTTCCAACGTGCAACAAGAGCTCGACAACCTACCGCCTGAACAGTCGTACCACCGGTTTGCAGACCACAACCCCCGGTTTGGGGACCCCGTCTTGAGGAGGGTTGCATGAATATTGTACCATTTCCAAAAGCTTGCATTTTTCGAGCTCCACCGCACCGCCCTTGCGGCGCTTTTCCTGGAAGTTCTTGGTCACAATGTTCACATGTTCCGGAAGCTTTTCGGCAGAGAAGACGGGGACGAGGGGAGCCATTGGTGGTGAATGGCAACTTTGCGAGAAGGTGGGGATTTTTCGTAGGGTAGGTTTTAAAACTGTATTTATGTACAAGAGGGGTGTGGGCGGTGGTTTGTTGTGTAGAGAAGTATGGAAGGTCGACGGGGTGAGAGCGGAACAAATGGTCGGAGTTACCGCGACTAAGAAAAGCCGCCGGTATTGATCCATCGTCCCATCCATCTCCCACTTCAATGTCCCAATGCTCAGGCTTCCCACCTCCTTGGTTGTCATGGCTTAGACCATTGCCACTGATTTACGGATGATTTGCCTTTGAAATAATATGTAATTAATGATACTCATTTACAAGGCTTACAAATGGCCGCCAGTTTTGGGGAGAATCTACTACTCGAAGTACATGAAGAGGGCCTAGCCGAGGTATTTTGATCTTCGCCTTTTATATGTGATGTAAGATTTTACTGACTCTCGCTTTAGTTGCTGCATGACTTGAGGGTACTGCATCGTGAGAGCTCACAAAGCACCAGAGCCCGTTTCGGTATTGTACCCATCGATGAGCTTCTGGGAATCTTCTGGCCACCCCCCCAGCCTCTACATAGCTTGTCTAATGTAGGGGAGAACAATGCTGGTGATCAGGTACATTTCACCTCAATCCCAGCAGATCATGGACCGGCTCATGTCGAAGTGCCAGTCCAGCCGGTGTTTCATAGTCGGCCGTATCCTGTCTTGGAGATCTCCAGCATCTCATCGGCGGCTGGAAAATCTCAAGTACTATACCACTTAATTGCGATGGCAGTGCTGCCTTCCAGATTCAATGGAGCCTCAATTGATGGCTTCGATTCCGCCGTTGTATTTATTGACAATGATGGCCGTTTTGATGCCGAGCGTCTACGTACCGTTGCCCGCGGAATCATCCAAAGCAAACTCCAGACGAGAGTAGAAATTTTCTCGTCAGATGTCTCGCTATACGACTCCATTGAGGTCCTGATTTTCGAGTCTCTACGGCACGTCCATGTTTTCCGGCCACAGTCGTCCTTGGCACTGCTCGCTACGCTGCAGTCGTTAGATGCATATCTTCTCGAGCTCCACAGACATCCATCAACCCACCGAGCTCTCAATGCTATATTTATTGACAGCGCAACTGCCTTCTTCTGGCAAGATAAGCTACAAGAAGAAATTGCCAGAACTGAGGATATTGGCCGACCCGCAGCTGAAATTGAACGCGAACGCCTTCAGAAAGAAAGCTTCCACATCGCAGATATATACGCTGATTTGGTGACAAGCTTGAAGAGGCTGCAAGATACTTTCGATTGCTCTGTCATATATACCACTACTTCCTCTTCCGGGAAACCAACGGAGAATTCATCTGTACCGTGGGGTTCGTATAACCCATTGGACACTGTACTGAAAACCCCATCTTTTCGTTCTCCCTTACCGCCCCCATGGGGGTTATTTCCTACGTTGCGACTTGTACTACAACGGGAAGTTGTTCGCCCGCTTCCGCCTAATGTAACTGTCCACGAGGCTCAAAAGGATGCGCCCATGTGCCGAGAGGTAGTGATGAGGGGAGAGTTCTTGGGGTCAGTGAATGGATGGGGACGAGAGGATTGGCCACGAAGGATACTGGAGGAGCTCAAGAAGCGAGGAGGCGGAGAGTTCACTTTCAATGTTGGGCGGGAGGGTATTACATTTAGTTGACCACACTGGCTATGTTCCGCGACCTTTTAACTGCATTCGCTATCTAAAAGTAGTAAACTACTATAGTCTAGCCTTTCGGCGAGGTTATATCATTCGCTTTGCATGCCGTCCTAGTCCTCCGATTTACTTCTAAGTCCAAACCAAGCAAGCTGATATCTAATAGCGGGTCTATGAGCTGAACAGTTTCCCAATAGCCTCTACAGTTGTATTCCCTCCACTGAAGACAATCCCAATATCCCAACCCTCCGGTGCCTCCTTCTCAACAAGACGTCGAAACTCCTCGTTGTACAAACAGACAGCTAGGCCTACAACAGCACTCGGCTCAACAACCACCTTCATCCGCTCCAGAACAAGCCTCATGGCCGCCTTGATCTGCTCCTCAGAGACAGAAAATGCGCCCACCACTTTCTTTTTATCCGAAATGATCTCCCAATTGAGCACACCCACCGGCGTCCTTAGCCCATCCGCAATCGTCAGCGTCTTCACGATCTCAACCCTCTGGCCGGTATCAAGTCCACGTCGACAATCATCCGCACCCTCGAAATTCGGCTCCGCACCAAATACCTTCGTCTCTTTATCCGAGAAAAACGTCGCAACTCCCGAATTCAACCCTCCGCCTCCAATCGGTGTAATCACCGCATCTAGTCCTGCACCTCCAGCCTTATTATGCACACTCAATTTAGGCTCCTCCTTCACGGCATCAAGATACTGCGCGTGCATCTCTAATGCAGTAGTTCCCTGGCCGCATATAATATTGAAGTCATCATAAGGTGGGACAAGAATCGCCCCAGTCCGCGCCTGGACTTCCGCAACGACAGCTTCCCGCTCCACGCTCGTCGACCCGCTAAATATCACTTCTGCGCCGTATGATTGTGTGCCTGCAATCTTCGACGGTGTGCTAATTCGCGGCATGACAATGTACGCGGGTACACCAAGGGTCGAAGCAGCGAGGGCGAGGGCTTGCGCGTGGTTTCCTTTCCCCCAAAAATCAATTAGTTCATATTCAAAACCGTACTTAACCAGATCCACCGGCGTCTGGGTAATGTTTACGATGCGGAAGAGAACGAACCTGAACTATGCGTGGTAACACCCTTCTTCTTAACCTCTTCCTCGCCGACGCGTTCAATTAGCCTCAGCAACGCATGGAACGCACCCCGGGCCTTGAAGGCGCCGATGCGCTGATAGTTCTCGCATTTGAAGAAGAAGTTTATTTTCGGCTGCGCTGGCGACGAGCCTTCGAAGGGGGTGCCGACAAGTGCATCTGGGGTTTGCGGGGTTGAGGCGATGGTGTTCAGGGTTCGGTTCGTAAGGAGCGGGGTGCGGTGGACGTAGGGTGTTATCAAATTGTAGGCTTCTTGGATGGAGGTCGGAGTTGGAGTTGTGAGTGACATTTTGAGGACTTAAATTAGGATGAGACGATGGTGAGTTGTCTTGTAAGGATGAGGAACATGAGGGTGGGGTGGAAGCGGATTGCGGAGTTGTTGTAGTTGAGTAACAAAAATTCGGAGTCATTATTGAATTGTCTCCACAGGTTGAAAAATCGGGAAAGTATGAGTCAATTGAGAGAAAATCTACGATATTCGAGGATAGCAGTCTTAAGCCAATGCTTGTATTGGTATTATTGTATGAACAGAAAATATCAAGTCATGGTACATTCGTAACTTTTCCCAACCCAGGTTTGTACATCGCATTAATTTATTTCTGGTTCTCGGGACGGAGAGAGCGGACGGCCTTTCCGGCGCGCCAGATCTCGAGGTCGCGGATCTCCTGCATCTCCTTCTCGTACTTCTCACGGTAGTCCTTCTGGGAGTTGTAGTCGAGAGAGCGCTGGGTCTCGGTGCCGTCACGGACGCTGTCGTAGAGCTCGTTGAACAGAGGCTTAAGGTTGTCCTTGAAGCGGCTGGACCAGTCAATGGCACCGCGGCGGGCGGTGGTAGAGCAAGCGGCATACATCCAGTCCATACCGTTGCCACCAATCAAGGGGTACAGGGACTGGGTGGCCTCCTCAACAGTCTCGTTGAAAGCCTCAGAGGGGCTGTGGCCACGCTCGCGGAGAACCTCGTACTGAGCAAGGAACATACCGTGGATACCACCCATAAGGCAGCCACGCTCACCGTAGAGGTCGGAGTAGACCTCCTTCTCGAAGGTGGTCTCGTACAGGTAGCCGGAACCGACGGCGACACCCATGGCAATGGCACGCTCCTTGGCGTTGCCAGTGACGTCCTGGAAGACGGCGATGGAAGAGTTGATACCACGGCCCTCACGGAAGAGAGTGCGGACGGTACGGCCGGAACCCTTTGGCGCAACGAGGATAACGTCAACATCCTTGGGGACATCGACCTTGGTCTTGTCCTTGAAAACGGGGGAGAAACCGTGAGAGAAGTAGAGAGTCTTGCCCTTGGTGATGAGGGGCTTAAGAGCGGGCCATGTCTCACTCTGAGCGGCATCGGAGAGAAGGTTCATGATGATGGAACCCTTCTGGACAGCCTCGGTAACGTCGAAAAGGTTCTTGCCGGGGATCCAGCCATCCTGGATGGCCTCCTTCCAGGAAGCACCATCCTTACGGACACCAACAATGACATTGAGACCCTGGTCACGGAGGTTCAGACCCTGGCCGTGGCCTTGAGAACCGTAACCGATGAGGGCAAGGGTGTCGTTCTTGAAGTATTCTTGGAGCTTCTCACGGGGCCAGTCGGAGCGCTCGTAGACGGTCTCTTGGGAGTCGGCGAAGGTGATGTTCTTGACACCACGAACGGGGACAATGGGGGTCGACACACGGGGAACGGCATTGGCAGCAACCTTTGCCAGAGAAGGCCGGGGGAGGGCGGCGGAGACGACAGATCGTGGGGCGGCAACGCGAGCCACACGGAGGGCACGGGGAAGACCACGGGAAGCCATTGTGTGAGGATTGAGGGTGAGGAGGGGAGATTGGAGGGATTGAAAGGGATTGAAAATGCAGGAGGATGATAGGAGAGAAAAAAGAGTCACCACCGGACGGGGACGCAGAAGCTTATAAAGTCGTTGCTGGGGGAGTCCAGTTACTGGGGCTACACGTGATTCGGAGTTGTCTTCACCCTCCCCGGTGAATGGAGCCCGATGTCGGTCCGCCTTTTCTGGATCTCGGAGTCAACGTCTAGTTCCGCTGATGGAGCCTGCAAGACTCGGTGATGAACTCAATCGCTTGGGGCAGAGTAGGAATGCCCTGGCTTCACCCCGGCCACTTTCACCCCGGCCTCTCTATGGCCTGGAATCTGGAGTCGAACTCAAAACTCTCGACGACTATCCCCCGATACTGCAACTTGACAATTGTCGGCCCCACTTCTGTCTGAGGTGTCTATTATTGCCTCAGGTCTCTCTAAACAAAGTACTCCGTACAGCTCGGTCTGCATTTCGCGACTCCAAAGTCCAAAGTACCTTTAAAGTACGTTTCAAAGTGCGGCGCACTTTGACTTACGTACCGCATGGTCTCCAATCCACTTTATCCTTGAAAGCCGTCTGCGGCTTTTTCCTGATCCCTCGCGCAACTTTTTTCCGGGTCCTTTTCTTTTGGAGGTTCAGGTTTATTGAAAAGCTGACCGTTATCTCTCTCCTCTCAAACTCTTCTCTCTTTTGCACCCCTCCTCTTGGCCATGTACAGCTAATATGGATTTCTTTTCCGCCTTCGGTGATCTGCCGCAAATCCAGACCCGAAAAGCACTTCTCCTGCTCGACTTTCAGAACGACTTCGTCCGTTCAAATGGCGGCCTCTGTGTCCCGAATACGACGGAGATCGTCGAGATCCTTCCATCGCTTGCGAATGCCTTCCGTCGCACGGGCGATGTCATCTGGGTTCGCTCGTATTATGAGTCACAACAACCGCTGCTCAGCGCTGATGGCCAGGAATTGGTCATTATAAACCGGGCCGAAGCCGCGATCAAGAAACAGTCAACAGATCCTGAGCTGAGAGGTCCTGTGCATGAGGAGGCCTTTCTTTCGACCGAGACCCCGCGCTGCTGTCTTCCTCAATCTACTGGAGCTCAATTCCCCGCCCCACTACTCGCCGCTATTGAGGCCGACTCAGATATCTTGATAGATAAATCAGATTATTCAGCCTTGTCATCTCCTGGTCTGGTTCTTTCGTTACGCACACGCTTCATAACAGAGCTCTACCTCTGCGGATCTCTCTCCAACGCCTCGGTTTACGCTACCGCGCTTGACGCTGTCCGCCACGGCTTCACGCTTTACTTAGTCGAGGACTGTTTAGGCTACCGGAACTTCTCCAGACACGAGGCATCCATGCGATATATGGCCGACATCCTAGGGGCTAACGGAATCACCTCCCAAGAACTCCTAGACGAGCTTGACCGCGACGAGACCGATCAGATCGCACGCAGCGAACCACGGCTGGCAAGGCCTCTGCCCCCATCCGGAATTGAAGGGGATCTGGAGGAGCTTGGTGTAAAACTCAGCAGAACCTCAGACATCGAACCACAAAGTCCGGAGCCTCCTTTGAGACGCCATCGGCTCGACGATCTAATAGCCGAAATGTCTGATGACGAACATGGCCACCTCAAGGAGCTTGCTGAATTGACTCGTGGACGGAATCGCTCTTATTACGCCGAACGAGGTGAACAGTCCCACATATCCGAATCGAGAGACAAGCCAACACGAGCAAAGGTACGCCGCAAGCGACCTGACCAGAATGAGTCCGGCTCGTCACGAACGCAAACTCGCCGAGTCAGGAAGTTGAAGCCTTCTCTAAATGTCTGTCGTCCAGGCGATGTCATTGGGGAAGGCGATTCCCGAATCGTCTATGATGTTGATATGCCCGATAATTCATTTGAGCGTATTCGCGAAGAGGTGGCTTGGCAGAGGATGTACCACATGTCTGGGCAGGTACCCCGTCTCGTTGCCGTTCAAGGGAAAACTTCACCCGATGGTTCGATACCAATCTACCGACACCCTGCGGACGAGTCTCCTCCATTTGAGCCTTTTACCTCGACTGTGGATCAGATTCGCCTTATAGTGGAACGTATTCTCGGACACCCCTTGAATCATGTGCTTATCCAACTCTACCGTGATGGTCAGGACCGGATTTCCGAGCATTCAGATAAGACCCTCGACATCGTCCGTGGCTCGTCAATTTGCAATGTCAGTCTCGGTGCAGAGCGAGTCATGGTTCTCCGCCAAAAAGGTTCAGAAAACGAAGAAGGCTCAGGTAGGATCAGTCAGCGTGTGCCCATGCCTCACGAGTCGCTTTTTGTATTGGGTGAAAAGACGAACTCTCGCTGGCTTCATGGCATTAAACCTGATAAACGCCAGGAGTCGGAGAAATCAGTTGAGGAGCGCTCCCATGGAGGGCAGAGGATCTCACTCACTTTTCGACATATTGGCACCTTCCTAGACCCTAATGGCGATGCAATTTGGGGCCAGGGTGCCGTGTCCAAGGTCGAAAGTGAAGCGCACCCCGTAATACACGGTGATGCGCAAGAAACCGAACGACTGGTACGCGCTTTTGGGGAAGAGAATAGGTCTCTCGACTTTGACTGGGATGCCGTTTATGGCAAAGGCTTTGATGTTGTCAACTTTGTCACGCCAACTACAACAAAGCTGGTACTAAGCCAAGATGAGACAGCTAATCTGCGGGTTCAGATTGCTTTGAGTGAGAATGGCATCAGATACAACACAGCATCACCTCCTGCCTTGCAATCGGGCGATGAGACAGAGCTACCAATGTACATTGATTGCGATGGCACAAACATTTCCGGTGATACCGCGATATTGCGTTACCTGGTCCAGCGCTCCCCGGGCTCAGACCGGCCAGGTGTGGAGGTTTTGTGCGGTGGCAAGAATTTATCCGACATCGATAGCCTACTTGTGGAATGGCGCGAATGCCGTGAAAGGGACAAAGAGACCAAGCTTGATGCACTGGCTCCATGGGAAGAAGCTCTAGCCGGCCAGTCTTATCTCGGTGGGAGCACCCTAGCAATCGATGACTGTGCTCTCTGGCCAGTCTTAAGAGACATTGTCCAAACCCGAGGGCCGATTTCAGATAAGACTTATCCCAAACTGTCCCAGTACTACGACCGAGTCGGGAAGCGTGGCAATGTCAGAACAGTACTCGAGGAGCTAGAATGATTGCCCCATTCAACATTTAGCTCAAGTGGAGCCCGCAGCTACGATGAAACGAGATTTACGATTCCCAGTTCCCACTATATAATTAATAAGAATCAACATCATTGACGACATTGCCTGGTCTTGCCGTATATCTTTATTTCTCTTATATTTCTTTGCTTTGCTTCTCGTGATTTAATCATACAGCGATACATACATTTTGCGCACATTTATTGTATTGCTTCTCGTTTATATGTTGATTTCATACATAGCCGCGATACCCATCAATCGACTACAAGCATTCACCAGCGAAATCGGTTGTTGACAAAACATCGTTCAGAGCGACATCGCTGCATGTAACAGCCTTCAGGAAAGCGTCGGCAACGACATCAGAGCCCGCATCATTGGTGTGGGTGTGGTCGTTAGGGTAGTACGAGTTAACTGTGTCCGCACCCAGCGACTCGAAAATAGCGGCGGTATAAGCCCCGTGGTCCACATATTCAACACCTGCTGTCTCAGCCGCCAACTGGGCGTACTCAACAAAGCGACTCGCGCTATAGGAAAACTCGCCAGATTCCCAGGGGTTGTTTGGGGTCTGACTGGAGATCAGGACCTTAGCACCCTTGTCGAGGAACAGCTGCGCGGCGTTCTCCAGGTATTTGGGGAATGTGAGGACGGTTTCGGCGACGCCATCGTATGTGGTCTCACATGTCTCGTCGCCGGAACCTGGACAGTCTGTGCGGCCGTTGTCTTCAGAAAGGGAACCGCCGTCGTTATGTCCAAACTCGATGACGACGTAGTCGCCTTCTTGGAGGGAGTCGGCGATCGCCTGGAAGCGGCCCTCTCTGGTGTAGGAGCGTGCGCTGCGGCCACCGATTGCCTGGTTTGAGATCTCGACGGAGAGGCTGTCCGCGATGTAGTCGCCCCATCCTTGGATGTTTAGTTAGCCTGACACTCCCTCGGGATATTAAAAGGAGTACATACCGGGAGTGCTCGACGCCATGGTGGAGTCACCAGCCAGGTAGACCGTCTGTGCCAGCGCACATGGGAGAAGAGAAAGAGTAGAAAGAGCAACGGACTTCATGTTGAAGGTGTCTGATAGCTTTCGTGATTTGAAACCTCAGTTTTATCTGGTGAACGGAGATGCACATTCGATTCGAATGCGACGCATGGCTCTTTATATACCCCAGCTGACCTCACAGGTCCGTATCTGGGTTACTGGGCACTTTCTTTGGTGCGGAAGACGTCGTATACGTGGAACATGTTGTCAGTCTCGGCGTTTTACCCCCCGACAAAGGGTATATCTGTCAACCATTCTCCCGGTCCCCACATAAACTCCGAAAGAGGCTGACGAAACTCGGCCCAGCGGGAGTTCGTTTCATGAAATCCGTCACCGACTCGCTTTGAGCGTTGTGGCTTCGGGTCACATTAGTACTAGGGTTTCGTATAGACCTGGTGGATCAAATCAACACACTGTTAGTGTTTGCGAGGCGGCTATCATTCACCAACCCAAATATACCCCAGGAGGTGGGAGCGAGATTCGAGGGAGGCCGGAGCTCCCACACAGGCTATGATTCAAGTAAAAGCATGAATCGTGCAGAATGTGCCAACTACCAATGCCCCGCGTCAAAAGCGACGATGATCATCCGACTCGGGTGAAACCACCAGGGGTTGTCTTTCTCCACCTATCAAAGGCTCCTTCCGAGATTGAATATGTCCCTGTGCGTCGTGGAAGCCCCTTGACAAACCGGCTGAATTTCTTAATCTGGGGAATCCTGCAAAGTCTAAGGTGGGTAAGCATGCTGGGCCGATTCGGGTCAAGGGAGCGGTTTCTTGTCACTTTCTTGTCTGATCTGTCGTTGTTGCTTATACGCTTAGTTTTAACTTTATGGCCTTGTGCTCCAGGCCCCAGGAGAGCTTAGATTAGATTTTGGCAACCTGGAATCTACCTGATAATGTGAGACCTTCAATCCAAGGCATTTTGACTCGGGAAAAGACCAGTCTACATATTGGTTAGTTTGGCTCAGCACACCTGAGAAAAGTACGTATAAATTACAAGTTTGGTTTATTATGCATTCAATTTAGTAGATTTTCATCTACCGGGCAAGATGGCCGAGCGGTTAAGGCGTTAGATTAGAAATCTAATCCCTTCGGGGTCCAGAGTTCGAATCTCTGTCTTGTCGATTCTTTTTTGCTTCTTATGCTCTTGCATTGTTTTAACTCCTTTTTAAGGTTTGATTTTAATTTAGTTTCATTTTCGGATATCCAATAGTGTATAATAGTGGTGGTAGCAAATCTACAGCTTCTCGAAGGTTGGCTTTCGCTTCTGTATACCAGATAGTAACGCCGCCTGGACGTCGCCCGTCTGCAGAGCAGCACTGTTCCAGACTTGGGTATATCGGAGACCTAGATAATGCAGCCTGTCAGCCTCGCGTCCAACACAGTGATTCATGCTAGCACAAACTGCAAACATCTCAAGAGAGAAAAAGATACTCACCATCCTGGACCGTATGATCCCGCGACCAATTTAACAACTCCTTGGTCCCCTGCACCGCAATGGGACTCTTACTCGCCATAAGACCCGCATGCTCAATCGCAGCACGCACAGCACCCGCCTTCTCATCAAACACTTGGCTCACAAACCCGACGCGCAGCGCCTCCTCGGGTCCAAACAGCCTCGCCGTCAGACAAACATCCTTTACCCAGCCAAAGTTCCCAACAACCTTCGGCAGGCGGCTGAGCGTGCCTACATCCGCCGCAAGACCAATATCTACCTCCTTGACAGCGAACTGAGTGTTCTTAGCGCAGAAGCGCACATCCGCCGCCGTGGAGAGATCAATCGCCAGACCGAGCGAGAAGCCGTGTAGCACGACGATAACGGGTTTCTCGCATTTCTCGAGCGAGGAGACGCACTCTTGGAAGGAGGCGACCTCCCGGCGTAGATGCACGGCTTTGCGGGCGGAGTCGGTGGCTGAGCTATCGGAGAGGAGGCCCTGCGAGGCGGCCTTTACGTCCAGACCTGCTGTGAATGCCTTGTCGCCGGCGCCGGAGAGGACTATTGAGCGGACGGAGGGGTCGATGGAGAGTTGGGCGAAGATGTGGCCGAGTTCGATCCACATGCTACATATAGGTTTGGGCGTCAGTATGGATTTATTTGCATTGCTTTGGGGCGAAGGGGGAAATTCTGATGTTTTAGACGTACGCTTCGAAAAACGCATTTAGCTGGTTCGGCCGGTTGATTTCGACGTGCGCGACATATTCTTGGGGGAATGTGACGTTGAAATGTTTGGGTGAGTAGTTGGAGGCCATGGCGTCAGTATAGTTTATGCAACTATTATATATGTTGTACTCTGTTATTGAGGCTTGATTATAAGATGTTCTGGTGTGCTTTATATATTAAGATAGCGGCCAAGCTGGGCAGCCGAGGTTAAAGATAAGTGGAGAGATGATTAGTTGTAACTTATAGGTGTACCAGTCACCAACGTGACCACGCGTTCAGTAAGAACAAATATGCAATGCAATGTCACTAAGTCATCTTCTGAGTGCATCCAAGCGCAACCAGCCTGGTAAAATACGGGGCAAGCAACCCGGTACGATCGAGCAAAGATGTGGAGGCAGTTTCATGCGGGGAGAAGCTGGATGCCTGAATTCAGATGGAAACTGGCTCTCAAGAGGCGGTTTCACGTGCCTCGGCCCGCAGTCGCGAGTAGCGACCGATCCAATGAATCATAAATATACTATGTGTAGCAGATCAATAGACAGTAGGTGAGCACAACGAATACCTGGCCGTAACACAAGTGCAATACTGTAGAGCAGTTACAAGAAAAGAAAAGGAGAAGAGGGCAAAAAAAGAAATCGACAAGACAGAGATTCGAACTCTGGACCCCGAAGGGATTAGATTTCTAATCTAACGCCTTAACCGCTCGGCCATCTTGCCCGAATTGATGAAATTTTTGAGACCCGTGCGACTATGTTTTAGTAATAAATATAAGGCTTTACAGAGCGTAGCATTCTGTCCCTTTGGGATGTATAGCTCCTACACATAGGGAACAGGTTGCCCTGGTGAAATTGGCTTTTTCCTAGTCTCTAATAATACTAAATAAGTCAAGGATCTAGAAGGATTCCAGCTTTGGTGGGTAAGCGCTGTGCAAAAATAGCCGAGTGGTCAGATATATATTATGGTAGGTTTAGTCTTAGCACTCTTTTGGATCGATGGGTGGTTGGTAAATTATCTCTCCCTTTCTCTATATATGATTAGTCCAAAACCGGAGACTACTAGGTGACGTATGGGTTATCACCAATTCAAATAGAATGATGGTTATGATTTTTGTATGTTTTGCTACCCAGTATTTATACCTTACTTAAAAGGCGAGAAGCAAAGGAAATTGGAAACGAAGACTGATTGCGAAGATTAATTGATTAACTCAAGTAAAGAGTCCACTATAGTACAAGACAAGTATTAAGGATTTAGAAGTACAACAGTCAAAGCCACCAATCATGCTATGCGAGACGAAACAGTTAAAAAAACAAGAGCACTCGTAAACTCATATCGAACGATCCGATCCATATTCATTTTGCCTGTGATTATTTGGTTCGCTGGCGGTCTCGTTCACTGAATGGTGATCTTCTTCGAGCTCGGGGGTGCAGCCTTAGGCACGACAAGAGAGAGGATGCCGTTCTTCAGGCTTGCCTTGACATCGTCCTGGCTAACACGAGTCGGGAAGCTGAAGGTGCGCTGGAATTCGCCGACGGAGCGCTCGCTAACCCAGTAGCGGGGCTTGTTGCTGGATTTGGCGGTGGACACTCGCTTCTCGCCAGAGACCTTGGTGACTTCGGTTCCCTCCTCGGGAGTCGGGGATTCAGTCTCAACCTGGGCCTGCTGGTCAGTGCTGGCGGATTGGTATTCTCGCTCAGCGCGGCCCTTGATGACCAAGGTCTGGGGGTCGGTGAACTCGATGTCGATGTTGTTTTGCGGAATGCCAGGAAGTTCACCGTCTAGGTGGTAGGCGTCATTGCTCTCGCGGATATCGAAGCGAGGAGCAAAGGAGCGCATGGTGTTCTGGCCTCTGGTAGAGCGGTGGGTGTCGTAGTCATCCAAGAGGCGGAAGAGGGGAGAGAAGTCTCCGGCAGTGGGAACAGTTCTGAAGAGAGACATTTTGGTAATTATAGGTGATAAAGTATTTGAGTTGTAGTGGCCTTGAATGGTGGTAGTAGTTTTGTTTTGGCTTTGTGATGGAGTTGTTTGTTTCTGAGTTGATGTCGAGATGGTAGAGGGGTTGAGGACCCTTATGTATCCGTTGGCGGCTTTCGAGAACCCTCGGCGATGATAATCATCGCCAGTCCTCGATACAGCTCGGATATTCTGGATAGAGGTCGAGGTTTCGCGAAATGTCGCGATCATAGATATGAACCATCTGGCATAGTCCCGATAGTTCTCGGTGGTTCGATGGCAGCACGTGACCCGAATGAAGCGCGCCACAACAGACTGGGTGGAAGGGTCGATGAAACAACTGACGCAAGTCACGCAACGTCTACTTGCATGGTTCGTCATGAGACTATTGCATTGGGATTTCGATATTTCGAGCACGGTATTGAGTATCGGTTCCAGACACGGGGTTTTCTGGTTGGGTATCAAACTCTAAGAAACATGCGCCTGCATCAAGACGTCTACCAAAGTAGAAGCAAGACCCCCATTGGGATATCCTAGAAACGCCATGTTGGTTCACATGTAGCTCAATGGTCTGCACCTAAGATGCCTGGCCACCACTTTGGTTGCTGGGGTAGTTATCAACCGTTGGGCGAACCATGAAGAACAGACCCATCCAGCGACGGTCACATGTGAGACCGACACCAAATGATCTGGTTCAATTTAACACCTCACTGCATCTTAATCATTATTGAAATATCCCCCCCAGTATGTATCTAGCAAGCGGGTAGCCCATCCGGCGGTCGGTAAGATGTCGGCGGGAGGCCAAGGGCACATTTTCGAGCAAGAGTTTTGAACCTGAAGTCGTATTTGGTTATTTACTCGGATTCCGACTCCTCTGGTTGCATAACCTTCTCATCGAGTTCCTAGTAATTTGATTACCCATTAGCAAATGCAATCCTTCCAATAACGCGACTGAATTGGACCAGTCCATTCTCACCCTTCCTAGCCGTAACTTCAGGTTTTGTAACTGACTCTCCTTAATAACCAGGTGGCGGTCATCATCTAGGTCCTCGACGATATAGTCGTGTCGCTCTTCGTCACACTTGAGAATAATGGCTTTCACCGACGGGTCGCATTCGATAAGGACCCCTGGTGGGCAGGAGGTTAGACTGGCCATACGAAAACAGATGTGGGTGACTTCATACCTCGCACGGCGCGGGGCATGTTGCTTGTATATTCAGAAGAGGACTTTGGAATATGTTGAGAGACCGGGAGTCTTGCAATCAGCCACTGCTTGGAGGAGATCTTCGGCCTTGTTGAGGAGCGGAAACACGATAACGCTAGGAGTTAAATGTGGAGACAGGTCGCGACCCTGTCACATGATCAAAAAATTTGGGATAGGCGGATAGTGTCAAAAAAATCCACACTTACCATCAATTCGGGCAAGATGGCCGAGCGGTTAAGGCGTTAGATTAGAAATCTAATCCCTTCGGGGTCCAGAGTTCGAATCTCTGTCTTGTCGAGTCTTTTTTGCCTTTTGATACTACACTCGACTTCTTTTTTTCTTTGACTTGGTCATGTACCGGTGGCGGGAAGAAGGTGAATAAATTTTTGACAGTGGTGCCGACCCATTTCAGGAGAGATATATATATAAACCAAGAAATCCAAGCCTCTACATATAGGAGGTATATAACGTAAATCTAACACAATCCAACAAACGCCTAGTCCTCCCTACGCGAATTTTCAACATTCTCGTCAGTAGGCTCCTCAGGCGGTGGTGCCCAGCCTGTTCCAGCTTGAACAAGTGATGCAACAACCATGATCACGAAGCCACCGAAGAGAAGCATTCGGATGGCATGCTCATAACTCTGCGTGGCAACCTCCCTTTCAGCACCCGTCAAAGACCTCACCAGTGCAGGGCTGCCGAGAAGTTTGCGGACAAGCCCCTCTTTTCCAGACAAACCATGTCGAGCAAATCCATCTTCCAAGCCCGCCTTGAGTTCACGCTGGAAAAACCCACCACCCATAGCTGATCCAAAACTGCCGGCGAAGCCACGAGACATACCGACAAGGGCGGTCACAATATAATGTACCTCGGTTTTAGTGAGGTATAGAATGTGGGCAAACGTATAGTTCATAGATGCACCGATGGCGAATCCATTTACAAACATAGCCGTGACATAGATAGCGGTGTGTGAAGTTTGCGTGGATAGCGCGACGAGTAGGAGGTTTGAAAATGCAAAGAGAAGATATACAATGACGTTTGACCTGCGGAGGGAGATAAGTTAATGTACCACGGAAGAATGAACGCCGTAAGCTCACCAGTAGTAGCCCTCCCCGTGGCGAATATGGAGCCAACCAACCAATAGACCTCCGACGCCGAAGCCGGCATTGGTTGGCGTTAAAATAAGCCCTGCTGAGGCTGGAGACCAGCCCCGAACCGCCATTGCATATACGGGTGAGTAGAATAGGACTGACCAGCGGGCAGTCATTGCAGCCAGTGCGGCCAGGCAAGTGAACATGACACTCCTTGCTTTGAGTACCTCGGTGGGGACAATGGGCTCGGTGGTGAACTTGGACTCAATAATCCAAAATACAGCAAATAAGACGAGGGAGAGACCGATGGGCATGATCGGTATCTTTGGGGAAGCAAGACTGAATAGCAAAAGGAAGATAGAGAGTGCCTGGTGGAGTCAGAAAGTCATCAGGAGGCGGACAGATTACAGGGTCTTACCAAGGTCAATGCACCGGCATAATCTACGTTCTTCAGCTTTTGAAGTAGAAAGGCTGCTTTTGTGGCCCCCGGTTCATGTTGTGAACGCGAAGGGATAGCAAAGAACAACGCCGGACCGAGCACTAAAGTGGCAGCAGACTGGACCCAAAAGATGATTCGCTGGATGATAACAGTTAGGCCTGGGTCTCAGTTTGCGAGCGGATGAGTGATGATGCTTACCCATCCAAGTACTGGGACTACCAGACCAGCTAGAACTGCCCCCAAAGAGACCCCAAAGGTCATTCCGAAATTGACTACACCGATGAATATGCCTCTCCGCTTTTTATGTACGAGATCCAGGGTCAGAATAATCCCAGTGACCATTAACCCACCGGCACCGGTGCCGCTAAGAGCCCTACCCAGAAGGAAGACGGGTAGGCTCGGAGCTGCAGCAGTGATTAATAGGCCAATTGCTAGCAGGATGCAGGAAAAGAGAACATAGACGCGAGGTGTGAATATCTGAGCCAGTCGTCCTGCTATAGGCGTTGTACACGACGCGGCGATCTTGAAGAAATGTCAGGAACTCAAGATGACAACATTGTGGAGCTGGCTGTCAGTATACCATAAAAGCCGAATTGAACCAAGTCGTATCGTCAAAGGCATCTAGATCGGCAGCGATCTGAGACTGCGCCGTTGTCATCATCGACATGTTGATGGCTAAGGCGGAGATTTAGCTCATGCTCGCTTGTGGACGAGTAATGCAATTAAATACCCTGGATGAATATCAATGCCCCCATGGTAAGGAGAATTGTCAAGCCTCGTCTGAACGACAACGGCACAGGAGCCGTGGGCGGCTCCGTTGAGTCGGAGTCGTGTCTGATCAGAGGCGTCTGCTCATCGTGAGAGGCCTGCTCGAGGATAGCCTCGGCATCGGATTCACGGCGTGCAGCCATTGTGGTTTCGTTCACGGTTCAAATGATGGAATTACTGGATAAAAGACCCATTTGCGTGATGGGTGTCGATAGCGAGGGATTTGAGAAAGGTTTGAGATAGATCCAGAAGGGAGATGAGGGAGAAGCTGGAATCTTGGCTTGGCTTGTTCCAACTTCCAACTTTCATGTTTTTGCTGACTGTCTGACAACGCATTTCTAAGCAAATTCCCGGCGGATTTATCAGATAACTCCATTTTGACGCAACCAATAATTGCTCAACATCTCATGTTGTCAGTCGCAAGCAGCCATCCCGTTTGGCCAGATCGGCAGCCCGCCCGTGCAGCCATCGCCAACGGTCGCCCAACAACGTCTTTCTTGCATACCTTAGCCAAATAACGTCATGCCACGAAATAACCCGCCTTGACTGTACAACTAAAATGTGCTGGCTTCGGACACCGACTGTGTCATCTTGTGAGAACCGAGTAAACCGTTCTGGTAATTTTGCTGTATGGTTGGAATCTTGCATGAGAAGTCATTTTACCAAAAGCAGTGTATATGGTGTATATGCACGGTATATTTAAGACCAGTGGGTGAAGAGCAGGAAATACGGTGTACGTGCTCCGGTCACGAGAAGTATCGTTTCTTCGATAGAGTGAGGGCCTCAATAATCGCTACTGTTGCTGTATTTTAATGATTAGTACCTAATATTTAATTATAAACGCACTTAGCTACCTCGTATGCTGTTTTATCTAGTAAGATGCATTGAAATCGGCACTAGTAGAATGTTGACATTGACGATCCCGCTGAAGGGGCGGCTCTTCAACTCCTCCATAATGCCAAAATGGCTAGATCGACATCAACCGTTTACAGAGTAGACGAAGTATTCGCCATAGAGTCACACAAGAAAAGCTTGCTTATTACTAGCGTAGCAATAGGAGGGTATTAATTGGCCTTACATAGCTGTGTTTAATCGTGCACTCCTTCCATATTGATCTTGTAGAGAGTTTTCCATATGAAAGACTATTGTACTATCGGAGAAATGATACTTCGTGGCAAGGCAGAGTGTAGTAGAAATAGTGCATCTAATGAGTTGAGCTCATCAACATTGTCATCAAGTTAGCAGGTACATGATACATGGCTATCTTGGCAGGTGATCCATTTCACGATCCATGTGCTTGTTTCGATGGGAAGCTTATCAACAAGATCAAACGTGCCGGGTGGCCACGTTGAAAGGCAGCCCTTGCTTCAAGGCGTGGCCGCGGACACCGAAAAAGTTTAGTCAAATCGTCTATAGCGGACCGTCCGAAATAGTCGAAGTCGTTCATGGCGGATTGTCCGCATACTTGATTCGGCATGCATAGCCTTCCCCCCAGAGCAATAGAGCTCTATACTGGATCTAGCAAGTCCAGCCGAATTCCCCTCAGTCTTTTGTGGGGGTCGGAAGGTTCCGCGATTTCCGAGAGTTCCGACAGTCGCCTCCATGGCCAAATCAGGAAAACGTTACGCCTCAACCAAATACAAAATGCTTGCGCCCCCTTGCTGATGAGTGCGTTCAGATTAATTCTTTATCTGTTGCGCAACCATGGCCCCTCACCCCCTTGCTATACTCTCTGAGGAGGAAATCAACCTCGCTCGCGACATTGTTGTCGCCCAGCACCCCAACACTGTCATCGATTTCCGCGAGATCTATCTTCAAGAGCCCCCCAAAGACCAGCTCCTTGAGTTCCTTTCCATTGAACACGCTGGTCGCCTCAGCCCTACAACGCCCCGACCTCCCCGGTTGGCCCTATGTCAGTACGATGTTATCGGTTCTGACCGGGTGCCGTCATATGAAGAAACCGTAGTAGACGTGGAAGCGGGGAAGAGTGTGAAACACCATGTTGTTGGAAAAGAGCACCACGCTGCCTTGACTGTGTAGGTCGCCGAAGTCTACCAGTTAATCCTGCATCGAAGATCTTGCTAACAAACTTTCAGGAGTGAATTCGATGTGCTTGTGGAGCGCTGCTTCGCCTCGCCACTTTTCCAACAAGCTCTCACCGAGTTCGACCTGCCGGAAGGGTTCGAGGTTATTATCGAGCCCTGGCCATATGGTGGACTCGATCTCGTTGAGCCCAACCGACGGTTCTTCCAAGGTCTATGTTTTGCCCAAGATGCGACGAAGAAGAACCCAGATGCCAATTTCTACTCATACCCTCTCCCTCTCATTCCCGTCATGGACGCCCACACCCAAGAAATTATCAGAGTCGACCGCCCTGCCACGGGTGGTAAGGGAGAGGGATTACGGGACCAGACCTTCAAACGCGACATCATCGGCCACTGCAAGGGATCAGACTACGTCCCCGAGTTGCTCCCCGAGGGCACGAGGAAGGACCTGAAGCCTCTCAATGTAGTCCAGCCTGAGGGCCCCTCATTCCGCATCACGAACGAGTCGCTTGTTGAATGGCAGAAGTGGCGCTTCCGTGTTGCCTTCAACCCCCGTGAAGGTGCGACTATCCACGATGTGTGGTATGACGGCCGCAGCGTCATGCACCGCCTGAGTATCAGTGAAATGGTAAGTTGTCCCGGAGAGAATCTAAGGATCCAGCTAATTTTTGGTTGTGTTAGACTGTTCCATATGCCGACCCCCGTCCACCCTTCCACCGTAAACAGGCGTTTGACTTCGGCGATGGTGGTGGCGGGAACATGGCAAACAATCTTTCCATCGGATGTGACTGTCTTGGAGTCATCAAATACTTTGACGCTGTTATCACCGGACCCGACGGCACTGCCCAGAAGCTTCCGAATGCCATTTGCCTGCACGAGCAGGATGGTGGTATCGGCTGGAAACACTCCAACTGGAGGACGGGCCGTGCTGTGGTCACTCGCAACCGCGAACTCGTTGTACAGTTCATCATCACTCTAGCAAACTACGAGTACGTCTTCGCCTACAAGTTCGACCAGTCAGCCGGCATCACTGTCGAGTCTCGTGCGACCGGTATTCTAAATGTCGTCAACATCGACGCCGGAAAGGTCAGCGAGTACGGAAACGTAGTCAGCGGAGGTGTCCTCGCACAGAACCACCAGCACATTTTCTGCGTGCGCATCGATCCCGCCGTCGACGGAGCGAACAACTCTGTGCAGGTCGAGGAATCGCGCCCTGTCCAGATGAACGAGGCTACCAACCCCAACGGAAACTTCTACAAGGTCAACACTGAGACCCTGGAGAGAGCGTGCTACTTCGATGCCGCGCCGGAATTGAACCGCGTGGTTAAGATGGTTAACCCGCACAAGATCAACCCTATCAGCAAGAAGCCTGTCGGATACAAATTTACCCCGTTGGCTACTCAACGACTGCTGGCGGACCCCAATTCCGTCCAAGCCCAGCGCGCGCAATTCGCACAGCACCATGTCTGGGTGACAAAGCACCGGGATGGCGAGTTATACGCTGGTGGTCGCTACACACTACAAAGTCAGAAGGAAGTTGAGGGTGTATCAGACGCCGTTAAGCGAGGTGATTCCGTCAATGATACTGATGTTGTTGTCTGGAGTACTTTCGGCATTACGCACAATCCCCGCGTGGAGGACTGGCCTGTCATGTAAGAACACTTTCCCTCTTTACTAAACAACTTATATGCTAACAGCAAGGCAGGCCCGTGGAAACCTTCCAACTCATGATTAGACCGGCTGACTTCTTCACAGCCAACCCATCCTTGGACGTGCCCTCGGGCAAGAACTCGGCCTCGAGAGTAGTAGGCTCATCGGAGTGCTGTCGGAATGCGCACATCTAGATAACTCTCGAGGAAGAAGGGAGGTGTATGAATAACGAAATACTAAACTATATGTATGCTAAAATTCCAATATATTAGACCATTTTGTTCATAAACTTTTGCTGTATAACCATTTATGTAAACCTGGTACGAATTCCGCACTTTTTCCCCACCCACCTCGGAACTCAAACTTCTTATCTGCCACTTCCGAGCACCTGGCACTGCACATTCCAATCATGCAGATTCTCACGCTTTATTATTACTTGTAATTTCTTGAGTGGAGCTATATCCCCAGACCACGTTTTCCCCGTGACCCCTTCGCTTGTCTCTCGTCACACAATAATGGAGAGGCGCCCGTCGAAGAGGTCAAGTCCTTCGGAACCGCCTCGGAGCAAGAAACGAGCCAAGTACACCCAGTTGGCCTGGTACATCCCCACCTAGTATTTGTCGTTGGGTAATTATTTATACTGGTGATGAATATCTAACTAATATATATAGTAATGAATGCAAGCGTCGGAAATTAAAATGTGACGGGAAACCCGTCTGCTCGCGGTGTTCCGCCCAGAACGTCCAATGCATCTACACCCCGAGCAGTCACGCCTCGACCAACACCCCTGCAACGCCGCTGGGCGAAGGCCGCGAAGATGGGTAAGTTAATCGGAATCTGACTAGCTTTGCATTATATCGTGCGATTCTTGCAGCACTGAGCTTATGTTTATTGGACGATAGATTCTCGAATAAGTTTAGGACGGTCGACCACCAGATTGAGGCGCTGCACCGCGAGATGCGCGTCATGTCGGCGCGTATGCGTGAGCTGGAGTCTACAACTGCAGGCACGCCGAGTGCCACTAACAATACTTCTATCTCGTCGTCGTCGGTTAGTGCGGGTTTGCAGCGCATCATGAACCGGCCGGGTTCGCCGGATTATATCGGTCCAACGAGTGCGGAGTTTGGGATTACTCAACGGCGGAGGCCAGCTGATGAGAGTGAGGGCGAGGAATTGGAGTCGGAGTCAACGACTGCTCCGAGCCCGGCTGCTGTGTCGGATGTTGAGGCTATGTCGAATGATCCTCTTGGATGTCTGGGAAAGGAGGAGGCACTGAGGCTGGTGACGGTGTACGAGAACAACGTGGGTTTAATGTACCCGTGTATCGACCTTGACAGCGTGCGAAGCTATGTGAATGATTATTTTAAAGATGGGCTGACGCCATCGGTGATGACGGACCAAGACTGGTTCTTTGCGAGAGATGCAGAGGTGCTCAAGATACTGCTGGCGACGGCACTGCTGACGGAGTCTCATGGACGGAGCGAGCGGGCTGCATTGCTGGCGGACAGTGTGGAGGATCGATTTGCGACGCGCCTCAAGATCCCGGAAGTGGATATGAAGGAATTGCTTATACTCACCTTGCTGGTATGTATTCTTTCCTTGTCATATATCATAGGCTAACAGGAAAAGTCTATATTCCATTCCTACCGTGACGACGAGGTGATTGCCTGGCGAATCATCGGCATGGCCGTTCGAGGATCCCTGCAACTGGGACTTCATAGACAAGAAACTTGGCTCCGAACAGGCGGAGTATTCCCTGGCGAGCTCCAATGGACCTTCGCTACCCGGCTATTCTGGTGTATATATGTCCTTGACCGTAAATGGTCTTTTGGAACCGGCCTCCCATTTGCAATCCAGGACTCAGACATGGACACAAACCTCCCCGAGCCAGGCGCTGCAACGCCATACCTAACGTGCATGATAAACTACGCCCGACTCAGTACCAAAATCTGGGGCCTTGTTATGGGGTGGAGGAGTCGGACCAAGGCTGCAACGTCCGACTACTGTTCTTACCTAGACTTCCAAGTCCAGCAATGGATTCAATCCATCCCGCGCGAACTACGCTTCGAACCGGACCCTTCGCCAGGTGTAACACAGTCTGAGAACCCAGACCCAGACCCAGACTCAACAGGTGGCAAGACAATGCTCCAGGTACTCCTAGCGCTGCAAGCAAACCAACTCCGCATCCTCGTTTACCGCCAGAACCTCCTCAGCAGCGAAAGCATCGAGTCCAACATCGCTGGCGCCTCAACAGCGGTCGAAACAGCCAAATCCACAGTTCACATGCTAGATTACTTCTCTCGCGTTTCGGACATCTACTTCCAACGCCCTGAACCATTCAACTACTTCCTCATCTCCGCGCTGGCCGCTCTCTTCCTTGCTGTCCTTCATGCCCCAGCCCGATTCAGCCAGGTCTGCAGACCTGAGTTCTATGCAGCGGTGGATATGGTCCGCCGCTCGTCAACGAGAGCACCTACCTCTCGCAGACTGCAGAAGATCATCCGGAGCTTGAAACTCATTCGCTTGAATCTAGACAGCAGATCACAGTCGCCGAGCAGGAGACAGCAGAAAAAACAACAGACACCGGGCTCTGTTTCTCACATTGGCGGGCCAGCTGGACTTGGACTCACCCATGAGCCAAATCTTCGACCTAGCACCGCCAATATGTCCACGCCCTCCATTCACCCCTCTCCATCTTCTATACCTACGTCCTACCACGGCCGCCATTTAGGCAATCAACCAAGGAACACACACTACAGCCCTGGCCTTCTTACACCGCAGCCCTCAACTTCTCTATGGTCCTCTTCCTCACCACAGACCGCCACCTGGGTCGACGAGAATAGTTGTGAAGATTTGACGAGTTTCTTTGAAATGGCTGGTGGGCTGTACTTTGATCCAAGGGTGGATCCAGGCCTTGGGAATGGAAACGGGAGTGATTTACCTTCGCAGAGCGGGGTCACTGATGCCCTTGGAGCATTCGAGGCTGAGGACGAGGCGTTGACGAGGGTTATGGCTGGTTTACTGTAGGCTGCATTAGTTTGGAACCTAACCATCGTAGTCTACCCTGTACTTTATTGGGCTTTTTAAGTGGCCATGAATGAGAATTCCATTGTGAAAGTTATGTGCAGCGATTGGAATAGCGCTATTACTGAAACTACTATATGCTCGCTTGGTCTGAACCAAACAAGGCCTGGATAACAATTGGCCCAGCTTACTCCCAGGATGGACCATCCAACTCTGTACCTAGAGCAACCGCAACGCCCAAATTCGGGGACCCATCCTCGTTCCAGTTCACTGCCTGGACGGCCGTGTATCGATTCCCATCGCAAGCCCCTTCGGCAATGGCCGTTGCGTGGTAGACATTCCATACCTCCGATCCATCGGGGCTGGTGAAGAATCTACGCTCGGTTAGAAATACTGTGTCAAGAGATAGATATGATATACGCAAGGAAACATACCCATTATGTCCAGTCCCATAGTTCCCATCTGCAGAAACAAAGACAGGACCATCCGACTTTGTCCAAGAAGCACTATCCAAAGGATCGCCAGAGCCGTCATACGCAAGGAGCGCAAGTGAGTAATTCGCTGTCCAGCAGTACGACGCCGAGTACGCTACCCATATATTGCCGTCGTGGTAGAGCGGCGCAGCGCCCTCGTTTACCGGCACTTCGACGGTTTCCCAGTCCTCGACTGGCCGGGAAAGGACATGAGTCTCGCCGATCGTGGAGGGGGTGTCGAGGGTTGCGATGCAGTTACATTGGATGTCTTCTGACATGCAGGACCAGATGAAATAGTTTTGGGAGTCGACTGTTAGCACGGTGCCGTCGATGCCCCATTCTGGGGTTACCTGGCCCAGATAGCTGTATGTGTCCCAAGGGGAAGCACCGCCTGTATGTAATTGTTAGTTGCAGACCATAGAGAAGTGGACACTGGATACATACCCTCGAGGACATGAACACGCTGGTTGTCGAGTGTATCGGAACTACCGGCAGTGTAGTATAGGTACCAGCTTGTACATAGAGTCAGTATTATTTGCATATGAAGCAAGGTTACTGCCCAGACTTACACTCCATCAATAAGGTGGAACTCCGGAGCCCACACACTGCAGCATCGGCTGGCATCGGAATCGCTCCATACAACTTGTACTTCGCCGGTCTTCAGACCTTCTAGGGTTGTGGCCCGGGTGATCTGGACGTCAGTCCAGGTTGTCGTTGTTAGGTAGTAGTACCCATCCACGTACACCATGTATGGGTCGCTACCGTTAGGATCCTTGAGCGGGTTGGAGAATGTAGCGGCATTGGTTGAGCCGAGGAGTAGAAGGGTTGTTAGGAGGAAGCGGAGGACGCTTCGGAGAGAGGACGCCATCCTGGTGATTGATCAGGCTTCGGCTTGTTTGATTACCTGCAGACAGTGCTTAATCTAAAAGGTCAAGGAGTAACAGAGTCCAAAAGCTATCGCACTCTTATACAACCGCATCAAGGCCCCAAGGCTCTCTCATGCGAATGGCACCATCAGGTACCATTGGTGGAAAAGCGAGAGATCGCATCGGTGCGGTTCTCCATCCTGCAGGCTTGACTCCGGTTGGCCAAGATGCTTCATTGCCGCTATTTTCTTCATTCATGCGGAGTAGCGAGTCGCTGCTAGGGTTTCTCCGGGATATGACTCTGTTTAGTAAAGCTCGGTTAAGTGGTGGGAGTATTAACCGACGACAATGATCATCGACCTTGCTCTACCCCCGCATTTCCTCCGCGATCGACGTAGTGGCTGTCGATGCTGCAGAATACCCCTGCACTTCGATGTTATGAGATCATGAAATAAGGGTATTGATATTTTGCTTTTGGTGTTTGGGCGATGATACTTCTATCGCTTCCCGTTCCCGTTTCAGCGAAGTCGTCGTTAGCTACGGTCCGTGTGGAAATAATATAACAATCCTGAAACGTCCAATGCCCAGGATAAACAGGGCGTCCAGCCACAAGGGTTTCGCAGTGAAATACTCTATCAGAGGGCTCAAACAGTGGCGCTACTAGCAGCCTCATCTTCAAACAGCGTCCATTAATCCCGGCGGCAGTCTTGGTGTCAGGCATCGGACTAGGTCCACCGGAGTAGCTCTCGTTGTAGAGCGAGGATCCATTTTCTAATATATCCAAAATTTCACGGTTTGACCAGACAAAAGAGAGAGATGTGTGTCCGTATCTTCCACAAATAGTTGCACCCGTGGGGGACCTGGTAGTCTGTGTATATAACCGACGGTCCTCTGCAGCAGATTTAAGAATCACATGGCGATGACTGCCCCGTCGGAGCAATAAAAATCTTGTCTTGCTTTCATCATGTATCTGCCGATTCTTGCAGCGTCGACGTCCCTCCTTGTGGGCACGGCCTATGCCTATGGCTCCCCTGGGGCATGCTCGGGTGCGTGCAACATCCACGACCCAGCTTTGATCAGGCGCGAGTCAGATGGCACGTATTTCCGTTTCTCAACAGGAAACAAAATCTCATATGCCTCTGCTTCCTCTATCGAGGGTCCCTGGACAGCGATCGGGTCCGTCTTGCCGGATGGTTCGTCGATCGATCTTGAGGGAAACACCGATCTCTGGGTATGTGATCTGCAAGCAATCATACTATATTAAGTGTTCGATAGTGTTCTGACGTTGTCTTCTCCATAGGCCCCGGATGTCCAACTCGTAGACGGCGTTTACTATGCATACTATTCAGTCTCGACGTTTGGCTCGCAGAACTCTGCGATTGGCGTCGCAAGCTCCGACACTATGGACCTTAATACGTGGACCGACCATGGATCGACGGGCGTGCAGTCCGACTCCTCAAAGGCATACAATGCAATTGACGGTAATCTGTTCAACGACGGTGGAAACTTGTTGATGAACTTTGGGTCGTTCTGGAGTGACCTTTATCAAGCACCCATGAACTCCCCCGATGCTGTTGCCGACGCGTCCTACCAAATCGCATACGAGCCGGCCGGCGACCACGCTATGGAAGCTGCATACTTGTTTAAGAACGGCGATTACTACTACCTCTTCTTTTCTGTGGGTAAATGCTGCGGGTATGATACTTCGATGCCAGCTGCTGGAGAAGAGTATAAGATCAAGGCATGCCGCTCGTCGTCAGCCACAGGTGGTTTTGTAAGGCTTTCAACTCTGATATGCAACGTTGTCGACCTAGGCTAACAAAATCAGGTTGATGCAGATGGAGTTGCCTGCACTGAGGGCGGGGGAACGGTTGTCCTGGAAAGCCACGATAATGTTTACGGACCAGGTGGACAGTATGTTCTTCTTTCTCTTTATATGTTGGATGACTAACAAGAACAGGGGCGTCTTCGCCGACCCAACTCTCGGCCCCGTTTTATATTATCATTATGTTGACACCGACATTGGCTATGCTGATGGCCAGAAACTCTTCGGATGGAACGCCATCGATTTCTCGAGTGGTTGGCCCGTCGTCTAGGCCTTAACCTTGAATCGAGTGTGCGTATGAAGGAGGAGATGAGTGTGGTTCCTATTTGTGTTGTGAAGAGATTGTGGGAGAGAAATGCGCTCACTCTGATGCCAATTCGGTATCAATAGCTTGGATTATAGAAACGATATTTTGAGGATAAGCCTGGCAGCTGTAACTCAATTATGGTGTACTGCTTTCCGACATCGGCTTCAATTGGACTGGCGGAATTCATGGGATTGACCAAATGCCGGGATCTATTACCAGCGTATCAACTTGCCATTGGTTTCATTAATTTATCTATATGGAGGGCAGACAAACTTGCTCCAATATAGCCATTCAGGGGCTGAGTTGTCGGGGTTTTCACTCTCAAGCCAAATGATACTTCAACCTGGACTGGCCGACATCTAGTTGATTATCACGGGCTGTCCTAGCTGCAACAAATAGAGTATCCGTTATTGTTAGGCGAAGCTGAAAGCAACGTTGGATGTTGTTGTAGATTCTTGCCCAGCTCTGGTGAGGTTGATTATGACCCGTTGGACTGTTGGACAAGCCCGAAGGTTAATTACCGGGAAAACATGCAAAGCCCAATGATATCCATTTGCGCCGTGTGGTGGGTGTGAGTCTGTAGTTTGTTCAGAGTTGGCATGGCTTGAGGTGATTGACACTGGCTTACTGTGGAGAGTACGCCACAGGGTGGATGCGATGCACTGGTTTACCCACTAGGCTATTCGAGACCCTGGTCCAATTTCAGCCCGGCAGCAACACTTTTTTAGATCTCTCAGCCTCCAGAATTTCACAATCCTTGCTTGTGCCCCTGAAGCCAGCAGCTGGCGGTGCAAGTACCAGACGTATGCATCCCGCTCTCCACATTTGGGGCCGCCCTGACTCAGGTGCCATATGGCTAGAGCCTTACAAGCCGTCGGTGTTCCATCCTGATATTCAAGCAAATCCCGCGATGCGGTCTGGAGAGACATGTTCGATTGAGATTCAATGAAGCTAAGGCCGCTTCAACCCTGCTCCTGCCTCTTCTGTACTGTCCTATCCTGTGATCTCGTCCCTCGAATAACTCGGCTGCTACTCTGTAAATTTGGATCGTCGCATCCTCTCCTGTGCCGGGGAAGGGTAGGTATAATGTTGAACACTTGACCTTTGGTTCGCTCAGTGATCAAGTCATCGATGGTTTTTCATTCGATCGTTCGGGTACAATATTTCCTCTAGATCGTCCAACTGAACCGCCCCAACGAAGCTGCGAGGTTTTGGCACGGCTGAGTTTTGACACTGATGGAATATACGAAGCCAGGGGTAGACAATTTGGATTCCGTAGTGGGAGAGACTAGGGAGCCATTATTAGGCCGTGCATGTCGTTGGGGGCGAGCTGAGAATTTGGGACACAGGGCATCGTGTCGGTTGTTGGCGATTTAACCTAAATTGATCCAGGATGTTGATTAGCGATTATTGCTTGTTCTTTCTCACGAGGAGATTAACATCTGGACGGCCGGAAGGATGGCGACTGGTGAGACGCGTGGAAGAAGACCTGAGCGACAACGGCCGGTGAGAGTAACACCCAAAAAAAACCACCCGTGACTCGCAAGTGATGCAGTCTAGACATGCACTGGACACCGCAGCTACCCTGATGACTACTAGATATTGGACCTTTGCTACATGGAAGCAATAGTGTTGGTTATGATATAATTCATAATTCGAGGAGGTATCGATGATTATAAAGTAAACAAATATATATCCAGGAACACCGTGGCTCCAGACTATCACATATCATCATATCACATGGCATGTCCCGACCTTCGAACATTATTTCGTGCCGGGCAAGTTGTGGCTGCATGAGAAGTGTTAGCCAAGCTCATTTTAGTTTCTCATCGAGCAGGAGAAGTACCCGGTAGCGTCGTGGAACTTGTCCTTGACCGTGTCGGTGATCTTCTTGTTGGGTTCTTTCATCTTCTCGGCATCGTAGTAATCGCCACCATATTTTTGCTCGACTTGGTTGAGACCTGTTACCATGTTAGCTAAACTGTAGGCTTAAAGTCGAATGTCTATTGTAGTACCCTTGTCAAGGTAATCTGTTTGGCCGCCGCCGCCGCCGCTGCCGCCGCCGCTGCCGCCGCCAGTGTTGCCCCCCTTGACTTTGTCTGCAAGGTTGGAGCCGAGCTTTCCGATGTTGTCCATTTTGATGGTAATTTCTCTTGAACAATAAGACTGACAATGCTTTGTTCGATGGGTTCCTGTTCCTGACAAGGAGGCCACTCTTATAGAGCTGTGCTGGGCGGGTTAGTCATCCGCGCCACGCTCTGACCCACAGACTGAGTTCAGCAATGATGTCAACCATCGTCATCGACTCTCCATACGCCTTGATGATTCGCTCGAACACGAATTCGTCTTCGCAGTTTGCCTGGTTCGACCAGGAGAAGGTTCCAAGATCCATCGGATCTGGAAGTCGATCAACTGAAGTTCCAAGGTTGGTGTCGCTCAAAAGCCCGATGTCCTCGTGGGAGTGTTACTGACTCAGGCACAGCCAGTAGTGACTCTCTGGAACCATCAGTGCAGTTCGATAATACTTTGCCGTCTGCACGACCTGTGCCTGATAGGGTTGTTCAGCGCTGACGGTCTGGCGCGACCGCGAAATCGTCGTCTAAATAGTGTTGGCAACACGAGCGCCCGAGCTCGTCAGCGCTAAACAACCCTATCAGAAAATCATGGATAATCTGGGAGAAGCCATCTAGCATCGATCAACACGAGGAAATGTCCAAGGCAAAGAGTGTTGATTGTTGAACAGGGAGAAATCTGGAGAGCGTGAATGGGCTGTGCGGAGCTAGAGTCTGCGACCGTGGTGGCCCGGCGATGTCCCGGAGATGCGGCTGAGGTATGGCTGTGTTGGCGCTTCACAGTGGCTGACAGTTGTTGCTTCACAGATTGCAATAATAATGGCTTACTATTGTTGCATTTCCTCGTTAATTTTTATGAGGATGTGGAACTGCGGACAGTTCACACCTCACAGGGCTCTCAGGTGGAGAATACTCAACAACATAATGGAATCTAGCGGTGACTGCCAACCGACATGTTGATTACTGCGCCCTCTGGATAATCAGACTCTGATGAACAGATCATCCAGGACCGTTTCTCATAGGTGGTTCCTGAGATCCTTCCCATACCGATGAGTCCTTAGGGGACCGCTACTTTAGTCTCAATTTTTAACAGAGGCGGTTTCAGCCCGGTCCATGTGTCAGGCCCGTCCGTCCCTGGACGAGGACCTCGTGCCTCTTATGCTCCCAATTGACTTTCTCTGAGACAAACCTTCGACAAAGGCCTGTTTTCACAGACACCGAATTGGTTGGCGAACGAAGTATATCCTGCTTCACAAGCGTAGTGTCTCTGCAGTCTGCAGGGGCGTGTATAAACCCGTGAAGCGGGTCGAATCAGCCCCCAAACTCCCCTGGCGCTAGTCTCAACACCCAGAATTTTAGGGTGACGACCAGGGGCCATTTCTGGGCATCCATGGGGGATCTTGAAGGATAGCGCGGGTCTTTGCTGGTGATTTGCACAGCAATTTCCTTAGCTGGACTTGGAGACACCACTGCCACTCCAGAGAGGGTCCCATTGAACCCCACAGGCTGATTTGTTCCGGTCTGCTCAGCCTGGAAATGAATCTCTGAAAAGACCTCACCTTTTCCCTATATAAAGAGCCCCAGTTCACCCCGTCCACTTATCCAATTCAACTCAGTCTCTCAACATCTCTGTGTATCTATCCTCTCTCAGTTTTCTTCGCCAACCAACCCAACTACCATCAAAATGCGTTTCCTGATCCCTCTCGCCCTCCTCGCCACGTCTGCGATGGCCGCCGACAAGACTGCTGAAGACTACCTTGGCGATGTTATTCCCCAATGTGTGCTAAGCTGCTGGACGGATTACGCCAAAACTATTACTGGATGTGACTCTCTCACTGATAACGACTGTGTTTGCCAAAGCATCGACCAAGTGATGACATCCACCGACGAAGATGCCACGAACACTCTCACGTCGTGCATGAAGGAGCAGGGTACTAGGTGTGGCAAGGAAGACGCGGAAAAACTCAAGAACTTTGAGGACCCTAGCAAGCTTACTGACGCCGTATCCGAATTTCAATCCTCTTGCCCTGACACTGGTATGTTGTCCCCCGTCTCCTGTTGAGAAAGAATGAGCTAACTGACGAAACTCAAGGTGCCGCTTCTGCCATGTCTCCTTCCAACATCCTCATGGGTGTCGGTGCCGGTGCTATGATGATTGTCGCCGCCGTCTAGGTTGAAACATGATTTCAACAATGTTGTTGGGGTTGCTATATATTGCAAGATCATTTTTGAGCTTTTTGATACCTGATTCGTATTTTGCTATGGCTTTTCCAAGGCACGGTACATACTGCATACTGCATATAATCTCCTAATTTTTTTCTTCTTCAAATAGACTGTATTTAGATTTGAGAAACAAAATCCATTTCTTTGCATGTCACTAAGACAAGTGAAATAAAATCTGGGGTTGTTCGCGATCTTCCTTTTCAGAACTGAAATGGCGCAATTCCGCCTGATCTCCCACAGTCACCCAAGCTCCTCGTACTTCACCCTCTGCTTCCCCCCCCCACCAGTGATCAAAATTCCTGCAACAAACATCCACCCAGTATGGCAGTCAACACCGAGTCCAGTTCATTTACAGCTATTCCCATCCTCGACTACTCCCAGTCCTCCTCCCGGGACACGAAACCCGTCTTCCTCGCCGATCTCCGCAACGCGCTGGTCAATGTGGGGTTCTTTTACCTTGTGAACGCGCCCATAGCGTCAGCGATCAGACAAGATCTCGAGCAAAAATGCGAGGCGCTGTTTGATCTGCCGCTGGAGAAGAAACTCGAGATCGAAATGGTCAATAGCCGGCATTTCCTCGGCTACTCGCGACTCGGGGCCGAGATTACGGCAAGGAAACAGGATTATCGCGAACAGTTTGATGTGCGTTTCTTCACTACCTCTTTGGTGCTTACTGTATGGAGTTATATAGGTGGACTGACGGAGCTAATCTGGTTTGACCTTGTAGTTTGCGACGGAGCTGCCTGAACCTGGTCCGGAGGAGCCGCTATATAGGAATATTCGCGGCCCGAATCAGGTATGTATTTCAACCCGGGCGGAGACTCTTTGATATGATATATCTAATGGGAAAATTAGTGGCCAGACGAAAATGCAATCCCAGGCTTCCGCCACTCTGTTGAGGCGTATCTCACTGAATTAAGCCCAGTAGCAGACAACTTCCAGACCCTGATTGCGGAGGCCTTAGACCTGCATCCAGCCGCACTGAAACAATTTTTCGACAATCCGGTCCAGCAGAAGATGAAACTGATCAAGTACCCCACGCCTCCCAGCGATGCCGAGTCCCAGGGCGTCGGGGCCCATAAAGATTCGGAGTTCCTGACATTTCTGCTACAAGCAACTCCCCACCACGGCCTTGAAGTGCAGAACAAGGCGGGAGAATGGATTTCTGCTCCACCAATGGATGGTTCGCTAGTTGTTAATATCGGACGTGCCTTGGAAGCGATCACGGGGGGTGTTTGTACGGCGACGACACATAGAGTGAATCTTGCGCCATCGAACTATGTGGATGCTCATGGTACACCGCTGGGGCCCCGGTTCTCTATTCCTGTTTTCCAGGGGATGAGCTTGGATCTATCGGTTGAGGATATAAATTTGGAATTCCCCGCCCATATCAAGGAGCTTGTAGGCGATGAAAAGGCATGGTCGGACGCCGAGGCCACCTTTAATAAGATATTCAGCGGTCGCACGGGCGAAGGAACGCTCATCCACCGGATTATAAGTCACCAGGATGTGGGCCGGAGATGGTACCCCGAGCTCTTGGAGCAAGCGCTCGGAGAGTATGAAAAAAAGGAGCCCGGTTCGACTTCGGATTCTTCACGGAAGTGAGCGAGGACCAAAAGGATTAATAAAATATAAGGGACCGAAATAAACTTGAAACGCTTGGTGTCCACCACCACTCTAAATTTCAGGCTTGGCTAAGCACGAATATGCCGGGTTTGCATGGTTAATTTTCCAACAATGGCAGCCCATGCGGGCTCCGTCTCATCATACGTATTTAAGTATCAGACTCACCCCGAAACGATTCGAAAGTCGAAACCAAAGATCCACCACCGCTATCACGAATCAAACCCAAATCCACCATGGGTAGATCTCTCTGGGTAATTGCGGCTTTCCTTCGTGGAATTCTCGCAGCAGACCTCTATGTTTCGCCAGACGGCTCGGACGATGCCGCGGGCACAATCGATGCACCATTCCAGTCCATCCAACTAGCCGTTGACGAAGCGACAAACGGTTCGACAATCTATTTGCGCGCCGGGACATATACGCCGACAACAAATATCCAGATTTCGAAGAGCGGCACGTCGTCCGCGCCGTTTGTCTTGCGGGCATATGAAAGAGAGGCGGTTATCATTGATGGCGAAGAGCTGCCTGGGTAGGGTTTCATCAACCATTATACACGACGAGTGCGCCTCTGGGTAGCTAACGACACATACAGAACTCCCGCTGAGCTAGATGGGTCTCTCGACAACGAAGACCGAGGTATCCTTCACATCCAGGATGCAGAGTACTGGGAGTTCTATGACCTAGAACTGATCAATGGCCCGTATGGTGTTTATGCGCGCGATGCATCAAACAACCACTATGAACGCATTGTGACACGGGACAACTATGAGACGGGTATGCAACGCCAAGCCAACCTTTCGCCTGCAGGGACGAATACTAATTGATAGCAGGCTTCCAATTAGAGGGGGCTTCGGCGAATAATGTCGTCCTGTATCTCGATTCGTACGGCAACAGGGACCCGCGCAAGAACGGCGAAAGTGCCGATGGGTTTGCCTGTAAAGAGGGATCCGGCGAGGGTAACGTCCTCCGGGGCGCGCGGCTCTGGAATAACGTTGACGACGGTTTGGATCTATGGTATGGTCCATGGACCTAATTGAAGGTTTTATATTAACAGAAACAGGGAATTCAAGTCCGCAGTGACTATCGAAGACACAATTTCCTTCGGAAACGGCTTCAACCGGTAAACCAACTCCCTAGTATCCAATACTTAGGACTTGTGCTCTAACAATAAAATAGATGGGACTTTAGCCCCTTCGAAGGCGACGGCAACGGCTTCAAGTTGGGCGGCGGCGACGATGCCGACATTGGCCCCGCAAACCACGTTATAACAAACTCCATCGCCTTCGGCAACAGCCACGACGGGTTCACTGATAACTCGCAGCCCGGAAACTTTGAACTGAGCCGGAACACGGCGTGGAATAACACTGCTATCGGGTTTAGGTTCGGCACCGCGGTGGCTACACTTAGTGGGAATATTGCTGCGTCGAATGGCGAGAAGCCAACCTCATTGAGCGAGGAGCAGGTCTCGGAGGGGAATTCGTGGGATGGAGACGGGGATTGGGATGATGGGAGCTTTGTCAGTGTTGATGCTGAGTTGGTGCAGGGTGAGAGAAACGCGGATGGAACGATTGAGGGGAGTGATTTCCTTTTGCCGAGTAGTGGAGAAGAGATTGGAGCGACGACAAATTGGAGTGTGTGAGTATCGCCTGGCTCAAGTTCGATGTTAATGGTGTGCTGGTCCAATATTAAGGTCTTAAGTTGGGCCAGAGACAATTGTATATACTGAGGTGACAGTGCTGGGTGACTGTAAATATAACTGATTGGCCCGGCGAAATCAATGTTTCTGCTTGAAAAGCGTGCTTGAACGACAGGAACTTATGGGATTGCTTCTTGCCTTTCCCTTCGATCCTAAAAATGGTAACACAAGCCTGGACGAGAAAGCCAAGGAGGCGCTTTCAGTTGGCCCCGACTGCTGTCCACGTTTGCCGGAAAGAAAATCTGCCCAACTCCAATCCTTCGAGTCAAATCATCCATTGGACAGGACTTAAAGGCTTGAACATATCCAAACTAGCCGTTGAAGCATCCACATCAAAGATACAGAGGGATATTCTCCGATAAAGATCTGACATGTGCCAATCCAGTAATCCACCCAACAACAGAGCTCATCTGGAGCTGCCGGTGTATTCCAACGTCTTCAATGCATCCGACGAACCACAAGCCAACACTCGACAGCGAATTCCCAAAGATTGTCTTTTGTGAAGGATTCCACTGGAAGGTTTGATTGGACACTGCATGTTTTCTTCCCCTTTTCCGTTTTGGGTCACATAGAGCGAGCGCTGATCTTCTCGTAAAGCAAGGTTGCACACCCCACTTGCGCCAGCAGTCAGGGACTCAGCGACCAGAAAATGAACATTCATCAGCAAGAAATTGGTGGCTTTTTTCTTTGACCGGAGTTTATTCCCGTCTCCTTCGACGTGAGGCAAGAATGGTCGAGATTTGGCGACTCCACAGCGTTGCCTGGCAGGCAGACAGGCAGGAACAGGTCCATGTCCGGAAAAGCAAGACAAGTTCCACGGGTTCACGCTTCCTCGCGCGACCGACACGGTTGCTCGAGATGATCACTTCCCGCTCATGGCGATCTTCCTGTCGGATACGAGGCTGGTGCGTGCACGACCATGGGTCTGGTGATGAGCTTTGACAAAGGGAAACCGCGAACCGACAGACACCCAGAGAATTGACTGGTTTGACACAGGGCTGACTATTCTGAGTCAGGCAAAGAGTCAACACCAACGGCATGATTCCGAGGTGTTCGCTGCGATCTTCAAATGTGGAGTTTGGAAGGATGTGCTATTTGGGAATACGAGGAAGGGCTTGGCTCCGCAGAAGACGTGATATGAGCTGCAGTCCTCACGCAGGTTCTTCAGCTGAATAGAGGAACCTCATACAGGATTGCGCTTGCAGAAATGACCAGGAGCGTTGCATGTTTGTGGCTCACGAAGTCAGCACTGCAAAACGTGCTGCTGGTCTCAGCCAAAGTCTCAAGGGGGAGGTGGCATCCGGTCCTCTGAAAATGAGGAAGAGCCATTGGAGTCTCTTTGACAAGAAAAGACTAAATACGATCTTGGGGCCACTAGTGACTGAAGAGTCTGCCCGAGCTGCTCGATGATTGCTCCGTTGGGCTTGGTCAAATTTCCTCTTAAAATAAACCTCGTATTGCTGTGCTGGAGCCGCATTTCTCGTCGCTCTGAGCCAACCACAGCGAGGGATACATAGAGATCGCCGCAGTTGATTACCAGTTCGGCTGGGACCCTTGTTGCATGGCACCAACATCGATGTTTTGGGGGAAATACAAAATGGGCGTCCACGGCTGCGAGCTCGAAGCCACCACACTCTCTTCTTCCGTCTCTTCAATCGGTCCTTTCTGCTCTTCACTTTCCTTATTCTAAGTTGTTTTCCGAGGATCAGTAACCCATCATGAGTAGCAGCAGTTACTACGACGACTATCTGGACGACTATGATCTAGACAGCTATGATCTAGATGACTACAATCTAGATGACTATGATCAATATCTCGATGACTACCTCGACGACTACTCTACCACCACAGGTCCCTATCCAACAAAGACCTACGACTACTCGGACTATTACACCTCGACTGGGGAGAGCTACCCTACGGCGACCTCAAGTAGTTATGATGACTACCTAGATGACGACGACGACGACGACAGCTCCAGTTCTTCGGGCTCTGGCTCTGGCTCTGGCTCTGGCTCTGGCTCCTCGGGCTCCGACTCTTCGGACATCACGTCGTCCGACTTTGACTGGGATGATCTCCCCACTAACGGAGACCCTTCCCTTGGTGGCTCTGGCACGGGAAGCTCTGGAGGCGGCCTACCTAGCGGCTATGGCGCCTATGGTGCATATGGTGGCTCCGATTTGTCCAACCAGAAGACATCCAAGACCTGCGTTTCTGATGCTGCCTTCAAGCAGAACGCACCGAAGGTTGACCTTGCCTTTGACGTAATCTTCCTTGTTCTTTTTCTTGCCCTTGCCGGCGTCGCGGGGTTCCGCTTGCTCAAGAGCAAGCAAAAGGGCTCGGCCATTGGAAAATGGTTCCTGTTCCCGATCTCCCTTTTCTTTGCCATTCTGTACGTGCCCCATGGTCTACTCAATAGATGTCGCTAACCAAGCACCAGATATATCCTCATTGACATGATTACCCTTATCCTCTCCCAATGCGTCATGATGCGAACCGACAAATACCAACAAGCACTTACCGCCGTCAAGTGGTTCGATAATCTCTCGATATACCTACTCATTGTGCTGATCCTGCTCCCCATTTGCTTGAAGCTGCAGGGTAGCGGAACATTTAAGACCATTACGCTGTTCGGACATGGCGCCTGGTTGGCATTGTGCGGCATTTTCCTTCTCGTTAGCCTCGCCTGCTTTTCTAAAATCCAAACTGCCATGTACAAAGACTTCGAGGTTCCCAAGGCGGACTTTATCAAATCCACCAGGGGTGTCACCATGACCTACTACGTCTTCCTATTTCTTGCTGCTCTTCTGGCCACCGCGAATATGGCTCTTGCTCTGTTCCGCCGCGCCAACATTCGCAAGGGAGTAAGTCTACACGGAACTTCTCCATTTTGAAAGGACTATGCTAAAAACACTTCGCAGCTACTTTTCATCAGCATCCCAGCCCTCATTTTGTCGACTCTAATTCTAACCCTTGTCCTCATGGGCGGGTTCGCGGACCTGGAATATGGCAAGAAAGACCGCAAGGCAGAGTACTACGAAAAGTCCGAGGACGCTCAAGTCTTCCTCAAGCGCTTTTTCTACGCCGCCGCCTTTGTCAGCGCGCTTGTGATTGCTGGCGCCCAGGTTCCAGCCGATGACTCTTCGCAGGCTGCACCTGTTGCCTCCCAGCCCCAGCAGCCCGCGAACCAATATCCTCAGCCTGCCCCTCCTATGGCCCAGCCTGTGAGCCCGTATCAACAACCCGTGTCTCCAGTTCCGACCCCGCCTCCCCAGCAACAGTATGCCCAACAACAGTATGTAGCTGTTTCTGGTCCTGTACCAGCACAGGCACCGGCACCCGCGCCCGTCCAGTACGGAGGTCCCTCACAGGCTGCATAAACCGAAAACATCGTCTTTCTTTCAACTGAACCAAACCAAACTCTCTTTATACTACAATCCAAGCCGATCGTACCCTCTATCGAGACATTTTCTTTTACTGATATCTTCACTTCGCCGAACTTCTTTTTACTTCTACTCCCTCGCGAGCTTTGGCTTTTCGAGTGGTACCAGTTATCTATACCCTGTTATTTCGTGTTTTTGTCTATACCATTTACCTAATTATTAAGTACGAGCACATATTATTTGTTGATAGTTCTCAGCAACATTGACATTACTGAAAACATAAAATATTTGTTCTGACTATGGTCAGACAGTCAGAGTGTGTATCCTATACCTAGTACTAGTCACCAGGGCGAACCTGAAGTCAAATTGAACCTATCTACTAAGTTGGGGCAATACCTATCCTGAACCATCTAGACCCCATAGGCGGAAATAATCCGGGAAGCAACGACCAAATTCCTGCAGAGTCGTACCTGCCCTATTGACAGAACCTCGAGATCAGAGAATGGGGAAGGGACAACCGGCAGAAACCCGGGAAACGCCTCGCGCCTGCTCAATTCGTTGAAGCATGTAAATTACAGAATGAGGAAGGCGCGGCCTCCTGATTTGGAAGGAACAGCCGCACCTCGCGCCTGCCCTACTCGTTATGATATGTAGAATATAGAACGAGGAAGGCATAATACTAAGTATGGGATAAACTGGAAGGAGCGACCTACCATATCTTTCATAGCACGTGCCTTCGAATTCCATAGGCTGGGTATAGTTTGACTGCAGTAGGCGTCAACATCTTCAATTCTTCTTATTGATTAGATCACCGTTTTATTTCGCATATCGCATGAAAATTATTCTATACATACTGTTAATATGGAGGCCTGAATGAAGCTCTAAGAGCCCTTTGCAGGTTGTATATTAATACCGTGACTACAGTTGAACGGATGTCCCTTTTAGGAAAGACGAGAAAACCGCTTAGTCATTTTAAAGTACCACGTGATGGCATGCCACCAAGAAACACCCATCTCAGATAATATTACGTCGAATAAGCAATCCTTCATCACGCAATCGCTCATCCGTCAGAACCGGCAATGGCAAACAACCCGGGATCATCCGAGACTATGAAGCCCATGGACTACTACGACGTCGCCATGCGCGACCCATCCAGCTGCTGCGCTGTTAACCCATGGAAGGGCCGGTTAGCACTGAACTTCAAAGCGATCCCGCATTCCACCAAATGGATTCCTCTGCCGGAGATCCCAAAAGTGCGCCGCGACGAGCTTGGCATACCGCCGTGTCGCAGGTTCGCGGACGGCAGCGACTACTATACCCTTCCGATCCTTGTTGATCCTAACACGGGCGACAAGATTGGGGATTCTTTGGATATTGCTATCTATCTGCAGAAGAAGTATCCAGGATCAGGGGCGGGAGATCTTTTTCCACCTCAGAAATTGGATTATACCGTTAACCAGGATCTTCCGCTGCTTGTTCCTCTGTCGGAGGATAGGCATAAGGGTGATGAGTATGCGGAGTACTCCCACTTCAACATGCACGTTGATGCGGCCTTCACTGCCCACGTCGGGATCATGGCTTATACTATGCCCTTCCCCCCGGACAGTGCCGAAGAAAGCAAGGCCGTGTTTGTGAAGCGCGCTGGCGTATCGTCTTGGGACGACTTTGAGGTCAAGGGCGAGGCGCGGCAGAGTATTATAGACTCGTTCCGTGCTATGCTGGGTGAGCTTGCTCAGCTATTCACGAAGGACACCAGTGGGCCTTTTATTCTGGGTAGCCGGGCTACCTATGCGGATTTGATTGTTGGTGGGTGGTTGCATATGTCGCGCGCGACTCTGCCTGCCAGTGAGTGGGAGGCGGTTAAGGGGTGGCATGGGGGTACTTTTGGGCGTTTGTATGACGCGCTAGACAAGTATGCGGATGTAAAATAGATGATGATTTTGGAAATGCGGAAATAAGTCTCCAGAGACCATTGACTCGACTACCACGCTCCATTGAAAGCTGCATTGGTTGAGAGTCAGGGTCAACACTACATTAGTGTTATGTCTGCCGAGTTACAAAAAGATTAATATGATTGTTGAAAGGCAGATAACTCAACGTGACTTGGATTGTTGGGATATATGACGTTGCCCCAAGAGATCTGAAACTGTGATTGAGCGACACTGAGGTTACCAAAATAGATGCTTGGTATCTTAGTACAGACGGGTTATATATTTCCACCATCTGGACTCGTCCTGCCGGCTTCGAAGATGTCACCAGCTGGATGGGCCCTGGAAATCTTAGATTTGATCCTGCACAGAGCACCACAAGTAAACTTTCCCGGCCACGTTATAGTCCGACGATTCGGGCCCCTTGTTAAGTTGTACGGGATTTAGAGATCGCACCTGTACCAGGTCGCATATGTAGGAGGGTCATAATAGTCTGGATGTCAGCTAAGAAAATTTTGAGATGATTCTCACCGTGACGAGGCTGGAGGTTCCAGCAGCCAGCAGAAAACAAGGTCAGATGCCTGCAAGCTAACAGAGATCGTCGGTCTTCTCGACGCGAGATATAGATGGATGATCAGCAGCGGCTGGCTTACTCTACTGGAGACACGACGAGTCCAAATTAATGCCTCGAATCGGAGAGAATACCGCACCTGGCCCATTCAGATGCACGGACAACGGCATGGTACTTGTCCATACCGTATCTCAGCTACATAACAGTACTGTGTATGATATTGTCAGAGGGATAGACGCAGGGTATGATACTGGTAAAAAGGTTTGTTCATACAAATGCACTTACTACATGGTGAATGCAGTGATGTCTGTTCTCGTCAGCCAACTACTCTTAGCACTAGATATCGGCCCACAACCCGCGTTTAATATACATCCCGAGAGAAAGACCGAAAGATCCGAAGTGAATGCGTATCTTTTACCGCAAAGCGTAAAAGAATTGTTTGGTGACGACGGACATGAATCATCCAGATGGAGCCGGGGAGGCGACGACTGCGAGGCCTGGAATCCCGGAGGCCCGGACCACAGTACGTACTGCTGGGATCCAGGCTGAAATAGTGCGGTTAGAGGGCGATGGAGACCGGAAGCCTGAAGATTCTCCGTTCATTTGGACCGGCCTCCACGGATGCCGGTATCATTATCGATAGCAGTGTGAGAGATCACCTCGTAAAGTTCGTATGCGAGATACGAGTACTATACTTCGTATCGGAATTCCAGACCCCAGACAACAAGAAGAACTGGGAGGGCGCCGATATCTGAGGAGGCAGTCTCAGGTAAAGGCCATGGCGCCGCTCGGAATTAAACTTAGGGTTTGGCCTGGCGACGTTGGGGGTGACGAGTCAGTGCGATAACCGAGCACTCAGCATGGAGTTGGATGGACTCAGTTCTGGACCAGTATGGGGACGATAGCAACATGCCGGGATGTTATTTGCTGCTTTGGAGGCTCCTTGTTTGAGGTTGATTGAGTTAACCGCCAACAGGAACAGGCCAATATACTCCTGACAAGACCCTAGCTGCACAGCCACGATGGAGTGCCCACAACCGGTCCATCCGCCTCGTGAGGGTCCTCGTTCTACAGTTTGCGCCCGTAAAACTGTTGGAGTTTATTGTTTTACTGATTTGATATGGTAGAACGACTCACCGTGTCGAATCTAGAATAGATAGCCCATAGTAAATGTGAATAGCGATGATCGCGATGATCTGTACAAAATTTTCCGCGAGACAGCGCCAACAGCTGACACTGGACAAGTCCAAACGAGAGACGAGTCTGGAGTCGCCAGGATCCATCCCTCGGCGTTTTCCCTCATGCGGCAGCAGTATCAGACAACAACCCCAGCACCCCCTCGGTGGTATATCCCGAAACGGAGACGAAAACGACCATCGCAAACTAAGGTTGACCCTGCCAAGAACTAGTGGCGTCTGACAGTGAGACTCCTCTGAGGGTCCTGGGCTCTTCCAAGCTTTTCCCGGGGCGCCGGCCAAGCCCTTGCAGGGGAGCTGTGTGACAGTTTGACAGTTGGGCTCGCAAGTGCACGAATCAGGCCAAGAAGTACGACTCGTGGCCTGCTGGATTTCACTGCTGATCAGTTTCAACGGGATTAATTCGGAGAAATACTTCGAAACCTGCCAAGATAAGATAGTCCCAGCTAGGCATGCGTTGACGCCGCGAGGATGAGGGTATAAAAGACTCTTCGACGCCGTCGATTGTTGGGCTTGATCTGAGCATCCAAACCAAAAAAACACCAATAAGTCGTTGATCTGGTATCATCGGCATAATCACATTCCTTCGTTTCCGCTTCATTCTTTCCACCGGTCCTTATTACTACTACTGTACAATATGTATATCAAGCAGCTTTTGGCTCTGTCCATGGCGACCAGCGTGCTGGCCACGCCCGCCTTCCGTCCCTCGCGCCTCACCAAACTCAACAGGCGCGCCGACTCCTTCCCCCTCCCTGCATCCCAGGGGAGCGAGACCTTTGACGAGCCCTACGTCATCTCCGGCAACCAGACCTACGATGGTGGCATGAAGACCTTCGGCCGCGGCGTTAGCTGCTCCGAGGGTGAGGGTGGCGACTCTGACGCTGTCTTCTCTGTTGAGGATGGTGGTACCCTGAAGAACGCCATCATTGGCGCTGACCAGATCGAGGGTGTTCACTGCCAGGGCTCCTGCACCATCGAGAACGTCTGGTGGGAGGCTGTCTGCGAGGGTATGTCACCCAAGTCTCTTGAATATATGATTAAACCAGCCTAATGCTATCTACAGACGCTCTCTCCCTCAAGACTGGTGACGGTCCCTTCACTGTTACCGGCGGTGGTGCCCAGGGTGCCGAGGACAAGGTCATCCAGCACAACGGTGGCGGCACTGTCAGCATCTCCGGCTTCACCGTGTATGACTTCGGCAAGCTGTACCGCTCCTGCGGAAACTGCGACGAGATGTACGAGCGTCACGTCACCATCGAGGGCGTCACCGCTGTTGGCGGAACCAGCACTCTTGTCGGAATCAACAGCAACATGGGTGACACTGCGACCATCAAGAGCGACACCTGCGTTTCCGACACCGAGACTATCTGCACCGAGTACGAGGGTGTTACCGATGGCTCTGAGGTAAGCATGACCGATCCCTAATAAGGGTAGTTCCTTTTGCTAACGAGCGAATACAGCCCGAGGAGATCAGCACCGGTGCTAGCGATGCTTGCCAGTACTCTGACCCTCTCCCCGCTTGCTAGATTCTGAGTGTTGGACAATTTACTGTGGCTGCGTGCGGCGAACTAGGCTAGCCTTGCTAGGTAGACAATGGACCTTTTGATGCTCGAGTTATGCTTGCTGTAGCCCTAAAGGAGATAGAAAGAATCCTGGAGTAGCTAAGTAGATCACAGTCTGTCGAAGAGCGGCGAAATATCCAGTAGTACTGATATCCTCTTTCAACTTTGTTTGTATGTCGCCAACTCGAAAGATAAAGCTTTGCCTCTTTTGCGGCGGCAATTCGTGGCCAAGCAGCTGCGTGTCGAACGAACAGTGGTGTAACCAGTGAGCATTTCAGTATGAGTCTGGGGGTCCGCTTGAAGAAGAGCATACTGTGATCTGTGCTCTCCTTCACTAGGTCTAGGTGTATGAATGTAAGTATAAACTTGCGGTCCGCCCCCGCATTCCTCCCAGAAGATATCGGAGGGTACCCTAAGTAATCATGATATTGAACCAGTAGCAAGGTTGACAATAGAACCAGAAAGTCCAAAAGAAAAAAAACAGACCAATATTATTGTCCCTCCCAGAAACAGAAACGATAATGTCCTTATCTACTCCTTCTAGATCAGCGCAGTGGCCATAGAACTAAAGCCTAAATACGACTCAAGGGCTAGTGGGTCTTCTTTTGCAAGTTAACTGGAGGAATCCGCAATAAGCAGTTATTATGATTTAAAGGTCAGCAGGCGTATTCGAGAGACAGCGGCCTTGCTTGAGCTTACTTGATTATTCGCAGTGGAATACATGTGTCATTGCAAATGGGCTTGGAGATGTTTCCAGACTTTGACTACATAATGAGTGTGATATTTTCCAACTAACAAAACCCAATCCTTCATATGAAGTAAATAGACGCCATACTCTCTCTTGCTTAAACCTTTCGTCCTCTAAGGAAATGGCAGACTGCGTCGAGCCTAAGAGGATACCGGAGTACAGCAAGTCCAGCACTGCAAGAGTCAGTCAGTATACAAACAAGATTTCTCATTATTGAGGGATAGGATATACTCACTCCATTTTGGTTCTTTGGGTACTATACGCAGACTGTTAGTATACCACAGAACAACTAATGTATAAAGAGGATGGACGTGGATACATACCGAAGGAGCCTCGCACGCGTGCTCCTCAGCCCAGCAGATCAAAAGACATTGCTCGCCGGGCTCTGCAGGAGCAGCGACAGCAAAGCTGGCAAAGGCAGCGGTGGCAATTGCGAAAACGGTAGAAAGATGCATTTTGGCAAATTGAGGCTGGGATTAACTTTGAAGTGAGTTGTTGTGATGGAATGGTGGGATCTGGGGAAACAGTTGGGACTATTTATACCCAACCCACACAACTCTTTGAGATCAATATTACGAGCGCCGAGACGGCGTGAGACAAGATGAAGACGGATCTCGTGTTTGCGACCGTGGTCTATTGGAATCTGGTTGTTGGTGCTGATTCAATGAGCTATACGAGGTGCCCAGCGACCAAGAATGCTATGATATCACCCAGCCGGCTGCGCCAGAGGCAGTCCAATTGAGAGGGTAAACCGCTGCTTCATGCAGACTCCATGTCTGGGAATGTCTCAGCCAGGCTTTTCCTCCATTGCACGCCTATAGTTTGCAGCTGAGGGAGTCGGATCCTCCGCCGGTCGATCCTCATGCCAAGCGGGAATACGAATTCTGCAGGTGAATGGCGAATCTGGGGAACTGGAGCCTCGTGTTCGTGGGCCACAGCAATCAAGGGGCTGTCGGTGTCAAATTAAGCTGTGAAGGGTGGAAGTGAAGCCCTAATTGCCCAGCTGCGATGCGGAATGCAGTGTGGGGATCAGTGCCGCCGTCTTTGGTCCATCCCGCCACTGAACCAGTCATCAATGTAACCAGTCCGGACGTGTGAACCGTTCCTAAGCTCGAACCTGTTACTCTCGCTGGTCCCTGTGTCGCTGACATCACTCCAGGGCCCGATCTCACATTATTGGGCTTTCGTGATGTCACATTCCCCGTGTCGTGACTGTTGACGACGACGCGTGGGGGCTATCAGCTAATCAGTTGGCCCAATGGTCCGGGAAATGAAATGAGTCCCTGATCGTCGCTGTCGCTGGAGCTGTCGCTGCTTGTCTCAGATCTTTCTCCTTGGCCTCTTCCTGGCGACGATTCAGACAACTGCGAGTCTGCGACTGCCACCATGAAGACAGAGGCATGGACGCAGATTCTACACACTCTGGCCACGATTACCCGCCAGGCTGGAGAGGAGATCGTCGAGCGTATAACCACGCCCGTCAATCTGACTGTCCTGCCTGATGGGGGGAACCAGTCGAGCCCGCATCTGTGGGGGATTATGTTTGAGGTATTGCGGAATTTGCACCACAGGGATATCTCCCCAGGAGGTTTAGACATCGCTAACATTTGCAGGAAATGGATCATTCAGGTTCGTCGCGACACCAACGCTGACGCCGACCGTGCGAACTACCTAGATGATCGATTCTAACTGATAATACCCAGGCGATGGCGGAATCCACGGCAATCTCCTGCAGAACAACGGCTTCCAGGGCTCCGACACCGGATTGACAGGCTACAAGGCCATTGGCAATGCGCACATTTCCGAGTCGAACACCCCCCTCAGCGACGCGATCACATCGACTCTCGCGCTGTCCGTGCGCAGCGACGCGACCGGCTTCGTCGGATTCGCAAATACGGGGTACAAGGGTGTGCCGGTGCTCGACGCGACTTACTCAAGCACATTCTGGATGAAGGGCGAGTACGATGGGACGGTGATGCTGCGGCTGGTCAATTCCGAGGATGGGACCGTCTACGCGAGCCATAATGTCACGGTGGAGAAGTCGAGGCAGGAGTTTGAGGAGTACCATGCTACCTTTGAGGCGGATGCGTCACCGACGGGTGATAACGAGTGGCAGCTACTGGTTGATGCGGAGAAGGCCAAGGGCCATATTCTGCGATTTGGCCTTGTGCAGCTGTTTCCGCCGACTTGGAATGATAGGTGGCTCCCCTCTTGAATGGTGTCTGGGTGTTTGTATTGGGGCTAATTGTTCAGGGCGAATGGCTTGAGAGCGGATATCATACAGCCCATCTACGACCTTAACCCGAAGTTTCTGCGCTTCCCTGGGGGGAATAACATGTAGGATCTCCATCCCAGGTATATGATGCAACGCTAATCTGGACAGAGAGGGAATCGATGTTGACAGCCGCTGGAAGTGGAATGAGACAATCGGGCCAGTGGTCAATCGACCAGGACGAGACAGTGAGTTCATGCGTATCGAAGTGATCGAAGCGCCTATCTGACATAACAGCCCCCTGGCACTATCCAAACACGGACGCCCTTGGTAAGTCAACCTCCCTCTCACAAGACTGGGGCTAACATCGCAGGCCTGGACGAATACCTCTGGTGGTGCGAAGACATGGGCATGACCCCAGTGCTCACCGTCTGGGACGGGAAGTCCTACGATGAGATCCTTTCAGGAGACGACTTGCACCCGTATCTAGACGACATCCTAGACGAGCTCGAGGTACACCATACCCTACCGATTCTTATCCAACAGTCTAACGAAGCTATAGTACCTCCTCGGCCCAACCAACAGCACCTACGGCTCCCTCCGCGCCGAAAACGGCCGCGAGGAGCCCTGGCCCGTACAGTATATCGAAATCGGCAACGAGGACGACTACACCGGTGGCTGCGCCACCTACCCAGACCGACTGATCCAGATCTACAACACAATCCACGACGCCTACCCCAATCTCACCTTAATCGTGGATAATATGAACCCCAACTGTCTCCCCGAGGAACCGCTGCCCGATGTCATGTACGACTTCCACTACTACCGCACGCCGGACGTCCTGGTGGATATGTTCAATTACTGGGATAACCAGCCGCGCGACCAGCCCGTGATTGTGGGGGAGTTTGGGTGTAGGAATCACTCGGACCCCGATGGGTTGTTCTGGGCGTTTGTCAAGGGCAGTTGTAGTGAGGCGGTGCATATGATTGGCATGGAGAGGAATAGCGATGCTGTTCTGATGGCCGCTTATGCGCCCTTGCTGCAGCATTTTGGGTATATGCAGTGGTCGGTATGTACCTCCTTCCTTCACTTTGATATCTCTCTTCTCGGATGTACACAGGAAGGCATAATAGAACTGACGATATAGCCAACCCTGTTCGGCTTCGACTCAAACCCCGACTCCCTCACCCTCTCAACCTCATACTACGTGCAAAAGATGTTCGCAACAAACCACGGAACGAAAATCCACCCGGTCGAATCTGACTCCGGCTTCGGGCCTATCTACTGGGTTGCCTCGAGCAATGACACGCACTACCAGATCAAGCTCGCCAACTATAACCCGGAGAACCACACGGTGAATGTGCAAGTTCCCGGCGCGAAGAATGAGACGGGGTCGCTGGAGATGCTCGCGGGGGAGGAGAATGCGAGTAACCAGCCGCATGATATTGTTGTGACGCCGACGGTGGATGAGATTAAGAATGGGAGTGCTGGGTTTACGGTGCATATGCCGCCGTATGGGGTGGCGGTTTTGGTTGTTTCTTAGCTTGTTCCGTTACGGCTCGCGCATTAGATGATATCTGAACATATAGACGCATTATGTATCTACTTGGCAATGTATAACTCTAACAAAGTAACGAACGCTGAAAATACCTAAAGAAAGACAATGACACTAGTAATACCACGCATGCTCATCATAGCAAGGCACCGGAGTCGGATCATCCGCAGGCACCAGTAAATCCTGCCCTACATACGTTACATCATCCTCATCCGATCCAGGGCCCGGTCCAAACCCCGTAAAAACACCCCCAAATTGATGGAATGCATACCAAGCACAGCGAATCTCGTACGTCGAATCAAACATTGTACACGCAAACCGCAGCCCAAAATACTTGCGCATCATGTATTCTGAGAAGAAGCTTATCGGGGGTGGAGTCTTCCGGAGCGGGTCGCTGTAGCAGTTTGGGAGGCTGGATGCGTCGTGCACCTTTTTGAGGTAGTTGTGCATGTTGGAGAAGGAGAGATACTGCGGTGCTGTGACAGTAGAGACGGTCTTGCTGTTGAGAGGAGGCAGGAGGGGTGTAGCGAATGCGGACGTGGTTATGCATTTACACTGGCATTGGCCTCGGCGGATGGTTATATTCATGGGCGTGAACGAGCCGAAGAGGAATGCGGTCGTCGATGGGGGGGTTATCGGGTTGTCGATGGGCTCTAGTGGTGTATCCCCTGGTAGAGCGATGAGTAGCCGGATGTCGTCGTCGATTAAACTAAGGAACTGAAGGGTCTGTTGGAAGAGAGTGTCTGCATGTGTAGGGTGAAGGGATTGGAGGTTCTTCGCTTCTGCCCCGAAGATGCATTGAAGACACTGTGATAAGCCTTCAGCTGGTTGTGGAGGGGTGACCGGTCCTAACAGCCGAGACTGCTTTTTGCTCTCGGTCACAAAGATTTCTTCGAGTGGCTTGAATGCCGATTCCCAGTGCGCGTATGCCTGACTATCGTAGAGTGGGATCGTGGAGAGATATCGTTGTTCATCTTCCGTAAACCATTCTGGATATTCACGGTTGCTTCGCACAGCTATGCCCTCAAGAGTAGAGAGCAGGGAAGAAAGAAACCCAGCTGGCTTTCTTTTAGAAACAAGCGGCGCGTAATACGCACGACAGAGAACTGCCCCCGCAGTGAGATACCGATAGATAGCCCGGTGATAGTTTTCTCGCCAGACCTGCCATGTACGAGGGGTCCAGGCAAGACTGTCAAAGTACCACATATCTGGTAGGAATTCTCTCCGTTTTCCGACTGGGGAGCGGGTCTTGCCTTCGAGATACTGTGCTAGATGGGCGAATTCGAGAGCGTGCTTCACCTCGTCTATGGAGGGCTTAACTGTGTCACCGCTGAGTTGTGAGGTGGGGAACGGGTCTGGAGGAAGTTGACCGCTGAGAAAGGAATCTGTAGCTATTCTTGTTGCGCGGACCTGGAAGGGTTAGTAGGTACTCAAGAGGCTCAAGGATAGGACGTACTGCGATGAGGGCGTCACTGAAGCTGACTATGGCTCTCTGGCTTATGTTCCAAAGAATGGCACGTTGGTTGCATGTCCAGGCATCATGCAGTCTTTTAGACGTTAGGACAAGGCTTCGTAGCTGAGAAAAGGTGTCGCAGTTCTGGAGGACGAGAGCGAGTAGTTCCTCCGGTAGGTTGTCGAGCGTGCTCATCGCGAACCACTAGATTATACCTCCCTTGCACAGTATAGAGAATAGTTAATCGCAATCCGGACGGATTTTTCCTGGTATTGTTAGCTCGAACAGTGAATCATTGAAGTATAGCATACTTGGCTGCCTGAGATTACCGTGCTTTGCGGGTTAAAGTATAGATTGGTGGGCTGGCTCCAAGAGAAAGAACCGGTGTCTACCGCCAACACACAAATAGGGAACGACAATTGTAAAGCTATTGCAAGGATATCGTGCTATAATGCTAAAGTGAAAGAGACGTGCGGGGAGCTGGGTATCTTTTGGAGGGGAGCTCTCAGCCCCAAGGTCCCCGTCGCGCCACCAGGGTTCTTGACGCGGTTGCGACATTGCCTCTATAGGGAAAGAATGGGACATCAGCGGGAGATGCGCGGCAGAGATACAATACTAAGTTTCTTCGCCGGCGAACCTGTTCGCTGCTTCCTTCGGTACCTTTTTTGTTCACTATACCGCCCCTCTATACATGCCGAGGGGCGAACAGAAGCGAACAGGTGAGAACCAAAATTGGACAGAAATGACTGGCATAGGGTTTTAGCCGTATAAATATTGACATTTAATGTTTTCCCCTAGTGAATTGCGTATTTCACTTGGTATCTCCATGATGCTGGAGACACTGTCTTGCATACAAGTCTTGTATGGCAGTCATTGATTAGGAACCGGCCGGCACGAACTGACACTGTACCGACGCTGTACCGGGCCGGTTGAAAGCTGTTAATCGCTGCGATAGCAATGGAATATCAATGAATTCTGGATGTCACAGGGCGTGGCTGATGTCGCGAGAAGGCGTCGTTGTGCGAAGGCGCAGGAGTTGTTATCGGAAGGCGTCGATAAGAATAAAAAGAGTTATCGCCCCTCACTTCCACCCCTCACTTCTCCAACTCAACTCAGCTCACTCAACAGCAACACAACCATCCACAAAATGTCCAATCTATCCTCCTACCGCCTCCTTACCTTCGACGTCTACGGCACCCTCGTCGACTGGGAGGGCGGCATCCTCGCTGCTCTCGAACCCAGCCTGGCCAAGAACAACGCCTCGGGGAAATTCACCCGCCAGCAGCTGCTCACCGCGTACCACGAGTTCGAAAGGGCGCAGCAGACCAAGACGCCCGATATGCTGTACACCGAAGTCCTTGCGACGATCCTCGCGCCGTTGCTGTCGAAGCTAGGTCTCCAGCCCCCGACGGCCGATGAGTCGCGCGCTTTCGGAGAGTCGGTTGGCAAGTGGCCTGCGTTCCCGGATACAGTCGCTGCATTGAAGCGGTTACAAAAGGTTTACAAGCTAGTTGTGCTTTCCAATGTGGACCGGGAGTCGTTTTCCAAGACCAATGCGGGCAGTCTGGAGGGAGTCAAGTTCGACTTGGTGATCACGGCGCAGGACGTCGGGTCGTATAAACCGGATTTGAGGAACTTTAGTTACATGCTTGATGCCGTGAAGAGAGAATTTGGCGTTGAGAGAGAGCAGGTGCTCCAGACGGCACAGAGCCAGTTCCATGATCATCATCCGGCCAAGAAGGCGGGGGTTAAGTCAGTGTGGATTGTCAGGCCGGGAGCGACGATGGGGAATTTGGAGGAGAATATCTTTGACTGGAAGTTTGACACGCTGGGAGAGATGGCAGATGCGTTGGAGAAGGAGAATAAGTGAATCGATATTGATTTGAAACTGTGACGAACCTGATAATAGCCCTCCAATGTCATTAAATATCCTCATCCATTAAACCTACATAATCACCAATTATTACCGGTAAATCCAAACTATTTAACGAAGTGTTTCGAAGCTAAACAAGAACAGCGGCACCAATGGCTGCAACGAACCCCAACCCCAGAAACGATTCCATACAGGCACTTGCAGCTGCCCCGGTAAACACACTCCCAGTCGGCGTCGTCAAACTAGGAGTATACCCACCACTCCCCGTAGGCGTAGGGCCACTAATACCAGCCGACGACGACCCAAACCCACCACTCCCACCAAGCCCAGACCAATCAATCCCCAGCCCTGAGGAACCAGAGCCCGTCGACGTCGCAGAAGGGACAGGGGACTCCGTAGACGAAGCCTCCGCATTCCCACCCCCCAAGGGAATAGTAAAGTCTGGCCAGTTGAACCCTGCGTCAGTGTTATCAGGGAAAGAAGGCTGCGTGAATGTCGGTCCCGTATCGGTTGTCCCGGTGCCGCTGAAAGACCCTGTTAGGATTACGCGGATGAGATAGCCGAGGAAGAGGCCGAGGTCGTTTGCGAGCTGATGTTTGTCAATTATATTAGCTGACGGAGAGAGCGAGAGGGGATGTGAGTGAGGGAACGTACGGGGGTAAGTTGGTCTGCAACGTCGTTGAATTTATCATTCCACTCGGGGGTGAAGATGTTTTTGCCGTCGCGGAGGAGGTCGAAGATTTGGTTGATTATGCCGTTGTTGAGGATGGTGGAGACGCCCTAGTTGGTTTAAGATCAGGTTAGCTGCTTAACATAGTGAACGGGGTAGAGTGAGATGTACCGGTAACAAGGAGTTCAAGGCATCGGAGAGTCCTTGCTGTGGACTCTGGGCTTGCCGCTTGATTGTTTTGCCTTCAGTGCTGGTCTCTGTTAGATTAATACCTGGCAGAGCAACACCAGCAAGGCTCGTAGTGAGTCCGTCCACAAGAGGGCCAGTCAGCTCTGAGAGTTTAAAGAGCGTGGCGTCAACATCTCGATCAGGAGATGCATCTGGAGTGGCAGAGGCAATGGCCACGACGGAAGAAACGAGAGAAAGATATTTTAGAAAGTGCATTATAATTAAGGGGCAGAAGTAACGACAGACTGCTGAGGAAAATTGACGAGGTCCTGTAGAGAGGGTGTTGGGGTGATAGATATAGTCGTTTCTCGCATCCCTGCTGCAAGCCCTATATGCGGCTTCCTGCCTCTAGCGCATGTGATGGATAAAGGGAATGGCCGGTTCCTGACGATGCAGACTCACCTGGCCAAAGATAATACCCAGATTTGAGGAAAAATGTGTTTGGTACTCATGATGCTTATTCAAGATATCTATGAAATTAATTTCAGAGATGGCGATGCCTGTCGGCCCGCGGAAAGCAGGACTTGGCTAATATAAAATCGAGACGGCACTGGCTGTGTCTCAGCCTGACGACCGACTAGCAAAACAAGCCGCCGTCCCTGCCTACACCTGATTTAATGTTTTGAGGGGCTAAGGCGAGTCTGGACCTGTAAGTTGTGCGCATCTGCCCTGGAAGGCGGCGGCACCAACTCTGCGAGCCGACCGGCCTCGTTTATTTCCAGACCTGACAGCGTTCAATAAACTACTTTGGCCATTGCTCATGAGTATATTCCTAGTTAGATAGAAGTGACACCTCAACATAGACAAGGGGCGTAACCCGGTGGGCATTCAAGGCCGTCGCAGGCAGTAACAGACATTTGATATAGAGCATGATCCACGAAACCACTTTTCATAAATCAAAACAGAATATAACGAGCCGGGTCTTAAGAAACATCCTCAATCTGCCTCTCTTCTGCCTTCTCCCCATTCTCCCTGTTCTGCAATCCACCAACCCCAACTCCCTCCTCTCCATCCAGAGTCCGCGAACCCTCTCCAAAAATCTTCCCCATCTCCTCCAAAGTCCTCCCCTTCGTCTCAGGGAAAAGCAAATAAATACACGTAATATAAACCACACTCGGACAAATCAGCACGAGATAAAACTTCCAGCCAATCCGATCCAGCGCCACCGGCGCAGCGACGAGCGTCACCTCGGAAGATAAGTAGAAGCAGCCTAGACCCAATGCCACGCCCTGGCTGCGGAGATGGTTCGGGAATATCTCCGCGATGTAAGCGAACTGCGTCGCGTCCACGAAAAAACACCACCAGAAGATGTAGAAGAAGATGAAGAAGACGGCGGCGCGGAGGCCCGCGATATTTCCACTGTTCGTGTCGAGAAAGGATGCCGTTAGTGCGCACAGGAAGACCACGGATACGGTGCAGCCTGTTGCGCCGATGAGGAGGAAGCGTCGCCGGCCGAAGCGGTCGACGTACAGGGCTGTCCAGGTGTTGCCGATGAGTGTGAAGGAGGTCCAGCAGGCATTTAGGAGGAGAGGGATGGAGCCGGCGAGACCAAGGGAAGCGTAGATGAGGACACCGTAGTTTGTGAGAACGAAGGTCCCGAGGAATTGGTTCCCGATCATGAGGATCATAGCAATGAGGGAGCGTTTGCGGTTTGCGGGCGTCGAGAAGAGCGCTGTTCCTATTTTCTTCTTGCCCTGTGTGAGAAGGGACTGGTCGAGCTCGAGCTGCTTTTCTATCTGGGCGAATTCTTCGTCTGCGTTGGTGTCGCTGGAGGCGTGGAGTCGTTGGACGATTGTTAGTGCTTTCTCCCTTTTGTTCTTAGCGAGGAGCCAGCGCGGTGACTCTGGGAGGTATGGACTGCCTCCGAGAACAAACAGAGGAAAGGTAACTTGAAAGGCGAGTGGGAATCGCCATGCGAACGAAGCTGCCGGGCTGTTCCCATCCATGAAGAAACAGGCATACCCTAGCCACCCCGCAAGGCTGTAGCCCACAGCATACATAATGCCCGTAATGCAGACCATAGCACCACGGGTTTCAGCCGTTGACACCTCAGCCTGGTAAATAGGGACGATACAGGCAAGGATTCCAGCTCCAATACCAGCAACCAGTCTTCCAACCAGGAACATCGCCATGTGGACAGCCCCTGAGCATAGGGCACCACCGACGACCAGTACAACTGCACCCATCTGGATGGTTGTTTTTCGTCCGTACGCGTCTGCAGTCCATGCCTGTAGGATACACCCGATGACGGCGCCAGCAGAGTTAATCCCATTCAGGGCCCCGATCATGTTCGTTGTATGTGCATACCCCGGCGCGCTGGTGTCGGCTTCCAGGCCGAAGTAGGTGTAGAAGTTTGGCTGGCCGACTGTTGACCCGATCACGGCGAGGCCGTAGGCTGTTGAGATTGTGCCCACGGCCACAAGAATCACAACCCAGAGGTTGTAAGAATTTACGGATATATGAGGGAGGATTGACATGGTGAGGAATGGTTTGGTTGTTTTTCTGGGTGAGGGTTAGAGCTCGAGATAAGGACAGGGAAGTGGCTATATATACATACCGTGGGAGGTATGATTACCCCAATGAGGAGTCCCATCTCGACAATCCCAACCGTTATAAAGCCTACTATCTACATCATTGCTGGACCCTTTGCTCCAAGCTTTACAACCGGGCCCTCGGTTATGATAAAACGCGGGGAACAAAGCTTAATTGGAGAATGCGGGGAAACTGTATACCGGGTCCATGGGGTGATCGGCTGTCGTGGCAACATAAGGGATAATTTCAATGAGAAAGTCTAAACAAGAAGGGTTTAACCAAAATGACACAAGAAAACAGGAACAACAAAGAGAAAAGTCAAACCCTGGCGGACAACTTCATCGACAGTCACTTTATAACCCTGCTTCTGAAGCGCAGAGGCTACTCCGTACAATGCTGGCATTGACAAGTCTCCATCGAAATTTTGAGGAGCCACACAGACCCTCGGTTGCGTAACGTCACCACCCGGCACGGGAAGTTTGGACCCAACTTGGCATCCACATCTCCATTGATGAAAGCGTTCACCGTCTCAGACCGAAATCTCCAGGTGATCCCATCGTTAAGGTACGCCATAGCAGTATCAACATGGCCAGCACCTACAGTTGAGGTAATGGATAAATCGGAGAAATCAGAGACATTGTAGTTTCCGTATCAAGGCCAAGGGACATTCAGCTGCCTGATTGAGGTGGCTCAGAAGCGAGCTGAACAATGTGCCGGAGACATATCTGTACATGCCCGAATCGCGTTGCGGTTTCTTATGGACTCGTGCGGTAGGCGGGATATAAGCTGCGGGTAGAGATATTGGAGAAAGCCATTAACGGTCCACATGGGTTGAGAGATGTCCGAGCGGGATCTATATTGGCGCAGCACCCAGCGGCCTTCTCAGCGGCCCAGAAGTGCGGCCTGAGGCAAAATCACCGAAGATCACGTCGGGACTGCCTACATACGTGGCTAGTGAGTGCCTATGCCGCAAGCATGATGGTTGACAGGGTGATGCCAGTCGGGAGGGGGTCATTCGTGCCCATGGTATATTAGTCTGAAGGGGAGACGTTTGTCGCACATTTCGTCGGAGTGGCGGGCATGGAATACCCTTGAGAAGCTGTCGCCAATAATCGCGGCTGGGATCCGTGTCCTTGATTCTGAGATTGGAAATGTACCGGCTGAAGTTGATGTATTTACTCAAGGGTGGCACTGATAGATCTCTTGAAGGGTCTTAACAATCTACCCAAGTGAAATATCATCATATTCCCCGTGACTTCAACGGAGCATCGTCCGGTGTTTGGCTTCTTTATGAGAGGTTATGATCGAGAACTCGAGGAGCAGATGGCCAAGCTGGGCCGGGCGATTCATATTTTGAGCAATCAGATCCCTGGTAGATTGTCTGAGTGCTGATCTGTTATATGTCTTAGACGTGGAGTGTATTCCTTAAGATCGACCTGGATCAACTGGTGCTCATGGGCGACATAAGCTGTGTGCAAGATATCCTAGTGCTCGAGCAGTTCGATACAACTAGCTTCCCATCGTGCAATGCCTGGGCTCCCCTACCCGTCGATGCTAACGTATGCCATCAGATCTCGGAATTTCTGTAGCAATGTGGCAGCTGCGTGCGACTGAAGGTCAGTAGTTGGAGCGGCATCGATGATATTGCAAATAACGACAAAAGAGGTTCGAGAGATTTGCGCACCCTGCTACCTGCCACCAGTGTAGAGGAGCGTTCGTACTTGGAAATATATTAGAAGTTTCCCTGGCGGGCAGGCGAATAAGTGCGGCCATATTATTCAGAGGTGAGCATGACATAGGTATTGATGTCCTTGAGGGTAGGCCCCAGGTGCGAGTGGGGTGGTTTTGGTCCACGAAAACCACAGCACCACCAGCTTTAACTACGCCGAGTTGTGCAATGATACTCCACCGGCAGGCGGAGACGGCTATTCCGTTGGGGCGAACGAGTCGTTGCTCAGCAAAAGTCATGAATCAAACGATCTCCATCGACAGGTGAAATCTCATTGTTCCATGTGCGGACTTGCCGAATGTCTTCAGCAGTTAATGCATTGAGATTCCCGACCGTTATATCTTCATCTGTAACTAATGAGAGAACTTCCTGTTGGACGCAGTTTAGCAATCGGTTGGCGTTGTGGAGAGAGAGGTGTGCAGGTGAATATTGTAAGGATACAGACATATCCACGAAGCAACACACTGATCGTAACATCGTACTCTGTAGGATGTTTTTGGTCCATTGTTCACGGAGCTGCGACCTCTTGTGATGTAATAATATCGATCTCTCCTAGCGAAGAAGGTAATTCTCTGACGATGCTGAGAAACGGCTCCTCGAGAGACTGGGCTCCGGCGGCTGCTCCGATTCGCTAATTCCAGTGGTTGATCATCACGGAGGACCTCCAGTTCTTCACTGCCGATCTGGATGCTTACGGAAAAATCATGCTCTGATCGCTGGGTGAGTTCGGTGCATTGTGGATACCACAGGCCGCACGAGCATCACCCACCTCATTGGGGCTGGCGGCATCGATCAGCTCAACACCGAAGGCAGATCAAGCCAGCTCGGGTGCTGCTTTTCTCTGGCATGAAATCAGCGTGCCGCCCTCCAGACAGGCTAAGTTTATAAACTGTGCAGCATAAAGGGCAGTATAGTAATGATGCACAAGGCTCCCCACAAGTCGCACCGAGCCTGTGCGAAGGCCTTTGCAGTCGGTGGAACCCCTACGCGACAGATGACGGCATTGAGAAAAGTGTCAATGGTGGTATTGATTCCCTTCAGAGGGGAATCACGCCCAGAGATTATTGCGTAGGAAAAGCAAACATATCCCAATCCCGTATATGACTGGAGAACAAGTGCCCGTGCGATCTGGCAAATGCTGGCGGGAGTGACACTAAACTCACCACAAAATTCTCCGAGACCCTCGGTGCCGAGCGGAGGATTGGTCCCCATGATGTGGTCATGGCGGCCCAGTGGGTCACCATAGAGTGGGAAGTACTTTAGGAAGGTTGGGCTCCAGAAAGGGAGTTTAACCAATAGACCATCGAATGTTCCACTGGGGGCTGTGATTGGTAGTTGACAAATCTCGGTCGTTCATTACCCAACTGCTCAGCTTCTAGCCACTGTACATTTGAGATGGCCGTAAAAATATTTGGGTGGAGTGCCCATCTACTACGGCGTGGGAGATGTCGAGGCGAAGACAGACCGAGGACGGTGATATTTTGCAAAGCGTCCCTTCATCTGTCTTCCCATAGTTCTTGAAGACAACAAAACCGCGCGTGGAAATTTGATGGACGAGTTTCTTTTTACCGTTCTCCACTGAGATCATCGAACCCATTCCCTCCTTTCATATCACTTGGTCGAAATGCCCTTCACGGTTAGCACTTCTATGAGTCCTGTACAAAGGGCGGGACGGCGATTCACCATGAAGGACCAGGCGTCCTGAAGATGTGTAAAGTCAAGCTCGGGACCGGAGCTCTCTGTGTTCAATTGAACCGCGAAGGAGCACTAATACAAATGTGGATATACCGGTTGAGCCACCAAACCCGCTTCCTGTCGGGGAGCGCCAGCGAGTACGGCCTGGACGTCACGGAAAGGATCACATATTACTACTCTGAGCCTGGATGAAACGAGGCTGTCGGGTTTCGCAAGAGCCAGTTGAAGACAAGCGAAGTCGCTCAGAGTCGTTCTATCTCGATACGTCTGACTCGTGGCATTCAGATCCTTCGAGGTAGCGTCAAGCTAACGTGGAATGTGCCTGTGACTCGACCCAGAGCTGTCTGGTCCATGACCTGAGCTCGTCGACACAGTTTTATCTGCTGCTAATCCCAGCATTCCTCGATATGCGCCAACCATCCGGTGGGAGACTCTGGAGCCCATAACGTTGAGAGATTTCCCGAAGTGCCAGCTCCTCTGAGGGTGATGATCTCCGAAGCCTCGCGAGCTCGACCAGAATATAACCCTGGTCTGCGGTTGGTGGTGTATTGGAATGGGACACAAAACCCATGCGCATGTTCTTCACTCTTTGTACAAGCCCGATTGCAGCAAGCGTCATGGATAGGTTTGTCCTTTAATTGCGCGAGGCGTGCTGCGTCTACTTCTAGAACAGCTAGGTCCGCCCCGTAGTTGTTTCAACCATTTGTGAATCCATCCTGCCCTGTGTATCCCGGGCCGTTTGTCTTCTTCACCCCGCTTGAGTCGGCTTGAGTCGAAGACTGGGGCATCGGACCCGAAACCCGAGCCAGCCTGTGTCTTTGCCCAGGTCCCCAATTCTGCGAAAGTCCACCCCCTTGAGTACTTCCGAGCATCGCGTTAACAAGATCGCGTTGAAATGTGTTCCGGGATGAAGCGTTGGTGACGGTGCGGTGAAGGTCAAGCCGAAGATAGCGGGCCAGGCACGTGCCCTGCTGGATCAACACTGTTGTAGCGAACAGTCGGTCCCCCTCATTTCCATCCCGCTCCACGTCTCCTCTGTTCATCAATTGCTTCCCAGAGCCATCGAAAGCGGGATTCTCGACTCCTTGGTGCGCAAGAGGGTGGGTTCCACCACCCAAGGTGAGTTTCAATTGCTTCTTTCCGCGTTTTTTTGTAACATTCATTGAAGGATTGGATGGTGGCTGACGACCTGAGTGACTCTAGCGTGTTGCGAACGGTCGACTCCGCTATGTCGCCGTTCAGTTGGCACAATTTGTCATCCCAAGCCTTCGCCGAAGGTTAGAGTTTCTGCGCCGAAGTAAGGACGGCATGGTAAGTAGACCAGCGGTTCCTACAGGCCCATCTAGCGACGCTAGGGAAATCGAGCATTCTGGTGTCTCACTGCCCTCTGTCAGTTTTACAGGTTGGCGTAGCTTCCGGATGCTTGTCGCCTGGAGCATGTCATTGATAGTGACGGTAAAGCCCGCTTCCCCGCAGCAAGCCATCAAATCAATCGCCAACAGAGAGTCCCCTCCTGCGCAGCAAATGTGTTGTCCAGCTTGATTTCCCACTGGACGGCGCAGCACTTCTGCGCAAATCTTTCGGCGGCCCTGCTCGATTGCATCACTGCCCGTAAGGGCCGTCCCTGACCATTCCGCAGCTGCCAGCGTATTAAGCGCCATTGCCACACTGTATTACGAAATTAAAGTGAAAGGAAGAAAAGAAGCAATTTCGCGACTTTTCAAACCAGCCTGTCCCTGAGGTATACCAAATGGGGATTATGTAGCTATTGACAGGAGGCAGCCACGAGGCATTCTCGAGCTGGAGCTAGGCCCCGAAGGAAGTCCTCCTGCTAAAGCACATCCAAAACACACGGCAAGACAGATTCATTGATTACGATATTATTCTGTCCATTGTACAATGTGCATACTCCGGAATAGTTCCATTTCCCCAAATTGGCGAGCTTAATGTCCTTTGTATCTCCCCTCCAGGCTGTCGATCACGCATCTCGAAATGCGATCTGTGACTGCAACAGGCCCACTTGCGCTTCGACACAATTTTCGGGTGTCCACGGGTCACGGCACAGCGGGTCGGACACAGGAAAGATGGAGTTAATTTTACAAGGGATCTTGGGCCTTAGTGCTTGCTCGCCAACAGGCCAAACCCAAACAAGTGGTGACAGCGCTGATGACTTCGAGCTCTGGGGACGGACAAACCACGTTGCTCGCGGCGGTCAGCAAAGTTTCGATTTTCAGACTTTGACGCAATAGCCACCCTCTCTGCTTTTCTTTGGGTAGCACAACAGCAGTTCCTCATCGTGACTGCACGAAGCACAGAGAAGGAGCCTGCATGATCTCGCCTTGCTGCACTATGACCACCTCGTCCTCCTGCCACAATTTTCGGAAAAGGCATGTTGATGGAATGATGACGGTCCCGATCGCCCCTAATGCACTCGTGCCATGCGGTTTGATCAGCTAGGGAAGCTGAACAACATCAATCTCGGGAGAACCGCGGTGATGGATTCCCGATCAGATGGATCCAGGCCACCTCGACGCAATAGCAAGCATATCATCATATCCAATTTATTCTTCTTTAACCCTCTTGATTTTCACATTTTTGAAATTTTTGGAGCGAAGAAAGCGAGACCCAGAGGGCCAAAGCGACCTGCTGGATGAGGCAACGAACCCACTTCTGAGGGGTGTTTGTCAGAGGAGCGATGATCAGCGTGTTCGACCACGACAAGGTCTGCAAGCCTGATGGTGGCGCCTGATGGGGGCCTGGCAGTGGTGCAGAACTCATACGCGAGAAACTCCGACTCCGTGTTTATTTTATTTTATTTTTTTCTTTTACCGAAACAGCAGCCAATGCTTTATCCGAATCCTGCGAGGGCGGACCAGCTGGGCCAATAGTTCGTTGCCGTGCAGGCCGTGGCTCGATATCCGCAAGCAGGGTGGCTCTATTTGTGGACCAGCCGTCCGGGGTTCTGGGCCAAAGAGTGGTCAATCTCAGGAACGGGAGCCATTGCGGGAACGACCCAGACTAGTCACGATTCACGAACCTCGCCTGCAAGCTTGTGCCGATCATCCAAGACAGGGAATCCTGGCCATTCACCCGGTGTCGCAAAAGGTCTCTGCATTTCCGATTCGAAGGCATCCAGCCTTCTGTGGGCCCGGAACTATGGGGAATCTTGCTGCCATTGCCAATCCATGATCCAGTTCAGCTGAACCACCGACGACACACAGACTTGGCTGCCCGCCAGCATTCGGCGCTTCGTATCTAATACCAAGGTGTCTTGGAATCTGCACCTTCAATAAGCCTCAGTCCCAATCTGCGTGCCTCTCTCCTGTCTCCCTGCAGTGCATCTTCCCGTCCATGTTCCCAACTTCTCAGAGCTTCCCCTTCAATTCCCCCCTGCTCCCCCTCTCCAATTCATCTTTGGCATTTACAGTTCGTAATTTCCAAGCGGCGGAAAGAACCAGACCGCTCGCTAGACGGGATTCCTCAACTTTACATCAACCTGGCCTTCAGCCTGGCTCACCAAGGGCTTCGATTCGGACCATGGCAGAATTCGAGCCCCCGCTGTACAACCTACCATCGTCCCCTTTTGCAGAAACGCTCTGGGCGGGCTGGAATGTCAACTCTTCTCCCGTGTCGAGCCAAGATGAGAGCAACTTCGAGATAGAACCCAACTGGCAACAACATATCTACCCGATACCGGATTACTACTGTCTTCCGCTCGATACATGGCCAAGCCAACCCACTACACCACTCTCCAGTTATTCCCCTACGGATAGCTCATTCTCGACGGGACAACTCCCCGACAATCCACTTAATGTCGCAAATTGGATGCCCGCGACCGATACATTTGCTGCTCCAGTATTCTCCGCTGCTCCGACGGCGGCTTCATGTACTCCCGAGCTCACGCCTCAATGCATCTCACTTCCCGACTACTCAAGCGCTTCGTCAGGAACAACAACACCGATCACCCAATCCTCCCCCGCCGAGCCGGACAGCCTCCTACCCTTGTCGGCCACCCCAAACACTAAAACAAACCGCGTCACAAAAACCACGATCCGATGCTGGGAGCACAGTTGCGGCGGTCGGGCATTCTCGTCTCTCGGGAACTACGAACGACATCTCCGCGAGAAGAGCGGGCGGGCGAAGAGCTTCACATGCGAGCAGTGCGGCCAGCGCTTCACACGATCAACTGCAAAAAACAAACACATCAGATACGGGCGCTGCCGAATGCAACAGGTCGAGCCCACGCCTGTGTCCAAAAGCCGAGCAGGACCAAAATCAGGAAGTTCCCGACGCCGATAGTCAGCTAGCCACCGACTTCGTGCGACCATGCATACACATCACATATATACCCGCGATTTGATTTTCAAACGTGTGCCCTTACATATCCCGAGCACCTCGAGCGCGGCGGAATCTTCAAACAGAGCGATAGTGACTTTTTTTTTAATTTAACGATTGGACAGGATAGGATAGGAGTTTGTCATAGCAAGCAAGCGCTGCTGCTAGAAACAGCCGAACCGGTTATTTATTGGAATCAAGGGTAATTATTATTTGTATTCAAAACAACAAGGTCTGAAAAAAAAAAAAAAGACTCAATCAAAATTCTCTATATATTTCTCTTTCTTCCCATGTCTCGCGGCCTCTGTAGCTGCCAGAGCAGGTCCCAAGTAGCGGTTCTGCTAAATTAAGCTTAGTTCCGCGATTATGGTACGGATTTCGGGTCGCAGATGCTAGTCCCGTGGAGACCAAGCCACGTGATGCCAAGATCGTGATGAATACGCAGGAACCCTGCACCAGGAATTACCAAGTCCGCTATCTGATGAGTACTGCGAGATTGGGGTTGTAGAATTTTTTTTGTGCTTCCGGAGTTCGTAAATGGGGAGGGTGTTTTGTTTTGGAAGTGAACATTGCCGACGATATTAGGCGAGGTACCCCGTTTAACTCCGTACTAGCACCCAAGTAGAATCGTCTGACACGGGTTGGAATTAGAGCGGGTCTTGAGATTTGTCAACACTCAACAAGGTCCACGTATTCGACACACTTTCCAGGGCCCTTTTTCCGATATTGTTGGGAGTGTGACATGCAGTCAATAATGAAAAGGTATCAAACTGAAACATATTAGATATCGACTTCAATTTACCCGGTGTCCATTCTCCATGTAAATACATATGGGAAGAATATATTAATTAAACAGCAGCTGCGTGTATATACATCTAATTACTTGCACATGCTACACTGATTCCAGATATATAGCCGGATATTCAATACGCAGATAGGGCAAATTACAACCAAGTGTCGGGAACCAATTGGAACATAAAAATACCAAAAAGAGAGAAAAGAATAGATGCATAAATAAAATATTGAATTATGCAATACTTGAATTTTCACAAGCCTCGACTCCTTACAATCTGCACAAGCTGTGCAGTGCTACCCACCCTTGGCAGCACCATAAGCTGAACATTTGCCTGCAGGTAAGCCCCGGTCTAGCTACGGAGCCACTGGAATTTTGTGCCGCCAAAGACAGAAACTGCCCCGGAACTTGTTCCCGAAGGATATTGGAATGTCTTCTTGATGAACTGCTTTCTTAGTCCTGGAGTCCACTCCGAGCGGCCAGCCTTCAACATTTCCCAGGGAAAACATGTGTAGCGCTTCTTACAAGCCAACAGCCCGTGCCGACCATGGCAATCGATTTTAGTGAGTCAGGGCCAGCAACATAGTCCTGGTCACGTTCATCGGATGTATTGCTCTCATTGTCGCTGAGTACAGACCGCGGAGACACCGAGAGCCTCTCGCTGTCTGACTCGCTGTCGACCCTTTTCCGATGGCACATCGATTGTCCAGGCAGATCCCAGGGAAGCTTCTCCCTGGCTGCGAGGAATCTGTTGGTGGCGGCCTGAATTTGGCCCAGACCAGACCGAAAGGGGTAACTGCAGGTATAAAATGGGTTTTTATTGTCTCGGAGATGCAGGGCATCCCGATTTAGGTAGTGTGGACTGTGCTGTGCATCTGATCAATGACGTACCTGCCGGAGTCATGATCCAATCCATGCGTCCTGCAGCAACACCTTGAATGTGGGATCGATGTACGACTTACCACTCTTGGATATTCATGCGGCGCGGGAAGATCGAGGCAAAAGCACATCTCAGATGTTGCATGTGCAACAACCATTCCAAGTATTCGAACAGGTTCTCCCTCGTGGCGATTAATTGTTGATTCATGATAAACTTTCCGGTCTGATTCCATCCAATAACCTCAAACGTCAAGAGCTGTGCTTGGCGCAGTCATGGCTGTCTAGTTTTACATTTAATATCCTTTTACAGACGCCAAACCGTGTACCATGGGCTCAACCAAGCCCGGACCGGAGTTCGCGATGCTGATTCCAACATTGCTAGACCCCGCTTCCTTCGGTTTCCATGCATTTGGATCTTTTCCCAAGGACAGCGATCGCCCAGAGTGAGATACTCTTGTAGCTGAAAATGAGCCCGACGCTGGACTCAACCTGACACGATTGACGCCCCGGTACCCCATATGCGGCATACAAAGCCATCGGTCCCACTGCGGGTAATTCTCGACCAGCGAGAGCTGAGGCCATTGTCACATTGACGATCACGGGCATTCCTTTCATCTAGTAGTAGCTAGTTTGCGGATGTGGTATATGCAAACTGCCAGCTCTTGCATGGATATTGAATGAATATCGAATGATCACCTGCATCGCAGTTCACTTAATGTGTGAGCATCACAGATGTAATTGACGGAGGATTCGCAGCTGGAAACCTAGAGGCAGGTGCGACCCAGTCCACAGCGAGTCAATTGCATAGGGCAGGTGCGATGTAAAAATCACCTGCCTCATTCGCTCTTTCCTAGATGAGACCTAAATGTGGCCCATGGGGAAGGTGCGATGCGGCCCGGCTCTACGAGACAGGAAAGTGCGACCCAAATACGCAAGGCGATGCAGATAATTTATTCTGGCCAGGGATGCAGATTGAAAGTGAGCTTGCACATTCTGATAGACTACAAAAATATACATTCTCGTGCAAAGAGATACGTGATATTTATGCTTGGTAGTTGGGGATGTCACTCGGAGATGACTCCCGAGCCTCGGATAGCCCTCCGAAGACGACAGACCAAGAGACCAATGGCGGCACAACAAGTCTTGGAGAATCTGACTCACAGAGTCTTCGACATTCCACATTCCTGCGGATTTGAGATACCCCGCGATATTGGGCGCGCCTGTTGATGACAAGGGTCAAAAAGATCTGTCTACGGCGAAATTCAACAGCGTCGTGCCCATTGACTTTGAAATCACTTGCCTGGATTAAAGAAAATGGTTGAAGTGCACATCGCGGTGCTGGATACTGATGTTCCCTGTTATCGCGTGTACGCTAAACGGGGGCTATATAGCACTCAGTTCCGTCGACTGCTCCAGGCCGCTGCAGAGCGGATAAACAAGAGCGGACAGGAGTTGAAGAATGGGGAGATAGAGGTTCGGGTATCGGGGTTTGATGTGGTTGGAGGAGTATTTCCTTCCCTGGAGTGTCTGCGAGTGGACTCGACAGCCGATGACGGCCTTTATACGGATGCTCGACCACCCCCGATAGACGCAATACTTGTGACCGGTGCGGCCGCAGCGGCGTACGATGACTTGCACTGGATACCGGCTCTGCAGTCATATATCCAAAGAGTGTATCGCGAGTTCCCCTTCGTTAGGATCTTTGGCTCGTGCTTTGGCCACCAGCTTATCGGACAGGCCTTACTGGGGGCTGAGCCAGATGCGAAAGATGATGAACTGTCTGGAAAGGCGGTGGTGAAGCGGATGCCAGACGGCCACGAAATCGGGCCTCATCCGATAATACTGAATCCTGAGTTCGCGCGCCGATTCGCACCTCTTCAGCGATTCTCATCCGCCAATCCGCTTCGCCTCCAGCTCATTCACGGTGATGCCGTGGTACCCTACCAGGAACTGAACGGTGAAAAGGGAACCACGGAAGACTTTCTCGAGGGAAGTTGGATGAGTATCGGAAGAACCGACCGCTGTTCTATCCAAGGGCTATACAACCCTGGTCGTGTCCTCACCTTGCAGGGCCACTTTGAATACGATGCCTTTGCTACCGGGGAGTTGTGCCACCAATTTGCGAATACGTTCAAGTGGTCAGAATCGCGGCTTTCGTCGTACTTGGAAAAGATCTGGGGATCTTCGCGGCATGATATGGAGGACGACGATGACTCTGACGTTGTGGCTGAAGCCGTTCTCTTGTTCTTCGCTGGGGAGGATTAGATGTGAAAAGTTATGTTTTATTGAGAACTACATTGCCGTTAAGATTGGATGGAAATGAATAGATGCCATAAACTATTAATAAATTAAAAGCAAAGTCTAGTCTGTGATTGACATTCTCACGGATATAAAACTGATATCAGGCTGAGAATTGTAAAGGAAAAGCGGTACACAACGGCCAACATCCAAATATACCATTTTACCTGTTTAGTTATTTAAAAGATTATACCCTCCAAAGAGAAAGCCATCCAGCCAGATCTAGAGTGGAGATAAGGCCATATGCGGGGGCGGGGTTGACAGGACATCCATGACATGTTGGCCATCTGCACGCCCTTTCGGCGACAAGTCCGTTATCACTCGTTCCTCCCATACGAACTACCACTGGCCTCCCTCGATCTCGACAATAAGCGCGCCCTTTCGGTGACACACCCGAGAGTCCGGGTCTTCGGGCCGTACCGTACACGTCCACATAACCCATTCATTCTGTGTAAAGTATCTGTCCACGGACTGCACAGTATACACGACTACTGAGATACAGATCTTGTCTTGGAGGAGATGTCAACAAAAAAGGCCTGCCTTACACTATACTCGCGGGCCTTCCCCCGATACGAACAGTACAGAAGCCGCTTCCACCGGACTGTACGAGCCAAATCCAAATCGACAATAACCAGTAGCGCATTGAAAGAAAAAGCTACAGTCAAAGGTGTCAAAATACTAAATTCATTACTACCGAATAAGATGCTGGGGAACATTGAAGGATTGCCTGTCCTATCTACTGCGCCGGGCAGTTGAGAATAGAGATGCCGTTGGTCGGACAAGAGAAGAATATTTACTCAGGAAGGAAACGCTGCGTCGGCTGAAGAGGGGCTTCATTTAGGAGAGTTGGTATCATCGGTGTGATCCTACTATCATTCTGATGAAGCTTTTATTGATTACGCTGTCCTATCTCATAATAGGTAGTACATCGAGTAACATTAAATCGGTACCTAGGGCTAGATCGCAGTACCCACCACTTTCACGATAGCACACGAACCCAATAAGGAGGATGGATAATACTATGACGATGATACCCCTACTGCGACATTGAACGTACGAACCCATGCATCTCGGTCGTTCCACCCGAAGACAACACGCCCTGTCGGAGACAAGGGCGAACAAGTTTCTTAGTCAAATAGCATGCGAGCTAGAAACATCCATATCGAACATACACCACGAAATGCATCGTAACACGCAATGTCTTTGGAACTCGAAGATACACCATCAAATACACCAGTACACTGGAAAGAGACCGCGAAAGGTCTGGCAGCTGGAGCGGCCGGGGGCGCTGCGCAGGTGCTTATCGGTGGGAACAATTCCACTCAGCGTACCGTATAGTGCGCGAACTAACAAGGTCAATAGGGCAGCCTTTTGGTTCGTACCGAATCCTGTATGATTACTACTGGCGAGAGTGTTGTACTCATCTGGGTAGATAATCAAGGTCCGACTACAGACACAGGCCGGGAGCACAGCACTCTCGGTGGCACGTCGTACCTGGACGCAAGAAGGGCCGCTCGCTTTGTATACAGTTGGCCGCACTTGACTTATTTTATGACACCACTGACATGGTTATTTAGGAACCCTGGTCCCCTTGTTAGGGGTTGGCGCCTGCATGAGTCATCACAAGACTATATCCTCGAACTGCATACTCAAAATCCTCATGTGAAACAGGTCAGCATCCAATTCGGCGCATTCCACAGCTTCCGCCAGCTCATCCAACACTACAATCAAACCCACAAACCTGTTGGCGGCGCAGATCTCTCGCTGGCTGCCCCAGTTTTATCTTGCCGGCGGTTCGGCGGGTGTGGCCAATAGCATCGTCCCGGGCCCTGTCGCACACCAGGATTCGCCTCCAGACCCAGCCTCATGGCAAAGACGGGAAGGCTGTATTCTGGACCTTGGGATTGCGTGCGGAAGATTGTCCGGACCGCTGGTTTATCTGGGTTATATCGCGGACAGGTTGTTACCCTGCTGCGAGAGTTCCATTGCTACGGGGTGTGGTTTGCGGCGTATGAGGGGCTCCTGGGTGTCTTGCAGGAGAGGGAGCAGAGGACGTATGCACAGCTCAGCAGTTGGCAGTTTGTGGTATGTGGGGGGTTAGCTGGGGAGACGTTGTGGCTGTTGAGCCAGCCTCTGGATGTCATTAAGAGTAAGATGCAGAGTGATGGCTTTGGGCCGGAGTAGCGGTATCGCACCATGAGGTATACGTTTCAGGCTACTTCGGAGGATGCCGGTGTGCGAGATCTCTTCCAGGCTCTTGGATCAGCCTTGCTGAGAGCGATGCCTGTGTCTGCTGGGACCTTTGCGACGTAGGTCTGCGTGAATTGACTGTTATGGTGGGGTTGCTAACGGCTTGATAGGGTTGAGGTAGTGCGCAAGTTCCTGAGCTAGCTGCATATTTCCGTAAGATTGGTTTGCTACCGATAGAATTGCATTGGGTTCCTATTTTTCCTATTTCAGGATAATATTATACTTTGAATGTTGTTCTTTAGGATTCTGCGGTGTAGATAGGATATTGCGAATCGAGGCCGACAGTACCCGACCACAACCCCACGTTCCGCACAAACTAGACGATCAGGGATTCTGGAAGCATGATCTGGAACGGAGGAATCTGCCAATAAGATTTGCTCGGTGCTACTCTGTCGCGACGAGTTGCCTTCTATATCCCATAACGCCGAGACATAGCAGTAGCCTCACGTCAACACCGGAGCGTCGGTGTTGCAATATAAACAACGACTTGATTAATACCGCCGTCCTTCAATATCCATTAGCACAGAATTCAACAGCATCTCACACATGGCGATCCCCCGATGTTGTGCGCTCGGTTGTAGGACCCGCCATACTCCACCGGTGAGTCGATATCCGGCACCGGGCCGGTTACAAAGGCTTCGCTAGTTCCTGCAGAAGTCATACCAAAGCTCTCAAATTGTTTCTCGATAACGCTGTATACATTCTGCTCACGATATCCTGAACACTGAACGCTGAAAAACGAAACACTACTGGAACAACACCACTGACACCAAGGACCGGACTGAGAAGCAATCCGCCACTTGATTGCAGAGAGAATGGCACCGTCGGTACGCGACTCTCCAGGGGAGAAATTACATCAGAGTCTCACGATCGATGCCCTTGCTGCATTTGCTGCTGCCGTTCTGGTTACGCCGACCGTGACAGTCATGGACAGGTGCGTTCACCACGGGCGATATCGCCGTTGAGACCTCCCACTAAACCACCCCAGGGTCGTCGTGGAGAAGTCGTGCACAGTTCGGCCCACAATGGACATTTTGAAGAAACATGCAAAGTCGCTATTTCAGAAACCTCGCCTGTTTGCATCATCGCGGCCGTGCCTGCTGGTGTTCGGGCTCTACTTTGGCACATACGGGACCGCCAACTTCGCCACCTCGATCGCACACTCCGGGTTCCTGGACCTGGAACCGGCAGCCGCAAACACATTAACCGTGCTGGCGACATTATCCGCAAATGTGCCTCTTGGGATCTACAAGGACACCGTCTTTGCCCGGCTGTTTGGGTGCCCTAAACTACCGGGTCCGGCACCCGGCAAGCCGTTGCCGATCTCCATCCCTCCACCGACGCCCCGAACGCCACTCTCGACTTACATTGGCTTCCTCGTCCGTGATATCATCACCATTCACACTTCCTTTACTCTCCCGGCTACCTTATCATCTTCTATCCCCGACTCAGTAATCCCAGACCCGCAATCGAAGGCTGTGCTGGCGCAGCTGTTCGTGCCCGTGCTGGGCCAGATAGTGAACACGCCAATACACCTGATCGCCCTTGGAATATACAACAAGCAAGGCTCTCTCACTATGTCCGAGGCTTTAACGACGTTACGAATGAATTTGATTCCAGCATCTCTGACGCGCATGATGCGCATTATCCCGGCATTTGGGTTCGGGACGCTCACGAATAATGAAGTCCGCCGGGCGCTACTAGAGAGACTGGATACGGCGGAGGACTTGAGGGGGAATGATTGACTGATAGAATATAGGATAAATGATAAATATGCCCTGGTGGCTTTTGAATTTCTTTTTTTTTTCCTTTCACATTTTACTGATTTTCGCATCGAATCAGTATCTAACTGAACTGGCGCTGTTGCATGACTGACATTGAGTTAGCCTTGCCGCTGTCGTTGGATTGAAATGCTTGCTCACATTTAGGTAACAGCTGCGGCAATGACGGATGCGACCGACAATACTGGTAATCAGGGCAAGGCTGCCTAATATTATGAGCTTTCAATCAGGCTGTGCAAGGCTGTGGCTGGTGTTGGATTTGATATTTATCCAATGGTGGAGGAGATTTGTGAGTGCCAGCCAACATATGCGAATCGATGGCTGTGCCACACACCAACCCACAACACACACAACACAAGAGAAACTCCTCTACTATCTTCCATACTCAGAGCCTCTTCTACCGTTGTCGAACTGGTTCTCTTTAATTATCGCCTTTGTTGTGGTATAAAAGGAGCATCTCTCCCCGTCCTTGGGATAAACAACACACTTCTTCCATTCCACTCCCATTTCGAACGTGCAATCCTTCCTTAACTATGCAGATGAAGGCAAACATGCCCGTCAAGGCCGCCGGCGATCTTCACAATGAGAAGAGAGCCAAAGTGCTTGAAATAATCGACAAACTGCGTGAGCTCGGTGTCAGCGAGAGCGTGTCTCTGCCACAGGTATAGATAACCCCAACACTTGAACATAAGAGAGAATCACTAACACAGCACAGCTGGTCGTCGTTGGAGACCAGTCTAGCGGCAAGTCCTCCCTTCTCGAGGGACTGACTGGTCTATCCTTCCCAGTTGCAAGCGACCTATGCACTCGTTTCGCGACGCAGATTGTGCTCCGCCGTACTTCGGCCGATGAGGCGGGTGCCAAAATTACCATCATTCCTGGTCCGGCTGCTCAACAGGATGACGCTCAGGAGGAAAAGCTCAAGGCGTTTGAGAAGGTTTTGGAGGCGGACAAATTTGGTAGTGATGAATTTGGACGTGTTTTTGATGAAGTACGTGTTTTGCATTCTGTACATGTGTTATGCTGATAGCTTTCAGGCTGCCGAGGCCATGGGTATCCCAGGACCTGGGACTACTGATATTGAGAATATCGACAAGAGGTTCTCCGACGATATTCTCAAGATCGAGCTGTCCGGTCCGGATCATCACCATCTGAGTGTGGTTGATGTTCCCGGCTTGTTCCACAGTATGTTGTTTTCTTCAGAACTGTTTTACCAGCTACTAACTTTGGCAGACCCTACCAAGTATCAGACGGAAGAAGACAAAGGTATCATCCGCGGTTTGATCCAGAACTATATCATCGACAAGAGAACCATTATCCTGTTCGTCCTCCGCGGCATCACTAAGAACATAACTAACGATTTCTAGTGCGGTCATGGACGCAAGGAACAACCTCGCCAACCAAGGAGTGTACGTATATTTTCCACTTGTGATGTTAACTCTAACATTGTCAGATTCTCAATGGCTCGAGCTGCAGACCCAGCAGGCAAACGTACGGTCGGAATCATCACCAAGTGTGACGCTGTGGAAGCGGGTGATGAAGCAGGAGTACGTACCAAGGCCCATCCAGTAAACCCTAGCTAATACGCAACCAGGTGCTTCGCATCGCCAAAAATGAAGTTGAGAAACTCACACACGGCTGGTTCGCAGTAAAGAACCGATCCACTCAAGAGATAAAAGAGGGCATCACAGTCGAGGGTAGACACAGGAAGGAAAGGGAGTTTTTCTCCACCACTGCTCCTTGGACTGAGCTCCCCAAGGATCGCGTTGGGATCTACGCCTTGAAGAAATTCCTTGGGGGATTACTCTATGATCACATCAGGAGCGAGTTCCCCAATGTGTTGAAGGATATCGAGGCCTCGCTGGCAGTCACTGAGAGAGACCTCGAACTTCTTGGGCCTTCCAGACAGACTGCGATTGATCAACGGCGTTTCCTCAACCGTACTGCAAATACCTATCAGCGCGCAGTTGACGATGCCTTGGATGGAAACTACAGCCCGGAACTTGCTTCTGATAGTACGCTGAAGCTTCGCATGCATGTACGGGCACTGGGCGACGAATTCGCAAAGACCATTGCCAGAGAAGGACATTCCAGGGTGTTCTGTACCCCCGGTGGAGAGGTCGACGACGACTACGCCAGAGGTTCAGGTGATGATGAAGAGTCAGGGTTTGATGACGAGGACGATATCTTCATCTGGATCCGTCAAGTCTTCCGAGAGACCCGAGGAACAGAATTGCCTGGAACTGTGAACCCTCGAGTGCTCGAAAGCCTCTTCCGCCAGCAGTCCAGACCATGGGGTGAGATCGCTCTAACTTACATTTCACGAGTTACCCGCGCTGTCAAGGCGTTCAACAAGGACATTCTAATTCAGATCATCCGTGACGGAGATGTCAGGGAACAACTGGCGTCTCATTTGTCTCGCGTCGAAGACTCGACTCACTCAAGGGCCGTGAAAGAGTTCAACCACGTCCTCAACGATGAAAGATCCGGGATTCTACAAACCGTGAACCACTACTACGCAGACACTCTGAGCGCTATCCGCGACGAGCGAGTCCGGGCAAGGTTGGAAAACTGGGATTTGAGGGGGATTTCACCAGCCAGGTCAATATGAACCAAATCATGAAACATGTGCATCTGAGCAATGAACAGCAGGCTGTCAACGACATTCATGACATTCTGAAGGCGTACTACAAAGTCGCCTTGAAGCGCTTTGCGGATAATGTTGTGATCCAAATTGTGGAGAGACACATTCTTGGGCGTGAGGGGCCGGTCAGGGCCTTGTGCTCGGACATGGTGAATGAACTTGACGACAACGAGCTGTTGCGAATCGCTGGAGAAAACTTCTCGACTTCTGCTACACGTAATGACTTGGTTGCAAAGTGCGAGCGGTTCCACATGGCCCTTGAAGTCGCAAAGCAGGCTGGTATTTAAATCGCCCGGTGGTAGACTGTGGACTCAATTTGGTCAAGAAATCTTTGTTGGAGTATTTCATTTTGTTTATTCAATTACTAAATCGTCATAGCCTAGACTAGAATGTGTCAATTGATACTAGGTATCTGTTTCTAACAATCTCACACTGCAATTGTTCTACAAAGATCCCGGGATACCTGAGAGTACCAGAAGTCATACAGCTCGCATAATTCAACAAGATTGTATCTCTCCAAATTTTGTACAAATAAATAATGAAGGTCAACTCAATTGATGCATTCTATAACTATCCTAAGAACACCTATACGGCCTATATTAAAGGTTAGTACCTAGAACTTCTAATAATATCCGATATAACAATATATAACTCTCAGTCCGGCTGGGAGGGATCATCCTGTGGTAAGCAAACTGTAGAGCAACAGAGAGAGCAGTAGTGGCAGCACAGATGAGGCGATGGATCAGTCGTGAAATACTGGCCATGTTCAGTACAATGTAGACGCAAACAAACCAAAGCAAACTGATATAGACGGACGGGATCCCGACCCCTATCCAGAGCGTCCGGTGCATTGTTAGTGGTAGCTTTGCTTATACTTATGCCCACAGTTTCTCAATGAGTGAAGGTTCATTATTGGGTCGGCGCCATGAGTCTCTAGTAGCAGCATTGGTTTGGTTGGTCGAGGTGTGTCGTCGCCATGAACCCCTGCTGTTAGAGGCGACTGCAGAGGAATCGTACTTATCTGAATGGGCGGCATTGTTAGCAACGGCTCTCACATCAGGGGTATATTTGTTATTATAGGTAGTGGACATACGCCATGGATCTCGCAGAAGACCTGTATCATAGGCCTTCTGTCGAAGGTCTGTTCGATTCAGAACAGGGATCGGATCGGTGTTCCCGTCCTTCGCGAAGCGTCGTTGCTCGGGCTTGGCCAATCCAGATGGAATATTGGGACGCGTGTCGTCGTAAGAGCAGTAGACATGGCCTTCATACAGGTAATGAAGGCTGTCGCCCATGTACACGGTGATGTGTGGATCGTCTTCAGAGATCGTTTTTTGGATCCGTCCATATGCGGTTCGGGTGATTGTACGTGTTGTCCCATGGTCGTATTTGCTATGGTTCAGGAAGCGCATCGATTAGCAGGGCCTCCTTGTTGTGGATAGGGATGTTAGTTGACTTACCGGATCCAAAGCCTCCTTGTTCCCATCTTGTAGCATGCCTGGCGGCATGTCTTCTCGATACCAGCTACTCGCCCTCGGGGTGAGTCGTCAGGTTCTGATATCCACGAGATCTAAATGGAACCCATAATTAGTTGGCGTGAAGCTTTAAGTATAATAAGTCATTGAACATACCTCAGGGTCCTCAAGTGTCCCGTTTCCAACCTTTCTCCAGACGGGAAACTTTTCAAGGCGCGCAACGGCGCGTGCATACCCGTCTGCGCGCATGGGGATTTCCTTCGCTGTCTTTTGCTTCTGATTCCATTTGAAAATAAACTGATCCAGCTGGATCTTCAACTCCTGTGCAGTTTGTGGAGTATTTTCAGGTTCCTGGCCCTTTGGATCGGGTACCGGTCCCGGAGATCGAGATCTCGTATAAGAGGGAGGGTAGGGCTCAGCTCGTAGCTTTGCCTCTCGTGCAGGACTCATCCGTCTGTCACTTCTTCTCCATGTCGAGTCGGCTCTTGGCTGTTGCGGAATCTCCTTGGGCGACTCGATGATCTCTCCCTCTTCAATATCGGCATAAGGGTCGACGCGTGCCATTCTGGAAAGTTATATTAGTGTGTTATTTATCAGTATATAGCTGTATCAGGCAATGTGGGTAGTTCTGAGAAACGCCAATGTTGGTCTTTCTACGGAGTTCCAAGTTCGAATTCAGCAAGTCTAATACTGAGTGTATGCACTATGGCTTCTTATCCTGCTTTGTATGTCAAATACAAAGATGTTGCCTTTGAGAGCTTTGTTTGATGCTTCATACCATAGATACATTCAAAGGGATGGAGCAGTGAATCTTGTCCACTGCATTTCCCCTTGTATAGGAACGACTTTGACCACCTCTCCATGGCCAAGTCACGTCCAGTGCGAGAGTCCAGTACCACGGATCTCGGTTAGCGTTGTTGATTGGCAGTCTGGCCCTTTTAGGCTTTGTTAATGGGAAGAAGCAGTTCTCATGAAGTTCCCAGGACTGTCTTGTTCGACAGAAATGGTAATCTCCGTGAGATGCGGGAATCTTCGTCGCCCAGCCATTTCCAAAGATAGTCATGCTATAATGTGTGGTATTTTCCTATCCATGCCCGGTAGTCATTTAGTATAATGACGCGGTACTTCTGGTGCCGGCCATTGTAGTAAATTGTATGGAGGGTCAACGATGTGATAGCGCAGGACTGGGTGGTAAGGAACCTCCTATCTTGAAACAATTATTCCTTCAATTTACTGTTGATTCCTCGGTCATCTCGATTCCTCTTGTGATTCTTTAGAATTAGATTCGGCTTTGATAAATGGGCCTGCAGACCGTTCGCATTAAGCGATGGCTATTTTTGGAAGGCTTTCTGGCCGGGTTTAGTAAACAGATGAACAAAGCCACGATATGAAGTCGGCCGACAGATAAAGGACATACTAGAAGTGTATCAGTTGTTTTATGTCTGTGGATGCTGTAAACGCTTCATTGTTACGTTGTCGATATAACGACAAAGGAACTCGATGCCGGGCACTTCTTTATCATCGCCTCGTCATAACCGAAATACATAACAGCAGCTGAATCCAAACCTAAGAACCTTTCTGGAGACTTTGCATTTTTTTTTAATATCCCAAAGGACGTGCTATTCTCACGCTATATCCGCCAAATAAACACCTGATTTGATTATCCATCAGCATTCGAAAAGCCATGGCTAACGTATCTCATGATGACTGCTCTGAGCAGCTTCAGCGTGAGATGGATAGTTTGCACCACTTGGAGCAGCAGACAACCTGCTTGCGCAACAAAACGGAGAGCGGAGATCACACTGTATATGAGGATGCTCTCTTTGCTCAGGCCGAGCCCGCTCGACCGACCCTTACTGGCAATCTTGAAGTCGACATGCGCCATGAAGATGTACGGCGCTGCATGCAGGAAATACCAGATCTGATCAATCAACAAGAGTCCTCCAGGCCTACAATGCGTACGCCTGAACCTGCTGAGGCTGCTGCTCTCGACTCCAGTGACGATGACCAAGATGATTACTCGTCTGGCGATGACAGCGATCTAGGGAATCTCACGGACAGCGAGGAATATGATCCAGAAACTATTGACTGGGAGTATGCTCGACTTGGTGAAGATGGGTACGGTGTTTATGGTCTGTGTGAACGAGTGGAAAACGAGTGGGACTACCTTCGCGGTGGGCACCACCCTGTGCGTATCACGGACTGTTTCGTCGGTCCAAAGGGGCAGTACAGGGTCATCAACAAGCTCGGCAGTGGAGGATATGGAAATGTATGGCTCTGCCGTATCCGGCACCGCCGGCCAACGGAATATGTCGCCTTGAAAATCCTCGTTGCCCGTGATTCCGGGGAGGACGGCAGGGAGCTATCCAATGTTCGCCGCTTGCAGGAACTGGCGAAAACGGTCCCGGAGCTCGAGCGGTACTGTCTTCTTCCATTGGATGAGTTCAAGCTCGAGGGTCCGAATGGCACACACCAGTGTTTTGTCTATCCGGTTGCTGGGTCGCAAGTAGAGGAAGTCTGGAACATAGTGGCGGAGCCTCATGAGTATCTGCGTAGTCTGTGTCGCCAGGCTGTGGAGGCTATGGCCTTGTTGCACCGGAATGGAATATGCCATGGAGGTCAGTAATCTAATATAACCCCAGGCCCTGTCATAAATATTTCCCTACTAACTTGTCATCCTTAGACTTTCGCCCCGCCAACATTCTTCTTCGCCTCGATGGCCTAAATGGCCTGCCAGAGAAGCAGATCAATAAAGGATTGGGGCTCGATACGCTCCGGATTCTCAAATCTGAAGACTGCAATCAAACTGCAAACCCGCCACCATACCTGGTCAAGGCAGTCTATCTCGACGATGAATTCCATTCCGCCTTCGCAACCGGTGATATCTGCGTGGTGGACTTTGGAGAGTGCTTCGAGACCTCAAATCCGCCAGAAAAGGGAGCCATTCCCTTCGCGTACGCTTCTCCAGAGCTTGCTCTGAGCGAAGTCAGTGCTCCTGCTAGCGACATCTGGGCACTCGCCGCTACAATATACGAGATTCGCTTCGGCAGCAAGCTGTTCAACGTGGACGCAATTCCTATCAGAATGGACGATGAGACACGTATAATCGGGAATGACGCCAAACCAAGCTACATTTTCTCCATGGTCAGACAATGCGGACGGCTTCCTGAGCCGTTGTGGTCCGAATGGTCGGAACATTGGATAACGCTGCAACAGATTTTTGGTAACTCGCTGGAGGACGATGAGAGTACCGTGTATGAAGCTGCAGTTCGTCGGGATACTATTCAGCGTAAGATTAACCGGATGGTCGCCCATGTTATCGACCCAGGTGACAAGTCGCAAGAGTGGCGTACCGCAGTCGATACTGAAGAGAAAGAGCTTTTCGAAGATCTCCTCTTCAAGATGACCGAGGGTGACCCGGCTAAGAGATTGTCCATTGAGCAGGTGCTTCGTCACCCCTGGTATTCTTATACGAGTGGCCAGTCCCCAGTGGCTCAGGACGCCATTGCCGCCAATGCTCCTGAATCTGTGATTGGTACTCCTGTATCCGCTCAGGAGGACAAGTCCCGATTATCCCTAGCTAGTAGGCTAGACACGGAGGATATCAATATGGTCGACGCACATCAAAATGGTGATCCTATAGTTGATGTCAATGTGGGTCAACAATCCCGGAGGAGTAGGTCTAAGTCCGTGGAATTCAACCTGCCAGGGCTAAGAGAAGGTACCAAGCCTATCTCTGGCAACTCTGGGTCTCAATTGCAGCTGAATGTGGTGCAGTACGGGGTGCTTGCCGTTTCAACGTGGATTCGGACGACGGTGGGTAGGGCGTTTAAATCTGTGGCTCGCTAATTGTTACTGGGGTTAATTAGAATAGTATATATCCAAATAATATGTCATTCAACTTTACTTTCTTTCCGATGTAAGACAGCGCAATCGCAGCTATGTATTTTTGCCTGACTGCTAAATGAAGTCAAAATATGTAACCGCATGGGAGATCAGCCAATGTTGGCAATGCACGCTACAAATTCGACATCCGCAGGCTACATTAATTGCAGTCTGATTCGTAATTTTGTGCAGTATGACTGTTTCAGCCCTCATTGATTGACTGCGTAGTGTAGTGTGTACAGTTGTATAGACACCTCAGGCGGAAATGTCACGTGCAGTGGGATCAACAATCAGCAAGGAAGACGAACTTGCTGCATCTTCCTCCAGCTAACCAGGTTCTCGTCACAGCGTGTCCTGATTCCTCTCTTCCATAAATGAGACCCTGATATACTTGTGAAATGCAGCCCTATTTGCTGAGGGATGAGACCTTGATCGCCGAAGATGAAAACGCGATCCTACTGCCGCAGTCTGGCTCGGAGCACGAGCATGAGCATGATGAACCAGCCCCCCAACGCCGTCACTTGGGACTTGTATCGACAACCTTTTTAATGTAAGATTATGGCTCTGCATTTGATCGAGTTACTGATATGTTTAGCACCAATCGCATGATTGGAACTGCAATCTTCTCGACACCGTCCGCCATTGCTGAGAGTGTCGGGAGCGCAGGCGCCGCTTTGGCTCTCTGGATCGCTGGTTTGATCCTCGCGTACTGTGGTCTATTCATATGGATTGAACTTGGATCTCTCATGCCCCGAAGTGGGGGTGAGAAGGTGTACTTGGAGGCCGCGTACCCGAAGCCCCGAATGCTTGTGACCACGGTGTTTGCTGTCCATGTTATTTTTCTGGGGTTTACAGGTGAGTCTCCACGGCTAATATGTGATAGAGACTGATTGAACAAAAGGTATTGGGAGTGTCGTGGTGGCCGAGAATATCCTCCTTGCTGTGAGCGGCTCCGCCAGTGACTGGGTCAAGAGAGGGCTCGCCGTTGCAGTTCTCGCGATCATAGCCACGATCCATATAAAGTCCTGTGCTCTTGGAGTTAAGATAATGGTACGAACAGCTTTTAAGAGAGTGAGATCGTTCTGACGATAGTAGAATGTTTTGGCCTCGGTGAAAATCCTCATTCTTTTCCTCATCATTCTTTCCGGGCTGCGCGCTCTTGGAGGCGACCTACCACAAATTCCCCATCCAGCTAGTAGTCTAGCGAATCCCTTCGCCGGATCTTCATCGGACGTATCACACTATACCAATGCTTTGTTCAAGATACTGGCGACGTACCAGGGTTGGTCTAATGCGGCATATGTGCTTGACGAAGTACACAACCCTCGCAAAGTCCTGAAGATCGCCGGTATTGTGGGTGTTGGGACTGTTGGTCTGCTATATATCTTAACCAATATCTCTTACTTCATTGTTGCGACCCCGGAAGAAATCAGCAGGACCGGGGTCACAGTGGTCGCCCTCCTGATCGGGAAGGTCTTTGGAAGTACAATGCTCTGGCTGACAGCAACACTGGCGGCGTTATCGTCATTCGGAAGCTTGATGACAGCATCGTTTTCGATGTCGCGAGTGGTGCGAGAATTTGCAAAGGAAGGGCTAGTTCCGTATTCTCGTTTTTTTGCTGCCAGTACGCCGTCTGGGTCGCCGTCCACAGCATTCCTTCTGGTCTTCCTTTCGTCAGCAGTAATGATCGTGTTCATTCCATTTGGTCAGTCTATCTTTCCTCTACGGATTCAGAACACTAACCGTACTAGGCGAGGTCTATAACTTTTTACTGGATGTTGGACAGTACGCCATTGCCATAATCAACGTCCTGGTTGTTATCGGATTGTTTATCATCCGTAGAAAACCAAACCCTCAGCCCACGTTCCGCGCTTGGAACCCGATTGTATATTTATTTTTCACCTCGCAGATTTTCCTGTTAGTCACTCCATTCGTGCCTGCAGCGTTGGACAAGGGCAAGGCGCTCCCACCTTGGTTGTATTCCGTGGTGGCCATCCTCGTACTTTCAGGAGCAGCCATTTATTGGCTAGTGTCATGGGTAGTGCTTCCCAGACATGGAAAGTTTGTCTGGACTGCTCGAAAGTCGATTCTCTCCGATGGATCATCGGTGGTGTCGTGGGACAAGGTGAAAGTAAGCTGAACACCAACCACAACTTCCAGTTCTGTTCTACCTGCGACTGTAATACCGGCCTCGTCATTTGAGCATGGTGTAAGACAAACGGGGTTGGAAACAACCCAATGGAGTATGCACTGCGCCATCCAGTGTTTGGCTTGCTTGGAGTTCGTTTATTCGACACGGCCCAGCCCCAAGACTAGAGCCAATACCATCAACGCGCCATACAGTGCGCACCTTTTCCGTCCGTGGCGCCTGCGATCCCGCCCTTTTAATAAGGCCAGCAGACTGTGATTGACCAACTTAAGCCGGTTCCGTGTAAGCGTGTAAGGGGATAGCCAAGCCACTTGCATGAAATCGTGTCGCGCTCCCCGTTTCTCCGCACTTCTTCATAGATTGATTTGCATTGGATCTCGTCCAATTCCCCTCCACCGCAAAGGTTTCCAGAGCCGTGCAGTCCCCGATCGCCTGTCCGCACGTATCATCCCTAGCACTGTTTTTTGACCACCGGCTGTCTTTGCTGCGTCTGTTGCATCGCACGTCTTGAATCCAATGCGAGCAGATCGCGCCAGGAGATCCCTGGCTCCACTGTCACAAAATCCACACCACAAACAGTGCTTCTCGCGCCACCCCGCACCCAAGAATAAGAAACTTGCCATTGAATAGGCTTGGCATGGCGAGCTAAATTGCGTCGGACTCGTTTAGTCTTATCACGGATACATTGGGTTGCGAAATGTCTGCCGAGGGCCCCCAAAACAGTCTGCAACGCACGGGGCTGGAATGCAGACTTCCCCAACAGCTCACCGCACAGCCCCTGCAAAGCGGCTTTCTAAACACTCACTGTACATGTCTGGAAAGAATTATTGGTGGATCTGAATGTGAGGTAGCATCCGTGGCCTTTCTTCGGGGCTCAGGATGCCACAAGTCTTTCACAGAGCCTAAGCCCTTCACGCCAAGGGCGCCAACAAGCCCTGGTCGAGTTTCTTTTTATCACGATGTTTGTTAGATGGGTGACGTATTACAGCGAGTTTCGACCCTGCATGGAAACGAAGTACCAAACAGTCTGTTGCTGACCAGCATCTACGCATGGAGACAGCGATGTCCAGCCCTACGATGATCGCCTGGAGCAACAGATAAGCAGCAAGGCCTTTGAACTAGGAACGGGCAACTTGAGGTACGATCATGGGCCGATCGCCGCTCGAGACCTGTGATCGTCAGCATCCTCGGCCGCACTCCCCAGTATACGGGGTACCCCAGGATGTGGAAGTTATGGCCCACTACCAACTAGCAAGGCGTTATGCGATGGAGATTGTCCTGGTCGACCGTGGAGGAAATTGCCCAATAAGTCCGCCCCGTGGCGCCCTAAAATTGTGAAGAATCAAAGCTATTGTGCTCATCTTGCGGGGAAGGGGAACCTGGCAGGGATCTTTGCAACCAAACATCCAACTACCCCTGCTTAATCTTCGTCTCATCTGAGCTACCCAAGCTCAGCACATGTCTAGGGCACTCAGAATAAGCCCAGGAGACACGATAGACCGAGGCTGCCCTTCTCGTGCTATGTTCTGCGAGGCATAAAAGGGCCAAACTCCCAGCCTTCAAACATCCATCTCACTAACTCCCAATATACTCTCCAGTTTAACAATTCAGCACTATCAAACCATCTACCCAAAATGAAGTTCGCATCCGGCCTCCTCACCCTGACCCTCGCCTTCAGCGCCTTCGCTGAGCCCATCCCCACCCAGAAGCGCGCCCTCGCCGACTACACCGGCGTCTTCGACAAAATCAGCACCCAGGTCGCTGCCGTTTCCGACAGCGTCGCCTCTTACGTCGGTGGCTCAACCCCAGGAACCGATGTCCAGGATGCCGCAAACACCCTCGTGGACGTGATCAACGAGGGAGCCACCAGCGTCGGCGGCTTCGACGATCTCAGCAACTCCGACGCCCTCGCGCTCGTCGAGCCCATCCAGACCCTCACCGGTGACGTCGGCAGCCTTGTCGATGCCGTGATTGATGCCAAGCCGAATTTCGACACAGATGGACTTTCGGCTGATGTGCTTTCCTCGCTCCAGGCGCAGAAGACGGCTGCTGAGGCGCTTCGTGATGCTATTACCCCCAAAGTTCCTGACGCTCTGCAGGATATTGCTGCTGAGTTGGCAGAGGGTATTGTTACTGAGATCAACCGTGGTATTACTGCCTACTCTTAGTTGAGCATGGGAACTGTCTAGGAAGGAATATGAGGCTATATAGCTCGAAGAGTGGAGGATGGACCGTCCCTGGCCACGAAGTAGTCGCTCGTTATGATTTAAATGAATATGATTAAATGCTTTATGATTTGACTGTCTTGATCGGGCCGTAATACTGGAATCGGGGAAGATACAATGCCATTTAACCAATCGACTGGGCCTGACACTGGATGGCATTCGTGACGCACATCAATCGACAGGGAAGGGAGGAATATAGGAAAGACTGTTATAACGCGAGGATGCAGGTGATGCTGAGCTGTTCATGTAGTTGGATAGAACAGCAAGCTACATCTGAGGGAAATTAATGAGTAGACGACGCGAACACTAAGAAAAGACCTGGATAATTGAAATTTGTGAGCCTTCGAATAAGTATTAAACATGTAATTTCTTTAGAACCCCCCTGCGAAAGGTGTGAAACAGAAGGGCACCGATGAATATAAAAGAAAAGTAAAGTCCCAAATATTTTACAGAATCAGCACAGCCTGGATATCAATTGTGCAATATCATCCGGGATATCCTCCATAGGGTAATGTCCTGCATTCGGAAGCCAGATCCCATTCGGGGCCCAGTCAACCATATTATCCTTGCCAACAACACGCACCAGAACATCCTTGTAGTCTCTGACAAGTGGATCTCGCGCTCCAAAGGCCACGACTGTTTTCAGTCTGCCCCCGATTTCCTTGTCCAGGTCTTCCTCGCGCTGTCTCTGCCAGTAGGACCTGACAAAGTCATCCCTTTCTGACAGAAGTGCCAGCGTGTTCAGGTCACTGAAGTTCTTAGGCCCCAAGACGGCCTCGCACATCTTCCATCCTTGTGTTTCGCGAACGCCTCTCAAACTAAAGTGTGGTATGCCAGGGGCGTGGCGTGAAAAGCGCTCGGCGCTGGATCTGGTGGCTGTAGGGAGATCCTGGTACGGAGCCTCGTAGCATTCAACATCTTTCTCAGAGATGTGTGGTGAGATAAAGCGCGCGATGGTGGATTGAGAGGCATATCCATCGAGGACTGCGGTTAAGAGGAACCAGACGGCGTGGAGAAGGTAGCAGTGGATACTGACCTCCTGAGGGCGTGGGGGTAAAAAGGAATTAATAAGGACGAGGCCACGGAACGATGAGGAGGGCAGGTATGGGATTGTTGAAAGAGCTATGCATCTGGAATCTGGTTAGCAGGGAGATACTTTGCAAGATTGTCGAATGGTATAGATCTGTCATAGAAGTATAGAAATATGCTGCTGTGTGCTTACCCGCCCCAGTGGTGTGCTACCAAGATAGCATTATCAAGCTCGACATGGTTGACAAAGGCGATCAGCGTCTGGATATGCAACTCGAATGTTAGAGCATCTCGTTGGACAGGCTTGTCGCTCAGTCCATGGCCGAGCCAGTCGAGAGCAAACAGCTCGTGCCCTTCTAGAAGCAGTCTGGTCATAACCTGCACGGAGTCAGTACTGTCAATCAATGGAACAAGAAAGGGTATCTTTGCAACAAACCTTTCTCCACATATAGCTCCAGCCTCTATTCCCATGGAGAAACACGATGGGCCTCTTCCTCGAATGGCTGCCATTCGCCGCACCATTCGCAGTCGGCTTTAAATGAATATATCTTACTCTTGCGCCACAGACAACAAACTCTTCAACGTTTTCGTACCACGGAATCCCATTAACCCACATCTTTCCAGACAGGTTGACGCGAAGAACTTCATTTTTAGGGAACATATACTTCCCTTCCAGCTGGAGCTGAGCCTGCACTGCGGCCTGCCGACGGTATGTTTCTGCCTCGCCGATGAGCTTATTCCATCGGGATACAACGCAGCGAAAGTTTCTGGGAATAGTAGAGAGGCGGCGATAGAGGAGTTGAAGAATATAAACAGGAAGGAGGATGCAAACAGCGTAGATACGGCACATCGTAAACGACAGAAGGAACGCGCTTATGGTTTCGTAAATTCTCTGGACGCCCGTCCATATCAAACCGAGCCATTGCTGTCTTCCATAGGTTTGTGCAGCCTCAAGGATCCCATTCCATCGTTGAACAAGCGAATAGCCGTTTTTGCGAACAGTTGCAAAAACTCGAGAGAGGTCTTGTAAAACATAGGTTGGGACAAGCAAACAAACTGCACGCAGGCGGTCTTTAGAGGGAAAGAGAAATATGCCTAGGACTTTGTGCACCGCTTGCACAAGGGCAACGACCTGCGAAACAGAGTGCCAAAGCCATCGGATCGAATGGAGAATTTCCAAGTCTTCGGGCTGTTCTCTTTCGAGACTGAAGTTTAGGGCTGGTGGCTCGGTCTGCGTCCAGGTCATTTTGCGCGTCGAATTTGCTAACCCTGAACAAGCATGAGATGTCACAGTGGTAAAAGTGGAAGAAATATTTACTTATAGCAGTATGTGAAGCGGAAGAGGCGTGTCTAAACCCTTGTTTGGTGGCTTATCAAGTATTCTATGCGCAAACCGCATTGCTGAAGGCTCAATCCAGGGGCATGCTTTGGCAAATAGAGCCCGATAGCGAGAGTACGTTATTAATCGGTATGATGAGATACGATGTGTTTATTCGGTCTCTATAGTAGTGCTGACGCAGGATATTGCGTTAGTCTAGTAACAAGCAGCCCTCTGTTATGCTTTGATAATACGAAGGCGGCAGTTTGGGATAATATTGATTTTATCGAAACGTGTTGACTCATGAGAACGGTTAAAACTGATTCCATCGTCAAAGGAACGTGTTGAAAAAGTCAGGATGTCTGTCCATGTTGTTGTGCCCCTTGATACCTTGCGAGACTCGGCATGCCACCCAAAGCTAGAACCGATGGACTTTAAACAGAATTCAGAGGAACTTAGTCATAAAATAACACGAATTAATATCTTGCAATGGCATAAGAGATCGAATCGACATGCTAAATGAATGTTTTGATATGATGCTTGAAGCTGTTTCCATCCCTGGAATGGAGGCCTGCAATCGCACGTTAATTGATATAAAGGAATGTCATAGCACCGTCTACTAGATAAGCAGTGCCTGAATCGTCTGGTATGGAGCTGTAAGGGGCGTTTACTGCTCGCAGAATGCAAGATAAACACAAGAGAAACACTGCCGATTCAGTGGGACAGGGTCAGACGGGCTTGGAGGCCGAGCTTATACCGCCAGAGGGGAGAATCTCCCGATGAAGAGTGAAATGGAACAGGAGGATAGAAGAGGGTTGAGTTTCTAGAAGGAGGGAGGATCGAGGGATAGAATTCGATTGCGCAACGACAACTTATCCACTCCCGGCCGCCCTAAGCGCCATAATTAGAATATCCCTTGCAACCCGAAGCCGAACCGGAGCCGGGGAATCGCCAAGAGAGCAGGAATGGAACAGGAGAACTTAGACATGACAGGGGCGATCTCCAGCGTCTCCGTCCACCACGCCGGGTCCGCATCCGGAAACCAGCACGGACACCTACCTGGCTGTCTTGACAGCTGTGGGGCGAAGGGTCCGACATTGCGATTCCAGACCCTGGACGTCTTGAGATTGGGCTGGTCTTAGCTGCTGTAACCTGTCATGGTCTCGTAGCGTGGCGTTTGAAGCCCTGCCCCGTTTTCAACGTGCTTTTTATTTCCTTCCTCATTCCATACTCTCCAAACTCTGCCCAGGCATATTATACTTTCCCTGTGCCTGTTCCCGTCCACGGCCAGAGGAAATTACCCCAGGATAGCAGGAATAAGCTTTCAACCTCGCCGTTATTGCTTATTATCCGACCGGAAACCGTGCGACCTGACTGCAAGTGCTGGTCAGCATCTCCTCGCCATATGATTTAGAATCTGGCACAATCCATCCCGAGAACGTCGCCATCCAAGGGGCATTGGCAATCCAGTTATAAACCCTCAATGCCCTTCGGCATCGGGTGTTGATTACTCTTGTTCTCTGCGGCCGTCATCCCTCGTTGACGATCTGTCCCTTATGTTTTCCATATACCACCAGCGAGAGCAGGCTTGGGATAGCCCCGCCTACATGGCGGTCCAGAGTTATTCCCACCCCTCGTCTCCGAGTCCTATTGCCCAGAGATACTGCGCAGAGTATCTGGACGATCTGATAGCCAATTCCTGCGTACAGCCCTCTCTGTCGGGATATGACGGCTCTGTGGACTCGGTATCACCTGTTCTGTCGGGCTCTCCAATGGTTGTTCCAGAAGATCCCCCACCTCCTTACGAGGACTGCGTATCTTCCAGCCCGCCTGTTGCACAGGGCAATGAGCTAGAACGGCACTCACCCCGCAGAGTACCAGCTGCCGACGATATATCCGTCGAGGAGGAGCCTTCACGGCATGTCGACTACCTATCGCACATGTGGAGTGAGGCAGATGTCCGAGAATCCTGGCGATATGTTGGCGCTCATAGAGACAAATATGAGAATAGTGCCAGACTACAAAATGCTGCTTGGAGAGCATGGGCCAAACTAAGAGACAACCTGGGTACTATCTCCCCGGTTGACCTGAACTGGTATGTTTAACACTTCGTTATTTAGTACCCGAGTTAATGCAGTACCAGGATGAAAGATTCTGACGACACCTGGTTATACGGGCCGCTCAAAGCCTCCCGTATACAGATAAAGCCGGTGAAAGTTTCACCCCCCGCAAGCTATTGCCGGTTCCGAAAAGCTTGCCGTGAGCATAAATCGATTCTGAAGAAGAGGACTGCGTCTGAAGCTATTCTCCAGCGATCTCCATCTCCACGCCTGCGCGCAAAATCATCAGCGTCTGAACGTTCTCGCAACCCCTCAAGACGCCCTACTCAACAGCCGGAGTCTAGGCCAATTATACAAAAGCTGTATGACCTGGTGAAACCTCCCCGCGGCATTCAATTGCGCAGTGGAAAGCGCCGAATCCATTTTAACAAGGAGGTCATGCAATGCATCGCTATAACACTGGACGAGGAAGGGATGGAAAAGGAGTACGTGGAATTTGGAGACGACCTATCCTGGGATAGGTCGTATATCGTGAATCTGAGGCGGTCCTATGGTGGGAATCAAACAATTGCTCCGCTGCCTCCAACTACGCTGAAATATCATGGTGATGTGCCTGATTTGCAGCCGGCGATTGCGCCTTGTTGGTCGTGGAAAAGGTATATCCCATTGTATTAATATTTTCCCTAGCTTATATAACTATGTATTTAATTCTTAATCTTAATACGTGTACCTATATTCGAACACTTTGTATTTCTCGCATTAATGCAATAATGGTGACTTGAAAGGAAGATGTTTACGCAGGCCAGTAATGCTAGCAAAGTATAGCAGAGTAGAGAATGCCCCCTCACAGAAATTACATTACCTTTGGCCAGGAAAAATGAATAAACAATGAATACTCACTAGTCGAATTATTGTTTATCCGAATTTCTTGATATGCTTGATATACTTAATTTTCTCCAGACTTAATGTTGACACTGGCATTCTCCAGACCCAATGGCAGCCTGGCACATACCACAAACGCCACCAATCCAAAAGCTCCCATATTCTGGTACGCTACAGCGAATAGCCTCAGGGGGTTGGTTTGGCACATTCCGAACGCGAGGTCCATGCAAAGGCAATAAAACATAAACAACAGCGTGTTTACCCATAGCAGGCATTTAAGCGCGTTTTATGCTGCTGGTCATGGGTGTGTCGGTAACGCCAGTTCGTCTCATCTATTACGCGACGCTAGCTATTATGACTATTATGGAGAAGAACCTGAAGTCAAATGATTGTCAGCCGGAAGTTGAAGGTAACTCGGTACGGCGCACTGAAGTACATTCCTCGAGCCCCCGCTCCATTTGAAGTAGCCAGTGCTTACACCGTCTAGAAAGCTGGTGCGGACACTCGTATCAATACGGGGGCGTATGATGCAAACTGCACCTATCTACTGAGTCCGCAGAGAGCAAAAGCCGGATTACGAGCTGATATGCTTCGCACGCCAGAGAATAAAGCACAAGGCTCGGATGCGGGCAAGGCACCAAAACGCCGCGCGTTAAACTTACGACGTCTACGACTTGCCAATTTACCTCGCCGGGCCTTGTTCGTGGATAGTGCCTCTCCACGCCAGCGTGCAGTCCGCAAAAGAACTGATTACAAGGACGGTGGTTTTGCTGCCAGAGTTGCAAGGAAACTCCGATTTGAGACGACGACGCGAACGAGAGCCGCTGGCTGGAAGTCTTATGTGCGAAAAGAGCGAGAAATCACAAGGAGAGAACGAGTTGGAAGTGCTGCTCTACTGCTGGAACCAGTGGACTTTGGCTGCGATACGGCGGAGGATAGTAATAGCGAATTCTGGTTATACGACAGGATGAATCACGTTACAGGGATACACGCCTAGTTCTCTGCTGGAAGGTCAAGTTGCTTGTGTATTTACTGTATTTATGAGCATTTATTTTCTGAGGGGGGTTTATTCTGGATTAATAGCTTTTAATGAAACAATACAGCGTCAGGGCATAACTCCTGTTGCTTACCGAGTTGGGATGTATGTCACCGGGGGGCATTGATTGGCTCCCGCTGCGAAGTGTGTATCTATTCTGTGACCGCGATGCACCTAGCTTTATAATACTACAGCTATCCTCATTTTCCTGCCCCTCCTATTGAAGACTACGTCCCAAGTCATTATACCGGCCAACATGTCATCCAAACCCAGTGTCCTGTTCGTCTGCATCCACAACGCAGGCCGTTCCCAGATGGCCGCAGGCTACCTCACCTCCCTCGCCGGTGCCACGATCGAAGTACGTTCTGCTGGATCAGCCCCAGCTGCCTCTGTCAACCCCGCAGTAATCGAGGCCATGCGCGAGGACGGCATAGACTTGGCCACCCAGCAACCGAAGATCCTCACCGAAGATGCAGTCCGTCTCAGCGATGTCGTTATCACCATGGGCTGCGGCGATGTCTGTCCTGTTTTCCCGGGGAAGAGGTACCTTGACTGGGAACTGGAGGATCCGGCTGGGCAGGGAGTGGATTCGATACGCCCGATCCGGGACGAAATCCGCCGTCGTGTGGAGGGGCTTATTGCTGAGTTGCAGGGGACTGCTTGATTTTTCAGATCAGGGGGTGACCTAGCGCCTGTTGTTATCTTCTTACGGTGCTAATGGGTTGGTCGTTGAAAGCCTGGACATGCCAGAGGGTCTAAATCATTGTAAGGTTCATAGTTGCGAAAGATATGGTGCACGAGTAGGCGGTTCGTATTTTATTGATATCAGCATATATAGCGGTCATGTATATATCAAGAATGTTTTGAACATGTACTGGCGTAGTGTCTGTCTCCATCGCGTGTCTGATATCCTGATTTCCGGTGATAAATGTTGAAAATAGTGCCGGCCAATCAGCGCTCAGCAGTGACATTCGTCAATTTTTCGCCCAGCACGCCACCAAGTCGCTTCGCATGACCCTCAATCTGGCCAAATTAACATTCTATACATTTGACTTTATATATTTGGCTTCTGCCACAGCATACCATTTTGCAAGCCCGTGCCAATGTTTCTTTTCCTCGGGAGGACGCTACCGTTGAAACATACACCAAGAGCTGGCACCTTGAAATATCCACGATACATACACACAAGTAACAGGACAATGACCGTCGCAAACAGTCTAGCAGCATCCAGCGAGTCTCACGGGATAGAAAGTACACAGTCATTGGCACTCCCAGAGACAGAGGACGACATCCAAATCCGCCAGCAATACCGCCCGTTCCTCGCCGACCAGACCGACGACGACTGGGTCAGCAAGCTGGAATTAACGACAGTTCTGGATTTAGCGGCCAAAGACATTGCCCTCACGAATCGTCGCTTAAAGGTCCTTGTCCTGTACGGCAGTCTGCGCCGACGCTCGTACTCGCGCCTCGTGGCATTCGAGGCCGCCCGCATCCTCTTCCGTCTGGGATGCGATGTCCGAGTGTTTAATCCTGAGGGTCTACCGGTGAAGAACGACACCGACCAGGACCATGACAAAGTGCAGGAGCTCCGGTCCCTGAGTGCGTGGAGCGAGGGGCATGTCTGGATTTCGCCCGAGCAGCATGGTAACCTGGTACGAACGGCAATGGCCCTTAATTTTTTTTTTTTTTTTTTTTTTTTTTTTTTTTCCCGTCTTCGCATCACATACTAACACCATTGCCAGACCGCAGCATTCAAGAACCAAATCGACTGGATCCCGCTAAGCACGGGGAGCGTCCGGCCAACGCAGGGCCGCACTCTAGCCATCGGGCAAGTCTGCGGCGGATCGCAGTCCTTCAATGCCGTAAACTCACTGCGGATTCTGGGGCGGTGGATGCGCATGTTCACCATCCCGAACCAGTCGTCGATTCCGCAGGCTTATACGCATTTCCCGGATGAGGGACAGCCCGGGGATCAGCGGCTCAAGGCCAGTGGGAATCGCGATCGGTTGGTGGATTGTATGGAGGAGTTTGTGAAGTATACGATTCTGATGCGGCCGCATATCGATCTCTTTGGGGATCGGTATAGTGAGAGGGAAGAGAAGAGAGTGAAGGCGGCCAAGGCTGCTCGTACGTAGTGTTAGAATGGGCTGCCGGCCTATATTATAGACAATAGACATATGCAGTATTGTAACTAAATTAATGTATCCTACTGCTGACTAAAGGACTGGGAATGAGGGGTCAGTCATATCTTGATCCAGGATTTACAACTTGTATTCCTCCGTAAAGTAAAATATACACCATGCCACGACCAAAACGCAAAACCAAGGCAAGCCTAAGAATACAGTATTCCGAAAATTTCTAATGATAGATAACTAGGCCGAAGACCTCGCTAGGATACGGCGCAACCAGCGTAACTCCCGAGATCGCAAGAAAGAGCGTGTCCTAGAACTAGAGCGACGAGTCGAGCAGCTCGAGGCTGCAGCGACTGAAGCCTCAGTCCAGAGTCTGGAACATGAGAATCGCACCCTGAGAGGACTATTGGAGTCTGTTGGGTTTGATGGGATGTCGTTGAATAGCTATCTCCACGGTCCTGCTACTGCTTCTTCCTCTGGTCACGACCTTGCACTTGCTGCAGATTCGTCTGAGATGCAGTTTATGGGCTTGGAGGTCGGGCCTCCAACTGTATGACTCTGAGACTCCTACAGCATTAATAAAGGCTACTAAGCTGGGTAGATCTCTGGTATTCTAGGTGACGAGGCTGCTCTACAACCACTATCCTCCACACAGCTGATTCTCGATCGCGGAATGCAAAACGAGTTTACTCCTCTGAGCGGCGACAGTTTTCAGTTGAATTTGCCTTGGTCGCTCCCAACGGAACAAGGACAGAATCAATCTCAACCCCAGGCTACAGCTACTTTCAACGCTGGGTTAACTATAACGGAAGACCTGGCTGGGGTGGTTCAAAATATGGGCGGCGTAACGGGTTCAACCGTAGGCTTGGTGAATAACGAGACAACATTATGCAGTATTGCGTTCCATCTCATTGTCCAATGCAACAGAGCAGGGAAGGATGTGCTGGAGCTGGAGACGAAGCTGCGATACGGGTATAGGATGCCGGCTCTTCCGGGGGAGGGATGCCGAGTGGATAACAGGACGCTTCTAACTGTGCTTGCAGAACTTGTGTGATATATCCGCGAGATAATATGGATTTCTGGCATGTCACCATGAAAATCTGGCATATTGAAGATAATCAATAGCTGAAACGGTGACATACCACTTATGTAGCTGCCCAATCAGCAAACAGCATATTTACGCATGACAACTTAGCCAAGGGGGACTGAACATAACATAAATAGCCAGGGACCATCTCTGATCCTGGCTGGAAGACACTGCCAACCTCGCTATCCTCTATATTTGCATATACTCTATTAACCCAAAATGAACCAAGACGCCTATGAGACCGTCCAAGCCCGATACGGCAACATCGCCAAAGACACATCCAACTCAGCCACCCAACAAGACGCAGACGACAAGATCGCGCAGGCTTTTGGATACAGCGCCGACGACCTCTCTTCGCTCCCTGGGAAAGCGAATCTCGGCGTCAGCTGCGGGAACCCAACGGCGTTTGCCAGTATAAAGCCGGTACGCTTCTCGCGCGTCCTGGACTGCTGGTATTGCGTGGTGCTGACTGTAACAGGGAGAAACTATCGTCGATCTGGGCAGTGGCGGCGGTATTGATGTGCTGCTGGCTGCTCGCAAGGTCGGTGAAAGGGGGAGGGCTATTGGGGTTGATATGACGGAGGTATCCCATCCATATTTGCACGACTCGGTTCCGTTGTACTTTCTCACCGGGGTAAGCGTTTTGTATATTAACAAGGTCTACAGGATATGATATCTCTCGCGCGCAAAAACGCAAAATCTGCTGGCCTGACGAATGCCGAGTTCATCCAGTCCACAATCACATCCATCCCGCTCGGGGATTCAAGCGTCGATTGTATCATCAGCAATTGCGTTATTAACCTCGTTCCCAAGGAGGATAAGCCCGCTGTGTTCACAGAGATGGCAAGGCTCCTTAGTCCCGGCGGCAGAGTTGCTATCAGCGATATCCTGGCGAGAAAGCAACTACCGCAGGATATACTGGGTGATATGGCGCTCTATGTTGGGTGTGTTTCGGGGGCGAGCCTGGTGCCGGAGTATGAAGAGTGGCTTACACGGGCAGGGTTTGCAGGTGCACCATCTTCTACTAGGAATAGAACGGGGATGCTAATAGTTTCTAACGTGGTGCAGATGTTGTAATCGTGGATACAAAGGCCGATATCAATGTCTACAAGCAGGGCTGTGAGTCCAGTCAGGTAGGCTGCTGTGATTCAGGTAGGGATTCTGTTAGGCCACCAGCTGCGAAGTTTGCAGATGTCGATTTCAATGAGTGGGTTGGTGAGTTTATTATTCTCCTGTTTGATTCTTTCTCCTGAGGCAAGTGACTAACCACTGTGTAGGTTCATTCCAGATTTACGCTGTGAAAGGTGGTCAGTGAGGACATGGAAACCTGGAATCAGTCTTGTATTAACTTCATATAATGGTCGAAATGCAATCATATACCAATATACATTACATCAAACACTCAACAAACTCCCAGCTTTCCACAACAACGTAAAACAACTAACATTCCCAATCCACCAACAAACCCCCCTCAACTGACTTAGCAGCGGCCTCTCAACGGAAATATAAACAACCGCATAAGCAAGCCTCGCAAGCGTATAAACCACAACCGCCCGATTCACCAACACCTTATCCACCCCCGCAGCAGTAGCAAGACCAACCCCCGCAACAAGAAGCGTATAATTCTCGACAGCGTTCGCATGCGCGCTCTCGTTCCGTTTCAGCATGTTGAGCGTTTTCTGGCTGATTTTGCCGTCCCGGACTGCGGCGTCGCCGTATTTTGTTAGGTCTTCGCGTGGGGATACATTGTGGTCGAGTCCGTAAATTTGCTTTAGGGTTCGAGAGGAGAGGAGCCCGTATGCGAAAATGAAGTTGAAGATGAGGGCTGCTGGGCCGTAGTGCGGGATCGTGGTGGTGGGGTTGGTGGTGAGGCCGAGGGCGGTTAATGTGGACATGGTGGATTTATTAAGGTGTAGGTTTTGGGAGGGGAATGGGAAGCTTTGATTAATCTGGGTTGTCGGCTTATTTATGAGTGACGCATTCCGGGCGCAGTCGGATCGGATTTCGTCCACGGAATTGATGTTTAGGGCTAGACAATGCTAGTGCTTACGACTGTTTGATATATGTGCATTAATACAAGTGACTTTTTACTACTAAGGCAAATACTTAAAGCTATTACTGCCATGCACGAAGTTAGGTGCTCACTGACGACGGCCATTAAACTCCGGTCTGGTGCTGTAGATATGCAGGCTGGTCAGGATCATATCCAACCAGACAGTTGACCGTCTCATTCCCCTCGCCACTGTCGTTGATCTCGCTGCCAACAGGACTCTTCCACTTGCCCGTGAGCTTGATATACCCGTCAAGAGCACCATTCAAGCGGTGACCAATCTCAAGTGCCTTCGCTGCTCGAGAATGCGAATAGTATGTCAACAACGACTGCGCCTCTTCCCTTTGCCCGGCATCAATTAAGCCCTGTGCAGCCTTTTCAACCCACCCGTAAACCTGCTCTCGAGATTCCGACTCAAACCCATTCAGCACCTCCGTAACAAGCGGGAGATACTGGTTCGGCGCGGAGCACATGTAGTACAACACGCGCTTGAATACCCGACCCGCAAACTCAGACGCCTCCTGGAGCTGGTAATCGGTATTCAAGAAGCTGCTCGACGCTCCGGTGGTCAGGTATCTGTGTTCCCCGAATTCAGGTGGGATGGACTGCACGCCCAGCCACCAAGGGACGAATGGTGCCGAGACAGAGCCTGTCGGCGCGATCCAGATCCGGAGCATATCTGCGTCCACGCCAGGGCTCAGAGTCAGGACTTGTCCGTACCCGGATTCGTCGTCCGAGATGCGGTGGTCGCGGACCCGCGCCATGAGGTCTTCTTCTGTCACTGGGGCCATTGCCAATGTAGCGTTTTCCAGCGTTGCCTGGGACATGTACTTGTATCCGCCGTCGCGGGCTTTATACCGGGGATCCTGGGGCCCATAGACGTCGAAGATGTTGAATGGCTTGCCGGAGGTCTTGTTCCACCAGCCTTGCTCGACTGCAAAGGAGACGATGTTGTCGGAGCCCATGTAATCAGGGCTGTCGTGGAAATCAACCGGGAAATCTTCGATATACCCTGGATACAGCACTTTAACTTCATCAGGGCCTAGGCGCTGCGCAGCCCAAAGACCCTTTCCCCCAGCCATCTCCCAAACAACCCATCCCTCGTTGTAATCCGCAATAAGGTGCGAATTCCCACCATAAGTCGCCTCTCCGTACTTCTTGATCATATCCCCGATAATCTGCACCCCTTCCTTCGCCGTCTTTGCCCGTTCCATAACAACCCGCGCAAGGTCACTATACTGCAACCCGCGCTGCGGATCAGGCGTCATCTGCAGCAACTCATCCCGATTATCCGCCCAAACATCCCGAACCCCAACGCCAAACTCATTCACCCCGCCATTCGTCAGCGGCGGCGGCAACCCCTCGAAATCCGTATACTCCATGCTCAGGTACCGATATGTATGGCTCACCTGCGGGATCTGGATCAGTTCGCCCGGGTAGCTCGCGTCCTGCGTTACCCCGACGGTGATGGTTGAGTTGGGCGGGTGAGAGCGCGCGGGGAACAGTTGCAGCCAGTGGCTCGAGACTTCTTCGCCTGTACCTCCGATCATTGTGCCCCCGCTGGCTGTGAGGTTTTTGCCCACGTAGAAGGCATAGCTTGCTGTTGTGCCTTGGGTTAGAGAGAGTGTTAGGGCCGTTAGGGCCAGGGTGTGGCGGCGCATCTTGTCTGCGGAGGATTGCAGACGGGCAATTCCAATGGCAAGAGAAGTGCGAGCAGGAAAATAATTTTATTTGGATGGTTGGATGATTTAATTTAACTAGTTGTCCTACTCCAATTCATCCATTCCAGTGCACGTGCCTCACGATCCATTTGTCTTCTCTGATTAGTTGATCGGCAGTTCGGCAGTAAACAATTGACATCTCCCGCTCTGCGTCATTTAACTAGCAAGTACCCAAATGGGTATGTCCAACCCGATCCACCCTAGTTATCTGCCTACGGCGTCCAAATCGTATAGCTAATCCCATCCGGAGACCGCGGGATCCTTGCAGAAGAGATCGAATTTCCATTCCGCGTCATGAAAACACAGCATTCCGGCTGTTGATGCAGCGCCTGCTGCTGCATGGCCTTGAGGATTGTAGAGCTGTTAAGGTGATGCGCGCTCCAGCTCTCGTATCCTTCTTTGTGTACGTATGTTGTGAAAACGGTTGTATTATCCTTATTTTTCCAGAGTCAGGCACTTATCACGATCACCAAGGGGTGGAATGTGTATAAGCAGAGGACATACCCCACCCCGCGCTCTATTCTCCTGCACCTGGATGTTAAACCAGGTAACATTAGCCCGCGAGTGGTCCGGAAAGATACCCTGCAGGTCGATCCGGAGATCGTAGTCCTTTGAGCTGTGGATGGTGGCGGGTCCGGGCGGGATGTAGATTGTTTTATCCTGCATTTTGTTGATGTAGTTGATTACGCTTGCCCATCTGCCGCAGCCGTAGTCGTTGCGGATGAGGTTCGGGCTATCTCGTACGTTGGACATGTTTATATAGTGGAAGTTAAAGGTAAAACAGGAACGGGGGGTGAGTAAAGGTTCAGGCTCAGCTGAGGAATGGGGGGCATTAAATAGATTCCACGGCCCCCGTTAAGATGGCTCGAAGAGGGGTCTAGTCTGGCATCCTTCAGCCTTGTCAGCGTTATTGGGTACAGCCTCGCGATATAACGCGTATGATGCTGCCATTGGATGTAGAAGAGCTTGGCTAACGGCGATTTTTGTGTAGAATTCCATTTCTACGCTACCATTGGGTGGTCTTGTCCTTTCAGCCTTTCGCGTCCTCGCACGCGATTTCAGGCAGTTAAAATTCCCGCGAGGCTATTATTGGAATTTCTATTGCGCCTTAATTGCGCAGCAACATGAGAGACTAATAATGTGGTGCCAAAGCCTGGGAGATTGTGGTGTCAGATTCCATCTAAGCACAGCGAAGTATTTATATTCATACTCAGTGATTTTTTTATATATACTGAATAATGTCCAAGGCTTGTAATGCCTATAATAGAGAATAGAAATGTACATCCACGACTTTTAACAGGAAGAGGGTTAGAAAGATGAAGAATTGGGGGAAGGCAGGCCTGGTCCACTAACTTGGACATGGCAGCATCAGAACCTGCAGACAACTAGCGTTCCATAGTAGCTGCATCGGTGCATCTCCAACTGCAAGTCTTGTCTTAAACTTGTTTAGCTGAAATGGAGGCCGTTGAAGCCACTCCTTGATAGGTAATGATGATTAAAGCACCCCAACCGCTCCATTCCCACCAAGACACGGGAACCCAAGTTGCTGAGTGGTGTATTTCTTAAACGCCTCATCTTGGGCGAGTCCCTCCTGACCAACTTCCATCTTGCGCAGCCGGGCCCGAAGCACAGGGACCGTTTCAGCCCATGCGCATAGCACCCCCGCTAATCCTTCGAAGAGGGAGTACGGGTGGTCCGGCAAGCGATAATCATTCGACGCGGTCTTTGGCGACTTCTCGTGGTTATACGGTTGCGTTTCGCGCGCGTGCAGAATCATCGCGAGCGCTCTAGCGAGGAAGAAATCGCTACTTAGTATCTCGGGAATCTCATTTTGCTGTTTTCCTTGTCGTGCGAGGTAATTCTCACGCGCCCTGCTTAATGGTTCACGGTTATACTCGAAAACATCATGTAGCATCAGCAATGGCCATGCATTTCCGGTAATGCCGTGGCAGAGACCGCCGCCCTTTGAGAGGAGTCCCTCGTCCCAGACGCGCTCGGTGGCTAGGCGCGCGGCGGTTTCCCAGTCCGGTGTCCAGTTGTTTAGGAGTAGATCGGTGTTTTTCATAGACGAGCCGAGGAGGCCGAGGATTGCGGGGGCGCCGTGGCAGATCTGTACGAGGGGGCTCTCACGACCGGCGGTTGAGTGGCGCTGGGGGATTGCTGTTGGGAGGTGGCCGTTGTGTGTGATGCAGAGCTTGCAGAGGCCTGTGATTGTAGATCCTATTTCGGTGAGGTAGGGCGCTACCTCCTCTGTGCGGGTGGCGAGGAGGACGGGGATGATCCCGGCTGGGTTTATTAGTTGGCTGTATGTTAAGGTAGGGGGTAAGCTTACTCAATCCATGTGCCCTGGTATGTGTGTTAGTTGATTGGACTCAAGAAGGTGTTGCAGGTACATACCAGCCAATTCCATAATGCCCCGGCATCCAGGTCCACATCAATGGAAGGGCATCTTTCTCCCCATGCTTCTTGACATAATGAGCTGAACCCTCTTTACCGGCGTCAACGATGCGGCGCAGAAGATCAGGAATGTCGCCCAATACAGGACGTAACAGGTCTCGCTGCGCAGGAGGAAAAGTGTCGGCCTTGGCTCTAAGATTCAAGAGTACCCAAAGCAGCCCAGTCCGACCAAACAGCACTTCATCAGCACCCAGGTCATGCCCGTGGTAGAAGCCGGTCGCGCCATGGCTGAGGGCGAGTTTAACAGCGTCACCAAGACATGCGATATCAGCGTCGGAGATGGTCCCCGCGATATCCGTGGCAGATCTATGCAGGATCCTCACGGCAACCGCAGCGATTGGCGATTTCGACGGTAGAGGCGAGAGACCGCCGATCCGGAGTGGGAGATCGGGGCCATCCTCTGGGATTCGGGCGGCAGATAGAGCGTAGAAGTTTGGGATGGACTGTCCGCTTTCTTCAAGCGATCGCGCTTGTTGGGCGAGGCGGAGATATGTTAAGACGATGCCTGTAAACATTAGTTGGTTCCACGCAACAAGTAGTATGTTGGTGAGATTATTTATGCAAGCGGTGCATACCTAGTTCCCCTGTGAATATGCCTCTCCCATCGTACTGTCCACGAGCAGGATCTCCCCTTTCGATGATTTTGACGCCATTGTGGACTGCCGTGCTAAGGTCGGTGAGCGCTTGGCGAAGTGTTGGTTCATTAATTTGGGGCAATTCAAGCGTGTTGGGGTAGAACTGCGGGCGGTGCGACATCTTGGTGCAAGGTGATGTACACTTAAGATTGAGGCTTGAATTGGGTCAGATGCAGCTTTATGGCGTGCTTTGCATTTTCGCAGTTTGTGGCTGGCGTTGATGGGCTGGACATTCAGGCACCACTCCCCCGCGTCTGACGTGTAAGGCACCGAGTGACATAAGCTCATATAAAGTTCTCGCTTGTTTATTCCCATCAGTTCTAGCATCATGGACGAAGGAAAAGCTTTTAGCAGATCGGCATTTACGGACCGAAATCTTGACTTGTGATATGTTCATTCAGCAGTGGGGAACTCTCAAGGACCCCATCCCACCATGCCTATCTAATTAGCGTGGGCAATCGCAAAGAGAAGACAACTCACCCAGTCGATTTCCTTGTCATCTAGCATCTCCAGTAAGTCGTCAGAATGCTGTAAATCCATCATATTTAAAGGCGATTGACCATGGTGATTTGGCTGGATGGCTGTCTTCAAGCCGCGAAGCATGCGAGTCAAGATTCTGCACACCTTCCACGCCTCCTCGCAAGACCTCGGAGCTTCTTGCCAGAGAGCAACAGACTTCTCGAATGCTCCCAGTAGAGTATCGGTCTCAAATTCGGAATCTGTGACCGGTTTCGTCCGCCGAGATTCCAACTCGAGAAGCAGGGTCATCGCAGCTGGGGCGAGCATCTGGCGAGTGCGTGAAGCTGTATACCACGACGGCTGAAGTAATTGCTGGTACTCGATCAGTGCTAGCGACGAAGCAATACATCGCGAACGCGAGATATTCCCAGGCGGGTCGTTGCGGTCTTTCTGAATGAACTTGCGGTGTAAAGTGCACATCCCATGGTGATACATGCATGCCAGATTCAGAGCTGAATAGTCGGTTGGGACTTTCAGATGGCTGCAGTCTACTTTGTTCGGCTCTACCAGCATGTGTGATGGGACCTGTTCCCTTTGATCCCGCAGCAGCTGGTCAATTTCAAGTACCCGCGTGTAGTTATTTGCGCCAGGGCCGTTGATGAAATCGATGACCTCGCCCAGTCCGTGAAACATCCGGCCTTTGACAATCATGTAAGTGGCTGCGGTTGGCTCAGATAGTGGTTTTGACGCTGGCAGCTCGGTTATGCCTTCAGTCAATTCCGACTCGTTGATATTCCGCGGCTCTTTCGTGTCGGAATTTATGGCTGGCAACATGCGCGGCATGCCAGACAAAAAAGAGGCAACGTCATCCATGCTCTCTACGGAAAGCCAAACCCGGCGGCGGTATTCTGATTGGATAGTTGACAAGGACGGAGTATGGTCTGGGTCGCGGTGATAACCCATGTTGACTGCCGCGCGAACTAGGACGCCGGTCATGATCCACAGACTGCGGCTATTGTCGTCGTTTCTGTTGAGTTCGGCGGTGGCGTTGAAACGAAGGGTCTCGATGGTGTATGGTAGGCACTTTGCAATGTCGCCCATGAGTAGGCACTGTGCTGTGCGTAGTCGGTAGAGATGGAAGTATTCATCAGAGACTCCCTGGTATCCCGGTGGTCCGCCGAACTGAACTGCGATCATGGTGATTCCGAGCACGGAGAACAGCAGTCCTATCCAAATAATATTTGTTTTGGAAGGATCACTCCAGTGAGCGTCGTACTGTGCAATTAGAAGAGCCGACATCTATGGGGAGTGGAAATACCTCTCGCATAAAAGTAGGTTGATGTATGATGGCTGTAATCGGTAAGCGTGGGGTTTAATAGCAGATCAGGACACGCCCACGTGGAATTGACAATGGAAAGTTGTGATATTCAAAGAACCACTGGAAAAGTGTATCGGCCTCTGCCTTGGGCGGCAGAGACGAGAGTATCACCGGCAGGTCCACCCGCTCGACCTGACCGAAGAGAAGACTGGTCCCATCGACATCTGAAAGATTCGGCTGTACATCATCAGGCTCATCCAGTGTATCACTCCAGGCTTGTTTAAGCTCATTGACCTAGTCAACATTAGCAAAGAATAACAAGGTATGAAGCGAACTGACTTCTTGTAACACATCGTACCAATCATCAGTTGGTTTATAGAAAGAGTGAACTCCATCAATTACCGTCGTACCAACGCGGCTTGAGTCTGAACCAGGTACAATGCCAGATTCCTGGGTCCCCTCTGATAAAGCATTACCGGATGGAACGCTCTGGCGTTGGTCAATCAGTCTCTTTACCATGTCCTCTAGATGGTCGATGCGGTGGCGCATTGTGTCCCCATTTCTGGGCGCGCGTGATGACAGCGAGGCTCCAGCAGTTGATCCCTTGAATATGCATTCATCCTGTTTTCCACGGACGGAGCAATTCTGACACGGTTTCTCGCGGTTACATTTGAGTCTATCTCGTCAGCCTAAGCATCGATAACGGTAGGTATCCCTACTTTCGGGCGCGACAGGGCTCGCAAGACAGAGGAATGCGGGTCCGACGGCCTTTGGTGACTTTACCATCACTTGCTCCGTGAGCCTGCATTGCGTGTTAAATTAATTCATGCAGTTAGTGATGACAAGCAGAGCAATTCGTGGCAGGATTTGGTGTAGATCGGTATTCTTTATAGGAGGCCGAGGATTGGGGGGGCGCCGTGGACATGACTAAGCTCATAGTAACGTCCTGTTGAGACAAAAGGGGAAAGACAACAAATAAAACACGGAAATTTCTTAGTTCTTTTGTCCAATGTAGGCACTCCGACAATGTATCACTTTACTTCAGCTCACATATTTGCTGCATTTGGGCCCCAAGACCATCATGCCTCGTCCAAGTATCAATTTAAAGCCCCTGAGATTCGTGGCCTGAGGCATCGTACATCTACTTAACCAGAAGTACGGCATTAAAGTCACAACTCGCACGCTCACGTCTCGGCTCTCTCTACGGGTGTGGGGAAGAATAATCTCACGGCAAGCAAGGGTATGGCCCTTCATGCTCGGATTAGAGCGCTAATGTACGACGATGGCTTAAATGACCAGGACATCCTTGCTGCTCTCCAGCGAGAAGACTTTGATATCAATTCTCGCATGTTAAAACACGACACAACCGCGCACTGAACCGCCCCTTGAACAAGACGCTTCAACTGACTTTATCGTGCTGTCGGACAAGCACGTTGGCAGCCCTGATGCGGCGCGAAACATGTCATCAGACACTAACCCTGCTCCCGAAGTGGACGGCCTTCCAACTGTGGCTGGGATCGAGGCCTGGAGAATTACTGCTGATACTTAGCTAGCTTGAGAGAGCCGTTATAAGCAAATTGGTGAAAGAGCTGATAGCCAAGTTGCGGTAGATACTGTCTCCGGACCACCTGGGATGCTGCATCGTGGTCATACTGGTCCAGATGATACCCCTGCGGCAGTGCCAAAACCTGCCTCCAGAACTGTCCCAACGAGGATTTCTTCCCATTGATCGATCAGTGCGAGATTGATGAGGATGGAAAGCCGGATTGTTATGTCACCTTCTACTGTGCCTAGGTTCATGGAATCTATTTGACATCGCTAGTAAAATACATACTCTATATATAAGTTCTATATCTACATCTGGAATGACGAGTTCTATTCCCAGCTTATTTGAGTTCGGTTCGGCAACGAGATTTATCTTTCCCCAATTCTGGTATGGATGGTAGTTGCAGCAATCAACTTAGCCCAATATCTCCCCGATTGGTCTCAGCGGATGTTTGCGTTAGGACCGGGCGGCGCTCATGAATTATGATGCGCGAGTCTAACAGAGTATGATTGGCACCAACTATCTACTAGTTTGATCGATATACATAGCCTCACTTTGTAAACGTCATCCGCGTCCAATGCGCAGCATTATAGTCCGTCAAACCGGTTGATAGTTGGTGGTCACGGGTGGCTCCAGTCTCGCATTCCTAATCGGTGAAGGCATACATATGTGTCTCTCGGCATTTCTGTGTGTGGCTATGTGGCTTGCCCATATGTCCCTAATCTTCTCTGAGCTGATGGGTGTGTCACTGCATAGCCTTGCTGTCAAAGACATTGTAATAGGAAGGATCCCATGCACCATCGCAGGCACCAATATTAAAATGGCAAGCATATCCGCATATACTCCCTGTGCGTCCACTAGATTAGCCAGCACAAGAGTCGCCATGACGCCAAGAGCAGCAACAGACCACAGAACAGGGCTGAAGTCCCACCATGTCCCTAACGCAATCGCATGGCATTTGGCGGCCCTAGCTCAATCCTTGGCGACCAGGCCCAGGCAGTTGTACAATTTTTTACTATGTTGCATTCAGTGAAAAACTGGGCCACATGCCTGGCAGTCGACCATTTACATACATCGTTATATAGTAAGCCAAGCGGTCTGACAGCTAGATGACCCGCAGAGGACCAGATCCACTCTCAAGGCTGACTTGTCAGTCTCTTATTGTACCTTGGCGATTGGGGCCCCCGGGGTGCTAGCCTAGTCTTGCCCTGTTGATCTTGTCATGCATACAGCGACTCCAGTGCAATAACTGCTGCCTAATGTGCTGCTTAGCCATTGCATTGAGAGGAGACGGCCATTATTTAATGCCATAATTTCGGCCACTACCTCATTAATCTCGTTCATCATCTATTGAATAACTACCTGTTTTCTATATAACTCGTGAATCCAGTCGATATAAATCCAAAATGAGTTTCCACGCGAGTGCCCAAAACATCCGCCTTGAGGACGACCACATCCTCGTCGCCGACCTCCTGAACGAAGACGAAGAATACGTCGAGGCCCGTTTTGACCTGAATGAGATCTTGGGAAATTCCGATGGTACTTTCCCTGCTTGCTTGTTTCTTCCATCACCCCGTGGTCACTGACTATTCTCACAGGGCATTTTGAATGGGAGGGAGCCGGATTCGGCGGCAGCGCCTCGGACATCAGTCTCGATCTTGAGGGAGATGAGAGTGTGCCTGTCCTTCGCGCTACATTGGACAATGCAGAGGGGGAGCCGGTTGAGGCGAATGTAAACCTGGCTGAGCGGCTTGGAAATAACAATGGGTCTTTTGACTTTTCGTGATATGTTTCCCTTCATAGTGCAGCACATGATATTTGGATGGAACTAGATATTCAAATACAAACTACGACTGTAAGACTTCGCGTTGACCAGGGCTTTCTGCTTTATACTAGAAGCTGGATCCTTCCCGTCAATTACACAATTAAAACTGGCTAAGCTGTAATCTTACCGTGGTTGACCAACCAGACATCGTTAAGCTTCTTTCAGGAATATCGGTAAGTATCGGCTGTACCCTTCCACAAGCTTTCGCTTGGCTTCTGTCGTCATATGTTTGTTTGTTTCGAATTGTCCGATAAGCTATAATCTTCGATATAGTTCCTTATTCAGATTTAGATTGGCTAAAAGAGATCCATACACGTAGACGGCGTAGCAAGATGTGGAAATTTCCTGTTGGGGATAGCTTGGGTCGACTTGAGTTTGTATATATATTTCCAATCTCAGTATTGCTTCACGTGCCTCCATGGGTACAATAAATGCACTCGAGACGAAACCAGCACTAATATCACTCATATTTGGGTTTAGATGACCAAAAGTACCACTGATTAAATAAGGAGTACATCGTGAACAACCAGATGTGTCCTTGTCTCACCAGCCTTGTAGAGCACTTATCTATCTACCCCAATATCCTACAAAAAATACTAAATGTAATCCTGTTATAAATCAGTCGCATGTGCACCAATACACCCATAACACTGGCTACTCGTCACCACAGGAATGAGATACAGCCCTGCAAGGCTGCAAATCCACCACCTGCAACCGCAACATGCACATCACAGCCCCAACCCTCAACCAAACCCATCCCAGTAAACGAGCACGCAGTGCATCCGAAACAAGCATTCCTGATCAGTGGGGAAACTAAGGTAAGCAATCGAGATGATCGCGAGGACCTGCTGAGCGCACACAACGAAGCGTTGCACCACGTGCGTCAGCTGGCCAATCAGGTGGTGTATACGCATCAGGTGTTGCCTATCTGATCTTCACAGGAAGAGCTGTTCCTGCGAAGCTGTTCACAGACGGTTACATTGGCTGTTGCCCCGTGGGGGCCCAGAATTGGGTGTAAGGGGTATATAAGGGGTATGTAAGGGGTTGTTGCTGTGCTCTGAGGTAGGAGTTGCCCAACCCGAAACCGAACAACAACAAAACCAGAGATGTATTCCAAGATCCTCCCGGTCGCGGTTCTTGCCGTGAGCACGCTTGTCGCTGCCGCCGATCCTACGGTCTATCTCATCCGCCACGGCGAGAAGCCCGAAGATGACGATGTTACGGGTCTCAGCGCCAAGGGCGAGCAGCGCGCAGAATGTCTCCGCTCCGTCTTCGGATCGTCGTCTGAGTATAACATTGGCAAGATCATGGCTATGACGCCGAAGGATGGTATGTTTGATTACTTCTAGACAGCTTGGTTTGCTCCGGGGGGTGGTTTCAGAAAGCTAACTGTATCCCGTCTCAGATGGCCACCGAAACCGACCCCTGAAGACCGTTCAGCCTCTTGCCGGTGACCTTGGACTGGAAGTCGATATCTCATGCGACCGTGACGACCCGGAGTGTGTGAAGGACGCTATCGAGGACTACGACGGCGAGGGTAACGTCTTGATCTGCTGGGAGCACGACGCATTGACGGACATTATTGAGGAGTTGGGGGCCGACGACGCACCCGAGTATCCCAGTGACAGGTGAGTTTCTGCGCGATCTAGTTAGTTTGTCTGCGATATTGATTGACGATGCAGCTTTGATTTGATCTGGACCGACGAACCCCCGTACGGCGAGGTCACGGAGTCGAGCGAGCAGTGTCCTGGGCTGGATTAGAGGTCAGTGATAGAGTTTATGAATGAGATGAACATTCTCCTTTCGAGGTAAAAGAGCAGAGATAGAGACTGCAGGCGAGTATGCTACGAAGTTGAATACGAACTTTTGACAGCCATTGTCAGGGGCGATCGCCAGATTTAAGTGTAGATTGTACGTAAATACTCTCCAACGAGATTAGCTATTGAATGATCTACGGATATAATGCCCGAGACAGCGCCACAGAGTCGTGACGCAAGTCAAGCAGGCCAGTAACTGACTGAGTGGGGCAGCAATAAGCAAGCGGACCACCAAGACACGGCACAGATCAGGCTCACGGGAGTGATAGACGACTATTTACAATAGCACGTGCACAACGCAGACCCAATTTTAAGCTGAACCCAAGCCATAGGCAATCCTTCCCGGGCCAGGATACGAAGTTAGGGGATAAACTGGGATTCGAGGGTCGGTGGCAGAAGGGAACGAGGACGGACTGCCCCTGCTGGGAATTGAGGCCCAGGTGAAGATTGGACGGTCGAGTCAATGATTCATTATGGGGCGATCGCTCCCTGGAGAGGCAAAGGAATTGGGAGTCGGAAACGTTCTCCAGCAAGGTCTGGCCAGCCTAAGGTGAACTGCCAAAGTACGGCCGCATGCAGCAGCATGGGATAGCTGTGGGGAGCCCCGACCCAGAACCAGACTTCAGGGATGAAATCTGCCTGAACGAGCATTGCCATGGCAGATCGGTCTCGCTGGCTTCTCCACCGTCCGGCTGCCACTGGCTGCCACTGGCCGGTTTATCTTCGGTGAGGCCTGAGCACCGCACTATCTGTTCCCCGGACCGCGGAGTGAAGCGAACTGCAAATCCTTCCCAGCAAACCATCAACTAACAGTCCCCACGAGGAGAAGCTGAGGATGGAGTGCCGCGGTGGGTGGGGGCTGAGGCAGCTGGGTCCTGCACGGACTTGCCGCACTGTTGAACGATATAACCAATTCAATCTGCTCTCGCCCCAGATCGAGGAGGGTCTCGTGCAGAAACAATGGATGGGTTACCATCATGCGCGGTCAGTTGCGCTTCTCTCCAGACTGGGCATATGCTGACAGCCTCTAGCTGGCTTGCCTGTCGCAAGCCGTGTCTTCGTCGAGCTGTTCAATCCTCGACCTCGACTGCATATGCCATGATGCGCCGCTCATAGCAGATGTCGAAGCCTGCGGGCTGCAGACCTGCACTACAAAAGATAACCTGAGTACGTCTCCTGCTGGACGTGCGAGCCTTCTCTGACCGAACAGGATCCATGAATTTCCTGTACACCAGCTGCGACTACCCCGTCACAGTCGACAACAACGTCTACCCAGGTATCCTTATTGGGGGTATTGTCCTCTCCAGCCTTGCCGTCATACTCAGAATCGCTGGCCGACTGATTGGGTCCACGCTTGGTCTTGACGACGCAGTTACTGCACTATCGCTGGTGAGTACAGCGCCGGCAGCCAGGCCAGCACAGCTAACAGCGCAGGCGAATGCGATTGCCATCACAGTCATCGGGTTTCTCCGTAAGTAGCCCTCTTCGCTTGGAATACTGTGCTGACCTCTCAGTGAAACACGTTGGATTAGGCCACGACATCTGGTTCCTCCCCTTTGATCATATCACCCAAATCCTCCACGTACGCCGCCCCCCAAACCATTTTTCGTCGCTAACAACACCAGCTCTTCTTCGCGGTGGAAGTCCTCTACGTCCTGAGCATAGCGCTTACCAAAATATCTATGCTGCTCCTCTTTCTTCGACTGTTCCCGCATGAAGGATTCCGTCTCGCTACCAAGCTCGTCCTCGCATTCACCACTGCCTGGGGCGTCGCGATACTCCTCACAAAGGTCTTGTCCTGCCGGCCTCTCAGCTATTTCTGGACTAGGTGGGACGGGGAGCACGAGGGGACGTGTTTAAGTCATGAGAACATCATCTGGGCGCACGCGAGTATTAATATCTTTCTGGATCTGGTGATTATCGGTCTACCCATGCCGACGCTGCTGCGGATGAATCTCTCGTGGAGGAAGAAGCTCGCCATCTGCTCTATGTTTGCGGTGGGGATCGTGTGAGTTGTCTTGTCTACCTGTAGATGGATCGGTGGTGATATTAACCACTGGCAGTGTAACGGTCATCTCTATTTTACGTCTGGTCTCGTCCATAAATTTAAACATAGAGGAAAATCCCACCAGTGCGTACTTGCTAAGTGGAGCTGTCCGTCACTGTCCATCATCACTGACATCATATAGAAACCCTCGTTGAAATAGGCATCTGGTCCCTCGTCGAAGTGTATCTCTCGCTCATCTGCGCCTGCATGCCAGGAATCCGCGCCTTCTTCAACTACACCTACACTCGTCTGAACAGCAAGTCATCGCAGTATACCCACGACTCATCCTCCGGCGAGGGAGGGAGATGTCGCGGAAGCAACGCCTTCTCGTCGCCGGCGACGCAGTCGCGTACCTTCCAAAGCGCGAACCGTGAACAGGGCGAGTTTATCCGTCTGCAGGAGATTTCGGCGGAGAGTTTCAAGACGTGACTTGACTTGTTTGCTTTGGTGACCGCAGCCTACGTAGGCTGGAAATTCTTTTTGCTGCTTAAGTATGTTGAGCTGCCGTGAACCATGGATGGGACGTCTGGTTCTCGGATGAGCGATCATACTATCGACTCTCGTCGGGAGATGGCCCCATGGGGAAGTCCATTCTGGTCGGATAACAAGCTTTCACCGTCAGCGTCATCGGTGAAGCTTCGTTGCTGTCGAGCCCGGCTGGAGAAAGCGGGTTGGGCAAAGGCAAATCGGTTTCTGCTATCCAGAGTGTCAAGTCAAACTGTCATCTCGAAATTATGGTCCAGGCGAAGGTCCCAGAAGCCCGTCTTGGGCTCTTTTGTGTCTGCTGGGCACGGCCAGTGATTCACCGCTGCATATGGAAGTCTACTGTGGGATTATCTTGCGGTTCCGTGTTACCAACAGACGACGGCGCCGAAACGTATTACCCTCAGGTGATGGCATTCAGGAACAATACCGGACTGAACAAAGTTTGTATATTGCCGACTCATGCTTCTATTCGCCGGTTGCCCTGTCAGGAACCAAACCTTGAGGATATACTTCCAGCGAACATGGATGGCCCTGACTGACCAGATCAACCCATAACTCTATCATGTACCTGAAAGTTTTCAACTTGACAGGCTGTTGAACTCGACATATAAGGCCCAAGCAGACGTTTAATTCTCTTCTTCATTCGTACCCATCGCCACTTATACCGTGCAGATACAAAATGGAGTCACCCTCTAGGGCATTTTTCAATAGCCTCCCACCGGAACTCAAGCTGATAATATGGGACAACCTCGACAAGGGCCGCGACAAAAGCGCCCTGGCCCTAACCAGCAGAACGAACCACGCGCTCTTGGACCACCATTTGTACCGATGGATTCTACAAAACACCTCAACCGACGGTATATTCACTAAACCACCGATCCTCGGCTGGATGGCCGGGCGCGGCGCTGTTCGCGCTATGAAGAAGCTCATCGCAGCCGGCGCAGACCCCTTGGACCCAATAGTATTGCCACTCTGCATCGCCTGCCGAAACGGACGTAAAGCGATGGTGCGCCTGCTACTGGAGGAGTACAAAGTCGATCCGAATATAGCGAACGCCGCTGCATTCGGAGGTGGAGACTCGCCCCTGTACGCTGCTATTGACAGAGATGACTGCGGCATTGCGACTTTACTGCTTACAGCTGGTGCTGATCCGAATGCCAGGCCGGCTTTGATAGGCCGACACAGTATGTTGACCTATGCGATTACTGCTGGACACATCAAGACCGCGGCGCTGCTGATAGAGGCTGGGGCGTCTGTTACGTATGAAACTGACAACAACCGGACCCCGCTATGGTTCGCGATTCAAAAAGGCGATGTTGAGCTCGTTCGGAAGATTCTTGATGCCCTGCGCACGATACCTGGGGCTGATATCAATGTGGGAGCGCCGCTCGTAGCGGCTTGCAAGTTGGGGAGGACTGAGCTTGCTCGACTGCTGCTTGAAAATGGGGCCTTGATAGACACCGTCGAACCGATTCTACACGGCTGGGATAGCCTGGTAGCTAGCCTTCTGTTGAACCGTGTGGAGATTCTAAGGGTCTTGTTTGAACATGGGGTATCGCCCGCCACCCTTGACTCCGCGGTGAATAATGGAGTCGTTCTCGCAGCTATAACCCACGGTCTTAGAGACGCTATCGAGGTCCTGATTACGAACAACGTACCAGTCCACCGTGCAGTGCCCTTTGGCCATAAGTCTCGCCCGCGTAAGCCCTGGGCGCTAGAGTGTGCTGCTACCCACAATAACAAGGAAATGGCCGAGTTGCTTCTGCGGGCGGGGGTATCCGATACCATGTCCGCAAGAGACAAGTCCACACTTCTGTGGAATGTCTTTCGACCAGGCTATGAAGAGATGCTCGTACTGCTAATCGGGTCGGGGGCCTGTGAGCATACGCCGCGATATAGGGCTTGGTCTGCAAATCCGCCCCTACACCACGCCATCACGCTAAACATGCCCAGTCTCGTCTCTCTGATGCTGCAGAAAGGCGCGGATCCGAATTCCCGGGATCCAAACGGGGACACTGCCCTGACTGCTGCTGTTAAGCTGGGAAGTCCTAGAATGGTAGTTATCCTGCTGGGTGACGATACCGACCCCGAGACCTGGACGCGGCCCAGCGATGTACTTGCTGGCGAAAGTTCGCAGACCAGCAGGTATATGCAGTATATTGATAACCCGGACGCACAAGGCTGTACGCCCCTCTACCTGGCGACGTGTGGTGAAAGGGAAGACATTGTCCGCATCCTGCTCGCCCGGGGCAGTAGGGCTTTTCACACTCAGAACCATGCAGGCTGGTCGCCGGTTGGGCTCGCGACTTTCTATAAAGACTGGGGAGACGGCCCGGAGGAGAACCGGCCGTTTAGGAATATCTTCAGGCTGTTGAATAACGCGGCCAGCGCGAGGATTGATAGAGAGTTGCTGGAGGATAACTCTGTCTTTGGTCCAAGGTCCTTTTAGTGACGCCAAGTACTACTATCGTTTGGAGCTTTTCTTATTCTGAGTTACAAGGATGGCCGCGTTTGAGGGGGAGAAATATGCCTTCTTCACAAAACGGGCCGACTTGATGTTTTATATCCAATCCTGTCTTTTCAATCATTTCCTGTCATTTCATACCTATCTACTCTCGAATCAGTACTGCAACTGCAAGCAAGATATTGCCAACTTCTGCCATGCTGCAACAATGGCGATGGCGACAATCGTGCAATAATGGCAAATAACCACAAAGCAATTGGAGTAACTCCAACAAAAAAAAAGTATTAATAGCGAAATCAAAGATAAGACGTGCTTATATATCCCTACTCCAAGTCTCCAACGTACCAGAAACCAGAGTAAATGAAAAATACGCCGTGCAAATACACCTTGTACACCTTATACACCATCGCGGCCCACAATGTCGTGATGCGCAGACGAGCATCAAGAGACCAGCCAGGAACGTTTACGTTTCGTTTCGCTTCGCAACGTTCGGCTCACTCACTCACATTCGGACAGGCTGACTCGCTGACTCAAGATCTGGATCCTCCGAATAGTTAACTTATCTACTGACTGGTTATAAGCGGAAGATCACACCATGGGATTCCCCGCATTGATTCGCTACCTGCTTCTCATAAAAGGGGACATCGCGCCGAGAGATCGCACACGCCAGGACGCCCCTACTACCCAAGCAGCCGAATCCAAGTCTCTACAAGGACAGCAGATCGAAAATGGCAGCAGTCAAAACGGCAGTGGTCACCCAGACCGAGATCCTGGACAGCCCGTACAACAAGCCAACCACGCTCCCCCCACCTCCGCCTCGGGATCCTATCCTGGGATCGCATAAGGATGGGAGTGTAGAGGATAGTGCAAGCAGACCGGCGTTTCGGCTGGAGGAGCATCCCATTGATCAAGTGCGACCGATTAAAGTCGGTGTTATTGGAGGCGGGTTGTCCGGGATTACGGCGGGGATACTCCTGCCTGCAAAACTGCCGGGCTTGGATTTACGGATTTATGATAAGAATGCGGATCTTGTTCGTTACCTACCTACCCATTAGTCCCCTGTTGTTGTTGTTGTTGGTTTTGTAGGGGTTTGCTAATTGGATTGGTAGGGCGGGACGTGGTATGAGAATACGTACCCCGGGGTGCGATGTGATATCCCAGCACATGTGTACCAGTCGAACTTTGAGCCGAATACCCGCTGGACGGAGGAGTTTGCGCAGGGCCATGAGATCCGGGATTACTGGCAGGGGGTTGCGAGGAAGTATGATGTGTATAAGTATGTGCGGGCACAGCAGCAGGTGGAGCGCACCGAGTGGTTTGCGGAGAAGGGGAAGTGGAGGGTTACTCTGCGAGATTTGAAGGAGAATAGGGTATGTCCAATTCATATCTTGAAAGTTATATACTGATGGCGATTAGGTATACGAAGAGGAGCTGGACGTCGTGCTTAACGCCATCGGCCACTTCAATGCGTGGAAATTGCCGGACTACCCCGGTATCAAGGACTTCAAGGGCCCGCTATTCCACTCGTCTAACTGGAACCACGACGTCGACCTGAAAGGAAAACGCATCGCCTTGATTGGAAATGGTGCATCAGGGCTCCAGGTCCTCCCATCCATCCAACCGATCGCCGCACACGTCGACCACTACGCACGCAACCGTACCTGGATCGCCGACTCCTTTGGGACAGTCGGCGTGCGCCGTCTCGAACCGAACCTGATTCCAAAAGAACATATCGAGTCCTTTGACGACCCAGATACGTACCTTGCGTACCGCAAGTCCGTGGAGGACGGCTACTTCTCCCGCTTCGGGGCTATATTCAAGGACTCGCCTATCAATGCTAACCTGCGCGAGCAATGGAGCCAGCTCATGCTGGCCCGTATAAAGGATCACCCTGAGCTCGCAGATAAAATCATCCCGGACTTCCCTCCGAACTGTCGCAGACCTACTCCCGGCCCGGGATACCTGGAAGCCCTGACGAAGGAGAACGTGAGCTACATACAAACTCACATAAGCCACTTTACACCCACAGGCATCGTCACGAAAGACGGGATAGAGCGTCCTGTGGATATCGTCATCTGCTCCACCGGCGCAAACGTCGATCACTGCCCGCCCTTCTCGATCCTGGCGAACGGGCTCGACCTGAAGACAGCCTGGAAGCACGACGGGCACTTCGGGTTCCCGTATAACTATCTAGGCGTTGGAGTACCGGGATTCCCGAACTACCTCTGGATCGGAGGCCCCAATGCGCTCGGGCACGGCGGGAGCGTGCCAAACGGCGTCGAGAACCAGGTTACGTATATCGCGAAGGTGCTAAGGAAGTTCCGCTCGCAGGGGATCAAATCGTTTGTTCCCTCCAAGGCAGCGACAGATGACTTTCTGGAATACTCGGATCAGTTTTTCCCGCGGACGGTGTGGACGGATGACTGTTCGTCGTGGTATAATGGTGGCAGGCCGGGGGCTAGAATCCATGGGCTGTTTCCGGGGAGTGCGGCGATGCTGAACTATATTCGGCGGGATCCGAGGTGGGAGGACTTTGAGTTTACGCATTTCAATCCGAGTGGGAATCGGTTTGCGTATTTTGGGAATGGGTGGACGAGTAGAGAGACGCAGGAGGGAGCTGATCTCACGCCGCATCTGAGGAGGCCGCAGGATATTGATTTGAGGACTTATATGGAGACGTGGGTGGATGTTTAGATGGTCTCTTTATTCTATCGATTTAGCTGAATTTCATAATCCCAATTTGCGTTGTATAGAATGGTTACAGGAAACAATATCAAATACGCATTGATACTTTACAAGGCGAGATAATCCTTGATTCGTGATCGTCTAGTCCGGTCTGCACGGATGTCCGGCAGTCCAGACCAGGGACCAAAGGTACATCCAATAACGTCTCCAAATGGCATCATGATCACCGTGTCCCTGGCTGGTACGGCCGAGGATCGGCGACCAAAGTGCCCCTCCATGAAGAGGGGCAGTGGCGACATTGCCAGGTCGATTGCGTCAGTTATTTATGATTGATAATCAGAACCAAGATATCTGGGATAGTTCTTGGATAGCCAGGTATAGCATCAATTTGTTCTAGCTCTAACGCCTCTATCGTAGTGTATCATTATCATAACAGCAAACATAGGAAAATAAATGAGTTAGTCCAGCGACACAACAATCCTCTTCCCACTGGCATCCCCCCGTCTCAGCGTCTCCAACGCCGCATTCACCCCCTCCAGGCCCCCCTCAGCCCTAATCACCTCCGGCAGCTCCAACGTCCTGCTCCCAATCAAACTCTCCAACCACGTAACCATCGCCTCTCCAACCTCGGGACTCGAATGGAACAGCTTAATCGGGACGGTGTGGTATACTATCCGCTCGTCTCGTTGTTTAGGTAGCCCTGTCAGGCCTAGTAGGTGTGCATGCGAGCCGTCAATTCCGATACTAGGATCTAACGTCGCTTGGAGGAGCGTTGCTGTGTCTGCACCAACAATGTCGATGGCGTAGCGGAGCTTTCCACCTGTTACGCCACGGATTATCTCCACTGCGCGCGCTGTGTCGTGTCGGTCGATGAGGATGTCTGCGCCGGCGGCGTGGAGTTTGGACCCGTGCCGTGCGACGTCAGCGACGCAGAGTGTTTTTAGTCCGGCCAGGCGTGCGAGTTGGATCGTTATTAGGCCCGTTGTTGTTGATGCTAGATTTCGTCAGTATGAATCCTCAAATAGTGATAGGGTGCTGGACATACCACCCCAGATAGCAATCCAATCGCCCTTCTTCGGCCGTTCAACCTCGTCCCGACTTGCGAAACACTCATCGCGAACATCACCCGGTATCAACTCCTTATTAACATCTTTGAGTACCTCCGGTAAACTCGGCCCAGGACACTGCTGAATCTTCCGAAAGTCCACCCCCAAACTCACCCCAAGCGCAAGCACAGACGCCACAAAGGCAACGCCCACCGAAGCCGCAGCATGCACACTATGACTACCGGGGATGCGGGCCGCGTTGAAATGCGTCGTGACTGCGTACTCCTGGAACGCGGCCTTGCGGATGTCGCGGTAGTCTGTTGAGGGAACGAGGACGAGATCGCCTTTTTGCAGGCGGGAGGGTGTCTTGTCGGAGTCTGAGACTGTTGAGGGGGTTTGGACGACTACCCCTGCTAGGTCTCGCCCGTTTACCCAGGGGAGACTCGGGAGGCCGAAATTGTATGCACTGCGTTTGTTAGCTGGTGGTCTGTGACTTGTGTGGTGGGTGTGGACGTACGGGCCCTTCCAGTCTACTGGGTTGAGGCCGATGGCGATAACCTGGTGATGTTAGATATTATATTTTATATATTGATAGGCGTCATACCTTGATAAGAATCTCATCTTTATGCAGAATAGACGGAATGGCATGGTCGTTGACAAGAGAATAAGGCTGCTGCGCCGCATGGACGAGCAAGGCACGCTGCCTCGAACGTGGCGTTTGTACGACTGGTGGATGTGTCTGCGTCTGATGCGTTATCCGGCCTGATACATTATCCCGCTGCTCGATGATGACCTGTTCGTAGACGGCTGGATGCTTTGCGTCCAGCGTCGCTGTCATTGTCGTTATAGTCGTCATGGTGTATGTATGCAATGGTGTATGTATGCAGACGCAAGGCAAAGATATGGAGGTTGTAGAATAGATTATGGAGGACGGAAGTATTTACACAACTACGCGAGTCAGAAGTGACAGCCAGAAATCCTTCAAGAAAGAATACAGGAAGGAGGATCCAAGTCAAGACGCCGTTACGTGCATCTCTGTCTAAATGCTGACCGGCCAGGCGGGTCGCGCGAATCGGCGATACCTCTCGCACGAGAGCGTAAGATATATCGGGCCTGAACGGAAAAGTGGGCAAACGGGGTTGTAATTTGCAATTCGACAAGCACATGGATTGGATCTGGGGACGCAATTGTGGTGTGCTATCACGAATGAAGCATTGCAAATCGCGGGGTTGGATTGCGTGATGGAGGCAGATCGTGTGGCAATTTGCAACTTGCGCTGGATATTTGGGCTTGTGAACGGTGGACCGCTTTTGCAGGCCGTTGCGATAATCAGGGACTGCTAATTAATACGTATTTGCTGGTTGCTGATGTTTACTGGGTTGGTTGTGCTGGATAGGGGCTTCGGCGACATATGAAGACATTCCCCCGTCTCACCCCCGATCTGACACCTGCTGTGGCACCGGAAGCATATCTGCTGCCTGGCGTCTGATCAGTCTGATTGCAAGTGTGACGGAAATGGCGTGCCAGATGCTATCAACAACTGGCTGCTGATGAGGCCAGTATTGCTCATCCCCCTTGCTGTCCGTCCACCATGTAAACACCGCGAATGCTGCTGGGCAGCTTCCCTCCAACACCACTACCATCACCATGGAGGCAGAAACACAGCCGTTACTGGAAGCGCCGTACGAGTGTCCTAATTATGGTGAAGATTTTGCTCGCCGCGATGAGCTGCCACGAGCAACCCCTGGGAAATATCTCAGCTGGACGACCGCGTACATTCTCGTCGTCTCGCGAGTCATCGGCAGCGGGATATTCGCCACGCCTGGCTCGATCGTGAAATCCTCCGGCAGCATCGGACTGTCGCTGTTGCTATGGATCGCTGGCACGATCCTCGCAGGCTGTGGGATGGTCGTGTCGATGGAATACGGCTGCATGCTGCCTCGCTCTGGCGGCGACAAGGTGTACCTCGAATACACATACCCCCGACCGCGATTCCTCGCATCTACACTGGTCGCCGTGCAAGCGGTCCTGCTCGGCTTCACGGCCAGCAACTGTATCATCTTCGCAAAGTACACGTTCTTCGCGTTTGGCGGCGAGCCGACCGAGCTACAGCATAAGCTGTTCGCCGCGGGATTGCTGACCCTAATTACCATAGTCCATGGCTGCTTCCGACAAACGGGGATCTGGATCCAGAATGTGCTCGGCTGGCTGAAGATATTCCTCATCGGGTCGATTTCACTAACGGGGATATGGGTGATTCTGCTGCGTCCGTCTGGGCTCGAGAGCGGTGCTCAGCAAAAGCAGTTAATGGCGTGGGATACGCTCTGGGAGGGATCGAACTGGAGCTGGAATCTGGTCTCGACGTCGCTGTTCAAGGTGCTTTATTCCTATGCTGGATTGAACAATGTCAACAATGTCCTCAGCGAAGTGCGCGATCCGATTGAGACGGTCAAGACTGTCTGTCCGGCTGCTTTGGTGACATCAGGGGTTCTGTATCTGCTGGCCAATGCTTCATACTTTCTTGTCGTCCCCCTGGATGAAATAAAACAGAGCGGAGAACTCGTCGCAGCATTATTGTTTGATCGACTCTTTGGTCCGCGAGTGGGAGGGACTCTGTTCCCTCTGGCCATTGCCATCTCTGCAGCGGGAAATGTCATGGTCGTCACCTTTGCACTGGTATGTCCTTCTTTTAATGAAATGTTCAGACCTAATGGAATAGGCCCGAGTCAATCAAGAGATCGCCCGACAAGGATTCCTCCCCTGGGGTGACGTCCTCTCCTCGTCGCGGCCCTTTGGCACGCCTCTCTGGGGCCTGATCGTGCACTACGTGCCATCTATCTTGGTTATCACTCTTCCTCCACAGGGAGACGTGTACAACTTCATCCTTGACGTCGAGGGCTACCCCGGGACCATCTTCGGTCTTGCTGTTACCATCGGATTACTGATTCTGCGGTATCGAGAGCCCTATCTCTCACGTCCATTCAAAGCCTGGTTGCCCGCTGTCTGGTTGAGAATTGTCATATGCGTGGCGCTCTTGGTTGCGCCGTTTATTCCGCCGCCGAATTATCAGGGTGATGTGGACTTCTTCTATGCTACGTATGCTATTGTAGGGACGGGAGTGTAAGTACCATCCTATTCTAAGATACCCATCCTATTTTGATACTCGACTGACACGAGTAGGATCGTCTTTGGGATTCTGTACTGGTATGTATGGACGGTGCTGCTGCCGAAATGGGGACGGTATAGGCTGGAGGAGGAAGAGAAGGTCTTGGATGATGGGACTACAGTTACGAGGTTGGTGCGGACATAGAATTATCTTAACCTATCATTTGCAATTTTGATTCTTTTTTGAAGTACATTGCCATATTCCTGATGCAAGCGTAAACCCAACTTCCTGCACGATCAAGTATATGATGCTATCCGTATTATCAAGCATCGTATTACAAATCCATAAACCAACCCTCCGGTTAACATCTTGATTTTGCTATAAGATCATAAATAGCATCCAATAGCCAATGATTGGATTTATCAGCATGCAACGCAAGGCGTCACATTCGTGATTGCGTGCTGGTCTGACAAATTGGCAACCCCTCCTTATACAGTACATATAGCCCTGCCATGGCCCGAGGATCTCCATCTCCAGCTCACTCTCCCAACTATCAGTCCCACTTGTATACTCTTGCATACTCTTCAGTATGGCCTCAGCAACGGTCCAGCTCCCAACAGCCGACAAACCCACCCTCCTCACCACCCAGCCTGTCCAAACACCCCAGGACAAACCTCGCCACGTCCATACAACCCTGAACTACTTCAAGGACCACGAAGACGGCTCTCCCCCAACCCCAAACTACGTCGGTGACCCTACGGCATATCGTACACAGCCCATCGAGACAGCCCCGGCAACCATCCACGACGTCTCGGGCCATGAACTGGACTACACCCTCGACGGCAACGGCTTCCAGTTCTACTACCATACCAGCGCCGAGAAGGACTTTCTCGACGACGAACAGATCAAGCGCGTCTACTACCCCGAGACAGAGCAGCTACTGAAAGATGCGTGCGTCCACACCATACCACCCAGCCTAACCCACCACTAACCCAATACTTATAGAACCGGCGCATCCAAAATCTTCATCTTCGACCACACCATCCGACGCGCCCCCCTCGACGCGCGAGATCCAGGAACCCCCCAACTCCGAGGCCCCGTCCAAAGAGTGCACATCGACCAGTCCTACCCAGCATCCAAGAACCGGGTCACGCACCACCTGCCCCAAGAAGCCGAGAAACTACTCAAGGGTCGCTACCAGATTATAAATGTCTGGCGACCGATAAAGCCGATCCTAAAGGACCCGCTGGCTGTTGCGGACGCGCATACTGTCCCTGATTCGGATCTCGTCCCGATTAAGCTTATCTACCCCGACCGGGAGGGTGAGACGCTGGGTGTGCGCGCGAATAAGGATACGAAGTGGTATTATCGGTATGGGCAGAGTCCGGATCTGGTTACGCTGATCAAGTGTTTTGATTCGAAGCTTGATGGGCGCGCGAGACGGGTGCCGCATACCGCGTTTGCCTTGCCTGGGGCGGAGAATGAGGCGGCCAGGGAGAGTATTGAGGTTAGGACGTTGGTGTTTCATGAGGATGATACTGCTGAATGATTATGAGTTTGCATGAGTGCGTTCTGCGTTTACTAGGTTAATATTTGCTTGCTAGCTAACTCTGAGACTGATGAATAATGATTATGGTTATTTGTTTAAATCTACCTCGGTAACTGATAAGAGATGAGTATTTTTCAGTTCGTATAATACCTGCCAGCTACTCTTCTGGTTCTGAGTAAATGCCGTGCGAGCACGTAATTCTGAGCCGGAACTGCAACATCGCCAACCAGCAGAACACGAACATGGCCGGGAAGTGGATATGGGAATTCAAGATTCGACCGTTGATTCGAGGCACCTGGAGGTGTCAGCAAGCCAGGAACTGACATGATAAGTTCTTTGACTGGGGCTGTTGCGTTTTAGTTGTTTCTGGAAGTATATCAGGAGCTGTCGCCCGTGAGCTAAGGAAGCTGCAGCTTGATTACACCAGACACTCTTATACACGCTAAAGTTGTATTTATTCGGTATGACAGGGGACAAAGATATCAGCACCGACGAAGAAGTCGCCAATGACTCTGTCACCACCAAGCACCCAGGTACGCCCATCACTCTCAACTACTTGGGTAAACTAACAAGAACAAAGTAAAATGGTATCGCTCGACCTTCTACAATGCCCTCATCCTGGGAATGTGCAACTTCCTCGCCCCCGGCATTTGGGGCGCCATGAACTCTCTCGGTGGCGGCGGTGCATCGAAGCCCTATCTTGTCAACACCGCGAATGCACTTACCTTCTGCCTCATGGTGTTGTCGTGCTTTTTCGGCAGTGTCCTTGTCAAGTTCATCGGCATCAAATGGACTCTTATTGTCGGGACAATGGGCTACGCGCCATACGCAGCCGGGATCTACACCCAGGTGCGGTATGACAGCGACTGGCTGACTCTCTTTGGGGCTGCGTTGTGCGGTCTCTCAGCCGGAGTTTTCTGGATGGCAGAGTCTGCAATTGCTCTCGCATACCCAGAACCACACAATCAAGGCAAATTCCTAGGCTTCTGGCTCAGTTTCCGCGTCCTCGGCCAGATCGTCGGCGGTGCAATCAATATCGGCGTGAACATCGATCGATCAACCGCAGGTAGCGTCTCATACGTGGTCTACTACATCTTCATCACCCTCCAAGCCCTAGGTGCATTCTGCGGATTACTCCTGACAAGCCCAGGGAAGGTGCAGAGAACCGACGGAATCCCGGTGAAACTTCACATTGCCAACGACGTCTGGTTCGAGATCAAAGCCATGTCCAAGCTGCTGGTCAGCAAGAACTTTCTCCTGATTACGCCGCTGATCTGGCAAGCGACGTTTAGCGAGGCCGTGATGTTCACGTATAACTCGCTGTGGTTCTCGGTGCGGGCGCGCGCGCTGGGCTCGTTCGTTTCTGGGATTATGGCTATTATATCGGGGAATTTGCTCGGTGCGTTTCTGGATAGTAAAGTCTCGCTGAAGATGCGCAGTCGTGCGGGATTTGCTATTGTGCTTGGACTGCAGGGTGCGTGGTGGTTGTGGGGGACTATTGTTGTTACGGACTTTAATAAGAAACAGCCAACGTTCGACTGGGTTGATCCTGGGTTCGGGAGGGGGTTTCCTCTTTATTTGTTCTGGGTTGTTGGGTTTCAGCTGAACTATATGTTTTTGTAAGTGATTTGCCTATTCAGTGACAAAGGCTAACGGGATAGGTACTTTGTTGTTGGCAATCTGGCTACGAACGAGGAAGAGGTTGTGCGCATCGCAGGGCTGTTGAGAGGGATGGAGTCTGCATCCCAGGCTGTGTCGGTGAGTTATTTCACTTTATTGAATGGACCGAGCTAATGAATTCAGTATGGCTTGAGCAGTGTCTCTGTTATGGCGTCTGTTGGGAGTATATACTTGAACTTTGGCCTGTGGGCGATTGCCCTATTCCCTGCCTGGTTGGTTATCAAGGAGATAGGGGTATCACTCGGCGACAAGAAGGTAGAGAGGGAGGCACAGAATGTGCAATAAGGGAACTAACCTGTAGTACGTGTAGTTAATTATTGTTTGTAAATAATTATCAACAAAAGAGCCCAGCAAGTGTGTGGAAAGCTGGATGTCAATCTTGGGCAACGGAACGATAGACGGCTTTATACTAGATCCCGCTTTCAAATTAAGCTGATATTGGGGCTGATGGGGAGCTTGCCGACATCTCAACGCTGGACATTGTTGGTCCCATAACTGGCCGAGATAAGCTTCATGTCGCTGCCATGCCACGTCTGCGGTGGGGGCACTCCCTGGGGCTTGACTTGAGTTTAAAGTTGCCAGATGTGAAGCTCTTCTTGGACACTACACAATATATAGAACATGGACCAGGTATAGAAGGGTTCTTATGATTCGCACCACCGTCACTGCGGACCACGGCCTTGGTGACAGTCAAACTAGCCCTGAACAAGACACCGGATTCTGCTTAGGAGTTCCATTGATTGAGGTTCCGCTGGGCCAGCCTATAGAAACCTGATTGGTACTAATTTTAGGGATGGTGGGTCTATAAACAATGTTCTATACTGCTTCAAGGCCCTTAAACTGGGTTATTCAGGAGAGCGGTACAAATCTCTTCAAGGCTCTGTAGATATAAACTGCCCTTCTATATTTGCACTGAGCTGGGATATTACTGCACTTGTATATGATAGTGCAGTGTAACCTGAATTTGTATTTGTGTACAATAGAGTAGCGTCATATAACAAGCGTCCCCAGCAGAGGGCTATATAATAGACTCTCGCCTCGTGTCGTTAATACAGCAACAACAGTATCTCGCACAGGCACAATACAGCCTCAGCAGCTTCTAAGTAGTAATCTGCAGACCAGCGCCATAGCGGTCAGCCCAAAGCTTGCCACTAACCGAGTCCCCATCCCGACACTCATCCATAATGACATCCATATACAGCGAGAAGCAAACATAAGGGATGGACTTGACATTGCTAAAGTTCCCATCCGCATGCTTCTGGCACACCTTGACAAGCGCACCATTATCCCCGCCATCAGTCCAGTCGCTGCATGCATCCCCGTACGCATCAGCGGTGCCCTGCATTTGCGCGCCGCCCCATTTCGCGGGGTCATCCTCCTCGGGGTCTGCGCCCTCGTTCTCGACTTCGTTCACGGCGAGCTTGGCCCAGTGTTCGCGCATGCCGGTGGCGTCTTCCCACGAGGGGGGGCTGTCGGTGATGCCGCATTCGACTTCTTGCGGGTGGACGCAGTTCAGCCAGGGGTTGTGGGTTGCAGCGGAGGCAGAGCTGGCTGCGAGGGCCGTGGAGAGGATGGCGGTAGAGAGCTTCATTTTCTGGAGTTGTTAGTCGACGTCTCGAACTTGGTATCAGAGGTGCTCACGGTTGCTTTGTTCGATTGTTGAGATGGAAGTTCGAATCTGATTGAAAAGCTGAATTGACTGGGCCTCCATGCGGTTTATATAGCTTTCTATCCTACATACTGACCTTGACAATCTAGTAGACTGGGGCCAAAACGACAGTCATCATATGATACTGACATTGACTGCAAGAGCGGCAGTGCAGACTTGACGTCCTGCTGTTGGCGATCATATCTTCCCGTTTCAGTGATGTTGTCTGTCAATCCGCAGTTCTGCAGTAGTTCTGCCCCATTTTTATTAGCTCCTGAAGTATACGAGACTGGACCCCACGTTGCTCTCAAGGTCCAGGTTTCTTGCCCAACTTGATGTTTATACAATCAAAACACGGTGAACAAGACTATTTTGACTCGGAGAGTGTTTAGATCCCATTGACACAATGAGTTCCAGTCTCAAGAACCAACAAGAACTGGCTTGACAAATCATCATTGTATCTATACATACGCCGTAGAGACAAGCGCCGGTTATTCATCGGGCGACTGTGTGTATGTCTTACTCAGGTATGCGCTATAGTAGTGACGTAAGACGGTAATATGCCTCACCAGGCTTCACTGCCCCTGTCATTCTATAGTATCAGATGCCAGATGCTCTCCATGCTACCGATGGTTCAAGGTGGATCAGGGACCCGGCGCTACAGTAGGGGCCAAACAGACCCACAACCGCAGTGAACAGATGCCAATGATTGCGAACGTGGAGGCGGGCTTTATTGTTGGTATCGTTACCATGAGGCAGAAAGGTACGCCCGTTGCAGAGGACGAGAACAAAGCCCACCATGGCCGCGAAGGGGAGTGCGGAAACACAGCCAACTTCTTCACTTCTGCATGATCTCGACCTCTAACCGAGCCGGGGATTGGATGTTCCGCTCGTCTATCAAGCTGCATACAGAAACCATCAACCGCCAAAGCCGATCACCTTGGGGTCCGGACTCTGACGGCCGATGGTCGATATGAATGTGGAGTGAGTTGAAGAAAGCTGGAGTCAAGCAACCCTGCAGGTCTCCAGCTGCATTGCCCCGTCCCCACACTGGGCCTGTGCTTGCTTCGCCCCAGCTTCGATATCTTGCACTAGGATCCTGGACCTTGTTCCCAGCCCGCTCACTGGCCGTGAAAGTTCCCTAGCCGAGACGCTTTGGCTCTGATCATGCGTCTTGGGTTCGGCAGTTGCAAATGCCTGAGTTAGAGCGTGACGCTATTGGTTTATATCCGTAAGCTATCAGTATCTGTCTGCAATGGAGTTCAAGTATGTTGGATCGTCACCTGGCGCTCCAACCCGACAGCTGCAGTCGTGCATTAATCAAACAGAAGGAATGCATTGTTATTGGCTGATACCCCGTAAGCCATCTGATATTCCTGTCAGGTAGACGAGTGAGGTATTTGTTGAACCGCCCAACAATTCAGGGCTAGCAGACCGGGGTAGAGCAACTTCCCTCATGTCGTCTGATTTCTCTCTTTGCATGATATCCAGAACAATACTAGGAGTATCCTTGTACTGCAGATTCCAGGATATACCCAGGGGATATAGAGACATCAACTTGATATCAAAAGTTGCTATAACTATTCGCATTGTTTTTAGATACGTAACTTCGTTTATACAATATAGATACAACAGATCTCAATGTGCCATCCCCCCCACAGACTTATTCTTCACATTAATCCACTCAATCGGCAACGCCCCAAAGACCATACACGCCGCCGCCACAACGCCCACATAGAAGGAAACCGTGACGGCCGAGCTATACGCCTCCAGCACAGCAGGGAGCATCTCAGGCTCAACAACATCACGCAACTTCGTCGCCCCCGCGGCAACCACCGCAGCAAAATCAAGACCCGGCACGTCCCGGATGAGATTATGCACCAGCTTGTCCTGGAAGATACTCTGTGCCACGGCAACCATCACCGCCCCGCCAAAGGTCTGCATGAACGAGACCAGCACGATAGCCGTAGGGACATCCTCATGAGGCAGCGCGGCCTGGACAGCAACGGTCGGCTGCGCCATTCCAATCCCGAGTCCGATCCCGTAGAGAGCCTGGTATCCGATCCACTGGTCGCTGCCGGAGTCGGTCTTTAGGGTTGTGAGCAGCCCGGCGCCGAGTGCGGCGATGACGGGCGAGATGTAGAAGAAGGGCGTGTAGTAGCCGGTAACGTTGACGATGGCGCCAGAGATTATAGCTAGGAGCACGGAGCCGAGGATCATGGGGAGGTTCATGAGGCCGGATTTTGTTGCGGATGCGTCTTTGACGGTTTGGAACCAGATTGGGAGCTATTGCTGTTAGTATACTAAATTACAACATATATTGGTAGGGTACTCACGTAGTAGGTCAGGACCATCATGGACGAGGTCATACAGAACGCAAACGCAGAAGATCCCAAGACATTCCTGTTGCTGATTAAACGCGGGGGAATGGTGGCGCGTTCTCCTCTCCAGAACTGCAGGGCGATGAAGACGCTTATGAGGATGCCAAAGGCCACGAATAGTCCGATTATGGTGCCGCTGTTCCAGTCGTATTCTGATCCTCCCCATTGTATTGCGAGCAACAGGCAGATCGTCCCTGGCAGGAAGACCGACATACTGATCAGGTCCAGCTGCGAGAGTCGATCTGCCAGCCCGTGCGTCTGTTTGATGGGTTCGCGCGCGGGAAAGAAGAAGGAAATAAAGACCGCTGTGACGGCGCCGAGAGGGAGGTTGATATAGAAGCACCATCTCCAGCTCACATAGTCGGTGAATGCACCACCGAGTAAGGGCCCTGCCACACCGGCAACCCCGAATACACCGGTTAGCAGTCCTGTGTATAGTGCCCGCTTGCTCAAAGGGATTGTCTCCGCGATGATCAACAGGGACCCAGAGAACAGCCCTGCAGCGCCGATGCCTGAAATGGCACGTCCGATGATCAGAGACGTGGAGTTTCCTGCCAGGGCGCAGACAAGGGACCCTATCTCGAAGACTGCCAGTCCGGCCAGGTAGACCCATTTGATGCAGCAGAAGGTGTATAGTTTGCCGAAGAGCACGCTCAAGCCGCATGTTGCGAGGAGGTACGAGCTCGCGTACCAGCCCACGTCGTCCAGCGAGTTGAATTCGGCGGTTATCTTGGGGATTGCGGTTGCTAGGATTGTGTTGTCCTTAACAGTTAGCTAGTATACAGTATTGCATCAGGTGGTGGCATACTAAGGAAAGGCAGAACACGGCCAGGGCCAGCCCAACCGTGATCATGGCCACTTTCCACGGGGGTGGATAAACCGGCTCATGCTTTCTGCCATCGTCTGTCTCGAAAAGGCTCAGCGTGTCATGTCGCACCAGGTCCGTTATCGAGCCGTCGTCGTGAGTCGTGGGTTGAAGATGGATTGACTGGCCTCGCATATTGATCCTTTGATACCTCTCGTGGTGGCATGAGACGAGCGAAGAAGCTTCAAGTCGAGACAGGTTGAAGAGCCCAGATCGCGCCTCGCCAGCGGGTCCTGGATTTCTTTTAGTTATTTCGGAGATGCCACTGACACGCCTCGAGATTCCCGCTGACGACCAGCATGCCCCCTTGCGGAGCGGCTGGGGCCAAATATGATACATCAGCGAAATGTGGGCAGTGGCGTCACTAAACATCTCCGATCTCTGGAACATAGGGATGAGTGCCTTGTGAAACAAAAATAAATCTGTGGCTTGGGCGTTCGCTGGCTGGGTTCGAGGTGCTCAGACGGGCTCAAACGTGGCGCATCAGCTCCTTGCTCCTTGCTACACAGGACAGTGTACGCTGGGCTGCACCCCTTGCTTTACCCCTGCGTTTGACATTAAGTCCAGGGGTACAGTCCAAGCGTGCATTAAGCTTTAAATTTAAGCCGAGTTACAGATAATGGCTGTGATACGATGGTAGACCTGCTTCTGCCATTGTCGGCAAACAATCTCGCTCCCTTTAGACTTATACCATGATGCAATTTCCACGTGAAATACGCGTGTAGCTTCAATATTAGATGCATGCGATTATTAGATGCATGCGCCCGCACACGAAATAAGAGTAATACGACCTGTACAATCCGGGCGTGGGGTATTTGAAGCGCGTCGTGCAAAACTGCCATATCTCTCCGTAGAGTCAAGGTATAGCACATACAATTATACTAGGCGAAGAGATATTTCTCCGATATAATCTCGCTTTCCTGGACTCCTGCTATGATAGGCGCAGCTGTAACATCCAGAGTGGCTATGGCAGGCACATCGTGGCTATGCTGCAGAATATATAATCCACAGCTCCCAGTTACACCTCACATCGAAGTATCTAATCCGTACCATCACCATGGACAACAATAAACACAAACACACCTCTCTAATAATCATAGGAATCGACTTCGGCAGCACCTCCTCCTCAGCAGCATTCAACCGCCCTAACTCCAGCACCGAAATCCACATTTTACACCACTGGCCCGACGCCGTGAAATGGTCCTTCGATCAAGTTCCCAGAGGGGCAGAAATCCAGTCCATCGTGTACTACAGCCCGGACATCGAAGTAGTCGGGTGGTCTGGGTTGGCAAATCGAGACGAGGTTGTAACCGCACAGGGAAATCTCAAACCAGGTATACATCCTGCACCGGACTTCAAGGCGCAATTGTTTCCGCCAACTGAGGCTCAACCTGGGCTGCTCCCCCGCGGGAAGACGATTGAGGATATCACGGTTGACTTCCTGTGTCATTTGCGGCGAAGTATCCAGGAGCAGCTCGCATGGCGGGACTGCAGGGGGACGCTTCAATTTATGATGACCGTTCCGGCGTTCTGGGATGATGAGACCAGGGAGAAATTCCGGGGAATAACCAAGACGGCAGGTTTTGGCCAGGGCGAGAAGTTGGAGCTCATATCTAGCCTTGAGGCGGCCTTGTTCAACGCGCACTACGCAATGCCCACTTTTAACGCTGGTGATAATATACTCGTCCTTGACTGCGGCGGGCATCTTGTTGAAGCGGCTGTCTATCAAGTTAAATCAACCTCTCCTCTGAAGATAGACCGCCGAACCTCCGTCTCCGTGGCGTCTTGTGGCTCTGCCGAAGTAACTCGACAATTCATGACCATCGCAGGAAATAAGATAAATAAAGCGGGATTTCCGGATCACGGCCGTACAAAGCCTCGGATGCGCCTTCGGGCGAAAAGGGCATTTGAGAAGGATCTGCTATTTGGGGATGTCCTGGGAAGGCCGGAGTTCAAGTTTGATCTCCCCCCAGAGGTCTTGGATGGATTTTGGGTGGCGGATTTGGGTGTTGAGATGGATTGTCCTGAGGCGAATATCTTGGAGGGATATATGGTGTTTTCTGAGGATGAGATATATCCTTGTTTTGATGCAGCTGTGGAGAGGACGTTGGGACTTGTACGGGAGCAGGTTGATGCTATGCATGAACAAAATGAACAGATACAGGTGAGAATATGAATGGTAGGTTTGTACCATGCTAACAGAATAGGGCTGTCTGCTTGTTGGCGGGTTCAATAGATGCCATTACTACAACCGCAACGTCAAATCTGGTATATCGGAGTCTGGAGGAACGATTGAAGTGAACAACAGAACTATCCCTTTCGCAAAGGGGGCTATTCTGGCTGGGCTCGACAGGTTGAATATACCGTGACAGTGTATAGAATTACTCCAGATCCACGTCTGAATCATCACTGCAATTATCGCCCATCTCAACGCTGGAATCATCGGACATCGACTGGGATGAGGCTGGTCAGAATGTTGTAAACTGTTCAATTCCTAGGGCCATACCTCGTTCCAGCGGTCCAAATGATCCGCCTCGCTACAAAGCTCGTTGGCCTCGTACATAACCTTCCCATCAGCCACAATCTCGTGGTCCCCATACTTGATGAGATCAAAGTCGATGCCCTGCTCTTTGAAGCTGCTCGAAACACCCGCAAAGGATATTTTCGCGCGCTCGGGAACCTCCAACGTATACTCTTTCCGATTATCATATTCCCAACGCGTCAAGTCACAATTGGCAATCTCCAACTGAAAGGTTTGCAGGAGTATCTTGCGCAGGCTAGGGAACCGCTGACGTTCAGCCAGTAGGCGCCTTAGTTGGCCCTCGAGCATACCGTAATGGGTGAAATCAACCTTTGTAAGAGCAAGGATCTCAAGGCCCCGGGGCAGGAGCTTGTCCAGAGATACACTGGGCTCTGCCCCATCCACTGAATCCAGGAGATTATATACCGGCATCCTTAGCTCCTTCAGCGCTGTAAACTCATCTAGACTTCCGAACCAGGCCTGCTGTTTTGGTTCCTCGATATCCTTATAAAAGAAATCGTCGTCATCGTCCGTACGTTTCGTGACACCTATATCATTCAGCCGTAGCTCGCGCAAGCTCTGCCGTTGAGACAAAAGCGGATCTCGAAATCTGTGACATCGGAAGTTTGCAAGGTTCTCGGTTGAGTCAACGACGTTGGTATGCTGATACACAAACCGCTCGAGCTGGGTAAAACCTGGTAGAAGCTCGCATAACCCGGTCAGGATGTTCGAGTCTAGTAAAGAAATCTCACGTATTGGCGATGTTCTAGGCCTGATCTCGAAGGGAATCTCAAAAGAACCACCTGATTCTTCTGATGGATCAAGTCCTTCTGATCTATCAAACTCGAAACAGCCTTCAAGGTGAAGGGCCTGCATTGACGGCAGTGTAAGAAACGGGATAAATTGCTTAACTGAGTATCTGTCGTGCGAGTCAAAGATGGTGACGGAGACCTTCTGCAGCTTTTGCAGTGGTAGTCCGACCTGGGGGGATTTGCTTGCTATCCTTGAGACGGTCCAGAGAAGTCTGTCATTATCCTCGGGCTTCCAGGCCCACTGCACATCGAGAACCTGTAGGTTGGGCAGTAAAAGGAGGAGTACTGCCAACCAAGCAAAGCCATTCTCTTGATCTAGCTTCTTTTCCCAGGCAGCTACTTCGTTATCGGTGTCGGCGAAAGATTGTAGAAGCTCGTGGAAAAGGGCCCGGTCATAGAAACCAGATTCATCATCATCGGAGCCGGAGAGACATGGGAAGTCTAGCTCTTGTACAAGAGGCCTTAACCGGGGATTCCTCTGAAGACCTTCTGCGAAGCGGAGCACCTTATTATCACCCCAGAGCTTAATCCGCGAATATACCTTGGCACATAGGATGACGTTCCAACTGCGACAGACTTGCAGCAGCCGCACCTGATCGTCGGTGTATTCGAACTCGTCTAGCAGTTGGAAGAGGATCTCGGTGGGGAGGTTATTTGCCATGTTGTCGATGGAGGATACAAAGGGCAGGAGCAGTGCTGAAGGTTATGTCCCCGTGCTGAATGTTATATCCCTCTCAGGTACGCTTGCCTGCCAGGCTGAGACGACCGCAGTGGCCAATTACAGCCAGCCAAGAACACAGCCTTCGCTTCCCTGCATAGAATCATCAATACCGATCAATGGAACCCTGGCCATCAAGCGGGAGCGACAGCACCACAAAAGAGAATATATAACCGCCGTTGATACTATATACCCACCAAGTAAAGTCTAGTATATCAAGTATAGAGCCAGAGATATCAAGGTGAATAAGACATCTCTTTCATAAGGGGGCCGTTTAGCTGGTTACTTGGATGGCGGGGCTGCGGCTCGTGTTTCAGGGATTGCCCGCACTGTCTTCACGACAGCCTCGTGGATCAGCTTATCTTTACCAATTGCAGTACCCGAGTCAAACCTGCCTATATTGACCACAATTTCTATACCATGGACATCCCAAATGCAGTCAACATAGCCATCCTGGGCGGGTGCGAGAGTACAGTCACCTTCCTCCACACAGTACCATCCCCTCTCCACGTTTATTAAGTACAGGTACTAACAACCAAGTTCAACCACGAGCGAATGTCTCGTCGAGCCCATAACACAATAATACCTTCAACCCAAAGCTACCACCTCAGGCCATGCACTCTCGACGAAGACGAAGTCATGGTGGTAACGAGGGAATTCGAAACCGAGCGTCTTGAAAACCCGCACCTCCTGCACTGTTTTGGTACAGGCACTGAGCCGCCTGATGGGTTTATCATCGTCTATGACCCGACTTGGTCGTTTTCGCTGGATGAAGCCGAGGGACTTCTAGCGGCTGTTGTGGGTGCGACTTGGGGGCCAAGACTGGTAGAGTTGGAAATCATTCGTCGGCGGCTTGAGTCTTCACCTTCACCTTCACCTTCATCGTCAGGTTCAGGGAGATTGTGGAAGAGGTCTTCCAAGTTTAAATACTTCCCGCGCCTCCCATATGACCTGCAGCTAGCAGTTCTACGGGCCTGTCTCGTTTCGCCAGAGGCTATAATCGACCAGAAACCGCATTTAAACGGGATTAACGTGAATTTACTCCTGGTGAATAAGTTTTGTTACAGGGAGGGCGGGAAAATATACAGATCGGAGAACAGGTTTCTTCCTCTGCCGCCGATATGCTTAGTTGCGGATTCATCTACGGGTATTTTGGGGTCTGGGGGAGACTCGGGCGATCATTTGGTGGACAAAGGAAGACAATTAGCGGAGAAGTTCGGGGTTGGTTTTGTTACTATATCCTGTGAGAGCAAGACTAGTGTGGATGGGGTTGTTATGGGAATTGTTAGGCGGTTTATCGCGACAGGGGAAGGGATCCTCAAGCACCGGCAGAGACCGAGAAGGTCTGTGATCGAGACTGGCAGGACAGTATTTGGAAGAATCATGAAAGGGTCCATACCCTCCACATGAGGCTGAATCGACCAACAAATCGGCCCAGTTTAGCGCCCAGTGCGTCCGTGGCACAGAAACCTGGCCAATGAAATTAGCAGCTCGAATTAACTGTTGGTTTTGCGGTTTCCAGTTGGTTTGGGCCGGAAATATCGGCCGGCCAGGCACAAGGCACCAGGCCCCCGAGAAACGAGAAAGACTTAAAGTGCCTGCCCCTCAAATAGAGATCAGAAATTGACAACAGAGACTGAAATACAAACTGAGTACAGACTGAGGTGCAGACAGTAAAATGGGCCAGATCCAACTGCCACCGCCCGCCTCGGACGAGCTGCCCGCCTACAACGAGATCGACCCAGTCCCAGTCCCAGTCCCCTACCGCGACGACGACACCCAGGCCCTATCGCCAGCCTCAACCTCAACCGCCTACGCCATCCCCGGCCAGCAGAAATGGCACAGCATCCGCGGCGCCCACAGCGCAGCCGGCTCGCTCTCTCTCGACCCGACTTTCTCCTCTGAACCCTCCACGCTCGAAGCCTTCATCACGTCGCAAACCCGCCTCCCCCCGCGCCCCTGCCTCGTCGTCCACGGCCACCACAAACAAACCCGCCGCAGCGGAAACGAGACCAAAACCGAGAACGTCACGGACTTTGATTTCCGCATTGACCTGACACGCACGATTCTGCGGTGGGGACGCGAGGAGCGCGATGGGCCCAGCCAGCGATGGTCGTATACCTCTGTTGTTAGCGATGGGGATGGTCAGAAGGCTTATCGCGGTGGGAGGATTCCTGCCCGGCAAAGAAAATCGAAATCCGGTCGCATTGCCCTCCCAGAGGGTGAGGGTGAGCGATTGATGGATCTGGAGAGTGGAGAGGATTACCCTGGGATTAAGGGCTGGTGTGAGCGGTTCTGTGTAGACTCTGCGCCGGTGAAGTCGTGCGTTCCCTTACACTACTATGGTTATAATGATGCTGACAGCTAATCAAGGTTTACGTATCGGCGCAAACTACACGGGTTCGATGCAGCGCCCATGCGCACGGCTTTGACGTCGCATATCCGCTCGACGGGATACCAGGGACATATCAGCATAACCCCCGTGACGGCGAACGGGTTCGTGACGTTCTACTCGCCGCACTGGATCAATAAGCTGAGGAATAACGCCTTCGTGTATTGGGCGTGCATCATCCTGCAGCTGTGGCTGATTACGTGGCCGATTATCTGGGTCATGGAGCGGCGGTATGAAGTCGTCCGGTCCGAGTGGTTCTCGTCGCAGACTGTGGCGGATCCGTCGCTGCCTGGTGGTTCTGGCAAGATCTATGCGGGTGGGCATAGTGAGCAGGCTGCCGCGGAGCTGTGGGCGCCTGTTGTGAGGGAGGCGGCGTGGCAGGGGAGATGCCATGGAGAGATTCTGGGGGAGGCAGAGGTGCTGGAGCTGAAGAGACAGGGGGTGCAGCGCAGAGAGGCTGTTCCGGGAGAGGCGGAGGGCTTGCTACAGCGTGGACAGGCAGCGCTGGGGGCGATGGGGATCAGGAGTATTGGGGGAGTGAATGTCACTGGGGGGTGGGGAGGGGATAGCTCCAGTGCCAGCAGCTCGCGCTTTAGTATTCGGATGGGCTAGTACCTGCTGGACTGTATATATCACTATGGTTTATGTATGCTTTACTATGGTTATGAACCGTTACCTATCATTTTCGTACAAAGGGATTGTTCGGATGGCCGGATACGCTATGACGCTGTGATGTAATCGACAACATGATCATGATGGCAGACAATCCAACCAGACAACAGCAGAAACAGCAAACAGCAGGATCATGACAACGAGTTGGTTAACAACAGCAGGATCTGATAGTTAGTAATGACACTCGGCTAAGCGTGCAGATCGCGGAATACTCCCGGCTATCGGACTTTGGCGTTGGAGACTCCGAGTGGGGTTGAAATAATTGCACGCCTGGGGTTGAAATAATTGGAGTCTTCTTTTATTCTTCTTGGTCTTTTATTGCTGAACTGGTTTGATTCTTATCCAGGGTCCCTCGTCAGTTCAGCTGCGGTGTATTCTCATGGCGGCGCAAGAAAAAGCCGACGGCGATGCCAGCCAGGTAATCAATTGTATCCACTTCACTTGGGTTGATTTGTATTTCTAACATGACCAGGATATCGCGATGCCCCAGAATGTAGAGGGGAAAGTGTCGAACCGCCTTGTCAATGCGCTGCTCTGGGCACCGCCGCAATGCCGCTGGAACCCTGACAACCCGCCCAAGTTCAACATGTTGTTGAACTTGTTATTCGCCTTTGCCGGCACTTTCACCGTTGCCAATCTGTACTATGCGCAGCCGCTGCTCGATCTCCTGGCGGACTTCTTTGGCGTCTCGCAGGAGCGCGCCTCGCTGATTCCGACCTGCTGTCAGGCTGGGTATGCCGCGGGGTTGATATTGATCTGTCCGATGGGTGATATGGTCCGACGCAGGCCGTTTGTTCTCTTGTTGACGTTCATCACGGCGACGATGTGGCTGGCTCTGTGTTTTACGAATTCCTACAGCGTCTTTCTGGCGTTCAGCTTCCTCACCTCTGTCACCACGGTCACTCCAGTGCGTCAACCATTAAACCCACCCTATATCTTATAAAGCTAATGATATAGCAAATAATGCTCCCACTCGTCGGTGACCTAGCGCCCCCAGCCCGGCGCGCCACAGCCCTCTCAATTGTCTCCTCCGGCCTCGTGCTAGGGCTTCTCTTCGCCCGCCTCCTCTCCGGCATCATCGCCAACGCCTCCCACTGGCGCAACGTCTACTGGCTCTCCCTAGCCCTACAGTACCTCATCTTCATCCTCCTCTACCTCTTCATGCCCGACTACCCCTCCACAAACACCAACATCTCGTACCCGCGCATCCTCTCCTCCATCGCCGTCCTCTTCACCAAACACCCCGTCCTCGCCCAAGCAACCCTAATGGGCCTCCTCACCTCCGCAACATTCACCTCCTTCTGGACAACCCTCACCTTCCTCCTCTCCGGCCCTCCGTACTACTACAACACCCTCACAATCGGCCTCTTCTCCATCGCAGGCCTAACACCCATGTTCTTCAACCCGATCTATTCCCGCCTGGTTATCGACAAATACACCACCCAGCTCTCAACAACCATCTCGCTCCTTGTAGCAATAACAGGTATCGCAATAGGCGCATATACAGGGACATTCACAGTCTCCGGCCCAATCCTACACGCCGCGCTGCTCGATTTCGGAAACCAGGCCACCATGGTTGCGAACCGTGCGGCGATCTATACTGTTGCGCCCAAGGCGCGGAATCGCGTGAATACGGGGTATATGGTTGGTGCGTTTGTCGGGCAGCTTATGGGCACGGCGGTGGGGAATAGGGTTTATGCGGCCAGGGGGTGGGTTATTTCTGGGACGGTCAGTTTGGTGCTTTCGGCGGCGGCGTTGGGGGTGGGTTTGCTGAGGGGGCCGAAGGAGACGGGGTGGGTTGGGTGGAGGGGGGGTTGGTCTCTTAGGAGGGTTGATACTGCTTCTGGGCCGGGTACTGTTGCTGCTGTTGATACTGCTGGTAATGGGAGTGGGAGTGGTCCTGGTAATAAGGATAGTCAGGCAGTCTGAGGGTAAAGGAATAGATATTACCCTTGTCATATGTCGGCAGGACCGTAGTATTGGGACGGAGGTCTTCTATGACCGGTCTGGATGATTGGATACTGTCTGTAAGCGAGCCAGCTTCGGCTTTCGGCCTATAACGACCAATGGCCGACTGCTCCAGTCGGTTGGAACAAGAGAATGGCCTTTATATTCTGTTCACCGGAACAGCCTCCGCACCCGAAGCGGCCAAAGCCCGGTGGAAATGTCAATGCGCCATCTCGGAGCCGCTGCCTATAGGCTGGCTAAATCGTGCAATTCAAAATATAATAGGTGGAAGCTTCATGATTTGCCAATTTACCCAGATTATTCACAGCAGTTTTTCCGCCTGTCAGTGTCAGCTCACTCTGCAGCACAAGTTATGGAATATATGGGGAATCGGTCCCACCAGATTCTGCGATCTGCGCTGTCTTTTGATCTTCTCCAGTTTCCTCCGCACTTGAGCTGATCTGAGCTGACTGCAGGTACAATGGGGAAGGGCTACACCATCGGCCTCGCTGCCTTTGCAGCGACAGGGAGTTTTCTGTTTGGTTATGATTCCGGTGTTATGACGGATGTGATTGCGTCGCCGCATTTCTTGAATTTCTTCAACACGACCAAGACGTCTTCTATTATCGGCGCGATTAATAGTACTTTTTCTGGCGGAGGTGCGGACAACAACATTATTCCCTGCCTTTCCCTGTTGCTGTTAATAACCCCGTCTAGCATGCGTTGGAGCACTCACGGCCGGTCTGACAATCGACCGTCTCGGTCGTAGAGGCACGATCCAAATCGGCGGGTTCATTGCCATGATCGGGGCCATTCTGCAATGCGCTGCGAAGAATCTGGCGATGATCCTGGTCGGGCGAATTATTGCGGGCTGGGCTGTTGGGATCCTTAGTATGTCGGTGCCGGTTTACCAGGCTGAGTGTGCGCATCCGCGGAGTCGTGGATTGTATGTTCTCCTTCCACTTTCCCTGGATAGAGAAAAGTTCTGATTTTGCAGGATTGTTGGTCTTTCGCAGCAGATGATCGGTGTTGGGTTTATTGTCAGCACGTATGCCTCTCCTAGCCTTGACTCGAATCAGCTACGATGGTCTGATTGATTGTTTTATAGATGGATCGGCTACGGCTCTCTACACGCGCCAGACACAAACTCCGTGCAGTGGCGATTCCCACTCGCCTTCCAGGCCTTGCCGGCCATCATGCTCGCCGTCGGGATGTTCTTCCTCCCCGAGTCGCCCCGGCATTTGATCGAGAAGAACAAGCACGAGGAGGCGATGAAGATCATGAGGCGGCTGCACTATGATGGCACGAACGAGGACTGGATCCAGGGCGAGTATATCGAGATCAAGACGACTATTGAGGCCGAGAAGGAGATTACCGCGCCTGGGTGGTTGGTTATGTTCCGCGTGCCGCAGTGGCGCAAGAGATTGCTGTATGTTCGTCTGGATTTGATGTGGACTGATCTGACTTTTATAGACTTGGGACATTGGTGCAGGTGTTTACCCAGATGACCGGTATCAATGTGATCAACTACTACCAGAATATCATGTACGTATCTTCTCTCCTTGCGTTAACACCCGCTAATTTGAACAGGTACGAAGCCCTCGGTATCACCGGCAATCGCGCCACTTTGGTAACAGGAATCTACAACGTCGTCGGCCCCATCGCAAACCTGATCTTCATCGTCTTCGTGCTCGACCGCGTCGGCCGCCGACGGCCTCTTCTCTTCGGCGCCGCAGGAATAACCCTCGCCCTGGTATGCGAAGCCGCAATCAACTCGCAGAACGAAGACGGGACCCGCCACGGGTACAGCGTCGGCGGGGTATTCCTCTTCTTCTGTGTGACTGTCTTCTTCTCGTTCTCATTTGGACCAATCAGTTGGGTGTATATGTCTGAGATCATGCCGATGCAGATCCGCGGGAAGGGGAATGCGTTTGCCACGGGCATTGGGAACTGGGCTGTTAGTACGCTCTGGAGTCAGGTTTCGCCGATTGCGCTGGGGAAGATTGGGTGGAAGTTTTACTTTTTGTTTGCCGGGTGGAGTACGTTATTTACCCTGTCTGCTATTGTATTTGGTTTGGGTGCTGACGGTGTAGATCTTGTTGTGACGATTCCGACGATTTATCTCTTCTTCAGGGAGACCAAGCAGAAGACGCTGGAGGAGATTGATTTGCTATTCGGAGGTAGGGCTCTAGGGACGCTGAACAGCGATCTTACTGGGAAGGGCTTGGAACCGCAGGGTGAGCAGGTCGAGAGGGTTGAGAAGGGAGCCAATGTATAGCATAGTCAAGAGCAACATCGTTGTAGACGATGCATATATTGCAGAAGGCATTATAACAACTGCCCTACGTTGACTCCAAAACATTTCATCTTTATCTGATAAACCTCAATACCTTGGACGCCATATCCCTACAAAGTTTACGCATCTCCCTTTGCATTCGCAATCGCAACCCCCAATAACAACCCACACACCATCGCCATGATAATCGTCAGCGACACCATCGCGCAGCAGAACCGCTGGTACCGCATCTTATGCTGCCGCGCGATAAACTTGTCGCACGATTCGCAGTGCACGTGGGGCTGGAATGTCGAGGGTGGCGGGAGGGGATTGAGGGAGCGACATCCTCGGCGAGACGATGACTGACATTCATTGAGGTAGGCGTGGTGGTGGCCTTGTGCTTGTTCTTCGTCTGGAATGGTGTCGTTTTGGGGGACGGAGGAGTACTATATGCATTAATGTTAGTCTAGGGTTTGGTGTTGGGTGGCAAGGTTGTTGTACCCCCGAGATAGGGTTCTGCGGTGGTCGCGGGTCCATGTCAAGCTCCTCGTAGGGAGGGACGGAGTCTGTGTCGTTCTTGGGGATTTGTTCGTACTGCATGGTTGTTAAAGAGATGCTGGTTTGATTACTGTGAAATGGAGGGGATGTTTTATGGATGTTTTATCAGCCGAATGATGCTGCCTGTTCAGCCACATCGAGCACTAAAATCTGACACGATGTCACAATCCAGTCCAATAACAGTCTACCATTATTTCGGCTTCATAAAGTGGTATAATTGGTCATATTTCCACCGCTAGGCGGGTAATAATAATGTATAGACAGCGATCAAAGCTTCGCATCCTTCTTCTGCACCCGAATCAAAGCCCGTCCATTGCTAAGCACAACCTGTCCATTCTGGTTCTTCGTCGCAAACCGGATCTCCTCAAACCCATCAACAACCTCTCCAGTCCGCCACATCTCCGTCGTCAGCTTATCGCCCGGCTTGACCGGCGACGCAAACCGCGCCTGGAACTCCTTGAAGTTCTTCGGGTCGCTCCCGCCGAATGCCTCGAGCACGCTGTGCGCGGTCGTGTTCCAGCTGTACAGCCCGTGGATGATGACTCCGCCGAAGCCCATCTGCTGTCCGGGCTCGGGTGTCGCGTGCAGCGGGTTGTAGTCGCCGTTCAACCTATCTTATTAGCAAAACTCGTAGGGTCGGAGGAGGCACATACCGGTAGAGCTGGGCGGTCTCGGTCGTCGTCTGGACCTCGTTCACGGCATCTGGCTTGCGATCCTTGGGAGGGGGGTAGTTTGATGTCGCGGGTCCTGCAGTCGTCGTCAGTTAGTCTCATTCAGAATATCATGGAGGTAAACAAACCCTTCGGCCCACCCCATCCACCCTGCCCAACATAGAACGCACTGCTATTGACAATGGAATACACCTCCCCGGACTGGGCATCGACAACCGACTGCTCCGTCTCAACAACCGAGGCCTTGCCCTTGTCGTACACGCCGATGACCTTGTTGCGGAGCTCGAATTTGCGGCCGGCGCTGCTGGTCGGGAGCTGCTTGAGCACGGTCAGCTTGCGCTGGCCGTCGACGACGCGGCGGGCGTCGAACTTGGGCACGCCCGGGATGGGACTGCCTTTTGAGCGCCCGTAGAAGTCGGTTACTTCTTGGTCGGTGAGTTTGAATGCTGCTGTTGTTAGTGCCTGTCTAGTGGGGTAAGGTGAGGGTGAGGAGAGGGCTTACGCAGGATGATGGGGTAGGTAGGGAAGACGGCGAAGTTGGGGTGCAGTTCCTGTTCTGTTAGAAGCGTCCCAGGTTCCAGTCTCATTAGCGAGGCTTACGAAGAGAAAGTGCAGCTCCTTGGAGGTCGCGCCGATGCTGTTTGCGAAGAGCAGGGCATCGCGCTTGAGCCAGGAGACCTCCTGGGCAGGGAATTGGTGGCCTGCGCCGGGACCAGACATGTTGATGGTAGTAGGGTATATGCAGTAAATGTTTTAGATGTTGAAAGGAAGATGAAATGAAGAGAGAGTACTTAAAGGTGTGTTGATGGTATGCGGGGACAACGGGCCTCGGCTGTGGAGAACCTCAGGCCGAGCTCCCGGTGACAGCTCGGCCGATTAATCATCATCTCCGATGTCGGCGAATCTCATGCTGTCTCAGTACTCAAGGCCAACATGAAGTCCAGACTGAGGCGGCATCCCGGTTCAAAACCAGATACGGCTGCCAAGATTTGTCTGGGCTTATCGGACATTCACAGCAGAGTACAGCACCTAATTCGGTTTTGGTCAAGGCGCCAGCAGATTATTGGGCGATTCTCTCGTTTACAGAAGCACGGTGAGTATTTGGGACAAAAGCTGCATCTTTATACACCCTACACTATCGGATGTTGGATGGTCTACCAGTCAAATCTTCGAGAATGGCAATAAAGGTTTGGACAATAAAGCCTTGTTGAGAAAGTATATATGGATTCTCATACTCCAATCATCATATCCGTCAATTCGATTTTAATGATTAGACTTGAGGTATATAGAAAACCCGATGTCATGTTTAGAATCTAGCCAGTTAGCTTCTGTCCCATTGTTGCTGACTGTGTCTCTCCTGTCCTGTGCGTAAGGATTGAATGCCCTACGTAAAACACTCGGCAGTCGTAAATCAAGGGCAACACTCAATCTTTTTCTCCCGGCTCCGGTTTGGGTACACTGCATATTCCTGCATCATCTTCCAACTTGGCGGTCAGTAAACAGGCCATCTTGCCCCTAGGAGAGCCGCGCGTCTTCCCTCAACATCTACGTTTTGATTCCATCCTTTACTATCCGTCCTTCTGTGCCTAAAAGGCAACGGGAGTTATAATGGACTACAATAGGCCCCTTGACCTCCAGCACATGGCAGAAGAGGCCCTTTGGGTTAAAGAGGTAAATACGGCTCGCGTCGACGGACGTATTTGCCGCTGGGCTTCCGGTTTCCATCCTGAAAAACTCCCATGTCGGCTGAACGGGGGGTTTCAGAATGGCTCATACAATGTAGGCCAGCAAGTTGTTTTTGATGATGGAGTGACTTGGTTTCTCCGGCTCCCTCGTGCTAGCAGTGTTTCTCCTGAATACGGAGATGAAAAGGTAGCAATGGAGGTCGAGGCTCTTCCTCTCATACGAGAGAAGATATCGATACCCGTCCCCGAAATTTACGCCTGGGGTCTCGCAGAGGAGAATGAACTTGGACTAGGTCCATTTATACTGATGGAATTCATCAACGGCATTTGTCTTAATGATGTGTTTGGTGGAGGCGATTCGAGGCTTCTTAAGGAAGAAGTTCTAGATGCCGACATTAAATATGTTTACAGACAAATGGCAAGCTTTATGTTGCAGCTTTTCAAAATTGATTTCAACCATATGGGAAACCTGCCGACCCCGAAAACAAAATTCCCTGCCCCTAGTCGGCCACTCACGTGGAAAGGGCATGAGATTCTAAGGCTAGGGGGTGTCAAGACGCTTGGTTTGTGCTACAGGCAGTTTAAGGCGTGAGCTTCTGCTAATGATAGTAGATGATTGGATTCACGGCATCTCATCGACCAGGCAATACTTTGAGTACGTCAACAGCCAAGACTGGCAACAGCTGTTACTCCAGCCAAATTCTATAGCAGGGCCGCGGAGTGCAAGATCCAGATATGCAGCGTTGACGATCTTGAGGTCGTTGATTCCCGAATTGACCAATACAACCTATGAACGCGGGCCCTTTAAGCTTATATGTGATGACTTTGGCCTGGCAAATGTCATCGTGCGAAGTAAGGATGACCTTACAATCACCGGGCTTGTAGACATCGAGTGGGTTTATGCCGGACCAGCTCAATTATTTGGGTCTGCTCCCTGGTGGCTGCTCCTTGATCGCCCTGTCAATGACGAGTGGGACTTTGAAGAGGGCGAGGCCCCAAGGGTTACTGATCGCTACTTCAAATGTCTCGAGATCTTCGTTCGTGTACTAGAGGAGGAGGAGTCAAAGATGATGGGAAATGGCCGGAACGAACTCACCGAATTAATCAAATTGTCTAGAGATACGGGCGCCATGTGGTTTCATATGCTTCTATCCAGCGGCTTTTTTGACTCGATTACCTTCCCATGTATGCAACTGCGAAAACACAAGGGTGCGCAGTGGTGGGACGAGCGCATGAACAGCTATGGAGATACAGAGGAGGTCGAAAAATTTGTAGCTGACAAGCTGAAAGATCTCTCAGCTTACGATGAGGTCATGGAAAAGGTCGACCATTACAAGGTCCTCATGGACAACGGGGAAATGACAGCAAGGGATTTCATTTCCGCCGTGGCCTCCATTCTCGGCTCTGCTTGATTACAGTCCAAGTTGGGAAAGCTATTCTAGGACTTTGGCTGTCCAAAAGGACGGAGGATGCAGCCTGTATGTTCAACGATTATCCCTCATCACCCAACTATTACTTGCTTTGGCCTCGACCCTCTTCTCCGTTAGCTCTGCTGCGCTTCTGCCTCAAACAGCATGACGACTCTTTAAACTCAGGCTGGGTAGCCCATGGGCGGGCTCAGACGTCGAAAGCCCAGCCTAACTAGCCGACAACTTGCCTTGTTGCCTCGGGCCGTAATGAGTTTAACTAATTGGGTAATTCTGTTATATGCTGAAGGTGCATGTTTCTGTCGTAACCAAAGTACGAATCATGGCCCGGATACAGACGAGGCCAGTTAATAATATAGTTTGCAAGCAATCACTAGAAAGGCTAGTCTAAATAGTGTCATCTACAAAGCCAAAGAAACATCGAACCCCAGATCGGGTACGCCCTATTCAGTTTGACACATAAAACTGGTTACTATATTTATAGTTGACACTAGGCTGTCGACGATCAGACTCTTGTTTGATTTGAGGTCCAATCAATCAAGGTTGGGACGCCACGTTGAAGATTTGATGGGCCTTTTTTGGTGAGAACCGCTATACTGGTACTTTCTTTTGATGGGCTGTGGTGTTAAATTGCTTTTTGAATCCTATTAGGAGGCTGTACTCATGGACGCCGGAGACTGTCTCAAAATACGGGCCTAATAAGACCAAGTAGCGACAAAAAGCCTCCTGTCTTAATAGACAAATCCAACTAGTGAAATTTCGAATAGCAGATTCAAGTGGCAGGAACAATATACCATGAACCGACAACGAGATGCAGTTTGTCAGGCAGAAATTAGTCCTAGTTTTGAAGGATAAATGTTAGAAGATAATTTTTGTCTACAAGGTAGTAATTGTTGATGGTGGTTACTGGCATGCCCTACAATACCCACTTTGGTGATATATATATATATATTTCAACAGTGCTGACAACCACTTTCCAATCCAACTAACGGTACTTATGACGTCGCTGATCTGATATATTAATCCAGCCGCTTATATGCACTTGGCATTTCTGCACAAGAAGGCACAATTCCTTGTAGTCTTGGCCAGAGCGAGCTGACGAGCAACGAAAAGCCGAAAGCCAATTTGCAATAACTCTAATTAGAGCCAAGTCCAAACAAAAGTACGAACTCCTCTGTTCATGATTCGGGGCGGCATGAAACAACTGGAATTCGCAAGGCTTGAACAGTGAACTATTCATGACTCCTTCCAGTTTGCGTAAGACCTACCCAAAGCGATGATAGGGGACGTAGTTCTCATTTCTCAAACCCGCTATTATAGCATTCTCACCGTCTTTCTGGAATGACAAAACTACAAACTGTCATCAACTACTGAAATAGTGTGGGAGATCCCAGTAAGCCATAACCGAGGTATACCACGCACATAGTACAACCTCAGCAGGTGTACAGGTCTACAAACGGAGAGTGTACATCTGATACCCTTCGCATTTAGGCCATTCAAGCTCACAACCCATGACTGCTGCGGATTCAAGCACAGATGAAATGGGAAGTCAGCTCAGCACGGCGACCTCAAAGGCTCAAAGAAGGCGCTCGCTGCACTGCCCGGTACTCAAATAAACCTCGGCTTGGCTTCGCTCCGTGCTGAATTGTCCAGTCATTACAAATATGGCCGTTGTGGGGATGCAAAGTAACTGTAAGCCGGGGCTGGACTGGTTTCGAGGATCCAGGAACGGAGACGGACCGCCGGCTGGACGGGTGAGTGACTGAGTTTATTCGTTCTGGCCCGTTCCGGTAGAGATCGCGAGGCTGTCGAAGCGGATTCTGAGGATTTGTATTTGAAATGCGGATTGTGGACTGAAATTGGAGGGGTGGCTGTGGGTACCGTTCATGGATGAGGATGTTGAGTCGACAGGGATGTGTGCAGTTGAGAGTCCCACTTGCTGGATCGATCAAGTTGAGCAGTGAGCAGTGAGCAGTGAGCAGTCGATTTCATTCAGATGTGTGGTATTTGCTGTGGAGGGGGTGACTGTGCCGCGGTGGTGGATTTGATGGCGCAATGACAACACGGACTGCCGGCAGTTGTATGAATGGGCGCAGCCCAATTGGCCGGGGTGCATGAGGTCAAGCATTGGTCCAAGTCGTGCGACGTTAGCGGCAATGTTATTTGCGATGAACGTGCCGGATTGTTGAACCTGCAGGGCGATTTGGAATACTGGGGCCGCCGTCCAGACAGCCGGGACAGGCACAGAGTTAGCGGTGAGAATCCCGCACTGAGACTGGCGGGGTCGACGGTCCAAGATGCAGGATCATGCAGGGGGCAGGCCAGATATAAAAGTAGTAATTAAACTGTGTGGTAACTGTGGTTCCTCTTGACAAATTCTCCTGCGGGCGCCGTCTGTTCCCTGGCGATCCGCTCGTGGTCCCCACGCCCAATAAGCACGAGCAGCAGCCCAGATCGGCGCAATTGGGCAGGCCTGAATTTCAATAGTCTGGAGAGAGGAGCCCTAACCTTGACTGCATCAGGCAAGTGCGTAATAATCCGAATGCAATTGGCCTCCGCGTTCTGCACCTTGGCCCTGTGATTGTGGCCGTGGATTCGAACGATTCAGGTCGGCACACATATAAGAAATTGGTGGGATACCTTATCCGACACACAGCAACAAGACATACTCTTCCAGATCAAAATGAAGCTCTCTGTTCTTGTCGGCCTTGTCGGCGTGGCCTCTGCCACCTCCCATCTCAACCTGCATGTGCACGTCGGCAAGCAGCAGGGCGTCAACGACTGGATGCCCGCAGGACCCGATGATGGTGAGCCCCTCCCCCTATCGATATCGTTATCTTCGTATCGTGTCGTATCGTCTATCAGAAAGAGAACTGACGCACACCACAGCCCGCAGCCCGTGCCCTATGCTCAACACCCTCGCCAACCACGGCTACCTCCCCCGCGGTGGCCGCAGCATCTCGCAGGAAACCTGGACCAACGCCCTGGTTACCGCTCTGAACTTCGACCCTCAGGTTGCCAAGGGCCTTTTCGGCAATGCTATCCTCTCCAACACCTCCAAGGGAGCCGAGGAGTTCGATCTGTACGTATCCCGGCACCCCAACACTATATGGCATACTGACCAAACAGCGACCAAATGAACGTCCACAACCTCCTCGAGCACGACGCCAGTCTCAGGTACCCCCCCGGCTCCCATCTCCGTACTCGCGTGTTGAAAATATTAATAAATAATGCAGCCGTTCTGACGCCTACTTCGGCAACAACCACCTCTTCGACCCCACCGTCTTCGCCCAGACTCGCCAGTACTGGACCGATCCCACCCTCACGGCCGTGCAGCTCGCAAACAGCAAGCTCGCGCGCCAGATCCACTCCAAGGCCTTTAACCCGACCTACACGTACCCGCAGACCACCGAGGAGACCAGCTACAACGAGGCTGGGTTCCCGATTATTGCGTTTGGAAACATGGAGGAGGGCACTGTTCGTCGCGACTGGGTGGAGTACTTCTTTGGTATGTTCATGTTTCCTCTCTTTTTTCTAGCTTATGAATATACTTGGTTTGGTTGTATATGGTGGCTGACTGAGTACTGCAGAAAACGAGCGTCTCCCTACCGATCTCGGCTGGAAGGTCCGCGAGGAACCCATCACCGAGGAGAAGATGGGCAAGGTCGTCAAGCAGATCAAGGCTGCCCTGAACATGGTTACGGAGTCGACCGAGTCCGGCTCTGGGAAGCAGAAGAGAAACCCTCACTCGGTTTCATAAACTGGAGAGTTAGTTGGATTGATACTGCTGCCTGCCTGCCTGCCTGCCTACTTGCCTGTCGTCTGGCTGTCTTGTGGGTGGGCGGTGGTTTGCTTATTTACATCACATTGCTTCGATTCTGGGTCTGTTGCGGACCTGCTTGGTTTGATTAATAGATTGGGTTTAATATATGGATTACGGTCTCTCTTCTTACTTCCTTGTAATTGTTTACTGTGGCTGGAGGGGAATATTCTAGAAATCATGGATGCCCCGTGGCTGTGATACGTAGACGTCGGTGCGCTGGCAGTTGGCGGCTCAGCACAACCGCCGGCAATCATACCTAGGTAAGTAGGTTAGACTGGAAAGAGGCCTGAGCGCAGAATGACGGGGGAGTTTGCGTCGCTGCATTCTGTACATTTTCCGCATTGAGCGTTTCAGCCGCGTCGTCGCGAGTCAGTGCTGTGAAGATCAGTTCGGCGAGGCTGCCTCGATGGCCTCTTGTCTGCGCCTTGCGATGTAAGCAGACAAGGCTATGCTACCACGTTACTAAGGCATAATGAGGGACTTGAGATAATGTCGTCGATTTGTACTTGTATGCCAGTCTAGAAATAACCCCGTCAAGCCATGATAACAAACCCGAAATCCATCTCTCGTAACACCCATCACAGTCGTAATACCATGTCCCATTAAACCCTCAGAAGATGAACAAAAAGAAGAAATGAAGGAAAGAAGAAGAAGACGAATCAATGACGACGCTTCCTGTGCTGGCCCAGATGATCTTTGCGGCCAAAGGGGCGGCCACAGTTTCGCTCTGGGCATACATAAGCATTGGGCGAGACGTGGACTGTCCTGATATGGCGCATCAGATCAGCCTCGCGGCGGAAGCATGTTTTTCTCGTGCAGTCCTCCCATCTGCACTGCAGCCTGGGGCTGTCGCTCGGACTAGTTAGCAAAGGTCAGCGTCAGCAGGATGGCCTGTTGAATGGCCAGCAAAGCCTGGGGAAGTGGCAAATCCAACCTTAACGTCTGACTGGCCTGGAAGGCAGGCTGCCTGGGATTCGCCTGCAATCCAGCGTGATGCAGCTGGGCGTGAGTATTAGCAATGTCACCGTTTGCGCCGTTTGGCGCCGAGTCCACGCGTTCCTGCAGGGGGTCGAGCAAGCTGGGAGCGCCAGTCAGGGTTTGTTGGACAGAAGTTTCGGCGCGGCGATCGCTGAAGTTTTCCTGTTGCTTTGGGACCGGGGACTGCGAGGCAGTGGCTGTGGTCGCATGCTGGAACTGCGCTTGCTGGACAGTGTTCGCTTCAGCCAGCACAGGGCCACCTGCGCCCCCAGTCCAGTCACCACACAAGGATGAATAGATGTTTGGAAACAATGCAGTCATAGGATCCAGGGGGTATTCGGTGTATGGGGGGTCTCGGTCGTGTTCATGTGGTCGTTGGGGGTCCATCTTGACGTCGGCTGTGACGAGAAGGACAAGAAAAAATCATGGCAATCAAGAAACCGTTTCATCTGGTGAAGGGAGACTTATATAGTTCAAGGTTAAGGGATGCCTACGCCTCTGCAGTGACAACTGTGGCGCCGTTTACCAAAGGAGGCTTCCAGAAGTCGACCCATCGAGGCATCTCAAGGCATTGGCTGCTTTGCAGTCTGATAGGGACCATTCAGGGCTTCGTCATCACATAAAAGGCGCAAGGGAAGCAGAGTTTAACAGACCGATCAGTAAGAACCGCCGATGAGCCCTATCCAATATGGGTTAAAGAGACGAAAAAAGAAAAGGGATATTCTGCGACAGCGGACCCGATCCGGCCAATAACTGAATGAGTGTCTGAAAGGGTAAGCAGGCGCTGTAGTCTGCACGTAAGAAGGTCGATTGTGCCTTGTCCGCCTGCAGTTTTCGCCTTGTGTTCACCAGATGAGAAAGATTCCTGGCATAGCACAGCCTCCGCAATTACTTAATAGTTGGACTGGTGTCAGTCGAGCATCTCTGCTGCAGCTGGAAAAGCCTTACTTGCACTGGTACCTCGGTTGAAGAGAGGCGTCGTCATTCGCGGTGGCTATTACTATCCTCATGGCAGACGGTAGGAGAGCGAATCGGTAATGCTCCTGGCGTGTCACGCAGAAGCTTCCCAAACGCTGCCCAAGGCTGTCATGGCATGTACCCTATAATCCTGACATGGAGCGGCTCACTCCGAACAATCCAAGGCGGTTATAGCCCTTGAGGACCTTAACATATGCCGTGTTCGTAAACCACGGCCTTAAATTTTAAGTCCGCCCCACCCTAGCACCCTTTCGATTATAATACTGCGTGATATGGGAATATATGGCTTGCTCCTTCAAGGCTACAGGGTCAGCCTTTGTCTCATCGGCAAGCCCGTTCGTGTTAAGGGAAATTGGAGCCACGATTTTGATGGGATATAATCGAGGTACGCCGAGCTTGGTCAAGATATCTCGTGCGACGGCGACAGGAATAAGGGACAATATCGATTTCGTAAACGCTGGCAACATCAGGGAACTTGCCTTGCTGGTATCTGTATTCGTATTCGTGCCACGACAAGCCCTCAGGCGAACGTGGGATCTGACTCGGTCGTCGAGTAGATGCTTTGGTCTAGACTGTCAAAACGTTGTTAGAGATACCGAGAACCTATCAAGAAATCAACCATGCTTCCGGCTTTCCAAAGCGGTAGAATGGCGAGAAACATGCTGGGATAAGGACCTGATATTCACCAGTCTAGCTGTCGAATACTGTACGGCTGGAGGCATCCAATCCACTCATGCGTCGCACCTGCCTAGAATTCAATTTCCATCGTACCTTCCCTGGGAACCTGTCACACAGACTTTATCATACGTCGCTCACAGTTTGGTTACAGTAGTATAAGCAACGTTGCGGATTTCTCGAGAGGGGATGCTGGATTTTGTCCGGTACTTTGCTTGGAGGATGCGACGTTTGTTGAAGGGTATACTAGGGGGCAGGGACTAGGGCACGGCGGAGGAGGGAAGGATGGACGCTGTCGGTTTCCCTGGGGAACGCTTCTATAATCTCTTTCGATATCAGGCGTATAAAGGTAGTGTCCGATGTCGGTACCGGCTCGTTGATATCGGTATTGCACCTGTGCAGTGACGAACGTGGTGGATAAAACCGAGAAATTCATATATTGACCTCTGGTGAAGGATGATTATGATATACAAGACTCGGTATAACATCGGTGAGCTATCCTGATTTATCTGGATGAAACAACCTGGTGGGTATGACAGCTGCTTGGCCAATCGGATGCCTGATAATGACTGCCATCAGCTGTCATGCAGCTCTTGGTGTATAATTAAGCAATAAGGTCGCCTTCTACTATTTTGAGTCAGATCACTCTGTACAGGTTAGATATATAACCCCAACCTTGAAAATAGATAATTGCCGATTATACAGTTCGATTCCGTTGGGTACTTCAGACCTCGATTGCATGGTTAAGGCCGATATGTCAGACTCGGCCACAGAGTCCGGACATCCCCACCCTCTCTGTCTCCGCGAGTCAGTATAAACCTGGTCGATGCAATGCTCCAGATCATTTCTCGGGTGAGTCGAACGGAATCCTGCGCCCACATGGTGATGCTGCGCTGCAGCGCCACGTTTCCTACTCACCGGGACGCCGGCAGAGACATCTGATCTATCTACTATCTTGACCATTGACAGTTCATCAGCCATTACGCCTACGAGGGCTGGGCAGACCCAAATCATCCTTTCTCGCATGGCGACTGGGAAGGTCGGGTCGATGCATCGAATCGATCAGGCCAGCACGCGAGAGGCTGACAACAGCGAGTACCTGCACGAGCCTGCCTTTCCTTACCAGATACAGTATAGTTTTGGCCCCGATCAACTGCAAATAAACTTTGGAAGGATGCTGGCAGCACGATCTCCATCGAATGTCCCCACTATGCCCGGGACCTCCACTCGCATTCCGCTGGCACCAGCCCAAGTGCCGCAAGATGGCTGACCGGGTTGTGTTTCCTGTCTGCTAGAGCCGGTACTCCTACTTGTTATGGGGTCGTTCCAGCCCATAGCTACGTCTTGACGGGACATCAGCGGGAAAACTCCGGCATCATCCTTATAAGAGATAGGAGACCACCCGGCGTCCATTTGTTCTCGGTTGGCTTACTGCACTCTCCTCGTCGTTCAAACCTTGTCTGACCTGCTCACCATGAGGCTCGCTCCGACCGTAGCGGCTGCCCTGCTCGGCCTTGTGTCCGAGCTCACCCTGGCCACAGGCACAGACACCTCTCCTCAGGCGTCCGCCGATCAATGCGTGAGTACCCGAGATTGCGAGGTGCGAATGAGAAATCGACTTCAGGAACTAACTTTCTAGTGTGCTGCTCTCTCCAAGAGTAAAGTCGGCGACAAGGTCGTCCGTCCCAACAGCGCCGCCTACAAAAAGTCCGTACAATCGTACTGGTCTGTCAATGTCCAGCTCGAGCCGACTTGTATTGTGCAGCCGCAGTCCGCAGATGATGTCTCGGCCGTCGTGAAGACACTAACTACGGCTGGTGGTGAGTTGCCCTGCAAATTCGCTGTGCGCAGTGGTGGCCATATGACCTGGGCTGGCTCGAATAACATCGAGACCGGTGTTACCGTTGACCTGTCGAACATGAACAGCACCGTCTATGACAAGGAGGCTGGGGTTGCATCTATCCTTCCCGGAGCGCGCTGGCAGGCTGTATACAAGACTCTGGAGGAGTACAATGTTGTTGTCCCGGGGGGCCGCACTGGCCCCGTCGGCGTCGGCGGTTTCTTGCTTGGAGGTAGGAATGATACCTTTTCTTGATTGACTGAAGCTCATCCCAGCAGGAGGAAACTCCTTCCACGCCGCCCGCGTCGGACTCGCCTGCGACAGCGTCGAGAACTACGAGGTCGTCCTCGCCAGCGGCCGCATCGTCAACGCCAACAACTCCACCAACAGAGACCTCTTCAAGGCCCTAAAGGGCGGCGCCAACAACTTCGGCATCGTCACCAAGTACGACCTGAAGACCATCGACAACGCGCACATGTGGGGTGGGCTGACGGTGTTCACGCCCAACTCGACGGAGCAGGTCATCTCATCGGCTGTCAAGTTCGTCGATAACATCGAGAAGGACCCCTATGCTTCGTGGATCGGGCTGTGGACGTATAATGCGACCACTGACGAGCTCACTGACGGTAGCCTGATGCAGTACACCAAGCCTGTTCCTCGTCCTGCTGCGTATAACGACTTCTACAAAATCCCTAACATCTCTTCCACAAACGGGCCCCAGACTCTGCTCGAAGCGACTACTGCAATCCAGCAAGCTGGAGGCAAACGGTTCGTTAATTGAACCCCAAGATGGTAACACCAGCTAACAAATGCAGAAACGCTTTCTTGACAGGAACCTACATCAACAGCGCTGATATCCTGCGAAAGGCCCTGGAAATCCAGAAGAATAAGATAGACGACGCAAAGACCCTAGCTAAAGGCAAGGACTTCGTCCTGGTGGTCATCATCCAGCCCTGGCCCAAGCTCTTCTGGCAGCGCAATGCGGGCAATGGCATTGGCAACGTGCTTGGGCTTGAGCGTTTCGACGAGAACATGATCCGTGCGTGACCGTCCAATGTGAAATGAATTAACGTATAGAAATGACCGCTAACATACCTGCAGAGGTTTTGTATGATTATACGTGGGAGGAGGAAGCTGACGACGGGGTCTTCCAGCGTCTGACGGAGGAGTCGTTGAACGAGCTGGACGAGTACGCCAGGGACTCTGGGAAGTACAACGAGTACGTCTACCTCAACTATGCAGATGGCTCGCAGAACCCGCTCGCTGGATATGGCGACGAGAGCGTCGAGTATATGCGCCAGGTGGCGCAGCGATACGACTCCGATGGTGTCTTCCAGACCCAGGTGCCTGGAGGCTTCAAGGTCAGCGAGGCGTAGTCAGTGTTGGAGAAGATGGTTCAGGTTATGCTAGACATTTGATATTGACTTGGAGATTCCCATTAGACTAATGAAACGATGCCTCAATCCCCTCGTTGATTGCCAACTCAGCGTTCGTATAATCGGCTGGTGTGAAACCTTCTGCGCAAGCAGCATCATTTGACCGTTCCTGTGAAACTGGTGATTTCTTGGAGACAGCCAGTGGGAACTCGAGCAGTATCGAAGGATCGGGGATTTCTTCCACAAGGTTTATTGGCCCACATGGTCTCAGCGCCGCCAGAAGATCCTGGGAGTTGATTTCCGAAGTTAACCCAGCACGTCCAATCTCCATAAGAGCCAGCCAGGAACGGATTCCACTTCTGGCCTGAGTTGAGAAGCTCAATGCCGTGTGATAACTCAAGACTGCGGAAGGGTGAGGCCGCGCAGTGCCAGCACAGCAACTCTGCGACGCGGTGGGCCTCAGGCGCCCTGTAAACCAATCTAAATCGCACACTGCGATTCTCGATGCCGATCGTGGGGTGTTAGACTCGATGTGCCTTTGAGATCTCCACTTGGCATCCACAGTAAGCCATTCTAGCCAAATGCACCTGCAGCACGCAGCGCCGCAGCGGAGCCCAGGGCATCCTTCCAGAGTCTAAAAACAGCACGAATGGCCAAGACGCGGAGCAAGCCGATCTTTCTCGAGGATGTAAAGATGGCAATCCCAAGTCAGACCAGACTGGCCTGGTCCCAGAGTGGTCTGGATGCCACCGGGTCTAACCTGCCTCAACCAGACGGCGTAGACCCACGAGACTCCGGATGCCCTATGACAGGCTCAGCGTATCTGTGAAACAGGAATGACAGGGGATGCGATCCTCCGAACCTTCTAAACGTCGTCGTTGAACCTTGATTCTGTGTATGGATCTCCACAACCCATATCCTTCCCCCCGATGGCCTTGTTGTGCTCGGATCCCGTCTGCGATTTGCGTGCGACTATTAGGTGTACAATGACAATTGTTATTCCTGGTGACTGTCGTGCTTTCGGAGTTCGGAAAAGGCCAATATGGATAGTCTGACTCGCAGAGTTTCTTCTGCACCTTTACTTGTTTCGGCCTCCCAGTAGGATCGAATCCCTCTCATTCGCGCGGCGCTGTAAGCCTCTGCATGGCAATGGCTTCTCCTGAATTCCTTTGCCTGGTGCGGACCTATTTATGCTGGTCCCGCTGAGTAACTTCTCCGCACCCTGTCGAGTCTCAGGTTACCGCAAGCCTTCTTGATCGGACGGATAGAACCGACTCCATCTCTCTCGTTTCGCAGTGACTCGAGCCGTGATGTCTGAGGGCCAGAAGGGCGTGGTGCCCGTTCCAGAGGGCGAGACTTGGAACCCTGACTACTCGAATCCGTGGCTGTATCTTGAGAACAGGGCTGTGATTATTGCTGGTATTATCTTCTGCACGATAAGCCTGGGACTGCGGCTTTATACCAGGGCTTCTCTGTTGAACCAGTTTGGTTGGGATGATGGTGAGTCCAGTTCTGTTTATCATGCGAAGCTTGACTGACCAGCTGCAGTGTCAATAACAGGTGCTTGGGTATGCTTATTTGCCTTAGCAAAGCATCGTATACCAGACTAATATACCGGCAGGCCTTCTCCATAGCAACTCAAGCTGTGTGTCTCTGTAAGAAGCCGCCTGCCTTCTCACTGTCTCAGCTAACAGTCCAGACGGATACACGCACGGCGGCATCGGTATACACCTCTGGAATGTCACGCCGGAGATGTATCTAAATTACCAAAAGGTACGACCACTCTACATTCAGTGAATCCATCTAATTTCCAGACCGTCTTCGTCGCCGGTATCGTCTACGTCCCCGCCTTAGCCCTCGCCAAAGCCTCCCTCATCATCCTGTACTACCGCATCGTCGCCCAGCAAAAGTTCTTCCGATACTGCCTGTACGTCATCTCGGCAGTCGTAATAGGATACAGCGTTGCCATTGTGTTCGCGCTGATTTTCGCATGTAAACCGATTGCGAGGGCGTGGGACATGAGTATCAACGGCACCTGCATTGACCAGAAGGGCCTGTACACTGCGACTGCTATCACGAATACGGTTACCGATGTGGCCTTGCTGGTTGTGCCGCTGCCGGTTTTGGCGAGTTTGAATATGCCGCGCATTCAGAAGATCGGGCTATTTTTCATGTTTGTTGTTGGTTGCGCGTGCGTCTCTTATAGCACCTACCAAGAAGAGCAGTGGATGTATGGAGATGCTAATGTCCACTATAGAACCGTGATAACAAGTATAATCCGCCTCGTCACCCTTTTCCCCTTCCTGCAATCATCCGACCCGACATACCGCATTGGCTGGACAGATATCTGGATGTACGTACCACCCTAACTCACCCAAGACAACCACAGTAGTAGGGACTAATACTGTCCAGCAACGTCGAATCAAACTTCATAATCATCTGCCCCTGCCTCCCCTTCCTCCGGCACTTCCTCCGCCGATACGCCCCCAGGCTCATCGGCGAGAACTCCTCCGCGGCGCGCTACTTCAAGAACTACGCCACCTACGGGAAGACAGGCGGTGGGAACACGACGCTGCGGTCGTGGCGACGGCAGAGGAGTGAGCATGCGGTGCTTCCTGATGAGGTGGAACTTGCAGGCAATGGTGAGGGAATGGCGGATTCGCATTCTCCTTCTGCGTCTGGGGCGGGCGTGAGGATTCTTAAGGAGGTGCAGTGGGATGTTACGGAGGAGAGGAGCGAGAGGGTTTCGGATCCGGATGGTGTGAGGGAGGAGAATGTACGGCATGTTGCGCCGGGGATTTGAATTGCTGTCACGGTCTTTATTGGGTTGTATGTTATTTGTTGGGATGTAGCTTCATATGGATGATTGGGTATTGGATATTGGGTACGGCATGGGCATTGGTGCCCTGGAGTTTGGGATTTAATTGGTAAGCTGGCACAGCTTCATATGTACATGAAAATGATAATACCGACATACTCCATAATATTAATGCTGATGTTGCCTGCATGCATCTAGACTTTTATATACAACCCCGCTATATCACGCCGTTGCGGAACAACATTGCGACAGCATCGCGTGCAACGGTAAAGCTCCCGGCCGAGAAACCTTGGGGAAAATATCGTGATCGTGCTGCCCCTCCTTTCTATGATAAACAAAATGAGAAATACTTTCGCCAGCCATTGAGGGCTAAGAAAGCGCAGTGATGGCGTGCTTGCGGGACGAGATGGCGCGCCTCTCCAACGATAACGTCGGCTCTTTAAGAGAGCTGTCCCCGCTACCCCTCCTCATTTCAAATTAAACAGTTGAGGAAAAAAAGAAAGAAGAACATCATCATGGCGAATACAACTGCTACCGGCAAAAAACAAATCATCCTCAATGCCTTCGTCATGAATACGCCCGCCCACATGGCCCCGGGCCAATGGCGCCACCCACGCAACAAAACCGCAAACTACACCAAACTCTCCTTCTGGACGGACCTTGCCAAACTGCTCGACAACGCCGGTTTCCACGCCATGTTCATCGCTGACACGCTTGGTCCCTATGACGTCTACAAGGGTCCCGCGAACGTCGTGCCCGCCCTCGCCGCAGGCGCACAATACCCAGTCAACGACCCCCTGTATCTCGTCCCCGCAATGGCAGACGCAACAAAGAACCTCATCTTCGGCGTGACGGCCAGTCTTACCTATGAAGCTCCCTACTCCCTCGCGCGCCGGCTGACGACGGTCGATCATCTGGCGGAGGGACGGGTGGCGTGGAATATCGTCACGTCGTACCTGGACTCGGCGGCGCGCAACTTCGGGCTCAGCGAGCAGATCGAGCATGACGAGCGGTATCGACGCGCGCATGAGTACATGGAGGTCCTTTATAAACTGTGGGAGGGCAGTTTCCGGGATGATGCTGTGGTTAAGGATGTTGAGAGTGGGGTGTATATCGCGCCTGATGCGGTGCGTCAGATACATCACCAGGGGAAGTACTTTAATGTGCCGGGCCCGCATTTCTGTGAGCCGTCGGTGCAGCGGACGCCGTTTTTGTTTCAGGCGGGGGTTAGTGAGGCTGGGAATGGGTTTGGGGGGAAGCATGGGGAGGCGATTTTCGTTGCTGGACAGACGCCTGAGGGGGTGAGGAGTACTGTTGATAGTATTCGCAAGGTGGCGGAGAGTGAGGGAAGGGATCCGGCGCATATCAAGGTGATTGTGGGTATTACGATTATTGTTGCGGCGACGGATGAGGAGGCGTTTGCGAAGAGAGACGAGTTCTTGAAGTATGCAGACCAGGAAGGCGTGCAGGCCCTGTTTGGAGGGTGGACGGGCGTGGATCTGTCCAAGTATCCCGATGATGAAGACTTCAGGTTTGCAGAGGCGACGCGCGTGCAGTCGATTGTCAAGCGATGGGCGTCGACGGTTCCTGGGACGGACAACCTGCCGTGGACGAAGAGGAGGATTGTCGAGTTCTTGAGCGTTGGAGGGATCCAGACCAAGTTGATTGGGAGTGGGAAGACGGTGGCTGATGAGCTGGAGCGCTGGGTGGAGATCTCGGGCGTGGATGGCTTCAATCTGGCCCATATCACGAATCCCGGCAGCTTCGAGGACGTCATTGAATTCCTGCTTCCAGAGCTGCGTGCCAGAGGGCTGTTCAGGGAAAAGGTCGACAAGGAGGGAGCCACAGCCAGAGAAGCGTACCTGGGAGAGGGCCAGATTAGACTGCCAGAGGATCATCCAGGCAGTAAATACAAGTGGCGGGCTGGCGAGAAGGTGCCCAAGTACCAGGCATAGTTGATAGATCATGCATTATCGTTTAACTGTATTCATTCTGTCCCAATAGCAGCAACAGCAGCAAACCAGGGATGCGTCAACAACCCAGATATCGACGGTCTTTTGGCCGGATTATGGTCCTAGATTCCTTTCAGTAACTTATTGACAGTATCAGCCTCTTCCCTGCCTCTGAATCCCTCACTAGGAACAGGTGCCGGCCAGTGCAGGGTCAAATCTTCATCCGAGGCCCAAGATGCCGGTCGTTGACTGTATTTATAAAGATAGGTTCAGTACTGCGCAGTGCTACAGGGGCAGCGTAAGCAGAATCGCTAATTAATTTCCGACACCGCTGGTCATGCAACGGCGATCTTCACTGCGACATGGGATCAACGCATCAGTGCAGCCCTGATCGAGGAGCGGAACTCACTCCCAGTCCCTGGCTAGCACACTGGAAAGGAACCCGTGCCCCAATTCCGGATGATGCGCTGCTCCTTCAACGTGTCGCCAAAGTGGATGGGTGCTATCTCCCAGGCCGATAGTCCTCGATCCAATCGGTGGAAGCCGTCCAGAACCGCCATTCAGCAGATTGGTGGGCGATCACCAGAGGGTGTTGGAGGGTAGCTCATCCTTCGCCACCGCACCCATGCCCTGGAGCAGAAACAGCGAGTGGGGAGAAACACCATACACAGGGTACACTTGTGTAACCAGTCAATTCGCATCTAGGGCGATCTCCTCACTGGGTCCGTATCAATTTTATTGATCCACAGCCCAGCGCTGCCATCAACCCCGCTGGCAATCCTTGGCCTTCGCAGCCTAACCCCCGCGCAGTAGTTTATATCCCCCACAGCACCTTTCCCCGCGAGAAGCTGGTTCTACATACCAGTAAGCCCAAATCCAGACGGATTTATGTTTGTAAGCACGGTCCGGAATCTTACATCGATAGTGTCGAGTATTTCGTGGAAACCGCACCATAGACGCGGGTTATATATTTTACATAGCACTGCCCAACAACGTCTCATATCAATCACTCATGCTTTGGGACCACAATCTATTCCAGCATCGGGGCATCAGCACCCTCAATATGCAGAAATGAGAATATGGAGTTTGCAACTCTACCAGCAATGGTGAATGCCCAGCTCGGCACTGGATAACGCCAGTCTGCCATGGACACCCTGGCTGGATCTGACATTTCAGCACGCAACGAATCAAGCACGGGTACAGCACGAGTACGAGTATCAATGGTCGGAATGTACATTTAACCAAAGATCTCACCTCCAGTTTCAGTAGCGATTGGCCATCCATGATGTCAGTAGACGGGATACCGGACGGCTCCCACGAACGGCCACCAATGAATGTTAAACAAGCTGTACAAGGTTCCATGGTGGCGCCGGCCTGGGTAGAGTGAATGAGGATCAACAGTAACCTGACATCTAACGCTATTCTCTGCTTTTTCTAGAATAGTCCTGGGTTCCGATTCTTTTAAGCTGCTAATGGGTATGACAGGCGTTGGCACGCGGCAAATCGCTGCATATGTTCGACTCTAGTTGCATACTGAATCACCACTGGAGGCGGAAAATATAACCAAATAGTTGAGATATGTTGAACGCTGTAACCATGGTTGAGGCATCCCCATGTTTGCAAACTTTGTTGAGTGGCAAAATCTGCCCACCCCGACCCTGGTCTGGCTGATGCTTAAAAGTATATTAATACCGCACCCTTCATATGATTCTCCGAGGAGCCTCCGGAGTTTCTCCTGGCCTCAGAGAATTCACGATCATCGAATGGGCTGCCCTGTTCGGTGAGCGAGACCCGCACCCGGCCCAATATCGGGCAAACGCCGTGGTCTGTGGGTCTGTCTTGAGAGGGTGCGACTGTACTTTGCAAAAGGGAGAGCGGGCAAGAAAGCGGTGATCGATCCCGATACAGTGCTCGTCAAGGAAGAACAAGCTGCGATTGGCGTGCTTGGCCGGCTGGGCAGCGCTTTCGGCTTGATAGAGAAGGATTGCCGTCATCGGCGGGATGCCGTGTCGGGGCCAGTCGGGGCCAGGGCAGGCTGAAACCATTCTAGCGCTCTCGATGGGTCTCTGGCGCTGGCTATTCACTGCCTGCCATTGGCCTAGTCAATGCTGCCCCCCGGGGAAAAAGGCTTTCCCCTCGGGCAGAAGCCGAGTCTCCTCGATGCATCCCACGGTTGCCCGAGTCCCCCCACAAACCGGGGCCCTGATTCGTCCCTGAGCCCAACTCTGCTGAAACCCTCATCCCAACCTGGGAAACACTGACGAGGCTAGCCTGCCAAGGGCTCTGTGCGGTGGGGATATGGGGATGTTGGACGACGCCGTCAACCCCGTGGAGATCTGCTCTCTCCGTTTCTCGACACGCGGCCGTCCCCGACTTGCATTTCTCTTCTTTTGCCGGGCCGGTCATGGACTTTCTCCGTGGTCTTAAGGCTATAAAGCCCCGCGTGGTTCGCTGATCTGGCGGTCGTTTGCGGGTTTTGCGTTCTGCTCTATTCTTTCCATCCTGACTTCTTGACCTCTGCCCACCATGGGAGGCCTTCAGCTCAATATCGACTGGAAGTCGAACCGCATGGCCATCCTCTACTGTCTGGTGGCTGCCATCGGTGCACTCTGCTACGGTTATGACACGATCTACTACACCGGTATCCAGGGCATGCCCTTCTTCACCCAGGACTATGGCGAGAAAGGCGCAGACGGCTCATACTCGCTCGGCACGACATTCCTGTCTCTGTCTGCCAGTATTATCTACGTTGGCGAGTTCGTCGGCTCTATCATCGCCGCCCCCATTAACGAATATCTCGGACGCCGTGTTGTCTTCCTGGCTGCTTCCATCTGCATCGTCGTCGGAGCCGTCGTGCAGGCCTGCTCCTTCGGCTCGCACGCAGTCTTCTACGTCAGTCGTGTCCTGATCGGTCTGGGTATCGGCCAGTTCACTGCGACTTGCCTGATCTATATTGGAGAGGTTGCCCCCTCTGCCATCAGAGGTCCCGCCCTCATGTGCTTCCAGTTCATGCAGTCCATCTCCCAACTCGTCGGAGCCTGCGTCAACCAGGGCACGCAGAGCATCCAGAGCGCCCAGTCCTACCGCATCCCCATGTGCCTCCTCGTCGTCCTCCCCGGCATCATGCTCCTCTGCCTCCCCTTCATCCCCGAAAGCCCCGTCTGGTACATGTACAAGGACAAGACCGAGCAAGCCGTCAAGGCCCTCCGCAAAATCAACAAGAGCAACCGCGACTATGATCCCGCTGCCGACCTCGAGACAATCACCGAGCAAGTCCAGACCGAGCGCGAGCTGGCCCGCGACGCAACCTGGCTCTCCCTCATCACCGACCCCGTCGAGCGCCGCAAGCTCTTCTACGCCTGCGGCGCCATGTTCGTCCAGCAGATCAACGGCATCCAGTTCTGGTATACCTACGGCGTGGTCTTTGCGCAGTCCATCGGCGTCGCTGACCCCTTCACCATCAACACCATCATCTACGTCCTCCAGATCATCGCCGTCAGTGTCGCCGTCGTCTTCGGCAACAAGATCAACCGCCGCACGAACCTCATCGTCTGCTCGTTTGGCATCTTCGCCTCGCTCATCACAGTCGGTGGCCTGGGCACCACCCGTCAAGCAGACGGGTCCTTCTCACGCGGTATTGGCATTGGAATCGTCGTGCTCGCGTACATCAATATCATCTTCTACAACTTCTCCATCGGAACACTATCCTACTCCATCGCGTCTGAAATGTCCGTCGGCCGAAACAGAAACAAGATCACCTCGTGCGCTATCGGCGTCTTCTTCGTCACTGTCTGGCTCATGGTCTTTACCAGCCCTTATATGTACTACGACGGTAACTTGGGCCCCATGATTGGGTTTGTCTACGGCGGTACCACACTGTTCTTGCTTGCGTACTCGTGGTTCTGCGTTGGTGAGACTGCTGGGCGGAGTAATGCCGATATCGAGCGGCTCTTCCAGGACCGTGTCCCTGTGCGTGAGTGGAAGACGTATGTTATTACCCATGAGGATGGTGGCGTGGCCAAGAAGAAGGAGTCAAAGGATGAGCAGATCGAGATGGCTTGATTATATTTAATTATGTGTTTATGAGCTTGGGATTGAGTCCTAAGTGACATTTATGATAGACAATTCATTATGCTTGATGCATGGTAACCCAGCTACGAATTTTTGTATGTCGTATTGTAGACTGTAGAGTCTGGTTATAGTGACCTTTTGGCCCAGTTGGGAGTGTGCTTGCCCGGACACACGCTCTTACAAGTAATATATATATTTAAGAGATTATTAGAATCCTTAAGATTACCTGTATTTAGATCTCTATCATCTATCTAAATATCAGAAGAATTGCCTATTTAGTTGATTATTGAAGTTATGGTGGTGATTGGTTCATTAGTAACCATAAATCCACCGCCCAGATCCAACACCAAGGAGTACGCAGGTCCTGAGCTGGATCCTGAACACCAAGTATGCACAGGGTAGCCAGCTACCGCGCCTACTGGTAGGCAGCGAAAGGATATAAGGACGCTCATTCACCATCATGGATTTAGTTTACTTCTTAGTTCTTCGTGATCAATATACATTGTTATTGCAGAGTATACCTTTGCTAGTGATATCAACTCGTCAGTACTACTCTTCACTGTCTGTGTACATACAGCCAGTGGCCCTACTCTTTGCGAGCTAGTATATGGTTTACCAATACCAACTCAATACCAAATTCAGCAACCCACCAGTAACATGAGTATTGTCACAGCTAACTAGTCCCAATTAGGATTCCCTTGCCAGGGTACAGGTTTGGAACATATCTATTACTATAATCTGAAATACCAGACTAGCTACCGGGTTCTTACGAGATCCTAGGGTTAGACGCCACATACTTGTGACAGGAGTGGAGCGTCGTGACAAGAGCATTGTAGGAGTTCTGGGAGTCTAATTTTAGGCTCTTGTATCTGTCTTACATCCTATAAGAAGGAGCTGGTATTATTACGTGTAGGTATAAAACGTGTTAATTATTAGGGTTTGAAAGAGCACCGCTATGTTTCCGACATGGAAGGCGAAGTCGGGTGCTACTGTATAGGAAAGCCACCGCATATAGACTAGGTGGCTTGCACATGGCAAAAGCCCGGGGGTTATAGACCTTGGCGTTTAGTTGAACCAGGGCCGGGTGACCAGAGAGGCAGTAAGTCCATCTTCTCATCTGTGCGATCGTGTCGTGATATCCGCCTCTTCCGACGCGACAGGAAGTGTCGGCCCTGATTGAAGAAAACCCCAATCTCATCCACCGACAGTGCAACCAAAATAAGAGGAATCGAAATAGCAAACCCGATCCCAAATGTATATTTGGATACAAATCGAACGGTCAGGTCCGAAAACTCTTGCATATCGATGGCGAAGAAAGATGTTAGGAAGGATAGCGGCAAGAAGACAATGGTCACTATCGTGAAGACCATGATGATTTTTCCTTGTCGGGCGGTGCCCTCTGCTTGGTCTCGGGCGAACCGCGCCTCGAAGGCATTTGCTTGCTTCTGTTTTAAATCGAGCAGGTGCACCATGGAGTGGTAGACACGATCGGCTTGTTGGTCCATGCGATTGATGTGTTGGAGCCGTAGATCAACCATGAGCTGGCGATTCTCAAGACGTTCGTAGGGTACGGTTTGTGAAACGGGGCATATGGAGTGGAGTGTTTGCTGGAAGCGGGTTAGGGCCTGGGTTTGGTGCTCTAGAAGGGTGCGGGTTATATTCAATTCATCTCGGATATCCTTTACTTCCGCGAGAAGATCGGTTTCCTCGCCAATGTCCAGCATTTGATCGACAAAGTGGGGAGAGCTATCGGAACGAACATAATTGTCGGTATGCGAGTCTTCTGGCAAAGTGTCAGGGTGAAATTTGGACTGGAGCCGAGAGAAGAGATTCCTCGGGCTGTGGCGACTTTTCAGCCAACTCGACGCCTGCTTAGACGCCTGGTAGAAATCAGAGAAGAAAGTGACTTCTCGGTCATTGGCTAGGTTGATGGAAGACTCGAACATATCGAAAAACTGATACTCTTCATCATCTAGGCGTTGGTTGTCGAAAACGCCCAGGCATCGCTCGATAATGATTGTCGCCACATCATATAAAGATGCAATCGGGCTTTGCAGTTTGGATGAGACATCTTCGAGGACCCTGTCCATAACGCTGAGAGGATCGTTGCTAGGTTGATCCCAACGCTGGGGAAAGCAGGTGATGATAAGATCTTCCCCAAGAATCCACATCCATAGCCGATCGACCATGAAGAGCTTAGGGCTGGCGTGCGGAGTTCTTGCACGACCAGGGCCTCGAGTTTGATATCGGTAGACAACTTGGTCCTGGTCACGTCTCTCGGTATTGCTGTGCGGGTAGAAGTATTGATCTAATGTTTGGCGTAGATGCAGCGGTGTTGGCGTAGTTGAAAGATGGGCGTCGACCAGTAGCTCATCACGAGTGCGAGCTCTATTCGAGCCTATTCGGGGGATCTCCAATGTCAAGGGGCGCCGTATTGCCTTTTGCATTTTCTGCACCCGCTCTGCAGTCTCGAGATGTAGATATGGCATGAAAAACCCAACACTGACACCTGTTTGCGCATCCTGACTTGCAGCTGTATCTTCTCGTTGTACCTTGTGAGATGTCTGACCCAGCATGAACTGAGAATGACCTTGGCTCTCATAATCCAAGGATTTTTCAAGACGACTAAAACCCTGGACATCCTGTGCGCCTTTTTCTATAAAGGCCTTTGTGAGGAGAGCCTCAGCCCAGACCATATTATTTGCAGGAAGGTGAATCCAACGAAAAGCGGTCTTTTTATTAGCCGTTGTAGTGGCAGTCATGGCCTGCTTGCGAGGATTCTCTGGATCACGTCCATATAGAAGATCAAATATGGGCCTTCTCAATACACGATTCAGATTGCCGAACTTTCCAAAATCAGCGATGGTTGCATCAAACTGCGTACAGGCAGCCCTGTAGTCCTCGGACAGGGCCTCGAGATTGTTGGACGGGGCAAGCAAATGTAGAATATCCTTATGCCTGAAAGTGGCCGCATAGAGGAAGGGGGTACTGCCAGATTTATCACGCACTCGGCGGTTCAACTCCGGCCGCTCCAGGAGGCACTCAACCACATTGAGATGGCCATATTGTACCGCAAGATGTAACGGCGTAACTCCGTTCAGGAGCTGGCTATTTATATGTGCCCCGCTGAGCAGCAATTGCCGAACAATGGCCACAGAGCCCCCCTGGCATGCACAGTGAAGAGGAGTCCAACCACCGTCACCGAAAGCATTAACAGAAGCAGCGTTCCTCAACAACAGCTGTACAGTCTCATAGCGATCGTGTTCCGCGGCGACATGGAGTGCCGTTCGACCTCGAAGATCTGTGGTGTTAATATCCGCACGAACCGCCACAGGGGCAGTAATAAGCTGCTCCCCAAGACGGCTCTTGCCAAATGCGCAAGCCTCAGTGTAACGGCGTACGACCGAGATTATCCTGCTCGTTCGCCTTGCAGCCGTTCTTTAACAGTAGCGCCACAACATCGTCGCCCCAACCCCAGCGACAATCTTTATCAGCCGCAAGATTATGCAAAACATTGCGCCTTCTGAAGTCTCTAGCATTGATATTGGCGCCCCGTGCGATCAATAGAAATAGAATGTCGATCATGCCTCTCCATGCGGCGGTCATTAGTGGCGTGCGGCCATTCTCGTCGACGATTTCGAGCGAGGCACCATGGTCAAGAAGAAGCCGAACAATTCGGTAGCGTTCTCGATGGATCGCGCGAAGTAGTGCTGGGGGCTTTTTGTTGAAAGAGGGTGCATTAGGGTCGGCACCTGCTTGAAGAAGGTACTCAGTGGCTGCGATGGAGCCTTGCTCAACACCGCGCAGAAATCCGATGCGGAGAAACGCAGGACCGAATTGACCATTATCGCGCGCGCGCTCGAGAACATTGGCTAGAGCCTCAACATCATCACATGAGGCGGCGCGGACAAGGGCAGGCTCCAGTCGCTCATGGCCGATGCTGTCGCTGCTGGTTCCCATGGTGGACTGGGCGGAGGGTCGTGTGGAAACCGAGTGAGGGAGACGGAAACACATCCGTCGAAGGGAGTCGGTGAGGAGGGCTCAAAAAAGCAATCATGGTGAGTACACGTGTCTGGCAGCTGAAGGAAATTTCCTCAGTGAGAGCTGACATATAGCCAATGCAAGACATAGAGTATAAACAGGGGCATGCTTGAGAGTATCTCTGTTTATCCATTACATATTGTTCTTCTTCAACAGCCTCAGCCTATGGCAAAACATTGATCATAGAGTATTAAACTGGTATTTCATAGCACTTACTGAGATGGAATTTATACCGGGGAAGGGATGCTTAGGGATGCTTAGGGTTACTGGCGGAACATGAATTCTATGGTAAGAGTGCCGAACAACGGGATACAGTTTCTAATAAATACAGAAATAATAGTGACACATCTCGGCCGACCAAGGTCATATTTATGCTGTTAGGTCACGGAGTCTACACTTTATTTTGGTGTCCCTGACATCATATGGATTACTAGCACTGTGTACTATATATGTACGGCATCACGCAGGCGGGTTGATATCAACGACCGACACAGCGGTATCCTCCAAACTGATAGCATCCTCGTTACTCTCTCCAACGCCAGAGTACTTGTTCAACCAGCCAAGCACCTGCTGGTGCCAGACAAGACTGTTCTCCGGATTCGTAACCCTACACTATTAGCACCATCCATAAGTCAACAGAAAGCAAGAAGAGACGTACCAATGATTCTCATCCGGAAAGTTCAAAAACCGACTCGGCACCCCCCTCTCCTGGAGCACATTAAACAACGACAACCCCTCCGCCACAGGCAACCGATAATCCAAATCATTATGGATAACGAGATGCGGCGTATCAAAGCGCAGGATCCTCTCGGGGCTGCTCGGGTCAAACCGGCGGTAATTCTCCCTCGCATCCCAGAACGTCCCATTGAACTCGCGCTGCATGAACCACAGTTCCTCCGTGGAGATCTTTGCGTCCGCGACAAATGTCCCGTCGTGTGTGACCAGCGCTTTGAATTTCCGGCCGAGGTCGCTGCCTTGGATCCAGTTTACCATGAACCCGCCGTAAGACGCGCCTGCGGCGACACCGTTCTCGGTGTCGATGTAGGGGAGTTCATCGCGGATGTATTCCCAGCCTTTGACGAGGTCTTCGTATGGTGCGCCGCCTGTCGCTAGTTAGCTTCTGTCAGTTATAAGGAAGAATTGGGGAGGTACCCCAGTTATTCTGGATAGCGTCGGTGAGTTCATCGCCGTATCCCGTGGAGCCGGTTGGGTTGGGCGCGACGACGACGTAGCCCTGGTCCGCGAAGACCTTGGGATTCCAGCGCGTGCTCCACGAGTTATACCAGGCGCCTTGTGGGCCGCCGTGGATGAGGTATGCGAGCGGGTATTTCTTGCTCTTGTCGAAGCCTTCAGGGTAGATGACCCAGGCGTGGATCTATCATTACCGTATATTAGCATTTTTTATCACAGTATGGGGTGGGTGCCTACGTCAGTCCAGTTGCCGGTGTACCAGATATCGTCGATATCCTTGGGCCCGAGACCGCTGAGCTCGGGGTCGATTTCGTGCGCGGAGGCGAGGGTCTTGAGCACACCCTTCTTGGGGTCTAGGCTGACGGTGTCGACGTACCAGCTGGAGTACAGGGTCGAGCCGGTGACGAGGAGGGTCTTGTTGGGGAGGAGATAGTAGGCCGAGGCAAACTTGCCCTTGGTGAGTTTCTCCGGGATGAAGTCGTCGCTTGTTGCTTTCTCGACGGGGACTAGGAAGAGGTTGCCGCTGCCCTGGTCTTCGGAGCCGGCTACGATGGTTCGGTCGTCGATCCATTTGAGGGAGTCGGGGGAGCTGTCCCAGCCTGTTGCGAGGGCGGTGATCTCCTTGGATGCGAGGTCGTAGACGTATATCACGCGGCGGTCGGCCTCGTAGGTATCCTCTTCCATCTGGAAGTAGGCCAGGCTTTTGCCGTTGGGTGAGAAGGCAGGGTTGTTGGAGTCTCCTGCGATGCCCTTGGGGGCATTGTCCGGTCCGTTGATGGGAGCAGCAGTCTCGGAGCCATCGTGAGGAACGAGGTAGATATAGGCCGTAGTGTAGTTGGCTTGCGGGACATCAGGAGCCTTGCTCTTGTATGCGACCCATTTGCCGTCAGAGGAGATGTCATAGTCGGAAGCGCCGCCGAAGGGGGGATACGGGGACTCGGCGTTCTTGACCGGGGAGACGAGGTTCTTCAATCCTCCGGCAGAGACGTAGCGCGTGTGCTGGCTTCGTCTGAGCTTTCCGGAGAAGACCGCATTGAAGGTGGTATCGAGATAGTAGTCCCAATGGCGCACGTAGATGCTGTCGTAGATGCGGGCGCTGCTGAGAGCAGTGGCAGCGAGCTCCTCGTTGTACGCAGTGCCATTGGGATATGACTTGGCGTAGGCGACGAAGTTGACGTCTCCTGATTCAGTGGTCGCGATTTTCAGGCCAGAGAATGCAGCTGGCAGCGAGGCGGCCTTGTATCTACGGGGGTTAGCATTGGTTTCGCAGTCCTCGGTTTAGAGGCATACCCTGAGCCAAACTTGGAAACCTCCGACACCCAGAGCTCAGAACCACCAGGGATGTTGGCATTGGAGCCATTGACGTATAGGACCGTTGAGTCAGTCAACCAGACCACCTCCGAGACATCGCTGCTGTTGGTGAGGGGGCGGATTTTGCCTGATTTAATGTCGAGCAAGCTCCACGAGGAACTGGTCTCGTGGCTATCGAACGAGTACTGCGAGCTGGAGAAGATTGCGACAGTCTACCATTGTTAGAGCATCCTACCAAAGGGAGTGTTGTGCTTACTCCGGAGGGGTTGGGGATAGCCTCAGATCGGCGGGGAGCACTGATCAGCTGCCTACGACTGTTAGCTAGATAGGTAGGTACCGTACGGACAGAAGACGTACTCTGGAGTCAGAGCCAGCACAGCCGAAGCTGCAGCTGCAAGCGAAAGCCACCTGAAAGCAGCCATTGTGAAGCCGGTGATCGCGCAGCAGACAAACCAAGGCCAAGGGGGCCTTATTTATAGGGTGAGGGGATGGTGTAATCTGGGCCGCAGATAACCAGGGCACATCTCCGCACGGTCTGGCATGTTTTGGTGCTTATTGACCTTCCTATTGCAGAGGGCGTTAACGGGAGCTGGAAGGGATCGGCCGGATCCCTGGCAGAGTGGAGTGAGACAAAGCATTCCAGGCGAATCTCAGCCTGGGACTCAGTTAGCTGCACTTAGTCTGCATGGAGAACCGCCCTGTTCTCAACAATCGCGCCCCCGAGGTTGCAACGCCAAGCTGCACGATATTCGATTGTTTGGCTGCTGCTGGTGGCTGGTGGCCTGGATGTAACGTCTGTCGGGGTCAATTTCCCAGCGAAATTAAAGCCAGATGAAATACGATGCGATTGCTGCAGCTCGCGTCATTCTTATCTTCGATTGGTTTTATTGTGACATCGATCGCATGATAAGCGGGGAAATGACACTATCGCTTTAATCTCAGCTTAACATCGGCTTGGACATGCAGGCTATCGGCGGGTTCCGTCCATTCCAGAATATTCCCCTGGATGTTTCCTTCACTTCTAGCCATGGCTTGCCCTTGCATTCGCTTGTATGACTTCAGGTACAGAATGGGACGGCCAATCCCCAACAAACTGTCAAGCAGGGTCAACGCTTCTCGTAAATCCATGAAGAGATGTATGAGAAGGTTCAATCGCACAATAACAGCCATGCCAGGTCTGGCCAATCAACTTGGTATCTGGACTAACAAAGAGAAGCGAATCTGCCGCCGATAACCGACAAATATCACCGGGAAATAAACAAGCATCATCGCAGCAAGGCCTTCCCATGGAAGGCTAAGTTGGCCCGTGTAAATGCGTATTTGGTTGGACAAGGAGTCGAATCAAGTAGATTACGATAGCAATTACGAGGATATATCCCTGTCATCTCGAGATACGAGCCATATACTACTTCTTTAACGTACCTCTGCCTGATGATTTGACATGACTAAACACTTGTTAGATAAACAAATTACCTCGACCCCGGATACCTTAAGGTTCCGAGAAAGACAGTCCAAAACAGAGTGAGCATCCCGACCATGACAGTGGCAGGTACGGAGGCATTCTGGAGGTCTCCTCTATAACCCAACGGGAGCATCCACAGAAGTAAGAAGACCAACATGGGGAGCATACAGACGAGATTATATGCGACGACCCACCGGAAGCAAACAATCTCCTGGGCGTAAATTCCCCAGAACCGCTCTCGCTTGCTACCATGTTCTTCAAGTTTAGTCTTTTTCTTGGGAAGAAGGCCAAGGGCATCATTGTTGTTGCTGGTGTGCTGTCTGCATGTATGGAACATATGCACCGGTGAACGGCTCGGCGAGTAACAGGCATAGAACCGCGCGTAGAATTCATGTTCGGTTATTGGGGGAATGATGTCCATCGGCACTGGATTATAATCGTAGTGGTCTTTGCAGGGTGGGTAGTCATTCTTCAACTTCGGCGCATACGCGGAGTCGTCGAATTCTCGAACTGCTCGAAAACATTTGGTTAGAAAGAGAAACAGCTGGTACACGTGGAAACGGATACCTGGTAAAAATCACAGTGCGAATATCGCCACACGCTGAGCAGATTCCGCAACCACCCGCGCAGCCGACGATACTCTGTGCGAAGGGACTGGAAGAATGTGTGATCACAGAGTTGACCAACGTCAACTTGGGACATGAGGTATCTGTCTCCTCGCTTCACTAGAATAATTACGTATCTATCTCGCTTCACAGTACCATGTACCTTAGTATTGACTTGGTGAGGTGCTTGAACAGATGCTCTGCTCGGCTGCGATAGGGCAGCAGGGCCAGGTGGTCGGATAGAACCAGACTGCGGCGTGTTTGATTGTAGATTTGTGCTTAAAGTCCGAGTCGGACGATTGCTATACTGACCGGGGCGGGACTGGCCCGGGTTTCGCGTGTCTTGTGATAGCAGTTGCCTAAGCCCCTGTGCGCTCACTTCGCCAGCCCGATATTTGTCAAGGAACCGCTGAACTGCGTTTGCAACCGTCGGAGTCAGCTCGATCCATCCTTGATGCCCACAATGCTACAGTCGAGTTAGTGCGTGTCTACCAGATGGAGAAACTCCCAACGTACACAAATCCAGAACAGCCTTTGTTCACTGGGAGCCAGAGTCCTCGTACACGGTCTCAGTGGCCACCAATCCCACTTCACCCCAGTCCATTTCTCTATGAGACCCTGGCAAGCATTGACCCGCCCCTTCATTTCCAGGCGGGTGAGAAACATGGTATGCGGAGAAGCGTACTGCGTCTCGCTGATGACGGTTTGCCATTGATGAATGTCTCTGAGAGGCAGAATGGGCAATCGAGAGAGGCTGGTCATTTGTTTCTTAAACAGTTCATGTAAATCTGGATACGCAAGGTAGAAGAGGTTCCCACGGAGGAATTGGTATGGTTGGCTCTTGACGAGAAAATGTCGAAGCCGTTCCAGGTTTGGGAACTCAAAGTCCATCCCGAAGCCATCATCTTCACTATCGGTATCTGATTGTGAGCCGTCATCAGAGCCTCCGTTGGGATCTCGGGACCGGCGTTTGCTTCGCTGGTAATGCTTCCGCCTCTGCTGCATATAGTCTTCTACTTTGGCACGATAGGCTGTTTCGTCCGGCACCGTGTCTAAAAGTAAATGTCCACCGTCCTCGCCAGTAATGGAAGCACACAGTTGGTAAGATATATTCCTCGATAAGCGTCTGATAATTATCGGCGCAACGTACTTCTCGTACGGTTTGGGTTCGGATTCCAGTTTCAACTCCTGGGCCCACGGTTTGAGAAGTCGGCACAGCTTATTTTGGAGCTTTTTCCTGGACATGGATGTCTCACGAAAAGCCTCTTTGACACATGTAACTATCAAAGGGTCGTCGAGTAGTAATTGCACCAGCTCTGTGGTTGCAGCCGTCGTCATATCCGCGGACATTGCCGACGTGCGACTTGATTGTGACTGATCTGAGAAGAGACCGTCCTCAGAGTCAGACTCGGAGTATGCATCGTTCAGATCTCTGCCTCCAGGCTCTTCCAAGGGCTCGGTATGGATGCCAACTTGGGGCTCGTTTCGCGGCTCGGTTTCCAGTCCAGGCACTGTGTTTTGCACAGGCACGCCTGCATCAGTTTCGCGTGGCGAGCTCCTCGGAAACTCGAGATGTCTGCAGCCCATGCATTTTGTATGATTGCAGCTCGAACAATGTTCAGCCGTCAAGTTCGGGTTATTCAGGTTCTGACAACGACAGCAAAACCACCCTTCAAACATCAGCGATCGATGGCGGTACATGACAGTTGCAGTATTTCAGCTTGCAGAGTTGGTGGTTACGGTTTGGATTCTCTCTCTCTCTCTTTTTTTTACTTTTCTTTTTCAAAACAGCGCAAGATGCTGTTTTAATGGGGAGGTCACAAGTCGCCGCACGGCGAGGGTCATATTGCAGACAAGGCTGTGTGCGAGTTCGAGCTGCAGATATCGCCAATAGTTGGACCACGAAGGTTGCATATCCCTGCTCCGCCACCCGGGTTTCAGCCTCGTAAAATATATATAACGACGATTGGGCAAGGCTAATCTCCCATGCAATGGCTCAATCCTCCCATCATTGATTTATGTATACCCCGCGGGGTAACGAACCGGTCTCTGGCCTCCATTGTATTACATCCGGCCGCGCCGCGCCATGGCTGTCGGGGCTAGTTGTGCGCTTGGCGCTGGTCGGTGGCTGTGCCGGAGTCACCGCTGTGAAAAGGTCCCAGCTATCTGTGCGATCTCATCAGTCTGTTCCTGTTCCATCCATGCTGGGGTATTATTGAAGGGGTGGCAGTTCCCCTTTCGCCCCAGAGATGACCAATGACATAATAAGGAGCAAGATTCCATAGTATAATTTCTTTGTCATTTAGGGTCGTCTTCGGGATCGTCAAGATATCGATGGTTCCAGCTCTGTCGCTGACCCTATATTGATGCCAACCGCTCACGAAGTTAGCCTCTTCGATGCGCTATTCACAACAAAATTCAGGGCCGAAGTATATCCCTGGTTTTAATCTGCAGGAGTTGGAATTTTCTGCCGTGTCACTAGATGAGTAGTGTCAGTCGGTTTGGTATCAGCTTCCATGGGCAAGCGTGGGCCTACTCCCATCTTATTCACGTCGGTAGGAAACTTCACCTGAAGCGTCATGTAATGGTGTATTCCAGTATGGTAGCCCATCTGACTAATATATAATTAAGAATAACGACCCGACAGTTCAGTTAAATAGGGAAGCACCGGCTGGTACCTACCTATCCATCCCATGTCCATCGGCGGCCCGTTGCACCTTCCGTTTGGGGATAATTTTAGTTGTACGAGCCATCATGGAAGGCGCGATAGCTCTCAGAGTGCAATAGGAAGGAATGGTTCGAATATGATAAGTGGAAGGAGCGACCCTCCCTGGTTCTGCCTCTCTCTGTCTTTCTCTGCCTTCTTGTTCCACGGTTTAATCTTCATCTACGACGGTTAATGCGCATGCGATGCGTGGTGTCAGTTGCTTACCCCCGATAGGGTAATGGTAGCAACCAATCCCTTCAGCTCAATTTCGCGATGTTTCTTAAGGTCAGTTGGCATCATATGGATGTAAACCCATCTCGTCCACTAAGAAAGGGTTTCTAGTTTGGTGCTTTCTAGCTTTAGAATTGATTACCCATGCGATACTAATTCTTTGGCCGCGCCCAAATTCTACTTTGTAAAGAACTACTTTGTCGGGAAGTATGGATAAATTTTAGGTAAGATTATGATTAATTTTTAGGGTATCATAACTATGGACGACGGCCAGCCGTGACCATCGAGGAGTGAAGTAATCTATCGAGTCCAAACAAAAGAAAAATTCCGTCGAGTTGTCCTAACACCCTTCGCTTGATCCATTTTTTTGTTTTGTTTTGTTATTATTGTTTTAGAGGTTGTTCGTCGTTGTTGTATTCGTGATTGGGCAATCAGCAGGTGATATACCGGCGATCGCGTTTCATGCTTGATCTTCAAGCGTGATGGATCTGGCGGTCGTAGGGAGTCCACCAGCTGTGAAACAGTTAGATACAGCTAAAAGAATAGTTTAATTGCGCTCGGTGCTTACCTAGGGTCGAGGCCCTGACCAGCCCAACGTCCAGCAGGGAAGGTGTACTCGTCGTCCCAGTGCTCCTTTGCGGCCAAACCGGGACCCCATTGTGCCTTGAAGGACGAGAAGCCTTTCTTGAGGGAAACGGAGATGGAAGAGGCCTTGCTGCGGATGCTGCTTGATTGGGACTTGTTGTCCGTCGAGGAGACTCGGCTCATAGTGAGGTCTGCCATGACTGTGTATTGTTAGATATAGTTCGGCAGAGTGGAGTGGGTGGGTATGCTCACTTGTAGAAGAGTAGTAAATGTATTGAATTGGAAGTATTGAGATTAGACAATATATTATTGTAGTCTTTTGCAGGTATGTTTTTGATGATATCCAAATTCAATGTCCATCTCACCGGATATCCAGGGCTACTTATAGATTTGAGGTGAAAATTCTTGACACTTGATGCCAGCCCAGAACCCGATTTTTTTTCGCCGAACCATCTCCATGATATCGCCGAATTGACTCATATTATCGCAAACGCCCAGCCAAAGCTCGCAAAACCTGTCCCTGACCCACTATAGCTGTACGAAAATTTTTGCTAACGTCCTTGCATCATTTCATCAGCAGCCCAAACACTGACCAGACGGCGGCCAAAGTTTGTTCGCTATTACAGGGTGAGGCACATGGACAGCCTGTCACAGGTCAAGATGATCAGTCGGTGGGGTGACATAATGGTGTCGCTAGTTGTGATTGGTTAATTAGGTCTTCCCTTTTGAGCATAGCTCCCGCATAACTCACGTAAGCCGTTCATGACGTGTATTATCTATCGCCGAGCCATCTCCGGGATATCGCCACCGGCTTGGCTTCGAACATTCGGCCTGACTAACTGTGCAAATTTTCCTGTCCGAGTCTATACCGATATCAAACCTGCAAGGTAGCTTGTGATCATGACGTTGTAGTGTTTTGGCTTTATGGTAGTTGTTCCAATGTTGTCAACCCGATGATATATTCCCATACTTACCACACCGTGCTGGAAAATTAATATTCAATTCCCAATTACGTCGTCTTCACCTTGGCAGATATTCCCAAGAAAACCAAGAACTATGACTCAACATCTCTACTAAATATTTTATAATCGCCACCGCGTTCGTTCCTTTTAGCCCCCAAGCAGTAGAAGCATACAGAATACTTGCCTCTTTACAGTGGCGCTTCAATGCAACAACGAGCCAAAGTGGTCAAAGCCCCGTTCTAGGCATCGGCGAAGACCATGCCCTACGAGGTCTATACGGAAACACCGGCCACCATCGGAACAAAGTCTTGGCGGGAGAACTTTTCATCGGGACCCGTGACGCACAGGGCACGTTGTCGCGGCCTGAGATACCGAAGTAGTGCCGGGTTGGTCGGAATGGTCCTGTTCATTCGTGTTTCGGAACAGCTCGTCTCGGTATCCCGTCTGGGTGTAGTCTGCTCGTGGCGGCATCCTGAAGTGACAAGACCGATAAGACGGCCCGTTCCGTAGTCGTGGTCGAGGAATGACCGGTCGCACTTGCCGTGAATGTGTTGATGCTATTTTAGGACTATTCAGGATTCAAGAATGGAAGGAGCGATGGGAGTTGTGCCTTCCCTTTAGGACTGGTAGTCAGCATTTTAGAGCTGAAAGAAAGGAAGGCGCAAGGGTGGTTCAGTGACGGAAGGGATGATGTCACCCATCACCCTTGACTAGCAGGGATACCTCATCACAGGCTTATTGTGAAGGTGCAACGAGGTCATGAAACAAAGAAAAAATGTCTTGGCGTTGTCGTTGGGATAGACGACGCTCCATTAAGTATATAAGGACAAGATTATACCAGATCGTCTGCCAGCTCAAGGCTTCGCACTACGAAAAGTTAAAATACGCCAATAATAGATGCTCCGTCTCAATGACGAGTGACAGCAGCCGGTTGGCGCAGTGGGGTAGCTCGAACGGTCCGTGGTCCACATGCGCCGCTCGGTGGTAGGCTGGAAGTACAATGTGGCCGCCGGCGAACTATGGTTCGAGTGTGCCTAGATGCTATCTCAACGTCTGGCCATGTGACGTGTGGCGACCATTAGAGACCTTCCCCAACCTGGGGATTGCAGGTTTCTGAACTCCCCTTCTTTGAAATGACCTGGGCGCCTGCTAGATTGCGGAATTCATAATCATCTGCCGCAGGTCCGGTTGAACGAATATCCACAATGCCGACAGATACCTGCAGGCCATCTTGACACTGCGTTCATGGTGCACCTACATCAAACGCCCCCGGGGCTCGTCCAAGGGATAGACGACAGCGTCAGCTTTACCACCGAGCTGCTCTTGGCCGTCTTTCTCGCCCTCGCCCTTTCTAACTCCCTGGAGCTGATCACGCTCTCCTGCTGGACATTTCGCGAATGGCGGGGGTTATATTTCTGGTGCCTTCTCATCTCATCTATCGGCATGATCCCCTATACCATTGGGTCTATACTCCATTACTGGAATGTCGCACCCCTTGCAGCCAGCCTGCCCGTGGCTTGGGTTGGCTTTATCGCAACCGTCCCCGTTCAATCGCTTATCCTTTACTCACGCCTGTTTCTTGTTTTCTACCACGAAACGTTCCTCCGCTTCCTCCTGGATGGGATTATTATCGTCATCATTCTCCTGGTCGTCCCGAATTCGATTTCCATGTATGGCTCGGCATTCATCGGTACACCTACCTGGAACTACGCCTATGCTGTCACTGAGCGACTCCAGGTCACGGGGTTCTGTGTCCAGGAACTCTTCATCTCTAGTATCTATATATGGTCAACTGTGAAACTTCTCAAAGTTAGTCCCGAGGGAAAGAGTCGGGCCAAAAAGATCATGTACGAGCTGCTGGCCATCAACACCATCACCATGATCCTCGACATCGCCGTGATTTCGGTGGAATACTTGAATCACTACTCAGTCCAGGTCTGTCTAAAGGTGTTTGTATACAGCGTCAAGGTTAAGCTGGAATTTGCGGTCCTGGGTAGGCTTGTTGCTATTACGAAAACGCGGAGGACAAAACAAGCCGATAGGGTGCGGAGGACCTCGTTTATTCGCAACGCCAATACCTTCTCCGACTTTACCAGTGGAGGCGCAAATGGAGACCACTCGGCTCAACGCCCGCCCTCACTGACTGGCGCGGGGATCGACTGGTCCGGCTCTACGAGGAAAGCTTCGGGGAATGCTCCACAGCCGGGTGCTATGGAGCAAGTGAGACCTGCAACAATGTGATATAACCAGCATATTCTGTTATGTACATAAACGATATGAATCTGAAAAACGAACTTTTATACTTTATGAAGGTTGAATGTTTCAAATACACCGCGTTGGTATAAATCTTGAAGATGCTCCTATCAACCAACAATCTAAACGCCAAACCGATAACACCCGAAATAGAGATGGATGGGAGTAACCAGTTACAGAACTGCAAGACGTATGCGCCATTATTAGGTGCTGGGGGGTTCCAGGCTTCTTCTAGGAGGGTGATGGCAAATGATCCTGTGGGTGTCTGCATAAAATTACTGCATAAATTTCTAATGAACAACTATTAATCCAAATAATGTATTTTACTTAACTACTCCGTCCATAATCCAATAACAATTTCCCACGCCATCCCAGATTCCCGAAACTTAATCAAATTAAACCCGATGTCTATGCCCGCCAGTCCAATAACCCAAATAACTGAATATTTGGTGCAATGGTCCAATTCAACCCGACTCTTGCAAAAGACCGGTTGCTACCCCACGATGCACATTATTCACATGGTCGCGCAGGTTGTCCCTCCTGCTGAACTTACGGCCACAGTCCTCCTCTGGACATTCTAGGGCCTTCGGCGATAGATGCAGGGATTTGACATGCCGGTCTCTGTCTCCCTTGCGGTTGAAGGTTTGGTCGCAATTCTTCCATTCGCATCGGGATACGCGAACCCGTTGTGCGCCGCGCCTGCTATATGGCAGAAGCGAAGTTGTCAAAATGGTGTCTTTCAACTTGGGCAGTAGGTAGGGAGCGGGGTAGATAGTGTTGGGCTACTTACGCTCTCTGATCGAGGCTTCGGCGGGGGTGCGCATTTCGGCGGCCTCGTCTTGGTCCTAACTGTGGCGTGCGAGGTGCCGGTTCCAGTCGCTGCGCCTGCGTCCGCACCGGAACTGGCATTGACAGCTGCATTGAGGGATTTCTGTTGGAGAGTGCTTGGTTGGTGTCAGGTGCCGGGTACAAGTTGATCGCCTGGTCCTGCATAGATGGCTCATTGCAGCCGGCAGTCATGCCATTTGAGGGCACCTCTTGGGGTAGACAACTCAGATCAAGTAAGCTAAGGCCGGAATCCTGGGCCGGAAGGCTATCTGCAGAACCGACAAAGGGCGCAGGTGCGTGGGAGTGGTAGAAACGTAGGGGATGATTGAACATCTCGGTCTGGGAGAGGTCAGGTTGAGTACCAAGGCCCATGGATACCATTTGGTTCGGGGCTCGAGCAGGCTCGTTGTTGTATCGGTCGCCCCAGCCATTAGATGGCTCGTCTGATTGGCTAGGGAGCTGCCACCCAGTGTTGGGAGGAAAGGACGGCATGATAGTACAACTAGGTGGAATGACGGAGAGGAATGTGATTTGCTATGATAGGATGAGGTTGTGAGTAGATCGATGAAAGAAATGAAGGAAGGAAGGAGAAAAAAGTAACTGTTTAATATATAGTCAGATATTTCAAGGAGCCATCATCGAGTCCTGAGTCTTGAAATGGCAACTTATAATAAATCAATTGAACATGCGTGAGCGGAGGGGGGGGGAGCCACCAATGATAAATCAAGGATTGAATGAAGAGTTACCTTTCGCTGTCTGATTACCGAATATTACCGAGCCCAGCCCTCGTAATTTGCCGTTTGCCCTGCAACCTTCTCGCTGCATACAATACCATACCGTATCATGGAAAACCGCATGGACTCAGATCGGCATCACCGCACTTTGACGTGAGTGGCTACGAAACGGCGGGGGTTCTCAACCCCAGAGGCACCAGGGAATCTCAGCCTCCTTGTCAGCTGCATCCAATCAACGATGTGAAATAAGATCCACAGGTAATTTTGCTGTATCCGTGTTCAGTATAGCAGGGGTTTAGCTATGGGAAATCTGGCTAAACCACGCTTGCATGCCAATATATATACGTATTCACTGGCCACCCACGACAAACCTTACAGAGTGTACAAATACTACTCATCGCATAGCCAACTCACTATTTTACGAATTATAAGAGGCATTTTGTATCGAAGCAACGCAGCGTATCATCATGAACTTCCTTAATAAAACACGAATTGATAATGACCAACTAATAACTAAATTTGGGGCTCAAAAGGAGTATACCTTCTACTAATCTACTCCATACCTAATCCAACAATGCCATGTTCCCGAACAATCATTGACTAAAACAAAGCCTTTGCCTACCAAATGGCATCTTTTAACCAATTGAACCTCCTGTACAAAAGCCTAGTTCGGCTCGTGCACACGATCCAAATGCTGGCCCAGGTTATCCTTCCTATTAAAAGCCCATTCACAGTTCGTCTTAGGACACTCAAACGACCGCGGTGAGAGATGAATCGTAATAACGTGTCGCTGCAACTCGCCCTTGCGCGAGAAGCCATCGGTGTTAGGGCAGTCTTCCCATTTGCATTTGAATGTCCCGGCGACAGGTTGTTGTTTGTTTATCCTGTCAACAACCAGAACATCAGCTCAAGCACTTATAATCGAGGAGCGGGTACAGTACCGGTTCTCCTGAGCTTTGGATCTAGGAGCTGCCCGTCGGCGCCGTGGCTTTGATGCTGACTGATATAGACGAGGTCGCTCTGTCTGCACCTGAACGGGTGGGTCAATAATATAGGGCTCCAAGGGGGCGCCAAGTTCAGAAGACTGCCCGGCTAGCTGGGGCTGGATGTTAGATGGCCTATGCGGATAAAAGTCGCTCAATCCGTCATTCGCTGGGGCATCGGTGTCACGACATACGGCGGGAGCTTGGTTATCATACGGGGAATTATCTCCGGAGCCGAGCGCTTGTGCGGAGGTCTGGGGGATAAAATGAGATAATATGTAATCGCACGGAGCGATGTCATGCCAATTAAGCAACACGGACTCAGGTGGAATGGTATCTATGGGTGGTGATGGACCAGGAGTGCCAGCAAGGTAGTGTCTCATGTCATCCCGGACCGCGGAATGCCACCCACAATTGGACGGTGAGGAATCCATGCTTTAAAAGTTGATAAGAAGGCTCTGAGGACTGTTAGAATGAAGAGGGCTTGCTCGTAGCAGTTGAATGGAGATGGTGCGGATGAAGGGTCCATTTATACCCATCTATTACGCCTCGCCATGCTAAGGCGATGCGACGAAAGTCTGCATTCTTGGCGCGGTACGCATTCGCATGTTGATTCCGCATGTTGATTCGATGGCAAAATTACTAGCCTTGTTGTTAACAGTTCAGGTTCATCGAAGATCGTCAGCTTACCGGTACAGCCGCTTGTCAATTGTCGATTGCCCCACCACATTTGGGTGAGTGGTGCGAACGGAGCTCTCTTGCACAGCCCCCGGACTCCGAGTTCAAAACGGCCGCGCGATTGAGCCGTCTATTGTGATACCGGATTGGTCTGTCGATTGGAAGAGTGAATATCCCCGCCTTACAGTGCCTGCACTGGGGCTGATGTTCAATGACACGGGTTGGTGAGCGCCGTTGATGCGCACCTGCTTCTCTATAAGCCCGGCCACTCCCTTGAATACCTGTTAACCTGATGTCTCTATCCAGAATGGTGCTGGAAATGGCATATACATTTTTAGCGGAGCGACATCTGCTCAAGCTGCTTTCCGGGTGGAAGGCTGGCATTATAAAAAGGGGTCTTGGAGGGAACAAGTGAAAGGTGACCATTCACACGACTAGTAGGAGGTTGGAACATTAACATTGTTAAACCTTTTCAACTGAGGTGGTATTTTGATTACTCCTCGTATTGTCTACAAATGGCTGCGAGCGGAGCGCTGGCAGTAAGAGTGAACCATTGCCCCTGCATCACACCTTTTCCATTTGAACATCAACAAAAATCGGCGGCGGTGCAGACATCTTCTGATGCTTTGGCGTGTCTTGACCTGAATGCCCTGCCTCTATAACCTTTTTATCAGACTTCTTAAAAAGCCTTCCAAGCCACCGAAACCCCTTCGACATATACCGATAGCAAACGACAAACGGCGGCGCAACAAGATGAACACACCAGGCAAACCACTCATCGGGGAAGAACCGCACAACAACACCCCAAGGCAGACTAAACGCCGCTACCAGGATTGAAATAGCCCACTGCGGTCCATCTAGGCCGTCGGGGTCAATATCAAAGACCGTATCGCCGACGAAGACGATGGCAATCTGCAGCCCGATCATGATGAGGTTGATAGCGATGAAGAACCAGTTCCTGTGCACCCCGACAAAGACGTTTAGTTTGTTGTCGAGGCGGCGGCAGTTCAGTTCGTTGAAGATCTGCATCCAGACGAAGATGTTGAATATTATCGTGTCGAGTTGGAGTTTTTCGCTCGCGATGCCGACGTCGTAGTGTAGGATGGCTCCGCCGGCGAAGTACAGCACGAGGATTACCACGAGCTGGAAGATGGATTGGCCGATTATCATTTTCCACATCTAATTGGTTAGCTTGGTAAGATATCTTATGGTGGTAACTCACGTTCATGGTAATCAGCGGTGCGGACTTTGGCTGGGGTGGTCTGTCCAGGATGGCGTCTGTGGGAGGGTCTGTGGCTAGGGCTAGGGCGGCCATGGTGTCCATGATGAGGTTGATCTAATATATTAGCATACAAACGTGAATTCGCTGAGATTTCACCTACCCAGAGAAGTTGCACAGCCTTGAGCACAGGCTCCATGTCTTCATTGTACATGGATGTAATGAACGCGAGCAAGACGGCAGTGATGTTGACGGTGATTTGGAACTGTTAACATTAGCCGAAATGCCATCAGGGGATATGCAAGGATAGGTATACCTGGAGGAACTTCTGCACGGCGTCGTTGACAGCACGTCCCCATTTCAGCGCTGTGACGATTGAGGTGAAGTTATCATCCATGAGGATGATTTCAGATGCCTCCTTTGCTACTTCTGTACCAGAGACGCCCATGGAGAAACCAACATCTGCAGCTTTCAGTGCAGGCGCGTCATTAGTACCATCACCTGTAACAGCTACAGTTTCGCCCACGGCTTTGAGACGTGTAACCAAGATGCGTTTATCCTCGGGCGAAGAACGGGCTAGGACTTGTAGGCGTGGGATAGTCCTGTCCAGCTCTTCTTCAGATAATCTTCGGAACTCGGGCCCCTCCATTACAATTCCATCGGTGAAGATACCGCACTCTGTGGCGATAGCCCGGGCAGTTATTATATTATCCCCAGTGACCATCCGCGTCCTCACGCCAGCACGAAGAGCATTCTGGACAGCCGCGGGAACCCCAGGACGCACTGGATCCTGGATCCCGACCACGCCGAGGAGTGTGAGGTCATTCAAATTCTCGAGGTCAGGAATCTCTTCGAAATCTTTATACACGATGCCAATCGTGCGGAGAGACTTTCCCGCGAACGCGGTGATGGCGTCTTCCGTGGCTTTGCGGTCCACGGGTTCGATATCACCAGTTGATACGTTCATCTGCGTCGTGCAGAACCGGAGCACGATTTCCGATGCTCCCTTTATCAACAGTCTGTAGCCCGACGGGACTTTGATAACGGCGACCATGTATTTCTTGATCGAGTCAAACGGCTCGATAAGGACAGTGTCTTCGTTCGCCCGCGTTTCCGCCAGGGATTGCATGCCGAGATGGTCTTTGGCGAGCTGGAGCAGCGCAGTCTCCGTCTTAGGACCTATAAATGTTAGGGTGCCGTCCTGCTCTCCTTCGAATGCGGTGGAGTTGATAGCGACGGAGTGGATGAGGAGCTGTTTCATGTCCTGGGATAAGTTCGACCCCCATGAAGAGACATCAGAGGTGAAACTAGAAGCTCCAAAGCAGCCGGCGACAACGGTCATTTTGTTCGTGGTCTATCAATTAGCGGAGCCAGGTCCTCGCTTTCGTTACGCACCAAGGTTCCGGTCTTGTCCGAGCAGATGCATGTGGCATTCCCCATGGTTTCGCATGCCCGGAGAACCCTGACCAGGTTGTTCTCCTTGAGCAGACGGGTAGTGGCGAAGGCGAGCGCGAGAGTCACAGCGAGAGGGAGACCCTCGGGCACGGCGACGGCAATAAGAGAAATGGCCACGACGAGGAGGTCGACGAAGGTGGACGCCTTCTCCTCTGGGGGTCGGTGGTCTTGAGGGAGGTTGGCGCAGAAGCGGAACAGGAGGACGAAGAACATGAGCGCTGATGCACCACCACCGAGTTTTGCAATGGCCACCGCTAAGCCTTCCAGCTTCTTCTGTAAAGGTGTGGACTCGATGTCTGTCCGGATTGACATCATGATCTTGCCGAAGCTGCAGTGTACGCCGACAGAGGTGCAAAGGAAGGTTCCCATGCCTGCAAATTAGCATTCATCATTAGCTAGTTGTGGACGACTTACCTTCAAGAACCCTCGAGCCAGAGATGATGAAAGGGTCCGGCTCCTTTGTACTCTTCGTCTCCATTTCGAAAACGTGTGGCCCGGCAGTCTTTCTCAGCGCATCGGACTCACCGGTGGCAGACGATTCATCGCACTTGACATTATGACCATTGACAAGGATACCATCGACAGGCACAAGGTCTCCAGGCTCCAAATAGACAATATCTCCTACAACGACATCGCTGACATTGATGAGCATCGACTTCCCAGACCGGAGTACCTTCACCTCTCTATCATCCTTTTTGGTATTCAGCTTGACAAACGCCTTTTCTTTTTGCCAGTCATTATGCGACGCGACGACGACAACAATAACTACCGCCGCGAGAATAGCAACGCCCTCGACCCAGTCAACAGACGTCGGACTACCAGCCTCCTTATGCACACCGAAAGTCTCGTACAGGCCAAGCGCAAGGGATATCACACCCGCCACCAACAACATGACTAAGACCGCCTCGTGCATCGTAATCCACATCAGTCTCCAAATCGACTTTGGCTTCTTTGGCGGAAGTTGATTTCGCCCGTATACTCGAGTCCTGGCGGCAGAAGCCTGTCCATCCTCATCCACGCTAAGACCGGCATCGATATCAACGTGCAGGCCACGAGCTATCCCCTCGATCCCACCTAACGCTCTGAACGCATCGAGCGACTTTGGGTTCAGCAGCTTGTTCAGCTGGCCAGGGCTATAGTCGAATGGATTATCGACGACATGGAAGTCGGCTTCGGTGCCGGGGTCTGGCTCGAGGGCTTGTTTCGGGTCGGGCACGACGAGACTCGGCGCCGCGGTGGTCTCGCCGGTGCAGAACGAGGGCTCGGCGGAGACGACCGTGTCTGCTTCGCTTGCTGACCGCTGGCGTGGGCTCAGCAGGGCATTAGGGTCGAGCAAGTTGCTGGCCATGCTGTAGCAAGCTTACGGTTGAGGCGAGATCATTCTTGTCAGATCTGGGGGTCACGGTATAATAACAGCAACAGCATGTTTAGCCTGCGGTCTGCAAGGGCCCACGCCCCTGATGTAAGAAAAATCACATCGAGTAAGATCAGGGTCTCCTGTGAGCTCTGGACAACGGATGAATGCCAAATCTGGAGCGCGCCGCGCCCCAGCTGGCTGTGTCTCCGCGAATCATTGGGCAGTGTGGGATCTGATAAGACGCCATCGATCTTAGCTAATCGGAGTCGGAAACGATTTATTTACTTTATTCTGTTTTAATTTGACCAGTGAGGCCACGATCGGCCAGATGGGCCTTTGGTAATCGGAGACGGAAAGGAGATGCTCCACCTTATTGATTATTTTATTATTTCTCATCATTATTCGCGACATTCAACGCATCAATATCCATAAATCCCTTCATAATTCTGACATAGCCAGCTGTTCTTTTCCCCCACGTTCCCCTCCTGAGTCTCGCAGGAATCACGCCAAGTACGCTACTTCTCCGTTACGGGCTGGACAAATCCATTCTCTCCTTTACTGCCAAACGACCTGTACTTAGCTCCTCGTTCTACTTGCTTACCCTTAATCTGCCCTCGTGATCCTCGTCAGCCTCGCGGAAGGTCTTACCGGTTGGACTCACCACCACCATCCGTGTCCTGTACACATTACTACACACTCAATGCTGCGGTTACGAGTTACGAGGGCTCACAAACCCCGAAAACATTGTGCAGTTCGTAGATCTGCTCGGTGCTGATGCCTTCACTCCTGCAATTCAGTAATAGTGCATATTAACAGTAAAGTAGCGAGCCATTTTGATGTTTAGTGTAATTGTATTCAGCGCAAACAGGCGACAGAAATGGTCATTATATTCGAGATAGTAATTGCGGTATTAGTAATCGGACTCCGTCTTCCGTCTCCACTCCCGCTTGTTTTCTTTGTTTCCGTCTTCCGATTTCAATCTGATAAGAAATGCCTCCTCGTCGCGCCTGCGACGTCTGCTACAAGCGAAAGGTACGTCGTTTCTCATCGGGTTGGGCGATATTAATACTTATCTTATCAGATCCAATGCTTGATCAGATCTCCGGGAGGCACTTGTGACTGGTGCACGAGTCAGGGCCTGTCTTGTACCTTTGACAGGGTCATCCACAAAGACCCAAACAAGAGGTACCTGGATATCGATCCCTTACAAAGGTTGAATCTGACAGTAGTGACAGGACTACTACCGATGTTGTGCAGGAATTGTCCCAGCGGGTCGAGCAGCTTGAGGAGGCTATCCGGTCTGCCTCGTCTGGGAATACCCCTGTCGGTGTCTCGTGGCCTGAAAGAGCAATCCCCGAGGTTTCAAGACAGATTCCCTATTATACAAATTATACTCCAGATACAGGGCAGCAGGGCGAGAACGTCCAAACTGTCCGGGCGAATACCACCGAAACGCCTGCGCCTGCCTACAGGCTGTCGCGATGCCAGCTCGGCAACAACTGGTATTTCAAGGGTGTAGGAATCCTTTCATCCCGTGGGCGCCAGTGGATATATGAAGGCACGGGCCAGCGATCCTTTCTAGAGAACTTTGACATATTCGGGAATCCCATTGGCAGTGTACCATGTGCTTCCTCGCCTGTGTTGTCGGAGCGGGAGAGACCGCTGCCTCCTGAACCGACATGTAGATATCTCTTTGGTGCTTTCCTAAGATCAAAGACTTCGATTGTGTTCCCAATTCTAGACAGGGCCCTTTTTGAGGGGACCATCTTCAGAGCATACGAGGTGAAGAACGATCTGGGAACTCGGTCATCAGCAGAGGCGTGTCTCTGGGCCATGCTTGCGCTGGTCACACGCACTGAAGAAGCCCAGCAGGTCGAATTCTTTCCAGAAGCAGACTGTATTCAAGAAGCCAAGCGTCTTTTGACTGTCGTCAATGGCGCAGCGAATCTGGACAGCCTCCAGGCCACCCTTCTACTGGTAGGCCACCAAGAACCCACGATTAGTGTTTAACTAACATTAGCAGTGGGCGTATCAGAAAATGAAAGGCAAATGTCGAGAAGCATTGGTATCATTTTCAACTGCCTGCCGCATGGTATGCGACCTCGGCGGACATATCCTCCTGACCGGCCTGGTTATCGTCCCGCAGCACATTCCCACATTCGACGAACAATGCAGGCTCCACATTCGACGGCTCTTCTGGCTATGCTACTGCTTCGACAAAGACGCCTCCCTGCGCACCGACAACACGCCGCTTCTGACCTCAGACTACTGTGACGTAAGCCACCCGGGCGAATACAGCCCCCAGGCAACCTGGTACAATCAACCACGCGACACGAACCTCGCAAAGATCAAAGAAAACGCCAGTCGCCTCCTCTGCTCACCACGTGCATTTAAATACACAGAGGGCGAACTGCTCGCTCACGTCCGCCAGCTCGACGACGAACTCGAAGAATGGAGAATATCCACAGACCCGCCCTACCGTCCTCGCCTCTCAATCCCACCCGCAGACTACTCCCTCTCCCTCCCCTCAAGCATGAGCCCTGAAGACCGCACGCGTCTTATAAATCTGCAGCTCGATTACCTCTCCACCATGATAAACATCCACACCTTGGTTCGCAAATGCGGCGATCTGGAGCGGAATCTCCCAGACGACCTCCACAGCGTCGTGCACTCGAGCGCCGACCTCTCCATCGAAGCTAGCCGGTCCATCTTCCGATTCCTAGATACCGTGGTTGATTTCTGGAAGGAGGATTCGGTCTGGGTGGTCTCGCATTATGGGCCTATGGCTGCGATGCCGCTGTTCATTAACATCCTGATTCACCCGCTCGGACAGCCGGCGGATAGCGACTTGCTGATCCTGTCGGAGATTGGGAATATCACGCGCAAGATTCCGACGGAGAAGCTGTGCGCGGAGGAGATTGGGCATATTCAGGAGATTTGTGAGTTTGTGATGGAGCTTGTGCAGCTGGGGCATAGTGCCGCGTGGAAGGTGAAGAAGGGGGAGAGGGAGCATGATTTGGATATTATACACCATACATAACATTGGTTCAGGATCTTCTGATTTTTCGACCGTATAGAACAGCTGAAGGCGTCCTAGGCGCGACGAGTAACCAACCCCTTAGGGTCGCTCATCAACTATGCAGCTGACTAACTCCATGCAAGGGGTCCAGTAAACATTCGAGATGCAACATCGCAACATGACTCCGTGGTGGGTTCCGCATCATTTCTTGTTTCCTTGCCCAAGTCAGAGACAGTTTATTTGGGGTGTGAAGTTCAGAAATAGAGTCGCAGAGAGTTGGGTTTCCACCAGCAAGTCCTACCATAACTGCATCCTCGCCAGTCGTGGCGACAGAAGACAGCTGGAGTGAGTTGCTCCAGTCCTTGATTCTTGAGGAAATTAGTGGTTATACCAAGGTTAATATTTCTAGTCTTACACGTAGTAATTCCGGGGCTGCCACGAGGCACTCCTAAACCGGTACCTTCATGTTCACGGGGAAATGGATCAAGAAATGGGAGATGAAGCTCGCCCATTGGGTTGGCTTGGGGAGGCAGATCAAGGCCACTGACCCAATCTCCAGCGAGGACGTCAACCTTCTGCAGCAACACGAGGCTGCTGCTGCACGAGAGGACCAGACAACGAGGAAGCCCTCTCCATTCCTGGCCGGGTTATCACCAGCGCGGTTCTGGACTATATTCTCGCAAATCCTCGCGACGCAGTTCATCTGCTTCTTTGATACAACCATCATGGCATCCTCCCATCCAGCTATAATGTCGTACTTTGGTGCCGCCCACTCTGCATCCTGGCTTTCGACGGCTTTCATGATAACGTCAACTGTCTCACAGCCATTTCTTGGCCGCCTGTCGGACGCACTCGGTAGGAAGCCGCTTTTTCTCGGCACCACGGCCATTTTGTCAGTAGCCACGCTCTGGTGTTCTCTCGCCACAAGTATAGGAAGCCTCATTGTCGCAAGGGCAGTGTGCGGGATAGGTGCTGGAGGCACTCTGCTAATGGGGAGTATCATGATGAGTGACATGATACCTGTCGAGTACGTATCCGGCTAGCCAAGATTGGTTTTCAATCCCTTGGCTCCATAGCCCCGAAAGCCTAAGCAAGCTCTCGAACTCACGATGGTACAGACGTCGAGGGATTTATCTATCATATATCAACGTTGTAATCGGCATCGGGGCCGGGTTAGGGGCCACATTTGGTGGTGTCATTGCCGAGGCAATCGGCTGGCGATGGGAGTTTGGCGTGCAGGTTCCTCCGCTGCTAATATGCTTAGGTATTGTTGGAGTAGTCATTCCAGATAACTTGGGCGTAGTTGGGGAGAGGGAGCCTGTAGAAAAGGTCATTAGAGAGTTTGACGCGCCTGGTGCGTTCTTGCTTACCCTGGCTGTGTCGACGCTCATTTTTGGGTTGGATCTCGGCGGCAATATCCTTCCTTGTAAGTTTAAGACAACTTGCCTATGCCCTGTGTTGTTGGAATAGGCTAACTCGTCTACCAAGGGTCTCACCCATTTGTCGTCGCCTCCTTGATGGCATCTACCAGTTCTTTCCCAGCGTTCCTCCTGATCGAGTCTCGCGTGGGAAAGCCCATTATGCCACTGAGATTCATCTCTGGCAGGCCACGAGCTAATCTGATTCTTTCCAACTTCTTGGGTGCGATGATCTCAAATGCCATCCTATTCAACGTGTAAGGACAGCATTTTCTTTCCCCTCCGAGTGATTCATTAAAATCCTGCTAACCACAATGCTTCGAACCTAGGCCACTATACTTTCAAGCCGTGCTTTTAATCAGCGGTACCTCGTCTGGCCTCCGACTTATGCTTCCGGCCATCGTATCAGCTGCTACAGGTGCTTTGATCGGGTTCTTGATTACCAGGACGCGACGCCTGCATTGGCCACTTGTGTGCGCCGCAGCATTGTATGTGTTTTCTATCATCTGGCTGGTCTGCATGCAGCGGGGCGCCTCTGCTGTGGTGTATTTGCTCCCCTTAGTTCCATACGCTGTTGCGAATGGACTACAGTACACCACTACCGCTGTGGCAGTCCTTGCCACGTCTGCGCATGACGAGCAGGCCATTATTGTGAGCACTCTTTTTATCTGGCGCAGCATAGGCACAATCCTAGGTGTCGCGCTAAGCAGTGTTGTTGTTCAAAATGCGCTCCTACGATACCTCCATATCTTCGTTCACGGGCTGCGAAAAGACGAGGTCATTGCCCTAGCGCGGGCATCGGTCGACGCAATCGCGAAGTTGGACCAACCATATAGGGAGCAAGTAGTGCAAAGCTACGAGGCTGCATTACGCCTGGCATTCGGGTCCTGTCTCATTGCTGCGGTTATATCTGCACTCCTGGTGCTGCCTATTAAGTTGCCGCGGTTGCCGTCGTCTGCGAAGAGCTAGATTCTGCTGTTGCTTGAAATTCGACATCTATAATTCAAATGCATGCGTTTTATCACCCAAGTCACCCTCGTGTAGTTTGATGGCTCGCTAGGCGATCTTCATACTAAGTAAATGCCTTATAGTGATTGTTGTGCGCAATCCACATAGACGCCCGGTAGGTACCCCTTTGGCTATTTCTGTGCTTTGCGACGCTGTGAAAGCCAAGGTGCGTTATCTTGAGAAGGTTGGGTATCTCGAATGCAATCAACAGTGACACTGCTCCGCATTTTCTACAATATTTACCCCCTACGGGGGGGTCCTACGGGGAGAAAATATTGAGCGAGGCCTTATCAGCGACGCTCTCCTGAAATATAGACCGGATAGCCGGGTGCTATTGGTGGGGATTGCCCTAGAAAGGGCGCGCACAAGGTAGGTTTGACTAGAAAAAAAATCCGTTCTATCTAAAGCCGTGTCTCGCTATGATTAAAACGAACAAAAATCGTTGACGTTGGTACTCTTATCCATTCCTATGTAAGGCTAGAGAACGAAGTCACCGGAAACTGTCGGCGCTGTTCCTGCCTGTCCGAGGGTAGGCGAACAAACCTCAACGCCTCCACAATATCATTCCCTGCACTCGGATATTCGCATCTGTTTTCCCGCCACAGCAGCCTTCAAATATTTAACTAACTAAGGGTTTGCTCGTGGTGTGGGGCTAGAACCTGCCTGCTTATAGACCCTGGCCTCAAACGGCTGAAACTCAGCCCCCGAAGGGTCATCGTGAGTATACACAAGCAGCTCGGAGTTATCTGGGATGGCCACTGGTGGCTTGCCCGCTTCAGTGGACAGGTTAATAAACACGACCACCTCTTCGGAATTGGCTGTCTTTTGGTATACGAGGAAGTTCTCGTCCTCCCACTCGAGGAACTCGAATTCTCCGTACACCAACGAGCTCTTTTGCTCCTTGCGCAGACGCAGCATATTCACCCAGAAGCTATACACGCTGTTCGGGTGGTCCTTCTGGTCTGCAAGGTTGATTTCGAGGTTCGCTCGGGGAATCCAGGTAGTGTTGCTGGTGGAGAATCCGCGTCCACTGGAATCCCAGTTGAAAGGGGTACGGTCGTTGTCACGGCCCAGCAGCTGAAGGGTTGCCAGAGCCTCGCTGGGACTCACGCCATGCTCCGTAAGGTTGTTGTAATTGTCTATCCCGACGCGGTCTCGGAAGTCCGACAGCTTCCATGTGTCGGGCACGTTGATCATGCCGATTTCCTGGCCCTGGTAGAGGAATAGAGTGCCAGACAGAGTCGACAGGAGTACGGAGAGCGCCTTGCCGCTCTGGACGCGGTATTCGGGCGTGTCGTCTGCGAAGCGCGTAATTGAGCGCGGGGTGTCGTGGTTCTCGAGATATACCGAGTTCCAGCCGTCTCCTGTCGTGGGACTACCTACGCGCTGTGTAAAGTCGATTGCGTCTCGCCAACCTGTGAGGTTCCATCCGATGAACTCGAATCCGCTGCGGCCGATGTCGCACATGTTCATGAGGAAGACGGTGTTTACTTCGTTGCGAGATGCACCGACGTAGTCTTGGACGATGCTCATGTTGGTTTCTATGCCGTACTCGCCGACGGTGAAGGTGTCATAGCGAGAGAGGACTTCACGGTTCATCTGTCGGAGGTATTCGTGCTCATGGGGTCCGTTGGTCCAGAGGTCCATGGCATCGTGGAATTCATTGTCATTTGCAGGCACGTCAGGCAATCCGGCCGGCTTGCTGTAGCGAGCGAAGACATCCATGCGGAAGCCGTCGATGCCCATGTCTAGCCAGTACTGCATGGCGTCTCTGAAGATAGCTTGTCTAGTCTTCGGGTTGTCCCAGTTCAAGTCAGGCTGGTAGTAGTCGAATATGTTGAGATAGTACTCTCCGGTGTGGTTATCGTATGTCCATGAGCTGCCGTTGTTGTTACCCTTCCAGTTGTTGGGAGGGTACATAGTCCCGTTCTTATACTGAGGCTGTCTCCAGAAGTACCAGTCGCGCTTGGGGTTTGTCTTCGAGCTGGCGGACTCCTTGAACCACTTGTGCTTGTCGCTGGTGTGGTTGATGACGAGATCGAAAATGCAGCGCATGCCACGTTTGTGCACTTGTGCGATGAATGTCTTGATATCCTCGAGGCTCCCGCCGAACAGCTTGGCCACCGAGTCATAGTCGCTAATATCGTAGCCCATGTCCTTCATCGGGCTCTCGTAGAACGGTGAAAGCCATATAATGTCCGCCCCGAGCGACTGGATGTGGTCGAGATTGTCGGTAATTCCTTTGATGTCGCCCCATCCGATCGCATTTTCGGTGCGACTCTCCTTGAAACTGGCTGGATAGACCTGGTAGACCACGCCCTCCTTCCACCATGCAGAGGGCTGTGGTTTCCAGGCCGCAGCCAGGGTTGCACTCAGCAGCAGCAGAATATTCTGAAGAAGCATTTTCACCGTATATCGGCACACAGAATTTCCCTGGAGTGTCAATCTTTTCAAAGTCTCCAACTCCCTCTTATATAGCCCTAGGTCCCACGTTACATCGTCGAGTGTGTATCTGCGAAACAAGAAGGAATCGACGCACTCGGTAAGGCCGATTGGACAAGGTCAGGAAGATTTCCTGGTACGGCGAGTATGCCGATCCATAGGCCCCTGATTGGCAGGCAAATTCCCTAACATCGCTGGTGTCTGGGGAGATGTTGGAGTCTGGGGGCACAATCTCCACTTATATCAGCCACTTGGGCATGGATTTACTGGCGTTCTCCGCATAATGCTGAGGAATATGACTCCACTTTACTATTCACGCTGTTCGGAGAAATATTATAAGCACAACCTCCGTCGGGTTCTCCGTCGGGTTTGCCGATAGACGTGATATACTTTTGTCAAATATGTCCCCATATGTAGCAGGGTGTGATGTTTCCCAGGGAATTGGGTTGGAGCAAATCTAGAATACAGGAAGGCCAACCTGGCGAAGCCATGGCATGAAGGGGCCGTCTTAACCTGTTAATACTGGAACTCTAGTCCATTCCTATCTATCCAAGATCAGTGGCCGGCTTCGGTATGCGCGTTGTCAGGTGGCAGTAGAGTATTAGTCTTATGAAATACCTGAACTTTTCCTAGTATTTTGTACTCAGTTACCTGGAGTAGCTTCAAGTATCCAAGAGTATATAACCCGGTTCAGACGGTGATATTACCAAAGAGGTAAAACTAACTCGAACAGTCCTCGCTCTCCATTTGTCCCCATTTGGCAAGCTTACTGGATGCAAATCAACCAATGAAAACCTACCGTAGAGTCATAAAAAATCCTTCTGTCACTTCGATTCTGTTCTCCTCCAACCTCACGCTCAATATGCCTGATCCAGCGACCCTCCCCCAGGAGCTGATCTTACAGATCTTGTACTGTGTCCTCGGCGACAGACCCGACCAGTGGCCGCATCGGCCGATTCAAGTTCCCCCAGAGTGGTGCCTCGTCAATCGAAAGTGGTACCGGGCTGTGACCCCGCTGCTCTACTCTTGCTTTGAATTCAACGGCCACCCGGGCAAGATCTACTCGTTATGGGTATTCTGGCTGACCATTATGGACCGTCCTGATCTCGCCGTCCATGTTCGACATCTCCGACTACTCACTCAGTTCAAGGCTCCTCGACTCCCTGCAGACGCTGCTGGAATGTACAGGGAAGCGGCACCACTTGCAAAGAAAAAACTAGCTGAAGCCGGCCTTGGAGATGTGGGTGACCCCGAAGGTGACTTGAACAAGGGAAATAACTTGCCTATACTAGCCCTAATTCTCCTGCATTGTCCGCGACTTGTTTCTCTCGCACTCCACGTCGCAGTAGTCGACCCCTACCTGGATGCGCTTCTCACCAGCGCTGTTATTCGAAGCTGGCAAACTGACAATGCGCCTCCGAGGTTGGCATTCCAGTCCCTGCGAAGACTCCATATCGCGACCGACGAAGAAGCCTCCCCGAGCGATGATTCCCCGTCCTCCATCGCTGTGGAGCTAACAGGTAAACGACGGCCATTGTGTATTGGAAAACGCAGGCCATTTCTGCGTCTACCTAGCCTGCAGGAGCTGCGCCTGATCGACGCAGAGGTAGAATCTGATTCGGACACTCCGTCAGGGGATACCTCACTGACTGAACTCACGATCGTCTTCAATTCTCCCGTTGAGAATTTACGGCCGGTGCTACAATATACTACCAAGCTAACCAAGCTTTCCTTGTCACTAGACACTGTCAACGAACAATTCGACGTATCAATACACCACAAACTATGGGATGCCATACTCCCTCTCCGGCGTCAACTCGAATACCTGGATCTATTCGAGCCGCCAAAGCCGGTGCCCTGGAACAAGCAGCACGAGCTACCAAAGCCGTTCCTCCTAAACGGCCACCTCTCCTTTTGCTGCCCTCTATACCGGTTCACGAAACTCCGCCAGCTCTGTATCACACCACGACTCCTCTTAGGTAATAACTGTGCCCACGCCGCATCTATAAAATTTGTCAGCCACCTCCCACGAAGCCTAGAATCATTCGCACTATACGGTCGCTCCTCCCAACGAATCATCGAGGGTATCGAGTGTCTCAAGGACGAAATATCCGCAATCCCATTGAACAAACCACCCCTCCCACTCCGCTCCATCGTTATCGACTCTGCGAACCCCCCACGTCGGTTACAGCATCTTTGGCGAGGTCATGTCCCCAGCAAACACATAGCAGACATCTGTGTCAGAAGGCGGATCATGTGGCACTCTAATGCTGACCTGCTTCTCCTCGAGGGTGGGCGCAAGACGTTCTTTGCAATAGGGACGCATAATAATATCCCGTCTGGTCCGGACAATACACTTGCGCGGTTGAAGAAGCGCCGCACAGCGGATATTGTTCCTATGGGGTTGGATGTGCAGGGGTACCGGGGGACGCTGAATGAGGCGAGTTTTGACAAGTGGGCTAAGAGGGTAGGTGTTTGGGAGCCCGGCGAGGATGGTCGTATGTGGGGTCCTGCGCCGGAGTGGTAAGTATAGGTAGCAGGGTTCGCACGAGGTAGGTCTATAGATACCGCTTATTACAAAGCTGTTCGATCAAAACCGGTAGGTATAATTACAATTTACAAGGTATTAGTAGGGCAAGCCGGTGCCCTGTCCCCAGGGTCAATATATGGCTCCGCTGGTTTAAACGCCTGTCGCGAGCATGTGATTAGGCGTGGTATAGAATATATGTCCATTTCCTTAACAATAAACAGAGTAGGTAAATATGCCCCTGTAGCAGATACTATAATCTACATGAAATTCGTATACACTCCGACCTAAGGTTGCATTACGTAAATCCGGCCAAGTTCCAGTGACTCACATACGAGACTCCTCGTGCAACAGATCAACTCGCATCAGACAACTCTCACGAGTAGCATCCATTCCAAAATGTCTTCATCGTATGATGTTCTTGTCACTGGCTCGGCTGGCCATCTTGGAACCGCTCTGATGCTTACCCTGCCTTCCCTAGGCTTCAAACCACTCGGCATCGACATCCTCCCCTCCCCAACGACGACACTTGTGGGATCTGTTAGCGACCGAGACTTCATCGCCTCCCTCTTCGATTCTTACCCGATAAACCACGTTCTCCATGCCGCGACACTGCATAAACCGCATGTTTGCAGCCACAGCAAGGAGCAGTTCATCTCGACCAACGTTGTCGGCACTTTGATTCTCCTAGAAGAGTCCTCTAGATCCAGGACGCAGATAGAGAGCTTTGTCTTCTTCAGCACAACGAGCACATTTGGTATGGCGCTCAGTCCCAAGCCAGGACAACCAGCTGCTTGGATCGATGAATCTGTTGTGCCTATCCCAAAGAATATATATGGTGTGACGAAGATTGCGGCCGAGGACATGTGCGCGCTGATGCAGAAGCAAAGTGGAATGCCCGTCTTGGTTCTCCGAACTAGTCGCTTCTTTCCCGAGGAAGACGACGATGAAGACCGTCGCGCCGCCATGGGCGATGAGAACCTGAAAGTTCTAGAGCTCGCCTACCGCAGATGCGACATTGATGATATTGTCAGCGCATCGGTTTGCGCAATGAGAAGGGCCAAGGATATTCTATGGGGGAAATATATCATAAGCGCCCCGCCACCTTTCAGCAATGATATTCACACTCTCGATGCTTTGAATCGGAGTCCCGAGGAGGTGCTGAGGAAGGCATTTCCTGATGTGGATGTTGTTTTCAAGGAGAAGGGGTGGAAGCACCTCGCGAGGATCGACAGAGTGTATGATTCAAGCAGGGCAGTGAAGGAACTAGGATGGAATCCAAATTATACATTCGAAAAGACCGTGGGGAGATTGGTGCGTGGCGAACAGTGGAAGAGTGATTTGACAACGAGGGTAGGCATGAAAGGTTATCATGCTGTGAGCACCGGGGTGTATACGAAGAGATGAGCCTATAGGGGTCGGATCTGGATAGGATTGTGGTTTACCCGCCTGAGGAGAGCGCGAAGGGGTTGTTTTGGGATAGGACTTGGAGGTAAACTAGTATATGGTCAGGCATGGTTTGGTGCGCTGTAATCCTCCTAAAATTATCCCTGGGCTACTAACCGATATTTGAACAATGATAAGAGAGCTCTCTGAGGAAGATATTACTATAGCTAGAATCAAGCTAGTCCAATGGTGAATAAAGTAGAATATGTATCTCCCAAGGTAGTTCTATCTTCTAGGGCATCATCCTCCTCGATGAACAAAGCTATGGCAGTGAGAAAGTAAAAGTTAACCCCTAAATGCCCAGTAACTACCAATCCAACTTAACCTACTGAGCACCAAGGTCATTTTTCTCGTTCTAGTAGGTAGGCAGTGCTGCCCTGAAGACTAGTTCCCAAGGTAGCAGGAGCAGAGGGATTGTCCCTGAATGCAACTCAACGTTCACCTCGAGTAAAAAGGAATATAGCGATACAGAGTACGAATTAGGTTAGACATGCTAAACATGCTGTAGCCGGGGTGTTAGCATCCCAGCAGGACTTTCCCTGTACTATCAAGAACTCGCCTCCGAGCCAGCTGTGGTCGAGCCCTGCCGTGCTAGATGAGCGTCGTCTCCGGTGCACCCAAGTAACTATCCAAGGTCTCCTCAAGCGAAAGAACTATCTTTTCCAGGTACACTTCGGGCGAGTTCACCTGCCACCTCAAGGTATGTCTCCCAGCACCCAGCGCTCCGAACTCAACATCTCTCTTCCAAACATGATCCGCCACGGCCTCAGCCCAGCCAGGGGGTGTATCTCCAGGCTCGTCAGGCTCGCCAAGCACTCTTGTGAATGTAGCGTCTTCTCCATCTAGGACTAGTGAGTACATCATGGGCAAGTCTGGATCCGTGTCAAGGGCACCGTTGATGTATACAGTGGCGTTGAACGGTTCTGTTGCGTTGAAAGTGTAAAAGTCATATTCGACCCATGCGGATTTCGTGCTGTTCTGTAACTCTCGGGATCGAGTGTATGGACGGACAGCAATCGAGCCGGATCGGGATCGAGTCCCCAGATGCTGAATGTGTTTGAAGGAGACGGGGCCGGATGATGAACGCTGATAGTGCGGCGCTTCGATTGAGACAACCCCGTTGGACTCGGGGAAGCCGATGAAGCCGTCCGGCACGCGGTGGTTACGGACGGGGATATAGATGAGGTCAAAGTAGGGTAGCGACGGTTCCCATTCTACACGCAACTGCACCGTGTCGGAGAAGTTTATTGGCACGTTCGACCAGTCAATAGACATTTCGAGACGTTCTTCCGGGTGCTGCATTGAAAGTTCACCTGATGTTTTTGACATGTTAATCCATGCGTAGGTGGTTTCGATGGACCATTTCAGAGGTTTTCGATGGTCGCCACGGTGGAACAACTCGACGATTCGAGTTGATGGACCGTATGGATCCATCATCGGCATAACCGGGGAGAATCCTTCGTCTGTGGGTAATGAGGGGTTGATGGAGGCGCACATTCGTGCCTGTCTGTACGCTCCTAGAGACTGCTCCACGTATATCCCTAGATTCCCAAAGCCGTAGTCGAAGTCCTGCCTCAGCTGCACGTAGGACAGGTTTGCGAGCACATCGCGAGATGACGGACGCCAGTCGGCTAACCCCATATCGAATTTAGGAGTGGACATTATGCCGTCCCATTTCCCGCCTGCTATGTTGTCGTACTCAAGGACCAAGTCGTAGTCGTCTTCGAAGTGGTCCAGAACCTGCTGTGCTACCTGGTTGGCTGAGTTTCGCCGTTCAAAGCTATATTGGCGGTTTTTCCCTTGGCCCAGCAGGATCCGGTAGTAATTATACCCAGCTTGCGCAGGGTATAGTAAGAGGTGATAGAGGGCATCGCGGCGTTCTGCTGGGGTTTTGTCATAAAGGGCCTGCGATGTTTCTGCAAGGGTCCTCCAGTCTTCAAGCACACGCTCTGCCTCTCGAAAGTTGAGAATGGAGTATGTGGTTGGTTCAAGCATTTCAAATTTGCGTAGGCCAGCCAGATGACTATACTCTAGCAAGGCCGCCGCTATGCTTTCTGCGTGCTCTTCCCCAAGTTCCCGAGCAGCCAGCGCCCTGAGGTACGAAGGTATTGTGCTGAAGTCAAAGCGGGATGCATCCCATGCCAGGTCCATCGCGAAGGCTAGGGGGATCTCTACGGGCTTGATGTCGCCGACATTTATCACCCAGATTCTATCTGCGCCACGCGCGTGCGCCTGGGACAGCTCTTTGTAAACTTTAGGCTGGAGATATGTTAGTCTCTCCAAGGCCTTTGCACGTTGGGCTTACCAGGTTATTGTTGTTTTGCCATTTCCAGCTCTTGGGCCGACCAACGTAGTCGAAATGATAATACAACTGCCATCGGTCAATATCGGTCATAACTGTCCCTGCAGACCTGGAAACATACACCAATACCCCCAGTTCTCTTCTTTTCCTCGTCAGTTGGAAGCCGTTGGACGTTGCCCCAGTTATCGTCTGTGAATATCAAGGTGACGTCGTCAGGAGGAACCAAGCCAGCTGCATAGTATGTCATGACCTCTTTATACACGGTCCACGCCTGTAGCGTCGAGGTATTCCCGTAGTAATCAGTGAGCAATTCCCGCTGTTTATTGAATACCTCCCCGAGCACCGCAATAGGATCATCGGCCTCAATAGGCGAATCGTTCTCTCCACGCATTCCGAGGGTGAAGTATGTCTCGTTGCTCCCTGCACGTCGTACACCTTGACGCATAAAGCTGGTGACATTCTCGTTATTGTTTACCCAGTCCCAGTCACCCAGGCTCGGGTCGTCCTTCCATTCATTCGATGCCCGTTGCATCGGCTCCGCGTGGCTCGTGGAAACCACGATCCCGTAGTCATCCGCCAGCTGCTGGTTGCGCAGGTCGTCTGTGAAGAACATCCTGCCTGGCGTAGGGATGGACGACCCCCACATTGCAGGCCACAGGAAATTGGCCTTCAGCCGGATAAGGAGGTCGAAGACATGCTTGTAGAACTCGGCGTCGAAGGTGTAGTCTGGTCTATTTCCTTTCTTCGCCCACCAGCTGGTGAGGGCGGGTGCTTCGTCGTTGATGAATATCCCGCGGTATTTCACGCTAGGCTCGCCGTGGGTTGTAGATTTATTGAGGATATGGATCTTGTCGTGCTTTGCAGTGGGGACGTCGGCCCAGAAATGGAGTCTAGATATGTGAGCTTCTATGAAGATTTGCAGCGATATCGGTTTGAACCCACGGAGATTTCCCCATCTGCTCTGCAAGCGTGAATAGACCGTACATCGTACCTCGCTTGTCACTTCCGGTTATTAACAGCGCATGTTCAATTCCCGGAACAGGTTTTGGGATAAGCGCAGTCCGGAACGTTTCCCATTTGCCCTGGATGTCTTCGACAACAGCCCTGCTCTCGGCGACAAGCTTGGACACCAGTGGCGAGTCCACTGTCGCGGCGATAATGGCTACAGGAACTGATGTTTCTGGCCGTGTTCCATCCCACTCGAGAATCTGGGGCCTTGTTCCAGTAATCTCCTCCATATCCTCGGCCAAACTGTCCGTCGCAATCTGGACGCCGACAGGGTCGCTCGCGTCTCGTAGTATCACAGCATTGTCGATTTCAACTGCCCTCGGAGCATCCTGGAATGCTACCAATGACTCTTCTAACAGTGAATATGCAATCCCCCAAAGTAGGATAAAGAAAAAACAACATTTATTCATGTTGATACGTCGTAGTCTAAACACCTTGCAATGACATAGAATCACAAGTAGCACTATACTAATATAAGAAGACACTGATACTTTAGCCTGCAGGTGATTCGTGGAATATCAACTAGAGCTTGCATTTCTTGTCTCTCTCGTCTCTATCCCGATTACCTAATTACGGAGTATGGAGCGGACCCTGGCTTGCTGCAGTTAATACATCCAACTCGTCGAATATGATGGAGTATACAGAGACTCGTTGGTTGTTGGCTTGGTATACAGGTTATTCTGTTGATCATAGAGCTTCCCCAACCCATCCCCGGGATATCTCCCTCCGCAATGCATGAATCTTAAATATCTCCATGCATCGGCATTTCATTCTAGGAAAGAAAATGCAAACTTGGCACCCGGTTATTGATATCTGCACGGTGAAATAATCAAATTCGCCGACCTCTACACCGACGGTTTGAAATTCGATGACAATGGTATACGTGTCGGTGTAGGGCTGCCCCGAGAAGGATCGTCTCATCCTTCCAAGGCCCAGGCCAGGGTCCAGTGTCGAACCTCTGGCACTGACACGATCCTGTCCTATTTAGTAGAAGAGCCCTACCCCTAAATCAATTAAAATGGCCCATCTGTCTTTCCTTTCCAATTCCGAGAAATACGCTAGCAAAATGGCACTCTTCAGGCTGATCAATCTTGCTTCCATACTTGCCGCCTGCGTCAACGCAAAATGGATCGTCCCCGGTGCGCGTTGGCTAGACACCGACGGCAACATATTCAATGCGCATGCCGGTGGTCTCTGCGTAGATCGTGACTCTGGTCGGTTCTACTGGTTTGGGGAGTACAAGGTCGAGGGCCAGGTCGAAGGCGGCGGGATATCGGTCTATAGCTCAGACGACCTTGCTACCTGGGAATCCCATGGGCTGGCTCTGGGTACGGTTTGCGCATTTCTATTGATTCCATAGAGAGGTATCTAATAAACGGCATGCAGAGCCTATCGAAGGTCATTCTTATATCTCGCCTCATAACCGCATCCAGCGGCCGAAGGTCATATACAGCGAGGAGACGGGCCAGTACCACGTATGCCTCCTCTATTTTTAATTTTGACAGTAAAGTCTAACAGTTAATAGATGTGGTGGCACGCCGACGACGACAACTACTCGCTGCTCCTCCAGGGCCTCGCAACGTCTGATAATATCGCTGGCCCATATAAATTTGTCGATGCGACCTCCCCACTGGGCAACTGGTCGCAGGACTTCGGTGCCTTCACTGATTTCAAGACCGGGCGCTCATACGCTCTATACTCAAACGGCGACACCGTAGAAGGCCGCGACGTGTACCTCAGCCGATTCAACGAAAACGCCACAGCTGTCGAGGAGGTCACGTATCGGTTTCCGAAGTATGACTTCGAGGCTCCTACCATCCTGCAGACAGAGAGGAGCTACTACGCTCTCATGAGCCATAAAACTGGATACCGACCAAATAGTAGGGCTTCCAACACAGCACAACGAGGTGGATATATTTCAGCAACTAACTACCACTAGATGTTGTTGCGATGCGCGCGGATAGCCTTGAAGGCCCTTGGTCACAGCCCTTCTTCGTCGCGCCAGCGTATACCCGGACCTTCAGCACGCAGTCGGGGTTTTCGTGGAGAATCGATGGCACCAGGAAGACTACGTATCTGTATATGGGGGACCAGGTAAGCTCTTCTATGCGAGCCCAACTCCATCGCTAATGCTATATCTAGTGGGACATGAATTCACTCTGGGAAAGTCGAAACGTCTGGCTTCCTATCGAGATTGATGAGCGAGAGGGTAGTCTGGAGGTTGTTTGGCACGACATCTATGACCTTGACGTGTGAGTTCATTTTCTGTCGACTATGCTAAGATTTATTCTAATTGATACAGCAAAACCGGTGAGTGGAAGCCCATAAAAGGCAAGACGTATATCTCGAAGGATGTCAATTTGGCTGGAGAGGCCCATCTTCAAGAAGCGGTACATCTAACTATCATCCTCCTCCTGTCCAATACATCTGTATCACAGCACTTACAAGAAGATTAAATAGAGATTCGGCAGCGAAAACAGAATCGCGACTGGCATCTACGGCAATGATAGCACCATTACATTCACTGTCCAAGGTCAAGACGCTGAGCAGTGGGTCTCCTTCTACCATCAAAGTGAGCAATCTCCAGCCCCTACCGAGACGGCACCAAGATCATCCAGCTTGACAGATACTGACAACGGCGGGCTAGATATCGATGACATGGGCTTTGGCGACCAACCCATGGGCCAACCCGATCGTATTAACGGCACCTGGCAGCTGCGGCGCGTAAGCAGTGTCGTGGTTAATGGGGACACGGACAATGTGCATACGCTGTACCAGAAAGACACGCACAAGGGCATTATTCTCTCTACGCCCTTGCTGCTTCCTCTTAAAAAAGGGTCGAATACCATTACTGTTGGTGGACTGTATAATGGATTTGATTACAAGGGCGCGGATCTGGATAGGATTGTGGTTTATCCGCCTGAGAAGGCCAAGAGGTCGTTTTGGGATAGGATAGTATATGGCTAGGCATGGTCTGGCGAGCTGCTCCTCCTAAAGTGATATACTACGCATGGTCTAATCAAAATGGTAAAACCGATACAAGAACTCTCTGGAGAAGACCATGCTACATGTACCTATCATCAAACTAGTCTGACAACAAGAACTCACCCGGTTGCGACACAGCAATAAACACTCTCGAGCCACGTTGAAGTGAGAACCTCCAGTGCTCCTGGCCTGTCCTGTTGGTCGATACTCAGCATGCCGTACAGAATACTGCGGCTCTCGTACTACGTGCAGAGGATCAGCCGGCACTGTCTAAGGGAGAAGGAGGAAATCACAAACCTGGCACAGATCCTCCACAACACTACTCCTCTTCCCCATTGCGCGCTTCCAAGCAAACTCCTCAAAGCGCTCGTCCCTGCTTGTCGCCTCCTTCCACACGTTCCGCCCGCTTCGCATGGCAATGTAGATGACAGCCGCAGCCCAGACGTCCGCGGCTCTCGGATCAAATCCCTGCCCGAGATGCTGCTCCGGTGAGATATACGGCGCCGAACCGCGCCGCTCGGTGGAGAATCGGATGTGCTCGTCTCCCTTGGAGTAGAAGCGCTCGGCGGTGCCAAAGTCGCAGATCTTGAGGCAGCCGCGATGCGTGAGCAGGAGGTTCTCGGGCTTGAGATCGCGGTGTGCGATACCCTCTTCGTGGAGATAGGCGAGGCCACGGATAAGCTGCTTGAATAGACAGTCGGCTTCGGCAGGGCGGAGACTGTTCGAGGCGACGATCAGCGAGTGCAGGTCGCCGCCGGCGCAGTATTCCATGCAGCAGGCGTAGAGAGGGCCCGCGGTGCTCAAGGGCATCAGCTCGAATGTCGTTATGATATTCTTGTGGTGGAGCTGCGAGAGGATGGCGAACTCAGCCAGTACGCGCTTCTCGTACTCGTGTTTGGTCTGGCGGGGGCTTTGCCAGAAGAGCTTCATGGCATAGAAACAGTCGAGTGGTGGGCAGTACTGTTCCTTGTGTAGCTGGAGGATGACTGCGTGTGCGCTGACCGCGGTTATACGGCTGATTTCGCCGTACTTTTGTGTTATTGTGCGCATGGTGGTGGTATTTATTGACCGGTCTGCCAGGTTGGTGGTTGCCCAGTGTTCCCATTCTTCTAGGGGTGATTGCTGTGGGGTGTTCCGTCTCATATAAGAGGCGACCCGGCCCCGGATACTGGTTGGCCGTCTGCGACCTATGGTGTGAGAGTGGTGCTGTTGGTTGGAAGTGATGCTCTGTATTGAAAGCTGGCTCTGGCTAGCTCTGGTGAGACTCTGCTCCTCATCAGGGATGTTTGTATCTGCATGTTTGACGAGATGATGGACGAACGGTATAGGCATGTCTTACGACAAGAGAATGCAATCAAAGAGAAGCATGACCGCGACAACATAACCCAGGAGCATACATATATCCAGCGCATCTACGGTCAGCCTCAATCTATGGCCCAGATAAATTGCGCAGTCACCATCTGGGGGTGTGGCGCAGCGGATATCACGTCGTCATTCATTGGGTCGATTAATTGCGCACTCCCTTTTGCTCCCTGCGTCGTCTGACAGCTCGATAGACATAGAGTCCCACGAACACGTGCTCATGGATTGGACGCATGTGAGCAATTCTGTTGGTAATATTTTTCTTTATCGTGCGGTTTGCAGTTTCATTGCAGTCTTGGCAAGCCAAGTTGTGTGGTTCTTTTGTATGCGGGAATTGCTCTGCCAATCCGGCAACTCCACTGGACAGCCATTGCGGCAGCTGTTCTAGCCCTGACCGGAAACGAGGAAGCCACACCAAAGCATAAGAGGCGGCCTCTCTTCCCTGGCTCGTCTGCGACATTTACCAGGCAAACCAGAGAGCAGTTCGCCATGTGGACGCCGTCGCTCAACTTCATCAACCTGCACTGTGCGCGGTCCCTCCTTGCTCCTTAACCAAGCTAACACCGGTAGATGCGTACATTATTTCCATGGGCATCCTGGGCCTGATTGTGCTCTACCCATATGGAAACCTCAGGGCAATAGATGCCTATTTCTTCGGCGCTAGTGCGTCTACGGAGTCCGGGCTCAACACGTACGGCGTCCTATTGTCTTGCCGAAGCTTGCTGACCATCGCAGGGTTGATGTCAAGGATCTCAAGACGTACCAGCAGCTCTACATATACTTCATCCCCATCCTCACCAACCTCGGTTTCATCAATATCCTCGTTGTGGTTGTGCGGCTGCATTGGTTTGAGAAGCGTCTGAAGGAAGCTGGTACGTTGTCGGCCCTCATCGCGACTAAGCTGACGTATCTAATCCTCAGCCATCACGCTGCGGCCGGCAAGGAGTAGACCTGCAGATGTGGAGGCCGAACCCGTTCAGGCTGCAGCAGAGGACAAGTCCCCACCAGAAGCAAGGTATGCTGGATCCCCTCCCTGGAAGTTTCGACGGCTTACACTGCCAGTGACGTCCCCTCCAACAACGTGCAGCGGAGCATCACCTTTGCCGATGACCCTCCCCCCAACCATGACAAGGCACTATACATTCCCTCTCCACGGGAGCTGGATCAGGGACGCCGCATTGAGGAGGTAGACTTTGAAGACAGCGACCCGGCTCTCGAACAGGCACGAACAAGCGATAGTCAAAGCATTGCCAGCAGCACTGTTACGGGGAGTATCCGCCAGCGCCGGATGACACGCCAACTATCCACCGATCTCTCCATCTCAAACATTGCCTCGTCATTGTTCACCCTTGGCCCCACGACCAGTAGCACCAAGCGGGAAATCGTCCAGCCGCGGGAGGAGCCGCTCTCCAAGCAGCTGGCACTACCAGAGCTGTCCTCACGGGCAACCGTTGGTCGCAACTCAAACTTTCGCAATCTAACGGAGCAGGATCGCGAAATGCTTGGTGGTCTTGAGTATCGCGCCCTGAAGCTGCTGCTGAAGATTACTACGGGCTATTTCTTTGGCCTCCATCTCTTTGGCGTGATCTGCTTGCTGCCGTGGATTCGCCATGCGGACCCCAAGTACCGCGACTATCTCCGCGAGTGCGGGCAGAACAGTGTCTGGTGGTGGGTTTTGACATCTTTTTCCTTTTCAGCCAACTCCGCTAATCCGTGGTTAGGGCTTTCTACTCGGCTCAGACAATGGTGGACAATCTGGGCTTCACCCTCACCCCTGACTCCATGATCGCCTTCCAGGACGCAGCGTGGCCCATGATCCTGATGAGCTTTCTGGCCTATGCCGGCCATACATTCTACCCTTGCATGCTGCGCCTTGTTATCTGGGCCATGTCCAAAGCCTGCCCGCGCACTTCCTCTCTGCGCGAGCCGCTAGACTTTCTCCTCAAACATCCCCGACGCTGCTACACCCTTCTCTTCCCCAGCAAGCCTACCTGGATCCTCTTTGCCATTCTCGTTGTCATGAACGTCCTTGACATCATTTTCATCATCGTCCTCGACCTCGACAACGCCGAAGTCAACAAACTCCCCGGCGGCCCCCGTCTCGCAGCAGCCATCTTCCAATCCGCCTCCGCCCGCCACACCGGCACCAGCAGCTTCAACCTGGCCAACGTGAACCCGGCTGTACAGTTTAGTCTTCTCGTCATGATGTACATCGCCATCTTCCCCATCGCCATTAGCATCCGCGCCTCCAACACCTACGAGAGCCAATCACTAGGCATCTACCACAAAGAGGGCGAGATCAACGAGAGCGACAGCAGATCCTACGTCCTCACACATATCCGTAACCAGCTCACCTTTGACCTCTGGTATATCTTCCTAGGCATCTTCTGTATCTGCATCGCCGAGTCGGAGCGGATTATGGATCCTGCTGAGCCGGTGTGTTGCCAGATCCCTATAAATCCTAAAATATTATAACTAATGGTCGGTGTTTAGGCATTTGCCGTGTTCCCTCTCTTCTTCGAGGTCGTCTCGGCTTAGTATGTTTGTTTCTTCCCATTCACTGTTCTAATTCGACGTTAACAATAACTCTTCTAGCGGCAACGTCGGCATGAGCCTCGGCTACCCAACAGTAAGCACCTCGCTCTCCGGGCAATTCTCAACCTTCAGCAAGCTGGTTATCTGCGCGATGATGATCCGTGGCCGGCACCGGTGTCTGCCATACCAGCTGGATCGTGCCATTGTGCTTCCGACGGAGAGAGCGGATATGGAGGGTGAGGCGGAGAGCCGTGATAAGATTCAGAAATACCCGAGTTTGTCCAAGTTGAAGGCTACGTATACGACTTGAAGTACAGAGAGATAGTTGAGGTATATAGTAGTTCAAGTCCTCCGGTATGGCTGGAAACAATACTATGGATCTGGTCCGGGAAGGGGGGGGGCGGGGGTGGAGATTTTGAATATTAGACCATAAGACTAATTGTTATTTCCTGCTTTTAAATACAAATATTATACCCTGGCCTCTAGTTTGAATATACTGGGATTTATAATAGGGGTATCTATATCTAGATTCTAGACTTGCAGCACTTTAAGGATCTAATTACCAGGTCTAAGCCTGCATAGGTTTAGACCGGTTAGAGCATGTTCTAGGGTTAATATTAATCTCCTACTTGCGAATTGGATCATTAAGTCCAGTTCACTTACTAGATTCTTTTCTAAGCGTGTTCCTCGCTTGCAATGGTATCATATACTGCAGGTTTCCAGGCTAATCCTGAAAAGGAGAATGAGGGGCATCGTGTCGGACTCCAGAACACGATTGTGCGTACTGCCCCTCCTGTTGCACGCGTAACGACATGTCTCGGACCACAAACCCTTTAGACGACAAGCTGTCCGTCCTCTGGCGTTCAGCCTGTGACGGCTATGCCAGAGAAACCGGTATCGCACTCAGCGACGGCGACTTCCCCCAGATCCACGGTCCTGAGGATCTGTCCCGACAGTTAGACGCAGAGAGGGACCATTTTGAAGACTTCCGGACGAAGAAACGCCCGCTCTTGCACGCGATGCAGGCAGTTGTGGCGCCCTTTGAGAACTGGGGCTATCTGATCGCGGGTGCAGCCTCCGCAGCTTTCCCACCAGCTGGTTCCATCATGGGCGCCATGCTGCTTCTGGTTCGGGGTGCCCGCAGGGTCAGTGAATCGTTTGAAATGCTTACGGGCTTGTTTCACAGACTCGGGCATTTTGCTCTCCGGCTGGACTCGTATAGGGGCGTTCCTCTCAGCGAGGGAATGAAGACGATTATAGTCAATGTCCTGGTTAATTTTCTCCGTGTCTGCGCAGTCTCGCAGAATCTACTGAGTCGGGGGTCGCTCAGGGCAAGGCTTACAAAATGGACGAAGAACGTCCTGGTTGAAGATACATCGATTAGCTCGCTGCTGGGCCAGCTGGAGGAGTTAACGAGCCAGGAGCACAAGATGGTCTCTGCGCATGGGCTCGATCTCACTCATCAGACGCTCAGAAATACAGCAGAGTTACTCGAGCGCGACAACAGCAGAGCAGACCGCGAGAGGCTCGACAGAGTGAAGAAAGCACTAGACCCCGTCTCTGCATCCGGCCGCGTCTTTTCCGCGATCAACGAGACTCGGATGCCTGGATCGGGCAGCTGGATTGAAGACAGGATCCGGTCCTGGGCACAGGGACCCGAGCCTCTCCTTTGGATCCACGGCGGCCCTGGCGTGGGCAAGTCGTACATGGCGTCAAAAATCATCAGCGATCTCGCGGCAGAACCGTCCAGCCCAACAGCGCCCATCGTCACATCGTTCTTCTTCAAGAGCAACGATGTGGATCTGCGCTCCGTTAACAAAGCGTTGCGGACGCTGGCATGGCAAGCAGCTGTCCAGCGCTCGGCCTTTGCAGCGCATGCGGAGGAGTTCTGTCTGAAAGAAGACCCAGACAACAGCTACGTTGTCTGGAGGAAACTGTTGCTCGACTCGGGCGCCAGAATGTGCCTTGTCATTGACGGTATCGATGAGGCAGAACCAGAGGAGCGAGAGGTCCTTTGCAGCCTACTGGAGAGCACATATACGACAGGGGGGCCTCCATCAATCCGAGTCGTACTCTTGAGCAGGGACTCTGTGCGCGGCGTGCTCGAAGAGCACTCTCTTGGCTGGATTCCCGAAATCGAAATCACCAACAGCCAGAACCAGGACGACCTCGCTAGATACGTCACTCAGAAGCTGCAGAAGACCAGGTTGTTTCGCGGTTCTCCAGACTTTCAAGCCGAGATTGCCCGGGATATATGTGGGCAAGCAGAAGGCCTCTGGGAATGGGCGAACCTGGTGATAAAATCGGTTTTAAGCTGTCGGACCAAGGAACAGATTCGCAAGGTGGTCCTGACGATGCCCCGAGGCATCAGCGCAATGTTGCAGGCAGAGCTGAAGCGCCTGGCTAAAGAGTTATCGTCGAATGAACTGCGCGACGAGCTATCTGAGGAAGCAATGGCGACGCAGATTCACGAGCTCAACATTCTGCTTTCAATTGTGACAAAGGCTCAGAAACCGCTGACGGTGGAGCAGCTCGACCTGATCTTGGAGGCCATCCTTGGAGAGGAGGTCCTGAATCTCGAAGACGATCTCCGAACGGTATACTCGTCCCTGTTCTCGCTGCGGTCCGCTGGGGATGAAGACGAAGACGACGCGGTCATTGTCACTCTGCGGCATAATTCTTTTTACGAATTCTTTAGTAGGCCTGTGGGCGCTGGATCCATCCAGGTCGACCTGGACCAAGCTGAAGCGTCCTTTGTATTTGTCTTGCTCTACGCTCTCCAGAGAAACGAGGCACCCATATCCAAAAGGCTTCTATGGCCGCTCAAGAGATATGCTCAGCAGTTCCTACCGCTGCATCTCTCGCGTGCAACCCCAGAGAAAGCAGCAAATCTAGAAGAAATACAAGCTCTGCTTGCCGCTCTATTCACCGAGGAGCCGGCATTCAATCCCCACCACTGGCTGATTGAAAACGTCTCTGTGACTCGCTTCTCTGAATACCACTCCTATCCGTCGTCCCTACCAACAGAGATCGCCTACTACTGGTGGAATACTCGAGATCGTGATATGGCAAACGAGAGGGCAGAGCTGGTCCTGAAATGGCTGTCCCCGGACACGAAACAGCTCTTGCAGGACTGTGCTCGGTCTTCGAAGGTGGCAAGCGATGTTTGTCCCTTCACGGTGCTTTTTTCTAATTTGGCAGAGTCTTTCTCCCGGCTTTGGCTCGTTCCCAAAGACATAGAAGACGAGGATGGACTACCAGAGCTCCTCTCCATCATGTTATTTGTGTACACTCAAATGGCAGTTGCTGAGCCCACCTCCGATGAGAGGCTTACGGGGTTATTCTCCGGTCTGGAGCCTCGCAAGTTGCTGCATACTGCCCAGACGCTGCATCTCGAGACGACGCCCATTTGGCATGCTCGGCTCGCCCAGGCGATGCTCCTGCATCAGAATTACGCGGCAGCCCTCGAAAGGTTCCAAATCGCTCTCGACGAACATCACAGGAAGCCTGTATTGAGCAAGCAAGCGCTCTCTGTGGTTCATAGAGACATGGCGCGTACATGTACCAAGGTCTGGAGGTACAAGGAAGCATTAGAACACTCTGATCTGGCCGAATCGCTGCTCGACTCCCAGAACCGTGGCTGCCTGGATCCTATCAACAAACTGCTGAACCGTGCGCAAATGGAGCAACTTGCGGGCCTGACCGACAAGGCTGTTGCCACCACAAATGAGGCCTGGAAGGCATTCGTCGAACAAAAGGATGAATACCGAGACAGGGATATGCTGCATTCGTTCTTTTGGATCTTTTTGCAGCTGCACCAGACGCATCGTGTTCAAGATGCGTTCGATTTTACCGTTTCCCTTCCATGGACCGAAAAGGCTGATTTGGTCGGATTCCTTGCTTTAACAATCAATTTGGCGCCCCGGCTAATGTATCGTGTTTTTCACTATGCGCTGATGCGGGACGATGGGAAGTATATTGACCTTGTTTCCTTAGTTCAAGCCAGAATCGCGGCAAGAGAGACTCGACCCGATAACCTGGTGGCGGCGAAATACCTACTGGCGTTACTGCTTTTCGAGCACGGCCTGGTCAACGCAGGGATCCAAGCTTGGTACGAAGTCATCTCCCTTGACAACCCCGGCCGGGGTATCGAGGCGGCTCAGGCGTGGTCAGCAAGTCGCTTAGCAGCCGTGTGTCTTTCCCGTCCAGAGGTCCCGTTCTGCGTAAAGGCCCCTTTGAGATTAGACGAAAAGGCTGAATCGGGTGATATCTGCTTGGTCATATCGAGTTGGCTGCGAGACTAGGGTGATATCGCGAACGCTAGAGAAGCTCTCAGCGGTCGTGTGAAGAGAAGCATCCACCTGCTGTCGGATGATCGTCCTTCCAACGACGAGGAGCTTAGGAGCCTCTTCAGGACATTCCTCGTTGCTGCAGACAGCGACGAAGATCGTAACGGGGCCTTGTACCTGCTCAAGGCCTGGCATAGGGACTGTCAGCGACAGACGAAGCGGCATCGTCCCGATGACGATGACGAAACTGAAGCATCGGATGATGAAGATGATTTCCCATCCTCGGTCGCCCAGCTCGCCGAGTGTTCATGCTGCAAGCGTGAGATGAGCTCGATATGCCACTGGTACTTCTGTCGCTCGTGCCCCTTGACGGCCCTTTGTCGACGGTGCTACCATGATATCCAGGCGGCGGCATCCCATTCCCATCCTAGGGGTATCTGCGATCCGCAGCACGAGTTTTATTACACCGGCCCTGCACTTCGTGCCTCCGAACGCCTGCCGGAGGGGATGATGGTGCTCGAAAGTTCTGATGGTAAGAGGCAGACGATACGGATTGCCGACTGGAAGGAGAAGTTCTCGCAGGAATGGAGGGCCGCGGATCCTGTCTTTGAGGGAGGACTGTCGGCCTGGTGTATGCAAGCATTGCCGGAGCCACAGAGATCTCGGTGGGGAACGTTTTTTACGTAATTGTTGGCTGCTTTGTATATGACGTATGTAGTAGTGGTAGAATCCGCCCATATGAAGCAGAAGCGGGGGAATATATATAAGCGACACAAATAGCGACAAATTTGAGTAACCTGCACAATGTGAAAAACAGAACTTGGATTTAATCTTCATGACGATTATTATTATTATATTATTCTGGAATAAAAATAATTCATGGAAATAACGTTGAGAAAATAAAATGGAAAAAAAAGTAAAAAAAAGTGGAAAAAAGAAAGAGGTCCTACCGCGATTCGAACGCGGGTGTCCAGAATCAAAATCTGGCATGATAACCTCTACATCATAGGACCGATTGATGGTTTCGGGCGTCAGTTTAGCCTTGATAACCGGACACAGTATGTAAGCCTATTATTAACTAACTTGTATTCCTACAATCCACCCCCGATATTCATCCACTCCCACTCCCTCCCTACCCCTGTATCTAGAACCGTCTGAGACTGCCAATAAGAAGTCGATACCAGTCCCACTGCACATCCGAGATCAGCACCTCGTCACCCCGCAGTCCCTGCGTGACATACGTTTTCTACTCGGCATATATCTCCTGGGTTTTGGAGAGAGTCAGGGAGAGACTACAGACTATAGTACTTCATAGGAAGCGTTTGGAGGGCGAGAAGTCCCCAGCGAACACACACTCAGTGGGAAGAGTAAGGCCTAGGTGGCTTATTAGCCCTCTGAACTGACTTAAAAACTAAATGTCGCTCCCCCGCTACAATTAAACACCTGCCCCGAAAAGAACGACGCTTCGGCAGACGCAATAAACGAGACTGCGTGGGCAATGTCCGACGCATGGCCCTGTCTCTTAACGGCCTGTTGCTCAATAGTCATCTTAGCGAGAGCCTCAAACCCTTCTAGAGACCGCGCTTGGTCGGTATCAGTAACGCCAGGCATCACAGCATTGACAGTTACCCCGGGACCAGCTTCCATGGCTGCACTACGCACGAGTCCGATCACAGCGGCTTTGGTTGCAACATACGCTGTCAAACCGGGCTTGGGATCCGCGTACCCGGTAGACGAGGTATGGATAATACGTCCGTAACCGGCTGCTTGCATATGTGGCAGGACGGCGCGTGTGAGATAGAAGGGCCCGTTGAGGTTGATTCCGATGTACCGATGGTACAGGTCCGTTGGGAAATCGGCGAGAAGCTGGAAGCCGTATATCCCTGCGAGGTTGGCTAGGATATCAACTTTTCCGTGGGTCGTAACTGTCCAGTTTATTGCAGATGTGACCTGCTGCTCGTTGCTTATGTCGCAGAGCTTGATACCTGCTTTCCCGCCAGTCTTTTGGATAGAGGCCCTGGTTTCCTGGAGGCCGGCGTCGTTGATGTCGAATAGGATCACTTGTGCATCTTGGGCGGCGAAATTTAGTGCAACCTCCCGGCCAATTCCAGCGGCTGCACCGGTGACGATCACAACTTGGCCGGTGAACTTGGTGTTTCTTTGGGAGTGCGTGCTGCTATTGGGCTCCTGGCTTTGTGTCATTTTGCTTATGTTGACCTTGAGTGGGTACTCATATATCAAGCTAGTAGGTAATGGATACAAGCAGAAGCAGGATATAAACCAAAAAGCAAGTGCTTGTCATAAATGCAGGAAGGAATGGTCTTATGTAGCTTTATGACGGCAGTGCGGCTTCCCTGAAGTGGCAAACCGAGTACTGTAACGCGCCTTGACCTCTATATTGCTTTTTCCTGTTAAACCGCATGACTCGATTCCATATGCACATCCGTGCGGGGTGTATCTAAAAGGCTGTATGCATCTTCTATGCAGTGTGGCACTGAGCAGCAGGTGTTGGCTGCACATGGCTGCGGTGAAAGGCGACCACCCGCATGCAGAATTATGGAGGACAATGATATTTAGGAACGAGAGGGGTATGTATGTACATGCATAAGCCTGCTGCAGGACTTGCGTCACATGCCCTTTTCACTCGATTTGTGTAACGGGCTGGTTACCCCGAAGATATGCAACGTGGAGGTTTCTTGCATCCGCCGGTTTTGTCGAATTTGACGCACTGTGAAATCATTTGTGCACCGTGACTCATGACCAGCCAAACGCTGCTGGATTCTGTACAATAATCAGGTCTGAAGTATGACAGTTCAAGACTTGAACTTACCAAGAAGAGCTCAAGTTTCTGAACCAGATAGGCCCCGTCGCTCTCAGCAAGAGTCCAATTTGCTGCTGTGTACGTGGTACCCTGGCCATCCTTTGTGGGAAAGAGGACGCTGTTAACCACAACGACATCCAGCGGCGAGGAGGGGGAGACATAGACACGGAGTGGCTCATGTTTGATACCTGGGAATGCCTCCCAGAATCCGAGTCGCTGGGTGTATATTTCTTTTTCAGTTAGTGACTGTTCTAGAACTTTGGACGGAGGCAATTACCGTGACGGCCTTTGAATGTCTGTCCTGGGGTTATAAACACTGCGTCTTCGGTACAAATCTGGCTCATTTCCTTTGCTGCCTCGGGCGTTTCGGCGTCTAGCAGGGTGTAGAACCTCTCTATCACCTGCATTGCTTCGGGCGTGCCGGCGCCTGCCCATATATTTCCGTTGGTGGTTGACATGGTCGAGTGGTATTCTTGGAGGACGCCTGAGGATGGGACCAGGAAGTAGACAGAGCTGGGGATTGTTGGCAGAATATATACCACACGAGAGAATTCAGCAGCGAACTCCACGCCCAAGAATGAGACTACCGATCGGCGAACGTGGCGTCCGTGCTGGGTCCTGTTCTTTGTTCGCCGAGATCAGATGGCTGCGTGTGTCCAGTCAGAGCATCCTTGTTGATCCTCCAGCTGCGCGATGATGTCTTCCTGCGTGCTGTGACAAATTATTGTCCCACCCTGGTTTTCTTGAATCGGTTCCTGCAAACCTGTGGAGCAGCTCACATATGTGGAGCCAGACTCCAGAGTCGGTGCGATATCATTCAACATCGTCAACCGTGGTCCACAAGAATGCATTGGCGCTATCTCTTCGTTGCCCCCGCGTCGCAATTGACACAGTCTAGTGAAGCGATTGGCTCCGATACGACTTCCTGGGTCAGGGATGTGTGGCTGGCTGACATGCATGAGATGCAACCAATTGTCTCAGCAAGACCAAGTTGAGCAGCGGTAAGGCCTCCGTGCAGAGAGAGCCTGCCTGATACTTTGCTCGACGAGAAGATTCAGCTGACAGAATTGGAACTACTCCCTCGTCTGCTGTTCACCACCTGGTGTGCATTCAGTGGCTGGATAATTATGTAGTTTATCGCAACCAAATTGACTACCATAACTACTGCTGTAAATAGACTGTCAATATATTGATTGCAACAGCAGTTCAAACCTGTCAACATGACTAAATCACCAGTTCCCCAACGTTATACTCTTGATGTTCTGATACTCCGCCAGCCCCAGAGCGCTCCCTTCTACACCATAACCACTTTCCTTGACTCCCCCAAAAGGCGCTTCAGCAGCACTGATCTTGCCAGTGTTGACTCCGACCATACCAACCTGCAGCTTCTGAGCAACGCGCATGACCCTGCCCACGTCCTTCGAAAAGAAATATCCAGCAAGACCAAACTCGGTGTTGTTAGCTAGCTGGACTGCCTCATCCTCACTGTCAAATTCAATTATGGGAGCAAGAGGTCCGAATGTCTCTTCCCTGCTCACCACCATATTTGGGCGGACACCAGAAACGACTGTAGGCTGGAAAACGAATCCAGAAGATGGAACGACATTCCCGCCAACTTCAACCTTTGCTCCTTTCGATAGGGCATCTGATATGTGTTCTGCTACCTTGTCCACAGCTGCCTTATTGACAAGTGGCCCTTGGGTAGTCAATGGGTCCAGTCCAGGGCCAGGTTTGAGGGCTGCAACTCTTTCCACAAGTTTTACGGTGAACTTCTTTGCAATGCCCTTTTGGACGTATAATCGGTTGGCACTATCAAGATCAGCAACTTATATAAGAGGATAACCAGAATACATACCAAACACAGGTCTGCCCCGAGCACCGGAACTTGCAGAACATAGCCCCCTCAATCGCAAGATCCAGATCAGCATCATCAAACACAATAAACGGCGCATTCCCACCAAGTTCCAAACTGACACGCTTCAACGTGCCCGATGCAAGTTTCGCCAGCATCTTACCTACCCCCGTCGACCCCGTGAAACTAATCTTGCGAACGAGCGGATTCGTCGCAAGTTCCGTAGCGGCCTGTCGGTTCTTCGTAGGACAAACCTGGATAAGCGCCGGAGGAATCCCAGCTTGCACTGCTAGCTTTGTCAAGGCGAGGCAGGTATATGGTGTTTCACTTGGGGGTTTGATGACCACTGAGCAACCTGCTGCGAGAGCGGGCCCGACTTTGCGTGTTATCATGGCAGCCGGGAAGTTCCATGGTGTGATGATTCCGCATACGCCGACGGGTTCGCGGAGGGTCATTAGGGTTGTTCGAGGGGTTGAGGAGGGGATTGTCATTCCGTAGGCACGGGTGGCTTCTTCGGCGAACCAGGAGATGAAACTTGCGGCGTATGACACTTCGCCTGCGGATTCGGCGTAGGTCTTGCCGTTTTCGAGACACAGGATTGTGGCGACTTTATAAGTCATGTTAGTTGGAAGTATGTGTTGGTTAATGTGGATGGCTTACGGTCTTCCTTGTTGGATAGAATCAGGTCACACCATTTGCGAAGTAGAGCCCCGCGAGCAGCACCTGTAGTCGTCGAGAAAAAGGGGTCTTGAGCATTGTGGGCGCTTTGGATAGCGTGCTGGAAATCCTGAAGATCGCAGTCGCTGACATGGCCTAAGACTGTGCCTGTCGAGGGCTCTAAAGAGTATACGTCAGGCTGGATAGTTTATATAGGTTGCGGGACCAACCGTAAACGTTAAATTTCTGATCCTTGTTGACCCATTTTCCATCGATAAAGGCATCAGTGATGAACAAAGAGTGGTCATTGAGCTGGGTATTGAAAAGTTATTAGCTTATTGCATACTTGTTCAAGATCGCGACGGCAGCCTACCTTTCCGAGAGCAGCTTCGTGGTATGTAGATCCCATATTGGAAGTTTAGTTTTCAGTAGGACGGGGTATGGACATTTGACAGACATGTCATTAACCGGAATTGTTATATTATTATAACTGCGCCAGATTCCGATCCATATACCCACGGCTTTGTGGCGTTGCCCTAATTCGGCCTCGCAATATGAATCCCGCGGAGCCCGGAGGGAATCCCGAGCTGGTGCTGCGGCTGGCCAACAACCATCTTACCTTATTCGGGAATTCGGTATTTGCTGCGATTGGTTCGGCGATGGGTTGAATACGTCGATGGGATCTCGAGTTGAATTTGCGCCGAGTAGATCTGGCTAGCAATTCCCCGTGGGACTCAACCGCAGCCTGGCCGCTGAATTCCCCTCTGCTGGATTCACATCGAGTGCTGTCTGCTTCTGAAGAGCGTACAAGATTATTTCTGGGCTTTATCCGACCTTTGATTTATTTTTTGTTATACCTCACTCCTGGGCATGGCAAGATCCGACTATGAATCGTATTATACTATGGAAGTAGCTGTATACCATAGAAACAGTATTAGATTGGAAGCAAATAGAAAGATAGACGTTCTGTATTTTCTTACAACCAATTACGATACATGATACCGGCATAAAAGCAAACATAGGATGTAGCAGAACAAAAAGACAATTTAAAGGGTGAAGTCAAGAAGAGTATAATGGTTAAGCTCAGGCAAAGCGAGCAGTCCACGACTCAAATGTACCTGCCACAGCCCGGACAAGAATACGAGCCGTCTCGACGAACGAAGACCTAGTAGCAAAGGCTAGAATTGCCATACCCAAGACAGCCTGAGGTAGCGGTGAAAGCGTCTTGACCAGTCGACGAAGACGGAAGAACGGCCACAGGAAGCTACCGCCGACCATATTGAAGGCAGACCATTCAGGGAAGTAAGTTCTAAACCAGTAAGACCGCGCAAAGCCAGGCCATGATGCTGCGTTGCGGCCGAATTTGCCAATGTACCAGTTAGAGCAGTCGCCTGCAAAAACCGTGCTTCTCAGTTGGGCGTGGATTGCATTAGTCTCGCGGTCTTCTGCGGCTTGTTTAACCTCTATGATACTGGCGCGGCGGTCGATTAGCGGTTTGAACAGGGACTCGACTGCGTAGGCCACCTGAGTCTCACAAGCGAAGAGTGCAGAGTTGTTGGCAGGGAATGTGTTTGGGCCAAATATGATGGCCAGGTTGGGGAAGTTGTGCACGTAAGTTCCGAGATAGGCCTGCGCACCGCGGCATTCATCCCATTGCTTTTGTAGATACTCCCCGTTGGCACCCTTGATCTGCATGGGGGTGAGGAATTGGGATACTTGGAAGCCCGTAGCTAGGACAATAAGGTCAAAGTCGTCCTTGATTCCGGAGCTGCTGATAATGCCCGTTTCGGTCATCTGCTGGATGCCTTCGGGGAGAAGTTCGACGTTCGACCGGTTTAGGGACTCAAGATAATCCGGATCAAAGATACGGCGCTTGCAGCCGAGCGGGAAGGTGGGAATGATGTGCTTCCAGTACTTCTTGGGTGCCATTGACTGAATGTAACGTTTGGATTCTTCTTCGACAGCATGCCTTGCCTTTTGGCCTTTGGGCGTAGGGAAGTAAGTGGTTGTTTCCTCGTCCGCGGCAAGGAAGATACTGAGACGAAGCAGACGCTGCTTGAGAGGCATCCACCTAAAGAGAAATTTCTCAAACTCGGTATAGACATGGTTAGGGCGGGCGTGGAACCACTGGCCGCTGCGTGCATATTGCTTGACGAACCCTGCATCTTTCGCGATGGCAGGGACTACCTGGGCAGCACTGCAGCCGTTGCCAATGACTGCCACTCGTTTTCCTTTATATGAGATGGAATGATCCCAGCGAGCTGTGTGGAACATAGGACCCTGGAACTTTTCCATCTCAGGGAACCGCACGTCGCGGGGGAATGAAATAGCCCCAACGGCAGACACGAATACGGACGCGAATCGCACGAACTCCATACCGGTATCAATGTCTTTTAAGTGAACCTCCCATTTGCTCTTGTCGGTGTGCCATTCGGCGCCGAGGCATTCGACTGAGGTGTGCACATGGCGGCGTAGGTCGAATTTGTCCACGGTGTCGTCCATATCTAGGCGTCATTAACACTGGTAGTTGTTATTAATTGAGGGTGATTCACTAACACTGCAATATTTCGGGCTGTTCACACAGTTCCTTGGACCAGTTTGGATTGAGGTTGAAACTGAAGGAATAGAGGTGGGAGGGCAAGTCACAGCCACTGAGTTTCAGGATGTTAGATGAATTCACCAAGGGTTGAATTTGCATACCATCCAGGATAGGTATTCGTCCTCCAAGTACCACCGACACCGTCCAGTTTCTCGTAGATACTGAAGTCCTCGAACCCCAAGTCATGCTTCAACCGGTATGCCATCGCAATGCCGGCAGGGCCAGCACCAATGATGATCGCATTGAGTTCCTTAGCGTAGGCAGACATTGTGAATAGCTCTCACTAAGGTGATACAATTGTGAAGAAGAATTCCCTTAGAAAATATCGACCCTGCGAGGTCCCTGAAGAAGAAGCCCTGGGAAGAGGAAGCGGGTTTTGGGTTCCGCCAATACAAATGTCCCCCAGTAGGGACATAAACTCATAGATCAGCCCATATACACGCAGACATATTCCCGACAAAATTACTGGAATTGACACCGGTGAGATCGGACGTGGCGTGGAAAACATCCCCCGGCCGGGCCGTGCAGCAGGCAGTATACACCGTCGGCTCCTATCCGGGATCACTTCCGGATCGGATGAGTTGCTTACGACGACCAGCTCCTGAATGCCGAAGTACAGTCATTCAGGATGTCTGCTGCTACAGGATTGATCTAGTGCGGTCCATAAGGGTCATCTGTCACACTAGAAGTCAAAGCTAGGTAACCGGAAACCGATAATCTAACGCAATTTGGAACTGAACATATCTCGCTCTGTACAGCCACTCAGTGCCCCGTCAGATAGCTTTTGCTCATGGTGAAATCAATTAGAGCAGGGACGACCGAGCTATAACGGAAAGTAGTTCCTTCCCGATACGTCCACTGCTGTAGATGGCAGGAGGGACCGAATGCACTCAAGGCAGCTGCAACCAACAGATTGATATATTTTATAGAAGCCACGACTGTACTAGAAAGACACTGAATATAACACAAGTCAAAGCTGTCTCCATCCCGCCATTCTCGCATTCCCGCCGTTCAGTTCCTCCAGATACTTACGCACCCTTCGTTCAATTCCCTTTGCATCCAGCCCAAACCGGTCATAGTTGCTAGGGTTGGAAGCCGAGTAGCCATAGCCCGTCATTCCAATGCTAGCTGTAGTATACCGCGCCCAGGTAGTTGCCACGTACTCCTCGACACTGACAACCGGTGTGTCATCCAGCGGGAAAACACTCGCTTGATACTTTCTGTCCTGCTGGTCGAAGTGCTCAAAGCTAGGCGCGCTCACCACGCGGGTAGTAATTCCCGAGGCAGTAAGGGACTCGGCTGCTGCAACAGCGTAGTGGAGATTTGTTCCACAGCTGACGAGAGTTAGTTTTGCACTTTCAGACTCTATCACCACATATGCGCCCTTTGCAACCTTGAACCGATCTGTTCTGGGGACGGGCCCGACGGGATCCCGGCCGAGAGATAGCATTGTTGGTCCGGTGCGCTTGGACATGGCAAGTATCCACGCTCCAATGGTCTCTTCGGCGTCGCAAGGGCGGATGTATGTCAGATTAGGCATTGCGCGGTATAGCGAGTCAACTTCGACAGGCTGATGTGTTTGGCCGTTTTGACCTTCGGCGAAGGAATCGTGGGTTGCGCAGTGGATGACTGGGAGATGGCTGAGTGCGCCCATTCGGACACCAGGTGCTGCCTACAATATATAGATATTAGCCAAGCGATGGAAAAATAACTCTAAGATACGCACGTAAAGGTAGAACATCAGGAATGTGGCAGTCAATGGGAGGAATGTTCCTGGGTTGTACGCTGCCAGCCCATTTGCCACAGCGGCCATTGCGTGTTCCCGAATTCCATTCCGGATATAACGACCAGTATATCCAACAGAAGGGTGGAATACGTCTTTATCGGCATAGGGGACTTTGTTGGAGTTGACAAGGTCTGCACCGCCCCCGCATAGGGCTGGATACTGGGCCCAGAGCTTCTCAATCACAACGCCATTAACCTCTCGAGTCGCCATTCCTTTGAATTGTTTTGAGTCCAGATCATTGAGGGCCTGGAGCCATTCCGTCCCATAAGAAGCAGTGCGACGAGTGTTGAACTCCTGTAGCAAATCTGGGTACTGAGTTCCGTAATCGTTAACCAGAGAATTCCAGGCGTGCTCTAATTTCTCGCCATGGGCCTTTCGCTCCCTGAAGTATTCCAGTTGCTGTGGAGGAATATGGTGCGTTACAGCAGGGTCTTGACCTGCAAGACGTTTTGAAGCCTCAATGCTGGCTTTGTCAATAGCTCCGTGGTGCGCTTTATAAGTGCCCGCGACATCCGTCCCGAGGCCAATTACCGTGCGGATATTGACGAATATGGGCTTTTTGGTCAATGTCTTTGCATATTGCAGTGTGGTCACGATTCTTTGAACATCATAAGACCCGTCGTCGACTTCGATAACATGCCATCCACTCGCGCGCATCTTTGCGTTGACATCCTCAGTGTTGATCCAGTCGAGCGGACCATCGCACGTAACCTGGTTGTTGTCATAGATCAACACCAGATTGTCGAGTTCCAGATTACCAGCTAGTGAAATGGCCTCGAGTGCCACTCCTTCCATGAGACATCCATCTCCGGTCATGCAGTAGACCCGAGACTGGAGCAGATCAAAACTTGGCCGGTTGAACTTGGCTTGCATGTTCTTAGACGCAATGGCTAGGCCAACAGCGTTGGCAATACCCTGGCCCAGAGGCCCAGTTGTGACTTCAACACCCGGGACCTCAATCTCAGGATGGGCGTGGCATATAGTCTTGTATCCGTTTGTCTTTGCACTACCGTATCCCTTTATTTCATCCATAGTCCAGTCGTCGAAGCCGGTGAGATGGTTCAGGGCGTATAGGAACATAGCAGTGTGCCCTAGAACGCATTGTCAACATTGAACTAGCCTTTACCGGCTAGGAAGGGATACATACCATTTGAAAGAACAAAGCGATCGCGGTCAAACCACTCTGGGTTCGAGGGGTTGTATCGCATCACATACTTGTACAGAGCAACGCCGATGGCCGCCATTCCAATGGCAGAACCACCATGACCGCCGCCGTTTTGGTTGCATATGTCGAAGATGAAATTGCGTAGAGCTAGGACGGCGAGGTCGTCTTCGTCTAGCCTGGCGTTTGGCTTGCTTGTTCCGTTTGCCAGCGCTTGCTGGCTCTTGGGGTCGATGACTGTCATGGTGAATCGTTACTGGCACGCAAGCTGTGGATTGAAGGACTTCAGGAGCTGGCGAGATGGTTATGGATTGGAAAGATTTGGAAACCCTTGTATGTAGTCGGCTTCTGAGCCACTGTTCACGCCCTTTCGTGCTTTCGACCGAACACTTTCCACCGGGAATTGCCCAAATGTTTACGACCCCGAATAAAGGCTGTAGTTGCGGAAGCGCCAGTTGGAGCATTAATTCCGAGTCTGGACCGGTTCTAATTCCGGTATAGAGATTCGAAGTCAGTGTATCTAAACCCCCGAGTGCAGGCCGGGAATATGCCCGCGGTGGTAGGATTCCGTACGGGTATATGCAGCTGGTGACTAGAATCATACATTTTCGAAAAGTCGAATATTGCATTCTAAATATCAATCAAGTTTAGCTATTTACCTGATCAAACCCCTGATATTTCGTCTGCACACACTACCAGCCACCATGTCACACAACACCGATTCTTTCCTTACCAGGACCATTCACGACCTTCTGTCTCTGAAGGGCCGGACGATAGTTGTCACCGGCGGTGGTCGTGGGCTTGGACTGGCGTTCGCGTTCGCAATCGCGGAGGCTGGGGGCAATGTTGCTGTTATCGACTACATTGACACGCCGCACGAGCACTACTACAAGTTAGAAAAGGACTACGGCGTGAAGGTCAAGCTTTACAAGTATGTCATACATTACACTTTGTGATATGTTTATACTAACCTGTTGTGCTAATAGGAGCGATGTTACAAACTTCGAGCTCCTCAAGGGTACATTTAACGAGATTGTCAAGGACTTTGGTGGAATTCATGGCCTGTATGACCTCCCCAGAAACATCGCCCAGCGAAGCACGCTGATGCTCAAATATCCAGAGTTACGGCAGCTGGTATATGTGTGGACCAGCCCTTCCTCGATCGTCCACCAGAATCAGTTGCTCGTTCATTCAATGTGAATGTTCTCGGGACATACTACGCCGCCCAGCTTGCAGCCGCGCAGATGGATAAGCAGGACCCCTCGCCTCACTCTGGATGCAAAGGTTCAATTGTATTCATTGCGTCAATTGCCGCCTATGTCGCAAGCAAAGGCCAGACGACCAGCGACTACTGCTCCAGCAAGGGAGCTGTAGTAGCACTCGCGAAGTCCCTGGGCGTTGAGCTGGCAGCTAAGAATATCCGTGTGAACAGTGTATCCCCTGGGTGAGTCGACCAAAACACAATTCTCTACTAATAAAAACTAACTGAATAAGGTATATGGCCACGGATATGACTCTGGATCAGTGCCGTCGCTTCCCTTGGTTAGGGGATATCATGAACAACGAGCCTCCTATGCGTAGAATGGGTGACCGGACGGACCTGAAGGTCCCGATTGTGTATCTTCTGTCGGATGCGAGTGCGTATCATACGTCGGATGATCTTTTGATCACGGGTGGGATTCACGCTGGGCGATTGATGTAGATTACTTTGTTAGTGAATCCAATGCTGCGGCTGAGATACTGAAACTACTACGAACCAGTAGAGAAAGTTCCTTGTTGTCCACGGGCTCTGTAGGACTACTCCAAATTGGCCACTATTCCACAAAAGCTCTTTGACACTGGATTAACTTTCGGCGACTTATGTCCGACACAAGCCACCACCAATACATAAGATCTGAAGCCTAAACGTTGTCCAGTGGGAAACCACGTACTTCCATTGGCTGTTCGGAATTGGTGCCCGAGCATGGGTGCAAAGCCGGCCGAAAATAGCGCATCTGCAGGCCCATGGGGAAGGCGTCATTGCATCTCCGAGATCGTCGACTTGCGGGGGTGGCGGAGTGAGACGGGGAGGAAACCCTAAACAGGCACCGGGTGTATTCCGATATAATCCTCACCACAGTACGCAGTCCGGTACCGTGTTGAGTCTGCACCGGTCTCTACATCTCATACTTGATTACTATTTTGCATTCAGTGCTTCACACTTTCACCCATCGGTATATCAGCAGCCATCGTTGTTATGGAGAAGCCCCCTTCCGATTCAGAGCACGTTGAGTGCAGCAAGCACGGCGAGATCTCCCCCGCAGGCGGAATTGTTCTGATGGAAAATGCAAGGGAGCCATACGGGCCGAGTGGTATGCAACTCATGCTATTCTACTTGATACATAATACATAGGCACTGACTGCGCGAAAGGCTTCAAAGGTGCCTTCAAGAACAAATATGTGACCGCGTGCGCTGCCTTCGCAACGCTTGGTGGTGCAATGTTTGGCTACGACCAAGGTGTTGTCTCGGTCACGCTTACCATGGATCAGTTCCTGGAAATGTTCCCAGAGGTGGCTCCAGGCGCTGCTGGAGCTGGATTCCAGAAAGGGTTGCTGACGGCCATGATCGAGCTTGGGGCCTTTATTGGCGCAATGAACCAGGGGTGGATTGCAGACAAGATATCGAGGAAGTGGTCCATCATGGCGGCGGTCTTGATCTTCTTGTTTGGATCGGCCCTGCAGACTGGAGCGATGAGCTTTGAGATGTTGCTGGGTGCCCGCTTCGTTGGTGGTGTTGGGGTTGGCATGCTGGCCATGGTGGCCCCTCTTTATATTTCAGAGATCGCGCCGCCGGAGATCCGTGGAACCCTGCTGGTGATGCAGGAGTTGTCTATTGTGATTGCAATTGTGGCTGCCTTTTATACGACTTATGGGACCCGGTTCATCGCTGGTGAATGGTCATGGCGTCTTCCATTCTTGATTCAGGTATTTCCCCACTCATCGCATATTGCATCCACTACTGATATCCTCAGATGGTGCCTGCTATAATTTTAGGGCTCGGTGTTCCGTTTCTTCCATACTCTCCTCGCTGGCTGGCTGGAAGAGGGCGAGGTGAAGCCTCGCTTAAGGCTCTCTGCAAGCTACGTGGAGCCGACGAGAATGATGCTCGAGTCCTGCGAGAATGGATTGAGATCCGATCGGAAGTTGCCTACTGCAAGCAGGCAAGTGCAGAGCGACACCCACGGCTCCAGAATGGAAGCATCCTCAGCCGCATTATGTTGCATATCTGGAGCTATCTGGACTGCTTTCGCAAGGGGTGTCTGAAGCGGACTCATGTCGGTATCGGACTGATGTTCTTCCAACGTATGCCCCATTGCTTCCATACGAAAGAAAAGTAGCTGACAGCGCGGCAGAATTTGGTGGCGTTAATGCACTCATTTACTACTCCCCCAGCCTCTTCGAGGGCATGGGCCTGGAGTATGAAATGCAGCTGAACATGTCTGGCGTCGTCAACATCTGTCAAATGGTGGCGTGCTTCTGGTCCCTATGGGGCATGGACCGATTCGGCCGTCGCCCTTTACTGTTCGGAGGAGCAACATGCATGGTCATCTCTCACCTCATCATCGCTGTTCTCATGAGCCAGTTCAAAGATAGCTGGCCCGCCCACACAGCTGAAGCCTGGACCTGCGTTGCATTCCTCTGCTTCTTTATGTTGACATACGGTGCAACCTGGGGCCCCATCCCGTGGGCGATGCCGGCTGAAATTTTTCCTTCGTCTCTTCGAGCGAAGGGCGTGGCCTATTCCACCATGTCTAACTGGCTCAATAACTTCATTGTTGGGCTCATTACTCCCCCACTGGTGCAGAATACAGGTTACGGAACGTATGTGTTCTTCTGTGTGTTTTGTACTTTGTCGCTCATCTGGTCGTGGTTTTTTGTCCCTGAGACTAATGGACGCACGTTGGAGGAGATGGACTATGTTTTCAAGGATAATATTGGGGCCGATGAGCAGGCTCGGCGTTCTCGGATCGAAGCTGATATTGCATTGGGAATTCGGACCAACAACACTGTATCGGCTGCGACGGCATGATGTTTCATTTAGTGTGCAGTTGGTCATGCATGGCCGGGAATGAATACAAGGAATGGAAGGTAACAGAATCAACCATTAGAGAGGAGATATGGTACATTTGATACTAGTAATCGTACAGAAGAGCCACGCCGGGGGCAATAAAGCTAAACACCGTAGCGGAACTCTCGGACCTTCTTCTGATAGTAGAAGGATGCCAGTAGACCAGCGGCCGCAAGTCCAAGCGGAACCGGCGCCTTTGCCTTCGTTTTGATGCTCCGGGCGACTCCGGAACCGAGCAAGAGCAGGCTGTTTCCAAGGGCAAGCTCAGCGCCGTAGTCTTTGTTTTGCTTGAGAAGGTAGCCTGAATCTTGTCAGTAGATTTTTAGCTATCAGTCGGGAATGCTCACCAGAGGCGGCATACGATACACCCAGTCCAAGACCAGCCACTAGAGAAGGCGTGGAGCGCGTCTTCAAGTAGCCGGCGACGCCGCCAGCGGAGACTATTCGAGATCAGCGGTGGCGTGAATATTGCATGCGGTAAGAGAACTTACGGAGAGCAGAAAGAGTGAAGGATGGGTGTTCGGCCATGGTTGCAGAGTTGGGTTGAGTGGGATGAGAGATGTTCAGTGTTCAGCGCTGGTGGTGTTTTCGACGACAGTGATGTCGCTTATTAATCAATTCACGGGATCTCGGATGTCCGATCGTATCAGGAATAGCGGGAAAGGCGCCATCGGACACAGCGACAACTGGAAGTTGACTCAAACATCCTAGTGGATTGATAAATGCCATCTTTACGGGAGGAGTCTTTGAGCAGGGTGGTGTTATCTTTTACTGCGGCATGACTCATTATAGCAGTACGTGTATGAACCAATATATATAATGGCAGGTACCCATGGACGGAAAAGAGCGGTATTAGAACAATGATATATTTATGCAAGCACTCGAAGGAACCAGATAAAACTTAGATATACGGAGGATATTGAACAACGAGAGGGGAACATTGTCTACATACTACAGGACATCGCCCAATCTGCTGTAGATATGCTGGCGCAGACCCCCGTTTTGGGATTCAAAACTATGAGTGACCTTGGTGATCGGTTTGAATGGTCATCTGATACTTCCGAGGCATTGCCATTCTGCTTCCTGCAGCCTCACGAGGGGAAAAGCAGGGTTGATGGACACCGGGTCCTTGGGATAACCTGCCCGTATGTGTTCAGAACAGTCAATTGTCCAGAGTACGAGAAGGAGATCGGGTTGGTACTCAAGGCCAAGGCTTTGATTGAGGAGGATCCACCGGGCAAGGAACGGCCAGCAAAGAAGCGCAAACTCTGAATACCTTTCCGTCCTCTTTTCAATCCAGAATGTGTGGCCCTGCGCATGTTCCCGAACTGGATTGAGTCCTTCCACTCATTTAGTTCCTGATTATTCTTTCGTGTCTTAGAATACACACTCCGTTGCATTTAATTTACTATGACCTGGCACGACATCTTCATAGAGCGATGTTCATCCTGGTAACTCACGAGGACAGCCAAGTGTAAAGTTGCCTTGTAATTGCAACAGATCTAAGAGCATCATGTTGTACACACGAAAGCCGTCACTTACAATGTGGAATAGATTAGTCTAATAATTCCCTGTCCGCATTTGGGCCGGCCACGCCTGTCTATTTACAGTCGCCCCTTGACCGGAATAGCCTCAGCATCCCTCGGATCCGCAGGCGGAAGCTTTGGCAGAGGGAGCTTCAGTTCTCTTGCAACCTCCTTCGCAGCCCAGAAACCAGTCACAAATGCGAGTGCCAATCCACCCGCATACCCCAAGTTACTGAACCCACCAGCGTCGACGCCTGCGACCTGGAGGCCGGGAATTCGGTTATTGTCTGCGGTCAGGGCGTGGCCCTCTTTGTCGATCTTTATTCCGCCATATGTGAAGGTGATACTGGGATATCGTCAGTATTGTGGTAGACACATTCTAGGATTGCCGTCCTTACGATGGCTGAACTTCGATTGCGTGGAATGGGCCTTCTCCTTCTACCAGCGCGGTGGGAGGTGCTCCTCCCCGCCCAACTGGGGCGTCGAGCCCTAGCCCAGGTTCATTTTGCCGGATCACCCTGTCGTACTCTTGAATCGTTCGCCTGGCGTTGACGCCATCAACTCCCCATCCTGCGAGTACTTGGACCAGTTCACCCAGTGTCGATGCAGTACCGACATTACATCCATGCTCGCGAGCCTTTTGGAGACGATCGATGTCACCGGCGTTGGGGAATAATGCACTTACGCAGTGCTGCAGGCGGGTTTTCTCACTGTAGGGATACGCACGTTAGTATAGACACTAACATTCGTCGGACCGTGGGAGACGAACTTGAATATCAGGAATCCTCGACGTTTCTCCTCCTTTGCGAGGTACTGGTTTATTATCTCATCGCCGATGGTTTCGTCGGTAAAACGACGCCCGGACTCGTTGAGTAGGAGACAGTATTTGCTCTCTGTGTGACATTAGATATCTTTAACAACCCGGAAAGAATGCGGCATTTCTGGTACGCACGGTATTGAGCCAATGGCAGATAGTCCTTTGGATCTACCTGGTCGGCGCGTAGGGGTGCAGCCATGAGATGCCCGTAGTAAGTATTCATGCCTCGACTTGTCGCGGCGCCAGCTCCAACAGCGAGATTCAACCCATCCCCCACCGAGCCTTTATTGGAACGCACAAATACATTGTCCGCGCCCTGCCCTAGGTATTCCGCGGTCAGACGAGACGAGCCTTGGAAACCGCCGGTGGCTAGGACGACTTTCTGGGCTGTGACCTGGAAGTATGACGCGGGTTGGCCATTGGACGCCTCGCGACGAACGATGGCACCCCTGATGCGAGAGCCCGAGACGCCAGGATGCTCCTGGAGAAGCTTGACTACCGCGGTGTTTGTCCAGATCTCCGAACCGGTCTGGCTGGACTCAATTCGGCGGCGATGGAGGTCGTGGAGGTGGGGGATCTTGATCGGGAATCCAATTCCTGTGGAACGTGTATTAGCACAGAGGTTTGCTAAGTGTCGAATTGGAATAGCTTGTACCGATTGTCATGATTCCATCAAAGCGAGGCGCTGTAGGTACCTGGTTCTCGCGCATCCATTGCACTGCTGATAGGTAGTCGTCTAACCAGGCGCGCTGCAGTTCTGGATCGCCATCGGGTACCCACGATCTCAGTTTCTCGTACGATTGGGGGCCCCAGCTGTAATTGTCAGTAAATAGGGAGAAAGCAATGGTTAATGTTACATACAACATGCCTGCAGAGTAGTTGGACGATCCGCCCACAGCATTCTGCTTCTCGACCACCAACACTTTAGCTCCAGATTGTGCTGCGAAGGAGGCACACGCCATGCCCGACATTCCTCCGCCGCATACTAGCACGTCGACATTGATTGATTCCATCGCGAGCTGAAACTAGGTTGACTTCAAGTGATGACAGTGGTAAAAATCCTGTTCAATCATGGAGTGGCCTTCGGCATAAATATACTGGGCGTGAGTAGCACCACCTAGCCGGTGACCAAATAAACTGGCCGGGTTTATGCCTCAGGCAGCAAAGTGAAGCGTCCCCGCATTTTTCACTGCATCTCCAGTCTATCTCTCACAAACCATCTCAACATGTCGACCCCGTCGTATCGTGATGAGCCCTCACATGGAAAGGCCCGCTCAGCAGTCGCAGCTGCATGCGAGGCCTGCCGGAAGCTCAAGGTATCCGTTTCCCCCTTCCACCGAGAATTGGACTAACAGCGATGCAGATGAAATGCACGCGAACTGGACCCCAAGGACACGAGAATTCCCCATCCGAACCATGCGATCGGTGTAAACGGACTAATCGCCCGTGCAAAATCCCCGAGTCACGGCCACTGGGCAGGCGGCGAGGGGCTCTGGGGCGGTATCGCGGGCTCGAGAAGGCGTACCGGAAGCTGCAGGCGGAGGCGAAAAAGGCAAACATTTCACACGGGCTTGAAGGAGTGTATGATTCTGTGTCGCTACCGGCAGACGAGAGCCTTGCTTTTGACTCTTTCTTGGCGAATGAGTCTGATACTCCGAGGTTCTCCCCGACTGGCGAAGCCCGGCCTGAAGTGAGACCTCCCGGGGCCGTAATTCAAGCGGATCACTGGGAAGACGCGGAGGTTCAAGTAGAGCCCGTCCAGGAACCGATGAGTAACCCATTGGCGCTTCTGGCCTTTGCGTCCGATGCGGCTCAGGCAACGGAAACGAGTCCAGCGTCAGTGAATGCCTTGTCTAGCCCAGCATCTAGAAGGCAATCGGATCGCCAAAGGGGAGAATCCGAGGGACACCGTCTTCTGCACCGACCTGGATACGTTTCGCTGGGTTTGCAGTTAGACCGAGCGAGTCTCGTCCAAGGCCTGGATACATTGCTAAATACTGCGGATGCTGGACACCAGGCCCTGGATTACTTTAAACGGACAGGTGTTCGTCAGCGCGACATCGGTCCAGACCTAGATCCAGTCGAACTGGGGCTTGTTACGATGGACGACGCTCATCACTTATTCCCGATGTAGGTATTCACCACTCCCTCCGAGTGAGGCTAACACGTTTAGATATTTTGCGCGATTACACCCTATCAACGGGATACTGGACCCAGTGCTGCATACGCCGGAATCCGTCCGTTGTCTTTCTTCGCTTCTGTTTACCTGGATCCTCGCGCTAACCGCCCAATTTGATCCTGCCTCAGCATCCATTGCAGAGCGTCTACGGCGGCACGGGGATAAACTGTCCAGATACGTACATACGTGCGGATACAAGTCGGTCGAGATTGTCCAGGGATATTATATTTCACTCCTATCCGCTACGCCGGCGAAAACCCTGACCGAGGAACGATCATGGCTGTACACAATGTATGCAATAGGCGTCGCAACGGATCTGGGAATGGACCAAGAAGGACCAACTGCTTGTTCTAGATCGTCTCAATCGCAGCGGGATCGGAACCTCCCGTCTCCATGCTCTCAGGCTGATCAGGTAGCCCGGCAATCTCTAGACGGAGAGTGGACAGACAGAAGTGTCTACGAAGAGCGAATGGTTCGCAACCGCGAACGAACCTGGCTGAGAATTCTCCTGTGGGAGAGGGCAAATAGTGCCGCACGAGGTCGACTGCAGAGCTTTCCAGAGACCAGCTTGACTCGGTCTATCGATGCCTGGTGGCTGCACCCACTGGCGGACATGACGGACAAATATACAAGCGCATTTATTATCCTACGCAAGGTGCTGGCGTCGCTACAGACGGAGCTAAAACATCAAGCACAATTTTCACAGTCCGATGCCCATTGGGTCCGAGACCTGGTTGATACTTCATTGTACGACTGGTGCAATACGTGGCTTTCCAAGCCGGCGGACATCGCCTCCGCTTCACCCCCTGAACAAGTCTCCATGACGTTTCTACACTATGTATACGAGCACGGACGTCTCTGGACCCTGTCACTAGCATTAAGCGACTCGATCTCCCGCGCGGAAAACCTGGACGCCATCCGACAAGACTGCTTCGAAAGCGCCGTCAACTGCTGTGAGACGGCCGTGCGAGACTTAACGACTGTAGGAGAGCCGCTGTACTGCATGCTGGCTCCGACATGGGCGATGATATCCTACGCTGCCGTTCTGACTCTCAAAATATTTCCTGCCCTATATGGACCCCGAGCAGGAAGTGATGTCGAACTGCTGGCTCTGTTAAGTCAGGTCGCCCTGCAGCTGCAGCGCGCCGGCACAACGCCTCCGCATCGATTCGGTATTGCGGCGCTCTTGGGCCAACATCTTATGATGATCCTCCGCGCCAGAGCCCTTGGTCTCGGAGGAGAGCTACCGCCACACACCCAGGATTATGCCGCCCGCCGCCGACCGTCTGAATGGCAGCCTGGGCCCGAGATGAGCCAGGGAAATCCGCTGGTCTCAAACTGGGACCCATTTTTGACGCCGGCAATATCCGACCAGACTGGTGTCGCTGGTGACGGGTTTGCGGACTTTTTCCGCGAGATATTTGGGCCCGGGTTTGGGGATTTGCTGTAAAATATAGCCTTTTTATTTTGAAGGGATATTTGTCTTATCTGGTGGGTGCAGCCGGTGCATTAAAATAGAGACCGGCCGGTGGCAACGCGGGGTCTGGCTAAACGCTTCCCCGGAAATATCTACTGTAAAATATGAGATGAGGCACATCGCTCTCTTCTACACGCCAGGGAGTTTTGCCAACATGTCAAAACAATCATTATTATCTACGGTTCCCAACGAGTTTGGTATCGCCACTCTCTCCCTCGGCAACTGGAGGGAGCACCGCCTACAACCACGTCTCGAAGCAGCCGCAAGGACCGGCTACAAATGGATCGACCTCTTCGACGAGTGCTGGGCCGCGTATCTCGAAGAACACAATCTTCCAGGCGACCAGCTATGGGAACCCACGGCTGCGAATTTACAAGTAGCCCGGAAACTCGGCGATCTAGTAAAATCCCTTGGCATGCGCATTGCCTGCACCCAGCCGCTGCGCAAGATCGAGGGCGTCAAGGATCCTGCAGAACGCCGCGAAACACTGGACCTCGTGGCGAAACGGTTCCCATTCATGCGTGCGTTCGACACCGATCTCGTGTTTATGTGCGCTAGCATTCGCACCGACTGCGGTGTAACCTCGGATTTGCAGACGGTCGCAGCCGATCTGGCTGAGCTTGGCGATATGGCGGCGGAGTATGCAAGGGCTGACAGGGGTCCGATGCTTAAAGTCGGCTACGAGGGTCTGTCATGGGCCGCGCGAAATACCTGGTCGTCGTCGTGGGAGGCAGTGCGGTTCGCGAATCGCCCTAACGTCGGACTGATAGTGGACGCGTTTAATGTGCTTGCGGTGGAATTCGCAAATCCGCATAATCCAGCAGGACATGGGCGCTTTTTTTCGACGCTTGAGGAATCGATCGACATTCTCACGGCGTCCCTTGCGGCCCTGGCTGCGACGGTTCCTGGGGATCGCATCTTCTTCTTCCAATGTGGTGATGCGGAGCTCGTGGAGCCTGCAGCTATTCGTCCTGCAGAGCCTGATACACCGGCCCTTCTGCCCTGGTCTCGAGGACATCGTTTATTTCCAATGGAACAGAGTCGTGGTGGGTATATGCCCGTGGAGCTGGTTGCCGCGGCGGTTCTGGCAACAGGATATAAGGGGCCGATTTCACTAGAAGTATTCAACCACTCCCTGAACCAGCCAGGGGATCACGTCCCAGATGACCATGCAGTTCGTGGTATGGTAGGTTTGCAGAAACTGACCGCGGCTGCAACGGCGTTGCCTGCTTTCTGGCGAGGTAGGGAAGAGGCTACAGAAGCAGCTGGTATGGTAGTCCGGCGGTTGCAACCTCGGACGTCTCAGTTATGATGTATTTAAAATAATATAAATATAACAATTACAAATTAGCCAACCGCTTCTGCTGCTTTGCAATCATATCCAGCAGAATCTCCTCACTCCCCCCACTCACCACCAGAACCCTCACATCGCGACTGATCTGCTCGACCCGCCACCCCTGTCCACCCCTCGAATACCCAAGCCCCCCAAACACCTGTTGCGTTTCCCTCGATACCTTCTCCAGATGATGCGCGGCCTGCACCTTCAGCATAGCTGCCAGCGGCGAGAACTCGATCCCGGGCATCCGCACAGACCGAAAGACTAGTTGCTCGATGTACGCCTGGGTCGGTTCCAGTCTGTTCGCCATCTTGGCGAACTTCTGCCGGATGACTTGGTTCTCGAAGAGCGGCTTTCCGAATGTCTTGCGTTTCAGGGCGTGGCGGTAGGCGTCTTCGTATGCGACCCGGGACAGTCGCAGCGCTGTTATTCCTACCCATAGGCGTTCGTGGGCGAATGCTATGATTGCTTAGTTGTAGCTTAACACTGGAATGTAGTGGACCATACTTGACATGATTATCTCGAAGCCCTGGTTTTCGTTTCCGAGCATGTTTTCTGCTGGGACGACGACTTCGTCTAGTTCCATGAAGGTGGACCCTGTTGACAGAATATTAGTTAGTTGGAATTTTAGTATAGAGAGGGCTATCTTACCACTAGAGCTAACACCCGAGTTCTCCATCTTGCGCCTCGAAATTCCCTTCGTTGTCAGAGGCACAATGAAAACCGAGATCCCCTTTGCAGTCGGCGGGCCCGTTCGAGCTGCTATCAGGCCAACGTCTGCCCACCGGCCTTGGGTAACCCATTTCTTCTCCCCGTTGATCACATAGGACTTTCCATCTGCAGACTTTGTCGCAGTGGTCGTGAGGCCCGCTACGTCGGACCCGACTAGCACTGATGGTTAGCGTGCAAGCGTTCTAGTAGAAAATGTGATGTGCAACATACTAGCTGGCTCGGTAACACACAGACAGTGTCTCTGCTGGCCTCGGAGCAAAGGGGCCAGATACTTCTGTTTCTGCTCCGGCGTTCCATATCGGTCGATGGGTGGTCCGCCGACGCTGGCACCGCCGTTGATGCCCCAAACCGTCCCGAGGCAGCCGCAGCGGGCCATCTCGTCAATGACCTGTTCATTTATTAGTGGGTGTACTGGGTAGTGGATATGGTGCTACATACAATGGCGTCGTGGAACTCGTCCCATTCTGAATATCTGTTAGCGTTATTGTTATATAACACAGCACCTGGCCGCTACGGTAATGACTTATTCTCACCATCCATGCTTATCCCAGCCGGAAGAGTAACCCCAGACAAATACTCCTTTGGAAGAGGAAATGCCGATGCGGCAAGGAAGCCCATAGAAGCATGTCTCTTGAATGCCTGGAATCTGTAAGTCCGTATACCAACATGTAGCTCAGTCGGGATCCTACTTCAATAGGGATTTCCGCAGCCTTCTCCCATTCCTCGACATTGGGTGCAATGTACCTGTCCACGTATTCGCGGACGAAGCGCTGCAGACGGTAATGGCTGGGCTTGTAGAATGGGTGGTCGTCCTGGCGGTGCCAGGCCGGATCGGCACTGGGGATTTCGGATGTGAGAGCAGAAGGCATGTTTATAAGGCTTGAGTAAACTTGAGTTTTAAAAAGATGATAACACGAGAATTAACCAGGCGAATACAATATAAATATCCAAAATCTGGGGAGCTCTGGCCGACCCCGGAGTGTTCGGAAAATTGAGACTGGGCCAAAATTCCGAAGCAGGACAACCTCGGGAGATGGCAATAAGAAACCATGGCATTAAATATTGGGCATTATATGCTGGGCATTAAATATGTTTTAATAAGTTTGATGTGCTAGTAAACCCTCTAGTATTATCAGACTCCCTTTATTAGCCTTTACACTTCATCATGGGCGAGCGACTACGTCAAATCCATCAACACCTGGAACCCAGTGATCCGGCCATAGACCCCAGTCGTATGGATGGCCAGGTAGTCATTATCACTGGAGGTGCTCAAGGTAAATTTGTATTGTCTGTAAAACGAAGATATGTTCGTTAACACTACTTCCAGGAATCGGACGGGCAGCCGCTATACTGTTAGGGCAGAGAGGGGCCAAGATCGCCATTAGTGATCTGGATAAAGAGAAAGCAGAGGACGTTGTAAGAGAGATTCGTGAATTCCAGGGCGAAGCAGAAAGCTTTCCTGGCAACGTTCTTGATGAGGATTTCCCACCCCGGCTGGTGGAGAGTGTGTTGAAGAGATGGGGGAAGATCAACTGCCTCATCAACAATGCTGGTATGTCTGAAACGTTGATCGCAGAAGTGTGCTGATTGCTGTCCAGGCTTCTGCCACGATAGTGCAATCCACAAGATGGACGAGGACAAGTTCGACATCATCATGAAAATCCACAACTACGTGCCCTTCCGGATGACACGAGCGCTCTCCGCGCACTGGATGGACCCGGCCAACAGGGAGATGCCAAAGACGGTGATCAATGTGTCCTCCACGTCTGGCCTGCATGGATCGATGGGCCAGATCAACTACGCAACGGCCAAGGCTGGAGTCGTGGGACTTACAAAAACCATTGCGTCTGAATGGGGACGGTGAGTCTATTTGATATACGGCCTACATGTTGATACTGATTTTTGTTTCAGATACAACGTCCGAGCTAATGCAGTGGCGTATGGGTGGATTGATACGCGGATTACGCGTCCACCAAGTGAGTCGGAGGCAATGTCGCTAGGAGGCCAGTCTATCAGGCTTGGAATCCCCGAAAATGCAAAGAAGTGGCGAGACGTTTCTGATATCCCACTGGGTCGCCCTGGGACGGCGGACGAGGCTGCGCGGGTGATGCTATTTCTAGCCAGTCCACTGTCTTCGTATGTAACTGGCACTTGCATTGAATGCACTGGGGGACGGTTTATGTAATTACAATTTGAAATCGAAATATTATGCCAATACGAATTGAGGGACGTGCTCCCCCACACCGGTGTATTTTCACTACATTTATAGACCGGACCCCCGCAATGTGGAGATGGGCCCCCTCTTCTCACTGAATTCATGGACCCGTACATCATACTGACCCGTGTGAACTTCATTATGGAACAATCTGTTGAGGAGAGCCTTGTCTGCCCCTTGGAGGTAACCGGTTACTCTCCTAATATTCGAGAGCACGTTGATAGAGCCCTGCGGACAGCAGACGGAAAGCGGATGAAGTATATCGGGCGAGCATGGTATTCCTCTGATATTATTGAAAGTGTATTATTCTGTTAATACTGATGACTGCCCAGCCAGGACTGCAAGCGCCGGAAGGTGAAGGTTTGTTCTACCGTACTCCTTTCGTCTTCGTAGTGGGTTGTTCTAACAGTGCGCAGTGCTCTGGGGAGAAGGTCTGTCTCAATTGCCGAGTCAGAGGCCAGGACTGTATATACATGCCTCAGAGTCGACGAGGCAGGAAGCAGGGTACGAAAAGGAGCCATTCCGATGGGAGGTACGTTGTTTAGTTACACGTCGTGCTGGCGGTTGCTGATATTCACCCAGTGACGCTCGAGGAAACACGAAAGGAATGCAAATACAGGAATCTAGTCCAGTGCAACAATCAAACAGTCCTGATAGTGATGGAGTTAGCCTTCTCTTCCGGTATGATTCCCATTCTAGGCCCTTGAATGAGACTGACGGCAATACAGCAAGCCCGACTTCAGTGGCGTCAACAGTAACCATTCATCTCCAGACTGGGATGACGACGAGACCGACGCGTACGACGTCCAGGATCACCGGCCCCAAAGTGTTTCACTCTCGTCCCAGCTTCTATGCCTCCGCGAGCTCGTACATCCAAAAGCAAGTGAAGCCAGAAGCCCGCCGTTCACACGAAACACCGTCCAGGATCGGATATTCCCCGTGGAACTTCCTCCTCCTTCAAGACTGATTTTCCTACTGGATGTATATTTTTGCGACCTAGATTCGTTCTTTCCATTCATCGAACGCGACGGGACGCAGGCAAAGATTCATACCACGCTGCAACGGCTGGGGCACACGAACAGTCAACCCATCATTGATGTGAAATTCGCAGACTGTTCCATCATCGCCCTACTTTGTAACATACTTGCTGTTGCCGAATGTTTCTGCGTATCAGGGTGTCCCCTTCATGAAGTCCGCCGTGGATGGTCCTTGTTCCTTCGCGGTCGCAAGCTAATCCAACACTGCTCGTCGCTGAAGCACATCGACATCTACCTCATTCAGTATCACGCCCTCAGCTCGGAGTATCTCATGCAATCGGAACTACTCTACGATGCATCACAGGCTATCTCCACTGCGGCACAACTCGCCATACGCGCACGGCTTAACGAGGAAAGGGTATGGGATATTCTACCCGAACACGAAATCCGCAATCGCAAGAGACTATGGTGGACGATATATTTCCTCGATCGGAAGATATCCCAAAGAACAGGCAGCCCGTATCTCGTTCGCGATATTGAAGTGGCGGTGTCAGACTTTTCTCAGCCCCCGACTACGGGGACTGACCGCTATATGCAGGTCTTGGTGGACTTGGGCAAACTGTGGTCCCTGATATGGGATACATTCTTTGCTGCTACTGCGCCTAAGCCTATAGACTCGAGAGAGGTAGAGGTCATGGACACCCGCATCTTGGTGGTCCAGCGAGATCTGTCGAGCGAGCTGGTATGGGAAACAGAGCTACTCGAAGAGTACTTGGCGGAGCCAGAGCCAGAGCCTTTTGTCCGTCGTCGATTGGCGGTCTACATTGTATGCCTCTCTCAGACTGACAGTAGATGTAGCTAATAGTAGCAGAGACTGAACCTGTTACGATTGACTATTCGACAGAACCCGATCCAGAAACGCAAGGACAGCATATGTAACGGTCTCTGTATCTCGCTTGCCAGTGAGACCGTGGATGCCATTGCGGCATTTACAGAATCATGCCCCAGTATTGTCCCCTGTGGCTTTTTCTTTAGCACGGCCTTGCTGGAATGTATTTATCACCTCATCCTTGCCATGCGTGGAACGGCTACCCAAGAACAACGCGAGGACAGCGTCCGATCCTTCCAGCTTGCCTACCAGCTACTCGAGCAATTCTCGCAGGGGCTGGACACGGCGAAAAGAGCACTGCGGGCACTGAACTCGGTGGTGTGTATTGCGTCTGTATCGGACTGCTCTGCTGTAGCTGGCGCGCCAGACCCGGCACCTGAACTAGAGTTCGATGGCACAACAGACTGGGGATTCCAGACTACCGCGGCCATAGATTTCTTTGATCCCCTATCTTGGCAGATTGATGATATTCCGTTGGACGTAGTTGCTTTGGTGTCTTCAATGGGCAATCAAGGTGAGGATGGCGCTGTTGCAGATGTCCTGTCTCATGGTTCATTGGACCCTAATCTATCTGGAATATGACCAACGATGCATGAGACCCCTAGAAGATAGGTTCATTAAAAGTACATAGTTCTATGCTCGATGATTAAATGGGTACGCTTCTCCTTTTACCAGAACGTAAATCGCGTTGTTCTATAGACGTGTCCAATCCGTTTGCTTTAGATATAAATTTAGATACGTGTCTTCCTAGCAGGTACCCCGCCAACCCTGAGATGCTGATCCGGGGGTGGATATACTCCGGTGCCCAAATCAACTGCCCGTATGGGGTCAACCCCAAAGCGCTTTCTTGGCTATTGTATATAGGGTTCTCATTTTCTCTTCCGTCAAGATGCTCAAGATATCCAACATGACTCTTCTTTCTCTCGTCGAGGACCGGCCGACACCACCGCAAGTGTACAACTGGCGCGTGTATCTGCTCGCAACCGTTGCCTCCTTTGCCTCGTGCATGATTGGCTATGACAGCGCTTTCATCGGTCAAACAGTTGAATTGAATTCTTTCCGCGATGAGTTCCGTTTTGGGGAATGGCCTGAAGATAAACAAAACCTCGTCAAGGCCAACATTGTCTCCCTCTACCAAGTCGGGGCTTTCTTCGGCGCCCTGTTCGCCTACCCCATTGGCTTCTACTGCGGTCGGAAATGGGGTCTCTTCATCACTGCACTTATCTTTACTCTAGGCTCTGGCTTGATGCTTGGGGCAAATGGGAGCCGCGGGCTGGGGATAATGTACGTCGGGCGCGTGCTGGCCGGTGTGGGCGTGGGATCTGGCTCGAATTTAACCCCGATTTATATCTCAGAGTTATCGCCACCCGCCATTCGGGGTCGACTGGTCGGTATCTATGAGCTGGGGTGGCAGATTGGTGGATTGGTCGGTTTCTGGATTAATGTATGCGTACGCACCTTCATCGATGAACAGGACTGACATGTTTGCAGTTCGGCGTGTCGGAAACGCTCCCGGAAAGCAAAAAGCAGTGGATCATTCCCTTTGCAGTCCAGCTCATCCCCTCTGGCCTGCTCCTGATGGGTGTTTTGTTTATAAGGGAATCCCCCCGCTGGTTATTCGGCCGCGGGCGCCGCCAGGAAGCCATTGCGAACTTGTGCTGGATCCGCCAGCTCCCCGAGACCGAAATCTATATCACCGAGGAGATTATTGCCATCGACCAGGCTCTGGAGGAACAGAACGCAAAGATTGGTACAGGGTTCTGGAAGCCTTTCCAGGCGGCAGCCACCAAGCCCAAGGTGATGTGGCGATTGTTCTTGGGTTTTATACTGTTTTTCTGGCAGAACTGCTCTGGGATAAACGCCATTAACTACTACAGTCCTACTGTCTTCAGAAGCCTTGGGATTACCGGTTCGCTGAACCAAATGATGTCGGGCATTTTCGGTGTCGTCAAGACTGTTGTTACTTTCCTGTGGCTTCTCGTCCTCATTGATCATGTAGGCCGCCGCAAGCTGCTGATTGCAGGTGGCATTGGTGGTTCCGTCTGCATGTGGATTATCGGCGCCTACAGCAAGATCAGAGACCCCGAGAACAGCCCCAACACCGGGTTGGACAGTGCCGGTATCATGGCCATTGTTTTCTTCTACATATACACGGCCACCTTCTCTCCGACGTGGAATGGCACACCCTGGGTGTTGAATTCGGAAATGTTTGATCCCAACATGCGCTCGCTGGCGCAGAGTGTCGCGTCGTCTAGTAACTGGTTGTGGAACTTCCTCATCTCGCGCTTCACGCCACAGATGTTTGCGGAAATGCAGTACGGAGTTTACTTCTTCTTTGCGAGCCTGATGCTGTTCTCTATTGTCTTTGTGTTTTTCCTCATCCCGGAGACAAAGGGGGTGCCGTTGGAATTGATGGATCGGTTGTTTGAGATAAAACCCACATGGCATGCCCATGGTCAGATTATGGAGCAGCTGCGCGAGGAGGAAGTCCAGCTTCGTCGTGAGATTCAGAACTCGGATCTTTACGATGCTAAAGCGAAGGAGGAGTTTCTTGAAGATGCATAGTGCCGTGGATTGGCGAGGTGGCAGATAGAAACCTCCCGATCTACTGTGTCTAGGAGTTTCCATATACTTGAATTTTGCTGATGCTTTTGTGGGATAATTATGAAATATAGCAATAATAATGAGGTGGAGGAAGAGGATAAGGATACTAAAATAAGTAATATACCTCTCATTTCTATATAAGAGGCCTTCCAGGCAATTAAAAAGCTTTAATTATATAAGGAACAGCAGACAAGGAGAGATCAGGCCTTTTTACATGTACTTCACTACTATAAAAAGGTTATAACTGGCCGAAAATTTAGTATATAAGTCCAGGGCGATATCAGAACCTCTTTTCAGTAGATTTAATACTATTTCTACTGTTTAATTACTTTAATTAGTGTTTGTAGAGGAATTTGAAGTTATTTAAGTGCTTAAATCAACTGATATATATATTTCCTGGCTGTAGCGAGATTCTGGATATAGCGAGATGACGCGTCATTTTTATTCAATTCGTTGTAGCCAGGTTTTACTGTACCTCGTGTAAAGACGGTGGGGTCTGTGGGGGTTCGGAAAATGAGCTTCTATACGCTCCGACCAATTGTCAATTGCGGCGATGGCTCCATAAATGGGGCTGATACCCCCGGAACTGCGAACTACTGAGGTTTCCAGAGCAATCTATCGCCATTAATAGCATTCTGTGTGAATATACCTATTCTCAGCACTGCCTGTTCAGACCATGGCTTTACTTCAGCTCCCACAGCCGTGGAAGAGAAATACAGGGCTGTAAAGTGACTCAGCTAATGGATATATACAATCTTCTACAGGCATTCCATGTTGTACAGAGATCGTCAAATTGTTATTTCAAGCTACTTCCTAGTGAGCCACAAGTCCGAAGAAAGAACAATGTTGAGTCTATGTACAAAGAGTCTTCTCCCATTCCATCGACACTGTATAACCGGCGTAAATGAACCTTTACCCAGAGGTGACGTGAAGCGGGCCGTTGCCGTCATCAACAGGGCAGCCATCGCCGCTGTCGTCGGAGTCGAACTCAACGACACATGTGGAGTCCTCGCCAATGGCAATACCCACGAAATTGGTGTTGGTCACGCCTTCGCCGGTGCCGAGGCTGTTTCCATCGCCATCCTTGACTTCGCAGGTGGAAGGGTGGCCAGCAAAGTCAGACTTGCACTTGAAGGTGCGAGGGGTGCTCCAGCAGTCACCCTCGATTGTGAACTCGCGGCCATCGCCGGTGTTGTAGCAGGGGGAGCGGTCGGCGGGAGTACCGTCGTTGTAAATAGCGTCGCCGTTGTCGTTGATGATGGCGAAGCTGGCGTAGTTGCCGTTGTCGCCGCCAATGGCACCAAAGTCACCAGCAGAGAAGACAACCTTGAGGTGCTCGGCAGAGACGGTGGCCGAGGTGGCGGCCAGGAGGAAGAGGACAGTTTTGAGGGTAGCAGACATGATTGCGTTGAGTGTTTTTATTTTTGTTGAGATTGTAGATGTTGTTTCTACTCGGCTTGGTGCTGGTCTCGAGCAGTCTTTTATACTTCGTCGAACTGGCCCCTGCGTCCTCTCTTTCACGCCAGTGCCACGGAGACACACCGCATAATCCCGGTGACAGGATACAGGGGAGAACGGATCACACTAAGAAGTAGCTAGGGCTGAGCTGAAGGCAGCACTCCAACTTCCAGGTTTGTTAGGTTACATCGATCCACTTTACCAGGATGCAGATCTCACGTCGTTGCTTTATCAAGGGCCAAAGAATGGAGCAAACAGCCTAGGACCTGTAGAGGCCCCTTTTTACTGACTCACGATGGACCAAAATGCAGATCCAAAGGCTGAAGTTGGAATATCCTTAGTGTTGTTCGGCTTTTCTGTACGTCGTGGATTGTGGACAGAACGGTCAACCTCAGTTCCAGTTCTCCGATATATAGTGGCCGGCAACGATATCCATATAATGCAGATTTTGGAGGCTTTGCCCCTCATAGTCCAGTTTCTTGATCTTTTTTTATGTCCCCAATGTCGCTACATTCTTACGCGTATCCGGGATGGGCTCACAGGCTAACTACTACAAATACGCTGGGAGTAAGCAAGCCCGACCCAGTGGTACCCACACCGTATACCAGGTAAGGTGACATTTATTCCCTGAGAAGTCATTTAGTCCAGGATATGTCTCATTATAACCGAGAGTTCCGGTTAGATAACTCAGTGTGGTCTGGTAATCACGCCAACGATTTGGATGAAGATGATGAACCAGATGTCAACCGGCTAACAAGCCCAAGGCCCTCTAAGCCTGACTAATTTTGTATCCGTTGAGTCGATAGTAACAAAAGTATCCTGCTCGCGACAGTCGAATCTGAACCACCTTATAGGCTCGGCGCGGAGCCTAGGTAGGAGATTCTGGCTGATCGACCTTTTCGTAAGTAGTTGCTGCGCCTCGTACTATTACTACGGAATTTCCGAAGGAATCAAGGTATAATCAGCAATTTTTCAGGAATTTGACGATCTAACGGACCCGCAGCATAGGGTACCTAGGACGAGACACTCTCTTACAACCTGTCCTTACCGACCTGCCGCGTTGGTTGGGGTATCACACATAAGCGTAAAATAACCAGTGTTAACCCAGGTATATCACAACCCAGACTTTGCCACAAGGTGCAATAGCTTTCCAGTTTGTGTTCTAATATTTCTATATTATTTCTAGTACTTTTAGCATAAGTACTACTAAATACTAGTAAAGTGATTAATGTATTGTCTGAATCAAATAGGGCTGTAGTGCCAATGATCAAGATTTTAAAAGGTCATTCCAAAGATCAGGAGTTAAGGACGGCTAAACTCACTACAGAGCCTTCACCATTAAGGGCAAACTGCTACCCTTATCCCAGACTCCTTGCGGCACAGTCGGTATTTCAGTTTCGCGCTGATACCCGAGCCCTTGGATTGATGTTCCAGGCAACGCTCTGCAATTGAGCCCATAACCAAGGAGTGCCATGCCCCTTCACGCCATGGATTTTGAAGTAGAATTCGGACGGACTTTCGACGGAGTCCAATATCTGGAGCGTTCTGAGCAACGTAGAAAACAGGTTGTATAAAACTAAGCCGAAATGAGAAGAGGGGAACCAGGCCAGTCGGTGCAAGCGATTCTTCACCTGCACAGACATCATAACGCATTGGCGTGTAGCCTTTTCTGGTGACTTCTTCAACGAGATCGACTATCTCAGAGCAGGTCTTCATTTTCGCCTTCAGTGAATCTGATTTTTCCGAAGAATCAACACAGTATGAACCCCATGCTGGTTGCACTTTGCGGATCGCATCAAGTTCTAATATCGCCAGAAGGTAATTGGCTCGGAGAAGAGAACAGCGGTAGATACAGGACTTAGCATCGGTGGCGGAGAGTCTGATAAATGCCGAAATCCAAGCTTCCAGCCGACATTGAATTCCTTCCAGGTTCGCTTCAAATAAATTGCTTGGATCTAGGATTTGTATGCTTGCTGCCCCGGGTGCCGATGCCACAAAATGGCGCAATGTCATCAAATCATTCTTGATATTGATAAGGTCGTAGGAAAGAGTGATCAAATCGGACGGCATTGGCAATGGCATCTGGCTCGCGGTGATCTTTGGAAGCTGCAGCGTTGTGTGTGAATGAGACCGGTATAGATTGATCCACGTGGATGCGACCATATCGATCAATGTCAGCAGTTTGTGGAAATTCTGAGCTTGCGGACCATTCCTTGCCCTGGAGGCTAGCTTAATTGCGCTCTGGAGATGTAGCAACAAGCCTTCTGCGTTCCCCTGCATGAATTCGAACATAACCAAAAGAACGCACATTGCGGGTAAATTCTCGAGCGACTGACGGCTGCTCTCTTGACTGTCTTGGAGCTGCGACCGAAAACAAGCAACTGCTTTTCCATACTGCCCCAAGGCTTCCCGGTAAAGCTCATCTGTCTGCGAGTTCGCATTTGCTAACAACTGGTTTTCTTGGTATCTTTTGCTCATAATCCCATTGGCAATAATTGCATGACGAATGGCGCGATCATGGTGACTGAGCTGAAGAAGCGGTGGAGTCCAGCCAAGATTCTCAAGAGCAGCAGCCAGCTGCAGTGTCGTTGCTATTTCGAAAAACCGGAATCCTTGCGCCTCTTGCTCATTGTCAAAGTGGTTCAGAGGGACCGGATGGAGACGCTGGGAGACATGCCTCATGTGTTGTGAATTACCCCCGAAACTTTTCCCTGTCGAAGGGTCGAAATAACCGTCGCAGACGTATCCTGACTTGCGACACAAGTCACATATCGGCCGTGTTTCATCGCAGCGCTTGTGTCGACGCCTATCATCGGGATGAGCTCCACGTCAGCTCATTGGGGAGAAAATCATACTTGCAAGTGCCGCAGCCCGTGCGATTCTTCGGAGCGCTGGTTCGACGTTTCTTTCCCACCTCTATGGGACTAGGCATCGTTCACGGATTGTTTAGCGCAAACGCAATGCACTTCTATGGATGGTTTGATGAAATTTACGCTGCAGCGAATAAAGTTGATCTATGAAAGCTACCGTGGTAGAAAGAAGCGCGCGATGGCTCTAAATAAGCTTCTGGAGTGCCGGAAAACTCCACCCGTAAGCCACAATCGCCCATCAACATAATCCTGAGGCTGACCACGTAATTGGCCTCGCGAACTAGCTGTAGTGGACCCGCTCTGTACGCTGTAGCCAATTGTGGGCATTTTCAGGCGAGCTGAAGCTTGGGGCCGAAAATTCATCCAATCGGTTGGTACGATTTTAATGAAGCAGTTATTGCACTTAATTCGATATCAGCTCGCCCCATTTCTGAAATATCATCACTATTGATAAAGTGTCCACAGGCCTACTGTAGAAAACGAGTGGAGAAGCTTTACGCTTCCGCCACACAAATTTTGTAGGAAGACAGCTCCAAGGTTTTGAAATAGAAGATGCATAATCAGTGCCAACTCGTTTCTATATGCGGCAGATCCTGGGGGATCGCGGGTTCCTAAGGATGTCCATCCTATCAGTTTCTGGAAATTACTCTCAAACACGGGAAATTGCGCGCAAGCTACCAATCTCCGTACTCCCAGGTGGGCGTCGGGAAGGTATATAAGGACCTATGGTGGTATTTCAAACACGCAATTCAAGTTCGAACATTTGAAGGTTTTTCCAAGGTTCAGCATCATGAGAGCTCAATACTGGGCCCTGTTGGCCCTTACTGGATATAGCCTCGCAGACACAATCGTCACCCGCAATACTGCTGTAAGTAACTGTCCACCTTTGGGTGCTGTTCTTCCGCCGCCCAAAGAGCCTTCGAAGAATGAAGCAGTCAAGGAAGCTCTGTCTCGGATCCAGGAGCTTCAAGAAGAAGTAGAATTCCTGCTCGGGAACGCCACAGGTGTTGCAGTGTCAGTTTCGTCAGCTTACGAGCATGATATTCTCGGCAGCCTAGCATACACCCCGGCTGTTTACAACACATCTGGCACACATGCAGTTGATGATGACACCGTCTTTAGAATCGCAAGTGTCAGTAAAGTGTTCACAGCGATGAGCTTGCTTCTTCTCGGTGACAATATCAGCTTCTCTGATCCTATTACCAAATACGTACCAGAGTTGAATGAGCTCAAAAGGCAGCAAAGCATGCAGAATGATATCACAATAATGGACTGGGATCACATAACAATCGATTCCATGGCCAGTCATCTTGCAGGCGTGGGCAATAACTGTGAGTATGGCCCTTGGTATTCAATGCGAGCGATCACTTGACGATGCTAACGTAAACTTGAGTGGGAAATGATCTGGCTAATCAGCCTGCATTTAATCCCACGAAATACGGCCTTCCAGAACTGCCTCCTGATGGTCATAGTGAATGCGGTGCTCTGGCGTCGTCGAGACCATGTACCTGGAAAGGTAATCTCCGTCACGGGTAGCTCTTATGTTATGCAACAAAATTAACTTGATATCGCTTAGACTTTTGGACAAAGTTTGGTAGGAAGGAAGCAACATGCGGACCTTATACCACCCCAGCATATAGCGACGTGGCATATGATATCCTAGGACTCGTTATCGAGCGAGTCTCAGGCGAGTCCTATGGAGATTTTGTGCAGAACCATATTTTCACACCTCTCAACATGACCAACACCTATGCTTCCAAGCCCAAAGACGATAGCGTTGGGTTTATCTCACGCGAATCAAATTTCTGGAGTACTTCAATGGGATTTCAACAAGCGTAAGTACTATACACTCCCTGTTGATATCCACTCAGCGATACTCATTGACCTTCTCAGGGACGGAGGCCTCTATTCATCAGCAAACGATCTAGCAAAATTTGGTCAAGCTATTCTGAGCTATAAGCTGGTGGACAAGATTAGGACTAAAGCCTGGTTGAAGCCGCGTACCCATACTTCGTCTCTGGGACTCTCAGTCGGGGCGCCATGGGAGATCTGCCGTGCGAATAACCTGACTGTAGACGGGCGCATTATCGATGTCTATACTAGAATCGGTGATATCCCTGACTACAATGCGCTCTTTGCAGTCATTCCCGACTATGGTCTCTCCATGTCAGTCCTATCGGCAGGCCCAGAGTCTAGCCTAGATAACCAGCTGTACATAGCCACCCAGGTCTTACAGCCCCTAGTGAGAAGCTTGGAAGCGGCTGGCAAGGCAGAGGCAAAGCTTAATTATGCAGGCACATATGAAAACCGTCAGACGAACAGCAGCATTGAGTTACGCATCGACGATCAATCCGGGCTTCATGTGAAGAACTGGATCATGAACGGGCATGATGTTCTCGAAGACTATGCCAGTATCTCCTCGTTCGGGGCATCAAGCAGCATTTCATCGTACTTGTCAGTGCGCCTGTTTCCGACTGGTCTCGAATCAAGAAATTACTCGGCCTGGCGTGCTGTGTATAGCACTTTGGACCCGTCGGTAGTCCAGGCACAGGAGAATGCAGTATTCTTTCTGCAGTCGGGGTGCCGAAGCTGGGAAACCATAGATAACCTGGTGTACGGGTATAACGCATTTGATGATTTCGTGTTTGGATTTAATGGGACCGGTGATTCTGCGATCAGTATCAGGCCACAAGCTTTTCGGCAAACGCTCACACGAGTCTAAGAAGAAAAACATTGTTCACGAGTTCGTTAGGTACTCCTTGCACTACACATAGAGCGGCTTGAGGGAGTGTTTCATCCGCTGTGGTACAGGGGCCCGGGCGTTGCCTAATTTACCTACACTGCCTGGGAATGCGAACCCAAAGTGCCAGGAAAGAAATCAAGGACTATAGGACAATAAAAAGAAATGGACAGAAGTAGGAAAAGCTCTTTCTATTTATGTCAGAGATGAAAGAATAATGATTGCAGCCTGTTTTACGTAGCGCTCTGTAGCTCACCCCGGTGGGTGACATTCTCACCGAATTCTCTCTGTTGCTAAGGACCTCGTTTTCGATGACAGCTATTAAACATAGTATTGCTGACATGGAGAAATCACACGAGTTCGCTGCGAAATTAAGACCGAAAAGGTAGAACAGAAAACTAGCCATGGTTTAACCCACAATCCACGTCCGCTTCTCTGCATCATCCCAGGTGCCTCTGATCGTGTAGCCGAACAAGTTTGGATCGCGCATATCCAGAATTTGCGCATGTATATACCCCGATGAAACATACCGTGCGTGGTAGGCACCGTCTTCAATGGCCTGCAACGACACCACTGCACAGTGGCTGATAACATCCAGTTCGAGCTCCTTCATGACAATCCCATATGTCACCCCCCCACCGAGATCTAGCGGGGTTGCTGTCTCCAAGTGAAAGACCTTCGTGCCTGTTGCGGGCTGTGTCCGATCAAATTGAGAGTCATCAATCCACCTCTCCAAGTCCTCTCGCTTCTGGTCTTGTTCAGAGTCGAAGAATTTGTTCATATCCCAGAACCTGCAAGACGGATAGACCAGCGAAGCATACAGCGAGACCTCAAGCCCCCGAGGCGTGATTTTCCCACCAGGATCCTTGAGCGGAGAAAAGTCGCCAGTAAATCGACAGACTCGCATTGCCCAGCCCATTCCCTCGTCTTCAAACCGGGGCCCCTCAAGAAACAACACGTCTTGGGGGAACCGTTCCAGCATGCCATACAGTGTGCGCATGCGCTTTTCGGGTTCCTTTACCTTGAGTATTTTGCGAAGATCCAGGTCGAGAACACTGGCTAAGACGGTCGCTCGATCACGGTCCTTGCTGGATGCTCGTGCGGCTACGTTGAACCAGGTCCCAGCAATTACTTGATCTGGGTTACTCCCGTAGAGCATGCGGCCGACGCCAGACTTAAGGCGCTGTGCCTGTTCAAAGTATATGTACCAGGCCCCCGCAGCCAGCGTAGCCATTCCTTGTTGAAGAACTGGGAGTTCCCCTTTGTCGGCCTTTGTCACTAGCTCCTCGTTGATTGAACTGACGTTGACTGGCTTATCTGCCAAAAGCACGTATAGTCTCTCCTCAGAAGCAAGCGCTTCCTGAAGCGTCCATAGCCGGCGAATCCAGCCTGAGCAGTACAAAACTCTTAGACATATCTCCAGTTTAGTGCATGAGCGGGAGTCGATCGTCATCATGCTTGAGTCGATTATCATTGTCCGATAAGCTGGGATTGGTCAGGTTAGGGGTAAAATGAACGACTGGGCAGCTCGGACTGACCACCAATATAAACATCGCGAATGCGTTGGATTGCCAAGTTGCGAACATCATCTTGATGGGGAATACACAATGTATCAATCCAAACGAGGACAGAATCGTCTCCACGCCGGGTGGCAGTCGCTGCAAAATGCGCAATTCGAGAGGCACCACTATGGAGTACTCCAAATGTCTTCTCTTTGTAATGAGGAATATATTCCTTCTTGCGAAGAAGGGGCCTCGTATGGTCATATAGAAATTCCAGCTGGCAGTGCGGGAGGGAATTAGCATGGGGATTTCCTAGGCCATCAGCCCATACATGGGAGACAGCCACGTATGGCTGGCTGCTGTGGTTTTTGACCACCTTGACGTCAAACTTCCTCTTCCCGAACTCATCCTCTCCACGGGGTGTTATCCTCACAACCGGGATATTTCCGTTTTCAAGGATTGCATGTAACTGTTCAATATCTGAACTGACATGCGAACAGTTACAATCCTCCTGGACGTGACGAGTGACATAGGTGCTCTCATCTATATTATCCGCCACGCATTCCGTCTTCTGACAAGAGACATGCGTTCGCTTGTACCAGCTGGGCTTGGAGCGAGCCAATTGCATTAGATACACCTGGGCGTCCAACTGCATACCGGCCTTACTACATCTCACTACATCCACCGGACACCATCCATCTTGGATTAGCTTTTCCTCTTCCTTTAGATTCATAAACAAGTACCCCGAATTGCGGGGAGTGGGCTGCTCGCCAGCACGCTTGACGGCAACGTTCCAGAGGGCCAGGGCAAGCAGCCGAATAGCCATAAACATGTCCTCGCCCATCCAGAGGTGATATTTTGGAAGGCATAAGAGGACTTTGGGGATTACCCACAGGCATCGAGCCCCGCAGCCATTATTCTCCCACTCGTCGACATTGCCAACATATTTATCCAGCCGTCGAGTCGTGATGTACCGTTTCTCGCCCTCTTCGTCCTCGCGGAGAAGAATAAAGTCAGACTGGTCCAGCTGATCACCAAAGACATGGTGCAGCACGCCAAAGTAGAGCCAGCAATGCATTCGCGATCGATATCCCGGCGGAACAGTGTCGGAGTGAAACGTGATGCCGTTGGATTCGTCCAGCCACCCACTGCGGTAAGGGTAGGTTTCCCAGTCGCCTCCATCGTATAGCGGGCCATCATATTCGAACCGGAGGGGCTTTTGAGGCTCGTCAGGGAAAAACAAATGATCTGCCATGGCGACAGTCGATCTATTGAGGTGTGCAAAGAGTTGGCTTTGGCAATCGGATTTGACCCCGCCTCAGCTGAACGTTTGCTTGTGGGCTAGGTCGAGTACGAGGCTGAAGTGTGCGAAGCACTAGCGTCTTTTCTATTGACGCACTAGATAGGCTAGCACGACGCCAGAATTTGGGAATCGGATAAACCTGGCGATTTTAGCCTGGTGCTGCTGATTGGTTCGTAGTTGAGAATCTGGTGGTGCATACCCGTGGTCACAAATAGCGTACTCCCCCGGCGTCTTATTATCGGGCCAGGCCGAGCCATTCGATTCAGCCCTCGAAGTCTGTGGATGATCACGCAGAAATATTAATATGTCATGCATATCTTGTTATGCGTTGAGCTCTTATTTGTCTTGCTTTACGTGTTCTCTCACCTTGTCAAGTTACTGGAGGGTCTCGTCTTATGTGCCAGAAGCACGGGAAGCGACACTCTCCCGAGATAGGTCCCGCATAGGACAGCGGTTACAGCGAAGACAATACTGCTATTTGAAGCAAGCTCTTCCCAAGTCCACCAGTGGCTTCTTATGCTGATTGTTGTAAGAGAACTTCACCCCTGATCTCAACATATATATGTCCGAATAGGGTTAGAAAATGTATATCTACAAATGCAAGTGTTGGAGACTTCTAATCATGAATGATACTAAAACAAGCCAGTCGGCATAACGGAGCACATCCACGCACCACCATGGCTGATAGCACAAATCCTTCCAGGACCACTACGCCAGACCCCCAGGCCCAGGTTTTCCCCATGTATAGCATGGTAAGTTCCGATGAGGAAATTGGACTGCAGGCCTTCTCGTTCCCGCATGAAGACATCGTATTTGATCTGCCGTATTTGGCGTTGCACGATGTATTCCACTTGACCTGGGACAATGGAAGCATCACGGAGATGTCCAAGTTTGGCCTCCCATTCTTCCGGGGTTAATTCGTCCCCGAATAAGATCCCCGCTCCCTTAGCACTCCGGATGGGCTTGAGGACGAATCCATCCTTGTATGTGGGAATTGCCCGACATTGTTTGGCGAAAGCGTCGAGTTCCGGTGATCCGGCTAGCATGGTGGGTGTGATGCCCTGGCGAAGAACCTCTGCCTGTGTGGCCGTCAAGACGGAGTGTTTGTGGACTAAATCATCGAGCTCTTGGTGGATGATTCCGAGAAGTCGTTTATCATGGACGAAAAATATAGTTCGCATATCATTGAAACAGCGGACTGCCAAAGCACGCATTATCTCCGGTGACAATCCTCGGAGTTCGTGCTGGTACAGTTCTAATCCAACCTGGTGGATTTCCTCGAGTGTCTCGCCGTTGTAGACGAACCACTCTGTGTTATTATTGCCTGGGATTTTGGCAGTACAGCACAATCTATGTCCGAGCTTGGCCTTTTCGTCGGGAATCAATCTCAGGTCTTCTGGGCGAATGAATGCGAGACGAACGCCTTTGAGGTGTTCCGCATAGTGCGCGAACATGGGTATATCGATTCCGGCTTCTTGGCTTTTCAAAAGGTGCAAGGGTCTCGTTGGATCGAATAGAGTAAACAGGCCGTTTAAAAGCTACAGAATTAGCACGTTTAACTAGCACGCTATGATAAATATTGAATCTCACATGGCTTGGATCAGTGGCGCCAGCAAATCCCTTCTCCTCCGCCCCCAGATCGGACAGTGCCTGTTGCCCATGCGCCGCGTGCAAGAGGCCATTGCAACAGAACCGGGCATTGATCTCACAGACACGGAATTGTTCAACGGTCAATGATGGGTTCATGGGGTCCGTCACTTTCTCCACGAGAAAGTCCGGTCGCCAGGATCCTCGGCGTTCACGATACGGTGGAAGGGTATCTGAATCCAAAGTGTCCATCCACTATATTAAATCACGTCCATTAACATGTGCTCAACAAAATACCACGGGTGAAGGATAATATTAACCTGCAAAAGCGCTTCTTCCTGCGGCTCTAGCGGCATCCGCTGAGGGAATTTGGCACCACGATCGGTCCACCACCGCTCGATGATATGGGTGACGGCCAGCACCAGGGCGTCATGGATGGCCTGAACACTGGCGTTATGCCGTTCAGTTACAATCATCGGATGAGGGGAGAAGCTGAGGTGTGAATCCTTGGGCCATGCGCCGCGAGGGCAGGAGATTTCGAGACTCGATTCCGCCAGGAGCTTTTCCTGTCTCCGGACATGAGCATCGGCCTCTGTTGGAAGCACCAAAGCATCACCATCCCGGCTTTTGCTGAGGCAGATTTGGTGCATGGATTGTGTATTTGAGGGAGCCTTCATTATTGCGGAATATATTTAAAGAGTAGCTAGACGTACAGAGCAGTGATCAATGAAGAAATGAACAATATGAGGAGCAGAAAGGAAAAAAAGAAAAAGAAATTCCGCGAAAATGTCGATGGTTCAGGCTACCACTGCGAGTACAGTCCGATCGTCAAGAAATTTCACCACCTATAGCCGTGCAGGAGGACACATATCCCTGGGTCGGAAGATCTGTTGATCGGGTGGGTGTATGGGGGGCATCGACTCAGCTAGGTCCATCTGTGGAACCCAGCAGTACGTACTCCGTAGTACACACCATAAAGCGAACATCGACAGGGCGAGGATGAAATCCACGTCTATAAAAGGGTCTTGTTCATTTCTGGGCAATCAGGTTGTCCCATCCACCATCGTCAGGGTAGCAAGTATGGACAATCCCACTGCGACGCCCTACTCTCTGCATGACATTCTGACTGTCGCTTCCATCCATCCTTTTTATCGATCGGACGCTCAATATCCCCCCGATGCAGAACGGATAAAACAGATTCTTGAGCAACAGAAGGACACAAACACACCTTCATTGGCCAGCGTGCCGCTCACCTACAAGAAGGACCTGTAAGTCCAGCACCATCCAAACCCAGATGGCGAGAAGGGCTCACATGTTGTGAAGTTACAAGGCGATTCAACGCCTGAGTACCGATCGCAGCAGGGGTAATGTGTACCGACACAGTTCATATATCAGCACCACCGGCGGCGGCAGTGGCGGAATCCCAATGGCTTTTCTGACGGATTCCACGGAGAACCGCGCTCAGCGGGCACACTGCGGGAGACTCATGCGGCTCTGTGGTGTGATTGAACCAGGGGATTGGATAGTGACTGTGCATACATCGGGAAACCTGTACAGGTAAAACAAGCATTCAAGATCGGGGGATCCAGCATGTGTTAACCGATTCGCAGATCACTGGACCTGATGGCCGAAAGGATGGAGTATGCAGGTGGATCCGTCTTGTGTGCTGGGCACCTCATGCCCCATCCGGAACTCGTCCAGTTATTCCTTGAATATCGCGCGAATGTTCTATGTGGGGACTCGTCTCAGATCCTGCAATTTGCCCTGCATGTCGCTTCCTTGCCAGCCGCCATGCGTGAAGCTCTTTGCATAGACAAGATTCTTTACACGTCGGAGCCTCTGGTGCGCTCGCAGCGAAACTACCTTATCTCTGTCTTTGGGTCCGTCAAGATCTGCTCTGCGTTTGCGAACGCTGAGTCTGGACCCTGGTGCGTTATGAACATGGCTATCACGGGAGATAAAGCAGACGACGCCGCTGATTTTATCTTCGATACCCGTACAATTCTTGTAGAGGTGCTCTCACCTTCTGCAGTAGACGAAAGCCAGACCGGCGCAGATCCCAACGACCAGACCGCCGTGAAGGAAGTCCACCCTCTTCCTGACGGCGAGACTGGATCCCTTGTGCTGACCTCGCTACAACGATTGCGCAATCCCCTGGTGCGATATGCCAGCGGAGACGTCGGCGCTCTTCTCCCGCTCCCTTCGACGCATTCCATCCCTGCCGAGACCGCGCAGCACCTCAAAGTCCTCCGCCTGCGGGGCCGAGACCAGCGGTTCAGTTTCAAGTGGCAGGGGAACTACTTCGAGTTCCACTTCCTGCGAGAGTTCATGCAGCGAGAAGATCTGGGTGTTCTCCAGTGGCAACTCATCCTGAGCGATGACGAGGCCTCGCATGCGCATCACTGCGAGGTTCGTATTCTCCGAGGTACTACTGATAAACCAGACGATGAGGTGGCAAAAATCCTAGAGCGCGTCTTTGAGGTTACCCCGGTGAATGCTCCTCTGTTCCATGTGACATTTTTGGGGGGCACCAGGGGCTTCGAGCGTAGCGCTACTGGGAATAAGGTGATGCGGTTTGTGGATAGGTCCACACAAGGCTGATCTCGTGTGATTTCCGTGGTGTATATATTATATCCAGCAAGTCCGAGATTTCTTGATTTTGAGCTTCAATCCACCGCTATTGCAGCCATTCCACCGCCGAGGCTCGGCCGAACCGGAAGCCCTAAAGTCTCTTTGGACGATCATGGAGGTACCAGGGATAATCGTAAGGTAATCGCCAAGCGAGTGGTCCACTGATCACCGATTCATAGTGATTTACATGTGTTTATACCAAGTAAAATACCATTCAATAATAAACTATCTAAGGCCACGTGTCTTTCCTATGGCCTGGGATTATAGACACGGGGTTCAGCTCGATTCGATTGGAATGCTGTTAAGATGGCGGAGGACAGTAGACTTCGGGACATCAACATGTTGCACTGCTTTACGAAAGCCTCTCGCTTACATGGTCCACCCTCTTACCGATGACGTTGAGTGGTTCCTCTGGATGGAGATAAATTGGCTTTATCGGGTCGATCGCGTCTCGATGATCTACTTCCTCGGTCGTTCACCAGCCCCATACTTGAGACATACATACCACTATCGCCGTAGCGAGTTCCGCCTCTGACATGCCCCTGAAGGGGGAAAAATCCCTGTTCAAACCAAATTATTTCTTCCGTTTCAGCACTTCATCGAGAACTCTCCATATATAGTACAGAGTATACAGCTGTACGCCATGGAGCGTGGAGCCTCCACAGCTGCAGCACAGGCTTCAGGGTCATTAAGTCCATATACCCTCTCTTGGGCGATCAGTCTATCGGCATCCGTTGCGGTGCTTTTGCTAAGTGTCTTCGCGGTTCAACATGCCGTATCGTGGATGTCGACGAAGAGACTCAAATCCGTTCGATTTCTCTATTTTTACCAAGATGAAGACGGAGAGGCGACGCCGAATTCAATCGAAAACGCCTCCAAATGTAAGATACCTCGCCTCAGTCTAGTCTGTACCGGACTTGGGATGTGGTTGTCGATTCTGCAGGTCGGGGTTGCCATCGTGGAGCTTGGAACAGTGCAGATTGTCGATTGGGCGCAGATGGTCATTTGGGTGAGAGATTGTTTGTCAAGATACCCATTCTGCAATCGAACTAGCTGATATAATTCCATTCACAGACTGCACTAGCCTTCCAGTGTAGCATGCTCTGGATAGACTCTCCGGCCCCGATAACTTATGCGATCGGGTGGCGAGCCGCATTAAGTTGCATAGCTGCAGTTCCCAGCCTGTGCAGTCGGCTGTATGCGGATCATGTCACTGGTCACGATGATACAATCAACATTGTAGTCATGGGCTGCCAGATTTCTCTTGCTCTCTGTGCCAGTGTCCTTACTCTTCTCATCCGTCGTCGTCCTGATGTCTACCGAAACGGCACAGTCGTGGACGGACAATACTCCACGTCCTTCCTGGGTTGGTTGAGTTTCACATGGACGGAATTTGTTTTGCGCATGGCCAAAGACAAGTCCCAGCTACAGATTGGCGATTTACCTGAACTGGATTATCACTCACGGACCGACAGTCTGCTGGATACCTGCTATCGCATGGTAAAGGAAGCGGGCTCCGGGACCGCGGGCTTATGGATGATCATTCTACAATCACAAAGCCGCGCATTGCTGTTTCAGGCTTCCATCACGGTCGCTTCGTCGTTCATTAGCTTCGTCCCGTCGTTTGCACTGCTAAACATCTTGCTTGCATTGGAGGATCGACAGAACGGAGAAGGGAATGAAGCCCGTGTCTGGTCGTGGGTTGTCGGGCTAGGCATCTCCGTTCTAGCGACGGCCACCTTGGAAACCTTGAAGTTCTGGATTTCGTACAACAAGCTCACTATCCACACGCAGCAGCAGCTCTCTGTGGCTATATTCGACAAGGCAAGCCGCGTTGGTGGAGGTAGCTCCGAAACTGACAGCGAAGAGTCGCAGGAGCATGGATCCCAGGGCCCGGTTCACATGGCTGTAGTTGACGCCAAGAATGTGGCGGATTTTGTCTGTTTCCTGTTCTTATTATACGAAATACCCTTGAAGTTGACCATAGCTTCGGCGTTCCTGTTGATGATATTGGGCTGGGAATGCTTACTTGCCTGTGCCATTATCCTCCTCTTGGTGGGTCTCGCCAACTTCCACACGGTAAATAAGTACTCCGAGACCCAAGGGGACTTGATGCAGTCGCGGGATCACCGGTTAAGTATGATCACAGAGATCCTTCACGGGATTCGACATGTCAAGTTCTCTGCTCTGGAAGGCCAGTGGGGGAAGAGGATCAACCAACTCCGAGACATTGAACTGCGTTCTCGATGGTCTGTGTATTGCTGGGAGCTTATTATGGTATCCATGTACTTCCTTGGTCCGGCCATCCTCTCAGCTTCATCATTGACAGTGTATGTAGCAGTGAATGGGTTCCTCTCGGCGGCCACTGCATTCACGTCAATTGCCATCTTGAACTCGATTGAGGTGTCCTTGACTATTCTGCCGGAAATCATTTCCATGTTTGCGACCAGCTCCGTAAGTATGCAACGCATCAGACGTTTCCTTGCACGGCCAGAGGGAATCTCCAGTGTTTTGCCGTCAGATACGATTGATTTCACAAATGCATCAGTCGCATGGCCTGGGGCTGCTACTTCGGCGGAGAGAGGCACTTTGAAGGATTTGAATTTGAGCTTTCCCAAGAACGCCTTAAGCGTCATCATGGGTCCCACTGGAGCGGGCAAGAGCCTACTCCTCACAGCTATCATCGGAGAATGTGACATTCTGAGCGGGACAGTAAGAGCGCCGATTCCTGTTACCTTCGAGGCCAGCCGACCCTGGGAATTGACATCGGGGATTGCGTATGTGCCACAGGTGCCATGGATTGAACGGGGCACGGTGAAGGATAATATCCTGTTTGGGGCACCCTTCAATAAAGAACGGTACTCGAAAGTCCTCTTTGCCTGTGCCATGGAGAAGGACCTCGAAAGGCTCCCCAAAGGAGACCGAACCGAGTTGGGGGGAAATGGTGCAAATCTGAGTGGTGGTCAGAAGTGGCGGTTGTGTCTTGCGCGTGCACTCTATAGCCATGCTCATACTCTTGTCCTGGATGACGTCTTCAGTGCTGTAGACGTGCATACCAGGCAGCATCTTTACCAGCATGCGTTGGTTGGTGAATTGGCTATGGGTAGGACTCGAATTCTAGCCACGCATCACGTCGGCCTTTGTCTTCCCCATGCAGAATACGTGGTGTCTCTCGAGAAGGGGATTCTGAGAGATACGTTGGACGCGAGAGATCTCGAGCTGGACCGAAGGCTCTGGGAACAAAGCTTTGGGTCAGTCAGTACTGGGCGTGAACAACAATTACCCACAAAGAGTGAAGAAAGCCCGGAGTGGAATGGGACCACTAGCCTTGCCGAAGACCACCAGCACGATAGCGGTTTATACTGGGGTGCTTGCAAGACCTATATGAAAGAAGGTGGCCACCTCTATCAATGGATCGCCTTGTTCACAGCGTTTTTGGGCTATACTGGATCCATTCTCGGTCGAGTAAGCAACACCATAAGCAACCAGCAAATCAGTTTAATAATTAACGAATACTGACTTCTCAGGCCTGGTGGTTGAATGTCTGGACTAGTAGTCAAGATGCTGGTGCCGCAATATCTCAGAATGAACAAGTAACCGGCAAAGACGAGCCATCGACAGGATCAGTAGATCGCAGTCTGCTTTTCTACCTTGCGTTCTATCTCGCGTTGTCTGCAGTAGCATGCACTGTGGGGATGGCTCGATGTTATTTTACCTTCCGGGTCGCCTTCCAAGCATCACGGAACCTCTTCCATCGCATGCTCCGCAGCATCTTGCGGGCACCCCTGCAATGGCATGACGATGTGCCTTTTGGTCAAGTTTTGAACCGATTCTCGTCTGATTTAAACGTCGTCGACTCGCGCATGGGTGAAGACCTCAGAAGCACATTCGAGTTCACAACCGAAGTGGCCATGGGCATGTTTGCTGGAATTCTTGTTAATCCAGTTCTTCTCGTGGTAGCCGTTTTCCTGACGGCTGTTTATTTGCATTACTCAAGGACTTACCTCACGGCCTCCCGCCAAATCAAGCGTCTGGAGAGCGAGGCAAAGAGCCCGATCTTTGACCACTTTGATACGTGCCTCAGCGGACTGCCCGTGATCAAGGCGTTCGGGAAAGTCGACGAATATCGGCGACAGTTCCGCCAAAAGGTCGACTCTCATGCCCGTGCATTTTGGCATCTCTGGCTGCTGAATCGGTGGCTGGGGTTCAGAATTAACATGATCGGGGCTGCGTTCTCTGCACTCTCTGCAGCGCTGGTCGTGTCGTTAAAAAGCATTGATGCCTCCGCAGCTGGCTTTGCCATCAGCTTTACAATGGAAATATCCCTGTCCATGGCATTGGCTATTCGGTATTACGCAAACGTGGAGCAAGATATGAACAGCGTGGAGAGGGTCCTGGAGTATTGCGATCTCAACGCCGAGAATTACGAAGGCCTTGATGCTCCCGCTGACTGGCCTACAAGTGGTAGACTGGAAGTCCGTAACTTGGCTGTACGATATGCACCTCATCTGCCTCCTGCGCTGGATAGAGTCGGCTTTAAGATTGAAGGAAATGAAAGGGTGGGTGTAGTGGGCCGTACCGGTTCTGGGAAATCTTCCCTGGTGAATGCCATGTTCCGTATAGTTGAACCACACGAAGGCAAGATTATACTGGATGGGATTGACATCTCAAAGCTGAGACTTGAAGATCTCCGCTCTCGACTCTCAATTATTCCCCAAAGCCCAGTCATTTTCCGTGGCACAGTCCGGTCCAATATGGACCCCTTCAACGAATATGAAGATGCAGAGCTCTTACATGCTCTAGGAAAAGTAGGCTGGCGCTCAAAAGCAGAAATCTCTGCTTCTGACGATTATGACGACGATGGACCTTCAGCATGGGCGACCGGGGTAGCCCAGTCAACGACTTCTCAGCTGGAGCGACCGGTTGCTGAAGAAGGCACCGATCTCTCGCAAGGCCAGCGACAACTCCTTTGCATTGCCCGAGAGATAGTCCGAAAGCCCAAGGTATTGCTCCTTGATGAGGCAACCTCTGCTGTCGATAATCTGACCGACCAGCTTGTTCAGCAATCTGTACGGTCTGCCTTTAGTCGCGGCTCCACGACGCTAATTGTCATCGCACACCGACTGAGCACGGTAGCAGATTTCGACTCCATTCTTGTACTGGACGCAGGGAGAGTCGTGGAATTTGGAAGTCCGCGAGACCTGCTTGGAATAGAGAATGGTACCTTCAGGGGTATGGTCGAGCAGGATGCTGAGAGGGATGCGCTTAAAGAGGTCATTTTAGGTGAGAATGATGTTGAATCATAAATTCTGTTACAACAATACTCAATCATAAAGGTATAGAGACTGTAGACTATAAAAGAGAAATGAAAAGAAAATTCAATTTTATATCAAAAACCGATTGCGACCTATAAGAGCATTTAGCAGGTGAATACTATTCAGTTTCCATAAAGAATAGTGATCCTGATGTACGAGGGTCCGTTTCACTGTAATATTTCACAAATAAGAGTAAAACTTAGAAAGCGTCTTTAGTACTCTAACTTGCCAGGGAATGCAAGGGCCTCGCTTGTCCTGCTCAGCCCTGTGCCTGCTTGGCGACGTTTGGCGCGCATCCTGCAGTGTTTTCCGGCAGTAATTGTGGATCACGGCAGGAATTCGCGAGGCTGGTCAACAGTCGACAGTTTGGGGCCCATGGATCATAGTAACATGCCTGATTGTGCCTCCCCACAGTATCCGGCCTGCCATGGGACAAGGTTGTGACTTCACAACCTGGCCTATGACTACCGTACTGGCCCGCTCGTGCCTTGCTTGCTGCTGATACTCCCTATTCTTTTTGACTGTCTGGTTCCATAACCTCTAGACAATAGATAAGCTTAAGCTGCCCTGGATATTTTACGTTGTAAAGTGGGGATGTGCGACAAGCCAAGGCAAGGATACATGCATCCTTCATGCTTTATTGACATATATCTAGTATCTTAGCGTCTGGCACCCGTTTTCCAGCCAGCTATTCGTCCAGGGTTTGTATCGGCCGTTAAATAATCGGTAGCAGACAACAGTATACCACAGGGTCTCTGGTTGATCACAGGTTGAGATGCATTAATCCTGCCCCAGGCGCCAAATCTCATATACTGGGTTACGACAAACGCAACCCCGGTGCCCTTGGGAGCAGACTCCAAGGTACGAACACCTTTACGATGTATCCCTTACGAATAACTGCAAATCATAAGGCCGGCACCACCATAAGTTGCACTTTTATTCAACGGCAAAAGCATACAACGGCCAATTACCTGCGATAATACCTGCAAAGTTTCATGATACTAATGATACTACTTCTCGCAAGAGTAACAATATAGACAGCCAGCCAGGCAACTATCATATCTCTAGCATGGGAAGGTACACTTTGTCTCGTTTCCATCGCCAGAGATGGTCGCCCACTTGTCTTTAGTGCAACCATCCTCGTTGAAATCACGGTGCTCAGCGCCATAGTCCAAGTATCCGTCCGAGTTGTCACTGTTGGTGTGGATGCTACGCAACATTAATATCGGCCACAAATATAGCAAGCGCCTTGAAATACGCATGACTGATAGTCTAGAATAACATACCAGATTTGGTTGGACAGCTGCGAGCTATAGCAGTTGTCATGGCTGATAGTATTGCACTGGTCCGCCAGAGTCTCGGTCGTCCCGTCAGCGTAGGTGACCTCCCCAACGCAGGAGAGGGAGTTATCGCCACCCGAAATCGGGTTCTATGGATGTGCCATGGTTAGTGCTGCGTACCTGCCGATGAGAGAGTGGATGGGGTACCTGGCCCCGAGCGAATCGAAGGCTGAATGAGCATTCGCCCTCGCGCTTCGCCAGGGCAGCGGCGGAGGCGCCTGATGCTAGAGCGACCAGGGTGGCGAAGAGTGGGAGGTTCTTGGTGAGGATCATCTTGAGAGTATTTTTGGGATGATGTTCACACCGGCAGAATTGGCGTCCTATTTATACACAGAACCTTGAGACCCGATGCCTGCTTACAGCACAGTCAGACCGGGCAAAACCAAGGATCAGACTGATTATCTCTTGATCTTTCCGCGGGGGCCATGCAGCATTGCAAGAACGGCCCCCAACGATCGTCAATGAGGGTTGAGTTCAATGGCACAAAATCATAGCCAAGACGATCGGCCTCAGGAAAACAGTGAAGAGAAGAGCTAGGATCGACGCTGTTCGGCCTCACGGTGGCATGGGCGACACTTTGGCTATTAAGATCATCATCCTGGCTGCAGATTGTTGGCCAGAAACCCCGGGCGTTCCTTCGCGCGCTGAAACCACCGGAAGTTATAGGGCTTGCTATCAGAAGTTGTTACATCATTGTTAGTAGACAAGAACATAGCACGGGGGCCTCTGATTAATAGCAGGTTCAGATGAAATTAATCCTGCAACATGTGCAAGATTTCATATACAGCGTTACTATACTTTTGAAACACTCCAGCGTGCTCGGGAGACTCCAGGGTACGAATACCTTGGATACATATCTCTTCAGCAGTTTCACCGTCCCTGTTTCGTATATTTTTATCCACATTCCCAGTCTCCAGTAGCTCCTGAACCGCGCCGACGTTGGCGAATGCGACAGCCAGATGTAGCGCTGTTGAGCCATTAAGATCACACCTGCGATTAATGTCTTCCACAGAAGCCCATCGCCCTAGTAGATGAACCATCATCTCCTGGTTGTTTTCAAAATTATATTCGGGATAAGTCACTTGCTGACCATCCACGGTCCAATGAAGCTCGCCATATCCCATAGCACAGCGATGCAGCGCCGTAAAGCTTCGAGCTGGCTCAACAATAAATCCAGGGCTTTGAGAATCGACGGCGCATAGAAACTCAAATCTGGCAATGGAACCGTTGGCCGAGGAGGCTATTATATGACCGAGAATAGTGGTGGGGTGTTCTGTTGCCAGGGGCCCCGCCGAGGTGCTGCATGCATTGATATCGGCGCCGTTCTCCAGGAGAAACTTGCTGAGGTGGAAGGAGTTACTGTAGATGGATGTCAAGAGGGGGGTCTCTGTCTGAAAACAATCTCCAGTGCGACCTTCAACGGGATGATTCTGATGGTATACGAGGTCTTCAAGGATTCCAAAGTCTGCATTATGGCCTGCGTAAGCGAAGGTGTGGATAGCAGTCCAATCGACGCTCGATGAATGGAAGGGGTTGCGCGATCTGGCATTCGGATCTGCGCCCCGCGACAGCAGGAGGTCGTAGGTGTGCTTGCGGTTCCAGCGAATGGCTTCCAGAATTGGTGGGCGAAGAGTGATGGCGCAAGGGCGAAGAATGTCTTCAGGGTGGAATGCCCCAGCTCGGCACTTTACCGGATCAGGGGGATAGAATGTTAGGGTATACATCGGATCGGAGGCAGGCTGGGCACCACCAAGTGCTTCCTTGATCTTTGTGTAAAGAGTGCGCACAAAGGGAAGAATGCCAGGTCCACCTATAACTGGAGCTGAGCTGATGTGTGCATGATTCACGCCACCCTCTTCAATATCTTGTTGCCCTTCAATGGCCCGCCCTCTTGATGTGGGCGAAGACACGCCTGCTGAGATTTCTGGCGCTTGCTCAGACAGGAGTCGCTCCACATGGGGAGACAACAGATATCGAACAACTGCATCATGCTGACCTGCAACGGCGTGATACAACAGTGTTTCCCCAAACTCTTCTCCCAGACCGTCCAAAAAGTTTCGATGACAACTTCTCTTCAGTAAAAGATCGAATGTCGCCCATAATCTGTTCCCCCACTGAGAGCCATGCCTGAGAGCCATTCCAAAGAGGTCTGCTCCAGACGTTGCTAGTACAAGAAGAGGTTTCATCTGGTATCCATTCCCTAGTCGATCAGGTGCTGCTTCTTCCATAGACTTTAGCATCGCTTCCAGGCATTCCGGATGGTGGTAGAATGCGGCCTGTGCAAGAGGATTAGGCTGGCGCTGTTCGGAGAGGAGAGAAAAAAGGGTTGAAGGGTTCTGGATCCCATCAAGTAGGAATTGCACAATATCCGGGCGATTGCGCTGCACCGCCCAGCCCAAAGGTGTTCCGCAGTATAGACGGTCTGTCTCGAGGGTGGCCGGGAAGTTCGAGTGAGCGACTTGCTTTACTGTCGTGGCACAAACCCTGGCGCCCCTTTCGAGAAGCTTTCGACCGACTAAGAGGACCTCCTCTCCTTCAAATGATATGAGCCAATGCAGAGGAGTTTCGCCACTGACCGATGCTTGCTCCACGTTTGCTCCCCGGTCCAGTAGCAGCATGGTGTTCACAACTTGGCCGGCCCTTGCAGCGCACAATAGGGCAGTGTCGCCTTGGTCATTGCCGATGTCAATCTCAAAGGGGACATCACGCAGTAGGGCTTCTAGCGCTTCATGTTTGGCACAGCTAGACGCAAAATGCAACAAATTATCCCCCCGTCTATTGACTTTGAAATCAAATATGTGTTGCGGGTTGAGAATCTCACTTCGTCGTGCTCCAGTCGAGTCAAGCGCTCCTATTAACTGATTCCAATGCATCCCATACAGCAGCTGCGATGAAAAATACCAGTCTGCACCCACTCCTCCACGGGCATTTTTGAGTGACGATTTGACTGCCGGAATGACATCTGGGGCAAGTTCAACCAGATCCTCCAGCGCAGTTCGACAACCGCACAATGCCATATCGCAAATGTGTTGAATTCCCGCGTGTGATGGTCGGAATTCAGGGAGTATCGAATGACATATACGATAGAAATATGCCATGGATATATAATGTCCGCCGTCAGTTGCCCTGCACAATGTTGACTTGGCCTCTTCGTAGTTGACATTGACACCATAGCCATTGATGTAACATGCTGCTAGTATAAACATATCTCCGTGGTACGCCAAACCCTCTCTGGTAGCCTTCTCAGCTCGCTGTCGAAGTGTTTCAACCAGGAAGGCCTGGATAGCGGGTTCTTGGATCGCGATAGGTCGCCATGAAAGCACACGGGTCTGCATCGTTAATGCTATGCACGGCTGAAAGGGACTAAGCTTCTTACATTCGATTCCCTCTTCAAGCTGCCTCGTGGTCTCTCAGTATCGGTAATTGAACTGTTCCCATTAGAAATAGTCCAGCCAATCTAGACAGGGTTTATACTTCATCGGCTCTCGTCCCGCACCATTCTGGATGATCCTGATCACCTCAGCTAGATCTCGAAAAGTAGGACTCGATTGCAATGTTAACTTCAAGACGGGCTCCACGATGCGGTAGAATTGGTCTCTGGCTGCATTATCGAGAGGCGAACTTTGATCGTACATTGCTGACAACCACCCAGCGAGGTTCGCCCCAAGGAGCTGGGTGAATTTTCCCAAAGGACTTTGTGTGGACTGGTTTTTTGAACCCGACATATTGGAGCTGCGTGAGCCTTTAGCAAAGTCAGGATACCAGTGTTCAAGCTCACACAACCGAAGTAGGTCGCCGCTCTGTTTCAAGGCTTCAATTCTGTCTCTACTAGCAGGAGAGTCTTCCGCGCTGATAAACTCAAAAGGGCACAACCCATCACAGGCTACACGCCATACCATCAGACCAAAGGAATAGACATCCGTGTACTTGAGCTGATCTCGTTGGATTGCACGATTGGCCTCTGGGGCCTTCCAGGGCCATGTCCCACCAATACAAACCATCTCATCCACGGACTTTTCCACAATCGAGAATCCGAAATCAGCTAGTTTGGCAATGCAGGAGCCTCTTTCTGAAAATACAAGAACATTCTCGGTCTTGAGGTCACCGTGCGCAATACCGGACTGATGCAGAGCTTCTAGGCCCAAAGAAACATCCAAACAAATAGATAGCTTCGTCCATGAATCAAGTACCTGTCTCTCTTGGAGTTCCGCCAAGGAGCCAAATTGAGCGTACTCAACCACTAGCGTAGGCAGTTTGTGTAATGGGTCGAACGGGTTGCTACCCCATGCGAGACCAAGCAGCTTGACGATGTTCGGATGGTTTGCAAGCGGCCCATGGACTAGGGCAGACACCTCAATTAATACAGAAAACATTGCTCGCTGGTCACTTTCGACGGGCTCTCCTGTAGGCTCAAAGGCCACTCGGGCGGTCTTGTAGGCAACAAACTCTGGGGTAGGCATGGGCTTTATGCTCAGCGTGGTGGTTAAGTCGTGCGAGAACGTAGTTTGCTCCAATCTTTCTGCCTTTGGAACTCGTATTCTCGTCACAGTGAACGAGGCGCCCCGTCCGATGGGGGTTGCAAAGTCCACAGCTTGGCAATTGAACAGATACTGGTGGATTGTGCGCGAGTTTTCTATTCCTAGATTCACAAGGTCCCCTACGTAGGGAACATAGGACCTGCCAGGTATTCCAGCCAGTCTCTGTGGCATAGTGATAGGAGCCGAAGACTCCGCATCTGGGTATAGCGAGAAGGCAAACCGCCTTCCCTCGTCCGGCCTGCTGGAGGGAAAGGAGGTGCTGGGCCTTCCAAAATCCGACATAGTGATATGACAGACAATGATTCCCAGAAGAACTTCTCATACTGGAAGTACGATCGCTGGTTTTGTGCCGTATCAACTCGACTATCAGCCCACCATTTGCCACATCCCAACCCAGGGTTCACGATCTCAGAACGAACTAGGCCTGAACAACTTGCTTAGTACCAACTACATAGCACTAAGAATAATCGATTATTTTGGCATTGCTTTAACACGGTTCAGTCAAATATGACAGGCTCCCAACTTCTTCGCAATCTCCCATTCCCGGTCTAGAACTTTTTGCCTCGTCTCTGTCTTACAACTTTCCCCTTTCAAGCACATTGCGACAGCATCCCCGAAGCCATCTCCTACACGAAATGCAACGTCTCCATTACCAACCTTAGCCTCCAACAGCCATTTCCTGACACCCTTGATCTTCTCAAGGGGGACATCCTTCTCCTTGTTGTCACCTTTAACAGTCTTCTGAACTATTACCCACAAGGGACGCCATTCAGTTAGCTCGATCAGAACAGTTCCTAGGGAGTACAAGTCCATCTCCTTCTCAAACGAGACCAGTGGTTCACCCAGGGCATCTGGGTGCCGGTAAATATCTGCCTGTGGATTTTCAGATACATATTCAGATATCTCGGCGGGCCTGTCGATCCGCGAAAAGTTGAAGCCGGCGAGATATGGGTGGGCGAGGACGCTGTCGGGATTCTTTCTCGCGGAGTCCTCAGTTGTGAAGAAGAGAAGATTGGAGGCTCGGAGGGACTTGTGCAGCCATCCGGCTGTGTGGAGGAGTATGATGGCATGTAAGCATTCTCGAGCCAGCTTGAGTCGTGCAGAGAGGCTCGGCTTCAGGGGAGGATCGCGAAGACTGAGTAGATCGAGCAGGGATTTAGGACCAGGAGGCGCTTCTGATGCGTTTGATGTGTTAAAGGTGATGTCCAGGGTGTCAGGGTAGTCGTAAACGAGAGAGAAGCCTTCCTGGTCTTCGACATATCCAATGCATCGAAGGGTCAGGAATTCTGGATGGGTTTGGGTGGAGAGAAGCGTGGCCAGGTCAACTACCCGATGCTTCAATTTCGATTTATATTTGGCCGGCACTGGTTTATGCTCAAGTAGGACTGGTTTGCCTTTGTAGCGAGCAACGCTTCTAGTTGCATCCTTCGTTTTCTCGATGCACGCCAGGTCGTCTCGTAGAAGCTTTGCGGCTACAGGTTGGGGACCGGCCTGTTGTCCCTGATCGCCACTGCTGGCTGTATTCGGAATAGATGACTCCTCCTTGGTGTCTTTGGTGTCGTTTAATGCGATGGCGACAGCCTTGACCCGCGCACTCGCTGCCAGGGGGAAAGCACTGTTCGCTTCGAAGGCAGTTCGCAGCTCCCGCAGCTCGTTCACGCCATTTCTTGTATCGATGACCTTGGAGAGGATCTCTTGTATTGCCTGCTGCATACTGGCTTGCTGAATGGGGTTTAGAAGATCCCACAGGCCCTGCACGGTTTGCTGGACCTGGGACACAAGCCGCTCAAGCCTGGCTTTGTCCACTCCCGCCCACCAGAGCCGCTTTGGGAGGCAGTTCTTGGATTTGATCAATTTGGCACGATACAGAATGTCGGCTCTTCTTTTATCAGAAACAGCACTTGACAGGATGTCGTGCGGCGCTTCAGAGCCATCGACGCCTTCCCCGTCCGTGGACCCCTCCTTTTCTACCAGATCAAGGTGATATCGTTTCTTAATATTGTCTTTGTCCAGCATCAACTGCATCTGGCCCATGAGCTGGCTTGCCTGCACTTTATTCAGGCGTGGATCAATTGTTCTGTCCGGGTCGTCGACTCCAACGATTTCAGCCCACTGCAGGAAGCGACACTCCTGCACGCTGAGCATCGTGACCAGGAACGACGCATCCCGCCCCAGATTTTGGGCCTTGGACAACAGGACAAATCCCTGGACACATATGGCAAATACCTCGAAGGAGAGCGATGCGATGCTGACTGGATCGATCATGATAACAGGGAGATCTGACTAGAGTTGGTTTGTGTAAGATTGGAGCCTAAGGACGGAGAGCATTTGGGTATATGAGCCTGAGGCTTGTTAATAACTAATAATTCACTGCAAGTAAAGAGAGGAATCGATGGCGACACCAGTCACATGGAGGAGTCTGGACTTGATCGTTTAACCCCTAAGTCTGGGAGCACCCAACAACCGCTTCTGTTGTAGGACATTGCGGAAGAAATGACAGCGCGCCTTTCGTCTAGTTATGACTGCCGTTCGCAGATCACGGAACCTAGCAACTGATGCTTACGAGGGTATTCTACCTTGGAACGGACGACCGGTCACTGCGTGGTTCAAAGTTAATCTGGGAATTGTTACCACGTCTTTTATTTACCACCACACATGTCCGCCAATAATTACTGTATCAGTAATAGATATTCTCAGTGGTTATATGAGCATACTTCTAACATATCGTATCCTGGCTGTGTATAGATCGTCGCCATGGACGTCAGCCTGTGCGGCCCGAGGTAGTTGATCGTAATATATATTCCGAACGCAGCGAACGGCCATCGCCTCTCCGGTAAATAGAAAAAGGCCCCGTGTCAGGCATGCGTAGGATCAGGCACTCACAAATGTATTCTCATACACTGGCTGGGCTAGAGATTCTCCTGACAATAGAATGGGGGTGGACCGCTACCCCAGAGTTTCCCCGCATATGCCTAGACTGGGCAAAGTATAAAGGACCTAGTGCTCATCCCCAGCAATTGTGTATACTAAAGCTCTATCATCTGTATTCAAACAATATCGCGCTGTCCTTACAGGCTTTATTCGCAATGTTCGATGAGTACATTCAGAGTAAATCCCTCCGCCGCCTGGCGAGGTTCAGCTGCTCCATTGTAAGGGCCTGGTCGATATGGAAATGAAGATAAGATAAAGCGCGACTAACACCGGTGCAGGGATTTCTGATTGAGGGCTACCAGGCAGGAGTTCTCGGAGGTGTCCAGGAGACGGAGCCATTCCTAGACGCAATTGGCGTAAGTTATCTTTGCAAGGCCAAATGCCCATCAACTGATATGCTATACTAGCATCCCGGTGGCACAGAGACGATCCCCCTGATTGCGTCCTCTAGCACGATCGCAGCGGCCTTTGTGTCATGTCTTGTTATGCTAATTGGAATGCCGCTCGGCAGACGCAACTGTATTCTTATTGGAAATGCTTTGATCACAGTCGGTGGAGTCATACAGGCCGCCTCTTACTCCGTCCCCCAGATCATTGTGGCTCGTGTGCTGTGTGTATGTCTCTACCACACGTCAAATTGAATTGTTGTACAACGTACTGACATCGTAAATAGGGAGCTGGCATTGCGGTATACCCTCTTGTTTATTGTACCGTTGTCGATGCTGATGACCGCAGTTCATTACATGCAATGTACCCATGTACATGGTAGGCATTCATAATCTCTTGCCTTGTATATCCTAACCAGACAGTCTGAAATGAGTATCGAAGCCCGCGAGCGTGGCCCAGAAGTCGCAATCAACTGCTCAGCCCTACTTCTCGGCGTAGCTCTCTCGTACTGGATCAGCTTCGGGTTCACTCGAATGACCAACCAGGTGTCCTGGGTGAGCTCAACCTCTGAAGTTCAGTCGCTAGCTAACCACCGCTCCTCTAGAGAATGCCTATCGCAATACAGTCCATTTTCTCTATCCTCTCTGGCGCCAGCATGTTCTTTCTCCCGGATACCCCGAGGTGGTACTATATCCGTGATCGCATGGAGGAAGGGGATAAGACGCTGGCACGACTGTACGGTGCATACCGCAAGGGGATGACAAACTATAATGATGTCCCAGAGATCCAGGCCATGAAATCCACCATTATAACGAGCTTCAGAGTGGAAGAAGAGTCGGAGACTAAGCTGACCTTGCTTAGTATCGTTTGGGACAACACGCCCCTCCGGGTCGGAAAGCGGATCCGAATCTCGTTTATCATTCTGGGAATCCAGCAGTCCATGGGAATTAATATTCTCGTGTATTACATGACGCGGATCTTCTCGGAAGTCGGCCTTTCTGATTTCATGGCCTCGCTGATTGCCGCGATCTCTCTGACGGTCCAGTGGATGGGCTCGTGGGTCTGTATTCCTACGATAGAGCGCATTGGGCGCCGGAGGATTATGATATTCACGGCGTCAATTGAGACTGTCTGCATGTTGATCTTTGTTGTGCTGAATATGATCGAGAATAAAACTGACGCTACACGCTGGGCCGCCGCCATGATCATGTTTCCATACCTGTTCTTCTATGGCTGGGGATGGGTCGGCTGTCCCTGGCTCTATGGGCCTGAGGTATGCCACTGAGTACCAAAAATAGCACAAACTAACATTTCGACAGATTGCACCCCTGAGATACCGACATATTGGATCCGCGGCCGGACTATTGGGGGTATGGGTATTCACCTTCATTACAGTCTTTGGGGGAGGCATAGCCTTGAAGACAGTCGGGGCCAGAATCTGGATCTGGCCGCTGGTATTCAATGTTATCGCCGTGCCTTTTGTTTACTTCATGTGTCCAGATGTGTGTATCTCCATTCCTGATGTTGGCCACCACTAACTGAGCTGTAGCCCACTGGCAAGACTCTGGAGGAGATCGACCAGCTCTTCGCCAAAGACGATGCACTCCTCGAACGGCTTCATCATTCAGTTACCGAGAAGGTGGGTGTGCAGGAAATGGAGAACAGCACTTGAGGCACTCTAGAGGCGGTGGCATGGCTGTAGAAAACGTTAACGGGCTATACTGCGTGGTTTGAACGTTATCGACTCTAATATATTGGTGATATACTCTGGTACTATAAATGACTTGGCTTTTGGCTGTCGTGTTTCAAACGGATAATGCCCTGTTTCAATCAGCAAGATCTCTGTACCAGGATGAATAATTTAGATAGAGTTACCTCTTGAATGCAAGTTGCAGCAAGTTTGCCATCCTTAGTCCACATTCTCTGCTGCACTATTCCACGCCCGTTCCCTGCCCAGCTACTTTGTACCTCAGAGAGTACCCACTCATCCACTTGCAAATCTTCCACATTATGAAAATACATGGTGTGATCCAAGCTGACCATCATGGAGACCGTCTGTTCACCACGACCGGGTTTAGCCCCTGGACATTCCAAATGCGGCCGTCGAATAGCAACGTGTGCCTCTGTCGGCGTTGAAGGACCATGCGGTGAAGGATAGAATTCCGATATTGGCGTATCCACAAAATGCCACACCTCATGGCTATGAGGGACACCGACCAGGAAGTAGCTGTCTGACATGAAGGCAAGTGCTGCCTGCTGGATCTGCGAGTCGGCAGATGGCGATAGAGGACCGCAGGCTTTGATCCATTGATGGATTCGCTTGTCCTCCGATCGACCCTGTCGGCTGTCGTCGACTATACCCACGCTGCTGTTGACGAAAGGGAGTTGCAATTCATTTGTATCCTTGTATGTATCATCTGGCTTCGGGACATTACAAGGCATAGGAGGGAAATGCTGAAGCTCCTTTCCAGCTGTGCCCGAGCTCCCTGCCCTGGCGAAGCTAACAGTGCATATAAAAATAGGCTTCTTTGCTTGAACCGCCCGAACAGACCGTGTACAAAAGCCTTTGCCATCGCGGATCCTTTCTACATGGTAGAGAATGCTATCGTCCGAGGTCCCCGCAAAGACGAACGAGCCATGCAGGGAGTGTGCGACAAACTCGTCACGCGCAGTCTGCTGCGCAGCTCGTAGGCTCTGCGCAATAGCGAATCCCCCGAATATCCCTCGCGCTCCTGGCCGCCACGATGACGAGGTGTTGATGAACACGTCTGGTCCGTGCCCTGGGGCGCGAGCAACGTCGATTTGCTTTTCGATTGTGGATAGAGTGGCCGACATGTTGTGGTGATCAGAATCCCGACTGCACTTTCTATGACAATTGCATGACACCTGTATTTGTCATTGTAGAGGCAAAGGACCGCAACGGTAAAGAATGGCTCCTGGTCAAAGCGCAGTCTGGCTGTGGGTCAGAGGCCGGTCACTTGTTATAGAGTCCGACTCACCCCGCAACAACGGAGTTTTAAGCTCAGTGCCTGTAGCCGTACTGTAGGCTGAATTTCCGTTATTATTCCGTTATATGGATTAACCGAGTATGGCCCGTCTGGTGTTGGTGTGGCTGTACGGAGAATTGCCTACTTTCTCCATATGGGTGGCTGTTAATGTAATCCAATAAATTCAACCAATCTAGGGTGATTGAAGACCTTTATAGATTTCCTTCGTACAACATACAGACAAAACAATTTACCCACTATGGCTCCCATAATTTCAGATATGACGGTGCACTTCCGCCATGACCGGTCGATAACGCAGATGATGCTCGAGAACACGACGAACGCCAGCCCCAACAAGATCATCAGCGAGGACATTTTGACTGGTAAATTAATTACCTATCAAGGTCTACGAGAAGATGCATTCAAAGCTGCTTGGGGGCTAAGGCATCGCCTGGAGATGAAGACAGGAGATACCGTCACCATAATCGGGAGGAGTTGCGTACGTTCTTGGTCTAGTTTTTAGCTGACCTTCACTCGCTAAATATGCCAGGTGGGCTACATTGTTGCAACTCATGCGGTCTGGGCAGCCGGTGGGATTGTCAGGTTAGTGATTTCTTCCTCCTGTATGTGCCGGGCCCTGACCATCTAGTACGATTAACCACTCCTCATCTGCGAAGGAGATTGCCCATGCCGTCAAGGTCATCAGACCTCAGTTCCTCATTGTTGATAGCATATACGAGAAGAAGCTGCGCGAGGGCCTGAGCTTACAGAACTATGGCGACGTGACAATAATGACAATGGTGTCTAGATTAGACGGCCACGTTCTGGTAAAAATATCACCCCTCCACACATTACAACTCGTTAACCTGCATAGTTCCCCGATGACTTGACCTCGAACTCGAAGCGAGTGGAGCCTGAAGCATACGTGCTGGACGGACAAGATGCGCGGACCAGGTGCGCGGCGCTGGTATTGTCCAGTGGCACAACCGGCTTACCCAAGGCTGTCATGCTGTCCCATTACAATCTGACTGGAATATGTGAGGCGCTGCGTTTTCACAACCCTGACAACTGGAGAGAGTCCATGAGAGAGGTGTTTTTCCCGGTATGCCTTAATCCCCGTCAAGGGTAGAGCGATACTGACTGTCTATAGCCATGTAGGTGGCACTTACAACTAAACTGAGGGTTACCATAGACTTCTGACAGCCGTCGTCTTAGTATCGCATATTTATGGCCTATACGTGTGTGCGTTGATGAGTCCGTGGCTAGGGTGCTACGTCTGCATGGTTCCTCAGTTCCAGCTCGAAACGTATTGCCGGGTCGGTGCCCCTTGGATGTTTGAATATTTGAATGTATTTCTGATGTCTATTTACCAGCTTATGCATGAGAAACGTGCAACGTTGGCCCGGCTCGTTCCTCCAGTCGCGGTTATGCTGGCGGAGAATCCGATCGTTGGCAAGTATCAGTACCCTGATCTCGAGTATTTCTCCTGCTCGGCAGCACCCTTGAAGGTAGGCTTTTTGCATATTACTTATATGGTTTGGTCAGACTAATATTCTATAGCCGGCGATTGCTTCAAAGCTACGATTACGGTTTCCTAAAGTCAGCTTGTGCCAAAGTAAGTCCTTCACTCATGCTACGGAATCACTTCCCTGACTCGTCACAGCATACGGCTGCACAGAGCTGTCTTCCTGCATTGCGCAAAGTGGCGTCCGAGATAAAGACGCCCCTCTTGTCGCCGCAGGCACTCTGCTCGCCAATGTCAAGATCCAGTTCCTCGACGAACAGGGCAAAGAAGTACCCCGTGGACAGCCTGGCGAGATTGTCGTTTCTACGCCTACCATTATGCTGTTAGTGGTATTCCATAATTATCCTGAGTATAAGCACTTGCTAATCTCGTCCTATAGCGGATACAAGGACAACGAGGAAGGGACGCGCGAAAGCATGCACGGCCCTGACTGGTACAAAACCGGTGATATTGGATACCTGGATGACAATGGGTACTTGATAATTGTAGATCGGCTGAAGGATGTCATCAAATACAAGGGGTATACACTTCTGCCCGGATTTAGCAAATACCATGTGCTAATGTGTCCCCAGGTTCCAGATCAGCCCGACTGAGCTGGAGGAGATAATCGGACGACACCCCATGGTAAAAGACTCGGGTGTCACTGCTATCTGGGACGATGCTGAGGGAACCGAGATCCCTCTGGCGTTTATTGTGCCGAGCAGCCCCGTTACAAATATTGACCGGGATAGTCTCACGAAAGAGATCCAGGATTTGGTTGCAGGTGAAGTGGCAGGATACAAGAAGCTCAGGGGGGGAGTGCGGTTTATTGACCAACTGCCACGAAATCCCACTGGAAAATTGCTACGACGGAAACTTCGAGACAGAGCTGGATCAAAGGCTCACCTGTAATTAGAAGTAGACTGTATAGCCGAGGACGTGCAGTTAATTACTCCGGCCTCTTTTTAAAATTCCGATATATACTCCGTCTCGCTTCGGCCTAGAACTATATAACCAGAACACATCCCAAAACAAGACGTCTACCCATTCAGCAGAACACAATAAAATGCCCGCTCTTGATGGTATCCGCGTGCTCGAACTAGCCGGCCTCGCGCCTGGCCCTTTCGCAGGCATGATGCTAGCAGACAACGGGGCCAGCGTTATTCGAGTCGACCGAGTCAACCCACCACACCAGCCCAGTCCTGACGTGCTCATTCGGAATAAGTCCTCTATCCAAATAGACCTAAAGTCACCAGGCGGAAAGGACCTGTTTCTACGGCTCGTCAAACAAGCAGACGTCCTAATCGACCCCTTCCGACCAGGAGTTCTCGAGAAGCTCAACCTCGATCCGACAACAGTGCTACTAAAACTCAATCCCCGCCTCATCGTTGCCCAACTCACCGGCTTCCGACGTGATGGGAAGTACGCCAATATGGCGGGCCATGATATTAATTACCTTGCTGTATCGGGGGTTCTGTCTATGCTGGGTCCATCGCCGCGTCTCCCAGACGGCCGGGTGCAGCCTCCCACGCCTCCGGGAAATATTCTCGGTGATTTTGCGGCTGGGGGGCATATGTGCGTTACTGGGATTATGATGGCATTGTTTGCTCGGTCTCGCACTGGGAAGGGCCAGGTTGTTCATGCGAATATGGTTGACGGGGCGAACTATCTTGCTACCATGCCGAGGATTTCGACGAAGATTCCCGGCCAGTGGGACAGTCCTCGTGGCGAGAATCTGTCTGATGGAGGGTGTCCTTATTATAATGTGTATGAGTGCAAGGATGATGGGAAGTATATGGCTGTTGCTGGGTTGGAGCCGCAGTTCTTCGCGCAGTTGGTTAAGGGGTTAGGATTGAGTGATCAGCCCTGGATGGCGAAGAGGGATGATCGTGCTGTTTGGCCTGCTATTGCAGATGCGTTCCGCAGAAGGTTCCGCGAGAAAACACGCAAGGAATGGGAGGACGTCTTTGATGGGAGTGATGCTTGTGCCACGCCTGTGTTTACCCATGCAGAGCTGGAGGCCGCTGGATACGAGCAACGCCCTGGAGTGACCCTGAACGGGACGCCAACACTGGACATGGGGCCACGGTCAGGATGGGATGTTGAGGTATTGGGTCTTGGGGAAGGGGGAGAGCAGGCGTTGTCGCAGTGGATGGGATGGAACAAGGGGAGGGACTACGCACTGCTCAACGGGGGATTGCAGGTTAAAGATGCCTCTCGATTGTAATAGCAGATCTAGCTGTATCAATATATCAAGGCCTAGGCTGTATCAAGCTTAATATCTACAGGAAAGCCATCGCCTGCAACTAGAGCAGTAATCACAGCCTCGCACACTCTCACAGCTGCTAGACCATCTTCCCCAGCACACCTTGGCCGTTCGCCATTCTTGATCACTCTCGCGAGATGTTCCGTCTGGAGCTGGAATGGAATGCCCTCGCTGGCCTGTAATACCTCTCGCCGAATTGGCACATTCCATCCCACCTCCAGTCCCAGCCTCCTGGCATCCACCGGGTCATAAGTCCAAAGTACGCCGTCTGGCTCAGTTAGTGTCCCGCGAGTTCCGAAAATGCGATAGGAATCAACAGCTACAGGAGCCGGGGGATACAAGGGGTTATCGCCCGTGGCTGCCTCCCACCCAAAAGGACTAGCCACATTGTCGCTCACGATGAATGTCCCAACCACTCCATTCGCGAACTGCAGCATTATCGCTGAGCCCTCCTCGACAAGATCTTCTGGCGGCACAGCCTGATTCTCTCGACGTCGGACTGTGGGAGTAGCCCATAGCCGGGTAACCCTCGAGCCCGTTATATAGTGAAGAACATCGATATCATGCACAAAGTTTGTCCATACCGGACCTCCACCGGCGGATCGTGAGGAGCGCCAGTCGGCAAAGGAGTAGTATCCGCCTGTCTTCTTTGCCGTCCAAGTTCCTGTGATCGCGGTGATTTGGCCGAGTTTTCCGCTGTCGATGGCGTCGCGCGCTGCCGCTAGGGAAGGGTGGAAGCGACGGTGGTGACCGACGAGAACCTGGCAGGATTTTGCTGTTGCTAGCTCGAGCAGATGGCAGCCTGACTTTGAGTCGGTGCAGAAGGGCTTTTCGATCAGTATGGCCTTGGGGTTTCCATTTGTGATCACATCGGTGGCCACTTGTATGTGTAGGCTTGAGGGCACGCAGATGATATATGCTTCGGGGTTTGGGGTCTCTGACGAGAGAAGAGATTGCAAGGAATCGAAGTATGGAATTGATAGCTGTGCTACCAGCTTCTGGCCTGGGGGAAAGGGGTCGATGATAGCGGTTAGCAGGCAGGTGGACGAAGAGAGTAAATACTCTGCGTGCAGGGGGGCAATAGTTCCCCCTCCTACAAGAGCAACATGGATCTTGTTGTCGGTCGTGGCCATCACGATAATTTCCGCAATAAGCTATCTTGGACGTACAATTCAACACACGGTAGATGCTTTATCCTTCATTTATTGAACCGGATGCGGGGGAGGAAGCTCGGGACTTGATATAACCGCCGGTCATAGATAAAAGGCCGGATCTGCTTGGCTTCACCATTATTCCTGTATCTGTTCGCCTGAGCTTTACTGTACGTCCTAGCAACATGGATATCCTACGGCAGTCGTACGCATACGGCAAATCACCACTGACCGCTACATCACGATCGAAACCATACCACGCCTTTCTCTTCGGTGCGAGTATCTCAAAATCTCTCTCGCCGCTCCTCCATGGCATCCTGTTCAAGTCCGCCAATGCAGTATGGTCTTATGAGAAGGTGCAGACGACTGACCGGTCAGCGTTCGAGGGTATACTGGCCGCGAACGACACTATCGGCTCCTCCATCACGATGCCCAACAAGGTCACCTTTGGCAGTTCCCTTGATCATCTCACGGAAGAAGCTAGAATCATCGGCGCAGTGAACACGTCATTTGTCCGGACTGCACCAGACGGCCGTCGAGTCCATATCGGAACGAATACAGACTGCGTTGGCATCCGCGAGGCGATTCTACAGCGATATCCGACGGCGCCTTCAACATCCAAAGGGAAGCCAGCTATGGTGGTAGGAGGGGGAGGAGCAGCGCGCAGTGCCATCTACGCGCTCTGGAAATGGTTTGGGTCATCCGAGATCTATATTTCCAACAGGCTCGACTCAGAGGTGGAGGATATCGTGCAATATTTTCGACAGGCAATTCCAGGAATCCAACTGAGACATCTTGACTCTGTTGACAGGGTGAAACAACTACCAGCGCCATATATAATTATTGGGACCGTGCCGGACTATCCCCCGACGGAGCCGGGTGAGATCCTCTGTGCGGCAATCTGCGACGCAGTCTTACGGAAGCCGCAGAAAGGGCTGCTTATGGACATGTGCTACATGCCCTCTCCGCAGACAAAGCTGTTGAGGACAGCAGCGAACAAAGGGTGGGAGACAGTGCCGGGGACGGATGTCCTGGTGCGAGTATGTGTGGCCCAACAGACGTTGTGGGTTGAAGAAATGCCGAACGAAGCGGGCATCAAGCAAGCACTGGCAGCGATGAGTGAAAAGACAAAAGCCCAGGTAGCCAAACTGTAGGTCCAAAGCACAATCCAAGATAATTTTCCGCTCCATATACTTTGTAACCGAGGGTAGTGTTTCATCCCCGCAAACCGGACTGTAAATCAATGCACCGGTCAGGGAGCTATATCGAATGCTTTAAAGACCATCTTATTAGCGTGAGGTATTCAATACAGTGCCGTTTTAATAATTTCTGTTTGCAACAATGGCGGCACACATAGCTCCCCTGGCCCAGGTCAGTACACTCAGTACATCCCATGAAAGGCTTTTATAGTGCTAACAAACGACAGCCCATCACGCTGAAGCTCTCCGGAAAGGTGATCAAAAATCGCATGTATAGAACTCCTCTAAGTGAATACGCGTCCACCTACGACGAAGACAACGTCGAGAACAGCGGAAAGCCACTGCCGCGATATGCAGAATTATACCAGGGTATGTTCCTTCGTATCAGCACCTCCCAGAAACTAGCTAATGCATGTTAGAACTCGCCGACGGTGGTGCCGGTCTCATCTGCACAGGAAATATCCCTATTCACCGAGATAACCTCGAGAACTACAACAATGCAGTCCTAGACATCAACAACCCCTGGGATCCCGTGCAGGCGTTCGCACCCGCCGTCAAAGCTGCCAAGTCTCGCGGTGCGCTTTTCCTGCCCCAGCTACAGTTCCCCGGACGCCAGGTCCCTGAGTTCCTGAACGCGAATCCGAAGTCGTCCTCCGATCGACAGCTGCAGCCGTGTCTCAACAAAACGTACGGCAAGCCATCGCAGCTGACCAAGGGCGAGATTCAGGATTTGGTGCGCAGGTATGTGTGGGCGTCAGAGGTCCTTGATAAGGCTGGAGCGGACGGAATTATAGTAAGGCCTGTTGAATCTATGCGAGATGTCTATGAAGCTAAATCATACGTAGTTGCACGCCAGTCATGGATATATCATGCAGCAGTTCCTCTCGCCCCTGATTAACAAGCGCACTGACGAGGTATGTCGAGTCCACCCTGGATATCTACCCATGAATGTCCTACCAACGCACGTATGCCTTTAGTACGGGGGAAGCCTCGAAAGCCGTGCCCGCTTTATTCTGGAAATTGTCAATGCCATCAAGGCGATACTGCCCTCGAACAGATTCGTCATTGCTGCGAAGCTGAATTGCCATGACTGTACGGTCCCTGATCTAATAACCTGGCTTCCTACTCTACTGACCGCAATCATAGTCATTGAAGGCGGAACAAGCTTTGCAGAGATGTGCGTGGTCATCAAGTGGCTCGAAGACGCCGGGGTTGACTTCTTTGATATCTCTGGCGGTACCTATGCCTCGCCTGCGTGGAGAGGAAATATCATGACAGAGCTAGCCGAGCGCCCATCGCAAAAAGAACGTGGAAGGTAAGCAGAGTATCTCATGATGGCAGAGGCGTATGTACCAATACTGATATCTCCTTTACTAGCTATTTCATTGAATGGGCGCAGGAGCTCAAGAAGGTTTTGGTAAGCACCCCGCGCACTCCTCGTCGACTCTAATTGATATGTGCTATAGAGTCGCGCGGTCATTGGAACTACCGGTGGGTGGCGTGATAGCCATCGTATGTCAGAAGCTGTGGAACACGGCGATGTCGATATGATAGGGCTTGGTAGGCCCTTGCGAGAGGATCCGAACTTCGTGAATCAGGTCTTACGAGGCGAGGTACGACGGAGCAATCTGTAGAATAGACTCCGTAAAGGCCCCGGGCAAACTTTGGATATATCAGTGCTAGGGGCCAAATATATCGAAATACTGTCCAACTATAACTCCACTAGCTGTATAGCCGTCTTTCTATTTTTCATTACATCCAACTAAATAACACAGTATATCTACTCCAAATTGGAAAGTTCACCTTTTTGCGTACGCAGCATTCAAGTTCATCTGAGTAAAACAGTCGCGGCCATAAGCTATGTTTAATAGGCCTAATATGGATATCTTAAAGAGTGGTTTGATGCTATCTATACTCCCCGCCCACCATCTACCTCCAGAGTCGTTCCAGTCACAAAAGAGCTCTGGTCGGACGCCAGATACCATACCGCATTTGCTATGTCCGTTGGCTGAGTGACTCGCTTCATTGGCAGCATGTCCTCGATCTTCTGTAGCCGCTCCCTTGAGTCCTCTCCGTTTCCAGTACTTGCTTGTAGCCTGCACACGTAAGCCTCATACAAGTTGTATACAACAGCAACCGGTACATACATGGACGTATTACCCACTGCCGGCGCGATACAATTAAATCGGATGGTTGGTGCATATTCCAACGCCATAGTTTTGGTCGCCACCTACAATGGTTTCTCCTGTTAGTATATCGACAGCCCAAAGGCAGGAAGTACTTACGTTCACTGCTGCCTTGGAGGCATTGTAGAAGGCAAATCCTGGCCGGGGCCGAGTACACCCGGTGCTGATATGTTAGAGGAATTGCTTTCGTATGTGAGTCGCGACGTACCTGGTAATGTTTACAAAGACGCCGTGTCCCTGTTCCATCATAAAGGGAACGATGGCCTGGGCGCTGCAGAATATGGGCTTCATGCCATTAGCCAAGCCTCGCGGACAGCACTATTCTAGGCCAGACTTACTCTGACATTCACGTTGAACGTCCGTTCGTACTCGAGCATGTCTTTGGTGTGCACAGACTTGTAGCAGTAAGCAATAAGCCTTCATTATACATTATATAGGCAGTACGTACACTCTGACTTCCCGTTATACCTGCGTTGTTAACGACGACATCCAGGCGGCCAAATCTCTCTCTGGCCACTGCCAGTGCCTGGCTCCAGGTGTCTTGTCGAGTCACGTCCCCCAGTAGAAAGTGCAAATTCGGATCATTGGCAGCTTTCTCTTCCCCTTTCTGATTGTTTAAGTCAAGGATTATTACGCGGCAGCCTTCGTTGCTGAATCGATCTGCGATGGCGGCGCCGAAACCATCCGCTCCGCCGGTGACAATGGCCACTCTTTGTTGCATAATGAGTTTATTGTAGATAATACTTAGTAAATAGAATACTCGGGTATCCGATTGCCACTCCACGGGGACTATGTTGTTAATAACGTGGCTAACCGAGTTTCCCTCCGGGCCTTTAATCTAGACACCGGCCCTTGACTGGCATCTCACCTCCCACTAATTTACCCCTCCAGACGCTGGCAATGTCACAGTACGATACAGGGTTATAGCAATGTCATCTGAGATCAAAATCGCAGTCGCTTCTAACTCCCTAGGAAAGTCCGCCGCAGGACACACCATCCACCGCAAACTCCAAGCCGCAAAAGCACACGGGTTTGACGGCGTCGAATTGGCATTCGAATGCCTCGACGCTCATGCTTCGACCTTCACTTCATTAACGTTTCGGAAGGAGCGTCTCTGTGCAGCTGCCGCTGATATCTTTAAAGGCGCGTCCTCGTTGGACCTTGAGCTCATCGCACTGAACCCGTTTGGAGCGTATGATGGGCTCAAGGACCCCAAAGACGTAGACGTGCGTCTCCAAGAGGCGGAACTCTGGTGTCAGCTTTGCCAGATTATGCGTATTGGCATTTTTCAGGTGTGCCAGGTCTTCAGCCTACTCATGAAGTTTTGCTAAATCGCAGGTTCTGGTAGATTTGCACCGCCCTGTACGGGATTGACGAGAGGAGGATTACGGACGATCCAACAATCATCGCAGGCAATATGCGCAAGTTAGGCCATCTAGCACAAGGTTATGGCCTTCGAGTCGCCTACGAAGCACCATCGTGGGGAATTCATAATAACACCTGGCAGCAGGTGCAGAAAATCTTAGACCTTGTTAACCTGCCCAATGTCGGCCACTGCCTAGATACCTTCCATATCGCATCGCGAGAGGCAGGCGATCCGTTCAATCGCGAGTCTCCAATTCGCCCCGGCGGACTTCCTGCTCTACAGGCTAGTCTCAATGAGTTGAAACGCACCGTGAATCCGGAAAATATTGTATACTTCCAGCTGAGTGACGCAATAGTAGCAGATTCCAAACAAACGGGGTACCCGCGTCAGGATCTGGCACAGCCGTCGTTCATGACCCAGTCACGCAACTGTCGGATTTATCCTTGTGAAGAGAAGTACGGGGGCTGTCTTCCGGTTGTTGATGTGGCGAAGGCAGTCTTTGACTTGGGATACCGGGGGTGGGTGTCTATGGAGGTTTTCCATACCGACATGTGGGAGACGCGTACCTCGTGAGTTTTTGGCCTTTCCACCTGGCGCATCTACAAGTACTAACATAAATACCAGAGTCCCCGATGATTGGGCGGCGAGAGGGATGGAGTCGTGGAAGAAGCTTGCCCCCCGTTGTGGGTTGAGATCGAGTAAGTGGTCTGCCTAGATTTTATAGAATGTGTCTGACAATTTCCAGGGCATAGGCTGTGACCGATATTTTTGTCCAAATCTAATTAGCCCCAATATCTAAACACGTAGTTATTTTAACCAATAATATGAAGTGTATTGGAGACTCCGTTTATCGGACGTGATCCGACTTGGGTGGAGAGAAGGCCGGTTAATCGTTCTGGCTGATCTTCACCGACAGCCTTCTTCCCATTCATAATCTGGACTCGCCCACCTGCTTGCCCCATTTCCCCGGATTTTATTATACTGCGCACCGATGGGAAGAGATACGAGCGGTCTACCACTGATCTCGGCACACGATGTCCTCCCCCACAGTACGCCGGACGACTGCTGGGTGGGGATCAATGGCGAGATATGGGACTTGACCTCGTTTCTGAACGAGCATCCGGGGGGACCTTCAAGTAGGCAATCCGTTACTCTATTCGGGGCAGGTCGCTAAGTATCTGGCAGTTATTCTCAAACACGCCGGGCGAGATGCCACAGACGCATTCCTTGAGGTCCACGCCATGACAATAATCAGAGAAAACATCGCCATAGAAAATTTAAAAGGCAGACTCGATACCTCGACAATTACCCCAGAATGGACAAAAACGCCTTTAAAATCGCAGTCTGCTGAGTCTGTCGCCAATTCGAAACCCCCGCTGCATTCGCTCATCAACAGGTGCGTTCACCCAGCACGGATAATTATCCGATATTGACCCCACGAAGCTACGACTTTGAACGAGCCGCGGCCGTCAGTGCGTCTAAGAAGGCGTATACGTTCTACTCCACCGCAGACACCGACTGCTGGACCCGCGACGCCAATGAGTCGATGCTGAAGCGCATCTGGTTCCGGCCGAGGGTTATGAAAGATGTCACCCATGTCGACACGTCGAGCACGATGCTTGGCCTGCCAATGTCCATGCCGTTATTTATCTGTCCGACGGGTGTAGCCAGATTGATTCATCCAGATGCGGAAAAGGGACTCGCCCGTGCGGCGAAGTCTACAGGGATTTTGGAAATTGTATGCCTTTACAGCCTGACTGAACCTGCCATGCTAACTGTCAATAGGTTAGCACGAACTCTGGCCACCCGCTCGAGGAAATCGTTCAGGAGACCCCAGGCTATCCGTTTCTATTCCAACTGTATCTCAACAAGGAGAAAGAAAAGTCAAAAGAAGTGCTGTTGAAGGCAGAGTCCCTAGGCTGTAAGGCTATCTTTTTGACAGTCGACGCAGCAGGACGAGGCAAGCGCGAGTCAGACGAAAGACTCAAGTCGAATGATGAACTCCCTCATCCAGTGACTGGAAAACCGATGAAGGCAGGCGGCGGTCTCACCCGAATAATGGGGAGTTATATCGACCAGGGAATGACCTGGAAAGACATCGCGTGGATCCGCAGTGTGACCAGCCTTCCTATTATCCTGAAGGGCATCACCTCCGCCGAGGACGCAAAGATTGCAATGCAATACAAGGTCGATGGGATTTTACTCAGTAACCATGGTGGTCGCAATCTGGACTACACGCCCCCTGCGATTCTGCTCCTGCTGGAGATGCACAAGAACTGCCCGGAGGTGTTTGACACTATGGAAGTCTATGTGGATGGAGGCTTCCGCAGAGGTTCAGACATTATTAAAGCGCTCTGTCTCGGTGCGAAGGCAGTGGGCATCGGCCGCAGTTTCTTGTATGCACTGCACTATGGGACTGAGGGTGTTGAGCATCTGATTCAGTGTATGTTTCCGCGTCTGGTGACCTACCCAAGCTAACATAACTATCTTAGTGCTCAAATCCGAAATGGAAGGTGTCATGAAGCTCATCGGTATCAAGGATCTTTCAGAAGTATACCCAGGGCTGGTCAATACGGCCGATGTTGACCACTTGGTTCCCTCAAGCCCGAACCACCCCTATATCAAGTGGAGGGCGCGGTCTAATCTATGAATACAATTTATGCAAACTATTGCCATATTGACTGACACGTATGCTCCACTAAAGCCGTAGATGATTACGGCTTCAAGAAGATAATGATGGCGGTACTGGATAGCCAAAGCGAGACTGCAGTAACGAGCACTCATGTAGCACAGGGTTTGTTATATTTAGACGAGCCTGAAGGCGAACAGCGGTATGACAAACATATTGGATGAAACTGACCGAATAATATATAACCCGACAGTCCTCGCTGTCGTTGCATAATTTCCCGATGGTACTGGGCTTCGCGCCTTCTACCACATTACGAGGTAGATGGCTCCTTCTCTCGCGCTACAGCACCATTTCAATTTATCCTGTTTATTCGTTCACATAAACAGTCATACTCTGTTTTGATTATGCTCTCCAGGGTATATCACCATGAGTTCTCTCGAACAGTCTGCCAGCACCGAGGGCCCTTCTCTCAAACCCAAGGACACCATCGACACCAACAACAATGCGACCACCGAGCCACAGATGGCCTCGAACAGTCTTGAAACCCGTTACTCGAGCTCTGCGGCCGTTTCCGAGGGTAACGCTGTCAAGTTCCATGTCGCTGGCTGCGCCTATTTCTGGGCGGTTTCAGAGGCATTGCTTACAGCGAAGGATTCCGTTTGGATATTAGGATGTATGCCACTCGATGTATGAACTGTGCAATGGTCCAGTCTGACAGCGTTAGGGTGGCTATCGCCCGAAGTCTACCTGAGACGACCGCCATCCGAGAATCAACAGTACCGGCTCGATCGGATGCTTCAAGCGGCTGCCAAGCGGGGCGTCAAGGTCAATATTGTGGTATTCAAAGAGGTCAAGGAGATAATGATCCGTAAGTTCCCTTTTCCTCCGTTACGGTATAACGACTTACTTTATATAGTGGCTTCGAGACATACCAAGCGCGCATTAGAGTCCCTCCACCCTAACATCTCGGTCTTCCGATACCCAACCCATATCGAAAATGCGCAGGACATCCTCTCATCGGCGAGAAGCATATTTGAGAGCGTGGGTGCCGGTTACGCTGCGGATGTGGACCATATCTCAGATAGGACACTGCAGACGCTCTTTGGCATGGTAGGAGGACCGACTCTGCTATGGACTCACCATGAGAAACTCGTCATTGTCGACCAGCACGTCGCGTTCTTGGGAGGCATTGACCTTTCGTACGGCCGCTGGGACCCAATACAACATCCCATTGCTGATGCCCATTGTGACAACGGGGATCAAATTATATTTCCTGGTCAGGACTACAATAATGGCCGAGTGATGGACTTTAAAGATGTCGCCAACTGGGAGCGAAACGAGCTGCTTCGCCGCGACACATCCCGTATGGGATGGGAGGATATCTCTCTCAGTGTTACAGGCCCTGTTCTTGCCGACATCTGCCAGTACTTTGTTGATCGCTGGAACTTTATTCACAGGCGGAAATACAACAGCGGCTTGCCTTGTCTGCGGAGATATAAGCCCTTGCCACCGCCAAAGCCATACATTCGGAGGGTGGACGAGCCTGCTGGGTCGATGAGCTGTCAATTGGTGTGTAGTGTATCGCATTGGAGCCATGGGACCCTGACTTAGCACAGCATTTATAATGCGTATCTCGACATCATCGACAAAAGCGAGCATTTCGTGTACATTGAGCAGCAGTTTTTCATCACCGCCACTGACCAGTCGCCCGGTCCGATATGGAACAGAGTCGGTGATGCACTCGCCGCGCGTATTGTTCGTGCTGCAAGAGAACAAAAACGCTACAAGGTCGTCGTCGTCTTGCCTGCAGTCCCTGCATTTGCTGGCGACCTCCAGTCTCCCATTGCTGGCAAGCCACCGCGGGCACTCATGAAGCTGCAATACGACTCCATTAGTCGAGCTGAATTCAGTGTGTTTGAGATATTGCAGAAACAAGGAATCAACCCAGATGAGTATATCAGCTTTTTCAACTTGAGGAGCTACGACCGCATCAATATGGCTACACCGGAGAAGCCTGATAATGTCGTCAATTTATTCGGCTTCCAGATACCAATTCCGCAATTTCGAGCGCGAAATGCACGGCCTCGAAACAGCAACTGGGACAGCGTCAGTTCATGCTACATGTTTGGTGATGACGACATCAGGAATGTTCCCTGGCCCGACGCTTCTGTCCCTGACATCGATGCCTTCGTGAGCGAGGAGCTGTACGTCCACTCCAAGTTGCTTATTGCTGACGACAAGGTGGTAGTCTGTGCTTCTGCCAACCTCAATGACCGGTCTCTCAAAGGGAGCCGCGACTCTGAAATGGGACTCGTCGTGGAAGGGGGCGATGTCCTGGCGACGACCATGCATGGCCAGCCCTTCCAAGCAAGCAAGTTTGCCGCTACGCTGCGCCGGTACCTCTATCGCAAGCACCTTGGCCTTCTGATTCCTCAGGACATGCGCAACCCTGATGGCCACTTTATGCCTGCACCTGTGCCAGATGACTACGATCACGGGTCCAAGGAGGACCAGCTTGTGGCGGATCCACTGAGTGACGAGTTTCTGCAGCATTGGAACGATGTTGCACATACAAACACCGCTGCCTTTAGAAAGGTGTTCGCTCCGGTTCCAGATGACTCGGTCAAGAGCTGGCTGGAGTACGACGAGCTCTTCTGGAAGCGTTTTATTGGGCCGGATGGTTTTCACTTTGGACAATGGGGCCATGTCCAGAAGAGCAACTTCTCAGATGGTGACGAGGGAGTCAAGCAGGTCAAAGAGGAATTGTCAAAGATCAGGGGTACATTAGTTGAGATGCCGCTGCAATTTCTGGTCAACTCGAATATCCAGATAGAAGACCTGGGATATGATATCATCACCAGGCAGGGCTACGTCTAGCCTTGGACACCCCCTGTCATTATTAGAGGGTAAACCTCGAATTTAATAGCGCCCTCTGTATCAAAATATAACCCCTGCTCCTCTGAATGCTTCAAATGCCTCTAGCCAGCCATCAAGCGGGTTACGCTGTTCAGTAAATCCCACTGCCCTCAATCGCTCAGCACTAAACTGCCTATCGAATCCCAGCCACCATCCAATAGCATCCAGTTGTTTATGGCCAATACCAACACCACACGTCAGAGCCTTTTGCTTCTCATTCTCCCCGAAAAGATGGCGGTGTTTCTCAATATATTCTCCAGGCTTGAGATCCTCGGACTCGGCTGTAGGTCCAACACCCTTGAGTCCAAACCAAGCCGCGATCCCTGGCCATATATCACTGGCACTGATTGGCTTGTCGTTATCCAGCATGTTGATGACCTTCTCCCCACAAAGATCTGGGTTCAGCGCAGCATGGATCGAAATCCGCCCAAGAATCTTCCCAGAGACAGGGGTATACAGCGACCGATACCCAGCCTCATTCCCGGGAAATGGGACTTCAATCTCCTTTCCCCCGGAATCTCTATGGTTATACGCGTATAAAGAGAGAAATTGTGCCCAGTGCAGTGCGAGAGAATAGGCTGAGCCATTCGGGGTGAATCCGATGACTGCGTCCGGACACACTTCGGACCACGTCCAGGCGCGCCCTTTACTGGCTGCAGTCAGGATCTTTCGGAACCAGGGATACGCGACCGTCTTTGCGTAGTCTTCTGGTAGAGTATCGGCCATGGATTCCTGGAGGGGTGGTTGGAAGACACCGCCTGGGATATAAACGCCGTAGCCCTTGGAATGTTAGTGGTAACGAGAGGGTGTGGATACTGCGTTATGGGCTCATACTCTGGATCCCCCTGGGTAAACGAATGATTTCAGTTTTGGGGCGACGGTGTTCAATGCGTCGGCGAGGCGCTGCATGATGGCGCAGTTCTGGTTGCATTCTTGGATGTGGTCGTCGTTGAAAGGAGCGAAGACTGATAGCGTGTTAGCCCATTTGACCTCTAGTATAGCTAGAATAGAATACCAAAGTAGAAGACGTGGGTGATGCTTTCCACGTTGGCGACTTTCTCGCGTAGCTGCGTGGCCAGTTCATCGCTGCTCCCCTGTAGGAGATTGATCCCCGAGACGATATCTAGCGATGGCCGATTCGGACCTGATGGAAGATGAAGATCGGATTCGCTGACCGGTCGATTGAGCACAGCAGTGACGCGTGAGAAGGGCTTGGATGAGGGATATCCACACAGCAGCTGGTTCAGGGTGGCCCATCCCAGCAGGCCGGCTGCCCCGAACACGATAGCATGGTTGTCTGCCATAGTAATTCCTGAATATGATTAGGGCAATAGCCTTGTCAAGACGGGTCCTTTTATCGAAAGAGTTGTTCATGAGTCATGATGAGTGCACGGCGGGGACCAGTTTGGGTGCATAAAATGCATAAAAAGTGGGGATTCCAGGATTCCATCCTATCACATTGTCCTTATATCCTCTGCCTGTCTCCGCTTCTTTGCTTGTCTGGTATTCCTCCAAATATACGAAAATTGGCTCTGCCCTGCTCCTCGCGAGCAGGTAGAGAGTTCTGCGGAGGGTGTTACAGTAATGAACTACTATATAAATATTTTATTATAAATATGGATCTCAAGGGCTCTTAATCACAGCTTCGACGACACCTTTCCTTCCTCTTCCAACTTCGCCTGCTCCACCAAGATCCGTCGCAGAATTTTCCCAGCAGTACTCTTCGGAATAGCCTCCACGAACCTCACGCCCCCCCTTAGCCGCTTATGGGGCGCCACCCGGCCCTCTACCCACCGCATAATCTCTCCTTCTACTTTCTCCCCCGCCTCATACCCCTTACTCAGGACTACATACGCCCGCGGCAACTCCGTCGCTCTCTCTCTGCTATACACGCCGATAACAGCGACATCGTCGATTGCCGGATGGCCTAGCAACAGCCCCTCTAACTGAGTTGGCGCAACTTGGAACCCGTTGTATTTGATGAGCTCTTTGAATCGGTCGGTGAGGAATAGGTTCCCCGAGGCGTCGATATACCCAATGTCCCCAGTGCGGAACCAGCCATCGCTGAATGTTTCCGCCGTTGCGGAGCGGTTCTGGTAGTAGCCTTTGAAGATGTTTGGGCCTCGCAGACAGATCTCGCCTTCTTGCCCGGCAGGCACTTCGCTTCCGTTGGAGACGATCTTGAGGGACATCGACGGGATGAGCTTGCCGACTGAGCCGACGGGGTTGTTCCAATCTGCAGTTTGCTGGGGGATTGTTAGCGTTGATGACGTTTAAGAAAGGGTATAGGAATGGTTGGGTTTACCTGTGATGATATTGCGGGTGCGGTTTCTGACATGCCGTAACTTTGCTTAATGGGTACCTTTAGACAAGCATATATCATATCGATCAAGTCTTGGGTGAGTGGTGCTGCCGCGGAATGCATGATTCGCAGCGACCTCAAGTCAAATTTGTCGAGGAGGGGATGTTTGGCGAGGAGAAGCACAATTGGAGGGACGACATATGCGATTGTGACCTTGTAGAGTTGGATCGCGGATAAGAATCTTTCCAAGTCAAAGCGCTGCATTATATGCATCGTGACCCCTTTATAAATGGGTTGGAATATCAGAGCTGCGATGCCTAGAGCCCTGATTTTAGCTAGTTTCATAAGAAGCACGGTGGTCTGAGAGCTCACCATAGATATGAAACATGGGCAAGAATGAAAGCATAGAGTCATCCCTCCAGTTCATCGCATCTCTCTCCGCAGAGTAATGCTGTAGAATATTCGCCACGATATTTCCATGGCTGAGCATCACCCCCTTTGGGAGTCCCGTAGTCCCAGAGGAATACACGAGAAACGCCAAATCTTCACTGGGTTCCATTCTTGGCTTGCCCACGACCTCCCTCGCCTCCTTCAATTCCTCGAAATGTTTTGCCTTCCCCTTCACATCCGGATCCCCAACAAGAATGATCCGATCGAGTGGCAGCCCTACAATGAGCGCCGCCTGACGGGCTACATCGAGACAGCTCGCGTGGGTGGTGAGAGCCCTGGCGCCAGAACTCTTGAGCAACGAGGCGAGCTCGTCGACGGTGTAGAGATTATTAATGGGACAGACGACGCCGCCTCCCCAAAGAGTGGCGCCGACTATGGCGGCGATGTCTGCACTGTTGGGGGAGAAGATGGCCATTACGTCGCCTTTTTGCCATTGCCATTTTGTGCGGAGGCCGCGGCCGACTTCTATTGAGGTCTGGCGGAGACTTCGGAATGTGTATCTCTTGTCATTGGATAGGTCCACGAATATTGCTATCGCCGAATTAGCAATTGGCAATGATGGAATTGTGATGCAGCTTCACCGTGGTCTTCGGGGTATTCAAGATCTCTTCGTTCAAAAAGAAAGCTCCACAGATCTACATCTGGCACGGAAATTGGTGGATGAGCTGAATGGGTAGGCATGTTCGCAACAGTGGACGGTCAGTCCATTGGCTTAAGGTAAAGCAAACAGCAAGCGGGAAACAGCTCGGTTTAAAAGGCAAATTACCCCGTCAGTCATATCTCACAGAGGCGCCGAACCCCACAGATAGACCTACCCTATCCTGACTTCGGCTTTTCTGGAGATTAGTGATCATCGAGCCTACCACTTACTATGTGCCGAGTCCACCTGGCTCACAGCTCCAATTAAGTCAGCCTTGCGTAGACCTCGGCAGAGGGGACCCGTTGGGGATTTCTTTTTGTCTTTTGGCCATTTGAGCCCAGTGGCATCCTAATGGGACCTATACGGTAAACCCCACAGAATAAAGTGGATGGCTTTGAAAAGGCTTGACATACCAACAGGATTCACGGGGTCTATTTATGGCGGAACTGGGTGTGGAATTTAATATAGATTCAATTCAATCTGATCGTACTCTATCACAACTTCGAAAACATCGTCTCCTTCTCTGCCCTAACATCCAACTCCTGCGACCACGTACTCCTCGGCTGCGTATGTAAATACCAATAGATTTTGGCCAAATCCGTTGGCTGCATAATAAACCTATCTGCCTCCTCTAACTTCTCCCTCTCTCCCGCCCGCTCCCACTTCCTCCTGGTGACCCCTCCGATCAACTTCCCATCTACCGGTCCATCAATAACGAGATGCGCAGCATGGATACCCCGACTCTGATACTCCCGCGTGATGATCTGTGCTAAAGACCTGAGTCCGAATTTACCAGGCGAGAAGCTGGACAGACCGGGCATGCCGCGAAGTGAGCCCGTGGCCCCGGTGAAGATAATCGTGCCCTTTGAGGCAGATAGCATGTCGGGGAGCACGCATTTGGCAGACCAGAACGCACCGAACAAGTTTGATTTTGGTGAAGTTTTCGAATTCCTCGGTCGTAGTGTCTAGAATCGAGCGCCCATTCACACGCCTCGCGCCCGCGTTATACACCAGGACATCCACCGGCCCAAGCTCTTCTTTAATGGATTTAAAGCTCGAGATGACTTGCTCTTCGACCCGGAGATCAGTGATGTAGTAGTGGGCGGTGTGTTTCCCAAAGTCGGCCTCGATGCCGGTGCTCATCGTTTGTAGCTTGTCCTCTGTGCGCGCGAGTAGGGCAACGATGAAGCCTTCTTGGACGAAGCGTCGTGCCACTGCTTCGCCTATGCCCGGGCCGGCGCCGACAACCGCAATGACGGGTTTCTTTTGCGGGTTGCGTGACATGGTTGAGTATGTGCGAACTATGAAGGATAAGATGAGAGACCGTGGTTGACCGTGCGTGAGGGCTGCGTTGGAATTTGGAGTTTGGACGTTGGACTTTTGGAAGCTGATGGAGGAATAGATGTGATGTAATAAAGGTGCTTGCTTAGGTTAGGTTTGTCTACAATTTGCGTCGATGATGAATGTGGAGAGCAGTAACCAGTTGTCGGACCAAGGGCCGTTGGTGAATACTAATCACACCCAAGACCTCGGCTTGGTCGGGAAGATTTGTCTTGGATGTTCGAGATTATCTCCAGTTCCTAGGGGCGGCAGTTCATAGCCACTAGTGCGCCAATTCAAATTCGGTGTATAATATCAACAGTTCGATACTGGTGGCAGTATGGGATGTTTTGTCGAGACACGAAGCAGGGGCTATACTGAGTGACCCACTTATCTTGGTGTTTTATGCTATCTCAGCTTGCCCAGACATATCTGTTTAGTGATCAACCGCGGAGCAATTCATCGGTGATCTGCAGTGATCTCTCACCACCTGTATTTAATCTTGCCAAATTATAAGAGATTCTCACCGCGATCCACGTTCGTCTTAAAAATCTCAAAACTATACCCAAAGGATATTGCATTTCTCGGCTCACTTACACAATGCCGTTCAACACAGCCCTGACCAGGAAACTTGGGATATCGAGTGAGCTTATGTTGGCATTTTCTTGTAATGCTACTTGCTAATAACACCAACAACAGTTCCTGTCGTACAGGGTGGTATGCAATGGGTCGGATACGCAGAGATGGCTTCCGCGGTCAGCAACGCTGGCGGCCTGGGAATTGTGCGTATCCTTTTTCATAATCCTAGGCTTTGGAAATATGGAGCTCGAAATCTCTATTCTATAGACCACGAATGTTCTGACACCCGCGGCAGCTCACGGCACTCACCCAGCCAACGCCTGAAGCCCTACGAGAAGAGATCCGCAGATGTAGGACTATGACTGATAAGCCCTTTGGCGTTAACTTGACCCTTCTCCCTGCCATCATACCTCCAGACTATCCAGCATACGCCCAAGTCATTATCGATGAAGGTATCCGCATTGTTGAGACAGCTGGAAACAACCCGGGCCCTGTGATTGCGAAGCTCAAGAAAGCGAACGTGACTATTCTCCACAAGTGTACCACAATAAAACATGCCAAGTCTGCCGTCAAATTGGGTGTTGATTTTCTGTCCATTGACGGCTTCGAATGCGCGGGTCATGTTGGGGAACACGATATCACAAACTTTATCTTGTTAAGTCGGGCAAGACAAGAGTTGAGTGTTCCATTCATTGCCTCCGGGGGGTTTGCAGATGGCCATGGGTTGGCAGCAGCACTTACTTTGGGCGCCGAAGGCATCAATATGGGTACCCGCTTCATGGCCACTATCGAGGCGCCGATCCACCTTGACGTCAAAAAGGCGATTGTTAACTCGGACGAGCACCAAACAGACCTTGTCTTACGTCGATGGAAGAACACTTCTAGGCTTTTCCGCAACAAGGTCACACAAGAGGCGGTGAAAATCGAGAAGAACAGCCAGACCGGCGATTTCAAGGAAGTCCAACCTTATGTTGACGGTAAACGGGGCCGACAAGTTTATTTAAATGGCGATGTTAACTATGGTGTGAGTAACAATCACTAAGAGCAATTGTCGGACTTATACAAGAACTAACAAATCCAATCAGGTGTGGTATGCTGGTCAAGCCATGGGTCTCATTAATGACATCCCGACCTGCCAGCAGCTCCTTAGACGCATAGAGTCGGAAGCCATTGATGCTCTACGAAAGTCAGAGACACTCTATACGGAGCCACCGGCTCAGAGTAAGATCTAATTCAAAGGTTCAATGCAGCCTGTGGTACGTAACTAGGCTATATGGGCTGCTGCAGGCTAGGGTAATTCTGCCGCATGTGGTTCAGTTAGACGGTGTTAATCTATAGAGCAATATGTCCAGATCCCTATGCTTTTAGCTTGATCCCACTAGTTAGTTTATTCTTCAGCATTTTGCAATCCACATCGGCTATGTTTGTAGCAATCACCCTGAATTATTGGATTCTACCAGCGGGATTGAAACCACAGCTCTATGTATATTCAACTAGAATATGCTAGAATATCCCCGTGGGCCCTGCGTGTCGTGGCCCTGAGTCCATCATTGGGCCTCTTCGAAGGTACAAAGAAAGCAACCCTGCAATGGATGGATCCAAATCCCTGCAGGCCAGCCGCCAGAGCTTCCGATCACCAACACTTGCATGCACCGGTCTTGCGAGCTCTAGAGCAAGTTATATTCAGCTGACCTACCAGTAAAGAGCTATAATATAGTTATATATATACTCCGCAGATTAAAGTTACATTAGAGATATATATAACTATATTTTGGAAAGCTAATAATAACAATATACTTCCTTAATAAGATAATATCTTCAGCTATATAATAATAGAAGTTACAGGCCAACCCACCGTTAGTGCCATCCACAATCTCGAGCAACAAGCCCAATGTCCTGCTGTAGGTTGTAGCAGGCGGCTGCTTTACCCAGGCTCAGATTAAGCCAGTTAAACACGAGGATCTTTTCGCGTTGTTGTCGCCCACGGCATCAAGCCAAGCGCGGTCCGTCGGTAAGACGGCTGAACGGAGCACATCGATAGCAGGATCGGGGACGGCAATTCTCGGGGCAAGCCAATTTCAGTATGCGCTACGAGAAAGTGCTGTCTGCCAACGGTGAGGCATTTACTGTTGTTGGAGCCTTGGAGGTCAGCCCGGTGTCATCAGCTTCAATACGCGACACGTTGCAGCCCGAGGCTATGCGCAACAGTGGACCAACCCCGGGCGTCAATGTAGTATGATGTTAACCCTGAACAAGCTGGTTGATAGCCGCCGGTGGAGAGACGGCGATAGCCGTGCCGGCCCATGCCAAGCTGGTAGTATCAGACGGTTACTGCCTAAGAGATAAGCATAAACACCGTCCAATGGAGTATGGACGGTTCAGGCCATCATACACCTGCATTAGACGCGAGGCCGAAGATTAGGCGGCGGGCAGAACGCACAGCCGGCGATGCAGTTGAGGCCGGAGAAGCGTAACCCCTTTTGATGCAAGCAGTAAGCAGCCAGGAGCAGTAATCCCAGCCCGGGACAAACAGGCCGCCATGACGTCGCAGTCGGAATCTGGAATCCGAAGACACCTGAACGGAAAGATCTGCTGTTCCCCATGGGGTTGCACGCGAGCGGTCTTACCACAGTTTCCCCTTCCGCCCTTCATTCACCACTGCCATTCTTTATCAAATATCTCCATACTATTTTGTCAAAGAGTCCCAATAACGGCATTTCAGTGCAGAATGTTCGAGGCAGTTCTGTGCATTCTGTGATTCTGCTCATTCTGGCGACTGAAACGCCTAACCCCGACTGGGACTAGCCGCGAGTTAAATCTGCATGTTGATGGTTATGGCCAATCACCGTGTACCGGTATCCTGCGAGAAACAGAGACCCGCTATTCCGCGATGTGCCATTGGCTGTCTTCCCCGGAGTCTCCCCGGACTATGGCCCACCCCCCCTCATTCATTCTTCTCCTCTTCTCTTCACGAGCCAGGGACAGCTGGCCAAGGACAGGCCGGCCGTCCAGTTATCTCTCTGGAGTCTTCTACGGGTCGGCTTTTGACCGGTCTCCAGCTCAGGACCATGGCCATGCCGTGCGTATCTCGGCCTCAAGCCGACCCCATAAATGCTGCCCTCTTCCCCCTTGCTATCGTCTTTGAAAGCAGCCTCGAGCTCTGAAGCTTCTTCTCGTGTTATCTTTTAATAGTTTCCAATTCACTATGGCTGATATGGTCGAAACGGACGACGGCCAGATCAGGCCCGAGACCTCCATCCGAGACAGCCAGTCCTCCATCAAAGGCGACACCCAGCATGCCGAACTGTCCAGACAACGTGAGCCATACGGACCACCAGGCCTCCGGGGTGTCATTGCCAACCCATTTGTTCTTCTCTGCGCGGCATGTTCAACCCTCGGTGGTCTGACCTTTGGCTATGACCAAGGGGTTATCTCCGTGACATTGGTGATGGACCAGTTCCTTGGCAGGTTCGTTGAGATCGCCGAAGGACATCCGGGTTCGGGCTTCTGGAAGGGCCTGATGACGGCCATGTTGGAACTGGGTGCCTTTGTTGGTGCTTTCAATCAGGGATGGCTTGCCGATAAGATTTCACGAAGATACTCCATCGTCGTCGCGGTCGCCATTTTCATCGTCGGATCGGTCCTGCAAACGGCCGCTGTGGACTACGCTATGCTCACTGTTGGTCGCACGATTGGTGGTATCGGTATCGGTATGCTGTCCATGGTTGCCCCGGTTTATATCTCGGAGATCAGTCCACCGGAGTGTCGTGGTGCGCTCCTTGTTCTGGAAGAGTTCTGTATCGTCCTGGGCATTGTCATCGCCTATTGGATTACCTATGGTACCCGGTATATGGCTGGAGAGTGGTCGTGGAGACTGCCCTTCCTGCTGCAGATGGTTCCTAGCTTTGTCCTCCTTGCTGGTGTGGTCGTGCTTCCGTTCTCTCCACGGTGGCTCGCCTCCAAGGGACGCAATGATGAGGCCTTGCAAAGTCTGTGCAGGCTGCGACGGTTGCCAGAGTCCGACCACCGTGTTCAGCAGGAGCTTCTTGATATCAAGGTTGAAGTGCGCTTCCACCAGGAACTTAACGCAGAGAAGCACCCCAAGATACAAGGGCCGGGGCCTAAGATGAGCTTTCTCCGTGAGATGGCCTCATGGGCCGACTGCTTCAAGAGTGGCTGCTGGAGACGGACTCACGTTGCTGTTCTTGTTATGTTCTTCCAACAGGTACGTTCCTCTATGATTCCACCTATTTCTAGAAGCTAATTTGTATAGTTTGTCGGCATCAACGCCCTCATCTACTACTCCCCAACGCTATTCAAAACTATGGGCCTCGACTATGACATGCAGCTGCTCATGTCCGGAATCATCAACGTGACCCAGCTCGTCGGTGTCTGCACCAGTGTCTGGACCATGGATTCCCTCGGCCGTCGTACCCTTTTGCTCTGGGGCGCTGCCATCATGGCGATCTCGCATATCATCATTGCAGCCCTGGTCGGCATTTACTCCGACAATTGGCCCGCGCACCGTACCCAGGGCTGGGTCAGTGTCGCCTTTCTCTTCGTGTACATGCTTGCGTTTGGTGGGACATGGGGTTCCGTTGGATGGGCGCTGCCAGCAGGTATGATCAGACTATACACCGAGATAAAAGCTTTACTAACACGTAACAGAGGTCTTTTCTTCCTTCCTCCGGGCCAAGGGTGTGGCGCTTTCCACCTGCGGGAGCTGGCTGTTTAACTTTATTATCGTAAGTTTCGTTCAGTGGATGTGCCTCGAGTCTTACTAACAGTGTCAGGGCCTCATCACTCCTCCGTTAATCGATGATACGGGCTATGGCGCGTACGTATTCTTCGCGGTGTTCTGTGTCCTCGCCTTTATCTGGTCTTACTTCTGCGTCCCTGAAACTAGCGGTCGGACTCTCGAGCAGATGGACCATGTATTTAAGGATAACTCGTCCAGTTCTGAGCGTGCTAGAAGGCAGGCTATTGAGAATGAGATGATGGATGAGCATGAGGCTGTGGGTGCGTAGACACTGGCTGTTTCACCTGTATATATATATATCACCGAATTATTACGATAGCGCTTGATACAACGAATTCTATAAGCCACGTTTCGCACTCGAATATTTTAGACGTTTCTTCATAGATCTGAAGCGATACATACTCCTCATCAGGTACTATTTAATGTTTCATTGCCCATGACATCGGCTCCCTCCCAACGGTTGCTCCCTTCACCGACTGAATAGGGAGTCCACCCAAAACCCCGTGTCTGAGCCCGACGCTCCTCTCCAATGCTTATCACTAGGTATAATGACAGCTGGCATGGACTGTCATAAATGTCGATTTTGCGACCGTCGCACACAAGTCCAGAGTGCACGACAGCAAAGTCTGCGACAATTTGGCCCGTGCGGCGCCCAAATCCGAATACGAGTGTGTTCGATGCCTTGCGTCCCCGCAGGAAGACTTGAGCATCTGGTTGACGATGTATAGGCTAACGTGGCCGAGCAGCATTAGAACTTTATGTCAACAGGTTTATGGCTACGAAGAAGCGGCGAGTCAAGATGATTCTGGGGATAAACAGGAGTCTTGCACAGCATCTGCATGACATCCAACCACCCAGTGCCGTGGGTATAAGAAATTACGTTGATCCGCTTGGTGATAACCGTGGTGCATACGACTACGATGGCTGCAGCTTGCCAGTTGTAACTCTCGTGGCGAGCCACGTTGCGAGCCACTGGCTGTCTACATGACAGGCTGTTTTAACGACTTGAATGGTCCAACGCAGCCAGCCAAAAGAGCAATCTGTAGCCGGTCGATACCACCCTACTCGGGAGAATCCGGCAGAACCGTGTCTTAGGCGTGGCTCCTGACATCCGGTCCATGCAATGTTGGAGGGCGCAATCGGAGAATCACGACGGGGCATCTCCGCGCTGGGACTCGCTGGACCCTTATGCTCGCCCTTGCTGCCAGTGGCACCCGATTAGAAAGCAGCGTTTCTGCCATTTGTCAGCCAAAACCGATTCTGACCAGGAACCTCCTGCAAGGATCAGTATGGATAATAAGCCGGTGTGCATGTTCGTATGAACTGACGGGCTCCGGAACCCCTGATGCGCCAGATCCCAAGCTCAACAATCCGGATCGAAAAAAATCAATTTGACTTTGTCGCATTATCTGCCGTTACCGGACGTTGAACGCGATGGTAGGCGTCAGGCCGCCAGAGTTGACGATTCGACATGTCCAATGGCCGGGCTAAGGAATGGAGTCTTCCTCATCCACTTTCGACGATAATCGGGACGCAGGGCAGGTTCGCAAATTTGCAGGATATCGGCGGTACGGGGACTGCGTGAATAGGGGTATGCTGTTCTCGATAGCAGGCGGGCTGACGTAGTGATGGTGAATATCTTAGCAGAAGAGTTGCATTGTAGCAGGAGCAGTTCCTATAGGACCCGATGCAGAACCAGACTAAGCTGACCCCGGCAAGGCATCCCCTACTCTCGTATGCTCTGTCACCCCCGAATCCCGGCTCTCGGATCGGCAGCGCAAAACTTTAGAAGGGAAGAGTTGGAGAATAAGCGTCAGCAGCCCGCGTGGGTGTCTCGTTCTCGACTTCAACCATCGGAAAATGACAAAGCGACACCGGGTCCAGGTTCCTGAGCCGGAAGTTAAACGAGCAGATGCTGACAGTATTATCCATCACAGCCAGCCCCAGAGATGCGATCTGGCCCCAGTGCGGTCGGGCAGCTGGGGTTTGCGAGCTGCATAACAGGCTGGTTCGCAGCTTCCAAGACGACGGCTCGAGTGGTTTCCCCGCATTGACGAAGATATCCCGGGACGAGGGGGCGGTTAATATAACATTGTAGGCTGGGCGAGGTCTCACGCCGCAGCAGGAGGGCGATGATATACCTGGTGCTGTCCAGAACTGGCCCCCAACACGACGAGCCGGCAAGTGCGCACCGCTGGGCCACACGGGAGGCTGCCCAATGGAGCCGAAGCAGCCGGGGGGGAAGTGGCCCTATTGGCCAATGGAGAGCTGCGATTGCTAATGGAATTTAACCTTGTTGCCACCGACCGAGAGAGCGAAGGATGGCGGCCGCAAGCTGAGCCGTGTCGGGGTCACCGTGGAGTCTGCCACTGCCGCCCGAAACGGCGAAAACTCTTCGGCATCCCATGACTTTGATATTCTTGACGGCTTACAGTGGACGTACAGAATAACATATGCATGCACAGTTGCCTGGAACAGCCAAGTCCTGGGGAAGCCGAGAGATGCCGTGGGGTGCTGATCGCGGTCGCAGCCCTGCCAGAGCCTTGTGCCACGCGAACGACACAACCAAAACATCCGGAGTCGGGGACCCGGGTTAAGCATGCCAAGCGTTGAGAAGCTTTAGGCGTTTAGCCAGACAAACCAGGGCTTTTCTCGGCCAGTCAAGCCTTGACTCGGGATCTGGGCATGCTCGAAACCGCCGATCCGAGTGCTGGGGTTCGGACGTTGGCCGAGTGCAGCCCACAGTTTCCACTCCATTCCACATGGACAGCCTGACACCGGAGATTTCTCACACTGTCCGAGGATGACCCGATCGTGCCACACCGCCGTGGTGGAGGGGAGAGTCGAGTTTGCGTCATTAGTTGCCAGTTATGAGGAAAGTCGTGAATTATGGGCCGGCTTGAGTGACTACATTGTGATGGGCGCCGGGGGAACCCCGAACACACAGACTTCTCCAGCTCGCGAGTTGCAATGGAGCTGCCCATTGTGAAAGTCAATTGGCAGACAAGCTCACGCAATCCGGAGGTGTGAAAGTGCGGTGGAGCTGTGGTATGCGAGCCCCTCCGTGTCCGACTCTGTTTCGCAGTTGGCCTCTACACGACTCGGGGGGACCCAGTCTACCACACTCTGGCTGAGGCACCAGGTACCGCGTGATGAGAAATCCCTCTCCGGCATTCTCCTCAGTCTCACCGGTTGAACGTGGAGACACACAGATGGGGTCAGTTGAGTTTGAATTTTGAATTGAGGGGACGAGGGGAAGTAAACGAGGGCTTACACCCTCTCCACGGGGTCTCCCCGATGCTATAAAGGCAGCTTTACCTCCCCTTCAGAGTTTTCTCCAGGTTCTGCTATCCCTTCTCTGCACAGTGTGACAGACCAGACTCTCATCGCCATGGCTGACAGGGTTACCACCATCTTCGGCGCCACCGGCAGCCTGCTGCACACCCTCCAGGTCGTGCTCATCGGCGCCCCGGCCTTCATTGTCTTCGGTTACAACCAGGCTGGGCTAGGCCCTCTGGCCCTCCTGGACAGCTGGGTCGAAACTTTCCCAGACATCGACACCCTCAACACCGAAGGCGCGCTCAAGGACCACAACAACACCAGCAAGGGCGCCGTCATCGCCGCGTTCCAGATCGGTGCGCTGATCGGTGCCCTCTCGACGACGTTCATGTCTGACCGCTTTGGCCGTCGAAGGACGATCTTTATTGGTGCCATCCTGACTATCATCGGGCAGGTCCTGCAGGTGGCATCGTACGATCTTGCTCAGTTTGTTGTTGGCCGCGTCATCCTCGGTTTGGGTGTCGGTCAGTTTAGTGTCGCTGTCCCCGTCTGGCAGAGTGAGTCCTCCGCCGCGAAGAACCGTGGCCAGCACGTCATTCTCGATGGAATGTTTATGTGCCTGGGTTACGCTCTCTGCAACTGGATCGATTTTGGTCTGTCATACGCCGAGGGCACGACCCAATGGCGTGTCCCGCTCGCTCTCTCGCTGCTCCCCTCCCTCATGATCCTGACCTCCGTCTTCCTCTTCCCTGAGTCTCCCAGATGGCTCGTTCAGGTCAACCGGATCGAAGCGGCCGAGAGCAGTCTCGCGACGTTGAAGGACCAGGCGACCCCCGAGGAAATCCGCGCTGAAATTGCCGGAATCCACACCTCTCTTGAGTTGACAGCCCACTACAAGGGCTCGCTCATGGAGATCTTCAAGAAAGATGACGAGGAGAGGCTGCTCTACCGCTTCATCCTCTGCTTCATGCTGCAGTTCCTCCAGCAGATGTGCGGTGGGAACCTCATCTCCGTGTATGCGTCGACCATCTTCGAGGAGAACCTCAACCTCGGCGAGAGCCTGTCGAAGATCCTCGCCTCGTGCGCTCTCACCTGGAAGTTCCTGTGCTGTTTCATCTCGTTCTTCGCGATTGATCGTCTCGGCCGCCGCGTTTGCTTCATTGTCAGTGGCAGCGGTATGGCTGCGTGCATGCTCGCCCTGTCCATCACCAACAGCATGCCCTCAGACAATCGAGGTGCGCAGATTGCGTCCGCGGCCTTCATCTTCCTCTTCAACCTCTTCTACCCGATCGGCTTCCTCGGTGGGAACTTCCTGTACACGACCGAGGTCGCGCCGGCGCGCCTTCGTGTTGCCATGTCTGCTGTTTCGACCGCCAACCACTGGCTGTGGAACTTTGTCATCGTCATGGTCACCCCCGTCGCTCTGAACACAATCGGGTACCGCTACTATGTCATGTACACTGTGCTGTCGGCGTGCATCCCGATCTCGGTGTACTTCTTCTACCCCGAGACGATGAACCGCAACCTGGAACTCATCAACCAGGTCTTCCGCGATGCGTCGTCGCCTTGGGAGATTGTCTCGATGGCCAGGAAGCTGCCAGAGGGCGAAGTCGCCGAGGCGCAATTGGCGGCAGTCACCAAGGAGGGTGCTGGGGTGGAACAGAAGGAAAACGTTTAATGTAATGCTGGAATTGAGTTAACGATAGAAGAATTTGATATGATAGAAATTTCAATGTTGACTACGCATGAATCTGCCTATTCTTTCACCCGCGGGGCTATCGAGGCTGCTTTTCCGGTGTTCCGGTCGCTGCGGGTTGTGCTCTTGCCGGTCGTCGGCTCCGGCCGTGGCTCCGGCTATGGCCCCGGCAGTGTGTGGCTCCGGTAACGTCTAACCGGACACAACACGTCCGGTGGCTTCACGATCGCTATTCGTAGAATGTATAAAGTATCTCAGGAGACGTAATTGACGCGGTTGGCGAAACGCTCGTGTTCGCTTGAAACAGGGGTGGATATTATTGACCACCGCACTTACTCTCCTCCGTTGTCGTTTATCGCGCAAGGCAGGAGTCCACAGATGAGTCTCAAGCAACGCTCGAATCATCAGTCCAATCAAACAGTCGGCACGCCTGCGTCATTCTGCCGTCTGTGGGCCCGACCGAATCGCCGGTCATCGGCACTTGTGTGCAAAGCTGGGGTTTTCTCCGGTCCTGGCACTGTGTAGTTGTATCGATGGCAGCAACCGCGGGAGTTACCGGGGCCAATGGGACAGGATAGAGAGGGTATTCCCGGGTATAGATATCGGTCGGTGGAGTAGATATAAAGAATATATATATAAAGCTCTGGTAGACGTCAGTTTAAGGACAGTAGAAAGATTGCAGGCTCAATCGAATACCAAGATAACGAAGCATATCTATATCAGACTCGCTTAAACTTACATCTAAAGATGGCTCCCTCTATCAACGACTTCCCCGTGGGCGACTCCACCCCCTCGTCCTGCAGAGTAGGAATCAACGGGTTCGGGCGTATAGGTAAACACACCTATCTGTGCTTGGCTGAAGATAGCTAACAGTGTAGGCCGCAATGTCCTGCGAGTGGCTCTCAGCCGGAAAGACATCCAGATAGTGGCCATCAACCACACATGCACCTCCGTCCAAGACCTCCTGTACCTGATCCGCTACGACTCGTCCATGGGCAAGCTCCCCGACTCAGTCCCCATGCACGCCCTCTCCGACACTGAGATTGTAGTCGACGGGCAACACATCGCACTCACCTCCGAGCGCGACCTGAAGAAGCTCGACTGGAGCGCGCTGGGCGCGGAATACGTCGTCGAATGCACAGGCAAGTTCACAAAGCGCGAGCAGGCTCTCGACCACGTCACGTATGGGGGTGCCAAGCGGGTGGTCATATCAGCGCCAAGCTCGGATTCTCCAACGTTTGTGTACGGGGTCAACTCGGATGAGTACCGCGCGGATGAATCCCGGCGGGTGGTGTCGTGCGCCAGTTGTACAACCAACTGTGTGACGCCGGTATTGAAGGTGCTGCATAGGGAGTTTGGCATTACACAAGGATTCCTGACGACGGTGCATGCGGCCACGCGGTCGCAGCAAGTCCTGGACGGGTATAGTAAGAAGAACAGACGGCTCGGTAAGCGGCCCCCGAATTGTGAACTGCGAACTATGACAACGGCTTATGGCTGACAACGAGCAGGACGCAGCGTATTCGACAACATCATTCCCACCACGACAGGGGCAGCCAAGGCGATTGCGACAGTGCTTCCCGAATTAACGGGCAAGGTCACAGGGGTGTCGATTCGTGTTCCCACGTAAGTCCTTCAACCAAATATACGAGTGAAGATGGGCGTGTTAATGAATGTCAGCCCGAATGTGTCCATGATCGACCTGACAGTCAGTACCGCGGCGCCCACATCGCTTGCCGAAATCCTGGGGGCCTTTCGGCGCGCGGCCAAGAGCGAGCTTTCTGGGGTCTTGAGTGTAACAGACGAGGAGTTGGTGAGCAGCGACTACTCGGGGAATTCACACAGTGCGATTGTGGACGCGGCATCGTGTAGTGAGCTGAATCCCCAGTTCTTCAAGATCATGGCGTGGTATGACAATGAGTGGGGGTACTCTAGCCGCCTGCTGGACCTGACAGCGCATGTCGCAGCAGTTAATTGAGACATTCATTAGCAACCGCAATTGACGAATAGCAGTAACCATGAAAGAAATGAAAGCAAACCACGTATTCACAATAATGTCAGTCCGTGTTGGCGGCGTTCCTCGGCGGGCGTGCCTGGGCGTGCCTTGGGGGGCGGCCTGGGCAGCGCCAGTTTTTTTGTTCACGGGCGCTTCATTGTTTGATTTGACTGGTAATTCGCCGAAGCCTCGTGGAATATTCGTCGAAAGGATGAGATGGATCTTGGCCGTCGAATTATTGATCAGGTCCTTCGGATGGATTCATCAAACGGTAAAACTGGCGGTCTGACCGCGTCACCGCAGACCAACAGCCCACGATGGTCTATATAAAAGCACCAAATCTGCCCTCAATATCAACTGGATCACCTTGATCAGAGTGATCCGACTGTCAGACTGGAGCTGAATCGGCTTTGAGACTTGACTTACTTGCGGCTTTTTGACGCTGACTTGAGCTGACTTCAGCCGGCCAACACCAGGGCGCAGTCACCTTGCAGATTATCACAAGCACAGGATCCGCCATCGAACGGCCATTGGACCGACTCGCCAGGGACGAGCGCTGGACCTGCGAGGAACACGAGTTTGGGCGCAGAGCGCAGAGTTCGCTGTTTCAGGTTGACTCTGGGCCGCGATTGTCGCCTTGTCCGAGTCCCCATTGGGCACTTGCTAAGAAGCTTCGCTCCCTCTGCCCACCAGCCCCGTCGGCCCCATTACCCTGCAACCTTTTTATTCCTGCGCCTCCCCCCTTCGCTCTCGTCCTTTTTTCCTTCAAGCAAGTCTTCCTGTCCCTCCTTTACCGTCTGTGACGCCCCCTCTCTCCAAAATGGTCAACATTCCTTTGATCGTGGCTGCTGGCAGCCTCTTCACTCTCATTTCCGGAGCTCCTGTCTCGTCCTCTCACTCGGGCGCCCACAGACACACAGAACGACATGCTCACCACGCTCCCTCGTTTGCGAAGCGTTCCTACAACGTCCTCGGAGGCAGTGGCAAGGCCGCTGACGGCTGGCCGTCCCACGACAACTGGTGGCCCGAATTCGAGAAAATGTGCGTGCCTTTCGGACATCTGCCTTTGTTTACTCTGTTGTGTTGTATACTAACCGCTAAATGTACAGGTTCGAGGCCAACCGTGAAAACATGAAGCAAGCTTGCGACCAGTGGAACGTTCCCAACAACTCCGACCAAGAGATGGACGACATCTCGTCCGCCATCCAGGAGGTCGCCAGCTCCTCCGGCGTTGACCCGCGCTTCATCCTGGCTATCGTCGTCCAGGAGAGCAACGGCTGCGTCCGCGCCCCCACCACCGACAACGGCGTCATCAACCCCGGTCTGATGCAGAGCCACAACGGCCAGGGCTCCTGTAACAAGGGCGGCTCTGTCCAGACCCCCTGCCCCAAGGCCCAAATTAAGCAGATGATTGAAGACGGCACGGCCGGCACTTCCGATGGTGACGGCCTCAAGCAGTGTCTCGCCCAGGCTGGCGGCACTGACTCGTCCGCCTACTATGCCGCTGCTCGTATCTACAACTCCGGCTCCGTCGATGGCTCGGGCAACCTGGGCAAGGGCATCGCTACTCACTGCTACTCCTCAGACGTCGCCAACCGCCTCTCTGGTTGGTCTAGCGGCCCTAGCTCTTGCGAGGACAACACCATTGGCAGCCTGGACAAGGCCGTTACCAGCCTCTTCCGCTTTGCTGGTGGTCTCCTCAGCGGTGGCTCCGACTCTGGCTCCGACTCTAGCTCTAACGATTCCACCGAATCTCAGACCTCTTCCACCGAGTCCACCCCTGAGCCGTCACCAACCCAGGCGGACCCTGGCGTCTTTGCCGAGGAGCCTACCCCTACTGAGGCCCCCAGCTCGACGATCACCAGCACTGCCACCGAGACTTCCACTAGCACCAGCACCAGCACTTACACCCTGGTGGATGCCTCGAGCACCCCTACCCCTGAGCCTGCCACCACCGAGCCCGCTGCCAACTCAGCTGCTCCTTCCTCTGGCTCCGCTCCCATCTACCCCAACGCCAACTCGTCGTGCAAAGAATACTACACCGTCCAAGACGGCGACTACTGCCTCAAGATCGAGCCTGAAACCGGCGTCACAGTCGACCAGCTCCGCGAGTTGAACTCCGGGCTGGAGCAGGATTGCACAAACTTGTGGTTGGGTTACCAGTACTGCATTAAGGCGTAGTCTAAGCCGGTTGCTCTTCTGTTTTTTTGTTTTGTTACCCATTTCTCTTCGTCACCCTTCGAGGTTCCTTTTTTCTTCACCTCCCTTTTGACAGGCCGTGCCATTTGATTGTACATATCAAAAGCGAGATTTCTTCTTTTTTTTTTTCTTGACAGTGTAGCTAGTCTGACTGTCTTGTATGACGAATTTATGCCAGGACAAGTGTCGTATCACTCGTATTTTCCAACGTAAGAGTACCCCGTACCACGTAATATTTTATCAGTTCATCAGTATGACAAGGGCTGTAGTGTTGTGCGGCCTCGTGGTATGATGATGTGCAGTCGCTGTTTCAATTGGTAACACAACGCTGGGTGAGAAATATATTCAGCCAATATGTTTACAATTCTAACTTCCAACCATCGAATCACCGAAATCTCAAGTGAATTCTCGCTCTGCGAATATATATTCCGAAACCAATGCTCTATATATACTCCGTATATACCCTGGGTAGTTCATCCTCCATCATAACTGCGTATCGCTAACGTGCCAAATGCATCAAACAGGAATAATCACGTCATCGCATCAGCTCCCTAATCTGCTTCGTCAACTCCTGAAACCGCACCGGCTTGGAGAGGAACAGGTCAACCCCTGAATTTAGCGCCTCATCCCGCACAGACGCGCTCCCCAGTCCGGACAGCGCGATGATCGTCGTGGGTTTGGCTTTGCCGCGCTGCTGTTTCTCGGCGAGCCGGATCCCCCGTGTTGATTCCAGGCCGTCCATAACTGGCATTGAGATGTCTAAATTGGTTAGTTACACGAGTGAATGATGAAGGGAAGGAATCATACCCATAAGGATCACCTGGATTTCCTTCGCGTGCGCCTTGTAAGCCTCCAGCGCCTCCAGGCCATTGCAGGCTGTGAAATACGGGAATTTGGCTTTCTTCATTACTGCCATCAGCAATTGCAGGTTGACCGAATTGTCGTCGACCAATAACACCGAAGGGACGACCCGCGTGGCTCCAAGTGTCGCTGGGATCTCGTTGACTGCGCCCTCGTTGTCATTGACGGTGATGGTCGCCACTGCAGACGTGAGACTGAGCTCGACGTCTCTTTTGGTCACTGTGCCGTTCTGCAGGCCCTTAGGAGTGATGGTGAGTGGAAATGGTGTTTTCAGTTCCTCGACTTTTCGTTCTGGCTCCTTGGTATCCATTATTGGGCGCTCTTGTGTCTGGCGCTCGACGCAAGCCTTCAGTGCCTTGGCCATTTTAAACGGACCGCACGGCTGACTGATGAACTCGTATAGAGCATGCGATTGATGTCGGCACTCGCCAGCCAGCTTCTGGGCGGTTTGCGGCGTTGAGCAGATCACCAACACAGCAGGAGCCACACCCTTCGCAGAAGCCCCGCGGTATATATCCTTCATGCTGCCGAGATACGTCTGCTGCACAACGTATATATCATAGACATCCTGAGCCCCAGGTGTGACAAAACCGACCTTCATATCGAAGTGGTTTACATACATCCGCGCGAGAGACCCCCGCAGCAAAGCCAGCGCCTCTTCGTTTTGCTCCCACGGCGTACCAAAGCCAACCAAGCCGATTGATTTGGCTCGTACGAGATCTCTTGTCTGCTGCAATTCTCGCTGACTCTGGCTTTGGTCTGTCGTGGCCTCCTTTGGTGTCCGCGCGAGATCAACATGAACAATCACCTCCGTGCCAGCGCCCTTGACGGAGGATACATCTACCGTGCCACCCAGCGAGACCACAGTTTGATGAACAATACTGAGACCCAGACCGCTACCAGGCGACAATGGATCCTCCTGCGAAAACGGTTTGAACACATTGCTCGCCAGGTACTGCTTGTCGATACCCTGTCCCGTATCTTTGACCGTGAGAGTGACGCCAGCCATCTCAGCACCATCATCGCGGGAATTCTTCGACAACTTACTGGCCGTCGGCGCCGTCGACTTCAAAGAAACAGCGATATGCCCCGACTCCGTGTACTTCAGCGCGTTGCCGAAGAGATTCATCAGAATTCGTCGCCACGCCCCAGCTTGCGTCTCAAATAGCCAGTGGATATCAGGCGCAACATCATAAACAACAGTCAATGATTCGTTAAATGCTGAAACGGGGCGCTCGTTCGGACTTGCAATGACCAACTCGCCATGCTGGTCGATCATTGGAGCTGACGGGGGTGCTTGTGCCAGTGTCTTGCTCTTTGCGTTGTAACAGTGACCCGCGAAGACGCTCTCTGCAACTTCTTCTAGCACACCGTCAAGCTGTACATCGGATATGAGATTTACGACTCCATTTCCTGGCTTGTTGGGCATATGCGACCGTGGGGGCCGTCGCTGCAGCGCGGAGCGCTTCTTCAACTGCGACGACCGCGACCGGTGCGTGAACTGGTTGATCTTGGCAAAATCCAGCATGTTGTTGATAATATCGAGTAATGACCGACCGCAGTGCTCGACTGTGTTCACTAGTGCTGTTTGTGCTGGCGTGAGCGATGAGTCGCCCAGCAGCTCCGTGCTGCCTAGGATGCCGTGGAGCGGACTGCGAAGTTCATGCGAGATGCTGCCAACAAGCGTTGCGTGCGCGCGGTTCGCAAGCTCCATATCTAGACGGTGAATCTCGGCCATGATGCTATTGGAGAAGGCGTACAGATACGCCAACTCGTGCCCCAGATTGAAGCTGCGCGGCGACTTGGTCCATAGAAACAGACCAGAGAACCAGCGGTTCCGCCGGGAGTCCCAGAGCGGGAAGAGGGTAACGCAGCGTGCGCAGGGGAAGATCTTCATCAGGCCTTTGTTTTCTTCTTTCAGGCTGGCGCGGTGGCGCTTTTGCTGTTTCCACCGACGTTGCACCTTGGGGCCTTCGTGCCGCCGATATACGATCTCGCGGGAGACAGTGCTCGCTGACGAACTGTCGCTGCCTTCGCTGGACGAGACACTGCCGTTCTCGTCGACGTTGAAGATGGCGCCCTGGGGATAGTTTCGCAGAAGCGATCGTAGGAAGGTCTCGCGCATGGCCCCGGTAGGCTGTTCGGGGTCCTCGAGCGAGAACCCCAGCACGTCTGACGTCGCCAAGTCATCCGACTCAGTTGACGAGTGTCCTGGGGTTAGATCGTCGCTGTCGCTGCTGCCTTCGAGCGCCTCGCTGGCGCCGCTGCTGACCTCGCCATCGGAGGGCTGGTCGTCGGCGTTCCTGACCAGGCTGGCGTACGATTTGACACTTGCGTCGAAGAAGACGACCCCTTGGACGTCGAGCGACTGTTGTAGTACACGAGCGGCGCGGCCGAAGATCTCCCTAGTGCCTGACTTCAGGGTCACTTCGTTCTCACGCTTGCGTGTCGGGGTGGATGGTGCAGACGACTCAGAGCCCATCTGGTCCGTTGGCTCTGTAGCAAAAGGGTCAGCATAGGAAAGCGGAGCACGTTGCCCTTCGTTAGCCCTACCTAACAATGCTGGAGACTTGTCTTGCTGGCTACGACCTTGAACCCCCAGCCGGTCAGACCGTGTCTGAGCGCGGCGCGTGCGGAGAGCGCTGTTTCGCACCTTTTCCTCAGTTGTGTCGGTAACCCCCTTCCCATCCTGGTCGTCTTTATCGAAATTGACGTTGCTTCTGCGTCGGAGACTGCTTGATGGGAAGATCCCTCCTTCGACAAAGTCGCCCAGACCCGCGATCATGTTTGCCCCTCGTCGATTCTGCTCGTGTGATCGTACCATGTCCAGATGGTTCATCACGGCCGCCGCCGTGTCAGTCATGAAGCGGATCTCCAGGCCAGTCAATCCATTTGGCCGAGCGACTCCATCGCTCACGCTGAAGGCACCGATGACAATGCCCCGACGACTGCGGAGAGGCACGCCAGCGAAGAACCGCAGTCGTGGTGCGTTAACCACATATTGTCTCTTATTGAACCGATCGTCCTTGGTCAGGTCGGGAACGACAAAGGCACAGCGTCTGTCGCAGCCGGCAGAGTCCGATTCCAGCGGACCAGCGTTGAGCCGTGAGTCTTCGCACACATAGTGACAGATGCCATCCTGTTTGGGGATTACGCAGCTGCCCAGCCAGAGGGCGTCGCCGTCGAGGTGAACCCGGTCGTCCTGCAGGCTCAAGGTGCGGGTGGCCTCGGTGAGGATGTACTGGTTGCGACGGTCGAAGAGCGAGATCATGCAGCGTTGGGCGTTCAGTCGCAGAGCCCCCAGCTGCGCCAGCGCAGTGAGGGTCGTGTCCTGCGATGAATGGGGGAGCAGCTCGACGCTGGCTTCCGTCCGGGGGGAGGCTGGGGGTCGATCGAGGAGGCCAGGCCGCTGGGGGAGCTGGCAGTACCTGAAGAAGGTTAGAACGTATTTATTGAATGCTGTAATGGGGTGGACTCGTACTTGTAGAACTCGCGCTCCTGGGCCATGGCGGTCTCTCTATCCTCGACGGTCAAGGATCTCATCAGCACCCTTTGAAGCCAGACTTCAAGAAGCCAGACGAGATATTGCAGGCAAGAGACCGCTGAAGGCCAGAAGACATGCAAAACACGCCCCTCTGGAACACCCCACCGTCACTCCGCCACAGCATCACTTGCAACCCTGGATATAGCTCCTATTGGCGGGTCCCTGTTCCTAATGCCCCAGCCGCCAATAATCGAGGCCGCCAGATCCCGACTGTTGCTCTAATCCAGACGCTGATTCGCAGTCCTGGGCTGTCACTTGCCTGGCGGGGTCTTGACTGTCGCATGCCTGGTAAATTGCGGATGACTCGGAATACGTTGACGGCAGTCAGGCGAGGAGTCTTCTTGGTAGACACTACGGGATACCGCAGAAAGGCGACGGGACCGTCGGCGGACATTCGGTCGATGGATGTTTGCGCGTTCCTTGACTTGCTTTTCCCAATTTGTGCTCCACATTGCAGACTGACAAGCTCGAAGACAGTCTAGATTCAACTTTGATCTGGTTAAGTCTCGAGGCATTCGCTGGTTGGCACATCCGGGCCCACGCTGCGTTTCGGCCAGACATCACAGTGGAGTCGCTCATTACACCTCAATATAATGTAAACCCACGATCATCCATAAAACATGAATGAAACAAACTTACTTTTGCCGTTGAAGTGTAGAGGAGCTAATCGCCAGCTTTATCGCAAGAGCTATGGAAGGGACTTGGAATTTAAAAGTATTTGGCAAATACATGACATCATCGAATACAATATTGGAAGGCAGCGCTAATGCTAATCAAGATGAAATACGCCTACGTGCCGTCGCGGATGGCTTCGTCGAGTGTCGAGTCTTGAATCTACACTTGGGCCTGGTGTCAAATTTCGCCATTAGTGTCGCGGTTTGATGGACGGATTGCGAAGGACTCCAAATAAATATGGCGCGACGATGACCCCAGAGATGACAACCCATTTTATCTAGCTTCACCTACTCCTCACCACCCTGCACCGTAGCTGTTTGCGCCTCTTGGTGTCCGAGAAGAACCTTGGAAATCGCAGGGATTTCGGTATGACCCCAAGAATTCTGCATGCGATGGCACCAGGTGACGCGCTTGTCGCCTTGGCTGTCTGGTTCAAGGAGAAACTCGCCGCCCTCCTGCTGCGGTGGGCCATTCTTGAAAGCCAGCCCCTTCGGCAGCTGCTTCAATGCCTGCCACAGGCCCTCAAGGGCCAGGCGAGGCACGCTCTTGGATATGTACCCCGGCTGCTGACCGACATCCCACGTATTGATCATTTCGAGAGCGTCGTAGAGCTTGCGCGATGGGTCAGAGTACATGGGGAACGGACAGCGCGACTGTTCTGCATAAAAGTCGATTAAGTGATAGTCGCCGCATCCGATAACAGCGACGGAGGTGCCGGTTGGGGATTTCGAAAGGAGGTCAGGGGTGACGGCGGCCGATAGGCGCTCGAGATATTCCTGGCAGCTCTAGTCAAGATGTCAGCGGAGGCAGCAAATCCCAACGACTTGGGATATGAGGTAAATAAAGAAGCATACGCCACAGAAGAAATGGCGGACAAAGACAATCAGGGTCCGGTCGGTGGCGTTGGGACCGTTGTAGACATCACTGAAAGGAAGCTCCTTTCCCTCGCGGTCAAACACTGGCAAGTCTGCGACCTGGAGTTGGGTCTCTGCTGACGGCAGCGCGTCGGAGGCCACACCGTGGTCTGCCATGGGTTAAGCGATTAAGTTTAGTTCGGGAGAGATGGATGAAGAGGGTAGAACAAAGTGAAGAGAGAAGGCAAAGATGCGTGACATTCAGCGCCCGGTTTATTGGAGCTGTTCAAGATAACCTTGGACTTCCGCGCACGGACCTGCACTGGTAAGCAGAAGGAAGCTATTTTCAATTGTAAGTCTCGCGGCGTAAGACTCTCATAAATTTGGATTTGGAGGACGGTCGGATGACCCGAGAAAGATGGTAAGATCCAATTGCCTGATATGCCATTACGACACCTCCTCTAGAACCAGACGGTCAGAACAGGCAGAACTTAGACTGGATACGTTCTCTTTTAAGGTTGTTTTCATCGCCTTCTCTTACCTGCTTGCCTCTTCTTACTTTTTACTTATCTTCTCAATCACCATGGACTTACTTCTATCCCCATCGAACGAGTCTGAGCCTTCATGTTCTGAGCTCTCACACTTTGATGTCTTATCAGTTGAATCCGAGTCCGAGGGTCCCCCTGCACAACTTGCAAAAGAAGTGCAACACCAACCATTCACCACCGAGGAGAGCCTAGTGAGCTGTTTAGAATGCCGTCAGCAAGCCCTTAGCAAGACAAAACCCAGGACCAGTATCTTGCCTTCACATCTGTTTCCCCGGTGCAATCATCTAAACTAAGTGACGATCGGGCGAGAACAAGCAAGTACTGTCGATTCTCCTTTAATAAAGAAACAGGACTCTTAATTGCAAAAGTCATACCAGGTCCTGCACATGAACTGGCAATAAGATCATTTGATTTTTTGATCTCTCTCGAACTGCGTGCCACGAATGTCTACCATGAGATGAGGCCTTTTGGTTCAACAACAGTTACTATTGGAGATTGGACAAAGGAGGCAGACTCCTGCTGGGCTCCGGCTTCGACAGATACAAGCCTGAGTTTTGTGGTGGAAATAGGACTGTCTGCGCGACAATTTGCTCTTGATGCGCATGGTTGGCTTGAGACTGGGTCTTCATCTGTGAAACTCGTGGTCACAATCGGAATTAACCGCGACAACCCCGAGATCATATTGCGCCGATGGGAAATTGCTCCTCGCGGATACCGTGACCTTGCACGGTCGTCTCCTCCTTCAGCGCGTTGTACTGCATTCCTCCAAGTATCTCGAACAAACAACACGACATCTGTTACTGGAGAGTCCGACATGAATGGCACAACTACGACTACCACACAGCTCAATCTACCCTTCGAGAAAATTATTAACCGTGTCCCTCACCATCCCTTAGAGAGAGACTTGGTGATACCTCAGGAAGAGCTGAAAAGGTTCGCTGAGAATATATGGACTGAGCAGAGACTTTTATAAGTTATCTCAATTCTGACACATTTGTTGGCTGATATGTTTAATTGAAGTGATACACTAATAGGTCAAAAGTCTCTTTACACCGCCTGAAAATGTTAATTTCTTCATGAATTCTTGGTGTTTTGACTCCATATAAAGTGTGATTGATAACTAGGATTAATATTTAGTATACCAACCCTTTGCCTTAATTACTGCCTGCAGTCGGCGTTGCATTAACCTAATTAGGCTATTGATAACCCCCTGATTAACCTTCTCTTAAGAATAAATAATTGCTTTATAAAATTAGGTCTAATCTATCCGAGGTCTTTCTTGTAGATAGATATTTGGGTAATCCTTTTTACAGCTGCTCACTACGTCTTCTGCACATCCACTTCAATCACCTCTGCCGACTCATCTCCTGCTGACTTTCGCGTCTTTCTGACTGCTGCAATGACCTGCCAGATCTGCTGCAGTCCACCGTCTATCAGAGGATAGAAATTGGCCACCAGCAGCGTGATAAACAGCCAGACCAGTCCCACCACCACCCAAGCAACAAAGAGCCCCTTGGACATGACCGTCTTTGCGCCATACATGGGCAGAGGCCAGAGGACGATCTGGCCAAAGAATGTTGCGATAGCCCATATGGCGGCGATTCTTGACATCCGCTTCATGTACTTGACGCGCTCCGGGCTGAAATAAGCGTTGCGGTCAAAGCGCATTTCTGCGGCGTTATTGTCGCTGATTCTCTCGATTTTCAGAAACTCATCCCAGTTGAATTTTGCTGGTCGTAGGTATGACAATGACACTGCTACTGGGAGCGGTACGAACATCGAGGTGAGACAGGCGTACATGCAGGGCAATGTCTTTCCTGTCGTCGTGATGCTGATTCCGCCATACAGTTTATACGCAGTGCCAAACCAGACAGCGAATCCAGCAGCCATTCCAGCAATGGGGGATACAAAGGCTGCAATCCTCGACTGTTTCCTCCACAGCAGCGCAAAGCACGTCGGGAAAGTTCCGGGGCTATAAATCTTTAGTAGGAATTCTTCATCACGAGTGGCTGGTACCTACCAGATGACGATTCCAATCATATAAATCAGCCAGTTGAGATCGACTCCCCCTTTGTGAAGGACAGTCGCAAAGGTGGAAACGAATAGAGCACTTCCGACGACCCCTACATGCGACCAGCGGATCAGTTCTCGGTCAGTGGGCTTTTTGTTGTGTTGAAATACCCTCCGTAGATGTCAAATGAGACTATCGAGCTGACGGCGATGAGCTGCGCAGATGCGACACTTGTGCACGCCATAAAGAGGATCAAGAGGATCGCAGCAGCGCCTCCCTTTCCAGCGACTGCTGACGCTGTATAGGGCAGGACTAAGCCTCCAGAGACCTCTGCCTGTGTCATCCTGCGAGGGTAAGTCGGCCATATTGGAGTTTGTTCCAAAGCGAGAGCCCCTAGAAACCGAGTCAGCACATCGGATCCGTTATACTTTGAATCATCATGTAGTTACCAAGCCCAACAACCGTCCCAAATGTGAAGGGTATCGCGAAGTAGGCATTCCCGCCTATAATATAACCGGGTACTGCGGCGGCGATATCTGCGGAGAACCCCTTCTGCCAGAATCCTGTGTCCATAAACACGATTCCGAAGTTAGTTACGATGTGGATGATCCCAAAGAACAGAGACTCGTTGCTCGTCATGGACAGATATGATCCAGCGTGGTTACCAGCGACTGTCCCTTCCTGGGGAAGAGACTTGACCAAGTCATAAAGTGCAGTAATTGAGCCAATCTCTGCCGTCGCGATGACCTTCAGGCTGAACCATACCAATACAATCATGATGATAAATGTATGGATATAATCTGTCAGGAACGTTGCTCTCAGTCCGCCCCAGTACGTATACACCACGACGCCGAGCGGTAGGAGGTAGGTGCAGGCATATACGTTAATGCCAGTCAGCGCAGAGACTGCTGTCGACGCCCCTACCAGCATCGACGTAAAGTTGAAAATATTGTTGATAAGTGCCATCGCTATCCACAAGATATGCACCGTGGCGCCATACCGTACACGAATAAGCTCAAGTAGGGTATGCGCGTTGGGAGCCTTGAGTTTGGCTTGGATTGCTAGAAAGGCGAAACAGCAGATCATGACGCTCTGGCCGTTGGCCCACCAGATTGGTAGAGCGACTCCATGCCAATAGGTAAGGTAGGGAGCACCTAGAAGCGCCGACGTAAAGGTCCATGAAGATATCACCGCTGATGCTGTCAATCCTGTCCCAACCTTTCTGTTCGCAACCATGAAACTATCCAAGTCAGCATCGTCTGTAGAAAGTGAGTTGATGCCTCACGTCTCCGTTGTATGGCTGTCTTCTCCAAATACTTTCTTCAACGCCCTTGTTGTGAGGACCATGCCTGCAAGAGTCAGTATATCCTTGCACTTGGAGAACCTCCTTACCTATTGCAAAGGCAACCCCTAAACCAATGACGACTCCATATCCAACCCCTTGAGATAGCGGCGGTGCTGGGCTTGTATCGCTCATTGTGGAATCCAAAAAGCGTGAATCTTGAATACCTGGATGCCTCACGTCGCGCTCATGGTGAAAAGCCTTTATAAGAATCAACCGCGCGAGTCAACAGCCTCAGGCCCGCCTGGGTTCCTTCGGCATCAGACCTTGCTTTCGACCCTTCCGCTTAATCTCCCGGTACAATTGTTGGCATTGTATAGTGGACTCTGCCCGTTTGTGTGATATTCGTCATGATTTCGCGATATTCAGCCTGCAAGAGCTTATCTCAGGATCATGTCGAGTCATGTTGCAGAATCGCACTCACCAATCCCAAGCGAGCTGGATGATGAATCAGGCTCAGAATTTGGAACGCCAAATCCCTTGGAGTAATGACTCCAAAAGCAATTTTGATTATCACTCCGCATTGGCAGCCTTGGTAGTGCCATACCTTGGCCGGATCACGTCACAGTCGAGCGGACAGCGATCAGCGCGCTTAGAACAGTAATATGCCATTCATGAACCACGGGAACCAGGTAACAAACACAAGGATGATATAAAACGGAATCCAAATGCTGCTTAGATTGGCTCTTGGTCACCGATTATTCGACTCGTATCCCGCGATATGGCCACCACCAACCCAGCCCAAGAACCCAAGAAATGGATCCTCAATGCCTTTTCCATGAGCAGCCCAACTCATGTCGCACCCGGTATATTATGGGAATATTGTTGAACTTTGGCAATGGTTAACATGGAATCCAGGACTATGGCGGCATCCGAGAAATCAGACTCATCGATACAAGGAAATAGGATACTGGATCGAACTGGCAAAACTGCTGGATGGGAATTTCCACGCATTGTTCATCGCCGACATGCTAGGAATTTATGATGTTTATAATGGGCCTGGCAATATCAGGGAGGTACTGCCAGGTGCTGCTCAGTTCCCAATTTCGGACCCCTCGTAGGTTATAAATAACCCTGGGTGCATTTAGATGGCTTCTTAACTTATAACCATCTAGTCTCCCAATTGCTGCCATGGCATCCGTCACAAAGTCGCTCTCGTTTGGAATCACGGCGTCGACAACTTATGAGTCTCCGTTCTTGCTTGCCCGGCGATACTCAACGCTGGACCATCTAAGTAACGGCAGGGTAGCATGGAATGTTGTAACCAGCTACCTCGAGAGCGCAGCCAAGAACCTCGGCCTGGAGCAGGAAGTCAGTCACGATGAGCGGTACGAGATTGCGGACGAGTTTCTGGATGTGGTGTACAAGCTTCTTGAAGGCTCCTGGCGGGACGACGCGGTCATCCTTGATAATGATTCGAAGGCGTACACGCATCCTGATCGGGTTCGAAGGATTGACCATAAAGGGTGAACCTGATCGTCTTTATTAAGTTATCAGAGTACTGATTTCAGCGCAGGAAATACTTCAAAGTCGCTGGCCCCCATCTTGTCGAGCCGTCCAGGCAGCGGACTCCATTCATCTTCCAGGCAGGGGCAAGCAAGGCTGGAAAGACGTTTGCAACCAGACATGCTGAAGCGATGTTTCTCCCAGGAATGCACATTGAATCCGTTCGAAAGAGCGTTCTCGACATCCGACAGACGGCACTGGAGCAGGGTCGGGACTTGAATGGACTGAAGCTGATTGTGGGGATGCTTGTAATTGTCGACGAAACCGACGAGCGTGCACAGCAGAAGTATGATGAGTACCTGTCCTACGCGGACCTCGACGGGTCACTGGCGCTTTTTGGTGGCTGGACGGGTGCCGACCTGGGAAAATACGCCGATGATGACAACTTTGAGTTCACGGGCCCCGGTGCGATTCAGAGCATCGTCTCGAGCTGGAGGGCTACTATTCCTGGGAGCGAGGGCATCAAATGGACGAAAAAGCGTGTCGCGCAGGAGCTGGCGCTTGGTGGGCCGCATCCCCGGGCTATTGGGTCTGCGAAGACGGTTGCAGATATTCTCGAGAGATGGATTTCCGAGACTGATGTCGATGGGTTCAATATCTCGTATGCAGTTGGGCCCGGCGATCTAGAGGATGTGGTCAAGCACTTGATCCCCGAGCTGAAGTCGAGAGGCGTCTTCTGGGACGCAGCAGCTGCAGAGGGACAAACGACGAGGGAGAACTATCTTGGATCGGATTTTGCAAAGAATGGGAGACTGAGTAGTGATCATCCAGGGGCCAAGTACCGGTGGAAGGCCTCCTCCAGCAGCCAGTAAATATTACAATGAATGGTGGATAGACATCAATTTTCATTCCCTACTTTATGTTCTTGCCGTTCTCCCATTTTGTCACACACAGCAGTCTCATAACGTCCATTTCCTGATTTCTATACACCCCAAAGAGCCTGCCCACTGTCTTGCATTTGGTTGTCGTGAATAAAACCTGGAATAGCACTACGACTATGGCCAGCGATGTTGGGAGTCGTTCCCATCGAGTACGCAGGAGATAGGCGACGATGGCTGCCTCAAGGAAAGTAGCAGATGCAAAGGCAATGAGGTTGACCAGAAACAGCCGGCACAACGTTCTGGGCTCGAATGAGAAGAGTTTTCGCAGAAGGTATGTGAGTCTGGAGAGGGTACTCCCTAAACTGGAGAAGAGAACTGACTCTACGTTAGCGATGGACAGCATCCAAGAGTTTCGATGACATACCCCATGTGAGTCCGACTTTGATGGCCTCAAAAGTCGCCAGCAACTGGGTTTCGTTACTAGTAGGGAGACTCATGATTAATGCCGGCGTTCCCTGTATGGCCAGAAGCATGGCGAGATGATGGCAGACGTAAAGCGGACGCAGGCTCTCGTCATATATCAAGTCGAACAATGCTGATGCCCCTAGCAGGCATGTTGACAAGCTCACAGAGTCGAGAACAGTCACGCCGGGCCCAAACGAATCCGACCAGGCATAGCCATCCTGGATCACCGCGAATATGGACGTGATCATGATCGGGGTGGCCATGGACTTCATCACGATGCCCACATGGACAAGACGCAGATGTCGCTTTTCTTGCAACGGCAGAGTCGCATACTTGGGACCGTATAGCAGGCTGAGGTGAAAGGTCGAGAAAATATACCGGTGCAAAAGACTGCATAGGATGAGAAGAAAGCAAAATCCCTGAGTCCCTACAAAGCTGCCCACTTTGGCCAGAGCCAAACATATCTCTTGAGTATCAGCCGCATAGCTACGACAGCCTGAGCTATACAATCGCTCCATTGGATGTGAGAAACAACAGATAGAGCAGCTACTGGGCTTCACCTTCAGGTACTGTCAAACGGCTCGTTCTATTTACTTATAAGACCTGGACGCTGTAGGATACGCTTTAACACGTTCTCATTATTTCGCCGAATGTTTACCCCGTCAAACGAACTCTCCATGCAAGGGACTGCTATTGATAGCGAGCATGGTGTTGACCTCCTTAGTGTTTATTCTTGCACAATTCAATATATTGGAATTATGCCGATATCGACTGCCTATGCGACCACGACGTCATGGGCACGGCTGTGTTGAAAACCAGAAACAGTAGCGTCGGCGTCCCCCGACAAGATTGCAACACATCTGATACAGGGCAATATATTGAACATCCGAATGACGTCCCTTGCGGGGGCTGGCATGTCACACGGTCACCCCCACAGTCTTCTCCCGAGACGGCACATTGTCTCCCGACTTTCCAAGCAGGGTGGATCGATCTGAAACTGGTCGAGTGAGGGTTACACCGAAGTATTTCCAGTTGGGCACATGTTCATGCATGCCGTACTCAATTGGCAGCACTGCTCGGGCTGCGGTTACGAGAATAGAAGCATGTCGGCCAGAGTTGGAGGCCTCTATACAACAAACAAGGCAGTAGACTCGATGTCCCGTATGTCCCGTATGCCGCCACTGCCAGCCGTGCCGTTTGCATGACTCGGAGTTTTGGTTGATGCGATCATTGATCACCTGGATATTGATCAGCTGGACGTGATGATGCCCTACAGGATCCAAGCCGTGCCATCTGGGGGTATCAGGTCGGGCAGCCGGGGCTATACTGGACAGTCGCAGATCCTCCGCGCTTCGGCCGATGACGGCTCACGGCGGCTCATGACGGCCCACTGTCGATCGATTGCATCATGCAGCCTGGTGGGATCGGAAGAGCTCCTAGCTGCGATCGTGGCATCTCGATCCGAGGGCGCCAGGGACGGGATCAAACGCATCTGCGGCATCAAGCGGGGGCGCAGGTGGCGGTGGCAGCCCCTGTCCTGCCCCGACCGAATTTTTCTTCCTGCTTCAGGTGTTTCTAGTCGTCTTCTCTGCTCCCCCCGACCGTTGTCTGTGGGGAAGCCGTTGGAGGGGCTGAATGGCCCCCAACTCCAAGTCTCAAACGACGTGGCGATCGTCTCAACCCTAACTCGTTGGGAATGGTGACGTCGGTGCAGAGTACACTGTAGTACAGTATGCCCTGGAAAGTGGTTGATAGGTTGTCGTTTACTCCGGTATTTGAATAGATATGCAAGCTAATGCAGCATTGTGGACTCGGATATATATATATATAGCAGCAGACGGGATAATCAACACCAACCACATCGCTAAGTAACTACTGCCTAGATGCGCAATTACAATGGGAAGAAATACAGAATGAGGCCATATGATATTCCTGAAGCCTTTGAGCCTATGAAGGCAGGACAGCCTGAGGCGTCCATCTATATACTACTAACACAGGTCGCTATACAATACACATAAATAAATACAACGAATGAAATGTGAGGCTGGGTATGCAAAGTCTAAAAACATTCAATACGTGAAACAGGAAATTCAGATCGCCGTGATAGGAGGGTGTTGACGTCGTCGCACAGTCAGTTTCGTCGTCAGGGGCGGTAGTTGGAAGCGTCCCCATCCTAGACAGTGTGAGCGTGTATCCACGATGACGACACAGGGGAGAAACTTACGGTGAATCTTGGGCCGTGTGGCAAACGGCTTGATCTCGTAGTTTAGAAGCATTTCGGCGATGAGCACCTTGAAGATATGGGCGAAGATCCAGCGGCCGGGACACTGGCGGCGGCCGTGGCCGAACACTACGTATGATTCACTCGTGTTGGTCATCGAGTTCTCGCGGCGTTCGGTAGAGGTTGCTTTGGGGTTGTAGAAGCGATAGGGATTGTATTCGTCGGGGTTAGGGTAGAGGTCGCTGTCGCGGTGGACGGCGTATTGGGGGATTCCGATCTTGGTGCCGTAGGGAAGGAAAAGACCGTTGGGGAGGGTGGCGCCATTTGGTGCAACAACCTGAGAAGTTAGACATACTGCAGCAATGCAAGCGACGGTATGGACAAGCTTACCGTCCTGGTAGGGGAGAGAGCGTTGATGCCGTTGAATCGCAGGCTCTCTTTGATGGCGCTGTCCAGCAGCGTAGCCTGCTCCACCTCAGCAGCAGTCCATTTCCCGCTGGTGGTGGCGGAGATCTTCTGAATCTCCTCTTGTAGCATTTCAATAAGGCCCTCTTCACTGGGGTAGCTGAGGATGTCGAGTAGGGCGCTGGTGGCAGAGATACCGCTGGTGTGGACGCCGGGGAAGTTGATCATGAAGATTCTGTAGGCCAACCACATCGTGTCGACCTCGACGGGCCACTTGCTCTTGAGGCCGGTGCTGATGAGCATGTCCAGCAGACTGCCCTGCGTCTTGAGGTTCTCCTGCAGGGCTGCCGGGTCAAAGGTCTCTTTCTGCTCCTTGATCTTGGCCTCGATGAGAGGTTTCATGCGAGAATGGAAGACCTGTTCCTGCCATCGATTGACGAGGCCAACGACGGGGCCGATAATGCTGGTCGAGTTAGCCATTGACCATAGGAGTGTGTAGATAGAGCTCACCAATGCAGGAATGAAGGAAAGGCCTTGATGACGTTGGCCCCGAAGACAATAGCATTGGAGCAGTTTGTCATGGCGTTGAGCAGGCTAGCATCGTCACTCTGACCAGGGCCGATAGCGAGGACGTTGATCATGCGAGCAGCGGTCTTTTCCATGGCAGAGTACAGCGAGACGTCCGTCCAGTTCTCCTGGTCCTCGCCCCAGATATCAGAGAGACAGGCACGCGCCTCCTGGGCGAGGGCCTCTGCAATGGCATCGGACTTGAGGGTCTCGGTAAGGTCTTTGCTGACGAGCTTGACGAAGAAGTCGTATTTTTCAGAGAAGGCGAGGGGCCAGCTGGTATATTTGAGCTGGAAGAACTCGAGGATGTGTGCCTTGAAGCTATACTCGGACTCTTTGGCGAAGAGAACCAGGTTTGAGTGCTCCTTGGGCAGGACAACTTCATCACCCTCGTTGACGCTGGGCATCACAAAGGGCTGCTGGTTCTTGGAGTACTGCAGAGGTCAGATTGAACCATTCACATTTGAATTACTGCTGCTTACCTTTTCATATCCCTCTTGGATGAAGCTGATGGGGTTGACCCCAATGAAGCGCTCAGCAGCGCGGCGGAGGAAGTTCTGTTTCTTCAGCACCCAGGGAATGTCCTTGGGCACCGGGGAGGTCTCGAAGAGCTTGACGACGATGCAGATGAGGGCACACAGTATGCCTGTGGCGGGCAGCAGGGAGACATCAAAGTTCAGCAACATGGTGCTGTCAGTCGTCCTCAGCAGGCGAGGACTCCGAGATGGAGATGGTTATTGATATTGATGGCAGATCTCTGTACACCGTCGATCTTGCGGAGGATCATCGCCAGTTGGGGCCGTGCTGGGCTCAAATACTCCGAGAAGACTGCATGGCCCTGGAGCACTGGGCCGCTGGCGGAGGGTGTCGATGTCCAAGATGACCTATAATTAACAGCGGATGGAGCACGGCTGGAGCAGGTCCCATGCCGGTGGAAGCGAGACAAAGGTTACGAGAAAGGACGAGACGGTAGAGACGGTAGAAGAAACGGTTCGAGAGTCAGAAAGAGTCCCCAAGGGTTTGCTTTGTCTGGATGACCCCCCTGGTTGATTTCCGAGCACCCGGAGGAGCCTTGAGACAGCAGGCCAATCGCACGCACACTCGCACAGGCATGAAATCGCAGCAGCCCAAGCGAGATAGACCAGAGAGGGTCAGAGCCACCGAGATGGGACAGCAAGCGAAGGGGAATCTCTCGGAAACGCCACGTTCCATAGCATCTGGCATCTCGTCGCCTTAAACCTCCGCCTGGCTGCGTCCGGCTTTGTCCAGAGCTCTAGCCTGCGCTTGCAAACCTTGGTTTCTTGGGTTTCCTGAGCCCTCGCGTGGAGGTTAAACGCAAATACGCCGCGGTGCTCATTGGCCTCGGGGAAATGGCCCAGAGATTGGGCATGGCAGGCAGCACATGCGCGCGCTCGAATTACGTGCATTTGCTGGGCCGCGGCGAGAGCGCGGCCAGGGTCCGAGATGAGAGAACCACAGGAGCCACCGCAGGAAACTGGAAACGACGCAAAACTGGCTGAGACGGTGGTGCATTCTGCGAAAAGGGGCAAGTCCCGAGGGCTGGTTGGGACGGTGGGGAGTGGCGCGCCGCAAAGAATGGCAGCAAATGGGAGCCCATATGGGCTTCATTAGGTCCATTAGTCGCTGCTAGCTGTTCCACCGGCCTAGACTGGTTTTCTCTTCGCTTCTCTTGACGAACCAGATCGATCGCTGCAGCGTCGGATCGATCTGTGGGGTTCTGCAGCTGCCTGTGAGACTGATACAGCCCAACGGCAGCACAGTCTGAGACTGAAGAATATAGCGACTTACCAGTGTATATTCTCTTCCGTCCCGTCTCTCTCCCGTCCACCGTTATCCTGTCAAATCTGCACTCGCATGCCTGATGCCGCGCTGTGCCGTCCGCATTCCGTCTCATGCACGGGCCTTATCCCTGCGCTGACGTGGCGCAAGATTCAGACTGGTTCCATGCAGCCATACGCCTCCATCAATAATGGCCGCCAATATCAGAACAGGTGGAATTGTGGTGGGATGGCTTGAATTGACTCTAGCCTCCAGGGCTATTATGGACCCGAGTGCGGCCCCGTTCGCGATTCACGATCCCCTCAGATCCAAGAAATAGGATCCAGAACCTGGCTGCGGCACAGTCACTCCTTTGTGCCTGAGAGTTTGGCTTCTGAACCGGACTCCCTAAATCCGGCGACTCCGGGCTGTAACCGAGGGTCTGAATGTCTTAGAGTTCGACCAGGCCTGCAGACTGCCACTTTACCAGGTCTCCCAGTTCTCAGTTTTTGGTTTTGAACAAAGAGAGTAGACTAGCTCGACGACGAGGTGACATCGACTCAAATTGGGCTTGAATTGGACTCGAGAGTATCTGTGTACGGTGAAGTCTGCGCAATAGTCTTGCTGCAGCGCACTGACAGCGACACTTGGCCAGCATTATTCCTTTTCACCATTTTCCATTTCAGTCACAGTGACAGAAGCCAAGACGCTCTAACTGGTTCTAACTGGCGTGAAACTGCGTCCTACTCGAGCAGGACTGGCCAGGCCCACCCCCCCATATAGATCGCCTGCGCAGAAGTTGAACACCCCCCTTTCACGGTGGATTCGCTGATCGCGCTCGCGGCTGCCTGTCCATTCACACTGCCTGCTCGAGCTTTGTTCGTTTGGAGAAGGTGAACACTCCTCGACTTTGCCCCCGCGATGCTCTTGCTGGAGTTGGCTGTCCCAAAAGCTGCCTCCTTCCCTGCACGCCCTCCCTCATCCTGTCTCGCCTCGCCGGTCGCAAGGCATGATTCCATTTAAGATAATGCCAATGCCAGCCTAGACACCGGCTGGACAACCCGTGGACTGCCAGGCATGCCTGTCCAGAGACGACAGCAACGATCTCCGCTTGAATGCGCCCAGAGCGCCGACGGTCCGATGGAGGTATGCTCCTGTCGTATTGCCCTGCTGTGTAAAGGTAAAGACAGCTCATTGACTGCTCTTGTATAGTCCATGGCCCGTCCCGACGAATGCAAGTCGCAGCGTCCATCCTCTCGCTCTACCAAACACGCCCGCCGCCGGTCCGACACTCGCGCTCGCAAGCACTCATCTCGTTCTCGCACTCGAAAGACCAAGGGCTCATTTACTTCTGACTCCTCCGTATACTCCTCTCCTTCTCCTCCCTCCACCGGCCATCGCCAGTCGACGGCCAGCTCCACCTCCTCGTCAATCGAGTCGAACTCTTCCGAGGACAAGGACAATGCGCGGTCAACGTCCCCCGACGCTGTCCCTGCTGTGGACACCATGAACCCGGACGACCGCCGGCTGTTTGAGCACTGGGCTGCTGCGACTGAGCAGTCGCTGACACACAGCAAGGGCAAGGACCGGTCGTGGCAGTCCATGATCCGCCGCGAGTCGGCTACATACCCGGCCCTGCGCCACAGCACCCTGGCTCTGACCGCCGCACAACTCGCACTGGAAAGCGAGGCTGGATCTGCGAAGCGAAAGAGCCTCTTGCAGGACGCCCGCAGACACTATACCCACGCCGTGGACGAGTTCCCATCCCTCGACGACAGCTCCAGCGACACCCCCGAATCCACATCGGACGCTGCATTCTCCACCGCTAGCATTCTCTTCATGTGCGAATTGACTTCGCCTTCGCTGGCCGAAGATGGATTTAGCTTTTCGCGATCGGCGGAGCCTTCAAGCCAAAAACCAGAGGAGGATCAGGATCAGGATCAGGATCAGGAGAAGGAGCACAAAGGCGACCACGAAGAAGAGTCCCCTCCCTCTCCTGCTGGACACTCTCGCTCGCTCCAGGAGCTCCTTGATATATTCACAACAGTGCGGGCATTGTCGCCCAGCTCCAAAGCCCTCGACGTTGTCGAGAAAGGCAAGCTGGAGGCGCTCTTCTCCCAAACTGATCCACATCGCCACCTGCCCAGTACATACACACTCACGATCTTTTCCATGCGCAACCTCAATAACGCCACTGCGAAGAAAGACTCATCGCACGAGACCTCCGTCTACGATGATGCCATTACAAAGCTCGACCGCTCCCTGGAGATGCTCAGCAAAGGAGGCGAGCCGACCATGATTGCTCTCCGGTGGATGTTCCGTGTCCCACCGCGATACCTGGAGCTTGTGCGCGAGAAGAAACCCCTTGCTCTCATTATATTTGCGCATTACTCTGCAGTCCTCCACCATCTACGCGACCGATGGTGGATGGGCGACTGGGGGAGCCGGCTGGTCAAGGAGATCTCCCAGCTTCTGGGCTCAGAGCGCATGGGCTCGATTCTATGGGCCTCTGATATCGTGGGAATACAGACATGATTGTCTCACATTGCATCGGTATTCAAATCAGATTGGGTATTGCTTGCATACAGTCCTTTTCGGACGCATTGCATCTGGACTATGTCGGCGTATGGGTATACCGCCGCTTTATATAAACCCTGATCTACCAGAAACATTACTGGAACCAGGAGAGCATCACAGGATTTGCATCTCATTCCAGTTGGAATAGAAGTATCAGGTACCGACCGAGCTTCTTTCCATATAGCGCCTAGTCTCAACAGCAGGGGCTGGGTCCCTGCCATGGGGAGAGGAGGCGTTTGGCGTTTAGGCTTGTATGGAGCTCATCTAGCTGTTATAGAGTAGTTTGCCAATTAGATCGGTATTCTCTTTGACCTCCATCTGGACGTGTCCGTAGCTTCTGTATTAGTCGGGCGCATCCCAGCTCGGTACTTGTGCTAGCGTTTACCAGTATCGCCATGATACCGTTGAATACCTCCGCACTCCATACTTTTGGAGACTGGCTGGAGATCTATGGGGTGGTTTGTATAGCTGGAGATACTCTGGGGTAATGGGATAGTACAATGCATATATATCCTGCCAGGATTCACTTATTACATATTGTTATATGGTATAGCTTCACCACGACAACAGCAGTCCCTTGACTTATTCTGCGTACAGCGGCAGGAAATTCCCGCTACTGCCGTCGACCATTTTCCCTTTGACGGAGCGAAATTTCGCGTCCACCTCGGCCGCAATATGTTCAGCCATATTATACCTATATCGTCAGTCTGGCCCCCATCTACAAAAGAAACAGAGCAACCAACCCGTTGATCTCCTCAATAGTCAGCTTGCCAACCTCACTCTCCACCAGGTAGAGCGAACTATCCTTGTTACTAGAGAACCCAATCCGCTCCGAAAGATTCTTGCGCGCCCGTGCACTCGCGGCCTGCACTTTACTCGCCCTCGGTTTCCGAATCCGTTCAAAAAGCTGCAAGCCAGCATTAACATCATTAGTGAAGGTATACTCCCTAGAAAATATAACGCCCAACGCCGCTGCATCCTCGATAGCCTGGCACGCCCCCTGGCTCTGGTCAGGGAGCATTGGGTGCGCGGCGTCCCCCATAATGCAGGTACGACCGCACTGCCACGTCGGGTACGGGGAGTGTTCGAAGAGACGCCAGGGCCGGATGTCCTCGGAGTGGGTGAGCAGGATGCGCAGTTTAGGGTCGAGCGTGGAGTATGGCTTTAGCGCTTGCTGGTATGTTGTTCCTTCAAGCCAGGTCTCTTGGTCTTCGTCTAGATCTGCGCTGGAGAGTGGGAAGAAGAGGTAGAATGATTGCACGCTACCTTCGCGGCAGGCGGAGTAGACAATCTTGTGCAGCCCCTGGCCCCAATATTCGAGAGCATCGTTGCGTGCCATTTCGGGGAGACCAAGGCGGTAGACGTCTGAGGTCTTGATTACACAGTGGATGCATGAAGAGGTTGCTCGCTTGCGCACTGGCTCGATTCCCAGGAACCGGCGGATGCAGGACTAGTTTGGTATAATGTTAGCAGAGGACTATCATTATGCATGGTGGGAATTAGGTAGGTTTTATTGGCCTTACACCGACTCCATCAGCACCCACAATTAGATCATGCTGCGCGGTAAGTCCGTTAGTAAAACAGACCGTGCCTGCTTCCAGATCTAGGAAGTTGCAGGTATGATTCATTTTAATCTTCACTGGGGTGCCGTCCCCACGTGCTGCGGTGGCAGTGGTCAAGAGCATCCTGTGCATGTCAACGCGGTAGAAGTTATAGTAAGCCTTGTTAGTATTCGGCTGGCGTCAGATATACCCCACATCAAGAACACGATCGGATTATCATTTCTTACATGTCCCCAGGTGTTTGCATAGTCAGATAAATCCAACACATCTATCACCTCACCCGTTCCCAGGTCACGGCGAATCTGCTTGAGAATAGTGATCGGCTTCCCTTCCCCGATGTCCACCCCCCACTTAGCGAGCCATTTGGAACCATTGGCAGGGCAAGAGATAGATGCCCCCGTATCTCTGTAAACATCTAACCTCTCGTAGAGGGTGACGAGGTGCCCGGCACGGCGGAGGGCGATGGCTGCTGCCAAACCACCTAGAAGGTTGTCACTCTTAGTATGGGTTCGGGTGGACGATAGAACATGGATAGATCAAGAAAAGAAAAAAGGAATCACACCCATTCCGCCTCCGACAATACCAACATCCAGGCAACACCAGCGATTCTGAGAAATCGTCATATCGCAAGATGATTGGGTAGTGAATGGTTGCTGCCCCAGATGATGAATGCCACCAGGAGACGCGAAAGAGAAAGATAGATCGATATATACCAAGATGGTCCCTGCGATGTCCGAAACGCTAGGTCTTCGTCATCGCCAACTATCAAGACTCAATGAGGGAAATACTCCTCGGCCTTCCACAAATGGTTTGTATTTAAGGCAGCCTCGGTGAGCAGCTCATCATCGCCCTTGCCCAGCTACACCGACAAGCCGCTGTCTGTCCCCAGCATTTGGAATCCGATGGGTGACACAACAGGGACAGCATTCTCAAATACTCAGGATGATGAAGGGATGTCGAGTTTGGTAAATGCGTTGCGATCTGCGGCGCAGTATCTTTGTATTGGTAGATCCAAAAGCTGGAAGCCTGGCACACGGAGCCGAGTAGGCAATAAAACCGCCAATGGTGCGGATATAGTGAACAACTGGAGAATGTCTGTGTTACTGTGTACTCCTTGATCAGTACTTCCACCTCGCAGAAAGCTGAAGATGTTGGGAATGCGGTTAAACCGGTAAGACACAGCGGCAAACACCTCTTTGCTTGCGCCACACTGCGTGTTATCTTGTGCTCTAGTGCCACTGGACCCCCTCGAGTCTGCATGCACAGACAGAGACAACTGCTTATGAATGTACCTCCGAGAAAAGGTCACCGCACGTAAGCTGTGATCGACGATGCGAGGAATCTGTATATCCACAGAAATGACTCAGTCGGCAAAGGTAACATAGCATTCTAGTACGACTCGGTGAGTAATATCGGAACAGCTGTTGTTGAATGGGTAAAACAGCGGGCCTATAAAATCATATTGACCCACCAGGCGGTCCATTTCGAAGCTCCCCAGGCTTGTAATTGTAGGTGCGACACAAGTGAGGTCTCCTTGTACTTTTGCTCTTCACTTAGTTGGTACAGCGTTGGAATCAACGCTTTCAAACTGAACCTCGGGAAGTGATATTTGCTGATGGGTGCAGTGAATAGAGATGCAGCGATTCCAGACACACAGGAGAGAACGCGTGGCAGCTCGGATGGGGCCATTGGACGGCGCGAAAACGAGGACCTCAGCGACCCCTAGCCTACTCCTTGCAGCATGCCGGGCAAGCCCCAGAAAGCCGGGTATGTCGAAGACCATAAAAGGTAAAAGGAAGGAAAGGTGCCAGCGCATATGATGATCGACATCAGTTGACAGCCATCTGGAGATTCCTGTGGAACGCCCTGAGCTTGCGAGGCCCACAGGCCCGGGCAAGACACGGTCTCGACTAATCTTTCGTGTTGGTGGCTCCGCATCTTGATTGACTCAGTTTGTATATCCCTTTCCTGGCCCAGTTTCCCCCGACTAGAGTTGACCTCTAGAACCTACACTCGTTTCTTTCAGGGAGGGCCTACACAAAGTCAGAGATAGAGCGGAACCTCGTTTGATGACTTTTGCTACCTAGCGATAGCTATAGATATAGAAATACATAGTCTATAATTGCAAACGGGACATTCAGGCATTTATCTGTTTAGCCAGGGTAGGGTTCCTGTTGTTTCTACAAGCACAGAGACTACCAAGCACGGATGAACGAAAAGGAAGGCCCAGAGTTACATCATGTAGTGAATAACCATAAAGAAGCCACAGACATTTTATCGCACTCATTCAAAAGACCGTCATGGACTATCCCATTACCTCTTCAGCCGGACCTCAAGAATAGAAACCTGACTACGACACGGCCAGACCTTCTCCAGGACAAGCCCGGCCCGGCGAAAGAGGTCCTCAAACTGCGCAGGCGTCCGCTCAATCCCATTTATAATGGCCATAACATCCAGATCGCGTTGATGGCTGTACCGTTTCGCAACACCATAGTTAGCCGGGAGAGGTGGCGGTGCGGTCCCACTCATCGCTTGCACAGTAGTATCCATGACCTGCTCACAGACAAGCAGCCGAGAGCGCGGGGACATAGCTTCGCGAATGTTAGAGAGGATATTTAAGCAGTAATCGTCTGCCCAGTCGTGTCTGCGAGCGAACTTAGTTTCCTACAAGCTTCGGCGGGGCGAGCGTCCTTGACCTACAGAATGTACCGCAGCCAGTAAATATCAGCCCCCTTGACGGGGTTTGTCCCGAAGAAGTCGTACGCGATGAACTCAACCCGGCCTTGCTCGATTGCGGCGGGGTCTTCGCGAGGCCAAACCTCCTTGCGAGCGAGCTCGATGTTGGATGCGCAATCCTGGACTACGAAGTTCAGGCGCGGGTGCTTTTTGCTAAGCTCGAGCATGAAACCACCTGCTCATCGAGACATGATGTCAGTTGGAAGCCCTAGCTAGGGCATTTTCGAAGTTTTCCTTGACTAATCAGCGTGAGGATGAAGAACAGGGGCCACTCACCCACGCCGGCGCCAATATCCACCACAGTCGCGGATCCAAGATCCTGCCAAGGGTAGTCTGCATATTGCAGATTGCGAATCAGACAAAGCCCCAAAAGACATCCACAAAACTAACCTTCTACATGAGACCGTGCCGTGACCCGGCCTCCACCGACCATGGCCATACTGAACAGTGCCAGCTCAGGGCGCCCATGTGAACAGGTGCCGGGGTCGTTCTCTCCGGGGATACCTGGGTAATTTGTGCGCCGTGCTGATGCGGCCGAGATCTTATCTCCCTCGGCCAACGCTCCACCCTCAAGCCATTCCCAGCGGCTTTGGGGGGTTGCCAGTGCACGTTGAAAAGCCGTCTTCCTCACATCGTAGGAAGGGCCAAACTCCTTGTCGAAGAGCGTTTGGGGGAGGTGCTCCGCGCAAGAGAACAGATCCGCGTGGCTGGCAACTCATTTCATCAGCGGGGTTTCCTTGCTGGTTAGACTATCAACACGTACAACATGAGGATATAAGCGCGCAAGGGCTCGTTCTGTACAAGGGCAGCCGAGATGCGGTTATTCGCGAAAGTGTCTGGAGATAATTCTTGGAAGATGTGCGCGGAACATAGACACCGTAGGACGCGGGCTGCGCGGTGTACCCCGTCAGCACAAAAGGACTAACCAAAATAAATTTCTAACAGCGATCTTACCGAGTTTACCGATCTCAACACCCGTTGTTGAGGCTATTTCATCCAGGCTTACCCCATGATCTGAAGACGATAGCAGATCTGGGATTCGTTTCGCCACAGCGATCGCTAGAGCTCGCGATTCCCAGTACTGCCCAGAGAACTCCATCAACCGCATGGAAGGGTCCGAGACCAGCTCGAGTAGCGAGCCCGTCGCGGAGATGACGGTACGCTGGGCCTCATAGAGTGCCCATGATGGCGTTGCGCTGGCTTCCGGACACTGCTTGGGACCCTCGTTTACGATGGCTTGGATGCTGCTTTGGATCAAGTTGCCGACCTCGACTAGTTTCTGAGTGTCGATGCGTGTGGCTGTTGGTGCGGTCTTACCTGCTGCCATCGTAGCAGTATGCGTGTAAAGATAGTGCGTTATTCCACAGAGAAACGGCAGGACTGGTCAGGTGTGTTATATATATTTCGCTGTCAACTCCCAGCAGAGTGCCGCGGGGAGCTCTGCGAGTGTCAGGCCGCCTCTCCCTTTGTCGGGTGCAAGGTAGATTGCTCGAACGCACCCTACAGCATTCTTCGGATGATAGTTCCTCGCCACTCCAAGGGATGGCTCACGAACGTGGTACAGAACAACACCTTGCTTCCTTGCATGAACGACAGACTAGATCTGGGAATTGATGAACTTGGGCGGAAAAGCAAGCACGCTCTTACTTACCGCCACTGTAGCAGGTGTTGTCTAGCTGCTGCTGTCTACAAACACCGCCGGCTCCGACCCTTTCCAGAGCACAGGCTTCCCACGTATACTTTGAGATGAACTGGTTGGGGCGCTATGCAAGGAGAGCATGCGTGACAGGAAGCGGATTGAGGTTGCTCCGTGCGAAGTATTCAGTAGCCACCGCTGTGTGACCGAGGAGCTGCATAGAGTCTGGAATGGTGAATCGCAATCGCTGGTACTACGCTTTAAGAATTTTAATAAGACAGGCATGTACCAAATCAGGTAAATAGAAGTTACTTTTTGAGTCATGAGATAGGAATAAAACTTGAATCTAGGCACCTCTACCTTACCGACGCAATCACTACTTGTTCGTTGCGTGATATACTTGTCGAGTATTTATGCTACCCATAGAAGGGTTAACAACGCGCTTTTCTCCTACGCCCACCGATCCTTCACAATTTTAACCTGAATAGGCGCACGGATCTTCGTAAACATCTGCTCAGTCCACTCCAAATTGCCCTCATCGGATCTGTAAAGCTCAAGATCAAATCGGAGAAATAACAGGGCGACAAATGTAGTTAGCTCATGCCATGCAATTCTGCATCACATTAGCCTCGCTCGAGCTCAAACAAGAGAAGACTTACTGGCGCCCAAGGCATGACCGAGGCCCGCGGCTAAACGGATTCCACCACTCTACGAGTTCGGCGCCCGCATCTCCCAGCCATCGCTGTGGTTTAAACCTTTCAGGATCGGGAAAGAGGGTCGGATTGTAGTGGAGGCTGAGCAAGCTACTGGAGACGATGGTCTGGCGGTGCAATTGTTTAGTCTTAGATGGTACCGACGGAGAAGGGAGGAGATACGTACCCCACCGGGAAGGAAGTGCCTCCCCACGCGGATTCCCTCCGGCGGTACTTCGCGAGGTAGAGGGCCTGGGGTTGCCGGGTAGAGGCGCATGGATTCGCGGATGACAGCAGTCTATACGGGTTAGCGTGTATGATCAAGGACAGAAGAACGAGAGCGGGGAAGTTGTACAAGCCAGGGAAGTTTGGACACCCGCTGCATATCGAAGTCATCTCGGATAAACCCTGAGGCTGCGTTGAGTTCCTCGCGTAAGCGGCGCAGTGCATCGGGGTTTCTGAGCACAAGGCACACCACCGCTTGGAGGGTAAGTCCAGTGGTATCACTGCCACCAACTAGAAACGAGCAAGCTTCCTCCACCAAGCCATTCATGTCTGGAGGGGTGTATTTCTTTTTGGGACTGGGTTTCAGTAGACACTCGAAGATTACCCCCTTTCCTTCTTCGTATTCGTGGTCCGAGCGGCCCTCTTTTGCCCGTTCGTTGATCAGGTCACTGACGAGCTCAGTCCCAAGCTACAATCGGGCAAGTCAGATTAGCACGGTTGTATTAAGAGCACAGGGGCTGAGAGGCTGTGTTTCAGAGGGCAGCAGATTACCTCTCGTATATAGTGCATGCCGGGCACCATCCGTTTGGAAACGCGAGTTGGCAAGGCAGACAGGACGATCTGCCAGGACGGAAAATGCTTGGCTGTGCAGCAACATTAGAATTAACCAGTCTTGAAGTTGTTCATGACCCAGGGCGAGCGTTACTGAAGTTGAATTGGCTTGGGAAGTCATCCATCGCCAGGATAGTTGGCGGGTTGCGCCCTGCTTCTTGCATCGCTCCCGCCGGCTTGCCAAAGGAGAGTTTCGCAATCACGTCAATCTGTACGGCCGAGTTAGAAACTAAGCGCTGTGAACGGAGCTGCAGACGAACCGTGTACGCACGAGCGTGGTGCGACAGCACTACTGGGCTGCCATCGCTGCCACGGGAGGCGATAATATCCATAATCTCACGGGCGTAGCCGATGATAGTCGAGTCAAAGGCCTGGATTGACTTGCTCGTGAACCCAACCGCCATGGCGGACCTATGTCTCTGGTGCTCCTCGACATCGCAGTGGCTCCCTATGGCAGCAGAAATCCCAATTGAGTTATAAAAGTACTTTGCCTTCCGGAAGCGGGATCCAGCTGCGCCCATCGCAAAGAGACTATCGTCCGTCAGATGGCTTTTAATATGTAAGATAATGGCACCGGAGACTTACGTGCGAAAGAACTCCGGATCCGCCACATGAACATGGTTGGGAGAAATGCGAATCACAGCCGAGTCTTACATCTCGTCAAATCTGGGACTCGTAGACAATCTTTGGGAAGGGCATGGTACCATATTTTTCGTGCATCCCAGCATGTTGATGCGCGTAGGTGCCGGTCTTGACAACATCGTAGTAAAACTCATACCAGGATGTTAGACCGGCGAGCCACGGGCCGGGGATGTCTCGGAGTGGGCTCAATAGTGTGTTCTTGACAGCTATCCGAAGTGATGCCGCAACTACCCAGGCAAAGGTTACACCTAGAACCAGCTCGTGGAGGCGGACGTGTAGGAAATTAGCCTCGCCCGCCTCGCGTGCGACTCGCAAAGCTTGAACGACGATACTATTGGATTCAGTGACATTAGAAGCGGCCACAGTCTCGATCGGCATTGTGAACAAATTGCAGTAGATGTATAACGTCGATACAGAGGAGGATATAGTCGGTGCACCAACCTCGGACTACATCTACTTTTGAATGTTGGCCCGAGGACTGAGAGAGGAATTGGTGGGTTCGCATTATTGTGGCTCTCACATTCTGCCCAAGGGCGCGCAATGATTGTACTACGTCAAACCCCTTGCATGCTGAGTACGTTGGGAGCGAAAGGCTTTCTTGATGGCTACACAACAGAAGAAACAATGCTTGTCCAGGTGGTTGCGCAACATGAGGAAGGGTTAATACCTAGTTACACAGTAGAATGGCAAGGGGGCACAATGCTAGGAGCAGCGATTGTTCGCTGGTGTCCGTCGCAACAGGGCGAGAAATGGTTCCCGGCAGGGGGGAGACTCCGTCTCGAAAGGTAAGGTCTCGTTATTTGTAAATTCCATTGACACTGAAAGCATATATGGCAAAAGTACGGGGCTAATAACCCCACAGCCTGTAAACAACGACCAGTATAGCTGACCAGAAGCAAGGAGAACTAGAATCCTAATGCGTTAGAAATTCAGCAATGAAAGGGCCCAGAACTGGTTTCCGGCGGGAATTCGAGTGGGAGGTTAAGCATCATGGCATTTAAATGCCAGACCAGCAGCGTTTGTATCCCATCAGTGGAGTACTATATGTGCTGCAGCGATTCCACCACCAGTTCATTTGCCCCAGAGAACCCCATTACACTAGCACACATACAAACACCAACCTGTCCTGCCCCTCGAACCGAATAATGGCTATCGAAACCGAAGAGCTCAACGCATCTCATGACCAACATCCCCCATGCCAGTTTCCGTGCCTGGGAGAAAGGCAGCTGGAGCATGATTACAGCCATGAAAAACTGGAAATTCCGATGGGAATACTCCTACAGGAGGCATGCAAGCGATATCATACCACCATTGAGTTGGCGGTTGCGGCCGTTTGGGCAATTACTTTGACGCAATTTACAGCGGAAGACGGAGCGGGATTCTTAATCATTCACCCTGTTGCAGATGACAATGTCGGAAAACGATCGCTAGTGGAGTATGTCCATGAGGCATATAGTACTTCGATAACCGGCGAAATGCTTATTGGGGAGTTGATGAAACCTTCGGCTTGGAGACAATCTCCGTATATACCTGGAACACATTTGTTCAACACCTCAGTGCGAATCGAAAATGCAGAAATGGACAACGACTTCATGGAATCCAAGCAGATCAAAAAGGTATGTCCATTCCATCGTATTGGCGAAGACAGACAGATGACGAATCTGAGAATTATAGCCATTGCAAATCAGTCTCACGCTGCGTAATCTGGGAAGAGCGCCGACTTTGTCATTGCGATTTAATCCTCAATACCTTCCTCGGGCATTCGCGACGGTCCTGGCTAGCTCTCTCCACCAGTGCTCGCAGGAGATTATGAGCCATTGCCATGCTCGTGTGGGTGAGATAAATCTATTCAGCGTAATGCAGCAACAGATTGTGTCGCAGTGGCAACGGGTCCCATGCGTGCCAAACTCGTTCAATTTTATGTTTGAAGCTATCTTCAATCACGCCAAGGAACGCCCGTCTGCAGTTGCTGTAGATGCGTGGGATGGGCGATGGTCATACCGCGAGCTGGACGCCGCGTCCTCCCGGTTGGCAGGTCACCTCCAAGGCAGAGGCATAAGGCCAGGGACCTTTGTCCCCATCTGCTTTGACAAGACGTGTTGGGCAGTTGTCGCCATGCTCGCCATTAACAAGGCAGGAGCAGCTTTTGTTGCACTCGACCCTTCCTACCCGGTCGAGCGACGAGAGAGGATAATCCGAAAAGTTGGTGCCACTTTGGTATTAACAACAGAACAACACGTTAACCTCTTCACTTCTTCTGTTGATCTGGATCTTTTATGTGTCTCTGCCGCCACAATAGCCAGTTCGTCCGGTGCAGCATACATGCAGCCTGCCAATAATGATACACCAGCGTATGTACTTTTTACATCTGGTAGTACGGGAGAGCCCAAGGGATGCGAAGTGTCCCACAAGGCATTTGCAAGTTTGGTAAACCAGACTGATGCCTTATGTCTCAATCCTGAGTCACGAACTCTACAGTTTGCCTCATATTCGTTCGGGATGTCAATAATTGAGATCTTTTGCACCCTAGTCGTCGGTGGGACTGTCTGCATCCCTTCAGCAGACCGACGACTGAATAGCCTAGGGCCGACCATGACATCTATGAGGGTCAATTGGGCAGTTTTGACCCCAACAGTTCTGGCTTCACTCAGACCCAACGAACTCCCACACCTCCGTTTTGTGCTCCTGGGGGGGGAGCCGATGAATGAATCTCAGGTGCACCAATGGACTGGCAAGGTAGATATGCGCTACGGATACGGCCTGACAGAGTGGAGCGGAACCCTAACTGTTTCCGACCGGATCACCGTGGGGCCCTCGAGTCAGCCAACGATAGGAAGACCGATCAACGCCCACGCCTGGCTGGTGAATCCCACGAACCCCGACCAGCTAGTTCCGATTGGTGCACCTGGTGAGCTTATCATCAAAGGTCCTTCCCTTGCCCATGGATACCTATACGACCCAGTCAGGACAGAAAAGTCCTTCTTGCTGGGACTATCATGGTTGTCGGAGTGGAACACACAACCTGGCCAGCTATACCGGACGGGGGACATTATGCGTTATCGCGAAGATGGATCACTCGTTTACCTCTACCGCAAGGATAACCAGATCAAAATTAGAGGCTTGCGGGTCGAGCTGGGCGATATCGAGTCGCATCTCACGGAACTAGTGGAAGGTGCCAAACGGGTGCCAGTAGTAGCATGCAGACCACAGGATAGCTCTGACTTGCAAGTGCTGGCTGCACTGATTCTCCTTCCCCAATGTGACCAACTTCATCCGGTTCCCCTAGTTAAGGGAGCCGAAGACTTCATGTGCGTGCAGCTGCCCCCGGGGGGTGTGGAAGAGTTGCAGCATGCGCAGAACAGTCTCCGAAAACGGCTGCCAGAATACATGATTCCGCAATTCCTCCTGCCCATGGTGGCCCTACCGACCACAGCCACTGGAAAGATCAATCGCCGGCGTATCGGGACACTTCTTGATCAACTGACAATACAGGAACTGAAACTCGCAGCTGGCATGCAGGTTGGAAATCGGCAGCCGGCCAACGAGAACGAGAGGCTAGTTCAGAAATTGACTTGCGAAATCCTAGGCATTACATCCGCAAGCATGGAAGACAACTTCTTCCACCTTGCAGGAGACTCGGTGTCAGCGATGAAGTTGGCGGGTTTGGCGCGTCATCATAATTTCAAGCTGACGGTGAAAGACGTCTTTGAAGCCCCGGTGCTTACAGACCTCGCAACGCGCCTCGTACCTATGACGGAATCAACGGTCCTAAGGGACCCATTCGGTCTACTGCCCAATACGCTGCGATCTGACATCATAACTGAGACAGCCGACCAGGCACAACTGAATCGCGGTCAAATAACCGATGCCTACCCTTGCTCGCCGCTGCAAGAAGGACTTTGTGCACTCTCGATGAAAGACCCGAGTTCATATAAAGCCCGCGTCGTCTGCCGTCTGCGGCCGGATACAAACGTCAAGCTTTTCCAGGCAGCCTGGGAACAAACCTTTCAGGCTAATGATATTCTGCGTACGCGCTTCATTGCATCATCCAAACACGGTACTATTCAGGCTGTCGTAGAAGAGCAATTTGAATGGGACCAGGCGGACGATCTTGGCAGTTATATACTGGCTATTGAGCAGGAACCCATGGGGCTGGGGAAGAAGCTTGTCCGCGCATGCCTTCTGAAGGATCACACTTGCGCTGAAATGGGCCCAACCTTTGTGCTGACCTTACACCACGGTCTGTGCGACAGATGGTCCACCCGCCAGTTGCTCGAACAGATCGACCAGCGGGTCGGTGCGGCCCGAGAAGCCATCAGCCACGAAAGAATTGCGTTCTGGCCATTCATCAAGCACATATCGGGGATCAATCCCCATTCTGCAGAATACTGGATCAAGCAATTTGAGGGGATTGAGGCAGTCACCTTCCCAGAATTGCCGGCACCGGATTTTACGCCAGTCGCTAACCACGCCATTGACTATGCTATCAACTTGCCGACCCGTGTACTTCGCGAGATCACAATCGCGAGCCACATACGTCTGGCCTGGGCCATCATAATCGCCAGCAATACGAGTTTGGAGGACGTGGTGTACGGTGCTACGGTGAATGGCCGCGGAGCGCAGGTCAACGGTATAGAGACGCTAACAGGACCAACTATTGCCACGGTGCCTATTCGGACCAGGTTGGAACCAGGTGCGACGGTGGCTGATAACCTGGCCAATATTCAATTGCAGTCCATTGAAATGTTACCATGGGAGCAAGCTGGGCTTCAGAATATTCAAAAGTATAGCCCGGAGGCAGAGGTAGCTTGCTCATTCCAGAGCCATTTGACCATTCAACCAGCCTGGGGAAGACATCCTACCGTGTTTGCCAGCTGTAAAGAAGGCGCTGCGGTCTCAGGCGGGTTTGCCTCTTACGCTCTCAACATTGAATGCTATCTGAATGACGACGAAAGTCAAATGGAGGCCAAGGTGGCTTTTGATGCAAGGGTTATTCACTCTGATCGGGTGCACCGTCTGCTCGAGCATCTACAGGTCATTCTTACTGAAGTCATCTCGCGGCCGCAAGAAAAACTCTCATCTATAAGTCATATCAGCCCGTCGGACATGGCTTGGCTGGTGGAACAGAATAAGAGGGTCCCTGAAAGGCCCAGGGATCTAGTCCACGAGGTCGTCCGAGCAAATTCGCACAAATCACCAGAAAGACCAGCTGTTTCCTCTTTCGATGGAGAATTGACTTTTGCGGAGCTGGAACGCCACGCCACACAGCTGGCAAGCGAATTGGTTTTACAGGGAGTTGGACCTGGGATGTTACTTCCCGTCCTGTTTGAAAAGAGCCGCTGGGTGATCGTGGCAATGCTGGCCGTTTTAAAGGTCGGCTGTGCTATCGTCCCCTTGGATTCCTCCTACGCCGTCGAGCGGATCCGCGCGATCTGCACACAGGTTGAGTCTCCGCTTGTCCTATGCTCGGACCAGATGGTACGCACCGTGGAAGAACTCCAGCTGAACGCTGTTGTTGTGGCGGCCACTAGCAATTGCTTTAAGCGGCCAACCAGCGAAATATCTCTCCCCACCATAGAAATTGACAGCAACGCTGCATTCTATATGATCTTCACGTCAGGGTCCACTGGGGCACCCAAGGGCCTGATCATCAACCACGGTGCCTTCTGCGCGTCCGCGAGATCATATATCCCCGAACTCCAACTAGACAACACATCAAGGGTTCTACAATTCTGCTCGTTTGCCTTTGACATTTGCTTTCTGGAGATCTTCGCTACTCTACTCGCCGGCGCCTGTATATGTGTTCCATCGGAGGACCAGCGAACGAATGATATTCACCATGCGATGCGAGAACGGAAGGTTTCCCATGCGATTATCACCCCCTCATACGCCCGAGTGATTCGAGCCGAAGAAGTACCGTCACTCCGAACTGTTATGCTAGCAGGAGAAGCCCTGCTTTCATCCGACGTCGAGTACTGGGCCCCGCGTGTTCGACTCCTCAACGGATATGGCCCGGCAGAATGCTCACCTCTGTCTGCAGTCCAATATAATAATGGAAATCCGCGTTTGCACCCTCAGGATATTGGATTTCCGCAGGGGTGTGTTGCCTGGATTTCCGATCCACGTGACTATAATATTCTGAAGCCTATCGGTGCAACAGGGGAGCTGATTATTGAGGGGCCAAATGTCGGACTTGGGTATTTTAAGAACTCATCAGAGACGGAGTCCGCGTTTATCCAACCTCGGTGGCTGCAGGCTCATCGCGGTTCTTCCTGTCGAGCCTACAGGACTGGGGACCTGGTTTGTTATACCCACGATGGCCGTCTGCGATATATGGGTAGAATGGGCCAGCAGGTGAAGCTCCGTGGTCAGCGGCTCGATCCCTCCCACGTCGAGCACCAGCTCCTGCAATCCTTTTCCGGCTCTGCTGAGGTAGCGGTAGTTGTGGCAAGCCCAAGTGATGCCCGAGACAGGCCTACATTGGCCGGCTTCGTGTTACTGGAGAGCGAAGCAAATCCACAGCGTAAGGATAGATTATGCGGCTTGCCAACGGAAGATTTTAGTCACCGTGCCTCCACCGCACGCTCTAATCTGCACCAGACACTGCCGGCATATATGGTACCTGCTCTGATGATTCCGGTGCTTTTCATGCCCCGGACAGCCTCTGGAAAGCTGGATCGACGAGCGTTACAAAGAGAGATCACCCAGAGAAAATGGACCGAATTGAGCATGTATGAGAGCTTGGACGAAAATGCTCCCAACCGCGCTCCGCTCGATACCGAGCAAAAACTGCAGTACGTCTGGGCAACGGTGCTAGGTCTGTCTACTGAGGATGTCCGCCTGAACCAGAGCTTCTTCGCCCTTGGGGGAGATTCTATCACTGCGATGCTTGTGGTGGCGCAGGCACGGAGCAGGCAGGTTGGGTTAAATATAGCGGTTGAGGACATTTTCCGCCATCGCACGATTGAGAATATCGTCGCCCACGCAGCACAGGGCGCCACCAAGCAACGGGAACTCGTCTGTCACGATTCCTTGGACACACCGTTTGATCTTACTCCAATACAACGGCTCTTTTTCGACGTGAACCGCAATCAGGGACCCAACCGGTTCAACCATAATCTGCTGGTGCGTCTTAAGCAGCGCATCTCCTTCGACCAGCTGAAGTTCGCGATAAAGACCATCGTCCAGGCACATCCGATGCTTCGCGCTCGCTTTGTGCCCGGGTCTGGAAATGGGCACTGGAAGCAACAAATTCCGACCACAGTGGAAGGGTCATTTCACTGCGCCTGGCATTTCGATCGTAGCATCGCAAGCGTTCTTGCTGAAAGCCATCACAGCCTGAGTATTACACTTGGCCCGGTGTTTTCGGGGTACCTGATTGAAACCAAGGAGGGTCAATCTATTTTACTCGTCGCCCATCACCTAGTCGTTGATCTCGTCTCCTGGACCGTGGTTCTAAATGATTTGGAGCAAGTCCTGCGAGGGGCTCAGATTTCTGGTGCATCATCTACCTCCTTTCAAACATGGTCAAAGCTTCTCGCTGAATACCAGCGAGGCTTGCAAGGAGAGTCAGACCTTCCACCTACAGATCCACTTCCCTGGAGGGGGCTGGAAAACTTCTGGGCTTTCGCCATCGAGGACAACACCTATGGCAACAGCGAAGATATAACCGCCGAGATTGACCAGCGTACAACCGACTTGCTTCTGGGGGACACGAACAAGAGCTTCGGCACCCAACCGGTGGAACTCCTTCACGCTGCCATATTGTTTGCGTTCATTCAGGCCTTTCCTGATCGTCCCGCTCCAACCATCTACTCTGAGGGTCATGGTCGAGAACCGTGGGATGCATCCATTGACCTAACCCGAACCGTTGGCTGGTTCACCACGATGGCTCCAATCATGGTCAAAGCTAGTAGCATGACCCAGTTTTCCGATGTTGTCGGTCAAGTCAAATCCGCTCGTCGGAGATTGCACCGGAATGGCTTGGATACCTTCACTGCCCGTCAGCCATCCAGTCCGATGGAAATAGTCTTCAACTACGGCGGACGCTACGCGCAGCAGCTGGTGAAAGACGGGTCTTGGTTCCAAGTGGAGTCTTTTGATTCCGTGGGGATCTTTGACAGGGCGCCTGAGGTGCGGCGGTGGGCGGTAGTGGAAATCAACAGCATTGTCCAGGATGGCAAGCTTACTTTTAGTTTCACTCATCCCCGAGGGAGACATCAATCTGGGATTATCACCGAGTGGGTTTCGAATCTCAAGAAAGCATTGGAAAGGTTGGCCACGGGGTTCTACTCATCTAATCAGGTCTACACTCCCATGGACTTCCCATTGCTGAACGCTGATGATGCGCGACTGCAGAGCGTTGTGGCCTCAGTCTCCAAGTTCAAATTGCCCTCCCGAATTGAAAATGTTTACCCCTGCTCGCCGATTCAACGGGGTATATTACTCAGCCAGGAGAAAAATCCCTCTCATTACCATGTTGCTATGGTGTGGGAGATACACCCTGCCTCAGACGAGCCTCCATCACTAGACAGGGCAAAGGCTGCCGTAGAGCAGGTAATCTCCTGTCATCCGAGTCTGCGCACTATGTTTGTCAAGTCTGTCTCGGAGGACTCAGTATATGATCAGGTTGTAATGTCTGAGCCATGGTCCCCGATTGAAGAGTTCATCGGTCAGGACAAAGCGATGCAAAGCACTCGATTGACACCGGAATGTCCAAGCCGGTTTACAATCCACAGTGCTTTGAATAGAGTGTACCTTCGTCTTGATATCACTCATGCACTGGTGGACGCTCACTCACTCAATATTATCCAACGAGATCTGCGTCTTGCATACGATGGCCAGATGGGTCAGACCAAGGGCGCGGACTACGCGGACTTCCTCGCTTACCTGCAGACACTCGACAGCGAACAAGATAGGTTGTTCTGGGAGAAGGAGCTAGAAGGGGCACAGCCGTGCCTATTTCCATCCCTGACCGACCACAAGCCAAGGGAGCTGGATCAAAACAAGTCCTATACGCATGAATTGCAGCATCTCGAGCAGCTATATTCTTACTGCCGCTCGCACCAGGTTACTCCTGCGAACATATTCTGCCTCGCATGGTCGCTGGTGCTTCGAGCATATGTCGGATCAGACGACGTCTGCTTTGGCGTCCTTGCATCTGGACGTGAGCTGCCCTTTGATGGGGCTGCAGACGTTGTGGGCCCATTGATCAACATGTTAACTTTTCGCCGCCACTTGAGCAGTGGATCGACCGTAAGGGAGCTCCTTCAACACATACACACGAAATACCTGGCCTATCTGCGTCACCAGACCTATTCAACCGCCGACATTTCACGTCGCAAAGGTGAGGCTACCCAGTTCAACACAGCCGTGTCAATCCAGCGAATCATGCCAGCAGATAATGGGTCCTCATCGACAACCTTGAACTTGGCCCATCGGGAGGACCCAGCCGAATATGCGATCGCAGTCAACATAGACATCGAACCGACACGTATTGTTATGCACCTACGCTACTGGCTGTCAGCACTCAGCGGTGAACAGGCCTCGCTAATATCCTCGGCCTTTGGGCACGCTGTGCAACAGATCATAACAAATGATCATCTGGCTCCAACGGAGCTCGACTTACTATCTGAACAGCATCAGGGTCTCATACATCAATGGAACAACACACTTCCGGCATTTGACGAAACCCATGTACATGAAACTATCCAGCAGCGAGTCGAGGCTACACCTGATGCTGTTGCCGTCCGTTGGTCCAAGGGCATGTTCACATATCGCGAGCTGAGCGCAATATCGGACCGCCTTTGTATTCATCTGACATCACACGGGGTTGGATCAGGCTCGCTGGTTCCTCTCTGTTTTGACAAAAGTCCCTGGACTGTAGTTGCCTTGCTTGCGGTTATCAAGAGTCATGCAGGGTTTGCCCTTTTTGACGTCACACAACCAGATTCCCGCCTAGTGTCCATTTCCAACGATCTTCAGAGCAACATTATTCTTTGCTCTCGGGATCAAGAGGCCCGATGCAAGAAGCTGGGAAAGACTGTCATTGTGGTGGGGGAGGGCCGCAATAACTGGCACGCTGGTACCCCAAATGGCAAGCCAAAAGTGGCAGATATGAGCTCGAGAAACCCGCTTTTCGTCGTCTATACCTCCGGATCAACGGGGAAGCCGAAGGGGGCTGTTATTGAGCATCGTTCATTTTGTGCTTGTGCGTACCACCAAATTCCGATATGGGGGATGACACCATCAGCGCGTATGATGCAGTTTGCCTCTTATGCTTTTGACGCCAGTGTTTTTGAAATCCTGTTTCCATTGATGATCGGAGCGACGACATGCATACTCACCGAGGTAGAACGACGTGACTATCTAGAAGTTACCATGAAGCGCCTGCGGGTGACACATGCCTTCCTCACTCCATCTGTGGCGCGCCAAATATCGGCACCGGCGCTGCGGGATTTGGAGGTCCTCGTAAGTGGTGGAGAGCCTCTCTCACATAACGATATCGCCCAATGGAGCGGCAATGTTCGCTTTGTGCAGACCTATGGCCCGGCAGAGTGCACTGTATTTAGCACCAATCATCCCTATCTGACCACGTCCTGTCGCCCAAGTGATGTCGGCCGCCCCGTTGGTTGTGTAGTCTGGTTAGTAGACCACAACAATACTGAACGCCTAGCTCCAGTCGGCGGTCTGGGGGAGATACTCATAGAAGGGCCTATCGTGAGTAGAGGATACATCAACAATCCCGCGGCCACTGACGCTGCATTCATACCACCGCCAGGGTGGCTCTATGCGCTGCGTGAAGACCTAGACCCCACGGTCAGGTTGTACAAGACAGGCGATCTTGCCCGGTACTATCCTGATGGCAGGATTGACTTCCACGGTCGCAAGGACTCGCAGATCAAGATCCGCGGCCAGCGCATTGAGCTTGGTGAGGTCGAGTTTCAGGTTAAGGCTTGCTTCCAGTCGGCTCGGGATATCGTCGTTGATGTGGCGTACACTGGGCCCCAGCGGACTCCTGGTCTCTTCGCCTTTATTTGGGTTGATCGTGACATGTCCTCGCTACAGTTGGACGCTACACCCATCATGGCTGCAGACGAAGAGTTCCAAGCACAGGCAGCCACAGCCTCCGCTACGGTCTTTGAACGCCTACCAGCTTACATGGTACCGTCCTATTTCATCCCGCTCGCCACTCTGCCCATGAACTCTTCCGGTAAGACAGATCGCAAGTATCTCAAGTCTTTGCTGGATGATATGTCAGCGGACCAATTGAACCACTACAGGCCCTTCGGCAAGAAGAAGACGGCGCAGTTGCCCTCGACACCCGGAGAATGCCTTCTCCACCAGATTTGGGCGTCTGTATTGGGCCTAGACACCGATCTTCTTGGCGTGGATGACAATTTCTTCCAAATCGGCGGAGATTCTGTCGCTGCAATGAAGGTCGCGGCGGTGGCCCGCAGACAGGGGCTGGAGATCTCGGTTGCTGATATCTTTGCCCGTCCCAGACTGTCGGATTTGGCCGCTGCAGCTCAAAGGACGGATAATGTTGAACGCGTTGGTCCCACGGCCTTCTCCCTGTGCCCCCCTGACGCTCGCGACCTGCTACCTGCGTTACTGCACGCTCGCAATACGCTGCCTCCGAAAACGACAATTGCCGACATCTTGCCGGTGTCGGCTGGCCAGGCCTTCTTTTTGAAACGGCCCACATTGCACCATTTCACCTTTGATGTCGAAGGCGATGTCAACGTCGATCGAATGCAGAATGCCTGCGAGGCAGTATATCAATGTTTTGACATTCTCCGAACTATATTCATTCAATGGCGTGGCCAACTGCTGCAGCTCATCCTCGCCAATCGACCTGCTCCGTTCCATCACATAGTGACGGATTCAGACCCCGTCGAGGCCAATCGCGAGTTACGAGACTTAGACCGTATCTCGGCCTCTCTATATGATGACCAACCACCTTGCTCCTTTATACTGATTTCCCATCGCGATGGCACTCGACATTCACTCATATTCCGGCTCTCCCACGCGCAATGGGACGGCCTCTCGCTAGGAGAACTCTTCAGCGCCTTTGGTGACGCCTACCATGGTCGAATTCTACAGCCAGCAACATCTCTGACAACAGTTGTCTATGACCGGTTAATGCGGGACAAGAGCAAGTCCGTATCCTTCTGGAGAAAGTATCTCCAAGGCGCAACAATGAGTGCACTCGTCCCCCACGCCTCCGATAAGACAGATCTCAAACACGGCACGACAATTTGGGAGAACACCATTCTAAACCCCGCCCCGCACGCACCGCCCGGAATAACGATGGCGACCGTTGTCAAAGCCGCCTGGGCCCTAGTCATCGCCGAAGAAACGGGCTCTCGCGACATTGTCTTCGGTCAGACCGTCAACGGGCGTAGTTCTGCCCTTCCCAACATCGAACGCATCTTCGGGTGCTGTCTCAATTTCACACCCGTGCGCGTCCGCCTCGCCGACGAAAACGGGTCAATCTCCGAGCTCCTGCGATACACTCAAGAGCAGTACCAGCAGACTGTGGCGCACGATGATATGGACATCAAAACAGTCATTGACGAGTGCACGGAATGGGGAGAGGAGACATATCTCAATTCAATCGTGCAGCACCAGAATATACCCCTGCACCATATGATGCCACTGGAGGGTTTGAAGACGGAGTTCAGGCTACAGGGCTATTTCAGGCCTGGGCGGGAGGTGGTCATTTTTACGGAACCCGCCGGTGATGTGCTCAGTGTTCAGTTTTGTGCGAATCCTAATGTGATTTGTCTCGAGGAGGCGAAGAGGTTGCACGAGAGGTTGGTCGAGTTGATTGTGCGGCTTTGTGAAGAGGGCAATCAGTCTGTGGCTGTAGTGCTAAAGAGGTAAATGCGTCTTAGATGTTTAGGGGCCCATGGGTCGTTCTGTTTATGGTGGTTGCAGCGTTCCTAGTCAAGATTTTCCTAAGGCGCTCCTGCTCCTCGCCAGTGGGGTCAATGTTAACTACATCCTGGTGTTGTCCGCGACCACAGATGGAGATGAGCACTCGATCCATCCCAAGTATCAACCACAGAGACATCCGGGCTCGTGGGATACTGAGCATAGATCTACGTGAACCCGTTCTTTCCATTGGGTGCTGTATATAGGAACGCGATCAACCCCCTCCAGCTAGTAAAATAGAACGAATAGATTCTAGCCGTCAACGCTGTCCCAAATTCCACTTCCCATTCCCCAAACTAGCTCCTTGACAGTCGAGGCCGCCGAAATGAATTGCCAGGTTCCCACGAAATTCCCCCTTCACAGAATGCGTTCAGTACATTCTGGACGCTGCTTGGTGGTACGCAGGAGACATGGCTGTTTTCCATTGCATTCCACCAGCTGGCTCCAAACGAGGCAAGACAGTCGTACAGCAGCGACCCTTACATTTGTGTTGCACATTCCGTTGGTTAGAGGCGTTTTGAACCTCACTTTCCAGGGGTGGATGGTTATCACCATGGCCTGCAGAATGTAGGGTTGCTCATGAATTCAGAGATCTCTACCTTGCACAGGTCTAGCGGAGTATCTTGGCTGTTCCCAGGCTTATGATCTTTTACAGAAAAAAAGTTTCCAAAAAGTACTTAAGAAAACCCCCACCTCAATAAGCAACTGGGTGGGTATCATCTTCATGATCGTCACGAAATCGTTCGCCACTATCAAAAAAGAATTATCAGAATGGCAAGAACAACCGCGGTGACCGCCGATCAGCAGGCAATCGCCATCAAGGAACAATTGGCGAGAGTCACCTCCCTCGTCGAGGGGTATATTTCCGGCCTGCCCAGTGATGGCTCAGAGAGGACCTCGCCTGCTGAGAGTGCTGCGCATAATGGCAGAACCCAGGAACTCGTCAAAGAGACGTATACTCTGCTCAATTCCATCAAAGGGCCATTTATTTCTGTCTTTAACTTTGCAGAGCAGGTGCGCTTTTGGCCGTTTTCATTTCCAACGGCCACAAAATGTGCTGATGAATATATTAATTTTCACAGGTGATGCATATTGGGGCCGTCCGGGCCTTGTTTGGCCTTGGAGCGTTCCATGCTCTTCCCAGAGACGGCTCAGCCATGAGCGCTGGCGAATTGGCTGGGAAGATGCATTCTGACAAGGAACTCCTTGATGATTAACCCTACCCCAACCGCTTAATACAGGATTTCTCCTTCTAACGCCCGCAACTTCCTCAAAGTACGCCTAATGAGACTCTGTACTATCTGGGGACCTTTCAAGGAAGTCGACACCGAGACATACAGCCACACTCCCTTCTCCCAGCCTACATAGACCCCAACGTTACAAATCAGTTCCTGGGCTAGTGAGTTTGTCGAATGCGCTAGAAGCCCTGCTATACAACCAACGCTAATCACGCCTCTGCCAGTGTGGACGAATTCCTCCCTGCATGTCTCCAACTACATGCCTTCCTCGACTCCAACGGAGGAAATCCGCCTGAGGACGCTACTAACTGCCCCTACACCTTAGCCCACAACACAGGAGGGAAAGACATGTGGGACCACATGTCCCAGTTCCCGGAAAGATCCAAGATCTTCAATAGCGCCATGTATGCTATTTCCACGGCCCATCCCTGGCCCGTTGCACTCTATCCGTTCCGCAGCACACTTGCCCAGCTGAGCACGACCAACCCTGATACCCCGCTGGTTGTTGATGTTGGCGGCGGACAGGGCCAAGCACTTGCTGTAATCCGCCAACTTTGCGGGGATATCCAGGGTCGGTTTATCCTGCAGGACCGAGCCGATGTGCTGGATGCGATCCCGCACAACCTCCCAGGAATCGAGAAGATACCTTGTGATCTCTTCAAACCCCAGCCGGTCAAAGGCACGTAGCCCCTCTTACCTGTCACAGTACTGTGAGTTTTGCTGACGTATTTGAGCTAGGTGCCGCAATCTACTTCCTCCGCCACGTCTTGCATGACTGGGCCGAGGGCGCGTGTGTTAGGATTCTTGAGAACATTGCCACTGCAATTACAGACAAGAAGACACAGCGTGTGGTTATATCCGATATGGTCCTCCCGCCGAAGGGGGTTAATGTGGAATCTGCCACACAAGACTTGGTCACCCTGAACACCACGGGTGCTGAGCGGTCTAAGAAACAGTGGCAACGACTGCTCACTGCAGCAGGGTTCCGCCTGGGGAACATATACTCCATTGACGGATCGTGCGAGGCGGCTATTGAGTGTTTTTTAGTATAGTTGGCCCCAGCTTCACGTTCCCTGGCGTGTATTATTCTGCTTGTCTGGTTGGCGAGATCATTGGGTCCTTTTGCGAATTATGCAAACCAATTTCTTTGGTGAACTTAGTCCATTTTATTTAGCTGATATTAAATTTGCCCTTGTGAGTTCGAGTTTAGTGTAGCAAGGAGATAATCGACTTCCTTACAAGCACGCTATATTCTACAATTCCTCCGAATCTTGGGTTCATAACGAATCAGGTCTATATTCGAGCTATTTTGAAAGGATACGTGTCATGTTGATCTAAAATCAGCTTTTGCATGGTAAGCAGGGCCAGCTAAGGCTTCTCACATTTCCACAGGCACCTGGCAGCAAGAAATATCATTTTTCGAGGGCGAACCTCGCTCACGCAAGGACAGCAGCAAGGAGAGCTAGGCTTCACTCTATCATTCGAGCGAATGGGTGTGCTCCGGGAGCTTTTGGTCCAGTGGAACCTGAATAATGTATAATTTATTTCTCTTAGTTTGATGTTGCACGAACAAACAGCAAGGAAAGGATGGAATGCACAGGGTCAAATACTGTACTGCTATGCTCTACATTCTATGCAAAAATAAATTCGAGCCATGACAAGCCCTTTTCGAGAATGGCTGACACTTGTTGCCTGGGTGGTAAAAGTGTGATATAATCTTCCCCTTTCTCTCCGAAGGGCATGGGTGCTAACCATGCTCAAGAACACAGCCCTCGTTGCTGGCTACACGAGCTGTCAAATGTTTCATTATTTCCCTATTGTCTAGAATAGTGCCACACGTAATAGCTATGCTAAACATGCATTCCAGTGGAGCCTCCCACTGCATGTTTGATTAAATTCTGTACGACTATGTATTATTTATCGAATATTCCCCGCGTGCACTTGTACAGAATCCGTATGTTCCCGTCCCCCAATCTGGAGACCGGATGCTGTTCCATAGATCCGGTGGCTGTTGTCATTACGTTCCACAGTCTATGCCATTTTTTCTTAAGCTGCAACATCCCCGTACACTTCGGTTTACTGCTAGTTTATCCCAAAAACTTGCTTGCTTGTCTTGCCCTCCCTTTCTTCCATCTTCTTCACAAACTCAGGCACAATGACTATCCCGACTGGCTCAAGTTCTCCCACTCCCTCCGGGATTACCGTCATAATCATCGGCCTGGGGATCGGAGGCCTCACAGCGGCTCTTTCCTGTCATTTGAAGGGACACCACGTGATCGGCTTCGAGAAGCTCGAAAATCTCGAGCCGTATGGTCAGTAAAGGGCAATCTCCTCAATGAGCTGTAATATACACGAGCTAGACCAACTGATGAATTCCGTGCATACAGGCGATGGCCTGATCCTGACGCCCAATGGCCATCAAGTGCTCCGAGACCTCGACGACACCGGATCCATAGGGGAGTGGGTCAAGAAATGGTCCTACAACTGCACAAACTGCAAAGTTTACGATACAAATGGGGTGCACGTTGGTCAACACCCCATTCCCGACACGGATAAAGGGCTGTCCCTGGTACCTCGCGGGGGCCTGGTCCATACTCTATATCAGACGGCCAAGAGACTCGGGCTAGACCTCCGATTAGGCGTGAAGGTCACTGAATTCCGCGAGAACGAGACCGAAGCTAGTGTCGTCGTGGATGGCATCGAGACCGTAGGCGACTGCATCATCTTTGCCGATGGCGCGAACAGCAGAGGCCGCGCTGTTGTCTCGACCAGGAACACGCGGCCCTATTACTCCGGTTTCTCAGCCTACCGTGGCAAAGCGGATGGAACGGCACTCATTGACGATCCCCAATGCCACTGGCTCCTGAATAAGGATAGCAAGAATGATTCCGCGACTGCCTTTGCAGGACCAAATATGTACGTCTTGCTTGCGACGTGCGGAAAAGGGAGGGCGTCGTTTTGTCTTGGAATCACTCAGGTAAACTTTGTTACCCATCTTACATCAAGCGTAAATCCTCCCCTAACAAAGCCTACTTTCTAGACGACTCAGCTGGTAGACAATTTCTGGACCACCCCGGTTGACAAAGAGGAGATGCTCGGGCAGATCGACTACTGGGCATGCATCGATCAGATCCGCCCTGTGGTCCACAAAATGTCCAAAGACCAATTCATTCTCTGTCCTTTACTCCGCGCCGGTGTGCTGGATTCCTGGGTCTCACCGGTGGGACGCATCGCCGTCATCGGAGACGCCGCACATCCCTTCTTCCCTACCTCCGCGCAGGGCGCAACCCAAGCCATTGAAGATGCCGCCACGATCGCTATCACCTTACAACGCGCGGGAAAGCGTAACATCAAGCTGGGATTGAAGGCTATGGAGGAGCTCCGGTGCAGTTCTTCGAGGATACACCACCACCACCAGAGATAGACGGGACTAACAAGCACATAGAAAACACCGAGCAACCTTCATCCAGCGCAACGCATGGAGAGTCAACGATGCATGGTTCGAGACACCGGTGGACGAGCGCGTGGGGAAAAAAGCAGCTCCTGCAATTGGCATCATTGACTGGATTGCAGAGCACTGCTGCAGAAGCTATGCGTCCGAGGAGTTTGAGCGGGTGCGCTGGTCTATCGAAACAGGCGAGGCTTATATACCGACGAATATTCCTGCCGAACGTAATGATATTCCGCTCCCCATGTAGTTCGCTGCGATGTTGCTAACGATGTGCCAGATTTCAAGGAAGCCGCTGAGTGGATTGCGATGAAAGACGGTGGCGAGGAATTCCATTGTACTCCTTGCAATAAGGGTTGAGGCCGCTGCATAGGTCAGCGTCATACGCCTATGTCAGAAGAGGAACTAGGGCAAGTGCGCCGTGCTGCTATATAAAACAGGCATCGTCGAGCGCGTGTGTCTGGATGATATTCCCTTAAATAAAGTCTTATGTCAACATTAGTAGCAGACGCAGAGAAATATATCACTGGTACTATGGCCATGTTCAATTCCATCAAGATCTTGACGGCCTGTTTTGAGAGAAAGAAAAAGAAAACAATTCCGTGACAGGCCCAGCACGATGAACAGCATAAAGTCGCTGCTTTAGTCCTACGTGTGCTAGGAAACAAATTTCCCGCAGTGACCGCATGGTGACCATTCATATGCAGGGTTAAACCATCACCCAGCTTCACCCGATATGAGGACTGTCCAACAATCCAAAGTCCCCTACAAGAACATGCGGTATAGCCACATTCGTTCCAGGGTTACATTCAGATCCCTTGCATACTTGTGTAGCCTTCTGGCAGGTTGGGGAACAGCGCCGAGTCTTACCACCTAATAGGCCGCTCCAACTGGCCGAGAAGTTATTTTCAAACTTTGAAGTCGTTGGAGAGGACTGCGGGCCGTAACCTATCGTGACACCAAAACGCAAGGGAGCGAACACCCTTCCTTGCCGAATATCCTACACCATAATGCGGCCTTGTGATCCAGAGAAAGACCACCGCCCTTTAGCATGTAAGACATTCTATCTAGTACTATGCAACTGTGCATGACTGCTATTCAGAGGAACTTCGGGGGAAATATGGTTCGCCCATGTCCTTATACGCACCTTACGTATCAGCATTGCCCTCTACAGCTTCCCTATTCGCCGGGTATTAGATGCAATGGTCTAATTTACGACCTCACCTTGCCTCTCATCATGTATCATGCTGCTAATTATATTCTACTCAGCACACATCATCTCACAGTGCTAGGATTACGCCTTACGTGTTAGCCCTCGTGCTCTTCGAAACCAGCTAAAAGCAAAAAAAGTCTCAATAAACCAGATCACGACGTGCAAGAGGTGATGCTCGATGATGCCTTCCAAGTACGTCGGCTCTCCATATCCGACGCCCATCCTGCACCCTTCACAAACCCGGGTAAATTACACCAGAAACAGATAAGGGGTGGGTATACATCTCAACCTCGAAAGAAAATGGGTAGAGTCGGAATCGCAGGTCACGATCTCCGTATCTTGGGTAGCATAACGAGCCAGAGTCTACGAACTGACTTGCAACTCCTTTTTGTGCACGGACGGATCACGCGGAGCGAGGTCGGCTTTGGGTCTGATTTGGCTTTTGGCTCCGGCTACGTATATATGCCTTGGTTTGTTTAGAAAGGGAGACAGATAATATATCTTAGGAATGGAGGAGTTTAGTGCAAGGTGATGTTAATGCTGGTATGAAGATGAACTAATAAACGTCTTTTCACAGCTTTCCAGTTTGTGCTCTCTTTGGTCTATCCAACCCTGATTCGGTTGCACGGTGCTATGCATGTTTAGCGGTTGTACTTATACAAGATCTCTGATTCACTCGGTCCGACATTTGGCGTGCAAAGCTATATAGAATCTATAAATCACTAGCTTACATGGCTGAAGGTCAAAGCAAAGGCACCATTCCTCCCGACTGAAGATTTTGTTGCTACTACAAATAACATTCAAAGTAAAGACGCCTCGGAAACAGCTTCATTGCGCAGGCCCTAGGCAGGAGCTGTCTCATTCTTCTTCCTCCCTTTAACATTCACCCATCGCAAAGACAGCACACCCAATACACTTCCAGCAGCCAGAGCCGCAGCAACAATAAATGCACGCATCACCGCAGTATTATAAGCCCGCAAGACAGCAGGCAACATATCAGGCTCAACCAGGTGCCGAATCATACTGGCTCCAGACTCCATGATCCTCGCTGCATCCAGGCTAGGCGCTTCTTCGGCTAGAGCGCGCAGCAGCCGGGTTTGGAAAACGCTTTGCGCAACGAAGTTGAACAGAGCGCCGGCTAGGCTTTGAGTGAACGTGACTATAGCAGTTCCGCTTGGTATCTTCTCTGCCGGGAGTGTAACCTGGACCACAACCACCGGCAGCCCAAATCCGACTCCCGCGCCGATTCCGTAGAGCGCTTGGAACCCTATCCAGGCGGAAGGACCGGAATTTATTCTCAAGGTTGACAACATTCCGGCTCCTATCGAGGCTATCAATGGCGTGGCGTACATGAACGGAGTGTAATATCCCACGGAGGAAACGGCCCAGCCTGCCAGCATGGAGGTGACAGCAACTGCTAGAATGAGAGGTATGTTCATGACGCCGGACATCGTTGCAGAGGCGCCTTTAACGCTTTGGAACCAGATTGGTAGCTGGAATGACAGAAATGTTACTTTATGTACTGGGGTTGGTACTCGTAGATAGATGAGAGACTTACATAATAACTGAAAACGACCACGGACCCCGTAAGGCAAAAGGCAAATATTACTGGACCCCAGACATCCCGACTCGCGATCAATCCGGGGGGTATCGTAGCTCTGTCTTGCTGCCAGTACTGGACAGCAGCAAATGCCAGCATCAAGGCCCCAAATACGGCAAGCAGCAAGATAATGCGCCAGTTGCTCCACGGATACTCAGCACCTCCCCACTGGAGCACAAGTAGCAGGGAGATAAGGCCTGGAATACAGAGGACAAGTCCCACAATATCAAGTTCCAGTAGTTGTTTGACTGCGCTTGATGGGCTTTTTGTTGGCTTCTGCGCCTGGAAGACGAGAAGTATAGAGAACCCGGTCACAGCCCCAAGAGGCAAATTAATATAGAAGCACCACCTCCAGCTCGCGTAATCGGTTAGAACACCTCCTAACAGGGGCCCAAACACCCCAGCTATCGCGTAGAAGCTGGACAGTATCCCGTTTAACAATGGGCGTTTCTCCACAGGGGTTATTACAGAGACGATGATAAAACAACCCACAAATAATCCAGATCCTCCGATTCCGGCCACTGCACGTCCGATAATAAGGGTCATCGAGCTCGGTGCGGCGCCGCATATCAGAGATCCTACCTCGAACAGAACAAGCGCCGAGAGGTAGACCCATTTGATGGTGTAATAGGTAAACAGCTTCCCATAGACCAGGGTCATGCTGCATTGCGCTAGCATATAGGCACTAACATACCATCCCATATCCTTCCCGGACGTGAACTCCTCCGTAATCTTCGGAATTGCAGTGGCTAGGATGGTGTTGTCCTGCATGACAACGTTCGACAGATCAGCGATCATCCGTCATCGAAGTACGTCTTGGGACCGGTGCGGCAGGCTTACCAGGGCCATACAAAGTATCGCGAGGGCTAGGCCGATCATAAGAGCAGCGCGCTTCCAGGCTGATGCGACTGGCGGTTCCTTAGCCAGCTCCCGAGTGGCATCCTGCGGTGGGCTTTCTGATGGCGCTGCATTTTCTCCGACTGAATCCAGGGGAATCTGTTCCTTACGTTCCTCTTCGCTCTGACGCTGTGTATTAGACTCGCATACTGAGTCTGTACTTCCTAAAGCGAGAAACCTCGACCTCGATCTTGAAATGCCTGGGCTTCGGCGGAAAGGGCGGCCGAATTTGCTCGTCATGCTTGTTCTGCACTGTTTGCGTCAAAGTCAACCCATCGGGTAGATTGAGAATGGAAAAATAAGAACTGAGATCGCTCTCCGCAAGAGGAAGAAGACAGTTACAAGACCAATGTGTATAAAATATTCGAGGTCCCACCTTGCGAGGTGAAGAATGGCTTCACACAACTCGTTCAAAGATTGGTATCCAGCCGTGAATATATCTCCTGAGGGCTCAGAACTCTTTTAAATAAGGGGTTATGATTAAAGAGATATTATGGAATGGTTGATGGGGTTTTTGCGCGTCAGTTATCTTGTACTACCTTATCTGCCATGGCTTCGTGTTGCATTCATGGAAAGTATTCTCCCTAGAATGCTACCCACCCACACAGGGTAATGTACCTTCAGCTCGAGACGGGCATACTGCATGCTCAGTGACTTTCTGCCATGGGCAGAGGGCACGAGATACTATGGGAAGGGCTTGTATCAGTTCTTGGGTAAACCACCGTTTGTCAATATACTAAATTAGAGATAACCTGCACCTAATCATCTAGAGGGCCCTATTAAATACCATTAACAAGCTGTATGGGGTAACCCAGGGTTAGTAGCCCTGTCGAAGCAAGCCTTCACTCAACTTCAATCCTTCGGCTGAAGGGGTACGTATGATTTGCGATGATTCAACATCATCTACTTATTTCCGTTATTGAACAATTGAATTACTTTTCGTAGCCCATGACGATCCAATAACGTCCGCCTCATTATTATTATTTTGCTTTTCCATGTTACTTTCTTTAAATCTTCAACGGTAGGTAAGCTATATGGGATCGTTGTCCATTAGGCCGGTAGGTGAACGGCACGCCTTATATAACGGAGAACTGGTTACGCGCACAATGCATAATCTCTGGAGATATGGGAATGCGGCAATATACAATAATAATGCTTATACCATCACTTCTCTCTACCACTGCGGTTACCTTCAGCTGTGTACGGTCCATCCATCGAAGCCCGCCCGCCCAAGCAGGGACACGGATTATCAAATGACATTATTGAGGTCTTACTCGCTGAAGAATATGTGGGAAACCTTTCGGAAAGGCGTCCCGGCCTTCCGGAACGCTTGAGTTTGGACCAAAGAACAACGGGATAGCTTAATATTGGATGGCATCAAGGGCCTTTCTGTACCATCTGTTCCTCATTCTATCCGAGAATGGTCTCAAATGCATTATCGGTCATCATGTCAATCCAGTACACGATTGGGGCTTGACGTTGTAGTGGGAGACTTAAAATTCCACGGTCCGCCCTTGCCCGAGTTTCTCTCACAATCATATATACCTGGTATACTGTATTTAACCCAACATAGGACGCCATATTGTTGAGTCGATAATCAACAAATGAACGCCAATATCTTATATCAACTTGTCCACGCCTTTGAGATGGCACGGGAGCCCCTGCTCATCTGCCGATAATACTCTCATGCCAACGTCCATGTCTTCAACTTGAAGAACTGTAATACAGGGGCTGTTGGAGTTTTGACATGGCTGACAGGGGCGGACACGTGACCTTGAATGCCTGAGGCGGGTCCGCAGGAAATGATGCCTGAGGCAGAGTTAATATCAGGGCTCCGACAGAGTTCCCATAACAATAGGGCACTTACTCCTTGACAGGCAAAAAGATTAAAGAATTCGAGTAGGGAAATTTTATCTTGATCACATGGACTTTTGGTTGTGCAGACAACTCGTTCCTAGCCATGGATTGTACTGTTGTACCAGATTCCACCTAATTGAGAACCCTTTTTATATATTTATATTAACGGTGAAGTACTGTATGTTCCAAGCTGAGCCTGGCCTAGGATCTTTATATAGAATACGTCAACAGCCGTAAACATTCCACCAACACATTTATATATTACTAAATGAATTTCTTAGCAATTAGAACTTCCTTCCTGGGTGGCTCTCTGGTGTAGCCCCGTTGTTCAAATTACGTGGAGCTTAGTGTAGCTGCCAGTAAAACGAGTCCAGGATCCATGCACATCCACACTGATGCCTTGGCAATAACCCCAGCCTTTGCCATTCTTTGGTGGTAGTTGACAGATCGTGGAGACGGGGGTGGATAGTTGCCGAGTTGTAGCTCATCAAGCATTTAATTACAAGAAAACATTCACTTTATCAGAAGTGGAGATCTGGGGTCACAAAGACGAGCTCAAATATGCGTTTTGGTCGACTGCAACCGGCATAAAGAAGGATACATATCAGCCTGACTACTTTGTAGTCGACCGTCTGAACTAGAAGACCTTCTCTGGAGAGACGTGTGAGCTATTCCAGGGTGTCACGCTTCATCATTGCTCAGGCCATACCCCCGGCGGCGTGATAATGGAAATTCAACCCAATTATACAGGAACCGTGGTACTGGCCGGTGATGCATTCCATGTTGCCGATAATTACGAATTACGAATCCCTCCAGGGCTATAACTAGGGAATGTAACGCGTGGCATCGCAGTAAACAGAAATAAGTAGTGTATATACAGGCCTATATAAACCCGGGTAGTAAAAGGCGCTAATCTCAGGACAAAGAACTCGTATAGATATCTCCCACTAAGGGCTAGGCACTAGTATTAACATAGGGGTAAATAATAACAATTGAAGAATTATTCAAAAAGTAGCACTGATATGTGCATAGGCCTGTAGCATCCTAATAATCAACCCATCCAGTCGGTTGGCGCCCTGGTGCCTGGATAGACTGTCGGCTCTCCGTTATGGAACTTCTGTTTCGCCTCCATCCCGCAGGCCTCTGTCAACTCTCTACCTAGTGCCTTTCCCAGAAATAGCACTAGACTACCTGTCCTTAAAATACTGTTTCGATAAACTCGACCCAACAGTGACCGTAGCAGAACTTTTACCAAGAGGCACCTTAAAGCCACCCCGTTCCTCTGTGTATTCTCCATCAAGAGTGTACGTCTGAGAACCACTCAGATCTTCTAGCCAAACAACCACAGCTGAAGCATCTGCAGCTGTCTCCGGAGCGGCGCTTGACTTTGACGCAATGATCAAGGAAACAGTACTCTTGCCAGCATCGTACTCGAACTCCTCGATTGCGCCAGCATCAATCGTGATGTAGAGCGAGAGGGGTGCGATATAGACACGATGCTTCACTGCATCGCGAGGAGCGACGACAACAGTAGACTCGTTCGATTTGATATTTCCCCCGTAGACGACCTGCCCTAGCTTCGGGTCCTCGACAAGATAAACCGCAGCGCCAAGCGCCAGACCAACGAAGTTGGGGCCATAGTCTCCACTGTATCCATCCCAGGCCAGGGTGTCCGGCCATGAATGGAATGAGGCTGCTGCAAACCCGCCGGAGTCGATGCTGGAAAGTGGCCCGTTCATGCCGCCGTAGCCTACGTGAAGCAGGTGGGTGTCTTGCGGATTGTAGCGAAAGTGGGATAGTAAAGGCAGTGCGTTTAGACCGGATCCGTAGTGGTGAATCTGGCGCTCAATGCGCTGCAGCTTTCCTCCGTAGCTGATTAGTTAGTATGAATTTGCATGAACATGAGATTGGGGATAAACATACATGTTATCCCAGTAGCGACGAGCGTTGCCATTCCATCCCCAGTGCGCCACGGTGGGCATGTATCCAAGGATGCTGTTGATTGTCTTGTTCACTAGAGCATCGTTGCCAAAGTATCTATCATGTCAGTATACTTTTACATATACAGGGGGAGTCCCTACCGTGTCCAGTAGTACACGCCCTCCTGGCCAGTCGAGTCCCAGGCCTGTTCGCTGCCAAACGGAGCAGGAAGCGTATCCCAGTAATCGACTCGATCCTGCATGACTGTTTCCAGCTTGCTCACTTTCTCCGTTTGGTTCTCGCGTTGAAGGTCTTTGAGCAGCTCTCCCCAGACGGTCTCGCCCATCAATCCCACCAGCGCGTATCCCACAATGTAGGTGCCTGATTCATCCTGAGCATAACATCGCATCACGGTCTCGTATGCATGGTTCAAGTACCATTCCCAGTCGTGCGAGGTCACTAGGTCAGGATAGGCTCGAGAAACGCGGTACATGGCCCAGTATGCCGCAGTGACATGGACGTAATTGTACGCTCTGCCATCCACCAAGTACGAGTCGGCGCGATTCCAGCTCCACCAGTTACCCCAGTTGATATCCGACTCGTACTCGTAGTCGGCAACATAGCTGGGCTCGTAGAAGAAGGCGCTCTTGCGAACGCCGTAGACATCGGCGCTGGTGTTCGTTGGACCGGTCTGGTTGTCCTTTACTTGGATATTGCCCCAGAGAGTCTCATCGATGAACTGCTCCAGCTTCGTGATTTCTGCTGGCTCGGGCTGTATTGCCTGTTTCATCAATGTTGCGAGCCAGGCCCCTGACCCGCCTTCGTCCATCAGGCCTGCTATCCAAACGCGAGGATCTTGCTCTACCTGTTTCTCTGCGATGCGGTCGTACGTGATTATCGAAGGAGACCGCCCAAAGGGATCACTCGAGTCGTTGAACCAGGCCTTTGTAGTGAAGAAGTTGCCCAGTTTTCCAACGGCCTCGGAGGCGCTGTCTGTGATATAGTAATGTACAGTCTGCACAACGCCGTCGCCATAGGTGATGGAGAGTCGAACACGGCCCCAGCCTGGGGTCTGGGGCTTCAATTTCCACAGGTTGCTGCCACTGCCTTCGGTAATATTGAACGACTGGGTGGGAGACGCTGTGATATTGGCAACGGTTTTGTTTGTAAAAATATACAGTGATGCCTCCAAGTCCGATGGAATGATATACCCAGGGACACCCATTGCATAAGGAGTCCCAGTAGCCTCGACCACGTCTCCAATGCCACGAATACCGTCCTTCACCAGGGATAGGCGTAGCCCGACCGTCCAACTATCTCCTGGCTTCAAAGTCCTGGAGGTTGGCGCGTTCCATGGCTCAACATCTGCCCAGTCCTGCTCCGCATGGGCCTTCGTCAGGACCTGCCACTCGTAGAACCCCTCGAAGACTTGGCTGTGGTATGGAAGTTCTCCGTCAGTGGGTTCCTCAAGGAAATTCCACGCCTCGAATTGAGTATCGCCAAGGGGAGTGATGACGAGCGCATCGCCAGTGCCTCGGGTTGGCGTCACTTGGACGTAGCCTGCTCCAAGCCCAATGTAGGGATCGATAAGAGAGCATCTCTCCAGTGCTTCGTCCGTCGTATAGTTGTAGAAGATGCTGTTGAACTCGATTGGCAGTCCCAAGCTTCCGAGCTCAACGGCCTCCTCGTTCGTATTGTTCAGCGTGAAGGTCAGTCCCAAGTCGCCGTCAATGTTTGTCCACCTGCGAGTAACGTCGAGTGGCAATGAATCAGGCAGGGTCTTCGCGAGATTAGCCTCACTCAGTGCTTCTGTCGATGAGACGTCCTCGACTGCCTGTCGAGATGAGGCGGTGCTGACATCGATCCATTCGCCGGTGCTGGACAGGCGATAGCGGAAGTTGATGTCGCCGACGTGGTACTGGCCATTTGCTGCACGGTACTGGAGGAAGTGGGAAGGAGAGAAGTCAAAGCCCCCCCCGCTTGGTCGGATAGAGGAGAGAACCTGAGCGTCCTGCACCAGATCAAAGTCGAAGTTGGTCGTCGACAAGTTCTTGTAGCCATTTGCCAGGCCCAGGGTATCCTGGGCCTGCGCTGAGACAGCCAGCACGGCGGCCAGCGCAGCGGCATAAACCCTCATGGTGAGGATATTTTCTGCTGTTTTGTTATTGACAGAAATGCGACAGACAAGGTGATCTGGCACTGCAGGTTGTATTCAAGACATCCCCTCCTGAGGATAAACCGCCGGGGGTTGGACAACGGACGCAGACACGAGGCCTTTTAGTGCCATCTGCATATAATAAAATGAGACAGATGCTGTCACCTTGCAGAGGACTAGTACAATTAAGGAGATTCTCCGGTGCAGCAGTCGTTAGTGTGGCCGTTGAATGGCGATGTGTAATCTCAAGAACTCCAAGTGGAACCAGGATTTGCATTCAATTCCCAACGGTCAGCTATTTAATAGAAGTTACTGCTCTCTAGGAATAGTCTCCCCCACTGTTGTTTTTCCTGCAATGGCACAGCCATTTTGCGTTTCAGATATAGGCCTGAACTGGTCCCTAGCTGGCCTCTTGCCCTGCAGATCACTCGACAAGGCCTTGATAGGCGCATTCTGCATAATACCATCAGACATCTGGTCGTTGCCAAGTTCCTAGTGTGTCTGACAGTACTCTCAGGCGACTCAGATTGATTATGGCGGCATCAACGTCTGCAGGTCCTATATATCCCTCGCAGTGGCACGATCCTTCGTTATTCATATATTTACCCCTCTCCAAGGCGTGGAAGCTCAATATGGGTATGAGATCGCTTATTGGGATTACGGTTGCCCTTGCAGCAGGGATTACACAGGCTGTAGAGATCGATGGCTCGGATCCTGTTACTTTCACGTCCAAGGGCAACCCTATCTTGGCTGATGGCTCATGGTACTCTGGCGACCCTGCACCGCTTGTCGTGAACAACACGGTGTACATTCTCAGCGGCAAGGATGATGCACCACCGGATACAAACTCGTTTGTGATGCCTCAATGGGGCATGTTTGAGTCGGCCAGCCCTGACCCGGCGGGCTCAGAGTGGACGTTATATCCCAACATTGCGGCGCCATCTGAAGTGTTTTCCTGGGCATCTGAGGGCACCGCATACGCAGCTCAGGTTGTTCAGGGCCCTGACCAGAAATTCTATCTGTATGCGCCCGTGACGGAGGCGAACTCGCCCAACACCGACCCATTTGCTATTGGGGTTGCTGTATCCGACAGCCCTACAGGGCCCTATGAAGATGCCCACCCGGACGGTCCGATTGTGTCCCAGTCAGTTCCGACAGGGAATGACATCCAGAACATTGACCCGACCGTCCTTGTTGACGAAGATGGAAGCGTTTACCTCTACTTTGGCACGTTTGGTCGTCTTCTGGGGTACCAACTCGACAGCGACATGACCACGATTACCGGCGATGTCATTGAAGTCGACACATCGACGTTGACTGGGTATTTCGAAGCCCCGTGGCTGATGAAGAGACAGGAGACATATTACATGGTATATGCCGCCAACAACGCGGGCGCGGATTCGCCATGCACGCCGACTTCCTACCACGCATGCATTGCATACGCCTCCTCCTCGTCGCCACTTGGCCCGTGGACATTCCAGGGCGTCGTGCTGCACATCGTCTCCTCCACGACCTCCCACCCGGGCGTCGTCGAAAGCAATGGGAGCTGGTACCTTGTCTATCACACTGCGGACGCAGAGGGCGGATATCATTTCCGACGCAGTGTGGCCTTTGACGAGCTCACCTGGGACGATTCGCAGTCTCCCCCGACCATCAATACTGTCAAACAGACATTTGCACCACAGAGTGACCCAGAGCAAACGCGCAACATTGCGGGCGCAGCCAATGCGAGCTCTGAGAATGCAACCCCGATTCAATATTGGGTGGAAGCTCTTCACGACGGCGTTATCAGTGTCAACCCACTTCCACCGGACATCTGGAGTTCGTATGACGGCACGAACTCTCTCGGGGAGAGTACTGTGGTGTATTCCTGGGACTCGGCAGTGACGCTGAACGGTACGGCAATGGTCTTTTTCGCGGACCAGCCGGCGGGCGCATCGGAAGGCGTGGCGCCCCCGACTGCATGGCATGTCGAGTATTTGGAGAATGGATCTTGGACGGAGGTGTCCAATAGCTCGCCCTATCCGCTAGAGGTCTCCGATACTCCGGTTGAAGTGGGATTTGACCAGATAGAGACAACGTCCATCCGTGCTGTCTTGTCTGCATCCGGGGGAAGCGGGGGGTATGCGGGCGTGGGAATCAAGGAATGGTACGCTTATGCGCCAACTGCGCAGTAGCTGACAGTGTATCTTGCTTAGCTATCTAGTGGCATGTATACTATTCTTACCCAGTTCGCGGGTATATTACTGAGCCTGGTATTGCACGTACGGTGATCGAGAACTGATAGGCATTGTTTTGAAGACAGTATCTCATGCACTGGCATATTATTAATGAAAAATTCGGTGTTTGATGCGAGAAAGTACGCTTAGGCCTTTCAGTCGCCGAGGATCTGTGCACCACATGGGCCGGACTCGTGTTGGATCCCGAAATCCAAGCTTCAAGGCTCGGTCGAAGGGGTCGGCGAAGGCTCAGCTGCTTGGACGTTGGAGAACTTTCCTAGTCCCCGCGGTTGGATGATCATCCTAAATATCTAGCAATTTTACTCCAAATCGCGTTGAGAGACCGTAAGGAGCGAGTAATGCACTTATAGATACTAGAATACAGGATCATTCATATGTTGCTATGCTATCAACGCCATCTACAGTCTGTAAGCGGCCCTAATGCCATCCTACTACATATCCAAGACGAAATGACACTGCACTTTAAACCTGAAGTTGCTGATCAAGAACAGATTACTCCAATTCGAATCAGCCTATAGGTGTGATGTTCACAAAAGCAGACAGGCAATCCCCGCAGCACTTCTGGTTACATCATACCAGCCTATATAGGAAATACATCATATAGCGGAATTAGACCTCACGGACGATTGGACCCTGAGAGCGGGCTCCACTGAGCTAATGCAGTGACTGGCGATACTGGAGTAATATGTCCTCCATTCTGTCAATGGAAAGGTATAGACTGCCGACTTTTCCGGAAGATGGCTGTCTATAAGTATCTGCTATTTCTTGTCTGCAGAATAATTATCAGAGCACTTGGTTTCGATACTAGTCTCCAGAAACATTCAAAATATTGCCATTATGAGGTCTTCTTTCTTTGTCGCCCTGGTATGTTGCGGTTCCAGTGCGATTTCGCTGTCGATAGACAGACTGGCCATGGCAAGGAACAGTCTGAGCCCAGCCAAAAGAGACGACACAGCGCCAGCTCAATATGAAGACCAAAGTCTGAAGGGCATCATCGACGACTCCCCCTTCCTCTCGTTCCATCGGGACATCGTTCAAATCCCCTCTATCTCCAAGGATGAAGCCAAAGTTGGCACATTCATCGCTGAGTTCCTGGAGGCGCATAACTTCACCGTGGTCAAACAACCCGTATCAACCAGCTCGAGTGATTCGAAGGCTGACGAAAAGGCACCGTTCAACGTGTTCGCCTATCCATCTGGCTCCTCTCCCGAGGATTCACAGGTCCTTCTCACAAGCCACATTGACGTTGTCCCTCCATATATCCCATACTCCGTGCGCAATGGCAACAAAACCGGAGACTCCAACAGTGTGATCGTATCTGGCCGCGGCTCGGTCGATGCAAAAGCCAATGTCGCTGCTCAAGTCTTTGCTGCCTTGGAGAGGCTTTCAGAATCGCCCTCAACGCCTCTCGCCCTCCTCTTCGTCGTGGACGAAGAAGCAGACGGTATGGGGATGCGCACCTTCTCGGCGAATAGAACCCTCTATGACCCAGAGAGCAGCAAATATCGCGGCATCATCTTCGGCGAACCGACAGATGGCGCGCTTGTTTCTGGACACAAAGGAACACTGGGATTCACGGTGCGCAGTGTCGGTCGGGCTGCACATTCGGGGTATCCATGGCTTGGATCGAGTGCAATCTCGTCGATTCTTCCAGCATTGTCCTTGCTGGATAAGTTAGGGGATATCCCTCCTCGCGAGGGTGGGCTGCCCAGTTCAGAAAAGTATAACCGGACAACGGTGAATATCGGCCTTATAGCAGGCGGCGTGGCATCGAATGTAGTTCCTGCGTCTGCGAACGCGACCGGACTAGTTCGACTGGCAGCAGGAACTCATGAAGACGCCGCAGAGACTATTACCTGTGCCGTGCGTCGTTCGGTGGCAGAGATCAAGGACGCGAATGTGACGGTTGAGTTTGAAAAGGACGACAAGGGCAATGTCCTTGGATATCCGCCCCAGAATCTCGATACAGATGTCCCTGGGTTCCCAATCGCAGCAGTTAACTATGGAACAGATATTCCAAACCTCGAGGTGGCCAGCAATGTGAAGCGGTACCTTTACGGGCCTGGGAGTATCCATGTGGCCCATTCCGACCATGAGGCCCTTACTGTGGGGGAATTAAAGGATGCGGTTAAGGGGTATAAGAAACTAATCGATGCTCTCGCCTCTGATTGATCGGCCTCAACGGTCAATATGCACAGCTATGATGTTCACAGGGACTGATCTGTCAATGAGCCTCCATATCGACCATAGTATACCGCAATCATCCGTTGGTGTATAGCCACTGAACGGAGTTGAAATACCATACGTATAACTACCGCTGTATCCTGCAGACTTAGCTCTTCAAGTAATCATTTAATGCCTACCCTTGATTTCAGGTCGGGTAACCTCCGTTGCGGGTCCATTTGAAGCAATTAATGTGTCATCCTGAGCTCACGAGCCAGGCAGTGTCTTCACAGGTGCAGATCTAGCTATTTTAAGAGTCTCAGAAACTGTTCAGAGGCAACGAGCTCCGCGGATACGGTGATGAGCAGTGCAAATCGCTGTAAGAGGGAGAGTGGGATCTGTCTAATTGCATCTAAATGATCCTAATCCACCGACGAGTCCACTTCGAGTCCACTTCGAGTCCACCACGAGGCTCCACGGCCAATAACCACCATATCGAGCCTGGTGCAAAGCTTATTCTGCAGCGCTGATCTTGTATACGAGCCCTGCACCACTGAGAGGTGTGCAAATGCGTTTGGAACCATTGGGTGGCGGTTTCTAGTGGAGTTTTATCGAAGCCCCCCACACATCGCTCCTACTGTTGACCCCTCGGACTTGGAACAGGACCGAGTATAAAACAATAATGACCCCTATCATTGTCGCTGTCCGCTGGCAATCAATGAACGGCTCCATCGGAGCCCACTTCACCACCCCGACCTTTCGACGTCCTCTTGTCTGCGCGTCCAGATGGACAGCTCCGACCTGACCACCCCGGCCCTCGAGCCACCCCCGGGGCACTCCAGCAACCTCGAAAATCCTTTCTCGCTGGGTGTTTACTTCTATGCCACGGCGGCCGTGGCGCTGGTGCTGTCAACGATTGCTGTGGTCCTCCGAATTTTCATGAAAGCGCGAGTTCTGCGTCGCGTGCAGCTGGAAGAGTACATTCTGGCGCTGTCTCTGGCCGGGTTCTACGCCTTCACTCTGTTGATGGTCACAGCGACAAGCTTTGGGGAGGGGATTCACCAGTGGAATGTGTCGGTTGCAGACTTCAAGCGCGTGGTGGAACGAGCGAATGTCATCGAGATCATCTACTGTCCGACCATCCTGGGGGCCAAGGTGGCGATGCTCCTGCAGATGAAACGCATGTTCGTCGTCAGCAAGAAGGGCAAGCTCTACTGGCTGCATGAAGTTCTGCTGTGGACCAACGTGCCCTGCTATCTCGCCATCACCCTGAGTTTCATTCTGGCCTGTGTTCCACGTCAGAAGCTCTGGGAGCCTGAGCTGCCCGGCCGCTGCATCTCGTCGAATGGCTCGCTCATTGCCTCGTCCGCCATCAATGTGGTTTCCGATATCACGATGCTGCTTTTCCCGTTGATGGTGATTACGCGACTGCAGCTCCCTACTCGAACCAAGATGATCCTGGGGATGGTATTCGGCACTGGAATTCTGTATGGTACCACTCTTCTTTCAGCTGAGCAGGACTAACCTTACTAGGGGCTGTATTTCCAGTGTCTTCCGACTTGTATACGGTGTGTTTCTGGCCAACACAAGCGACTTTACATGGGCGATTTCCCCTGTTGGCCTTTGGGCGTACGTACCCTCCCCGCTGCCACTCCTAGTCTTGCTAACCCAGACAATCAGCATCGCAGAAGTATGCTCCGTTATCCTGTCTGGTGCCGTCCCCATGATTCCAGGGTTCGTCAAATTCGTACGAGGACAAGAAGGGTCTGGGTCAGGGCCCTCGTATGTTGCCACGACCTCACGACGAGCGAACACCGGGAACCTCGTCTCACATGGGAAGTCTGCGGTCGATCAGACTGACAAGGGAGTATATGATCAATATTACGAGCTTGGGGTCATGAATGCTGCCCATGCCAGTGTGACGTCTCTCATCGACGGACGCCAAAAGCCCGGTACGAGGACGAGCATTGTCAAGACGGTCCACATCCAAACTGGATATGAATAGGAGATGTGATAGTATAGTATAATTATTTAGAGACTTTTACTCAATGACTGCTCCTCAAGACTTACTTGGTGTAGATCAGTAATTCTGGCTGTATCAGAATGATCAAGCATGAGTCATGATGAGCCTGCATGATGCCGGGTTGCCTAATCCGGCACTGCAGTATATAACCCTAACAAATCCCATCAATATCAGAAACCAGACAAAATCAAAAAGAAAGCTGAATGAGCCACGATATAGACACCACTTGTACCATAGGCACCTGTTCAACTTCAGCAATGGACCAGTATACCACCAAGGAGGATGTCCTCAGGCTAGCAGCTGTCGACCCAGAGCTTCAAGAGGTAAGAGCCACAGATTGTTTTGAATATTGTCTAATATGAATCATCAGGCTCTCAAACATACCCCAGCTCCATCGATGGGCATGTCGCTGCCCGTCGAGCAGCTGCGCGAAACAGTGTCCGCAATCGAGAAGAAAGCATACGACTCCTGTCCAGCATTCGACACGCAGGAGAGTGTCATGAATATCCCCATGCGTGATGGACACCAGAGCGAACTGCACATCGTCAAACCAAGAAATTCTTCCTCTGCAAACCCCGTCGTTGTTCTTGTATTTGGGGGCGCATTTGTCATGGGCACCAACATCCAGTCCATTGCCTGGGCTCGCACGGTCGCATATCTGTATGGCGCCACTGTTGTCCAGCTTTCGTATCGCAGAGCACCAGAGCACAAATTCCCAGCTGCCCCGAGCGATGTTTGGGACACTGTCCAGTGGATAACAGAGAATCAGTCGGCTCTCGACGCAGACCTGACCAAAGGATTCGTCATCGGGGGTGGATCAGCTGGTGGAAACTTGTCCATCGTCACAGCGCATCGGGCCGTGAAGGAGAAGCTCTCGCCGCCAATTACAGGAGTACTGGCCAGCATTCCGGTGTGTATGAGTGAAGAGACCGTGCCCGAGAAATACAAGGAGCTGTGGGTGTCTCGCGAGCAGAACGCAGACTCCTCCGGAAACCCTCTACAGGATTCTAAAGGCCTTGGATACGAGGTTCTCTACGAGCAGGACTTTCTGTCAGAGGACTTTTCGCCGTTCAACTCGACTGCGCCATTCTCGGCTATCCCGCGGACATATGTGCAGGTCGCGGGCCTCGACCCTCTGCGCGACGACGGCATCATATATGCAAAAGTATTGAGAGACAACGGTGTTGATGTCAAGCTAGATGCTTACCCTGGAATGCCTCATGGCCATTTTAACCTCTGGCCGCGGTTGCAGCAGTCGATAAAGTCGCAGGAGGATACTATTTGGCATTTTGGATGGCTTCTACGTCGTGAAGTTCCTAGGGAAAGGGTCGAAGAGGTCGTGGCCATGATTGTATATTAGAATATTTGCCAGTCACAATAGACTTCATTTACTTCTATACTCTGCCAATGGTCGCCGTATCGGCGTCTCTGGCTTGTGGATATCACCTGCAACCCCTCGGGGACCAGGATTATTGGCACGGAGAACAGACCAACTCTAAGTTCACTCTAGTGAATGCTTCAGTGTACAAATGGCCGTATTCCAGTTAGAAGATAGCCTGTGGTAAGGCTATCATGGGGAAGTCAAATCCCAAAAGGCCATTGCTTGGAAATGAACAGCTATATCAATGCTAACCGCGATAACATGGCAGAGTACGGTTTGATCCCCGGCGTTTTCATTCTCGCAGTCAACAGGCTGTCAGCATAGTTTCCCTAACACTCAGTGACTGTGATTGTACTTGGCCTCTGCCTTGCAAGATCCAACAGAGTGAGTGCAACGGGATATTCACATCTAATGATTCCTTTCACATCAACTGCTACAGTTGTCTTTTATGGTTAGGTAGTCTGCTGAATGGCTGGACTGTAATCATTCACTATCCGTGCCTTCCTGCCCACCCAGTAGTGATGAAAAACGTGTGGCGCACCAACAAGATAAAAGGTGGTGGGTGGGCAGGAAGGCATGGATACATCACATTAGGATAATACACATAATTCCGCCTTGGGCCCTTGATATGTGCACTGGCCAAGCCCTCATAAAACCGAGTTGTTCTTGACCAGAGCAAGTTCCTTTATTAGAGAGACCCGTCTCTTCTGTTGCCTTTACCAGAGGATGTGGATTTCGTGCAGAGTCATTCAAGTATGTTGAAAGGGCGTGTATTGCATTGTCCAGCACATAAAGCCGTTTGTTTGCTGGCGTTTCTTTGATTTGACTCGATTGAATCAGACTGGGGCTTCTATATCAACCGTCGACACCATGAATCGCCCCAAGAGTAGTGTACCAAGTTTCGACCACCCTATGCTGGAGATGGCTTCTATCCGCTCGTACTTCGAACCCTTTGCGCCAGGGAATGGTGGCCATACACCCTCTACCAAGGGGCCAACTCGAATTCTTATGCTCCATGGTTCGTAAAGCATACCCCCATTCCTTAGAATTTACTAATAATGATCCAGGACATGGTCAGTCAGGTCAATTCTTTTACCACAAGCCAACACGCCTGATAGAGACTCTGCATGAAATCGCCCTTGACAGAGACACGAAACGCTGCTCGGACCGAATCGAGCTCTTCTATGTTAACGGTCCGCTATTGGCCGGCGAGGGCCCGGAGTCAGATATATGGACTTGGGGCCAGGGCGACTTCGAGGCTGAAACGCATATCTGGGGACTTGATGCCTCGATTAATAAGATCATGGACGTCCTTGCAAAACATGGTCCCTTCGACGGGGTTATAGGGTTCTCGACCGGCGCCAGCATCGCAGCCATTATAACATCCTTACTGGAAGGCAATCGGAGAACGAGACTCGATATAAACCAGGTATGTAGAAATGGAATCCACGGGTAGGTGTAGTTCTAACCAGGTGTTTTTGCAGACACGACATCCTCCATTTCGATTCGCAGTGTGTTTCAGCGGCTTCATGCTGCAGCATCCAGACTACAGATCATTCTACCAACCCCAGATCAAAACGCCAGTCATGCATTTTATAGCGGAATATGACACAATGATACCGGAGGGGCTTACCCGACAACTCGCTGCCGCTTGCTCGCAGAGAGAGGTTCAAAAGTTCAAGGGCACACATTACGTCCCCCGTCAGCGTGAGGAGGTCGTACATGTCAGTGAGTTTATATTGCGACATCTGGGCTGGCTAGCCGACGAGGCGGGGTATATTACTTGTAGTAGTGATGGGTGATGATGACCCTGATCGGGGTTTATATCTGTGGTGCTACTCTGGCTTCTTTTCTTTCAGTATACAGACCAAGAGATATAGCTGTGAATTGGTATCGGCAGATTGTTGGATTATAATAAAGTATCATGTTTCAAGTGTATCCGTAACCGCACCTCATACTCCCTAATAAGTATATCGAAAGTTCAGTTTCTCCTTACGACGCCATATTTTCAGACTAGGCAGAGTCCAATATACCCACGATGCTGAGATCACAAGTAGTTTAAAGCGACTGGCTTGCTTCTAATATAGTCATATCATTTCTAAGCCGAGACACCCAGTCTCAAATGCTCGTGGCAGAACCTCCTACTCTCCTCACTGATATCAAACCCATTGATCCACATTCTTCCCCCCGGCTCAAACGTGCTTTTGCAAGCTGGATCAGGGGCCGGTTTCTCCTGCAGGATCTTCTCTCTAATCTGCTCCTGTACAAGCTCCGCTAACTGCGCCCGCTGCTTATCGCGGATGGCTTTCCATTTCGTATCTCGAGCAATCTGCTCTTCGCCATCCGGAAGGGTCATATCAACGGCGTTTCCCCGGCTGATGCTACGCAAATGCTCTACGCGAGCCTGGCGGAACCGGCTCCATGTGTGTATCACCTTGGCCAGATCCTCCTTACATCTTAGCTGTCCCACAAACTCCGCCAGACTGGCGGTATCCTCCATCGCCATTCCCGCCCCCTGTGCAGCATGAGGAAGGAGGGCATGCGCCGCATCCCCAACCAGCGCGACTCTTCCAGATGTACTGACATAGCTGGGGATCGGGCCGACCTCACCCAAGGTCCAGGAGACACACTCCCCGTCTTCAACAAGCGAAGCCAAGGCGCGCACTTCCTCACACCACTCCGATACAAGCCCACGCATCATGTCTAGATCCGCAGGGTGATTCCACCTGCCCAGAGGCACCCCTTCGCTCGGCCGCGGGACCCCAATGACAAGGTTATATAACTCGTTCGAGGCGACCGCGTACGCCAACACGAACATGCCCGGTCCTACCCACGATTGCGTCTCTGTCGAGGACATGAGCGGCGCCGTAACGGGGTTCGAGAGCATCCGCGATCGCGGAATCACCGCCCGGTAATGATGCTCGCGATACGGTGTCGGGGCGATGTCCTTTGATGCCGGCAGGCATCGTCTGGTCCGGGACCAGATTCCATCTCCTGCGACTGTGAGGTCTGCCTCGAATACCTCGCCATCTGCCGTGTGGATGGTCCCACTTTCGTGGTCCACGGATGCAACGGACTTGCCGAATAAAACGGACACGTTCGGTTGCTGCTTTAACCGGTCGAACAGGATTTGCTGTAGGTCTGGTCGGTAGATCTGGCACTGGGGCCAGCCGTAGAGCCAGGTGGTGGTAGGGTTGTTCAAGTTGAAGGACAGCTCTGCGTTATCTTTCCAGCGACGGATGGACATGTGGGACGAGTGGCAGGCCACCTTCTCCAGGGCTGGTGTTAGGCCCCATTTGTCGAGGATGCGAGTGCTGTTGGGGAAGAGCTGCAGGCCGGCGCCAAACTCGCTGAGGAAGGGGTTGGACTCGAGGACCGTGATCTGGTGGTGAGGGTTGCTGTCGGAGAGTGCTATGGCCGACGAGAGACCGGCGATGCCAGCACCGATGACATTGATCTTCAATGGGATGCCGGGCTGACTGGGAGACATGGTGGTGTGCGGAAGTTCAGAGCAGCGCTTTTTAACCAGGGTGTCCTTTTCTAAAAAAAAGGGTCCTGGTGGACTTAACGTGGTTGCTGGTTGGGTATGGATATATGGCACGAGCGCATGAGACGACGCTGTCTATCCCCGCTGACGGCCACAATAAACAAACGCCTGTCGCAACAACTGCAGTGCGTTTGTAGATGTATCACAAGTGGCTGGCTGAGATCGCAGGCCGTGCACGAGCTTGGTAATAATCGGCGGTTCGGGGTGCAGAATTGGCCTATGAAGGTCCTCCTACTCACGTTGACGTGGTCAGCTCTTCCTCCATATGCAAGCTTTGGAGGATCGATCGCTGCATACTTTGGTTGGCATTTAGCTCAACTGCCAACCGAAGCCCTGTGAGTAAACCAGCGGTATGCACCCCTTCTACCAATATTGGCCACTCCTCTTCCTCCGCTGCAGGCGGGAGGGTCTCGACAAACGATTCAGCAGAGATCTTCTACCCTGTGGCCAATCCAGTTCAGTTTCCTCTGCTTATACGGGACCCATGTCAGCATCATGCGGGTGACTGTTTTGACTCTCCGCTTGTATCTGGATCTCGCCTCGGTATAGGCGAAGCTAATGCGGATCTCTGCAGCCACCACCTGATGAAGATGCTCTGTATCGTCGATTCTCAGGTACAGTGGCCCAGACAACTGTTGGCTCTTGCATACCGCCATTTCTCACCACGAGATGCGTCTTGTTGTGGAGCATAAGATCCAGTGCACTTTTGGAATCCGTCTTCCTGCCCAGTCTTGGTGGCATCAACTATCGATTCGAGTAGCGCCACAAAATGCAGGCAAAATGCAGGCCACTTTCGAGAGAGGGGTATTGTAATCACAATTAATTGTTAGGAATTGAAACACTGGCGACACCCGCCTTTTTTGTTGACAGTCGATATATCCTCAACTCTGCCAAACTGCCCAGAAAACCATCGCCGATGAGCTGATCCAAAATTCTTGATTATAACTCACATTCATCATGGCGATCGAGGAGCATTATGATCTTTCTGGCCTGACCGCGAAAACCGTGGAATCAATTGGTGCATACCAAACGGCCAAAACCGAACAGGCACGACTGGACGCCGTTGAAAGTACTACGAGACTTCTTCGAGCTCTAGAAAATCCAGCAGATGCAGTCTACAAACTGTTCGCTTCGGTATGGCCCAGATATCGCTGATATCCCACTTAGCTCTAATGTCGTGGACCAAAAGCCAGCCGTGCCCATGGCCGTCAAGACTGCCCATGACCTGGGTGTCTTCGCGCGGTTATCCCAAACCGCCTCTTCTGTCACCTGCAAAGAGCTGGCTGCAGAGAGGAGCGCTGACATCCAGCTTGTAGGTAGGTAATTCCCATATTTCCATTGGCCACCGTGCAAATACTGATCGCATTTGCAGAGCGGATCATGCGAGTTCTTGTTTGCAACGGTTTCGCCAGTGAAGTGAATCCCGGTCAATATCAGCCAACTGCCCTGTCAAGGCAAATGACGGAGAGGAAAACGATTGGGACAATGGACTCGCTGTAAGTGTGCTCGACTTCTGCCACTACCGACCATCTCTGGTCTAACACCAGCAGTTTCGTCGACTTTTTACCCATCATCCAAAAAACACCGGAGTTCCTTCAAAAGTCCGCGTACAAAAATCCAGGGGATCCCAAGGATGGGCCATTCCAACATGCATATAATACCACCGGTACCTGTTGGGACTGGCTGGCTGAGAACCCGGACGCACTCGACCGCTTCAATACCTTCATGGAGGGCGGCCGAGACGAGACTGCCCATTGGGCTGACTGGTTTCCTGTTCAGAAGCAGTTGCTGGATGGAGCATTATCCGACCGTCCGCTGCTTGTTGACATCGGCGGGGGGCGTGGTCATGATATTGCTGGATTCAAGGAGAAATTCCCATCGGGGCCTGGTCAGCTTGTACTGGAGGATTTGCCGTCGGTCATCAAGGACATTCAACAGCTTGATCCTGATATTCAGCGAGTCGAGCATGACTTTTTCCAGCCTCAACCTGTTAAAGGTTCGTTATGCTCACGTTCTATTCTCCTACGTTCTAACAGATACTGTAGGGGCTCGTGCATACTACTTCAAGCACATTATGCATGACTGGTCCGATGATCGTTGCCGGACCATTTTGAAACATACGATCGCTAGTATGGATAAGGGATATTCCAAAGTTCTGATCGAGGATTACGTCGTTCCTGACCAAAATGCCGGACTAAAGGAGGCCTTGACCGATATAATCGTCATGGCATGGTGCCCAGGAATTGAGCGGACTCGACAGGGATGGATAGATCTTCTGCAGTCAGTGGGATTAGTGGCGAAGAACTTCTGGCTGCCTCAGGGGCAAGCGAAAGGCATTATCGAAGCCGAACTGCAGTAGATGCCAGATGCAGCGATATCCAACGCCATCAGATCCTGGTTTGTGTACCTTAGCAGCTAGCTTCCCAATACACATCCACCTGATTTTGTCGCGTAAATCCTTAACGCATTATCTCCTTCTTCAAGATCCTTACATTATCCTGACTCTAAACGGTGTAGGGCCAGAATGGGGATTGTTTTCCTAATATAGTGCGTGCCGTTCTCTTATCTAACCAGAATTGAACAACTTATTCTCAGAACCGTTGAGTCGTGGAAACCATTTCACTGATTTATTAACGGAATACTATTGAGCTGATATGAAGCTACAGTTTCGAGCGCAGTTTCGAGCGACCACTGTCAGAGAGCTCCTGACTTTCGCCACTGCGCCAGGCTGCCCCAGACTGGGGCTTTGAGTCCTTCCACTGCCACTTGGGCTGCGATTGCCTCCCATCTTCCAACAGTGTTTGAACAAATTCTCCAAGAATCGGCATCATCTTGAATCCGTGGCCTGAGTCCCCAGAGAGCACAACCAGCGATGAGCCTGTTCCGGGCACAAAGTCAATGATATAGTCCGAGTCGTCAGTATCAGCAACCCAGCAGAGGTGAGTGTCAATAAGCGGTCGGTTTGCAAGCTTGGGGAAGACTTCCTTCAGCAGCTGTCGGATATATCGTTCGTCGTCGCCAGGGAGAAACTTTGATTCAGCCAGCCCAGGAAACGGCAAGGACAGACCATCCTTGGACCAGGAGTAATTGGTGTAGGCGCCGCCCATGTGACAAAACTTGAGCTTGTTGGTTTGTCTATCTGGTTCGAAGAAAAATGCAAGATCACGCACGTTGGTGACGGGGATGCCCTGCAGCTCGCGAGCTTCGTCGGGCGTGAGCTGGAGATGTGCGACGCCCCAACAGCGGCCTGTCGTTTGCTTTCCAATGTCGGGAATCAAGTTTGGGACATTAGCACCGAGGGCTAAGATGGTCTTATCCGAAAGATAAACTTGGCCTCCTCGAGTTTTGGCCCCGACGCAGACAGTGCCAGTCCGAGCCGATGCGTATAGCAGAGACTCGACCACGCCATCAGTTCCAGTATGAAACTTGACCCCTAAAGAGACGCAGGCTTTGTAGACAGCTTTCAATGCATTTGCCGAGTGACTGTAGCCAGCAAGCTTGTTGTAGTAGCCGGACCAACCCTCAACCGGGCCAGTGAAGCTGGGAACAGTCTGTTTGATCTCGGTTTGGCCATTGACCTTCTTAACCTGTCCACGGAATGCAGGGTGTCTTTGGATCGATGCAAAGTATTTATCAACTACTTGCTTTGTCTCGGGAGTCGCAGCATTGGACGTGACGTTCAGAAACCCAGTCTGGTGATAATGGCGCTTATACAGGGGATCACGCTGCCATTTGCGAATTGCTTCCTGTAACAATTAGATGTGCTAGAATTACCGGACTGGGAACAAACCAGAGCAAGATCTGTGTAGAAAGTATCGGCGTACTCGGCGCGAATGACTTTATTGAGGTCGTTGGCAGCAGAAAAGCGACTGGGGATTTCGCTGTCTTTTTCCAGGACAGTGATATTCGAATATCCGTGAGAGGCCAGATGGTAGGCAGTAGAGACGCCGAAGCAGCCTGCTCCGAGGATCAGTATTGAGGGGGGCATTTAGGCGTAGCAGCACAATCAAAGCATCACTACGGCGAGATTAAAGCAAGAGAAAGAGTTGAACTTCAACAGATTGAACGGAAGACGAGCTGGAGTTGGAGACACCATGAATCATGCACTGACCAGCTCGCTTCGACCTGCTGCTCGGGTGAGATGCGGGGAAATACCAAGCTTATCAGTTATATTTCGGTATTTTAATCGTTTATTATATTTGTTATACTTGGTGGCTGGTTATATATATCATATCCACCCCCAGACCACTCAATATGCTACGGAATCTCTCAAAATAAACATCGAAATTGCAGCAGGTTCGACTACTGCATGCAAATAGATCGATGTCTCTTCGAGCGAGCTTCACTCACAGCATTCTTTATGGCGCAACAATATTAAAACTCGGGTCGCCCGGGTCGAGCAAGCATAAAAGGGTGTCAAGTGCAGACTTGTCGCCGTCGATCTTGACACCGGCCTTCTCCAGAGCTTCAGAATCAGGCCCAGCCACTGCAAGTATAGTCATTTGTTTGGCGGTCCCGGTGAGCGTCACATCAGCCTCGGTCAATTGTGGAACTGTGCTGTAAATGAGCGCGCCGTTCGACAGCCACAGATGATAGGTGACTCCCATGTCGGCGACCATAACGTCGATGGCCAGCTTCTTGTCCCAAGCTTTTGGGCCATTGATTTTAACGGCGAGAGCGTTGAAAAGCATCTCAGGTGTGAGCTGCGCCACCATATCAGTTGAGGCTGTCTGCGTAGGAGTTCCGAAATTCCCAGCACGCAGTTCTGTCCTTCCTGATAAGAAAAAGTTTCTCCAGGGACCGTTCTCTGAACCGTATCCTAGCTGCTCGTAGACGTCCGCTAGAAGGGCTCGAGCGTCTGTGTTTTGAGGGTTGGCAAAGACGGCGTGGTTTAGGACTTCAGCTGCCCAGCGGAAGTCGCCGGCTTCGAATGCTTTGCGCCCCGTTACAATCATCTGGTCCATCCCACCCGCGAGTTCGACATAGCGCTTGGCCCTCTCTGCAGGCGTGTGCTCCCATAAATGGGCTGGGTTGCCGTCGAACCAGCCCATATAGCGCTGGTATATAGCCTTGACGTTATGGCTGATGGAACCATAGTAGCCACGGGAACTCCAGGTTTTATCCAGCGACGGGGGTAAGGCCATCGTCTCAGCAATCTCAGGTCCGTTATAACCCTTGTTCAGTAGGCGGAGTGTCTGGTCGTGCACGTAAGCATACAGGTCGCGCTGGGAGGTAAGGAACTCCACGACTTCCTCAACACCCCAAGTAGGCCAGTGGTGAGATGCGAAGACGACCTCGGCTTGACCACCAAACATGTCTATAGTCTCAGTCAAGTACTTGGCCCAGCTATGTGAGTCGCGAACCACGGCTCCACGCAGTGTCAGGATATTGTGGAATGTGTGAGTTGCATCCTCGGCAGCACATAGTGCTTTGAGCTTGGGAAAGTAGATGAGCATCTCAGCAGGGGCCTCAGTACCCGGTGCCATCTGAAACACCATATCGACACCGTCAATCGTTCGCTTCTCGCCAGTGTGAGTAATCTCCTCGGTAGGCGCGATCAGTGTGATAGTCCCAGTGGTGACAGTTTGTCCAAGCCCAGTGCCGATCTGACCTCTTGGTCCCCGGCTGAGAGCAGCACCGTACATGTACGCAGCGCGTCGGCTCATGGCAGTTCCAGCAAAGACATTCTCGGATACAGCATGCTCGAGAAAGCCCTGGGGCGCAAGGATCTTGATGCCCTTTTCCTTGATATCTTCGTCCGTGACAAAACCTTTGACACCACCAAAATGGTCCACATGCGGGTGCGTGTATATGATGGCCTTGATGTCCCTTTCAGTGCCACGATGTTGCCGGTAGAGTGCAAGTGCAGCCGCTCCACTCTCCTCCGAAGTTAAGGGGTCAATGACGATAACACCCTTGTCACCCTCTACAAATGTTGTATGCGAGAGGTCGAGCCCGCGTACCTGGTAGATACCCTCAGTGATCAGGTAGAGTCCGTCCAGGCGGGTAAGCTGCGACTGGCGCCACAGACTTGGATTAGCTGTGTCGGGTGCGTCTTCCCCGAGGAAGTTGTAGGCATCATTATTCCACACAACCTCATCGTTATCATTCTTGATAATGTTGGGATTGAGGCGGCCCTTAAACCCCCTTCTCGCATTGATGAAATCACGGGTGTCATTGAAGGGCAGACTCTGTCGGATCTGCTTCTGATGATCAATGATGAAATGGGTTGCAGGCTTGGGCTGCGTCTTATCCAGGGCCATTTTATCGGATTTGACTGCTTGCGCAATGAGGGCAAAGAGAAAGAAGAGAATGCATGAGTATCTAGTCTGCGCCATAGTGAGACCCATATGTACAGTCCACGTGAAGACGGAGTCGTGATGTCACATCAAAGCGACGGGTTCCCCTGGCGTTTATATACCTGTTGAACGCACGAGGCAGCTTGCCAACAATCTCGGCGACAGCTCGGCCTGAGACCTACCTGCCGAAGCTTCGTTGAACGCAGGATGAGTTGTATCACCGCATCCATCGCCAAGAGAGCGCGGGCTACCGAAGTTCGGCGAACCCACAAGGGCCTCGGACCGAGAAGAGCGACAAGTCTTGAATAGCCATCAGACCTGAATCATCTAGACTTTACCTCTATAGAGTGATAGAAAGGCCTCGCCATGACTCCTCCAAGCGCTTCTAATACCAAAGCCCGCGACAGAGCCAGGATTGTCTGTAACCACTGTCACGCCCGGAAGGCATGTAGGATCTATCCTCGGGCTGCTGGCGAAACTAACCCCGCCATAGGTACGATGCGATCTCCAAAAGCAGGAAAGCGGCGTATGTAGCAACTGTGAAAGACGTGGTCAACATTGCCAGTAAGCTCTGAAGATATAATGTTGCTGCTTATGTTCTGACAGACTCACTTGCACCTAGACGCCACAATGAAAAGGCTTCTCGTGCGGCACAGAACCGGGCCCTCCCACCGGTAACTGCAAGCCCCGTGTCTGTAGCCTCAAATCCACTGAATATCGTTAATGAAGCCCTTTGTACTGGACACCCTGGAGTGGTCACCTCAGGCCGGCTCCACAGTGCCTCTCATCAAACCATCAGCTCGCCGCTTGACCAGTCCGGTTATATAGGAGAGCAGTCTCTGATGTCTTTCTCTTCATCGGCTCCTAGGTGTGCAATGGCAGATACTGGCTCTTTCCCAGAGCACATCCATAATGAGATATTGAGAGTTACTGGTGCTGTGTCCCTACCATCTCCATCCAAAGTTCAGGTCTTCGCCGACACGTATTTCCAACATCTTTACCACATTGCACCTGTCATTGATAGAGCCGATTTGGCTGCTGAAGGAGCTTCTATTTTACTGCAGCAGGTAATCTGTTTGATTGGTTCCCAACTGCGATACCCAAGGGACCACCAATCACCCACGCCTTTGAGCGAATCGTGTTATCTCAAAATCAAGACCCTGATCTATACGAAACAGGAGCATGATAACCTCGCCTTGTTGAAGACTCTTTGTATCCTATGCTTCTGGATTGTAACCCCACCCATGGTAGTGACCCTAGATTCCTCCTACCACTGGCTTGGTGTCGCCGTGCGACTTGCATACCAGATGGGTCTTCATCGAGAATCGAGATATTCGAAATTCTCCAACCCAGGGGTTGCCCGCCGAATCATGTGGTTCCTCTTTGTCAGTGCAACTCCGAGTGTAATACTTAATTCTAACGTTATATCCAGGTCGTAGACAAGCTGCAAGCGGCAGCTTTTGGACGTCCTGCCTTCCTTCTGTCCCAGAACATGGACCTGCGCCCCTTGGATCTTGAAGATTTCGAGGCCGCAGATACGTCAGCAGAGATATTCATTGCACACACGAAGCTGAATATGGTCCTCGAAAGGATTGTCGAGTTCCAAGATCGGAATGCAGGGATATGCCCAGAAAAAGTGCGTACTGCTCTTCGAATACTTACTAAACCTACCCAATATTGCTTCCCGAAATCGCACTGTGCTAATTGCAAGACTGTACGTAGGTTTCAGGGATTCTCAACGATTTGGAGCAATGGCTTGCGCACCTTCCAAGTAGTCTGCGCCTTCACGATCGATCTGGTTGCAAATTGTATCGACGAGGCATCAGTGAAATGCACATCCACTACTTTACGTGCATTATATTAGTTTTCCATCTATACGGACAGACTATTCACCCTTATATGGCCCCCATTTCATCTCTAGTGGCATCGTCCTGCATGGCGTGCCTGTACCAGGAAATCGACGACCACGACGAAACGAACTACCTCACCCCAGTCCATAACTGGTCACTGATGGTAGGGTGTATTCCACAGATTCACCGGATCATGATGTTTCCCGAAGATCAAGATCTGTGCAATACAGATTTAGATACCTTTGTAACTGCACTGAAATGTATGAGTCTAAAATGGCCACCTGCCAACAACATCTTGACGACCATCGACCGCCTGCGTACAGCCAAGTTCGACCCGAAAACTCACCCATCCGAGACACAGCAGAAAGAAGATTCACTACCAACCTCTTATGAGGCCCCCGCTCCAATCTTGACAAGCCTGTTCCCTTTCCCCAAGGACATGTGCCCTAGGATGGCACTGGTGTACTCGGATTCAGGGGCAAGTAGCACCATTATAGAAAACGCCGTGGCCCCGGCTGCGAAGTACACCATGGACTGGATCTTCGACGAATTTGATCTGGATCATCTGAATTTGCCTTTTGTTGGCTGAGATCATGACTAGGCGATACAGGTTGTTAATCGCGGTCCGATGGGGCATAGCACGAGAGATTCTTTTGTATCGAATCCGATGTTCAAGTTGTATATAAACGGTCATTTTGTTATTCGAGACACGTCAGCATGGCCCATGCGGGGAAGTACCTAATATGAAATATGAAGGAGCTTGCTCTATCTTTCTGTCTTCGGTTGTTTCGGCAAGCTGTGCCGAGATCTTGTTGATGGGCCGAAACTCGGTGCACAGATTATGTTCGATGACTTGCTTCGGCGTAGTTATTTCTCTTTTATGGAACAGTGCATTGCCGAGGAACTAAGTAACCCTCGCAATACCTGCTGCAAGACTTTATCTTTCACTCGTGTATGTTGGGTCTGGAACACGCTGGAACCCGTAATCATCCAAGATTCCTGCCAGTAATTACGCAATCTAGTTCAGACATCGAAGATCGAATCAGGCAACTTTAATTACGGTGAAGATTGCTTCCAGGCCATGTCCCACAGCAGTATCGCCATCAATCACACGAATGAATGGCCATTTATAGTGGATGGCATGATCGCTTCCTTGCTTCCAGCCTCCAAAAGTGGACGCTAAAGACGCTGCGGTTGAGTGGCGAGCGGGATAGCTACAGCCAAAAGGATATTTGAAGCGTGCTGATGGCTGGTAACCTATCATGATTAGCACGCCAATTAGTTAGGTTGTAGGTGCTATGTCAGCGTCTATGTCTTATAATTTCAGGACGGACTTCCACCGGGAGGATTAATCACATCTCACCCGGAACTGAAGAGGCCCATACTGCTTCGTCTGACACTGCAATTAGGTGATTCCTTCCTCGGAAATTACTGGCCGAGTCTCTGCCTTGAGTAAGCTTCAATGTGACCTGAGAACCATTGGGAAGAGCCTCCGAAGGGCACCACTGCAGGCCCTCCCCACGTTATCGCCCAGCCTGGTTGGGAGGTAAAGGCCATAGCCTCAGGCTTGTTCGTGAGCAGCCCAACCACACCGTCCCCTCTTTGAGCCAGTGAGCACATGCGATCAATCGAGGTTCTGATACGTTCCAATGTGAGATTCCTGCCGCATTGGAGGGATCAGTGCAGCACTGGCAAACGGCCAGCTCGTGTCAAGGCCGCGGCCCGATGAAGACAGAGTTTTATCATCCGCTCGTCAGCTGAAGGCAGACGCCTGCCTTGGAAGTCGATCGCCAACGTGTCAACGCAATATCACTGCCAGAGCACGAATCAGCTGTAGCGCGAACCGGCCCAGAGACTTGGCTACCTCCAGAGGCTCTATCATGAGAGCCGCAATACGAGATGGAGAACGATCTACACTGGCGATCAACAGACCACCTCAACGCAGTTCGTATTGTCAGTCAGCAGGAAGGCAATGCCCCCCATGGTCGAAAAGGCAGGATTTAGAAAGGGCGGACTTGGAAAGTCATATATAAGAGGTGTCGTTATCCCCCAAGCAGAAGCATAATCACCAATTTACCTCATCTTGCTGGCTTCTGAAAACATACCGGCAGTCCACAATGCAGCTCAAATACCTCCTCCTTGCCCTCTCGGCAAACAGTGTCCTCGCGAGCCTGGAATCCTTCACTCTCAACGACGGCTCCATCATTGAGGCCGACACCGAGAGGATCGTCGACGCACTCCACCCGGACAGCGATGACAAGGCCCGCAGCTTGAATACGCGTACAGATGAAAACCAGCTATTTAAACGGGACTGCCTTGACCCAGAATATCCCACGATCTGTCAGGGCGGCAATTGGTGCTGCAGGCCTAACAACATCTGCTGCGAGGGCCGATCCTGCGTCAACCCGGCTACCCAGAACTGCTGTCTTTATGGATACTATTGCAACAAGCCGTACCAGTGTGTGAAGCGCCCTGATGGGAGCATTGGATGTTATGCGTGAGGTGGTTCATCTCTAATGATTATTGCCTGTCATGACGGGGGGGGCGGTGTTGTTATTTAGTATTAAGAGAAACAGAATGTAGCTTAGCCCTCTCAATATTATCGATCTACTATATTATGGCTCGTGGACTTTGGAATGAATAGTATAGCCAATCAATGCCCAACCATATAAATCATAGACATAACCCTATTCCATGTCAATTCCCCAGTCTCCCCTTAAGTGTTCCCTTCGCTCGTAATGTCCCAATCCACGAATGTGAGCAAGCATGAGCACACGTGGTGGTTATGGAATATGATGACGATATGATATAGAGTGTATGAACGTAGGCTGGAATGTATTATGGAAGCTTTGCGAGTTGCGAGTACCAAGCGGCTGAAATGCATGCTGAATGAGTGATCAGCAAGTTTAGAAGTAATTCTATCATTCCCTGCTAAAATCCATATATCTACCCCGTTCCATCCATTCTCTAGCTATGGATGTCATGTTCTCCTCTTCCACTTCCACACTCGGTGGCACAAATGGCAACTCCCTCTTCTGGAGAGCAAGAGAATGCTCTAAGAGAAACCTCACCATCCATCCATCGAGTTTGTGAGACTCAGTCGACAAAAGACAGATATTCTGGAACGTCATCAATCGATTGATCTATGATTCATTAGCCATACTACCATTGGATTAACCGTGGTACCGTACCGTTGCTTTCGTAGCAGGCCAATATTGCTGAAGCTCGACCAAAGCCTCGAAATTCGCACTGAGCTCCCGTCGTGCAGTTGGAAGCTCTGTCTGATCACCGAAAAGCATTGTATGCAGCAAGACAGACGAGGATACAGCTGCCATATGCCCAATAGTTGGGTAACTCACCTCACATCCCTGCACCTGGCGAGAGAGCTGGAGCAGGCTGCTAAAAGACGATGCGTGGTGTTTGCAACGGGTGACATAGGAGGATGAAGGGTTCTTGTCCTCGAGGAAGCGGAAATAGAGTAGTGTTGAGTAGTGGTGATAGGCCAAATGCAGAGCAATGAAGGGACCACCAAGCTGATTGTGCTGTTGGCCTTGGAGGTTCTGTATGGTAAACTGGATATCCGGTGGAAGGGTTTCCCTCCATGTTTCAATCTGTTGGCCAAGGACGTCGACATCCTGATCCAACTCTGCAGTATCGGCGTCACCTGTAGCAACCCTGCGATTCAGATCCTGGATCGGACCGAAGAGGCGAGCCAGTTGTATTAAGTAGGCCCATATCCCCGGTTTCCAAGGAGGAATGAGCGTTGTCTGGTCCGGTGACAGCGAGCGGAAGGCCATTTCGTCCATGGGAAGGCCACAGCGTCCCCCGAGATCCTCCATACGACGAGGCAAACCGAGTCCGGCGAAGCACCACCGATCTGCTACATAGAGTGACCACCAGACCCTGCGTGCTGTCTCAGATTCTATGATTCTGCCGTTCTTGGTGACGGACTCTATGTTTATGATCTCCGCCATGCCAGTGGCGATACCTATACACCATCAGCCTCTGTCATATTTTGTCCGAGTGCGTAGGGGGGAACTTGCGAACAAATAAGGCTTCTGAAGAGGTCTGACAGTTCCCAGCGCTGAGAGTGGCTACCAGAATGCATGTCTGTATGTTTGCGAGGCAGACATTCTCCAACTCTGCCTGTAGCAGTCGCTTTGCCTCCGTCGTCAGCCGTGCTTCCAAGTTGCGACGGTCTGGATTTGATGAGAATTTTGCACCTATAGCACAGATTGCACACAGCATTGCCCCGTACAGAGACCCATTACGCAACTGCATCCGCAGAGTTGGCGGATGAAAGATGCTATGGGGTTGGTCGTGGACTTTATTCAGATAGATTTCCACAAGCTCTGCTGTTGTGTCCCAGGGTAAATCTATCGGACTTCTGTGCTCGCCTTGTCCATGAGGCTGTATAGGATGCTCTTCGCTTGAGACTGGCCTGGAAATCGAGGGCGTAAGACGTCTCAACTGCGAACCGCATTGCAAATTTCTCTGCTGGCAAGACCTGCAGGGCTCGCCCGGGCCTGGACGGATGCACTTTCGCTTGGTCTCCCGACATTGTGGACATGCCCTTGGTGCCTTCATATCACTGATGAGTGGATGTACTCTGGAGTAAAGTGGAGGGCGAAGGATGGCCGACACTTCCGATGAGGATAGTGGAACTCGGATATGGACGGATACTATTGGTTGATTACTTCGCTGAGGCTGTCGGAAATGGCAAGCTTCTATTGGCTTACTGGAATAATGTATCCACATTACCGGAATAGCCACGCCGTGACTGGTCCAATTATACTGACCCCAAGGCAAGCATCAGCGATCATCCATACCGCGAGCCGTGCAGATGAGAAGGGGAAATCATAGTATTTCTAATCAAGTCGCATCCTGAGTAGAGGACAGCAGTTGGACGGGTATAAATATGGACCTATTGGCACGAGAGCAGCCCTTCTTGAGTAGTTCATGACAAGACTGCGAATTCATATTGATCACAATCCTCGACGAACATCTTATAGTCATGTCCAGCCTTCTAGAACCTATCACCGTCGGTGAGAGGCTCCCCTTGAGAAACCGTGTAGTCATGGGATCCATGACACGCAACCGCTGCATCGATGACTACAAGCCCGGCCCTGCGCAGGTCAAGCATTACGCCGACCGGGCTCGAGACGGAGTCGGACTCATTGTCAACGAGGGAACATTTGTCGATTGGACAGGCTGCGAGTGGAAATACTCGCCCGTCATGATCACAGACGACCACGCTCAAGCTTGGCGAAGAGTCACGGATGCTGTTCATGAGGAGGGCGGGAAGATCTTCTTTCAAGCGTGGCATGCCGGTGCGTCCAGGCAGCAACTTCGTGTTATAAATACTCGAACACTAATATTGACTAGGTCGCTGCCAGCATGATCAAATGCCAATCAAGAAACAAATGGGAGGTCCGGTTTTGGCACCATCTAGTATCAAGGCTGATGCAGGAAAATATCGTGACCTCCCAGGATCCCCGGTAGGAGACCCCGTCCACTGCGCAGGCATAAAGCTTACTCGGTAATCTCTAGGGTCACACGGACAATGTGGAAGCGATCGAGGATCCACGGGAAGTAATCGAAACCTACCGCCACTCTGTAGAGCTGGCGAAAAATGCCGGTTTCGACGGGGTAGAACTGTTGGCTCAGGGGTATGTGTTCTTTGGCTGTAGTACAGCGACAGGGTCAAACTAATTCTGTGCTCTCCAGTGGCTATCTGCCGCACCAATTCCTCATGAAGTAAGTGGGACCTGTGGGAGATTCGATATTATACTAACCCCTAGCAGGCGTGCCAATAAACGGACGGATCGGTACGGTGGTACAGTCGAGAACAGATGCCGATTTGTCCTTGAAGTTGTCGATGCAATCAGCAAGGTATTCGGCTGGCCTGAGTTCATCTGTGTCAAGCTGAACCCAACTGATTTTGCCAATGACTCCATGGTCACCTTCGAGGAGATGAAGGAAACCTATACTCACCTAATCAAGGAGCTAGTCGCACGCAAGGTCGGGATTATCAATCTCTCCCGACGTGGAGCTGATCCGAATGCTGGGACTGGGGACTTCTTTGGGCTCGTTGGCCGGCCTAGTGATTATCCTCTGCCTCCTAACTACGATCCGGTGCTCGACTTTGGACCGCTGGTAAAGTATCCCGGGAGCCCTTCGTTGCTCATGGCCAACCATGACTACACGGTTGAGGAGGCGAATATTTTGGTCGAAGAGGGCAAGCTTGATTTGATTACATTTGGTCGACCGTTTATCTACAATCCTGTGAGTATCGGGACGGTTTTATAATGTTGAATGCAGGCTGACGATATAGGATGTCATCTCGCGTATCAGCCATGGCATACCTTTGGCCACGAACGATCGCGGCAACACCGTTCATTATGGTCCGTACCAAACGCCAGACGAGAACTATAATGACTGGCCTGTTGCAGCTATCTAGCGCGTTGGTAGGGTTCTACATCAACGCAATCACTGAAATCGCTGACAGACTGCGGTATCAATTCATGGTGACAAAACAGACGTGAGTTGATCGCCTGTTTCATCCCCTCCAGTATAGTGTATAGAGTACATCTTCAATGGATTTGGAGACAACGCAGTGTGCTATGACGTTGGGATGCTCAGTTTACTCTTTTATATGTCTGATTCCTCTGTTGCATTCGATTCTATACCACCGCCCCTTTCTGTGCTCCACTATACCGGCTGGGCGGGAAATGCTTCTATAAAACCCGATAGAAGCCCCCAACCAGGCATTAAAGGCATTTATGCATCCTCGGCTGGCGCAGGGGTTCACGATCTAAATTCTCCCTAGTCAACTCAGACAACCAACTGCCCATGGCACCATAAACATGACATCCCCTCTTCGAAAATTTAATGTGGAGGCTGGCGTTGGTCCCAGTCAAGCAGAATTGTTCCACGCCGTCAGCAGTAACGGGCATTTGCGGTTATCTGCCCGAGATTGTAGCCCAGACACAAACTGCTGATGTGGTGTTCACGGATTCGCTTCGCGATAAAAACAAACCAATCATCTCGCCGTGGAAAAGCAAGGTGTTAAACGACTGTGCAGTGATGATGTCCACATAGCACAGGCGAGAGGCATTCTTATTATAACCTATAGGGAAATGCGTAGTCAAGTGGCACATGAGGCGTTTATATATATTCGCCAACACAACCCTCAACGCCCGCGTCGGCTTACTACCAGCAGCCTTCGGGGGTCTTTGGCCCAACAAGATACTATTTATGCTATACAGAACTAGGGACCCCGCATTCCAAGGAGATCTATTCCCTATAACCTTAAGGTTGTGGCTGTGGGCCCAAGGTCCATTAATATCTGATTTTCCCGAGGGTATTCAACCCCTAATATAGAGTCTCTATACAGGCGAGCCCCGCTGCATGGATCCTGGCTGCAGATGAGTCGTTTCAATCCAATCACTTCCTCTTTGTGTGTTCCGACGGGAACCAGAATATGGTCGCGCAGTCCCGGGATCGGGATGCTGGACTCATGGGCTGTTAGGTGGATGTCAGGGGAACCCCTTGAGTCGGGAAGTGATGAACCTCAGCGTAATAGCTCAGAAAGTTTTCTGCAGGGTGTCCCATTTTCGATCAGTTAGCTGAGCAGTACGTCCTGCTGAACAGACCGGGTTATCCCGCTGGGAAACAAGCTTTGTTTGTGGCGGCTTGAGCCGGCCGATTTCATGTATTTGGGTGTGTTTGGCTCAGATGGACCAGCCCTGACCACGATATCTGTGACAGGTTGTGCCAAAAAGAGGTCTGAGTGCGGCAATCACATGGCTGTCGAAAATTTACTGGTGATGGGATCTATTTATCCTTGCATGTTGTAGTGGTGATTTCTGGTATTGGGAGTCATATTTATAGCAACCATCGCATACTAAAAATGACCACCAAGTAAGGCTGTTTCTTAAGCGCCTGCTCCTACATGTCGGGGCTGTTGGTGCAAGAACAGAATCAGGGCTCATTATATCCAATGATTCGCCGGCAGTCACAGTTAACGCCGACCCCCAAGGAGTGCTCGACTGCTCAAGTTTGTACCACACCATTGAGCCAATCAAAGTGACCTTTTTTATCCCAATTACTTTCCAGCGGAATAGTTGCCCGTGTCGGGGAAGTTTCCTAGTACCGTGTGAGAATAACTCGACCCTGACGCAACCCCTGCAACCAGGTCTCGCCCGTACGTTAGTTGGTAAACTAGAGCTGATCCACTAATCGCCCAGTGACTCGCATTCTTACGCGCTTGATTACTAAGGAGTTGGGCTGAGTCACTGACTGTTGAGAAGGATGCATCGAGTATTCTTCCATCTGGATCACCAGTACCTGCTATTCCAGTATCAATATTCCATTGGGGACTGTTTCTGAAGTCTTTCCCCTCTACCTTGAGAATATACATTGCGGCGCAGTGTTGTGAAACAAGCAATTTCCGCTGGCTCCACCCACTCACTCCATCACATTCCCATCTCCTGCATCCGCTAAGCTGATGGGTCTGCTGTAAGTCCGCCCGAGAAAAACTGAAATACAGTGAAAGGACTAACCATTTACAGAGTAGATCAGAATAACAAAAACTGATTCAGACCCACTTGGAGCAGCGGTATCCTCATTACAATTACAATTAATACTGCAATTTAAAAGTGCGCACTGCAGACAGTTCCTAGCTCGCTCTCACTCACTCCCACCCACTTCCTACTCACCCGCCACGATACAATGGCAGATTCTACCTGGGATAGCATAGAAGCGTATCTGCGGGCCTCCAGCCCAGACGACGGCCAATACAATGGAGAAGATTGCCAGGCCGCAATCCAGGGGTCGCGAATTCCAGAGATATTAGACGAGGAGGCTCACCGACTGTGCACTATTCGCGGTATACGGCATCATTATGGCTTTGCCCAGGAGCTCCGTGGAGTCTCGTCTGACTTCACGCGCGCCCTGAATGCCCGGGATATCATGAGCGGCATTATCCCAACCATGTTAACGCCTGAGGAGGTGCCCTACTGTTTTTGGTATCCAGATATTCCAACAGAGGAGACTCTCCGGGCTTTGGTACAGAGATATCCAGATATGGTGTACCAAGCTGCTCGGGCCTGTGCTGCTGCCGGATACTTTGATCTGTATAAAGAGCTGGACGTTCTCCCCGAGGTGCATGTTGCAGAAGAAGCTGGGTACGCAGCTGCTCAAAGGAACAGCAAGGGCAGCCAGCAGATTTATAGCCTTATTATCTCCGAACCCATTAAATTCGACATCATGAACGACTATACGCGTACGGTTGATACTGCCGGCCGTCGAATTGCATTTCTCAACGGTGACACCGCTGTTTTCGCGAGTCTTACAATTCGCACGAAGCACTCTGGTCCTCGCGATATTAACCGAGCCCATATGCCATGGACACCATATCAGAAGCAGCCCCCTTACTTTAATATTACCGAAGACTGGGGAATCGATGACCATGACTGCGAGGGTCCTAACCCCGAGACACCAGAGGACTACTTCCCGCTGGTGTATACACCACTGCCTGCGGATCTCCCATTGATCAACAAGGACAAACTTATCCAAGTTGCTGCATATAATGGCGAGATTGATCGCTATGCACGGCTTCGACGACCACAGATGCTTGAAGATGAATGGGCCATGGTTGTACATGGTATCTACCATCATCCAGCCTTCGCTAAATGGTGGGGTACACAGATCCCTGAACACCCGCAAAAGAAAGACGAGATTAAGATTAGGCGTGCGATTAATGCCCGCCGCATCATGTCTGATGATCTTACTTGGCTCACTGTGGATGCTCCTGGGGGATTCCTACCGGACCTTATTTGGTATCCAAATGTCGCTCACTGCATGACCTATGAGAAACTGGCACATAAAAGACCAACCATGATTGAGGATTGCCTAAGAGCCTGCATAGTTGCAAACTATACATGGACGTGGGATGCCGTGCTACTCGCTGCGCCTGAACTTCTCAAGGACATACACTTCCCTGCCGCTTTGAGCTTGCCTGAACCTGACGATCCCAAGTTGTGGTGGCTATCTAAGCATGCATCATACGGCTTGTGGCACGAAGCCAGCCATTCATCCAACAAGAAGTTCCAAAACGACATCTGCGCAGCGGTTCCTGATGCCGCGGAGAGATTTAAGGTGGCGCATCCGAACAGCGACTGGTGGGGGGACTACTACGCGGCGTCAAATCTGTACTCTCCAAAAACACGGAGCCCGATCGTGAGGCTCCATGACCCCGTCGAACCAGGAGCACGCGAAGAAGGTCCATACAATGGAATGGACTGCGGCGTTGGTGATTATGATATTGCTTTGTTCCTTGGTTGCGCCGTCTCGCGAGAGACCTGGAAGACAGAAATGCTAGATAAGGAAATCCCGACGGCCAGTCTGGAGGAAGTTTTCGACTTATTAGACATGGAAGAAGTTAAATAGTTGCTATTCTGAGAAATGTCAACCTGGGAAGTTCAAAAACTTGATACTGAATACACACTACATTTCACACCTCCACGTACAAGTCTCTCCCTCTGACGCTCAACACTCGGTGATCATCTGCTTTGCATCTTGGACTGCCTGGATATTCAACCGGTGACCGTCCTGATTATTTTTCCAAGGGTCTATGAATTCCTTTCTCACGTTCACCTCCTTGCCAGCGGCGTTGAGTGAGTCCTGTGCGGCGTCCGGATTGCAGGAGATCCACCCCTCGGTGGCTCCTGGGGGAATTACTTTTTGCTCCCTGACCAGTCCCTCGTCAACCAAAGGGGCATTCTTCTTGATTTTTCCGTTTCTGTTCTTTGGCTGCTTGTCCCAAACCTCTCGATCGTATTTCCTGCGAATCTCAACTCCTACATCCCGGAGACCGCTTGCTATACGCCCCGTCTGGACTCGGCTTCGGGCCCTTTCAGCCTGATCGAACAATTCTTGGGCGGGCTTGCCACCCCCTTCGTCTAACCAACGTTTCCGCTGGATGAATCTGTTGCTCGCGGTCAATATTGTGGAAGTTCGAGTTGATTTTCTGCCAGTTGTACCACAGGCAAGGCATTCGGGGTGGCAATAGAGACTTACCCAGCAACATTCTGAATAAGGTCATGGATTTGGGAGTTTGAGCGCAGACCCTGGTAGATGTGGCTCGGGTTGTAGGGTTCCCCCATTCCAGCGTGGTACATCTTCTTAGCAACTTCGTCGAGATCGGTTCTCTCCTTGGCCAGGTCGGAATCCTTAAGCGTGTTCTTGTCCGCGACTACTGCCTTTTCATCCTGGCTGTCCGTAATGTAGTAGAGAAATTGCCGCAGGTTGCAGCGCCCTCCTGTGATCGGGCCCACTACCTTAGCAGTTATTGAATCTCGGGCGCAGGCCGTTGCAATCTTCTTATTGTGGGAATCTTCGTCCATTTGATACGCTTGCCAGTATAAGAGGCGTTCGTAGCAGCCGTATAGACCAAAAGCGGTTGCTTTGGATATACAAAGAGCAAACAAGAAGAAAAGAGGCAATTTCATTGTGTGGACAATGACAAGACAGAACAGGCACCTTGTAGACAGAAAGGAAGATTGGGAAATGAACAGCTCGTGTCTCGAGATGCAGAACATGGCGTTAAGTACAGACCCGGCTGACACGACTTGCCCAGCTGGGAGATGGGACATCGGAGCCTGTCCATTAGCACCTCATACGGAGTCGTGTAACCGGGTTACCACTCCCTGTAATGGGCCATGGTATCGGGGGATCCGGTGCTCTCCTGCTGCAGGGGCAGACTACGAGATGAGCTCCTCGGAAATGCATCTCGTCTGTGCCGCATGTCTGGACAACGCCGCAGTACCATCTTAGCGTTGGCGTATCGACGAGGGCACCGGATGGTTGCCCCCACCTACCCCTAGAAATACGGATTTACGCGCCAGTAGAGCTGCGAGGGCTGCATTGGTAGCTGATACAGTTTGTCGAGATCGAGGACAGGCACAGAACCGAGCAACAAGCGAAGCTGAGCTTGCAACCTCCCACATGAAGCAGCGACAATGAGATATTAACACCGGCACTGCCCGAATTCGATATTATTCCAAATCAGCCCTGCGAAGAAATACCGCACTAGAGGGGCGACCGGCTGCTGCGGCGCTGCGGCGCTGCGGTTACCTACCGGGGGCCATCTCATGCAATGGGCGATTCCTTGATAGGAAAATGTGATACAGTGGGCTCAAGTTAGCGCTCAACCAGAAAAGGTACCGGGATGGTGTTCCCAGGGGTCCCAGGTAGCATCACAAGCTAATCCTGCGCTAAACAGCATATGCTGGTGGTCACGGTCTCCCACGGCCAATAGACACGAATCCTACACTGGACCTGGCAAAAATCTTCGTTTAAGTGGAGGCGCACAACAAGCGTTTGCCAGGCGACGCTAAGCATCGAAACCCAAGCATTGAGGGCGAGATCCTGGCTCCCATGTGGGGCGCGGATCTAGATCCATGCACGTTTCAGTCTGTAAATACGACAGATCCACGTTCAGTCTGGAAAGACAACAGATGCACCTGCAGTGCCGCAGTGCCGCAGTGGCCCCATTACCCATTACGTTCTATGGTCTCTACCACAGGACCGAAGTTGAGGGAGGTCTACTTATGACTAGACAATATCTTCTGCCGTGCTCTCCTTTCAACAGCTCTCTGTTCAGTCCTTCCGCATTCCTTTTTACAACTGTTTATAATACTTATACATCCACATTTTTTTTCCATGTCCATATCCCCCAATATATATACATGTGCTAAAGACCTGCCAAAGCCACAATGGGTTTGTTAGCACACTTCAGTGTCTTAAGCCAATTGGCTATCTTAGCTGCTGCAACCTCCTCTCATTCCGGGGTCCGCGTAACCGACCCTTATCTTGCCACGCAATGGAACGCCTGCCCTTCGGCCTGCGAGAGCGCCAATCCTTATGACTGGGACTTTTACTCCGACCTTCGTATTCTGAAATCATGCACCGATCCAATGCTTCTGAACATGGTGGCGAGCAGCCCTACCGGCCCAGCGGACCCCAATCACCGCCAGCCACTATATGCCTGTTCTACAGTCAACGTGGACAAGCTTGCGGCCTCCATATTTAAAGACACCAGTACGCCAAGTACAAGCACCAGACAGTACTCCACCAAAATTGCCCACATGGAGACTGCATGGCGGGAGGAGAAAACCAGCCAGAGCTCATCCCAGTCTCATACAGAGGCCGTAGCGAGGCTGGTACAGTCACATATAGATGCCCCTGACAGCCGGAATGCTACAGTCTCCATGGGCTACTCGAACGGGGTCGTCTTTGGGGCATTCATTGGCGCCAACATGGAAAAGGGCAAGGACAAATGTATCATAGAGTCCTTCCTGACCAAGGTTCGCGAGGGAGCACTAAGCAACAAATCTAGTGTCTTGATGCAGGTTTGCGACAGTGACCGTTCCGCGGCTTACACGCTTGGAGCTGTTGCTGAATCAAATACAGACCCTGCCCGAGCCCTGGCCGCTGTGCGAAAAGCCCTTGCGACTTGGAATACAGGGGCGTGTGTTTCCGGATACAGCGGGACATCGACCTCCAAGATGTCGGTTGGCGAGGCCGATGAGGACAACCAGGATAGCGTCTCTCATCCGCGGGGCAACGCAACTAGCGCACATAGCCATGCACATAGGCGCTCGTATGGTAAGGGTCTCCTCTCTGAAAAGCACCATCGCCGAGCTGGGACTTGCAGAACCATCCAGGCCAAAGCCGGCGAGGGCTGCAGCGACCTCGCAGCCCGCTGTGGAATCTCCCCTGCCGACTTCACAAAGTACAACCCGAGCACTGCGCTTTGCTCGGCTGGGCAACATGTTTGCTGCTCTGCTGGGACGCGGCCGGACTTTTCCCCCAAGCCGAACGACGATGGGACTTGTGCAAGCTATAAAGTCCAGACCGATGATTGGTGTAGCAAGATTGCTGCCGCGAAGAGCATTACCATTAAGGATATTGAGACCTGGAATGCGAAGACGTGGGGCTGGACGGGGTGTGATGATGTCCAGGCTGGTGGTAGGAATTCCCGTTTCGATTGATATGATTGTTTCTTACTTATTTATTTCCAAACAGCAAACATCTGTGTCAGCAAAGGAGACCCGCCCATGCCATCTGTCATGAAGAATGCGGTCTGTGGCCCTCAAAAGACCGGGACAAAAAGACCGGACAATTGGGACGATATCGAGAGTCTTAACCCTTGTCCTCTGAATGCCTGCTGTGATATCTGGGGGTAAGTCATCCAACCCGCCTGCATTCATCAATCTAACACTACGCTGTCTTCTATAGGCAATGCGGCACTACTGCGGAATTCTGTACAAGAACCAAGGTATTGATACTTACCATTCATGTTTAGGCAGCACTAACAATTTGAATAGTCTGCGACCGGCGCACCTGGCACGGCAAAAGACGAGACTAATGGATGCATCTCAAATTGTGGCACTGACATCGTTTACGACAATAGCGGCTTCGGCGACTCTCCTGTACTGGTTGGATACTATGAAGCTTTCCAGAACACCCGGCCATGCCTCAATCTGGATGTGACTGCCATCAACAATACAGTTGAATGGGGTGGTCAACTTGGAAGTCATTCATCAACGTTTTCCCAGGCATGGGACCACATCCATTTCGCGTTCGCCAACATCACTGAATCGTTCGAAGTTGATGTTTCCAGTGTCCAGGACGAGTTTAATGATTTTAAAAAGTTCTCCTCCCCGGGCAAGAAGCCCAAGGTTCTGTCCTTTGGTGGGTGGTCGTTTTCCACAGACTTGGACTCCTACGCCATCTTCCGAAAGGGCGTCACGGATGAACAGCGCTCGTTATTCGCGTCCAATGTTGTAAAGTTTGCTGACGATAATGACCTTGATGGACTGGACTTTGACTGGGAGTATCCTAGCGCCCCTGATATCCCTGGCATTCCCAAGGGCGATCCAGACGACGGTACTCGATATCTTCAATTCTTAAAGGAAGTTCGCGACAAACTCTCCGCCGACAAGACACTCTCAATCGCAGCCCCTGCCTCCTTTTGGTATCTCAAGGGCTTCCCGATTGCGAAGATCTCGTCCGTTGTCGATTATATTGTATATATGACCTATGATCTACACGGTCAGTGGGACTGGGACAATAGCTGGTCGGATAATGGGTGCGACAGCGGTTCCTGTCTCCGGTCTCACGTTAACTATACCGAGATCGAGAACTCTCTATCAATGATTACCAAGGCCGGGGTTCCTAACAGCAAGATCGTCGCAGGTCTCGCGAGCTATGGCCGGTCTTTTGGGATGGTTGACCCAACCTGCCACGGGCCTCAGTGTAAATTCACGGGGCCGGAGTCAGGAGCTATGCCTGGACGATGCACCCAGACCCCAGGCTATATTGCTAATGCCGAGATTGACGAGTGGTTGCAGAGTGATGACCAGAATATTACGACGTACTTTGACGAGGGCAGTCGATCGACAATCTCCTACTCTGCCAACGGAACATGGGTGGCCTATACAGACCGCAAGGAGCGCAACAACAGGATCACAGAATGGTGGTACAACAGAACCGTCCTCGGAACCAGTCTCTGGGCCGTAGACCTGACTGAATTCGTTGCTGAACTCCCAGACGGCACTGTACTGCCTCCAACAACCTTACCAAACTGCGACCAAGTCTTCGCCAGCGTGGACGAGGTCGAGGCCGCAGCTGATTCTATCGAACCCGAGTGTATGAACCTATACTTGATAGACGCCCTGAGGAGCAATCTCACCCAATCGGTTTCGGAATACAAGGACGTACTGCAAACAGACTATGATAAGAAGTTCGACTGGTACCAGGACGCCGTCAGGGAGCAGTTCCCCGTGGCTCTCCGGGCGTTTTTAAAGGCAAATTCCTCCAATTACTTCGAGTGCACTTCCTACACAATGGAGGCGTGGAGCCAAAAGCCTGTCGGCGACAACGTGAGCAGCCCGTGTCCATCAAATCCAAGGGGCACGGGCTACGCGACCTTCGATTGGTTAGCGACGGATAAAAAGGGATTCTTAGCGGATCTTGAAGAAGCAACCGGGATCACAGTGGACCAGCTATCATGGGGCACCGTTGATGACTCCCGATGCGTGAACAATCCGGACCCTTCGCTAGGACCACAGACGACATGCGATGGCAGCAAGAACTACGGCATGCCCCATCTCGAGGGTGATTTCCCCGTCAGTAACCCAAAGGAAATCATCTCAGCCCGACTCCCCAACATCACAACCTTCGAGCACCAATCGTCTACCATTTCGATGCTTGCAGACAGCAGTCTGTACCCCGGTAACACAATCGATATTGTAGATGGCGCATCGCTGCTTGTATTCATGGTCTCGAGCTCTATTGCGAGCATGAAAAGTGTTGAAGAGATCGGCGAAGAATACCACAAGGAGAAGGTTGAAGAAGCAATTCTTCTTTTTATCTCGGCCTTCCTCCTCATTATCCCGGGGCTAGGAGAAATTGTGGACTCTGTTGAGCTGACTTCCGTTGCTATCACCCTCCGAGCAATCGGTGCAGCTGGGGATGTGGGGGTTGGTATCTATAGTATTGTTAGCGCGCATGATGCTGGGGCTGGTGAGATCTTCTTGGCTCTACTGGGTGGCGTTGCTATTTTGGATGTATTTCAAGCACCGGTACTTTTTGCGAGGGCCGCGAAAGCAAGAAGGGCCATGGAAGCTGGGGATATCGCGAAATTGGGGAACGAAGTGAAGGGGGGGATGGCGCAGATTGACAAGTTGAAGCAGGGTTGCCGGTAGTTATGGCCTGGGGCGGTCCGTTTCTTTAGCTCTACTGGGCTATTTCTGTTATTGGGCTCGCACTTCTTATTGGGATAGGATTTCTAGTTCACATTAACCAGTTCTTGCCCCTCCACAAAGAAAGGAACAGGAACAGAGGGGGGGCGGGCGAAATCGAAACTGAGCACGACAGCCAGAAGATATAGACGAAGCGGCGAATACATCCGACAGCAGGAGAGTGAAGAGATTTATACTGCACTACAACCCGATAGAAGGACAGTAACAAAACAACAGTGACTGTATTGAATAAACTGTGCACGTATCTTGTCCGACGCGATACCCGTGAAGCCCTCGACGCAACAGTTGGCGGCTCCGAGCTCGCGGATAATGCCACAATTTCCAAAGTGGTCCCCGCCCGTTTCGTGCATGTAGGCCATTCCTGAAAGGAGGCCATTAGTTCCCTGCACGAGAACTTTCCGCCGGACGAGGCCGTCGACGCCACAGTCCACGATCCGGCAGTTGCAGAAGCTCTGAAGCCGTGGTATAACCTGATGTGCAAGCGCCCTTGCTTCCACAACGAGTATCTCCCCACCTTCAACTGCGACAACGTAACACTCGTTGACACAAAGGGTGCCGGGATTCAACGTATAACCGAAAAGGGGATTGTTGCGCAAGGCGTGGAAACCGAGGTTGATTGCATCATCTACGCGTCTGGCTTCGAGTATATCGGAAGTGACTACAGCGACCGCATGCGCATTGTGATGCGGGGGAGGAAGGGGATTGCCCCTGACAAGCACTGGAAGGATGGACCGAGGACGCTGCACGGCCTCTATCCGCGCAACTTTCCGAATCATTTCATCATGAGCATTACGCAGAGCGCAGTGGCGCCCAACTTCACGCAGATGCTAAACTAGCAGGCCAAGCACATCGCCTTTGTGGTCTCTGAGAGCCTGAAGAAGGGAGCGACCACGATCGAGTCATCCGCGGAGGCTGAGGAGGAGTGGGTGCAGACCATAATCCGACTGGGGAAGCTGCGCGAAGACTTCCTGCGGGAGTGCACGCCCAGCTACTACAACGACGAGGGTATAATATCGGAGAAGACCCTCAGGGCTGGTCGATATGGCCTCGGGTCTCCGGCATTCATACAACTTCTGGATGGCTGGAGAAAGGCTGACTCTCTATCGGGGCTGGAGTTGGACGGGCAGCCGGTGAGCAACTTGGATGAAACTCTATCTAAGCCTCCACTGCTGCGTTTATAGCTATAGGTAGTATAGCTTCTCTTATGTAGTCTATTTGACGTCTTCCATTTAGTATTTTTTGTCCTTGTTTCTAGTTGGTACCGTGTGTGCACATTAGATAGTGTTGATGGAACTTGTCCCACGCAAAAAGATAGTGGGATGGAATAAGACTTAGGCAGCTGCGGACTTGATACACTTGGGGTTGCTGGGGGCTAGAAGTAGGGCGGCTCAGGGCTTGAAAGGGGTCCCCGTAGCAAGAGTAAAATCGCCATAACCTCGAGTATTGACTGATAACGATAAACACCAAGATCAAGGCACCAGAATAAGGTATCTAAAGACTGATGGTAGTCAAGCCTGACACGTCATGCATACCTCCGCAAGCACTAAAGACAGGTCTAGTACATGTCTGGCCCTGCGTGTTGATGTCGCCATTGGACTCAGGATCCTTTTGGCGAGGATGTGGATGTGAACTCCGCAAATAGTTTGGATAAATGACACTGACCCTTCGGGCTCTTTGCTGTATGGAGCATATTCTCCAATTGGCTCGAGTTCATGTAGGCGTATTACTGTGGGCCTGTCATACTCTTCTTCATTGGCTTTTGGTAGGGACGGGGGTTGCATATGTATGGATGCTTCCTCTCCGCCCTCAGCCGGTCAACCAGGCTTCCTTTCTATTGCTGGACAAGGCGTTGGCCCATATTCTTGTGAGGAAGATCAGTGGGGCCACAGGCCTGCTCACTGATGAGCAACGCAGCTGGGTCATGAGAGATGTTTTGGAACTCTGAACGCCGCTGGATAAAACATACGCTCACATATATATGCTCAATGTCTTGGTTCCAATCTAGCTTCACCTCTTGCCAGTACACACAGAAAACAGCGATGCCTCCACCTTATCCCTATTTAAGTAATCCCCACACGTCGCCAAGGGCCCCACTCGACCACAACTCCCATGACGCTTGAGTTGAAAGGCTCCATACAATAAGCTCTTTGCGTTAGCGTATGAGACTGACGTGGAGATATATAAATAAACAAGTGCCTTGATATGTAGACAGTTTCATACAAGTTCCCTTGCCTCCGCACTGTCAGTAACCACCCGACATTTATGAACATGGGTTCTCTCATGCGTGCCGTCGCCCTGACTGGCGCGTTCAACATTACTGTTATTGATGTGCCCAGGCCCACCATCATCAATGGGACCGACGCCATTGTGCGCATTGCAGCGTCCGGCATATGCGGTAGCGACCTACATATATACCACGATAATCCAGCTTCGCCTGAGAACCCTCAACAGATAGGCCATGAGGCCATTGGTTATATAGAGGAAGTTGGTGACTCTGTCGAGACCCTGAATACGAGCGACTGGGTTGTCGTTCCATTCGCGTTTGATGATGGTCATTATCAATATGGACCCACGATTGACGCGCCGTCGGCATCATCTACAGGCATGCAAGATGAGTTTACTTTTGTAAATCGCAGTCGTCCTTCTGAGTATCGTGCACCCTAATATGTTGGCAGCCGAGTATGCGCGCATTCCGTACGCGGACGACTCCCTTATGCCCGTGCCCATCAACAGTAGCACAAATTCGTCCACTCTTCATGACTATCTCTTCATGTCGGATATTCTCGCTACAGGCTGGACAGCGCTTGACTTTGCCGGGCAGGGTCCTGGAGATACGGTTGCAGTATTCGGCGCCGGACCCGTGGGCCAAATGGCCATTCTCTCTGCCAGAGTGCGCGGCGCGTCCAAGATCTACGTCGTAGACCATGTACAAGACCGCCTGGATCTGGCTGCCTCCCACGGTGCCATTCCTATTAACTTTGCGTCAGAGGACCCGGTGGAAGCGCTGCGTCGCCTCGAGCCGGCTGGCATTACGCGTGTCGTCGACTGTGTTGGGTACGAGGCTGAAGATGCACAGGGTAATGTAAACAGCAGCATTGTGCTGCACCACGCGGGACAGGTCGTGGCGCCACAGGGGGGCATTGGCGTCGTTGGAGTATACGGCAGCGGAAGCCAAGCACAGACGATTGACATCAAGCCCCTTTTCATGAACAACTTCTCGGTGCGTGGAGGCGTCTCGTCCCCTCTGGACCTTGGCACTGAGATGCTCAAACTCATCGGCACTGGTCATTTGCATCCAGGCTCCATTGTGAGCGCCGTTATCGGGATCGAGGATGCGCCTCAGTACTATGGGCGGTTCGACCGTCGTGAAGAGACCAAGGTCGTTATTGAGTTTCCTCTTTGAACGGAATCTCAGTTCTGAGCACAACAAATAGCTTGTATTACTGACTACTTCAAACCTTGTGGGGATGACACCATCAAGTGGGCGCGCGCGCTGTATGGGTGGTTGTTCAGTAGATACAGGGTTCCAGGATTCCTGTGGTTTAAATGTTAACAACAGAGTTTGATTAGGTTCTGGAAGGGGAGTCTCACGATTAGATATTGTTTGACAGGGAGTTGTCCCCATAAGGGGAGATAGTCAAGTGCCATATTATAGGAAAGAGATTAGGCGGAGAGTTGACAGAGGCCTGGAGGACGGAGGGGAAACAGAAGTTACAGAACCGAGAGTCGACAGTCTATCTAGGCACGCCAACGGACTAGGTAGATTCATTATTAGGGTGCTACAGGACTATGCGCATGCCAATGCTACCTTATGAATCATTCATCAACTGCCATTATCTACTCCTATGTTAATATCATGCTCCACGCCATTAGGCTTACTAGTCAATTCTCGGCAATAGGCAATGCATCACTGGTAATTACCACGGTTTCTGTATAATTGAATTGGATTTCCATGTGATCAAAATAAAATGTCCCACTGGCATTCTTTTAAGGGCCCCTCATTATCCGTGGGACGGTCGCATCAGCCAAGCGATTATTAAGCAGACTTCTCCCGCACAAGGACAACCATGCCATGCACAGAGTCCCAGGCCTTGCAGAGCGTCAGTGGGTACTCCGTATAAGCATCCCGCCATGCTTTGATTCCTCTGACACCCAATATCACAACATGGGAAATACACTACCAAATTTGGGGCCCTCATCCAGGGCAAAGAAAGAATACCGGGTCATTATGTGGGGACTTGCATGTTCGCCGACTTCCTGTCGACCCTGGACCAGAAATAACCCTTGCTTTAGTGGTACTCTGGAAAGACCACGATCCTGTACAATCGACTCAAGGTATTTAGATGGTGAGAATTGAATGGTCTATGCACGCTGACTAGTTCTCAGGGCATGAGTGACGTTATCCCCGTGTCTACAGTTGGGTTCAACCTTGAAGTCGCCACGCACAAGGACAAAAACTTCCTTATCTTTGTATATATACAGAAACAGCCAGTTATCCTGTCCAGATATCCATTGCTAATTTAATATTTTGCTATCAGGACCTGGGGGGGCGGGATAAATTACGTCCGCAGTGGAAGGAGTGTTTTTCCACGCCGGACGCGGTTATATATGTCGTGGATGCCACAGAGACCAACCGACTGGACGACGCACGCTATGAACTGAAATGCTTGCTTGAATTTACTGGGCTCCAGGACGAGAATAGTGAGATTCCTGTTCTGGTGTTTGCTAATAAAAGTGACCTTCATGGCGCAAAGCCCGCGGGGGAGATATTGGAAGCGTTGCAACCCAAAGCACTGAAGAATCAAAGGTGGAAGGTTGTCCCGTGCTCGGCTCTTAATGGCTATGGAATTGATGAAGGCATGGATTGGTTAGCTGTCAGTTATTTCTTGTCCTTGATCGTCGTTGAATGAGGCTGATTGGTATAGGGACTGCTTGGTGGGGGTTAGCAATGTTAATGATATGGAATTATGGATGAATGCTATGCTTAATATCTTATATTCCTAAGCTCTATATGTCTTCATGACATATCCCCGTGTATATCCTGATTATCAAATGGGCACACTGCTGCCCGGCTACTGTAGAGACGTGTCTGCCTGAGTCTTACCTTCCTCATACGAAACCGCACAGCTACTCAAACCCTCAGTCAAATTAACCCTAAGTAAACCTATCCCACAGGCGGCATGGAGTCCTTAAAGGACTGCCTGCTATAGAGTAGTTAGAGTTTTACTATAATTAGCTAAAGAGGCCTGTACCAGGGGTAGGACTTTATATTTTTTAGTTATATAACTTTATATATTTTTTTAAAGTAATTTAGATTAGAGTTAGCTAGATAGTTAAGAGAGACGGGCTACGCAACTGGGCTGCTGGCAGCAAACGCACAGTTTACATTTATGCCTGACCCAAAGCCATCTCCCCAGCATGAAAGGTGTAATCAATATAATACTTGCATGTGCTCCTGTCCATTAGTCATATATGATTTTTATTTGTACGTGGTCACTCCTTAGTATACCCAACCCGCTACATACTTGAATGGAATAGAATAAGCTTCTGAGAGTCTCCTACGACTGTAGTGTTCCATATTCCTATGCAGGTCGACCCGATAGATATCTAACTACAACCTGTCTTGGGCCTTGAGGCCGTTCGCTTGAGGTGTCACGCCAATAGTGCAAAAGGGGTGTCAATACAACAGAGTGACAACTGGACCAGGCCAGGTGAAACAATGATAGTCCATCCTACGTTAACTACTGGGAGAACCTGATGACCTTCCAGTTCCATCATGATCATATTCAGGCCTATCATAAAACCGTGGGCGAGAGTCATCTACAATATACTAACCCAGCAAGCATCTGAGCGCTTGGTGAATATCTTGTCATGATAAATAAATTAATTTTACTATCTGAAACTATGGGTTCCATATTCGGGTCCTTCGCTACTGATTGCGAAGACAGGAGCAAAGAAATGTGGCCTATGGGTGATCATTCAGATGCGCTATGCAGACGCCGTGTCGCTCGGGCGAGGTCTTCCCGTTTTGGGAACCTCGTCGGCCGAATACTGAGTCACGAGGGAGACATTTCTAAGCCCTCCAATGCTGGAGAAGTTGTAGCTTAACAATCATGCCTGGGTACATTTAGACAAGAAAAGAAAAGACTTTTTATAAGAATAACAAATCCGCTTCAATTCCCCCTTGCCACGTAAACATCCTCCTGCTTGCGTTCTTTCGCGTCCCATCGAGTCTCGCACTATCCAGAAATCCACCATGATGAAGCTCACCCAACCCAGAGTCAACCCCTTATCTCCCGGAATAGACCTAGCCGGCAAAACCGCCATCGTGACAGGCGCAAGCCAAGGCATGGGCTTTGAAATAACGAAACAGCTCCTGCAACTGCGCATATCGACCGTCATCCTCGCCGTCCGCAACGTTGCCAAAGGCAAAGCCTGCGCCGAAAGACTTCGTCGGGACCATCGCATTCGGTCAAATAACCCGAAGGCTGCCATACAGGTTATGCAGCTCGACATGGATCGGTACGACAGCGTGCAGGCGTTTGCGAAGCGGGTCCGCGAGGAGGTTCCCATGGTCGACTTGCTCATTCTGAACGCGGGCATTGGGCTCATCAAACTCGAACGGAGTCCAAGTGAGCATGAGCGGACGACACAGGTGAATTATTACTCCAACGTACTGCTGGTTGCCGAGCTCTTGCCACATCTTCAAGCGAGCGCCGAGAAGACAGGGACACCAGCGCGGATTAGCTGGGTTGGGAGCCGGAGACACCTGGCCTCGAGTATTGAGCCGCGATTCTCATCCTCATTTTTCGACGATGCCGATACGGATAAGAACGTCCTGGCATACCTGGACAAAGAGGAGTCGTTCCTGCCTTACCAGCGCTATAGCGACTCGAAGCTGCTCTGCGTCCTGTTCATGTATACCATCGCCCCACGCTTGGATCCGAATAAGGTCATCATCAACATGATGTGTCCCGGAATGGTCAACACGTCGATGAGCGATGTGCTCCCGCTGCATCTGCGCCTCGTGATGAATGTCATCAAGGCGATCAGGGCGCGGTCTGCCGAGAGCGGAGCCTGGATTGTTCTGCACAGTGCACTTGTTGAGGGGGCGAAGTCGCATGGGAGGTTCTTGATTGACAAGACTATTGTGGAGTGAGTTGCTCATATCCATGCTCATCGGGCCAGCTAGCTAACTTCGTCCTCTAGAAAAGGGCCATATATTATGTCGCCGGCGGGACAGGAGGTACAGGAGAGAGTCTGGGCTGGGACGATGGCGGAGATGCGCAAGTTGACGACGCTTCCTGTTGAGTTTCAATGATTGCTTCCGAGTGCTATTCGCTGTTTCATTAGTGAGAATATGCCTAATCCGATTCCATGTAAATTTGTCAGCCGTTAGACAATCAACGAGGATGACCACGGCTCAGGCTCAGCAACGACGGCGAGCAAGTCGGTGTCTAGATAAGGAGGATTTTTGGGGGCTGGTGGAACTTTCCGAGGAGCGGTTGCCTCTGGATTCCTTGATGAGGGAACTGAACCTGTCGTCAAATCTAGGCGACTGTGTAGCTCAACAAGAACTTGAATGGCCAGTGGGGTTTGCACCTTTGGTGAGCTTGTCTGGCTATCAGTATCCACCCCTGGTGAGTAGCGGCTGGCCTGGTAATACGACACAAGATGTCCGATAGCCTCGTCAACAAAATATCTCGCAAGCGGAACCTCATTCGACCCTGGGAAAGAATCGAGGTATGTTATCGTTAAATACACGCATTGAAGAGGCCCATGGTATCCGCGCAAGTACCACATGTAAGGCTCAAATGCGGGCGTTTGATACAGCAATAGGAGGACCCGCAGGTAACTCACACAAAGCTGGGCGATGCTAGTAACGCATTAGTCTGAAACCCAAATTTTGTTAGGCGAAATTGCGAAGAGATTTAAACGTACCTCGACCATGACTTACACGATCGCGAATTCGCACTATCTGGCGGCGGCAATAGTGGCTTCTGGAGTAATATAGCCACGTCAATCTTTTGTATTGTGAGCATAACGCGTGCCCATGCGCCAAATACTGTCGGCAGTCCTGGTGAATCGTCCTTGAAAAGTGAAGGGTGGGTGCGTGGGGAGGCATTTGCCAGACGTGATGGGATGAATCCTTGTTCCGGGATCCCTTGCGCAGGGACACGGGAAATAAGCGACTCAATCATTTCCTGAACTTTCCTAGCTGCTATGAAATGTGCTCGGAGGTTATACTCGGTCATATTAGATCCACTTTGCAGGCATGCAGCGATCCTTGATTGCAGGCAACCAGCTTGTGCACAGCCAATAGAGAACATGCTAGCTATCGAGTGTCCAGCAGCTTCATTGTCTTCGTCTTCTCCTGCATCAGATATCATATTGACTTGACCCAATGCTTCGCTCCCGATACATGTAGGCAGGCCGGAGGAGATGCTTGCGTGCACATCGAGCCTGACAATATACCACCATACACGGCGTCGGATCACGCGCTCCTCGGCTCCTAATGCAGACCCAATATTACCTTCTCGGTGCAAACCCATAAGCTGCGCGAGTCGAACTATTGTGCCGACGGAAAGTACATTGCGCATTGGTTCATGAGCGCCGGGCGTAAAAGGCGAAGTCAGCAACATCGAAACGAGCGAGTTCATTGTAGGATGTTCCAAGTGCTGACAGAGAGAAAGAGAGGTATCGTACGCCTCCCTGAGCTGGCTCACGGTCGTCTCCTTCGGGAGTCCCTGAAGGGCGCCAGATGTCCAGCAGGCCTCTGGAGCCGCCGATGCGCCACAGTATAAAACAGCAAACAACAGGCAGAAAAAAGTCGGGTCGTCGCTGAGCTTGCTTGGGGCCAATGCGGTTTTGTTATTCGCACACCACTCCCAGAACTGGTCATAATCTGCGCGCAAGGTAGACGCGTGGACGATCGGGGCAATCGGCCACACTGCGTAGAAGAATATTTCCAGAAGAGCGTCGCTAGCGGTCCTCGTGGGTAGAGAGCGCAGTAGAGCAAACAGTGCCACAGCTGATATATGTGAGGGGGGAAGATCGGGGTTGGAGTTTTGGTTGTTGTCGAAAAAATTGTCACTCTCATTTTCCTGGGAGAAGCCCATCGATGTCAGCTCTTATTCTCCAAGGACGTCGCTTTCAGTCCGAGGCGTCACCCACCTTGCCAGCAACCGAACCCCAGAAAGCTTGGCCAACGTATCGCCTGCGACCACCTCGCCGTAGACTAAGGTAGTCGGTGCAGAGTACAACACCAGGCACTGTGTTGCCTACACCATAAGTAGCAGCCTTAGAAGTATCAAGTGGCGGGACAACTGGTTGACACGAGGTTACTGGCTGAGATGCCTTCTCTACAGCAGCATCCGCCCGCTCACAATTGAGCGTACCGATCCCATCGTCGGCTCCTTCGGGGATCCAGTGGGACCAGGTAAGCTCTTTGTTGACGGTGCCCGGCCCATTGCCATTGCGGTCCGAGGCCTCAGTAAATACTGGAACAGCCTGGACTGCCGAATCATTGGGGTCCGTGGGTTGGTATGCACACTTCTCCTCGATGCGGACACAGTTGGCGCATTCTGGGTGCTCGCGGCCACAGCGGACTTTGCGACGGCGGCAGACGAGACAACTAAGCGATATTCGCGGCCTTTTGATCTGGCACGCCTCGAAGGGAGGCATTTGACCTTCTGTTCTGGAACGAAGACGTGCATCCCTTGATTGTTGAGGTTTGGAGATGGCCGATGCGCTCTGACAAATCAACAATTAGTTAACATAAATCCTGTTAGCGCCACACGTGTTTTAGCGCATTTTTGGATTTTCGATATGATGTTATTATTTTCAAGTTCATACTGAGTCACATTATATGCTTAGCAGATTAGAAACAAGGCGATTTACTTAAGGGGCCTAGATCAGCCCTCGTGGCGGATAGCAACTTTGTGATGACCCGTATACTGTTCTTAGTCTGACGTTATATATATAACTCGGAGTATCATATCAGTTGATTCTAGCAAGTTGCACAACAGGCCCAATTGGCCAAAGTATAATTTATGTTCTAATGTCTACAAATAAGTATATTGTGTAAGTTCAAGTAAATCAACGCCCGGTAGAGCGCGCACCTTTTGGCATGAAGTCACGACCTCCAAACATTCTTGTGCCTATACAAAGAAATGGCATATTACTCGGTTTAGTCTACTTCATTCCTCATCTCTGATATTCTATATAGGTTACACATACCTTCTTGGTTTAGTCACGCTCCAATTAGTTTGGCTACGATACTGATTATGTGTCATCTGGGCTTAGCAAACAATTCATTTATTTGAATCTTCCCCATCTCTTGAAATGCCATCGGGGGCTCCGGAACGGGAGTCTGGAAGCGTGACCTTGAACCACAGACACAGATTGCTTCAGTTTTTGGATACGAAACCTTGGGTGTGTTTTCGTCTAGTTTCTCTGGTAGACTACTCCATGTCCACCGGTCAACAGATCCTCGAGCAAATGAATTCACCAAAGATCATGCCTTCTCCTGAAATATTGAATACCCGTCAGTTAGCACAGTGGCCCTATTTCGCGAGCTTGGGTGCTGATTTGCTGCCGGATAACAAATCTGAGGTTGGTAGGGATCTTGCTTTCCATTTGCTGTTGCGTTATAGGCGTGACATCCCAGGGAGAGTATTACAAAGAACAGCGCAAGTCAGCTATCATTCACGACGTGTGGGATGCCTCAGAATTCCATTAAGTGCGATATGAAAGAAGCAGATGAATGACTGAATAAGACCCGAGTAGCTACTGTGACTCCTTCAAGGAAAATTCAGTTGGTAGCCTGGTTAATATTCCCAATTCCTCGACAGTTTCTGCCCATAACTTCTTCTGCACGGCTTGACCTGCAGGGGTCAGAAGATATGGGGATGGCCTATTCATTAACGGATCATCAGTTCCTAAAGATCTTCTTTCACCGATGATGGAGGGGTAGTACGTACTCAATGATCTCCTTGTCCCCGAGGAAACCACCGTGTGACTCTGGCCCTGCCACCACTGCCGCATTGACGTAGAGCCGCCCACCGACCTCAACGGGCCGTGCGAGAAGGGCTTTCACGACGCCCATCACCATACGCATGTGGAACGGCAAAACATCAGTCATGTTGGTGTTGACCATACCTGGACAGACCATGTTGAAGACCACCTTGGATTTGTCGAGTCGTGCCGCAAGACTGTACATGAACATTGCGCACAAAAGCTTGCTGTCATTGTATCTGTCATTTGGAAAGAAGAATTCCTTCGAGTCCATATGCTCAAGCACCGATTCGCCGGCTTTTATGGGCGCCTTTTTCTCGAGAGACGTGCTATAGTACATTCGGCTACCCACCCAGGTGATGCGGGACGGTTGGCCAGTCTTCTCTGCGCTTGCCTTGAGGTACGGCAATAGCTCGGCAACCAAAAGCGCATTTGAGAGGTAGTTCACTTGGATGACGCGCTCGTGGCCACTCGGGCTGTGTTCAAGCTTGAGAAGTCCAATACCCGCGTTGAGAATGACAATATTGACCGACGGCACTTCAAGCTGCAACTTTTTGGCGAAACTTTGCACGCTATTATAGTCGTCCATATCAAGTTCTAGAACGGTGATTTTTGCGTGGATGTTGAGTCGTTGAAGCTCCTGTTTGCAGGCTTCACCTTTTGAGTTACTTCTCACTGCGAGAATGAGATGAGAGACCTGGAGCTTGAGCAGTTGGCGGGCTGTCTCCAAACCAATACCTGCAGTAGCCCCGGTGATCAAAGCAGTTTTGCCATGGAGGTCGATGAACGGCGGCAGTGGAGTAACCTTGGGTTGTGGGAAATTCATCTTGGAGCGACTTTGAGGTTGCTTCTGTTAGATGGGAAAGCGTGAGAATGCACCCTTCACCTTTATATAGGTAGAGTTGGCAAGTAATGCCTGAAAGCTTTTGGTAGCATATATCCCATGATCCGCAGTCCCGCGGGACTCACTTCAGAAGAGCCAATTATCTATCAAACCATCTTTTGTGGCGTCAACGACTTGCTAGGTAGGCAAGTCTCTTGGATGAGCTCAACTTCAGCACAAATCCTCTAACTAGTTAGTCTAGGCCGGATTAGGAAGGCCATCTCATATTGGCTGCTGTTGGCGGTGGACTTTCTCCAGTAGCTGGTTGCTTCTGACTGGTCATTCCCAAGAGATGTTTCCTTATTGGTGTAATCAACACCCGCTCAGCTAATCCTAATTGGGAGAACGCTCTCCCATTGGACCGCACATCAAGCATGGCGACGCCTGCTATCGAGGCAGTTATGATTAGCTGTTCGGTATGATATTTACCGTTCCTTAACAAGGGACCCGCCACACTTTCGCCTGTGGTATCTCTTTACTCACGGCTCTTTGAGCCTCCGGGCGGCACCAGAAACTCCCGAACCCGGTCAGCCTTTGTGAACGCAGGTCCCATTCCGGCGACGAACTTCTCTCTCGGCATTTGGGTCTTCCGCAACTACCCAGTCCAGGTTACTTGCCACCATTGGGCAACCTACCGACAGTACAGACTCAGTGGACCCGGGATTGCGCTTGATGTACCGATCTTGATAGACTCTATTTGTTTTTTCAACTCTTATGGCTGTGTCCTCCATACTTGGGTCCTAGGAGGTCGAAATTGCTTAAATAGCCTATCCCCTGAGAATATGGTTGCTTCCTGTAGCCGAGAAACTCCTACTTGCAATTAACTTCTCGACGGTAGATCATTGAGTTCCCTTCTCGCAGTAATGGACCAAGAGCCTGAATTCGCACCGAGTGTCCAGTTTCCACTTTCGCAAAACGTGGTCAATGTGAGCGTCATTAATAGCACAGCTCACATTCGCTGCCCGTTAGGTTTTTTTGTCGAAGCCCCTTTGCCAGGCCACGAGACACTGGACTGCCCAGCCTATGTTTTCCTCGTCGAAAACTCTGAGGGGAAGAAAGCCCTTTTCGATCTGGGCGTCAGGACAGACAAAGAGTCCTTCCCTCCGGTTATTCGCAGTGGTTTGGCAGGTCTACAGATGGATGTAGAGAAGGATATTGCGACAATTCTCCGAGAAGATGGCCGTATCCTTCCCGGCGAGATTGATTCTATTATCCTGAGGTATGACGAACGCATCATAGCAAAGCTACTTAGCGTGGCTAACAAAACTTCTGGCACACCTAGCCACTGGCATGCTGATCATATTGGCGATCCCTCTACTTTTCCATCTCATGTGGAACTCGTCGTCGGCCCGGGGTTCAGAGATGCCTTTCTTCCGGGATATCCTGCCGATCCCAATGCGGTGATACTTGAAAGTGACTATGCGTAGGTTACTCTTTGACTATCTACGTTGAGGCAGCTTGGCTTCGCTCGCCGACCAATACTAACCTAATGGCTCAGAGGACGACAATTGCGGGAGATTGATTTTGTACCAGGGCTAGAAATCGGCGGGTTCCGTGCCATGGACTTTTTCGGGGATGGCAGTTTTTACTTACTGGATTCTCCAGGTGTAAGTATGACCTAGCAGTTGCACATGTGCCCGACAAAGCTCACATAACTCTCCAGCACGCTATTGGCCACATGTGTGGCCTGGCGCGTACGACATCTTCAACATTCATCTTTATGGGGGCTGACGGGTGCCATCACTGCGGCTCCCTGAGGCCCAACAATTCTCTCCCCCTTCCGAGTGAGGTTTCACCGTCGCCATTTTCTGTTCCACCGCATTTGCAGGGGACGACCTGCCCTGGTTCAGTACTTGAGGCAATTCACCCAAGAAATAGCCGCACAGAGCCTTATTATAGCCGACTGGCACCCGCTCCCAGCCGCGATGTCCCCGTCGCGGAGACTACCCTTGGAAAGATGATGCTATTTGATGGGAACGAAGACGTTTTTGTCATTATCGCTCACGATAGGAGTCTCTTGGATGTCATAGACTTTTTCCCTAGTAGAGTCAACGAGTGGAAGAGAAAGGGTTGGAAGGAAGCTGGTCGATGGAGGTTTCTGGAAGATTTCAAAGATGCTGTTGCTAGGGACTCTATCTAGTTCAGTCAGGATGTTCATTTACACGGTTGTCAAATCATATACAGATATGTTCTTCTCGCTCGTTCGATGTAAATCCATCGGCATCACTCCTGATCTCCAATACGTGTGTCAAACACATTCGTGGCGGCTCTTAGATAAGCTGAGATGTAATGTAGAAACTCAATAGTTGTCGTAGTCTATATCATACCAATGAACGGAACTAATTGCCTTACTAGCGTTGGGGTGGTCTACTCAGCTGTCGAGTAACCATCAGTCACTCAGCTCGCCATCACCCGCGACGCAGCAAAGCTCGTGCGGAGAGCAAGCAGTGGCCATTGTATGCAGATCAAGTGCCGGGCTTCGGTGCCAGAAGGTAGGTTCGCCCTGGAACCAGGTGGCAGGTTACCTTCCATGTCTTGGTGGAAAGGTTGTTCATGATGACATGCTTAGTCATTCTTTGCAACCCGAGAAATGACACACCTTCTCGCCACAATAATCACCCACTACCAACTCCTGCAATTTTAGATATGCCATTTCATTTTATCAACAATGATGATGTCCTCAATGATGGCGTGAAAAAGCAGATCCGCAGCTATGCAGCTGTAGGAAGGAACAAGGGCAGAAAGATCTCGCGTAGATCCAGGAAAGATGTGTCCACGTTGGCTGCAACAACGCCATTCCGTATCCCTTTGACCTTGGTGGAGGAACTTCCGGCTGAAAGGCACGACAGTAATGAAGTAATTGAGCGGCCAGTCGGTGATGGGCTTTTTTTTCCTGGTCTCTTACCAGGTGAATCCAATGGTGTTGTGAAGAAAGGTATGCCTCGCAAACTCATAGAAAATACCAGACCCTAAAGTAAGAACTAACATGTGAGGAATATTAAGTAATCTCATTCATGAGCGCAATGCGCTTCCCATATGAATTAAACCACGGTCTTGATTACGGAGGCCTTGGCGCCCCTTTATGTGTCCAGAACATGTTTATTGATGAAGCCTGTAGGTCTTCTGCGTTGATGGAAACCTTCCCATCGCAAGACTTCCATTGATGTAAATGCAGGTTTTCACTCTACGATGGCTATGGCCCTACTTTGCATGGATAATATTGTGAGCCAGCCAGGGGACAAGGTGCTGGTACTGCGTCATGCATCAAACACAGTCCGACTAGTGAATCAGAAACTGTCTCTAAATCGTGCAGTTAATGACCTAACTATTGCGGCAGTGGTCAGCATGGCCCAGTATGAGTATCGCCAGAATAAGCTCCAACAAGGTTCTGCTCATGTCCAGGGTTTGTGGCAGATTGTGCAGTTGAGAGGTTGTTTGTCCAACCCAATATCAAGCACGGCTGGCTTGGTACAGAAGATATTACGGTAGGGCCAAAGATACGAAACCCTCAGGATCCAAACTCGTAATAACGTCCCTCCAGGATCGATCTTGAGTATGCATTGCAATTAGGCTCGCCAACTTTATTCAGTCTTGAAGAAGTCGAAATGGCATGCAAGCCCGTAGCACATTTTCCCAGCTTGAGGCTACCATCAGACCCATCGAACTATCCTCAAACCTTGGAACCATACACGTTGAAGGCATTGCCAGCCAAGGATCGAGATTTATTTATTGACGTATTGCTTCTTGCCTCGCTACTTAATAAGGCCATTGCCGGTGTTGCGCCGAAATTACATGCCGTTGAGTTGGACCAAGATATGATTCTACTTGGCTACCGCCTACTCAGGCTTAAACCCCTAGGTTTGCCTCCTGGGACCTCGCGGCTTCAACACAGAGTTCATTTGGGAATGGCTGCCTTCTTGATGACCTTCCTACATGGCTGGGATGGTTCGGTTACCCAGAACGATGCTTTGGTTGGGTTGCTACTTTCGGAGGTTCAGCGGCCTTTCAACAGTGACGAGAATGATTTAGAGACCTTTCTTTGGCTGCTTTTTATAGGAGCAGCCTCTTTAAGTCTATGGAAGCATCCTAAGTGGATCTCAATAACAAAGGACATACTGCAGGGTTTGAAAGTTAAGAGATGGGAAGACGTCAAGGAGCTCCTCGCTAGGTACCCATGGGTTAATGCTGTTCATGATCCAGCAGGCCAGGAGCTGTGGCATGGTTCTAATGATGGCAATTGCAGTGGTTTATGCGAAGTTTGTGATCCTTAATAGCAAAATATCAAATGCCTCACCAGAAATAAATGACCGAGGTACGAGTTTGCGCGGCTGATTCTGGGGCTATAGATGAGCATATATGTATCAGTGGGGGCAGTGACTATCTAACCAGGGCTTGCTTCCTGAATCAGTATTATAAAAGTAAGACCCTGAGAATAGTATAATTAAGATTTAAAATTATTATCTATTAATCTCTAGAAATCTCTTTAAGAATAAATTTATATAAAATCTTTTAAATTTCTAGTTCTATAAATTCTTAAGTAATTTATTCTATTATAAATAGAGTATTTTAATTAGTTAAACTAGATTCTTTTTACTCCTTCTTTATGTATTAAGTTATTAACATCACCTAATACTAATAGTTGCTAGAATCCAGGCACCTGAAGGAGCCTTACATATCTAGTAGGTACTAGTATAGCACGTGGCCAGGGCAGCTCCAGGTCTCACAGCTGATGCCTGAGGCACCCAGACAGGAAGCCGCTTCAGTGCTCATCATAGGAGGACGATAATAGCCTGGTGGTATCATTATCTAGCTCGCAAACAGGTGACTGACTCAAGGAATGCCCAACATGGCCATTTCATTGTGTGGAAACATATAAGTACTCGGTGGTGGTGCCACAAGCTGCTCGTGTATGCGAAGCCCAGCGTCGTCAGCCTTGAGGATATGCTGCTCTGCCGGGGATGATGTGTCTCACCCATAGGTCTTGTCCACGCATCGGAGCGAGGACATACCACCGGCCGTGGCCCGAAGTTCGCACCTTGTTACCGCTTCCCGGTTCCTTTGGCATTCCGTCATTACATCCTACTACGCAGACGCAGGGAGCTGAGAAAGCCGGGTTAGCACTGCAGCCACAGACTGGCTTGCGGTGACGACACTGCATTTTATCTCTGCCGCCTAGTACTCGTTGAAGGATTCACAGTCGATCATGGTTGCTATCTCTTGTAAATAGCAGGTGAAATGGGCCAATCAAGGGAGCGAGAGGAAGGTAAATGGCCCCCTCGAACAGAGAGAGGACGAGTGGGATCGTCGCGCCACTGGACGTCGTAGGGGTGGGGTTACATCGGCGACAGGTCACCTAACCACGAGAGGGATAGCCCGGGCATTGGGAATACTGGGGCCTGATGCATGGAGGAAGATATATTATCGGGTAGGGACCATGTCGTCTTCTACGATTGCATCTACTCGACTGTCTACATATCCCGAACACCCTTGCCACTGTATAGTGCCCAAAGTTTCTCTCTCTACCCACCTTCAAGTTTCTCACCATGGCTCCTCAAACAATCATAATCAACTACACCCCCGACAAGCGGCTCTCGCTCCTGGACGCGACCACCAAACAGCCGCTCTACCACCTCAAGGTCAGCCGGCAGACGCCGCAGATGGAAATGATCCGCCTGACGGGCCACCTTCCCCCGACGGAGGGCGCTGGCACCGACGCTACTGGGACGGGGATGCGGCCCATCCCCGTGGACGAAGAGGACTATTTTGAATCGCGTGTGTGCACTGCGCAGTTCAAGATGACCAGCCTGGACGTGATGCTGCGCATCCGTGAGCAGCGCAACATCGAGCTCAAGCGCCAGAAGGTGCTGAGCACGCGGTACTCGTTCGTCTCGCCGGCGCTGTCGGTGGGCGGAGCGAGCGGGCTGGTTGGCGAGGGGGGTCCTGTCGTCCTGACGTGGGAGACGGACTCGGGGGACAATGCGGTCGGGAACTTTCGGCTGGTGCGTGAGGGGGACAGCAAAGTGCTGGTCAAGTTCCGCAATGAGGCGTTCTCCAACGCGCGGGTGGGCACCTTTGAGGTGCTGGATGGGGCGATGGATCAGTTGGTCAAGGACGAGGCGGTTATCTCGGGGCTGGCGATGCTGGCGATGAACCAGAGCTTCCACCTGGCGGGGATGGTCATGTTTGGTCGTTCTTGAGCTCTCTCTGTGCTATTTGTGGTGTTTCTCATTTATTTCCCCTGTCGTGTCTCTTGTTCCCCTGCTTGCTTTGTGATGTATGTACCTCCTGCGCTCTACAACTCGCTACCTGAATCTACGCACTTGTTCAGAATTTCTACGTTCGACCCATGGAGGGTACTAAAATATGAACATGATTGTATTCGAAATAACCAGAATAATCGATCTTGCAAAACACTCGGAACCAACAACCGTGTGCATATCCCAAAACGACCAAAAAAAACTCAAACGCCCTTTTTCTGTGCATTTTATATTTTGTCCCTTTTTTTTTTTTTTTTTCCTTTTTTTTTTTTTTTTTTCTTTCTTTGTTTTTTATTTTTATTTTTTTTTTTTCTTTCTTTGTTTTTTATTTTTATTTTTTTTTTTTATTTTTTTTTTTGCTTTACCTTTTTTTGTAGATCAAAACAAGGGCAAACAACAGACATAGGAAATAATAACCAGGGAGCGAACGAGATAGTGGACTAGTCAGTCATAGAAAAGAAACAAGTGTAGCTCGGCGAAGAAAGAAAAAAAAAGACAAGGAAAGGAATCACTCAAAGTCAAACTGCGCCGTCACCTCATCCAACAACGAATCCAGCGAGATATTGCCATCGTCGATGAGGGTGAACGGCTCGACCGAGTCGCTGCCGGACGTTCTGTCGTCCTCGCTGATGTATTCGGCGATCCTGGCGACCTGGGAAATGGTCTGCGCCTGGAACAGCTCGGCGACGGAAAAGGCCAGGCCAGCTTCGCGTGCGGCACTGACCAGGTACATGGCCGTGATGGAGTCACCGCCGAGCTGCACAAAGGGATCTGTGACGCCGATCGCGTGGGTGGGGAGGTCGAGCACTTGGCTCCACAGAGTGTGGAGGCGGGACTCGAGTGGAGAAGACGGCGGCTGCTTGGGGGATTCGGAGGCGAGGCGGTAGGTCTGTAGGGCTTCGACAGAGGCGTGGTCCAGCAGGCGGCGGAGCTTGCTGCGGTCGGCCTTTGCGGAGAGGTTGAGCGGCAGGTGGCGCAGGGGCACGAAGAGGGTGGGGATCATGTAGGCGGGCATCGCATGCACCAGGGCCTCGAGGTGCGATGCAAGGGTCGAGCGCATGCTGTCGGTCATGCGGAGCAGCAGCTCGTCGGACGACTCTTGAGCGACGGAAATGGTCTCCGAGAAGCAGATAAAGGCTGCTAGCGTGCGATCGGCCCGGCCCGGCGGCTGCACCCGCTCGACGGCGACTTGGGAGACATTCGGGATCAGCGACTTGATGTGGGTTTCGACCTCGCCCAGCTCGATGCGGTGGCCGTGCACTTTGACCTGCGAGTCCTTACGGCCGAGATACTGGAGGGTGCCGTCGGCGTGGTAGTGCACCAGATCCCCCGTCTTGTAGAAGCGTCGGGGCGTGGAGGAGGAGGAGGAGGAGGAGGAGGAGGATCTTTGAGCGTTGGCCCACGCGAGATCCTGGACAAAGACCGCGTTCGTCTTGGCCAGATCATTCAGATACCCTCGAGAGATGAGAGGGCCTTCGATGACCAGTTCTCCAACACATCCGACCGGGACGAGACGATGGTGGTCGGTCGGATGCACGACCCACGGCCTGCACCCTGTCGGCATGCCGATATTGGTGACTGCATGACTGGAGGTCGACAGCTCGGTATTGCAGACGCAGTAGATTGTCGCTTCGGCGGGGCCGTAGCAGTTGGCGAGCATGGGGATCCCCCGCCACAGATCGTGTGCCTTTTGGTTGCCGGCCTCGCCGCCGAAGATCAAGAGCCGGAGCGAGGGGACGTCGGCCGGTTTGAAGGTCGAGCACACGGTCGGAGTCAGTGTCGCAGCAGTCACGTCGAGCTGCCGCATTGCGCCCGGCAGGTCGTTGACGCGCTGGGAGTCGGAGGGGACGCACACGCAGGCGCCGTGGATGAGCGAGGTGAAGATTTCTTGGATGCTGAGGTCGAAGACATGGGCGGAAAACTGGAACACGCGGTCTCCAGGGCCAATCTTGAGGACGGCACCGTGGGCGACCATACTGCTGCAGACGCTGCCATGTTCCACCATGATCCCCTTGGGCGTGCCCGTGCTGCCAGAGGTAAAGACTACGTAGGCAAGGTGGCTGGGCTGGGCACAAGGAAGGGACGATGGGAGGCTTCCTGGCGGTGGCAGCGAGTCGACGAGCGCTTGATCGAGGCAGATGACATGCGCAGCGTGAGCAGCAAACCGATCGCGGTAAGAAGACGAGGTCAACACGACCGTTGCGCTTGTATCCTGGAGGATCGCTTCGTGACGCGCTGGCGGATGCGAAGGATCGAGAGCGACCCATGCGCCGCCAGCCTTCATAACACTCAGCGCTGCAACGGTGTACCAGACGGATTTGTCGAAGCAGGTCGGAACCATGACTTCTGGAGCAACACCGCGAGAGACAAGCAGCTCGGCGATCTGGTCGGAGACGGTATCGAGATGGCGGAAGGTGAGGTTGCCGTCCCAGGCGCAGATGGCCGGAGCGGAGGGATGCAGGGCGACCTGATCGGCGAACATGGCGGGAATGGTCGATTCCACGGGCTGGGGACTGGTTTGCGACGCGATCATTGCAGCCAGGTGGGCGGAGTGGCAATCAGTGAACAGATCCATAGAGCCGGCGAGCTGGGATGGATCGGCGACAATGGCGCGGAGCACGGCGTCGAGGGTGTGGCAGACGTTGGTCGCCTGCCAGTCGGAGAGCGCAGGGGCCCAGTAGTTGAGGGTGATGTTGATTTCAGTCGCAGAGAAGCCGACGTTGACGGCGACATCGTACTCGGTCGGATCCTGCGAGTCGATGCTGCGGAAGCGAAGGAGGGAGTCTGCGTCGCCGCTGGGCGCGCCGGTTGGTTGGATAGACATCATCGTGTTGAAGAGAGGCGTGCCCGACAGTTTCAGGGCGTGCTGGATCTGGGCCAAGGAGCAGTCTTGGTGGCCGAGACTCGTCACGTAGTTGCTCTGCACCTCCTGCACCAGCTGACGCAGTTGCTTTGCCGGTGCTGCAACGACGCGGCACACCAGCATGTTGATGAGCGGGCCCAGCACCTCGCTTAGCGCTGGGTCGAGTGCCTCGCGCCCCGTTGCGAGATAGCCAAAGCAGACATCTTCCGAGCCGGTGACGGCGTTGAGAACCAGCGCCCACGCGGTCTGGAAGAGGTTGGCGATGGTGACGCCGTGGGCCTGGCAGAAGGCGTGCAGGGCCGAGGGCTCAACGTTCAGGTCGACGGTTTGCGACCGCAGGTGGGCTCGGTGTCCGGCTGCCCCGTCCAGAGGTAGATGGCAGGGCTCCACGCTGTTCAGGTATGTTTTCCAGTACTCAAGATCGGATCCGAGGTCCTTGGCCTGGATGTGCCGGATGTAGTCGCTGAACCGAGCGGGGGGTGCTTGCAGTGGGCCCTGATAGGCTTCGGTGACCTGCCCCAGGATCATCCCGAGCGAGAACGCATCGACAATGGCGTGGCTCATCTCCCAGGAGCAGACAAGGCGCGTTTCCGTTTCGAATATCACCAGTCGGTGCGGCGGCTGCAGTTTGTTATCGTCATCGCGCGGCTGCGGTGTATCAAACAGCCCCCCGAGGTCTTTGTCTGTGCACTTCCTGAGATGTGTGCGGGCGACGAGGTTACTCAACACCACCTGGTCGAACAGGGCGTTGGGGGAGACGGCATCGATGAAGAAGGTTCGCAGGATGGGCTGCTGGTCCACAACCTGCTGCCAGGCGTCGAAGAGTCTCTGCGCAGTTACGGTTGTCTGCTTGCTGCTGACCTCGAAGGTGAAGCGCAGCTGGTAAACCCCGTCGGCCTTGCTTTGGCTGAGAAGCAGGCCTTGCTGCATCGGAGAGCAGGGATAGAGTTCCTCGACGGCGCCGAGATCGAGCAGGCCAGCGTCGGCCAGCGTCCCCTTGCGCAGCCGATCAAGGCTACTGTAGGTGAGTGACATCAACGGGAAGTCACTGAGCGTTTTCTCGGGGCTCATGACGGGCAGGACGGTGGCGGCCTCGGTAAGACTCTCCTGGAAGGACTCGATCCAGTGGCTAATCTCGGTCTGGTGGCGCATCTGGTCGCTAAAGGTGAAGTCGAACCGGGCGATGCCATGGATGATCACCGCCGACACTTCGAAGAAAGCGAGGCGGGTGACAGGGCCAGCGATATCTTCCACCCCGGGCAGGTCGGTTCGGGGCTCCTCGCGCAACAAGGCATCCGTGCGCTCGAGCTGCTGGTATTGACCCATGTAGTTGAAGAGAATCTCCATTGGCAAGTGATCCGGGAAGGCGTTGCCGGTGCCAGGTCCACTGGCGAGATAGCGCGCCGTGAAATACTGCCACCCATTGCTTACCAAGTGGCGTCTGCGGTCCTTGAGCCGCCGCACCGTCTCGACAATATCGCTGGAGTCGGCTGCAGACAGGTGAACGGGAGCCATGGTGGTGAACCAGCCCACCGTGCTGGACAGGTTGATGGAGGCGTCCATGGGCTCCCTTCCATGTCCCTCCAGAAAGACGGAGGGGGTTTCGCGGTTGCGGAAGGTTTGCCCGAAAGAATACACGAGGGCCGCGAGGAAGAGGTCCACCGCATCGGTGTTGTATGCCTGGTTGGCGGCGCCCAACAGCGCCGAGGTGTGCTCTGCGGATAAGGTGAAGCTCTGTCTCGCTGCAGTGCCATAGTTATTCTCCGCGCTGGAAAGACCCCAGTACTGGTAATTGGCGGCGGGGACCTCGTACGGAAGGACGGACTCGATTGAGAGGTTCTCGTGAGCGTACTGGGCCTGCAGGCTGGACCAGGACTGGAAGGATACTGAGGGTTGACTGTCTGCCAAACGGCCAGACTGCAGATACTCTTCCAGCTCCTGCATGAGGATCCGCCAGGACACCAGATCGACGACCAAGTGGTGAGCAGCCAAGAAAATGAGCTGCTCCCCGGGAGAATCGAAGTAGTCGGTGCTGAACACCGGGCCGGAAGTGATGTCGAGGGTGCGTTCACTGGCAGCCATCACCGCAGCCATCGCTGGGCGGTCGAGCTGCTCGTGGCGGCGATAGCGGTAGGAACCCTCTATCTCGCTGCAAATCAGCTGGGTAAATGTGCTGTGGTCCTCGATCTTGTGGAACCGGGCTCGGAGCATGGAGTGGCGAGCAACGAGCTGGTAGATGGCATCGGCGACCTGGTTGGGACGCACCGGGTGTGTGATGCGGAGGAAGAAGCTCTGGTTGAAATGCGTGGCCTGCTGGCCGGACATCTCAAAGTACATGTGCTGGACTGGGGTGAGGGCGAATTGCACGTCCGGTGTCTCCTCGGCGAGCGAGACAGGGCCCTCGGTCGTCTGCACGAGGGTTGCCAGCCGGGTGATATCGGGGGACTTGAGGATATCGCGAACGGTAAGCTGGACTTGTACTGCTCGAGCTCTCGCGACGAGCTGCATGGCGGTGATGGAGTCACCCCCGAGACTGACAAAGGATCGGTTGAGGAGGATCTGCTCGGGGCTGCGGTTCAAGACCTGGGCCACGAGCTGTTGGAGTTGTGCCTCGTTGCTACTGCAGGCAACGATGGTTCCTTCGTCATCTGCAGCCAGTGTGTTCGCTTCTTGTAGAGAATCCTCGCTCATCGCTTCCACCCAGCGAGACACCAGCTTGCGGTTCACCTTGCGCGAGATGTTGAGGGCAATGCTGCTGACGATGAACCAGACAGAGGGGTTCATGTACGACGGAAGATCCCCGACTAAGCGAGAGCGAAGGCGACGCAGTTGTGATTTAGCATGGGCCACGTCTGGACCGGCAACGAGCTGCATGCGCTCATAGCCAGGGCTGGCGGCTGCGAGAGACACCACTGCGACGAGGCGTTGGCGAGCAGCGCCCGATTCAGGCAGCAGGACCAGCCCATGCTCGAATTCGCCGCCGCGGAGGAGCTGGTGTTCGATTTCTCCAATTTCAGCGCGCTGGCCATGGATCTTGAGCTGGTGGTCTTTCCGTCCCAGGTAGTCAAGCGAGCCCGCAGACGTGTAGTGCACTAGGTCGCCGGTCTTGTAGAAGCGACGTCCGGTCCGTTTGTCGTTTATCAGGGCCCAGCGGGGATCCTCAATGAAGGACTCTCGAGTTTTCTCTTCGTCGTTGAGGTAGCCCAGAGTGACCAGCGGGCCTTCGATCAGCAGCTCACCGGCACAACCTACAGGGGTGAGCTTATCGTGGTCCTGCGGTTCCACCACCCACAGGTGGCTGGCCAGGCCTCGGCCAATATTGAAGGGCTTTGTCCCGTGCTCTCCAAGGGAGCCGTTCCACGAGCAGTAGATGGTGCATTCCGCAGGGCCGTAGCAATTATTGAAGCTCTGCACATGGTCCCGCCAAACGTCCACTGCTTTCTGAGTCACGGCCTCGCCAGCGAGTGTGAGGGTCTGCAAAGTGGGAACGGCTGTTGGTGACAGGATGGAGGCGATGGTTGGCGTCAGGCACGCCCAGTTGACCTGTGCCTCGCGGATGAAGCCTTCTAGATCATTGACTCGCTGCTCTTCCGAAGGTACGCACACGCAGGCGCCACGGTTCAAGGATGTGAACACCTCTTGAAGACTAATGTCAAACACGTATGAAGCGAACTGCAGCACCCGGGAGGACGAGCCGATGTTCAAGGCGGAGCCATGAGCGCCCATGCTGGTCGACACTGCCGAATGGCTCAGGAGGACCCCCTTGGGGACTCCCGTGCTGCCCGATGTGTAGATCACAAAGGCAATATCCGAAGCGCTGGGCTCTTCTGTAGGGAGGTGTTGAGCGCTCGGAAGGCTCTCGAGAACGGCGGCGTTGACAACGAGAACGTGCACGGTGTGCTCCGAGAACAAATGTTGCTGCCGTTCGCCAACCAATATGAGCGTGGCACAGACGTCACTAATGATCAGGCTATGTCGACTAGTCGGGTGCGAGGCATCCAGTGCCACAACGGTTGCACCAGCCTTCAAGATGGCCAGCATGGCGACAATCGTCCAGGCCGACTTCTCGAAGCAGACCGGGACAAAGGATCCACGACCAGCACCTAGCGAGACAAGGTGTTGGCTTAGAGCCTCAGCTGCGGAATCGAGTTCGCCGTATGTGAAAGATCGGTCCCATCCATAGACTGCCGGTCGGGCAGGGTGCAGGAGGGCCTCGTTCTCAAAGTTCTCCTGGACGAGCCTGCGGTCCGCCCGCAGGCGGCGGGAGTTCCACGCACGGATTTCGGCCTCGTCCTCGGGGCTGGCAAGGCTGAGGCTGGAGACGGGCCGGTCGAGAGGGAGCGAGTTGAGCTGCTGCAGCAGGTGGCCGAACTGGTGCAGGATACGCCGCATCTGCTTGTCAGCCAGCAGCCCTGCATCGTACTCCACCTGGATCTCAAGACGATCGGTGTGCGTGGTGACGTCCAGGACGAGGTCGAGGGTGTGGAAGCCGGATGAAGCGCGGTCGCAGCGTTCCAGGCCCAGAGGAAGTGCCGGCCCCTCTGCGTCGGAGCCAGGCTGGATGACGAGCAAGTTCCGGAAGCTGCAGGCCTGCTCTGCTCCAGGCGAGAGCTGTCGGATGTTCTGCAGTCCCATCTGTTCGAAGCCGATCATCTCGGTTGTCTGTTCCTGGATGCGCGAGAGCAGAGCCTGCAGCGACTCGTCTTGTCGCAATTGCACGCGGACGGGCACGGTTGCGATGGTAGGCCCGACCATGCCTGCAATTCCAGCCACAGGGATGTTTCGCCCGGTCAGTGTTGAGCCGAAGGTGGCCTCGTCTGCGCCAGAGTAGCGTGCAACAAGGAGAGCCCACGCGGCACGGATGAGCGACGAGGCAGTCGACCGGGAGCCTTTGCGCTGGGTGAAGGGGAGCGTCTGTGTGAAGACGCGATGCTGTTGCTCCTCTTCGGCGGACCGCGTACCCTGAGGTGGGAAGTTGGGCGGAGCACACCCGTCAAGCTGAGCCCTCCAGTACGCCTCTTGCTGCTCTGGCTTGAGGTCCTGGCGGTACGCAATGAACCCAGCAAACGCCGGTGATGGATCGACCGTCTGCGACTCGTATGCCGTGGTGAGCCGGTTGAGGATCAGGGCCACGCTCCAGCCGTCGTACACGGCGTGGTGGGCTGTCCACACAAAGTGGCGAGTTTGAGCGTTGTCGATGATGGCGTATCGCGACAGGGGCTGGCCGTACCCGATTGACTGTTCTCGATCCCGGGAGAGGTACGCGTCCAGATCGCCGTCGTGGTTCCAGCACGGGGGTTCGTCGAGCACCACCTGCAGCGTAGTCCCATCCGCAGAGTAGATAAGCCTCGTGCGCAGAATCTCAGTGGTGTTGACAACCACATCCCAAGCCGATTGGAAGCGTGGAAGATCCAGCGATGGCGGCAGCACAAAAACGTTCTGATGGATGTAGGCACCCGGCTGGGTCTGAGAGAGCGCCACGAGGCCCTCCTGCAGAGGGGTCGCCTGGTACAGGTCTTGTACTTGTTCGCGACGCACATTGCACTGTGCCGCAGCCTCCTGTCGCAGAGTCGAGACCGGAGCCGCGCGGGGAAGAAGCGAGAATGGCTCAGGGCTGAGAGGGTCAGCTTCCCCACTGGTGGTCTGCATGTCGACTGCGGTCTCTGCTAGGGAACCCCCGCGGAAGAGGGTGCTGACGCTGATCGCCCAGCCCGCCTGTTGGGCGAGAGTCACAATTCGCATCGCATCAATCGAATCGCCTCCGAGTCGGAAGAAGTTGTCGGTTCTCCCGATGGAGGCAGCCGGGAGACCAAGGACATCAGCCCACAAGGTGCGCAGCTGCTCCTCGGCGGGGGTTGTGGGTGCCTCCTTCTCCTCCGCTTGACCAGGACCGAAGAGCACGAGTTCGTCCAGCGACAGGGAGGAGCCCATTTGTCGGAGACGGGAACGGTCGATCTTCCTTGACAGATTCAGGGGCATCTCGCGGACGGGGATGACGGCCGAGGGCAACATGTGCTGAGGAAGGGCCTGGGAGAGAGCTGCCAGCACATCGACAACGATAGCCCGCTGCCTGTCGCTCAGGGGAGCAATTCCATCTTCGTTGGCATGGTCCTGAGCGGCGACGTCCTCTGCAAAGCACACAAAGGCAGCCAGCCTAGTAGGAGCCGGGCGATCTCTGGGCGACACTGCGTCGACGGAAACCTCGCGGATCAAGAGCGACGCTGCTCTGATCTGTGCTTCAATCTCACCTAGTTCAACGCGCTGGCCGTGGATCTTGACCTGGGTGTCCTTTCTGCCCAGGTAGTCGAGCGATCCGTCCTGGTTGTAGCGAACGAGGTCGCCCGTCTTGTACAGTCGGTCGCCGGGGGTCGCAGACCAAACAGGGTCTGTAATGAAGGCACGAGTGGTTTTGGCTTCGTCGTGCAGATATCCCTGGGACACAAGTGGTCCGCCAACGACAAGCTCTCCGATGCATCCGATGGGCATGAGGTGGTCCTGGTTCTCGGGGTCGACAACCCAGAGACGACTGGCCAGTCCACGGCCGACGTTCGCGGGATACATACCAGCGGTGCCGACGTTTCCATTCCAGGCGCAGAATATCGTACATTCAGCGGGCCCGTAGCAGTTGTGGAAGCTGGTGAGGTGGCTGTTGCCCCAAACGTCGAGGGTCTCTTGCGTGATGGCCTCCCCGGCCAGGACCAGCGTCTTCAAACTCGGCAGAGCACTTGGTTGCAAAAGGCGGGCAACAGTGGGCGTAATGCAGGCGTAGTTGACTTCCATCTGCTGCATTGCCAGCGCGAGCTCGTTCACTCTCTGGTCGTCGGAAGGAACACAGATGCAGGCGCCCCGGGTGAGCGAGGTGAAGATGTCGTGGATGCAGATGTCGAACACGTAGGCTGCAAATTGAAGGATCCGTGACTCTTTGCTGATTCGCAGAGCTTTCCCGTGGGCATGCATGCTCGTTGCGAGATTGGAATGGCTTAGCACCACTCCTTTCGGCTCGCCGGTACTTCCAGAGGTGTAAATAATGACCGCAGGCTGCGACGGCTGCGATCGGTTGCTGCGATGGGCGCGTTCCAGGATCTTCTTGTTCACTTGGGGAAGAGAGTCGAGGGATGTTCGATCGACCGTAATCGTATCGTCGGCCAGGGAACTTGCCCTTTCCGTTTGCGCGGCAGAGGCAAGAATCAGCGACGACTCAATGTCGAGGACGATCTTCTTATGGCGCTCGCTGGGATGCGCTGGATCAAGACACACAAAGGCTGCGCCGACTTTCAGCACTGCGAGCATCGCGACGATTGTCCATGCGGATTTTTCAAAGCAGAGAGGAACAATGCTGCCAGCGTCAACGCCCATGTAGGTCAGGTACAGGGAAAGACGTGTCGAGAGCTCGTCGAGCTGCTCGTAGGTGAACGCGGCGTCCCACGCGTGAACTGCCCGGGCCTCCGGTTGTATGGCTGCTTGAGCCTCGACGAGCTTGTGGATACATTCTTGTCTGGCCCGGGGGACCTCTGCATTCCACTCCTTCAGCTGCAGCTCGTTGCGGGGACTCAGGGCATTGAACGCCGCAATAGACTGATCGCCGTGCTCTTCAACCCGACGGAGGAGGGCGTGGAAGGTATCGGCCACGTTTTCCGCTTGCCAGCTAGAGATCCGGCCCGTGTAGTGGTTCAACTGAACCTGGGCAGCATCGTCGGAGAGGGAAACACTGACGGCCATCTCGTACTCTGTCGGGTCGTGGTTGCCAATGTGCGTGATGGCCAGACCATGCTGGCTGCTCGTCTCCGCCGCCGCCCGTTGCACCGACATCATCGTATTGAACAGTCGCTCTCCAGAATTGCGGAGAGCGTGCTGCACCTCCGCCAGGGAGCAGTTCTGATGTTGCAGGGCGGCGCTGTAGTCATCGCGGGCTTTCTGGGCGAGGAATGCAACTGACTGGGTGGCGGCGATGTGCAAGCGAGACACGCTCATGCTCACAAAGGGGCCGACCGCGTCGTGAATACCGTCGATGGGTGATTCGCGACCGGAGAGCATGTATCCGAAGCACACGTCGTCGGTTGCTACAAAGAGCCTGAGAACCAGGCCCCAGACCGCTTGGAACAGGTTGGGCATCGTGACGCTGTGCCTCTCGCAGAAGGCCCGAAGCCTGCGCGTCGAGGCTGGAGACACGTCGAATCGGACCGAGTGCAGCTGGTTTGCTTCGTCAGAGCTGCCCGTGTGCGAAGGCAGAATGCATGGCGGTGCTCCGGCAAGGTACCCCGTCCAGTACGAGAGGGCCTCCTCCTTGGGCATCTCGTGGATGTGCTTGACGAAGGCGGAGTATAGGGGCCCTGTACCAGAAGGCAGCAGCCCACGATACGCGGCACCAAGGTCCTGCAAGGCGACCCCCATGGAGACGGCATCCATGAGGGCGTGGTTGACCTCGAAGCGACAAAGAACCCGATTGCGGTCTTCTTCAACGATCAGCAGCAGCTGATGTGCAGGACGTAACTCTTCATGGTCGATCCTGGGCGTTGACTGCAGGAGATGCATCGCCCGGTCATCGCTGCATTGGATCCGCTGTGTTCGCGGGCTCGCCACCTTAAGCACGACCTGCGAGAATGCGGCGTTGTCTGCGAGGCCGGTCACAAACACGGTGCGTAGGATCGCATGCCTCTGCACGACCTGCTGCCATGCATCGAGGAGTTTCTCGACGTCTACTGTTGGCTCGTGCGTACTTTCCACCTCGAACAGGAACTCGACCTCGTAGGAGCCCTTCATCCGCAGTTGGCCGATCAGCAGACCTTGCTGCATCGGCGTGCAAGGGTAAACATCCTCGATCTCTGCAATCGAGCTCAGGCCCAACTGCGGGATCAATGCGTGGAGGACCTCCAGCCCGTTCTCCGTCAGGGAGAGCAGTGGATAGTCGCCGATGGACGGGTTGGGGCTGAAGCGCGGGAGGGCATCGGCAATTGCCTTCAGGACCTGGATGGACCTGGATGCAAAGTGGCGAATCTGATCCTGGTGCTTCATGCGTTGGTTGAAGGCGACATCCAGCCGCAGATGGCCCTGGACCACCACGGCGGACAGCTCGATGAGCGCGAAGCGAGGGAAGTCCAGGTCGATGTCTGAAGACGCCTCAGTGACCTGGCGGCGTGGTTCATCCTTGAAGAATGCATCGACGGCCTCCAGCTGCTGATACTGGCCCAGGTAGTTGAAGGTGAGCTCCATCGGCCAGTCTGCTGCAAAAGCGTCGATGCCTGCGTCGTTGGCGAATCGAGAGGTGAAATAAGACCACCCGTGGCGCGACAGCCTACTGCGAGCCTCTTTGACTTGGCGAATGGACTCGACGGCTGTCGCCAGCTCTCCCTTTGCAACATGCACAGGGGCCATGGTGGTGAACCACCCGACGGTGCGGCTGAGGTCGATCTCGTCGTCCCAGGGCTGGCGGCCGTGGCCTTCGGTGAACAAGGCAGGGGCATCGCGAGCGGGGAATTCTTGAACGAAAGCGTGTAGGATAGCCGCCATCAGGACGTCCACAGGCTCTGCCCGGAACGCATTATCGCTCATGTGCAGCAGGTTCGACGTGCTCTCCGCGTCCAGCAGCATACTTTCCTTGACCGTGTCCCGCACGATGTTCGCAGTGTTGGCCATGCCCCAGTACGAGTAGTCGGCCGCAGGAGTGATGCCGTGGCTAATTTGGTTGGGCGATAGGTTATGGGCAGCATACTCAGCCTGCAGTTTGACCCAGTGCTGGAAGGGGAGCGGCGTCGGGGCGGTGATCTGCCCGTTCAGCAGAGCCTCCTCGAGGTCGGCCAGGATCACACGCCATGATACGAGATCGACGACGAGGTGGTGCGCCGCGAGGAACAACAGTGGTTGATCCTGTCCAGACACCTCAATGAGGTCCACAGCGAAGAGTGGACCCTGCTCAAGGTCGAACCCTTGCTGTGCGGCAGCGAGAATCGGCTCGACCGCCTCCGGCCGCACGGGTGCGTGATGCGTAAGACGGTACGAGGCATCAATATCGGTAGAGACCATCTGCGACCATTGCCCTTGGGACTTGGTGAATCGGGCGCGGAGCATGGAGTGACGGTGCACGACAGCTCGCACGGCGGATGCTAGGCGATCCCTATCAACTGGTTGCGCTACTCGCACAAAAAAGCTCTGGTTGAAGTGGGATAACCGGGCCACCGGTAGCTGGAAGAAGAAGGACTGCATGGGCGATAGGCTGAAGGGCTTGTCCACCTCCTCCGAGACCGCCATTGTCGTTGTGTTGCGGGCACGAGCAGACTTGCAGAGCTCGTGGATACCAGACGACTGGAGGATGTCACCCATGCGGACGGAGATTCCTGCGGCCTTGCAGCTGGATAGCACCTGCATGGCGGTAATCGAGTCTCCTCCCAGGCTGATGAACGATTTGTTGAGCGGAACCTGGCTGGGGGAGAGGTTGAGGACGCGCCCTACGATGCTCTGGAGGGCCTCCTCCACTGATGTCTTCGCTGCAAAATCAGCCTCCTCCGATCCCACCGATAAGGCCGATTCGTAGGTGTCCTGGTCGAGGTCGTGGATCCAGCGAGAGACGGCCGCACGATCGAGCTTGTCAGAGGCGTTCATCGGAATGTCCTTGACCACGAGCCAGACGGTGGGGACCATGTAGGGAGGCAAGTTGTGTGCGAGTCTCTCGCGAGGTCTTAGGGTTAAATGTGCATCGACAGTCTCGACCAATTCCAGAGGAGATCCAGCGGCGCGAACACGGGCATCGGCGAGGGAAACAACGGCCACGAGTCGGCCGGCACACAGCCCGAGCTTGGGAACCAGGACAAGCGCACTGTGGATGGCAGGGTCAGCGAGCAGGTGGCCTTCGACTTCGCCAATCTCCATGCGCTGGCCATGTAGCTTGATCTGGCTGTCGGCGCGGCCCACGTAGTTGATCGACCCGTCGTCAGAGTATCGAACGAGGTCACCAGTGCGGTACATGCGACGTGTAATGCTGGGATCGGCATCAGCCACAGACCAGCTGGGGTTGATAATGAAGCTAGCCGCCGTCTTTTGCTCGTCGTGGAGATAGCCCCGAGCCAGCGTCGGTCCCTCGACCAGCAACTCACCTACAGTGCCAATCGGCGCCAGCTGGTCGGGGTTGCTTACGTCGGCGATCCAGCCAATCGAGCCTACTGGGAATCCCAGTTTTGCTTCGGTTGGAGCGGTCGTGGGAAGGATGTCTCTGGTGACGCAGAACACGCAAGTCTCGGTAGGCCCGTAACCATTCATCAGGTTGGTGTGCCCGGCCCAGGCCTCGATGTTATCTCTCTGGAGCGCTTCGCCACCGAGGACCAGGGTTGTCAGCGAGTGGACTCGCGAGGGTTGAACGAGGCGGACGAAAGACGGCGTGAAAAAGGCCCAGTTGGTCTGGTACTCATTCATGAAATGTACAATCTCGGGGCTCCGGTTGTCGTCCGAAGGCACGCAGACACAGCCTCCGTGCACGAGCGTTGTGAAGATCTCGGCAATGCACGCGTCGAAGTGGTACGGCGCGAATTGGAGGGCCCTCGTCTCAGCACTGAAGTGCATTCGGGCCCCGTGAGCAGCGATACTCGAGCTCGCCGCCGCATGGTCGATCATCACACCCTTGGGGACACCCGTGCTGCCTGAGGTGAAAATGATGTAGGCAAGGTTCTCGGGGCTGCAGCGGTTGGCGAGGTCGACTTCGGACGGGGTATACTTGAGCTCTTCCAGCAGACTGGCAGAGACTTGCACCATGTGTAGTGCATCCACACCGGCGGACGCGCGCGTGGCAGGCGACACGACGAGAACCTGAGCATCCAGCTGGCTCATAATCGCTTCTCGGCGAGCAGTCGGGTATTCAGGGCTTAGAGCCACATAGGCTCCGCCCGCCTTCCAGACCGCGATCATGGCCACCGTGGCCCAGACCGATTTCTCCATGCAGATTGGGACCATTTGCTCCGCAGAGACCCCAAGCTTGACTAGGTGGGCAGCGAGACGATTGCTCAGCTCATCCAGCTGGGAATAGGTGAACTTGCCGTCCCAGCCGTGGATGGCGATGGCTTGAGGCTTCTGCTTTGCCTGAACGGTGATGGCGTGATGAACGCACTGGTCCACTCGTCGAGGTGGCTCCGCATTCCAAGCTTCAATGGTGAGCACATCGTCTTTGCTCAGCGCATTGACCCGCGAGACTGCTTGGTCGAGGTTCCCAGTCCGTTGTAGGCGATGGAGAACCGACTTAAAATGCGCCAGCACGCGGGCCATCTGGGCTTGCCCAATGACGCGCTGGTCGTAATTGACCGAGAGGTCCACCTTGTCTCCTCGGATGGAGCACTCGAGGACAGTGCTGTACGTGTGGAAAGACTCCTTGTCGGCGGCTGTTCGGATGCGGGTGAGTCCATCAACCTGCTTGTCCTCGGCCAATTCGTCCGAGCCCTGGTGCACCACCATCAGGGTACGGAAGTCGCAGGCGGCATGAGCATCGGGACTGATTGAGCGGATCTGCTGTAGTCCGGTATGTTCGAACGGAATGGATTGGATCGCCTGCTCCTGCACGCGGCTGAGCAGGTCGCGAACCGACTCGGAGGGGTCAAAGGCCACACGAACGGGAATCGTGGTGATGGTTGGTCCGGCGACTTGATCGATTTGGTGCACTGGGGCGTTCCGGCCGGTCAGAGTGACTCCAAAGATAGCCTCTCGTGAACTGGAGTACTTGGCGAGGACAAGCCCCCAGGCGGCGCGGAGGGTGTTGGCGCGAGTAATCCCATCGTCGTTGGCGAGAGAAACGTCCACTGTGTCTGCTATCTGTCTCCCACGGCGTTGCCCGGCCTCTCCGCGGATGGCGGGGGGGAAGCTGTTGGGTGTCGAGCCTTCCAGCAGAGTCGCCCAATACGCTGCTTGTTCGACCACAGGAACTCGAGATATATAGCTGATGAACTCGCGGTATGGGCGGACCGGGGTAACTGGTGCATCGGAGAGAGCTTGCTGCAACATGTTGAAGACGAGAGCTGTAGTCCATCCATCGTACACGGCGTGATGAGCGGTCCAGACGAAGTAGTCCTTGCCGGCCTCCTGGACAATGGCATACCGCGTAAGAGTGGTCCCGTAGTCACACGGTCCGGTCGAGTATCCTGCAAGGCTCGATGCAGTTTCCCATTCGATTACGCCCTTGCAGACGACCTGCAGGTTGCCTTGCCCCTCGATGTAGACAATCCGGCTGCGAAGGATCTCGGCCTGTTGGTAGACAAGTTCCCACGCAGCCTTGAATGCCGCGATATCGATCGTGGATGGGAGCTGGAATACCGTCTGGTTGAGATAGGCATCGGTCTGCTTGGCCGAGAGGGCGATCAACCCTTCTTGCATTGGAGCGCAGGGGTATATATCTGCAATGGCGTCGAGAGGCAGAGTCAACTGTGCTCCAACTTGTCGGATCAAAGAGTCCGATTCTGTTGATGGAATCAGAGCGAAGGGCTCCACTGGCTCACTCTCTTCGGTATCTGGATCGTGTGATTTGGCTGCCAACGCCATATCCTGGAGGATCGGAGACTTGAAGATGTCGGCGACCGTCAGGGAAATCCGTGCATTGCGAGCCTCTGCGACGAGCTGCATGGCATTGACCGAGTCACCACCGATCCGCAGGAAGTTGTCGAGCTTTCCAATCGATTCGATAGGCATTTCCAAGAGGATTGACCAGAGGATCTGGATCTTCTTCTCCATCACTGTTGTCGGCGGAACCTTGTCGGTGACTTGGGCAAGGGCGTAGTGCTGAAGCTCCTCCTCGGAGAGCTGGGTGGTCCATTCCTTGAGACGTCGGCGGTCCGTCTTGCCCGATGTATTGACAGGGAGTGTCTGGATGGGAATGTAGAAAGAAGGGGCCATGTAGACGGGGAGCAGCGTGCTGAGGGTCATTTCCAGTCGCGATAGCACCGCACGAAGACTGGAAGTGACGGGCAGCAGCGGCCCTTGAGCAGTGGCAGAAGTACCATTGGTGTGTTGCTCACCCTCTCCGTAGCAGAAGAAGGCAGCCAGCTTGCCAGACACCAAGTCGACGGTGGCGGAGCGGAGCTCGGGCGTAGATGCCGTGATGGCCTGCTCAATTTCAGCCAGCTCAATGCGTTGGCCATGCACCTTGACCTGTGTATCCTTGCGCCCCAGGTAGTCGAGGGTCCCGTCTTCGTTGTAACGCACCAGGTCGCCGGTCTTGTACATGCGCCGGCCCAGGCCACCATCCTGGGCCCGCGACCATTGCGGATCTTGGATGAACGGGTTGTTCTGCGTCACGTCCAGGTAGCCCTCGGAGACGATCGGGCCTTCGACCAGCAGCTCCCCAATGCAGCCGACTGGAGCGAGGACATCGTGGTTTGACGGGTCAATAACCCAGTGATGGCACGCCCACGGAATGCCGACATTCGCTGGTCGTTGCGTGGTTTCGCGGCCGACGTTGCCGTTCCACGAGCAGTAGATGGTGCACTCTGCAGGGCCATAGCAGTTGTTGAGGCTTGCCAGGCCGCTGGCTTCTGGGCGCCAGACATCTACCGTCTCCTGACGGAGCGCCTCGCCGGCCAGAACCAGGTGCCGGAGGGATGGGACATCCGCAGGTCGGAACAAGGAGACGACTGTGGGTGTGAGAGTGGCGCAGTTGACGCGCAGGCGCTCCATGGTGGCGGGCAGATCATTGATGCGCTGCTCTTCGGACGGAACGCAGACGCAGGCGCCGAAGAGAAGCGAGGTGAAAATCTCCTGCAGGCTCAGGTCGAATCCATACCCAGAAAACTGGAAGACTCGTTTGCCAGGCCCAATGAGCAGGGCAGCTCCGTGCGCCCGCATGCTGGTCCCAAGGGTGGTGTGCGGCAGGCGGATTCCTTTGGGCTCTCCTGTGCTGCCAGAGGTAAACATGACAAATGCGAGCGCTGAAGGGGAGATGGTCGGCAGTCGAGTCAGAGTCACATTGTCTGGGATGCCATCCATAAGCTGCTGGTCAACCGCAATCGTCTTGCGGGTTGACTGGGTGAAGCGCCGCTGGTGGGCGGGCGATGTGAGAATCGTTGCAGCGCGCACCCGCGTGGCAATGGACTGCAGGCGATGGTCTGGATGGGAAGGATCCATGGGGACGCAGGTGGCTCCCGTCTTCAGGACGGCCAGCATCGCCACGATCGTCCACTGTGACTTTTCGAAGCAGACGGGGACCATGTCCGCGGCCGCGACATGACCGGCGTGGGTCAAGAAGAGGGCGAGTCGCGAGGATTGCGAATCCAGTTCCTGATAAGTCAATTGCCCGTCCCAGGAATCAACCGCCGGTGCACGAGGCTGGGCGGAAACCTGCTGTGCAAAGAGCTCCGGAATGGACTTGAGCACCGGCTGTGGCAGTGCGTGCTGCCAGCTGCGTGTGAGCTGCTCGTCCCGCTGGCTGAAGAGGGAAACCTGACCAAGGGGGGTCGTGGGCGATTTGAGCAGGCTGAGGATCGCGGCCTTGATGGTGCCCAGGATATTCGCCGCCTGCCAGTCCGACAGCTTGGACCTCCAGTGGCTGAGCGAGACCGAGATCTCACTCTCCGAGAGCACCACGTTGGCGACAATGTTGTAGTCGGTGGGGTCGTGCGAGTTGGTGCTGTCGAAGGCGATCGCGGGCTCCTGGGCCTGGGTCTGTACCTGAGCAGACGCCGACGAGGCCGAGCCACGCCGGATCGACATCAGGGTATTGAACAGCGAGTCGTGCCGCAAGGGCAGGCTGTGCTGGATCTCGGCCAGCGAACAGTGCTGGTGGACCAGGCTGCTGGTGTAAAAGTCCTGCATGCGCAGTGCCAGGTCGAGCAGGGAGTCTCCCGGGGTGGTGGTCAAGCGAGAAACGAGGATATTGATAAACGGCCCAATGCACTCGGCGATGCCAGGCACGGGAATGTCTCGTCCAGCAGCCAGGAACCCAAAGCACACGTCGTCCGAGGCGGTATAGCTTCGGAGGACGATCGCCCAGACCATCTGGAAGACGCTCGACAGGGTGACCCCGTTATCGCGGCAGAAGGCGTGCAGATGGCCGGCGAGCGGGCTGAAATCGGCCTTGGTGGCGCGCAGCTCGTCAGGGTCGGCGTGGAAACCCTCGTCATACTTGTCAAGGGCCGGGAAGAGGCACGGCTCCACGTCTGCAAGGCTGGTCTGCCAGAATTCCAGAGCAGCGTCTTGGTCGACGGACTGGAGATACTCAATGTAGCTGCTGTAGAGCGGGCCTGGCTCATCGGGAAGCTGATCCTGGTACGCCAGGCTCAGGTCACGCACAATCAGCGAGATCGATGCTGCATCAATGAGGGCGTGGTTTGCCTCGAGCTGGCAGAACACGCCTCCCCCGGAATTCTGGCAGAGGGTGAAACGAGGCAGGTGCTTGGACACGACGGGCTCTTGATCAACGGCCGCGGCGAGGGTTGCGACCTCCTCGCCATCGGGACACGACAGCTGCGCCACTGGAAGATCGGTCTCGCGCAGCACAACCTGCGTGTGCAAGCCTCCCTCGTCCAAATGGCCGCGTTCCAGGAAGATGGTCCGGAGAGCAGCATGACGGGCGACAACCTGATGCCATGCATGCTCGAGCTTCGTTGGATCTACCAAAAGACCACCCCTTGCACGAACGGCAAACCTGAAGGCGATCTCGTACACACCGGTTGCTTTTTGTTGACTCAGGAGCAGACCTTGCTGGGCGGGCGAGCACGGGTACATATCCTCCACCTGATCTAGGTCAAAGCCAAGGGATTGGAGTTCTCCACGCAGGCCCTTCAGCTCGTCGGCCGTCAGTGTCGGCAGCAGGGGGAAGCTGGTCAGGACACGCTGCAGGTCCATTGCGGGGAATTGCACGGCAATCTCCGTCAGGGTGGCCTCCAGTGTCGACGCCCACTTCTCGATGCGGTCGAGGTGCTTCATCTTCTTGTTGTATGCCAGCGTGACACGCGCCTGGCCCTGCATTACCAGCACAGAGATGTCAAACAGCGCCAGACGCGGGGTCTGGGGCCCAATGTCGGACGTGAGCGTCTGGTCCAGGTCGGCAGTGCTCTCCAGCTGGAAGGCACCCTCGGCTCGCTCAAGCTGCTGGTACTGGCCCAGGTAGTTGAACAGGACTTCGATCGGAGTGTGGCTGCGGAACGATTGCCGTCCAACAGGACTAAGGAAGCGCGAGGCGAAATAGTCACGGCCGTTGGCCAGTTGAGACCGCAGTTTGCTGACCTGGGCAGCGATGCTGCCCACCCCAGACAGTGCGTCGGAAACGAGGAGGGGAAGCAAGGTGGTGAACCAACCTACGGTGCGAGACAAATCCAGGGCCTCGTCGTCCCACGGCTCGCGCCCGTGTCCTTCATTGAAGACAGCCGGCAGCGGTCGCTCTGGGAAGGTCTGGCCAAAGGAGTGCAGTACCGCGGCGATAAACAGGTCGACTGGCTCCGTTCTGAAGAGACTGTTGCAGTCACCCAGGAGGTGGCTTGTTGTACTCTCGTCCAAGGCAAAGGTACGCTGGGCAACGTCAGCGTAGACATTGCCAGTGGCCTGTAAGGCCCAGAATCGGGGCTGCGTCGGGGGCACTCGGAAGGGCAGGGCTTTCCGGGGCTCAATGGCCAGGGCACGATCGCTTTGCATGCGGCTCCAGGCTTGATACGGGGTCAGGGGCCCGTCCAGCGTAGGTGGAGCAGTGCCAGAGCTCTGCAGTCGTGCTTCGAGCTCCTGAATAATGACTCGCCATGAGACCATGTCCATGACCAGATGGTGGGCCGTCATAAAGAGGAGGTTTGCCTCGGGGCTGGCAAGCAGGACAGCCGCAAAGACTGGTCCGCTGACGATGTCAATGGCCTGCTGGGCGGCGGCCATCTTAGGAGCAATCTCTTCGCGCCGACTGACAGTGCAGCGCTCCAGATAGAACGATGCAGGCGTCAGCGAAGCTACAGACTGTGTCCAGGCATTGCCCTTCTGACGGAAGCGCGCGCGGAGCATCGTATGACGCGCAACGAGCTCCTCTAATGCGACAGGGACACGCTCAGGGCTGATCGCCGACGACAGACGTAGGGTGAAGCTCTGGTGGAACCGCGTAGGCTGCTGCGATGAAACCTCAAAGTAGAGCTGTTGAACTGGTGACAGAGCAAAGGGGACATCGACCGGATCGTCCAGCAGTGCCGCGCCCACATCCGCGGTCTCTTCGACCTTCACCCTGTCGAGCAACTGCGTGAGGCTTCGGCTCTTGAGGATATCGTGCACGCGCACCTGCATCCCGTGGTCGCGGGCCTCGCTCACGGTCTGCATGGCGCTGATCGAATCGCCACCGAGAGAGATGAAGGACCGATTGAAGTTGACCTCCTCGGGCTCGAGGTTGAGGACGCGGGCAACCACATCGCGCATGACTTGGCTGGTGCTCTGCGCGGGGAGGATCTCTGTGGGCTCTTCGGGCTCTGTGAGTCTGGTGATGGATGACAGGATATCGTCATCAATGGCGTCGACCCAACGAGCAATCGATGCGCGGTCAATCTTGAGCGAACTGTTGACGGGCAGCTGCGGTGCCGGAATCCACAACGAGGGCACCATGTACGAAGGGAGCACGGCGGCGAGGGAGTCACGCAGCGCGGTGATCTGCGCGCAGACCCCTTCGCGATGGGCCTGCCCAACAAGCTGGACAGCCTCGTCCCCGGCAGTGGGGGAGGCGTAGTGCTCGAGACACAAGACCGCAACAAGCCTGCCACGGCTCAGTCCTTGACGGGCCAGTAGGACCATTGCGCTCTGGACGGAGCTGACCCGGGCAATATGATGCTCGATCTCGCCCAGCTCAAGGCGCTGGCCGTGCAGCTTGACCTGCGCATCCTTGCGCCCGAGATAATCGAGGGTTCCGTCGGGGTTGAATCGGGCCAGGTCCCCGGTCTTGTACATGCGACGATCGCCCGTCGGGGCCCAGGCGGGATCCATGATGAAGGCGTCGCTGTCGACGTGGAGATAGCCTTGCGCCACAAGAGGCCCTTCCACGACCAGTTCGCCGACAGCTCCAAGAGGGGCGAGTTGGTTGTGGTTGGCCTCGTCGACGAGCCATAGTTTGCTTGCGAGCCCGCGCCCAATGTTTGCTGGACTCATTCCTGGTTGGCCTACTGAGCCATTCCAGGAACAGTAGATGGTGCATTCCGCGGGCCCGTAGCAGTTGTTGAAGCCCTGGAGATGTGGCGAGCCAGCCCATCGGTCAACGACCTGCTGGGTCACAGCCTCGCCCGCCAGCGTGAGGTTGGTCAAGGTAGGAACAGTCTCTGGGTCAAGAATCCCAGCCACTGTCGGGGTGATACAGGCCCAGTTGACGTTGAGGGTATTGATCGCCCCGGCCAGGTCATTCAGGCGGTCGTGGTCGGATGGAATGCACACGCAGGCTCCTCTCGTCAGCGTGGAGAACATGTCTTGAAGGCTGATATCAAACACATGCGAGGCGAATTGCAGCACGCGGGAGCCTGGGCCGATCTGCAACGCAGTGCCATGGGCGTTCATGCTGGTGCAAACAGTTCGGTGTGGCAACACGACTCCCTTAGGCGTGCCTGTACTTCCAGAGGTGTACACCACAAATGCTGGAGTTTCAGGGGCTGCACGCTGGCCAGGCCAAGGCTGATTTGTCTGAGGACCCAGCCCTGCAACGGCCTTGGGGCCAATACTGACTGCATTCACCGCACCGGCAGAGTGTGGTGCCAATTGCGCCTCCGAGGTCAGGACCAGCTTGGCCCCGGTGTCCGCGATTAGCAGGGCGTGGCGACTGGCAGGGTGGGAGGGATCCATAGAAACACATGTGCCACCGGCTTTCAGGACTGCCAGCATTGCTATCGGAGTCCACATGCTCTTTTCAAAGCAGAGTGGCACAAAGGATCCCCTTTCAATACCCCGCCTAGCGAGCATGGCGGCGAGACGATCGGTGAGTTCGTCGACATCCTTGTAGGAGAGCTGACCATCCCAGGCGCAGATGGCAGGTGCATTGGGGGTAGCCCGCGCCTGGTTCGAGAATAGTTCATGCACGCAGCTGTCAGTCACGGATGGCAGTGCGCGATTGTATCCCCAGTCAGCCAACTGTGTCCATTGCGGTGTGTTGAACAGGTTGATGTCGCCCACGGACTGCTCAACGTTGCAGGCCATGCTCTGCAGGACGGCGTCGAATGTGTGCGCGATCTGGCTGGCCTGCCAATCGGAGATGGACGACGACCAGTAGTTGATATGAGCATTGACACGGCCTTCGTCCGTCACTTCAGTGTGTAGTGTAATGTCGTACTATATAGAGTCAGCAAAAGAAAAATGAAGCTCAAAGTGGAGATAAAGGAGAGAAGACAAGAAGAAATGCCACGGCTCACCTCGGTGGGATCATGCGAGCTCAGAGCCTCAAAGTGAAGAGCCATATCAGTAACGCTCTGTGCTGAGCTGCGCTGGATGGACATCATAGTGTTGAACAAGGCCCGGCCTCCGAGATTCAGCCGGTGCTGGATGTCGGCCAGCGAGCAGTGCTGGTACTCCATGGCACGAAGCTGGTCCGCGTGGACCTGGCGCAAAAGGTCGGCGATGCTCATGGCCGGATCGACAACCATCCGGGCAACGAGCATGTTGATGAAGGGGCCGACAGTTTCGTTGATGTCCTGCAGCGCCACATCTCGCCCAGATGCCAGCGAGCCGAAGCAAATGTCGTGCTGGCGCACAAACACCCGCAGGACCAGCCCCCAGGCTGTCTTGAGCACGCTGGCGACGGTCACTGCGGTTGCCTGCGAGATCTGCTGCATCTGCGAGCCAGACACCTGCACCTGGATATCCGCGCGCCGTAGCTCACGGCCCTCGGAGTGCTCGTAGGACAGAGGGAAATGACACGGCTCGATGCCCTTGAGGTGGGTGGTCCAGTGCTCGATCGCGGTGTCTGCACCCACAGATCGGAGATAGGCAATGTAGCTGCTGTACAGTGGGCCGCGTGCACGGGGCAGCTGGCGAGCATAGGCGCGGCTCACGTCGTGCAAGATAAGACCCATGGATACAGCGTCGATGAGTGCATGATTGATCTCGAAACTGCAGTAGACCTCGCCGTCCATTCCCTTGAAGACGATCAGACGGTGTGCTGGACTGGCCGGGTCTTTGGCAGCGGTCGGTAGCGCTGCGAGCCTCCTCAGCATATCAGGACGGTCGACGCAGTGGAGGAGCGTGGTGGGCGCTTGCACTTGACGCAGGACGACCTGGTCAAACATGTTGCCTTCGGACACCCCGTCGATAAAGAAGGTTCGCAGTGCAGCATGACGGTCGACCACGTGTTGCCAGGCGGCGAACAGCTGCTCGACATCGACTGGGGCTCCTGATATTTGGGATGCGACTTCAAAGGTGAATCTTACTTCATACGCACCCGGTGTGAGGCGCTGCGCCAGAAGCAGACCTTGCTGGACGGGCGAGCAAGGATAAATGTCCTCGATAGCACTGAATGGGTCGTCGCCGTGCTGCCCGAAAAGGGACTGCTGCTGAGCGAGACGATCGAGGCCCTCGTACGGCAGGGGCAGGAGAGGAAAGTCGCTCCGGGTGGGACGAGGGGGTGTCGCAAGGAGAAGGCTGCTGACTTCCTGTGTCGATCGTGCAAACTCGGCCGTCCATCGCCCGATCATGTCCTGGTGCAGGCAGTTGGCAGGGAATGTGAAGTCAAAGGCAACCAGCTGCTGCACAACCATGGACGAGACTTCAATGACGGCCATGCGGGGAGTCGCAGGGCCAATGTCGGCGGCGATATCGAGTCCATCGCGGGCCTCGGGTTGAAGGAGGCTCTCGGCGGTTTCCAACTGCTGGTACTGGCCCTGGAAGTTGAACAGCAGCTCCATCTGGCTGTGCCCGGCAAAGGCGGCCTGTCCCTCCGGCGTCAAGTACCGGGCAGTGAAGTATTCCCAGCCGTTGGCCGGAGTCGATCGGCGGCGATCCTTGACAAGGCGGACCAGGTCGACTGGGCTGGTCATCTCGCTGGCCGCCACGTACAGCGGCATCAGGGTGGTGAACCAGCCGACGGTGGTCGAAAGGTCGATCGAGTCGTCCCAGGGTTCACGCCCGTGACTCTCACTGAACACGGCAGGCATCTCGCGCAGACTGCCAAAGACCTTGTGGAAGGATAGCAGGAGCGAGGCGAGCAGAACATCGCTCGTGTCAGTGCGCAAGGCTCTGTGGACAGCAGGTTCCAGCAAAGTGGCACTGGCAGCCTTGTCCAGCGTGAAGCGCCGGTTTGTCGCAGTCGCATGCAAGTTCGCCCCCTCGTCAAGACCCCAGAAGGCGAGATCTGACACCGCAATCGCACGCGGCAGGACCTTCTCGGGGTGCGTCAATGAGCGACGGGCATAGGCCTCTTGTGCACGGAGCCACGGCTGGAAGGACAGGCTGGGGGACAAGGCTGAAGGCGGTTCACGGTGAGCAAGAAGAGCCTCCAGGTCCTGCAGAATGATGCGCCAGGAGACGAGATCGATGACCAGATGGTGCGCGACCATGAACAGCACCTGTGCGCCCTCGAACTCGAATCCATTGACCGCGAAGACTGGCCCCTGGCGGATATCGATACTCGTCTGTGTCCGGGTGATGATCTGGTTCATTTCTTCCCTCGTCTGTGCCCTGTAGTGAGTATATGCGTGGGGTTGTTGGGCTGCCACGAGCTGGTGCCAGCCACCCACCACGTCTGTGGCCGATTGGAATCGGGCGCGGAGCATCGAATGCATCTCGACCACCCTGCGCACGGCATCTTCGATATGGCCGCTCGCAAGGGGCTCCCGGAGGCGTAGAAGGAAGCTCTGGTTGAAGTGCGTGGGCTGACCGCGCGAGAGCTCAAAGTAAAACTGCTGCATGGGCGACAGACTGAAGGGGGTGTTGATGGCGTCCGCCTGGCTCGTGTGGGCGATGGACAGCTCCCTAGCAGGACGAATGCTGTGGCCCAGATCCGCCATTGAGCGCGCTTGCAGGATCTGCTTGACGGAGACCATCCACCCTTGACTGCGCAGGCGTGCGGTGAGTTGCATCGCGGTGATGGAGTCGCCTCCCAGGGCAACGAACGGCTTATTGATGGCGATGAGGTCAGTGGGCTTGTTCAGTATCTCCGACACGCTCGTCTGCAGTTGCTCCTCGACCAGGGTGCGAGGCACCATGTGGTCCATCTCCTCCTCGGCCACGCTCACGGCGGCTTCAAAGGTCTGGCCTTCCATCTCGGCCAGCCACTGCATCAGGCGAGGGCGATCGTACTTGCCGGAGCGGTTCAGAGGCAGCCGCTGCACCACCAGCCACGCGGAGGGCACCATATACCCGGGGAGGGCATCGGCAATCATTGAACGAACAAGCCCGAGCTGTTGCCGGATCAGGCGGCTGTCACTATGGGGCAGCAGAGAGATGCTCGAATCGGTCATATCCGCCATCGCAGCGGCGGCTCTGAGGGAGACAATCGCGACCAGACGACCCTTGGCGACCCCAGCAGTGGGCAGCAAGACGGCGCCATCCTGCACCTCCTCCCCGGAGAGGAGGTGGTGCTCGATCTCGCCCATTTCGACTCGCTGCCCATTGACCTTGACCTGGCTGTCGTTGCGACCCAGATAGTCGATTGTCCCGTCGGCCGCATTGTATCGAACGAGATCGCCGGTCTTGTACATGCGTCTCGCCATTGCGCCTGGCTCTCTGCTCGAGGCCCAGTCGGGGTCGAGGGTGAAGCGCTCAGCGGTCTTTGCAGGGTCATTGAGGTAGCCGCGAGCAAGGAGAGGGCCCTCAATGACCAGCTCTCCCACACAGCCAACGGCAGCCAGTTTGTGGACGTTGTCAGGCTCGACGATCCAGAGACGACTAGATAATCCTTTGCCGATGTTGGACGGGCGCCGCTCGGGATTGTCAACTTGTCCGTTCCACGAGCAGTAGATCGTGCTCTCGGCTGGGCCATAGCAGTTGCTGAAGCGATCCAGGGCAGCTTCGGTGGAGCTCCAGATCCGGCGAACCTTCTCGGTGACGGCCTCGCCGGCGAGAGTTAGCGATTTCAGCGTCGGCACCTCTCGTGGATTCAGCAGCTGTGCTACTGTTGGGGTCAGGCAGGCGGACGTCACGCCCATCTGGTTGACTGCACCGGCGAGGTTGTTGAAGCGCTGGTCCTCACTGACCACGCACACGCACCCACCGTTGGTCAGCGTCGTGAAGATGTCTTGGATGCTGATGTCGAAGGTGTACGAGGCGAATTGAAGAACGCGCACACCGGGTTGAAAGCCGAGCGCAGGGCCGTGGGCGGCCATGCTAGACGCCACATTCGAATGTTCGAGGACAACGCCCTTTGGTGTGCCCGTGCTTCCAGATGTATAGATCACAAAGGCTGCATTTTCTGGCGATGCCGGCTTCATGCGTTGGAGGGCAGTCAGCATCGACCCGGTGAAGGAAGGCTGCTTGCTGCACGCTTCCCGATCAACCACAATGCACTCTTCGACGAGCGGGCGCATTTCTTGTGCAATGGTCTCCAACCCGGCGAGGACGATGCGTGCCCCGGTGTCGTGGATAATGGTCTCTCTGCGGCTCAGAGGGTGCGAAGGGTCGAGGGCCACGCAGGCACCGCCGGCCTTGAGGATCGCCAGCATGCCGACAATCGCCCACATCGACTTGTCAAAGCACACAGGCACAATGGCCTCAGCACCGATTCCCTTGCCTACCAGCTGCAGAGCGAGCTGCGTGGCTAAGGCATCTAGCTCTGCGTAAGTGCAGTCCCCATCCCACGCGCAAATCGCAGGTGCGTCCGGAGAAGCCTGGGATTGACGCTCAAAGAGGTGGTGCACCAGGGCCTCTCGCGGGGCGAGGCTGCCTGCATTCCAGGCCTCGATCTGCTGCAGATCATACGTGCTGACGAGACTGATCTCGGAGAGCCTGCATGTGTCGGTCTGTTGCACGTTGTGCAGCTGCTGCAGGACATGCTCGAACTGATGCAGGACATGGATCATCTGCGCTGGAGGCAGGGCCGTCTCGTCGTAGTCCGCCGTCACGGCGACATGATCCCTGTGGGCAACGCATTCCAAGACCAAACTGTACGTGTGGAATCCAGTATCCCCGGCCTGGTCCGGACCTGCCAGTTCCTTGCGTTGCAGTCCAATGGACGATTCAGGGATCTCCTCTTCTCCAGCAGCGTGAATGACGAGCAGATCCTGGAAATCACACGCGGCCTGGGCCTCGGCACTCAGCTGCCGGATTCGCTGCAACCCAGTGTGCTCGTACGCGATCATGTCGGCGGCCTGTTGCTGCAGCCGTTGTAGGAATTCGAGGACCGGAATATCACGATCAAGGCGGACGTGCAAGGGTACGGTGGTGATGGTAGGCCCGCACATTCGGTCGATGTCAACAACCGGCGCATTGCGTCCACTGAGCGTCACACCAAAGGCTCGACTCTCGGCGCCACTATACGCTGCCGACACAATGGCCCAGGCAGCTCGGATGAGGGTCGTTTCGGTGAGTCCAAACCCAGGCGTGGAGGGGATCTGCACGCGGATCTTCGAGGTCCCTTGAACTCGGACCGAGCGTGATGTTGTTGGCGGGGGGAAGCTCGACACAGTCGCCCCGGCCAGCTGTGTCTTCCAGTAATGGTCCTCGGCGGCAGTATCGACGTTCTTGAGGTATCGAAGGAAGTGCGAGTAAGGGGTTGGGGTCGATCGAGCAGCCGTGCTCTTGCGATATATATTCTCAACTTCTCCCACCAACAACGCAACAGTCCATCCATCATAGAGAGCATGGTGGATTGTCCACACAAAATGCCCGCCGACAATCGCAAATCGGACCAGGCTGCGTCCGAAGCCCATTTCCTGCTCCTTGTCGCCGACGAGGAACTGGTCGAGACTGGGGCCCGTGCGCCAGTCGATGGGCGCCGGTCGTAGCACAGCCTGGCAGGTCCCAGCCTGGGGTAAAAAGACAATGCGGGTGCGCAGAATCGGATGTGAATTGACAACCGACTGCCAGCTTGCCTTGAATCGGTCCAAGTCGATGTTTGGCGGCAGGGTAAACAAGTTCTGGTTGATGTACGCCCCCGACTGCTTCTCGGAGAGCGCCATCAGCCCTTCCTGCATGGGGGTGCAAGGGTACACGTCCTCGAGCTGGTCCACAGTCGTTGCGGCCTGAGTGGCAGCCTCTTCTAGGAGGGTCGAGGCTCCTTCCGGCAGCAATTCGAACGGTGCGAGGCTGCCGCTGTCGTCGTCTTCCTGGTCCACCCACTGCGCGGCCTCGGCCATGTGCGCGAGCTGGGGCAGATGGAAGATGTCCGAGACGGTCAGTCGGATTGCCTGCTGGCGCGCGCTGGCAACCAGCTGCATGGCCGCCACCGAGTTCCCTCCGAGATGGAAGAATCGGTCCTGCGTGCCAATGTCCTCTGCGGGGAGACTGAGGAGCTCCGACCACAGCTGCTGCAGCGCCTGCTCCATTGCGGTCGCGGGGGCCCTCTTGGCCTCGTTGCCTGTCTCCAGAGAGAAGGGTCGCAGCTGCTCGCTGCTCATGCAAGAGACGAGGCTGCGCAGTGATTTCCGATCGACCTTGCCGGACGTGTTGAGCGGCAGTTGCTGCAGGGGGATGTAGTGCGAGGGCACCATGTAGACTGGCAGTAGCTTGGAGGCGGCGCTGGCAGCTGCAGCAAACAACGCTCGCGTCTCTGCATGTACATCGAAAATCGAGATGGCATCCACGGAGCCTCCAACTATCACATCGCCCGTAAGCGAGACAAATGCGGCCAGTGACTGCTGGCTGTCGCTGAGCTGGACCAGGTCCACCGCCACTCGGCTGGCTTCGCCCAGGTTGAGCTGCAGGTGGTGCTCGATGTCGCCCAGCTCGATCCGCTGCCCGTGAAGCTTGATCTGGGTGTCTTTGCGACCCAGATAGTCCAGGGTCCCGTCTTCGTTGTATGCGACCAAGTCGCCCGTGGCGTAGTACCGAGTAGGGGTTGTGTCGTGGTGCCAGGCTTGACTTCTCCACAAGGGAAGCTCGATGAACGCTGCCTCTGTCCTCTTGGGATCCCCCTGATATCCCGGGGACACGAGGGGACCACCGACCATCAATTCACCGGGGCTTCCGATCGGGGCCAGCCGGTGGTGGTTCTGCGGGTCAACCACAAAGTGCGAGCTTGCCAGGGGGCGCCCGATGTTGCAGGGAGACTGGCCTGCAGCGCCGACCTGCCCGTTCCACGCACAGTAAATGGTACATTCGGCGGGTCCATAGCAGTTGTGGAATCCGGTGAGACTCGTGCCCTGCGACCAGAGCTCGATCGCCTTCTGGGACACGGCTTCACCCGCGAGGACCAGAGTACGTAGCGTAGGCACCTCTGCTGGCGAGAGAAGCGATGCGACCGTCGGAGTCAGGCATGCAAAGTTGACTGCTTTTGCTCTCATGAAACCCGAGAGATTGTTCATCCGTTGCCCATCGGAGGGAATGCAGACGCAGGCGCCGCGGGTCAGCGAGGTAAAGACATCCTGGATGCTAATGTCGAAGACAAATGCAGCGAACTGCAACACGCGCGTGCCTGCTGCAATACCTAGGGCATTTCCATGCGCCTCTATGCTAGTGCAGACGGATTCATGGGTCAGAATCACCCCCTTGGGGACACCGGTACTGCCGGACGTGTAGATAATAAAGGCAGGCGATGCTGGATCCACGTCGGGGAGGGTCTGGCGGGCAGGGGCCAGCGATTGCACTGTACCTTCGTCAATGCTCATCTGGGTTAAGCCGAGGTCGTCACAGTGAGATGCACACGATCTAGCAGTCAGAGCGACCCTGGCCCCAGTGTGCTCGAGGATGAGTCGATGGCGGTCCTTGGGATGGGCAGGATCCAGGGAAACAGCAGTTGCACCAGCCTTGAGGATAGCAAGGAAGGCCACGACAATCCATGCAGACTTGGGGAAGAGGATTGGCACCCTGGATCCTGGTGTGACTCCCATCCTCTGCACATGAGCCGCGAGTCTCGTGGACCACTCGTCCAATTCCCGGTAGCTGATCTGGCAATCCCACGCATCCACCGCGGGGGCATCGGGCTGGAGGGTGGCCTGGTGACGGAAGAGGTCGTGAACAGTGCTGTGCAAGACGCCCGTGACGGTTGGAGCCCATTGACGGATCTGGTTGTGGTCGTGCGCACCAACCATCTTCAACGAGCCGATGGCAGCAGAGGGCTGCTGGATCAGCGAGTGCAGGATGGCTGTCATGGAAGAAGCAACATGCGAGACCTGCCAGCGGGAAATGGTGCCCGGCCAGTGCGTGATGGATGCTCGCGAGCCGTGGTCGGACAGCTGAACATTGACCGTCAAGTCGAACTCGGTGGGATCGTGCGAGGCAAGGCTCTTAAAGGAGAGGTGCGAGGGGCTGCTCAGACTTCCTGCTCCGCCTGCACTGAGTCTCTGCACGGAGAGCATGGTGTTGAAGAGCGCGGTGCCACTCATCCCCAGCGACTGCTGGACTCGACCCAGCGGCACATGCTGGTGGTCCAGGGCGGCGAGATAGCCTTGTTGAGTCGTTCGCAGCACATCGACTGCGTTGAAAGTGCCTTCGAGCTGCATGCGGCAGACGAGCATGTTGATGAGCGGCCCAACGGTCGAGTCAATCCCTGGAACGGGAATGTCTCTTCCAGCAACCAGATATCCAAAGGCCACGTCGCTAGTCATGGTGAAGCTCTGCAGGACAAGGCCCCAGACAGTCTGGAAGATGTTGGCGGCGGTAACCCGGTGGGCGCTGCAGAAGGACTGGATGGCCTCGTGGTCGAGGTTGAGGTCGATCTCCGTCACATTGAGCTCCTTTGCCTCGTGCAGCGACGGCCGAGAGGGGAAATGGCAGGGCTGGATGCCGCTCAAATATTCGGTCCAGTACTGCAGGGCAGCATCCACCGATTTCGATTGCACATAGCTGATGTAGTCGCGATACGGAGTGGCAGGGAGATGGTCGAGGGCTCCGCGGTATGCCGCATCGATGTCCCTGAGCAGGATCGACAATGATTCCGCATCCATGAGGGCGTGGTTCATCTCCAGTTTGAAAAAGAGACGCCCTTCGCGGGTGCTGCACACCGTCATGCGGTGCGGCAGCTCCGATCGGCTGCTGTACGTGTCGGCCGATGGGCGAGAGAGGACACTGGAGGCCTCTTGTGCGTCCTGCACAGTCTCGACCACAATGGACGGGGTGGGGGAATGAAGAACAACCTGGTCAAAGCTGCCCTCGCCGGAAATGGCAGAGGTGAAGACGGTGCGCAGCATGGGATGGCGACGCACGACAGCCCGCCACGCCTTGACGAATCTCTCTGGCTGCGACGCATTGAGTACCTCGAACTTGAAGCTGGTGCGATACTCGTCTGCACCACGGCCCTGGCTGAGGAGGAGGCCGTGCTGCATCGCAGAGGATGGGTAAATGTCCTCCACCTCGTCAATGCTCTTGACGGCGAGGTCGGCGCTCAGCGCAGCCTCCAACCCGTCGAGAAGACTGTAGTTTAGCGATGGGAGGAGAGGGAAGTCCGCGAGAGTCTTCTGCGCGGGCAGTGATGGGAGCTCGCGGGCCATGCGCTTCAGAGACGCCTCGGTGAAGTGGAACCATTGCCTGATTCCATCCTGCCGATCCATGTAGCGACTGTGGGTGAGGATCAGAGTTGCCTGCCCGTCTGTGATCCTGGTGTTGATCTCGAAGAGAGCCATCCGGGGCACGTTATTGGCCACGTCGGAGTAGCCTGGGACATCTTGGATGTTTCCTTGCTTGAACATCCCCTCATTGCGGGTCATGCCGCGGAAATGGCCGAGATAGTTGAACAGAATCTCCATTGGCCGGTGGCCTGGGCCCCGGTTGGAGTACGTCGAGGCGAGATAGCTTTGCGTACTCAGGCGCTGCCGCCGGTCTTTGGCCCAGCGGATGGTGTTGACGAGATCAGCAGCGTCGGGGACGTGGACGGGTGTGATGGCAGTGAACCAGCCGACGGTTTTGGTGATGTCGACCTGCTGCTCGTCGGCATCGCGTCCGTGGCCCTCCACGAAGACGGTTGGGAGTTGGCGCTGGGTGAATGTCAGGCCGAAAGCGTGGGTCACGGCCGCGACGAAGAGATCGGTGATGTTGGTGTTGAAGACCCGGTGGCACTCGCTCAGCAGGACCTTGGTGGTGCTCTGGTCCAGCGTGAATATCTCCACCACAGCGTCCCCGTAGGTGTTGGGCTTGTCTTCTCCACCCCAGTACCCCTTGGGGGGCTCCGAGACGGGGAAGTCAATCTCGGCGCGTGGAGCCTGGGCTTGGAGCTGGACCCAGGACTGGTACGGGAAGGCGTTGACGACAGGGGCTTCGATCTCTGGGGATAGGGCGTCCTCGAGTGCGGTGAGGATCAGTTGCCAGGAAACCATGTCGACGACCAGGTGGTGCGCCGCGAGATAGAGCACTCGCGACCCGTCATCGAGCTCGAACCAGTTGGCGGCGAAGACGGGTCCGTTCTGGATGTCGAGGGAGGCCTGCGTACGCACAATGGCCTCGTCCATCTCGTGTCGCCTGCATGCTGTGTAGTCGTTGAATGCATACGCGGCGACGGAAGCAGAGCTGACGAGCTGCTTCCACCCGCTGGCCGACGGGGTAAAGCGGGCTCGAAGCATAGAGTGAGCCATCACAATCGAGTCGAGCGCAGTGCGGACCTGCTTGCCTGTGCATTGAGCAGTGCACTGAACCAGCACGCTCTGGTTGAAGTGGCTGGAGGGTTTGTCGTCCGAGATGGCCATGAACATCTGTTGGATGGGCGACAGATCAAAGACTGAATCCGCTGGATCTTGCCACAGGTCGACAGCGGCCTCCAGCTGCTTTGCGCGGTCGCAGAGCTCGAAGATGCTCTGGCTCTGGAGGATGTCCTGCACGCGGATTCCGAGCCCCTTCTTGCGGGCCTGCGAAACAAGCTGCATCGCGCTGATCGAATCACCGCCCAAAGCGATGAACGGCCGGTTGAAGTGAACCTGCTCCGGTTCGAGGCCCAGTACTCTTGCCAGAGCAGCCTGCAGTCGGCGTTGCGCGGCCGAGCTTAGCTGATCTGCTCCTCCACCCCGTGCCTGTAGACGGTCTGCAGCAAGTACGGTCTCTTGTTGCATGTCTTGAAGCCACGCCGCAATGCGGGATCGGTCGAGCTTGCCGGAAAGAGACATTGGAATGGTCTCGACTGGAAGCCACACGGTTGGTACCATATAAGGCGGCAAGCTCGAGGCCAGAGCCTGACGCACTTGGTTGAGCTGGGCAGCCACTGCCTCTCGATGGGCGTCGGCAACCAGATTCAACTCCGAGGATCCGGGTTGGTCAAAGTCACGGAAAGAGACGACCGCGGCGATTCGGTCCTTGCAAGCTCCAGACTTGGGGAGAAGCGCCATGGCGTTGGCCACCTGCTCCTGGCGGGAGAGGTGGTAGTCGATCTCGGACAGCTCTAGTCGTTGGCCATGCAGTTTGACCTGTGAGTCTTTACGGCCCACATAGTCCAGGGTGCCATCCTCGTTATAGCGAACCAGATCTCCAGTGCGGTACAGGCGACGGCCAACCTTGACTCCGTCGACAAGCGCCCACTCCGGATCGACGATGAATGACAGGGCCGTCTTCTCGGGGTCGTTCAGATAGCCTCTTGCGAGCAACGGACCCTCGATGAGAAGTTCGCCAGTGCTTCCCAGCGGCGCCAGTCGGTGGTGGTTCGTGATCTCCGCCACCCAGAGTAAGCTCGAGATGGGGTCGCCGATATTGTACGGCTTGTGTGAGACCCCAAGTCGGGGATTGACCGAGCAGTAAATACTGCATTCAGCCGGGCCATAGCAGTTGTTGAATTGGCCGAGGCCGGAGTCCTTCCAGATGTCAACCACGTTCTGTGGGATCGCTTCCCCTCCCATTGAGAGGGTCTTCAGGCCCGGCACATCGGATGGACGCAGGACGGCTGCGACTGCCGGAGTCAGGAAGGCCCAGTTCACGTTCATGTCACGAATGGCTCCCGCGAGGTCATTCAGGCGCTGGTCTTCGCTCGGCATACAGACGCACCCTCCACGTGTAAGCGTTGTGAAAATGTCCTGGACGCTGGCATCGAAGATGAAGGAGGAGAATTGAAGAACCCGGCTGTTTCCATTGATTCCGACCACGTCGGCGTGGGCAGCCATTGTCGTGCAGAGGGAGCCGTGTTCCAAGACGATTCCCTTGGGAACTCCCGTGCTGCCAGAGGTGTAAATGATGATGGCAGTGTTCTTATGAGTGACACGGGGCAGAATAGAGGTCGATCCCGACAGCCCAGTCGCCTCGAGCAGGTCCAGGAGGTCCTTACTGACGGTAACCACGGCTTGAGGATACCCTTCAAATCGGGAAGCTTGGGACGGGCTGACGACAATGACGCAGGCATCGACCTGTTCGAGGATCGTCTCGTGCCGGCTGCGGGGGTGGGCAGGGTCGAGGGCGACGAATGCACCGCCGGCCTTGAGAATAGCGACCAGCGCTATGACTGCCCATGCAGACTTGTCCGAGCAAAAGGGAACTATGACCTCTGGCCCGACTCCGAGCGCAATCAGATGGCGGGCAAGACTGCTGGATTGGTGCTCCAGCTCCTCGTACGTGAAGCTGGTATCCCAGCCATAAACAGCAGGAGATTTGGGTTTGGCTGATGCCTGCTGGGTGATGAGGTCGTGGATGCAGAAGGGCTCGTAGAGCTCTTGGCCGTTGAATGTCTCGTAGGTGCGCTTCCACTGCTCCAGCTGTGTCTTGTCCCGATGGCTGAAGGTGTCTACTGTTGACAGCAGCGAGGAGGAGCTCGAAACGAGGCTTTCCATCGCCTTGCCGAATGTATGGAGGATACCATTCGCCTCCCAGTCCGAGAGGGCCGGACTCCAGTAACCCACGGTAGCAGTAGTCTCAGAGGTGGCTGTGTTGGACTCGAGCGTAATGGTCACGTCGTACTCGGTGGCATCGTAACCTCCGATTGTCTCGAAGGAGATGGTCGAAAGTCCAGAGGTGGCTGCAATGGCCGGCTGCACGAGCTGAACGCTCATGATACTGTTGAAGAGCGGCTTTCCGCCTATTTGAAGGGCATGCTGGATCTCAGCGATTGAGCAGTAGTGGTACTCTAACGCAGAGAGGTAGTCGCGCTGGACTGCCTTGACCAGGTCGCTGACGGGGGTATCCTCGGACACATCAACCGCCGTTACCAGCATATCAATAAACGGCCCGACAATCTTCTCAATCTGGTTGATGGGGAGTCCTCGCCCGGCAGACACGAAACCAAAAGTGGCGGTTTGGCAGCCAGTGTAGGCACGCAGGGTCAGCGCCCACGCTGCCTGGTACACCGTTGCAGCTGTCACCCGGTGCGTCTGGCAGAAGTGCTGCAGTTCTGCCGACACGGAGCTCATATGGAGGGAAGCAAAGCGAAGTTCACGATCAGGACCGCGCACAGGGCCAGTGACGGGCATGTAGCACGGCTCGATCTGGCGCAGTCGAGTCACCCAATAGTCGAGTGCTGTCCCTGTAGGTTGCGATGCCAGGTATTCAAGATAGCGTCTATACGAGGGTCGTGGGCTGGTGGGCAGCTTGTGATACTCTGCACGCAGGTCCTCCATGATGATGGCGAGGGACGCTGCGTCCATGATCGTGTGGTGGATCTCCAGCTTACACAGCACGCGTCCTGTCGGCGTGGTATATATAGTCAGGAAGTGAGGCGGTGCGTCCATGGCGTTGGGGATATTTTGGATGCTGTGGAGCGCACTGACGGCGTCTTTGTCCTGACCACGAATGATCTGGTGCCGGGGAGCAGCTGCTCTCAGGACGACCTGGAACACATCGCTGGCCTCGAGCGGGCTGTGCATCATGACTGTGCGCAGTGCGGGGTGGTGCGAAACCACTGCCTTCCAGGCCACTGCAAGTCTCTCGCAATCGACCGGATCTTGGCTGGAGGCAGGATGGACTTCGAACACCGTCTCGACCTCGTAAGAACCAGGGTTGAGGCTCTGGCCCATGATAATGCCCCGCTGGATGGGTGAGCAGGGATATACGTCGTCAACATCGGCAAAGGTATTAACCAGCGGCAGCGCCGTGATTGCTTCTTGGACCTGCTTCAAACCCTCATCGTCCACGCCAAGAAGAGAGAAATCACTGAGCGGTCGTTGAACTGGAGCTTTCAGCAGGTCTTCCACCGTTTCGTTCAAGCACTGCTCGTATTCGGCAAGCCATTTGCGAACCTCCTGCACACGCTCGATGGCTGGATCGTACATGAACGAGACGTGAACCTGTCCTTGATTGACGAATGCCGAAATCTCGAACAGCGCAAGCCGGGGCACGCCGGCTCCCACGTCCGGTGCCACATCCCACTGCTCGCCGGAGGCAGCTTGTAGGCTCGCTTGCGGATTGTTGAGCTGCTGGTACTGTCCGAGATAGTTGAACAGGACCTCGAGAGGCCAGTGGCTGCGGAATGCAGCTTGCCCTTGCGGATTCCAGGTGCGACTCGCAAGGTAGGATGAGCCGTTCCCCGGGAGGGCGTTTCGCCACTGCTTGACACGGCCAACCGCATCAACTGGGCCGGGGGGCGGATACTCGGAGCCTGCTGGGTGCATGCGGACCGGAGCCACTGAGGTGAACCAGCCGACGGTGTTGTTGACATCGGCGGATGCAATCCAGGGCTCTCTGCCGTGGCCCTCGGTGTAGACAGTGGGGGCCTCTCGGTCTACAAAGACGCGAGAGAAGGACAACATCAGGGCAGCGATGAAGATGTCTGCCGGACTTGTTCGGAGGCTGTCGTTGGCTGGGCCGAGCAGCAACGCGGTCTGTTCGCTGCTGAGGCTGAAAATGCTCGATTCTGCATGATCGTAGACGAACCTCTTGCCCAACGCACCCCAGTAGCCGTAGTCCGACGCCGGAAGGTCAAATGGCAATGATTCTGTTGGGCCCAGCTGAGTCTCTGCGTGTTCCTTTTGCATCTGCACCCAGGCGGGGAAAGGCATCGTCGCCGGGGTACTAAACTCGTGGACCCGGAGGTAATCTTCTAGATCCTGCAGAATCACTCGCCAGGACATGAGGTCGATTACCAGATGGTGTGCAATGACGAAGAGCACGCGCTCGCCCTCTGGCACCTGGAACAGGTCGGCGCCAATTATCGGGCCACTCGTTACGTTGATGGAGGCTTGCGCAGTCACTGTTGCCTTCTTAACAAGCTGAGGATGAGCATCCTTGTGGAACTTGAACCGATAGGAACTTTCCACGTTGTCGCTGACCAGCTGGCGCCATTCGCCCACCTTGTCTTGGTGGTAGCGAGCACGGAGCATGCCATGTCGCTGCACCACTGCGTGGAGAGCAGCTTCGATTGCATCTGGAGAAACGTCACCAGCAACGCGGAGGAGCATGCTCTGATTGAAGGGAGTAACCTCGTTATCGGACATTTCAAAGTACAGTGCCTGAATGGGCGACAGCTCGAATTTCTGGTTCTCCACGACGGCGACCTCGCTCCAAGGGCTGTGATCGACCCGGAGCCCACGGGCGATGGCAGCGACGGTTTCGCTCTGGAGAACATCGCGGACGTGCGTGGTCAGTCCTCGGGCCCTGCACTTGGTAACCAGCTGCATTGCGGTGATCGAATCACCACCCAGGCTAACGAACGATCGGTTCAAGGCGACCTGGTCCCTGGGGATGTTGAGGACCTCGGCGAGGACGTCCTGGATGCGTGCCTCGCTGCTGCTCGATGGGGTGCAGTGGTCGGTTGTGTGTGTGACACCCATGTGCTTGTCGATTGCAGCCTTGTCGAGCCGGCTCACCAGGGTCTGCACCCTGCGCCGATCGATCTTGTTGGATGTATTCAGGGGAATCCCGTTCACCACCAGCCAGATGCTCGGGACCATGTAGGATGGGAGTGCAGCACTGAGTCTGGTTTGAATGCGGGAGACGATAGACTTGACTTGTCCGCGTCCATTGTCGGAGACAAGCTGGATATCCTCGCCTTGGCGGGCAGAGAGCGAAAGGACCGCAAACAGTCGCCCGCTGTAGGGTCCGCTGGAAGCCAGCAGAGCCACTGCTCCGTGGACGTCTTCGTCGGATACCATGTGGTACTCGACTTCTCCCAGTTCAAGGCGTTGACCGTTGATCTTGGCCTGCGAGTCCTTGCGCCCCAAGTAGTCGAACGACCCATCGGCATTGTAGCAGACGAGATCCCCGGTTTTGTACATGCGTCTTCCCCTGGCGCTACCGAACTGGGCCACCCAGGACGGGTCGGTGATGAAGACGGCATTCGTCTGGTCGGGGCTGTGGAGATAGCCCTGGGCGGACACAATCGGGCCCTCGATCAGGAGCTCTCCGATGCAACCGACCGGAACAAGCTGATTGTGATCAGCCGGGTTTACCAGCCAGACGGGGCCCGCAAGAGGGCGGCCGATATTGCAGGCTCGGATGGCTGGCTCAGCCACGTGGAGATTCGCCGTCGCGTAGATTGTGCACTCGGCCGGTCCGTAGCAGTTGTTGAACGCCTCCAGGTGGCTGTCCCGCCAGATGTCGCGGGTCTGCTCTGTCACTGCTTCACCAGCGAGCGTGAGGACGCGCAGAGTCGGGACGCTGCGTGGATCAAGCAAGCGAGCGACAGTGGGGGTAAGGGACGCCCAGTTCGCCTCGTACTGGCGAATCGCACCGGCGAGGTCATTATCCCGCTGTGTCTGGGATGGGATGCAGACGCACGCGCCGCGGGTTAGCGAAGTGAAGATATCCTGCAAGCTGATATCGAATACATATGCTGCAAATTGCAACGAACGAGTGCCCGGACCGATGGAGAGGGCAGCACCATGGGCTTCCATGCTGACGCTGAGGGCTCGGTGGTCAAGAACAACGCCTTTCGGCACACCTGTAGAGCCAGAGGTGTAGATGATGAACGCTGGGTCGGAGAGCTGGACCTCATTCATGGCAGCAGTCGGCGCCTCAAGGGAGATAGATGTCGTCAGTTCGTCGTCCACGACCAGTGCAAAAACACTCAGTTCATCGAAGCAGGAACTGAACGCGCTCTGGGTGAGAACCACCGCTGCCCTAGTATCGTTGAGGATCGTGGCATGACGACTGCTCGGGTGCGAGGGGTCCAACGCAACACAGGCGCCACCAGCCTGGAGAATAGCGAGCATCGAGACGACTGCCCACTTGGACTTGTCAAAGCAGAACGGAACGATAACCCCGGATTGAACCCCCCAGTGCGAGGAGAGATGGTTGGCGAGCTTCCTCGAAAGCAGAACAAGCTCAGCATACGTCAAGTCCCCGTCCCACGCTGCGAGCGCAGGCTGGTGCGGGCTCTTGATGGCTTGACGCTCGACGAGCATGTGCACGTGTTCTTCTGCATCCCGGGGCGGCGCAATACCCTCATTATATTCGGCGACTTGGGCCAGGTTTCTGTCGCTGAAGCGTTCGACCGACGCGAGGTTCCGTCCGGGGTGGTCTGTGACGGAGTGCAGGATCGTGGTGAAGGTGCTGGCGACATTCTGGGCCTGCCATTCGGACATGAGAGACTCCCAGTACGTGAGGCCCACGTAGGAGCGGTGCTCGCCAACGGCCACATGCACGGTCAGCTCGTACTGAGGCTGTCAGCCCTGCACAGATGGATTACGGGGAAAGACTTACCTCTGTAGGATCCTGCGCCCCAACACGTTCGTAGCGGAGAGCCTCGGTCCCGCTATCGGTTGCACCTTCTCGTTGCACAGACATGATCGAATTGAAGAGGGCCGTCTGGGAGATGCCCAGGGCGTGCTGGATGTCTCCCAGCGGGCAATGCTGGTGCTCGAGGCTGGCGGCATACGTCGACTGTACCCCGGTCAGGAAGCTCGAGACACTCTCGCGGGCGGCAATCCTCATGCGGCGGACGAGCATGCTGATAAACGGTCCCACCGTCTCCTCGGCGTCGTCGACCGCGATATCGCGACCGGATGAAATAAACCCGAAGCACACATCGTCGCTGGAGGTGTAGCTCTGCAGCACGAGCGCCCATACGGCCTGGAACAGGGAGGGCAGGGTAACTCCAACGCTGCGGCAGAAGACGCGCAGACGATCCGACGTGATTTGCAGGTCGACCTCCAGAGTCCTTGTGGTCCTTGTGGTCCTTTCCACGGAACGGCTGGCAGTCTCCATGGGGAAGTGGCAGCCCTCGAGGCCAGCAAGGGCGGATTTCCAGTACTCAAGAGACCTCTTGATCGGGTGCTGCTGGATGTAGCGGACAAAGTTGGCGTACGAGGGGCCGGGGCCTGCCGGGAGACGGCCTTGATATGCCAGCGCCAGGTCGCGCAGAATCAGAGTGGTCGCGGCCGCGTCGACGATTGTGTGGTTGATTGACAGTTTGAAGAACACCTTGCCCGACTGCGACACGCACATCTTGACGCGATGCTGGAGCCCGCCCTCGTGGTAGCGAGGGAGCTCGCAGCGGGCCAGCATCTCCATACCCTCATCATCGGTTGGTGCATGGAGGATCTCAATGTCCGGCTGCGCGTTCTTGAGCACAACCAGGTCGAATACATCGTCGCGCGAGATATTGTCAGCAAAGAGTGTGCGCAGGATGCCGTGACGCTGCACCACCTGCTTCCACGATCGAGCCAGTCGGTCAACATCCACGTCAAGTCCATTGGAGCGCGCCGGGTCCCGCACGGCAAACGTGAAGAACACTTGATAAGTTTCCGGCGCTTTGGTCTGACTCAGGAGCATGGCGACTTGCATCGGCGCGCAAGGGTACATGTCTTCAACGTCGCTGGCACTCGCGACGCCGAGGGCAGGCAGGCGAGCGGTGGTCAGCCTCTCCAGTTCATCGTAGGAAAGCGACAGGAGCGGATAGTCGCTGGGAGTCGGAGTAAACGGCAGGGCAGGAAGCACACTGGCTGCAGTGGTCAGGGCCTGTTCGTATCCTTTGAGCCATGCAAGACTGCGCCGGCTGCTCGACTGCATCTGCCCGCTGAATGCAAACTGGACCTGGACCCCGTGAGCTGCAACGCGAACGAAGACCTCCAGCAGAGCCGGGTGGACTGCGTTAGGCTGCACAGTCGATACTTCCCTGCCCATCGGGATGACCTTGAGTAACCCTTGGCGTTGATCCTCGAGGTCGAGGTGGTGGAAGACGACTTCCATCGGCCACTGCTTGACCGAGTGGTGCGTAGCTTGTCGGCGCTGGTCTTTGACTGCAATCATGGTCTTGACCATGTCATCCACGTTGGAAAGCGAGAGCTTGAGAGGCGTGAACCGAGAGAAACGGCCGACGGTACGAGCGTACGTGGTATCTCGGCCACCCGCCTCGTAGCAGTGGACCACGGGCGGTTCTCGATCGGTGAAGACGCCCTTGAACGAGTGAAGAAGCAGAGCGATGAAGATATCGCGAGGCTCCGCGTGCAGTCCGTTCTCACTGCGCACAACGCCTGTTGACACGTCGGGTGGCAGGGAGAATTCAAGAGACTTGACATCCGCAGCATCGGTCGCCGTCTCCCTGTCCTGGACGCCCCAATAAGTGTGGATCGACGGCGCCAATTCCGTTGCAGAGATATCAAGTGACTCCTCAGTCTGCTGGCGCACAAAGGCTTGGAAGCCAGGAGGCTTTCTGGGCTCGGTCTCCTTGAAGATGACACTCTCCAGGTCATCAGCAATGACGCGCCATGAGGCTTCATCGACGAACAGAGCATGGGCGGCCAGGTACAGGTACTGCTTTCCTCCAGGGACATCGAACAGACCTGCGACAGATATCGGCCCCGTCTCGGGGTGGATGGCATCCTGCTCACTCGCCATGTGCTGGTGCATGTCCTGGACAGTCTGGACACGGCGGTGGGTGAACCTAAAGGATTGGTCGACATCCTCGGTGATTGTCTGCACCCATCCGGTGCTTGATCGATGCACACGAGCACGGAGCATGGCATGGGTACCAATGACCGTCCGGAGTGCTCGCTCCACACGGGGCGGCAACACTGATCCTGGAAATTCCAGGACAATGCTCTCGTTGATAGGGTGGCTCAGCCCCTTGGACGAGCGGAGAATAACCTCTTGTCCGAGCAGCAGACGGAATGGCTCCTTCGAGGCGTCGCCGGTAGGATTGGCGTCGGGCGCCAAGCGGCTCATGACAAGGGCAAGGTCGGATAAGGTCTTTGACCGCAGGATATCCTTGACGGCGAGCTCTAGGCCCTGCTGGCGGCACGAGGCGGAGATCTGCATCGCCATGATGGAGTCACCACCTTGGGCGGCAAAGGACCGGGCGAGAGAGACCGTGGCAGGAGGGACATCCAGAGCAACACCGACAATGCGCTGGATCTCGCGCTCCATGGCCGTGGCCGGCTCGGTCTGCTCACTATCGGCGGAGAGGGCGGACACTCGCTGATACATCTCCTCGTCTGCGGACTGCAGGAAGCTGGCGATCTTTGCGCGGTCGATCTTGCCCGAGGAGTTCAAGGGGAGTTGTTTCAGAGGGACCCAGACGGTAGGCACCATGTATTCGGGCAGTTTCTGCGAGGCCGACTCCTGCAGGCTGGACAGCAGAGAGAGGGCGAGGGTCTTGCTGCTGTTGTCGATGAGCGCCATCTGCTCGCCGTCGGCCAGCGCGTGCAGCGAAAGGACGGCCACGAGCTTGTTCCTGAATGGCCCTTCGTTGAGGAGCACAGCTACCACGTCTTTGGTCGATTTGTGGGCCAGGAGATGATGTTCGACCTCTCCGAGTTCAAGGCGCTGCCCGTTGACCTTGACCTGGGCGTCCTTGCGACCCAGATACGTGAGGGATCCATCTTGCTCATAGCGCACGAGATCGCCGGTCCTGTATATTCTAGGCGCGGAGTCCTTGAGGCGAGATGCCCAGGGGGGACTGGGCACAAACGCAGCATCGGTCTTCTGGGAGTCGTGCAGATAGCCGCGTGCCAGGGAGTGGCCCTCGACAACGAGCTCGCCCACGCAGCCGACAGGGACCAGGCGGTTGACATCCTGGATATCGACAATCCACGATCGACTGCTCACCGCACGCCCGAGCTTGGAAGCCCTATTGTCCTCCACCGTCACCTCCCGGGTGAGGCAGAAGACACATGCCTCGGTCGGTCCGTAGCCGTTCATGAGGCGCACCTTCGAGGCCCATGCGTCCACATTCTCCTGCCGCATCGCCTCTCCGCCCAGAACAAGCGTCTCGAGGTGTGTAGCCTGGTTGGGGTCGATGAGCGTGACAAACGTGGGTGTGAAGAAGGCCCAATTGACGCGCATCTTGTTCATCGTGTGGATAATGTCTGCGGTGCGGTCTTCGTCGCGCGGGATACAGACACAACCGCCAAAGGCCAGGGTAGTGAAGATCTCTGCGATGCTCGCGTCGAATCCATAGGACGCGAACTGCAGCGCTCGTGTTGTGCTGTCAAAGTGCATGGCCCGGCCGTGGCCCATTACGCTGGTGCACGCGGCCGCATGTTCGATGACCACCCCCTTGGGTGTGCCTGTACTGCCCGATGTGAAGATCACATACGCCGCATCGTGTGGGCCGGCACGCCAGGTGAGAGCAGTGGCCGGGGAAGGCAGCAACTGCAGCGATTTCTTCGACACTTGAACTATATGCATGCAGGATAGGCCGTTGTCCTGCGTCTCGGGCGACACGATGATCACAGTGGAGCTCAGCTGCGTGACAATTGCCTCTCGCCGGGCCAAAGGCTGGGAAGGATCCAAGGGCACATACGCACCACCCGCCTTGAGCACAGCGACCATGGCAACCACTGCCCAGGCCGACTTTTCCATGCAGATCGGGACGAAGGCGCCTGCACCGACGCCCAGGTCCACCAAACGCTGCGCTAGGCGGTTTGAATAGCTGTTGAGGTCTGTGTAGGTCAATTCCGCATCCCAGCTGCAGATCGCCATCTCGTTGGCACGCTGGAGGGTCTGTACGCCGATCAGTTCGGGCAGCGTGCTGCTGGTGGCCGCGGACAGCGTCGAGTTCCAGTGCATGATGCTCTGCATGTGGTCCCCGGGCACCATGTCGAGGTCGCAGACGCGCGCGTCTGGTCGCTGGACGAGGCTCTCAAAGACTTTGCTGAACGTCTTGCCCAGGTTCTCTGCCTCCCATCGCGACATCTTGGCAGTCCAGTATCCAATGCTCACTCTGGGCCGCTCTTTGGATGCGACGGCCCCAAGGGTGAGATCGTACTCTGTCGGACTGTGTCCTCCGACGGTGGTGAAACGCACAGAAGAGCCATCACGCTGCACCGCATCGGCGGGCGCCTCGATCGTGATGATCGAGTTGAACAGCGGCTTTCCTGCCAGACCAATCACATTTTGGATCTCTGCGAGAGATAGGTGCTGGTGTTGCAGGCTCTGGAGGTAGTCGGACTGCACGGCCCTTGCGAGGTCGGCGGCGGTGCTGGAAGGGGCGACGCTCAACCTGCACACAAGCATGTTGATGAAGGGACCGACAATCTCCGCGACATCTGGCAGCGGAATATCCCGGCCGGAGACCAGGTATCCGTAGCAGACATCGTCGGATCCCGTGTAGCAGCGCAGGACGGCGCCCCAGACGGCCTGGATGACATTGGCGATGGTTGTCCCCGTCGCCTGCTGGAAGGCCTGCAACTGGCTCGCAAACACCGACAGGTCCACCTCAACGTACTCGAGCTGGCCGCGGTCTTCGGACTGGGTCTTTGCAACAGGCAGGTAGCAGGGCTCGACCCCTTGCAAGTACGCGGTCCAGTGGTTCAGGGCTTCCATCGGCGCCTTGTGTTGCAAGTGCTGGATATACGAGCGGTACGACGGGGCTTTGTCGGCACTGAGCGTCCCTTCGTAGGCCCGGGCCAAGTCGCGGAAGATGAGCCCCATGGATCGGCCATCAAACGTAGTGTGGTCAATGTCGATGCGTCCGTAGACTCGCCCGTCGCGGGATGTGCACAGCGTGAGATGGTGAGGGGGTGCTTTGCGGCAGTGGATATCAGGGGTCTGGATGGCGGAGAGGGCTGTGATCGGATCGTCCTGCTCGGCCTCAATCAATCGGTAACTGGTCTCTGGATCACAGACCAGGATCTGGTAGAACAGTGCATCCTGGGCCGCAGAGTCCTGCGCAAAGACTGTGGAGAGGGCTGCGTGCCGACGCACCACCTGCATCCAGGCCAATCCCAGACGCGACACAGCAACGGAATCAGCGCCGGCCGCTGGGGTGGCCTCGAAGATCACACGGACGTCAGATGCCCCAGGAGATCGCATCTGACTGAGAAGGAGGCCTTGCTGAATTGGCGAACACGGATATATATCTTGCACCTCACGCGCCGACAGCCCAAGAGACCGTACGCTACGGTTGACCAAGCGGTTGAGGCCGGCATAGCTCAGTTGCAGGAGAGGGAAATCGCCCAATGTCTTCTCCTCGGGGTGGTTTGGAAGAGTTTCGCTGAGCTGCACAAGATGTGCCTGGATGGTTGCCGCCCAGCGCTCGACTTCACTCTGCCTCGAGGTCTCTTGGGGGTATGACATGCTCAGCCTGAGTGATCCATTTTCGATCGAGGCGGAAAGGTCAAAGAGGGCCTGGCTGCAGGTCTTGTGCGGCGCAGGAGAAGGACCCTGCACCTGCTTGAGCGTCCTACTGGACCACCCTTGGACGAGCATAATGCCATCAACCCCACGGAAAAGAATCTCCACCGGTCGAGTGCTGTCCACAATGGACCGTGAAAGACGACGAGCATCCTTGCTCCGGCGGACAGCGTCGATCGGACTGCTGATCGTCTCGCCAATATATATCGGCACTCTGCTGGTGAAGCAGCCCACAGTTCCCGACGGTTGCAAAGAGAGATCCTCAAAACAGTCTCTCCCATCGCGATCGAGATACACTGTCGGAAGGTTGGTGCCCTGGAACGTGCTTCCAAAAGCACTGAAAAGAGCGGCGAGAACAATATCCTGGATCTCGGTCTGGAAGGCAGCGTTGCATTGCTTGAGCAGGGCCGCCGTGAGCTCGGGGCCCAAAGTAAAGCTCGTATGTGCCTGCGCAGCCAGGGTCTTTTTGTGGACTCCCCAGTACGCGAAGTTAATCGGAGCTACCTGTGTCTCCATTCGACTGGCCAGGTGTCGAGCACAGGTCTGGAAGGCGACCGGAGCTTCGGTCTTGAATTCTCCATCGGACAGAAGGTCGCTGAGATCTTGAAGCAGCATCTTCCAAGAGGCTTCGTCGACCACCAACTGATGGATGGCCAGAGACAACAGGTTCTCGCCGGTTTGCAGTTCGAACAGGTCTGCAATGAGCACGGGTCCTGGCTCTGCGCCAGAACTCGCCTGGCTGGCCTGGCTGGCCTGGCTGGCCTGGCTGGCCTTGACTATGCCTGTGATCGCCTCGCGCGAGACAGCAGAGTGAGAAGTGAACCGGTAGGCGGAGTTGAGCTCTCCAGAGATGGATTGAGCCCACTCGGCTGCACCAGTTCGATGGAAACGAGCCCGGAGCATTGAATGCCTCCGCACGAGGGCATCGATTGCCGAGAGCACTTCGCTTGTCTTCACCGACGGGGCCATCTCAAGCAACACACTCTGGCTCACCTTGTCCGAGTCTTCTAGATACAGCTTTTGGCCAGGGGCCAACGGGAAGTAGTCTTCGGCCGTCTCCTCCTGGACTCCGGCTGAGGCAGTCATGGCGGAAAGCTGCGCCAGAGTCTCCGCTTGGAGAACATCCAGCATGCGAACGCTGATCCCGGACGTGCGGAATCGAGATACAGCCTGCATCGCAGTGACGGAATCTCCTCCGAGGCTGATGAAGGAGCGAGCGAGGGGCACATCGCTGCGGCCCAAGACAGCACCCACAGTCTCCTGCACCCGGCGATCCATCTCGGTGGCCGGGATGATGTCGACCACGCGGTCGAGTGTGATGGACAGCTCCTCGAATTCGCTGTCGTCAAGGGACTGGATCCACTGGCTGATCCGGGCCCGGTCGATCTTCAACGAGGTGTTCATCGGGATCGCACCGACGACCAGCCATGCAGAGGGGATCATATATCCCGGTAGACGCTCTGAAATCTTCTGGCGGACGCGTCGGACGCTTTGCGCCGCGGTGGCTTGTCGCATCGGGCTGATGGGCTCGAGGCCCTTGCCTGTGCCATCGATGGCGGTCAACGACAGAACGGCGACAAGACGCTCACGATGGAGCGTCACGACGACCTGCTTGACTTGGTCGCTGCTGAGGGCGTGGTGTTCGATCTCTCCGAGCTCCAGGCGCTGCCCGTGCACCTTGACCTGGCTATCCTTGCGGCCCAAATAGTCCATGGAGCCGTCCTGGTTGTATCGAACGAGGTCGCCAGTTTTATAAATACGGGGCGCGGCCAACGGTGCCGGTGCAAACGACTGCCGCCACTTTGGAGGTGGAATAAAGGATGCAGCAGTTTTGGCCTCGTCGTTCAGGTAACCGCGTGCCAGCAGCGGGCCTTCGACGAGGAGCTCGCCGACACAGCCAACTGGGACCAGACGGTCGTGGTCGTCGGGATTCACGATCCAGAGAGAACTGGAGAGGGCATGGCCGATATTGGACGCAGTCCGACCCGTCCCCTGGCCGAGGTCTTTGGCAGAGCTGCAGTAGATAGTGCATTCCGCGGGCCCGTAGCAGTTGAAGAACCCATCTAGGCCTGCAGCGCGCCATGCCGCGACCACCTTGTGCGTTGCAGCCTCACCCGCTAGAGTAAGGACTCGGAGGGACGGAGCTTCACTGGGGATCAGGAGACCAGCGACGGTAGGGGTGAGACACGCCCAGTTGGCCTGAAGGCGCTGGATGGCAGCTGCAAGATTGTTCACTCGCTCTTGCTCCGAAGGGATGCATACACATGCCCCTCGGGTTAGGGAGGTGAAGATATCCTGAATGCTGATATCGAAAACAAATGCTGCGAATTGCAGTACGCGCGTCCCTGTCGTGATGTTCAAGGCGGAGCCATGCGCCTCGATGCTTGTACACACCGAGCCGTGCTCCAGAACCACTCCCTTCGGTGTGCCAGAGCTTCCGGACGTGTATATGACAAACGCTGGACTCGAGGACGAGCGATGCAGCCGCACCGTTCGTGCGGGAGTTTCGTCAGCCTGTCCCTCCAGCTCCTGCACAAGGGTTGGGCCAACGATGAGAGACCGAGCTCCCAAGGCTTTGAAATGACCGTGGTTCGCTTCAGACGTCAGCACAAGATGGGCCTGGATGTCAGTAAGAATCGTCTCATGACGGCTCGCAGGATGAGACGGGTCCAGGGGCACGCAGGCGGCGCGCGCTTTCAATATTGACATGGAAGCCACAACCGCGTAGGCGGATTTCTCGAAGCAGGTTGGGATAAACGATCCGGGCTGTACGCCCATATTGCTGAGTTTTGTCGCTAGACGACTGGTGATTCGGTCGAGAGCCGCGTAGGTGAATGTGGCATCCCACGCGGAGACGGCTTCCATGTCGGGCACCAGCGCGGCACACTTCGCAAAGAGGCTGTCGACGCATTCTTCCAGACGCTGTGGGTAGCCCGGGTTCCACTGTGCGACCTGTGTCCGGTCTGACTTGCTGAAGATATCCAAGTCGCCGGCACGCTCTTCAGCACCATTTAACATTGCCGACAGCGTAGCCTCGAGGGTGTTGGCAACGTTGGAAGCTTGCCACTCGGGGACCTTCTGTGTGTAGTGGCCGAGCAAGAGCAAGATCTGCTTGCTGGAGCTGTCGTGCTTGATGTTCACCGTGAGGTCGTACTCTGTGGGATCGTGGCTGGCAATGCTGTTGAGGGTGATGCCTGTCTCCTCCGGTGTAGCCGATGCAGAGCGCTGGATGGAGAGGATGGTGTTAAACAGTGGAGAGCCAGAGAGACCTGCCACACCCTGGATTGCTGACAGCGGACAGTGTTGATGAACAAGGCTGTCGAGATAGTCTTGCTGGGTCTGTTGAGCCAGCTCTGCTACCGTCGGCTCGCCCACTGACCGCGTCCGGCAAACCAGCATGTTGATGAATGGTCCAACAATCTCATCAATGCCCTCGACATCGACATCTCGCCCGGAGGCGAGGTAGCCATATGAAATGTCGTCCGAGCCGGTGTAGCACCGGAGCACGATCGCCCACAAGGCTTGGAAGACACTGCCGGGGGTTACCTTGTAATGCTCACAGAACTTGGCCAGCGAGTCACTCAGATGGCCCATGTCTAGGGAGACGTATCTGAGCTGCGCATCAAGGTCCTCCACAGTCGATCGGTGGGTGACCGGGAAGAGGCATGGCTGCACGTCTTGCAGGTACTCGCTCCAGTATGTCAAGGCAGCATCGTGCGGGTATTGCTGAAGATACTTGATATATGCCGCGTAAGAGGGCGCCACCAAGCGTGAATCCAGTTTCGAGTCATAGGCCCGGGTTAAGTCTCGGACGACCAGGGCGACTGAGGCGGCATCGATGATGGCATGGTTGATCTCCAGCTTGCAGTACACGCGCGACTCCTCGGTGCAGCAGATGGACAGTCGGTGTGGCGCCCGCACCACGGTGTAGTCGACAGGCTGCAGGCTTTCGAGGAACGAGACCACGTCCTCCGACTGCTTTGATTCGTATCGTTGCACGTCGGGAGTAAGGGTTTTGAGGACGACGGAATCAAACAGGCCTTCGTCTCGCACGCTGCTGACGAACATGCTGCGAAGAATCGCATGACGCTGAACAACCTGCGTCCAGGCGTGGTTCAACCGCTCGACGGAGACGTTCGAGTTTCCCACCACTTCAAACATGAAGAAGGACTCGTACGCCCCCTTTTGGCGATGCTGGCTGAGGAGCAGTCCTTCCTGCATTGGCGAGCACGGGTACCAGTCCTCGATCGCCGAAAAGTCGGCAGCGGGCAGCACAGGGAGACATTCCCTCTGGAACTTCTCGAGGGCGCTGTACCCAATGGGCATCAGAGGATAGTCGCTGAGTGTGGGCTCAGGCGCTTGCAAAGGCAGCGTGTCAGCCATGTGCTGCAGCATACTGCGGTACAGCTGCACCCAGCTCTGGATCTCGGCTTGGTGCCGGCTCTTCTTGTTGTACACCACATTGACCTGCAGTCGGCCGTCGAGCACAGTTGCGGAGATCTCAAACAGGGCCATTCTGTTTGCATGCAGGTCGGTGTCAAAGACCTGGCTCTCCGCTGCCGTCCGAGGTTCCTGTCGCAGCACGGCGTCATCTCGGTCGAACTGCTGGTAGCGACCCAAGTAGTTGAACAGAATTTCGGGGCGGCCGTGGTGGCCAAAGGCCTCGCGGCCACTGGCGGACAGGTACCGGCTCGTGAAGTAGTCCCATCCCGCGTTGGGCAGCTTCCGACGGAGATCCTTAACGCCACGGATCGTATTGGCGAGACTGTGGAGCATCTCGGGGGCGAGGTATACAGGAGCCATTACTGTGAACCAGCCAACAGTCCGAGACAGGTCGATGTCTGCAGTCCAGGGCTCACGCCCGTGCCCCTCGACAAAGACAGAGGGTGCCCGGCCGTGGAATGTCTGGCTGTAGGAGAGCAGCAGCCCGGCGAGGAGGAGATCGGTCAGCTCGGTTCGGAAGGCCCCATTGCAGCTGCCCAGCATCGCTGTTGTCGAGGGCTCGTCGAGGGTGAAACTCGCCAGTTCGGCATCCACGTAGACATTGGACGTGGTCTCCAAACCCCAGAAAGCCATATCTGGGGTCATCGGAACGTGATACGGAAGGGCGGTGGCAACAGTAAGGGTCTGCGCGTGTTCGGCCTGCATGGCAGTCCACGACTGGAAGGAGAGAGCGGGCTCATCGCTTAATGTGCCCCCGAGAAGGAGGTCCTCGAGATCCTGCAGCAACACCCGCCAAGAGACCATGTCAATCACCAGATGGTGCGCGACCATAAAGAGGAGCTGGCCTTCGTCTTGCACATCGAAGAGATCCACGCAGAGCAGGGGCCCGTTTTGCGCATCTGGACGGCGTGCACTGTCCGTCATTATGCGGGCCACCTGAGTGCGGTCGGTCAGCCGGTGCGCCTGGAAGTGGTACGAGCCAGAGATGTCGTTGGTGATGAGCTGCACCCAGTTGGACCCCGGCTGCAATCGCCTGAACCGAGCACGGAGCATCGAGTGCTGCCGGACAACCGCATCGATTGCTTGAATTAGCTGATGCGCTTTGGCTGGCTTTCCGAGGCGAAGGAAGAAGCTCTGGTTGGACAGGGTCGGCTGCTGGCTGCAGACATCCAGATAAAACTGCTGGATGGGCGACAGGGCAAACTCTTCCCCGGGCCGTTCGGGGGGGATCGAGGAGGACAGGCGCGCGGGGCGGACGCAGAGAGACACCTGCGCAAGGCTCGCGCTCTGCAGGATGTCCGGAACCCGCAGCGAGAGCCCTTCGCGCCGGGCGTGGCTGACCACCTGCATTGCCGTGATCGAGTCGCCTCCAAGGCCGACGAACGAACGGCTGAGCGAGGTGGCCGCGGGCTGCAGGTTGAGGACGCGGGCCACAATCTCCTGCACGCGGCGGTCGGTGGCAGTGGCCGGGATGGATGTCCCGGTGGCCTCCTCGTTTGCCTGCGTCAGGGCGCTGAACGTCTCCTGCGAGAGCCCCTCGATGAATACGTTGACACGCTGGCGATCCAGCTTGCCGGATGTGTTGAGTGGGACGCTCCGGACGACGATCCACAGCGTTGGTACCATGAACGAGGGCAGTTGGCTTGCCAGGTGGTCTTTGACAGCCGAGACCTGCAGCCAGATGCCCTCGTCGACGGCGAGTTCAATCTCCGAGCTCGATGCTGGGGCGATGGCTGCGAGGGAAACGACGGCGACGACGCGGCCCTTGCACAGGCCAGCCCGCACCATCAGGACGAGGCTGTCCCGGACCACTGCGTGCTGGGTCAAATGGTGTTCGATCTCGCCCAGCTCAAAGCGTTGGCCTCGCAGCTTGACCTGGTGGTCCTTGCGGCCGATGTAGTTCAAGGTCCCATCCTGTTGATACTGCACGAGATCCCCGGTCTTGTACATACGGCGGCGGCCCATCCCACGGCCCTGGGCGTTGGCCCAGCGAGGGTCTATAATAAAGGAAGCGTTTGTCTTCTCCAGGTCGCCGAGGTATCCTCGAGCCAGCGAGTGGCCTTCAACGAGCAGCTCGCCGACTGCACCCAATGGAGCCAGGCGGTCGTGGTTGTTGGGATCCGCAATCCAGGCGAGGGTGCTGACTGCACGGCCAACTCCCTGGGGGCCTTCTGTATTGGAGGCAATCGAGCGAGACAGGCAGAACACGCAGGTCTCCGTGGGCCCGTAGCCGTCGATGAGATCCACGCCTCCTCCCCAGACTTGAATGTTTTCCTTTCGGATTGCCTCACCTCCAAGCACCAGGGTCCTCAGTCCAGTGAGACGCTCGGGGCTGAGCGTTGTGGCGAAAGAGGGCGAGAAAAACGCCCAGTTGACCTGCATTTCGTTGATGACGGCCTCGATCTCGCCGCCCATGCGCTGATCCTCAGACGGCACGCAAACACAGCCGCCAAAGACAAAGGTCGTGAAAACCTCAGCAATCGCCGCATCGAAGCTGTACGAGGAGAATTGGAGAGCACGCGTATCGGGTGCGAATCCCATGGCCTTTCCATGCCCGGTGGTGCTGGTGCAGGCGGCGGCGTGCTCAATCACGACTCCCTTGGGTTTTCCAGTACTGCCGGAGGTGAAGATGAGATACATGCTGTTGCCGCCGTGTGCTCGACCAGTCAGTCTAGGTTGCGGGGATGGAAGGCAGGCGATCAGGGCGGGCGACACCTCGACAGTCGTCTTCTTCTCCGCTCCCAAGCCACAGTTCTCGCGGGTCTCAGGAGAGACCACGACGACGTCGGAGTTGAGTTGCTCGACGATACCCTGGCGCCGCTGAAGGGGATGCGATGGGTCCAAGGGCACAAAGGCACCACCAGCTTTGAGGATTGCGAGCATCGCGACTATAGTCCATGCAGACTTTTCCATGCAAATGGGCACCATGGTCTCTGCCTGCACACCAAGGGAGACTAGGTGGTGTGCCAGATCTGTGGAGACCCGGTCAAGCTCTTCGTATGTGAAGCTGGCGTCCCAGGCGCAGATGGCTGGCCGGGCTGGCTGCCGGACTGCCTGCTCTTCAAAGACTTGGTGCATGCACCGGTCGACCTTGGCTGGGGGTGCAGCACCACCGGCCCATTGGTCGAGCTGCAGCATACTCTCTGCACCGACGGGGCTCAGCTCGCCCAGACTCTGTTCAGGGCTCTCCAGGAGGGAGTGAAACAGGGTGGCAAAGGTAGCAGCAATGTTGTTGGCCTGCCACTTGGACAGCGCAGTGCTCCAGTATCCCAGAGTGGCCTGTGGGGCGGCTTCGGAGGCGACAGCCCCAATTGTCAGATCATATTCGCTGGGATCATGACCGCTTCGGGTGCGGAACGAGAGTCCAGCGGCATTTCGCGACGCTGGCTGGTGCCGCGAGCTGCGCTGGATGGTCATGACCGAGTTGAACAGCGACCGGCCTCCAAGCCCGCGCGCATGCTGGATCTCCGCGAGCGAGCAGTGCTGGTATTCCAGGGCAGCCATAAAGTCCGCCTGCAGCGTCTGGGCGACATCGCTCCCCCGCTGGCCTCCGACGTTGTTCATGCGGCAGACGAGCATGTTGATCAGCGGGCCGACCATGTCCTCGACGCCTTCAAGGGGGACGTCACGGCCGGAAGTCAGGTATCCAAAGCAGACGTCCTCGGATCCTGTGTAGCAGCGGAGGACCATGGCCCAGACCAGCTGGAACACGTTGGCAATGGAGACTCCGTATCTGTCACAGAAGGCGCCCAACCGCCCAGCGGAGCTTGCAAGGTCGATCGAGACATGGTGTATTTCCTTCGGTGCGGTGCTGTCTGCACGCGCAACTGGGAAGATACTAGGCTCCAGGCCATCGAGGTAACCCTTCCAGTAGCCAAAAGCCACATCCTCTGGCTTGGACTGAATGTGGGCAATGTAGGAGCTGTACCGGGGGCCAGTGCCGTGCAGCTTGCCGTTGTATGCGAGGTCCCAGTCGCGAAGCAATACACCAAGCGAGGCCGCGTCAAAGATGGCGTGGTTGGCCTCGAGCCTGCCGACGATCTTGTTGCTGCCGTCTGCAATGCGGCAGATGGCCAGCTGGTGAGGAGGTTTGGTTGGATCCCCGTAGTCCAACAGGGGGACACCTTGTAGGAGCTCGAGGGCGGCCTGCTCGCTCGCCGCCTCAAGCAAGGTCGACCGGATGCGAGGTTGCTTCAAGACAGTCTGGTCGTACACACCGTTGTCGGACACGCTCTCGATGAAGACGGTCCGCAGCATCGGGTGGCGAGCGACAAGAACCTCCCAGGCGCTCAACAGGCGGTCGCCATCGACAGCCTGCTGTGTGCTGCCTGACAGCTCGAAGACGTACTGCACTTTGTAAGTGCCTTCACCACGGCTCTGAGTAAGGAGAAGACCCTGCTGCATCGGCGAGACGGGATAGACGTCTTCCAGCTCGTCCAGACCGGCCACACCGAGCAGGGGCATCCGCTGTTCAACAAGCAAGTCGAGGCCGGAATCGCTCCACTTCAGCAGAGGGAAATCGACCAGGGTTGGCTGGGGAGCCATGCGGCACAGTTGGTGCACCGTCTCCGTCAGGGCCGTCTGGCAGCTCTGGATCCAGCTGCAGATCCTGTCCCTGTGCGCCATGCGGCGACTGAAGTTGAATGTGAACTGAGCGACTCCCTGCTCGATCTGGGCGGAGATTTCAAACAGCGCGTGCCGGGGCACTTCTTCACCAACGTCGTAGACCATCCCTTCGGATCGTGGGATCGGTTGGAACAGGCTGTCGGCCTTTTCTAGCTGTTGCTGCATCCCCAGGTAGTTGAAAAGGATCTCGACGGGCCCGTGGTGGGCGAAGCGCTGTTTTCCTTGCGCGGAGAGGAATCGGCTGGAGAAATAGTCCCAGCCATTGGTAGGAGTCTGGCTGCGGCAGTCCTTGACGTGCGAGATGGCACGCGTAACGCTGTCGGTCATGTTCTCGAGATACATCGGCATCATCGTGGTGAACCAGCCCACCGTGCGAGACAGGTCGATCTCATCGTTCCAGGGCTCGCGGCCATGACCCTCCGTGAAGACGACCGGGGGGGTTCGGTCGGTGAAGGTCTGCGTAAAGGACCAGAGCAAAGAGCCCAGAAGGAGGTCCGTCACCTGGGTACGGAAGACTCGGTGGACTTGATCCGACAAGAGGAGCGAGGTGACGCCAGCAGGCAGCTGGAAGGATTCCGAGTCGTGGTCTGCATACACATTGGGCTGGTTCGCCATGTTCCAGTATGCGAACGGGTCTGGATGAGCAGGCACGTCCAAGGCAAGACACTTGGGCAGGAGGGAGGTGGCGTTTGCGGAGATATATTCTGCTTGCAATCGCAGCCAGTCCTGGAAGCTTGCCGAGTTCACAAGACTGGTAGACGAAGTGGGAGACTGCAGCAGCTCTTCCAGCTCCTGGAGCACAATTCGCCACGACACCAAGTCAATAACCAGGTGGTGGGCCACGAGGAACAGGAGCTGCTCTCCGCCGCTGGTGGTGAAGAGGTCGCATCTGAAAACTGGACCTTTTGTGATGTCCAGGCTCAGCTGGCTTTTGTTGACTGCGGCGACCATCTGGTCAGAGGTAACCCGGTCGTGATGCTGAAGCGCAATCGATCCGTCGCTTGCAGCACTGATATATTGCTGCCACACGCCGTCGGCTCCTTGAGAGAATCGAGCCCGGAGCATCGCGTGATTGCGCAGGATTGCATTCAGGGCCGTGGTCAGCTCCTCATGTCGAATGGTCCTGCTCAAGCGCAGGAAGACGCTCTGGTTCAGGCGAGAAGGCTGGTCGTTGGTCACGTTGAAGAACAGGCTCTGGATGGGCGACAGAGCGAATGCCTCGTGTGCTTGCTGCTCCTGTTTGGGCGCTTCTTGGACGGTCTCTGCAGTCTTCGGCGATAGTTCGGTCAGGCTGTTGCTCTTCATGATGTCGCGCACGCGGAGAACGACTCCCTTGGCTCTGCAGCGCGAGGCCAGCTGCATGCTGGTGATTGAGTCACCTCCAAGGCTGGGAAACGACCTGTTCATGGAAACGTCGCCCAACGACAGGTTGAGAACATCGGCCACGGCAGCCTGGATGACCCTCTCCGCTGCAGTCTGCGGGAGGGCAACGGCCTCGTCAGCGCCGCCAATCCACTGGCGGTACTCGTGCTCGTCCAGCTGGTGCACCCAGCGTGTGATCTGGGCGCGATCCAGCTTGCCCGAGTTGCTGAGCGGCAGCCTGTCGACCACGAGCCAGAACGAGGGAACCATGTAAGGCGGCACCTTGGTGGGGAGGTAGGCTTCGGTGGCCGCGAACAGCGCCGACGCACCGTCCTTGCTCGCGTGCCGGACGAGATTCAGTCCACCGGACGCGGGCTGGCCCCGGTCTGCGTTGAGCGAGAGCACTGCGGTCAACCCGCCTTTGCAGGGCCCGCTGTCCGGGAGGAATGCCATGGCGTTCTGCACGGGCTCGCTGGCGGACAAGTGATGCTCGATTTCGGCAAGCTCGAGCCGCTGTCCGTGCAGCTTGACCTGCGTGTCTTTGCGGCCGAGGAATTCCATGGACCCATCGGGCTGATAGCGCACCAGGTCGCCAGTCTTGTACATGCGCCGTGGGCGAGCCAAGGAGCAGCCGGATTGAGTGGTGGACCAGGCCGGATCGACGATAAACGCAGCCTCGGTCTTGTCGGGGTTCTTGAGGTAGCCTCTCGCGAGGGTGACGCCTTCAATGACCAGCTCGCCGACTCCTCCGACAATGGCAAGCTTGTGGTGGTCCTGCGGGTTCACGACCCAGACGAGCGGCCCGACAGGAAGGCCGATGCAGGACGAGGACGAGGCCTCTGTGGCAGGGTGAGCAGTTGCTATCGCAGAGGTCTCGGTCGGCCCATATGCTAGGATCAGCCGGAGCCTCTTGGCCCAGGTCTCGATATGCCACTGGGGGATCTGCTCGCCGCCCAGCACCAGCGTCTGGATGGTCGGAATCTCACTCGGAGTAAGCGTCGAAGCCACAGAGGGGGTCAGGAACATCCAGTTCGCGCGGCAGGCGGCGATGAATGCCGCAATACCCTCGGTCTGCTGCTCGGGGACACACACGGTGCCGCCGATAATCAGCGTGGTGAGGATCTCCATCACGCTCGCGTCAAAGGTGTACGTGGCGAACTGCAGCACGCGGCTGTCTGGCTCGAAGCCCAGCCCCTTTCCGTGGTAGGTTGCGCTCGTGGCATAGGAGCCGTGCTCGATCAGGGTCCCCTTGGCGCGGCCGGTGGTGCCCGACGTGAAGATCACGTATGCGAGATCGTGAGGGCTCACGGGGCAGGTGAGCTGGCGCAGGGGCATCTTCTTGACGCGGTCAGTACTGACGGTGACCACGTTCCCCACGATCGCCTGGCACAGGGGACGGCGGCTGACGGAGGAGAGGATGACGGTGGCCTCGGTGTCCTCGACAATCGCCTGCAGCCGGTCGATGGGGTAATTGGCGTCAAAGGGAGTGAATGCATAGCCCGCCTTGAGCACGGCGAGCATTGACAGGATCATCAGCTCGGACTTCTCGAAGCACAGAGGCACGACTGTTCCACGCGGCAGGCCGAGCAACTGTAGCTCGCCAGCGAGACGAGTGGACAGGTCCTCGAGCTCGGCATACGTCCACCGCACCCCGCTGAACGAGTAGACTGCCTCCTTGGTCGGCGTCGCTTGGGCACGCTCCAAGACGAGGTCGTGGATGCAGCGCTCGACAGGCGGCGGCGCCGTTGCGTTCCATTGTTCCACCTGCGCGAGATCCTCGGGGCTGATCAGATTAAGGTCTCCAAATGTGGTGGTGGCGCTGGACCCTGAGAGATGGTGCAAGATCGAGAGCAGGGCGCCGGACATCTGGCGGGCCTGCCAGTCGCTGAAGACGTTGGTCCAGTAGTCCAGATCCACTCCGACGAGCTCCTGGCCCGCGATCTGGATGTTGACGGCCATGTCGTAGTCGGAGGGGTCGTAGCTGCTCACACTCGAAAAGCGCGTCTCTTGAGTAGACGAGGGCGCATCGTTGACGGGCTTGGTGGAGAGCAGGGTGTTGAACAGCGGGCGGCCTCGGAGGTTCAGGGCGTGCTGGATCTCCCCGAGGGAGCAGTGCTGATGGGCGAGCGAGGACAGGTAATCCTGCTGGGCGCGCTGAGCTGCATCCACAATGCTGGCCGAGTCGGGGATCTGGGATCGGTGGAGGAGCAGGTTGATAAGGGGCCCGACAATCTCGTCGACTCCCTGCAGGGGGATATCACGACCTGAGGCCAGGTATCCGTAGCACACATCATCGCTGCCGCCAAAGTGCTTCAGCAAAACGGCCCATGCGGTCTGGAAGATGCTGGCCGCGGTCACTGCGTGCGCCTTGCTGAACCGCGCCAGTCGCTGCGTGAGCTCGGGGGGGATCACCACCTTGACGTGGCCGAGACGCCGCTGATCGCGAGGAGTGCCAAAGGTTGCGCGCAGACAGCAAGGCTCTACCCCATTGAGATAGTTTGTCCAGTACGATAGTGCGTAGGTCGCTGGGTTTGCGTGAAGGTATTCAATGTAGTGACCGTAGTGCCGCTGGCTGTGGGGGAGAGGACGTCCATCAACTGCGTCGGCCAGATCGCGTAGCACCAGCCGTATCGACGCAGCATCCATGATTGCGTGGCTGACGGTGAGCTTCCAGAAGACCTGGTTGGTCATGGTCACGATGACTGTGAACTGGTGCGGAGGGCGCAGGGGGTCGCGGGCAAGCTGGGAGTTCTTGACTGCATCTTCCAGCTGGGCAGGCCCTTTGATAGCGAGGAAGTCCGTGTTGGCCTCTGCAGACTTGACCACCGCCTGGACGAATGAACCGGCCTTGTCGACAAACACCGTCCGCAGCATGGGATGCCGGTTAACGACCTCCTCCCATGCAGAAACGAGCGAGGCGGGCGAAACAAACTGGCCCGCCGGCGGCTTGGCTTCAAAGATGAACTGCACCTGGTAGGAGGAAGGGTCGGTCTCCTGGCTGAGCAGGATGCCCTGCTGGATCGGGGCGCAGGGATACAGCCCTTCAATGGCAGCAAATCCGCCGAGACGATCCACCGCAGAATCCAGCCATCCGTAACTGGTCTGCACGAGAGGGTAGTCCGACAAGGTAGGCGCTTGCTCCATCTCGGAAAGGGCGGAGGCGCAGTCACAGAGGGTGGACTCGAATGCCTTGAGCCAGCGTTGGATGCGCTCTGGATGCTGCACGCGGCGGCTGTAGGCAAAGTGGAAACGGAGACAGCCACCGTCCACCACCGCAGAGACCTCAAATAGGGCCGTGCGGGACAGAGACGGGTCGACGTCGGCCATTTCGTCGTCAAAGCCGCGCGAGCAGTGCCTGAAGAGCGCGTCCGGCCTCTCCAGCTGCTGGAACCGGCCCATGTAGTTGAAGACCAGCTCCATCGGCAGGGCAGCAGCTGCGCGGGACTCGCGGCCCTTGGCAGTCAGATAGCGCCAGTTGAAGTACTGCCAGCCCTGCTTAGGAAGCTGTCGCCGGCGGTCCTTGATCGTTCTCAGCTTCTGCTCGAATCCCTCGGTGGGCGACTCCGTGCCAGCCAGAGACACGGGGCTGATGGTCGTGAACCACCCAACCGTGCTTGAAACGTCCAGCCCGTCGCTCCACGGCTCGCGGCCATGGGCTTCGCCGAAGACCGCTGGGGCCTCGCGATCAGTAAAGACGTGTCCGAACGAGTCGAGCAGGGCGGTGATGAAAATGTCGGATGGCTCGGTGCGGAACGGGCTGTTGGCGGTTTCCAGCAGCATTGCGGAGATTGGTGCATCCAGGGTGAACGTTTCTCTGACAGTGTTGCCGTACGTGTTGTCTTGAGAGGTCATTCCCCAGTAGGATGGATTCGCGGCCGGGATCGTGTATGGCAACACACTGGCTTCATCCCAGTCCTGGTGCTGAACGTATTCAGCCTGGGCGCGCGCCCACGCCTGAAAGGGTGTCGACTGCCGGACGATGCCCGCCTCACTGCCATCGGGGAGCATCTGCTCCAGTGTAGTCAGGATGACTCTCCAGGAAACGAGGTCGATGACCAGATGGTGGGCAACCAGGTACAGGAACTGGTCCCCTTCGCCGGTCTGGAAGAGCAGTGCTGCGAACAGGGGACCTTGTTCAATGTCGAGCTGCTTGGTTGCCTCCACTACCGTAGCTTGGACTTCGGCGAGCGAAGGGACATGATGAACCTGGACTGAGCAAGGCTTGTCGAGGTCGTCCGTAATGTATTGGGTCCAGCCCCCACTGGCAGTCTTCTTGAAGCGAGCGCGCAGCATTGAGTGCTCTTGGGCGAGCACCTTGATTGCATTCTCCAGAGCAACAGAATCGATCCGGCGCGTCAATTGTAGCAGGAAACTCTGGTTGAAGCGAGAGGGCTTGCCTGCTGTGAGTTCGAAGAAGAACCCTTGGATCGGAGACAGGTCGAACGTCTGATTCAGGCTATCCTGCTTCGCCACAGTAGCGACAGTGTCTTCATGGCGCATAGCTTGTGCGACCTGAGACAGGGACTTGCCTTGCAAGATATCCTGTACGCGAAGGTGGATGTTCTCAGCCCGACAGGTGGCCGAGAGCTGCATGGCGGCAATCGAGTCTCCTCCCAGCGCCACAAACGAGCGACTGAGGAGCACCTCTTGCTCCGTGCAATTCAGAACACGGGCACACAGGCGCCGCAGCACTTGCTCCATCTCAGTCGCTGGCTCGGCGTCGGCGCCCACTTGCTCTGTGAGCAGAGCGGCCCGGTATTCCGTCTCGTCCAGGGACTTGAGCCAGCGAGCGAGGGCGCTTCGATCCAGCTTGCCGGACTTGCTGAATGGCATTGCTTCGATCACCATCCAGTCGCTGGGCACCATGTACCGGGGGACACGCTCGGCGACCGCGAGGGATATGGAAGCAACTGCCGTCGACGCCTCCTTGCGGTGGGCATCGGGGATAACTTGGAGCTGATGAGCGGCGCTCTTCCCGCTGCTGAGCCCTCGCAGTGTCAAGATCGCCGTCAATCGCCCTTTACCTTCTGCTGGGCTGTGCAGAAGAACAGCGGCATGGAGAACCCGGTCATCCTGCAAGAGATGATGCTCGACCTCACTGAGTTCCATGCGTTGACCTTGCAGCTTGACCTGGGTGTCCTTGCGGCCGATGAAGGCGAAGGACCCATCGGGCGTATACCGGACCAGATCGCCGGTCTTATAGACACGACTACCGCTCGACGAGGACCATTCAGGCGCCAGCACGAACGAGGCTGCGGTCTTTTCGGGCTCTTTTAAGTATCCCCTGGCGACAGAGGGACCCTGAATCACGAGCTCGCCAACGGCACCAATTGGAACCAACTGGCTGTGACTCTGGGGGTGCACGATCCAGCCCAGACCACCAGACGCCTTGCCAATGTTGGAAGCACTGGTGACCGTATGATTCACTGCAGCAATGACGGCGGTCTCGCTGGGACCGTAGGCGTTGATCAGGGTGACGCTCTTGGACCACGTAGCGATATGAGCATCGGTCATGGCCTCTCCTCCCAGCACCAAGGTCTTCAAGCTGGGAACACTCGCGGGGTCAATTGTGCGAGCAACAGAGGGGGTCAGCAGAGCCCAGTTTGCTTGGTACTCCTCGATAAAGCGGGAGATGGAGTGAAGTCGAGTCTCCTCGTTGGGGACACAGACACACCCACCGACCAGCAGCGTCGTCAGAATCTCCAGGATGGAAGCATCGAACGTGTACGATGCAAACTGTAGGACTCGGCTGGACGAGTTCATTTGCAGCCTGTCTGCGTAGGTGCGCAGGTTGGCAATGTATGCGCCGTGTTCGTTCATGGTTCCTTTGGGCTTGCCCGTGGTGCCCGAGGTGAAGATGATATACGCCAAATTGGCTGCAGAGACGGTGGGCAGGATTGTTCCTAAATATGGTTCTTGCAAGAGCGGTGACGACGAGCTCACAACGACGACGTGAGGTGCCAGCTTCCGGGCCAGCTGTTCGAGGACCGGGGAAGCCAGAACAACCTGGGCTTCAAGATCGTCCATAATCGACTTCAGGCGCTCTGTCGGGTGGCTGGAGTCGAGCGAGGCAAAAGCAGCTCCGGCCTTCAGAATGGCCAGCATTGCCACAACTGCATACACCGACTTGTCAAAGCACAGAGCCACCTTGGACTCGACATTCACGCCGAGCTCGATCAGCTTGGTTGCCAGTCGGGTGGCGAGGGCGTCCAGCGTGCTGTACGACAGGTTGCCGTCGCAGCCCTCCACGGCCGGGCGATCAGGGTGAGCCAGGGCCTGCTGCTGAATGAGCTCGTGGATGGTCTCTGTGGCTGGGGGTGGCATTGCTTTATTCCACTCTTGAATTTGTACGAGATCGCGCTCGCCAAGGGCGTCGATCTCGCCGGCTAGAGGACTCTCCTTTGTGACAAGCTGATGGAGGACACTACTAAACGTATGCGCGACGCTCTCGGCTTGTTGGGCAGAGAGGACGGGAGTCCAGTAGCCCAGGGACACACTGGGACGCTGGCTATGGTCAACAGGCACCTGGACGTTGACCGTAACGTCGTATTCAGTTGGATCATACCCATTGATGTCCTGGATCGAAACGGACTGTCCAGCCAAGGCATGTTCGTCCACCCGCTGGATGGACATGACCGTGTTAAACAGCGGGCGGCCGGACAAGTTGAGCGCATGCTGGATGCTCGCGAGTGAGCAGTAATGGTGCTTGAGGCCGTCCAGATACGCCTCTTGTGCGCTGTTGATCAAGCTGGCGACCGGGGCCTCGCGGTCGAGGTCGAGACGGCATACCAGCATGTTGATGAGCGGGCCGACAATGGCTTGGGCGTTCTGGACGGGGATATCGCGACCAGAGACCAAATACCCAAAGGCAACGTGGTCAGTGCCGCTGTACAGACCGAGAACGAGGGCCCAGACAACCTGGAAGACATTGGCCAGAGTGGCGTTGTGCTGCGAGCAAAAGTCCTGCAGTGCGGCGCCTGGAATATCCTCCAAACTAACCGCAACAGCCTCGAGCTCTTTGCTCGTTGCCGACCCCAAGTGTGGAAAGTGGCACGGCTGGATGCCCTCCAAGTACTCTGTCCAGAAGCGAATGGCTTTCTCTTGGGACTGCTTGCCCAGGTAGGCAATGTACTCGCCGTATGACGGGCCCTGCGCCAGCACAGCCCCATCGCAGGCTTGGATCAGATCGCGGAGAATCAAACGGAAGGAGGAAGCATCGATGACCGCATGGGAAATGTCCAGGCTGCATTGCAGATGCCCGTTCGGGGCCTCTGTGACCGTCAGATGGTGCATTGCACGGACTGCGCCCTTACTAGAGTGGCTGCGAATGCCATTCAGTGTAGTGGGCGCAACCAAATGGCGCAGGACGATCTGATCATAGGCGCCCTGCTCGGCCACAGAGTCTACAAATAATGTTCGGAGAGCAGGATGGCGATCAATCACCGACTGCCAGGCCTCCAGAAGACGTTCTGCATGCATACCAGAGCCAGCCTGGGGCACGACGGCAAAGTCGAACCGGATCTTGTATGTGTCTGGATTCTTGCTCTGGCTGACCAGTAAGCCCTCTTGCATTGGCGAGCACGGGTAGACGGCCTCGATATCTTCCATTCTAGACAGTCCCAGCGCTGGCAGGCGGGAGCGAAGTAGGTGATCGATGCCCGAGTACGAGGTCTGGAGGAGGGGGAAGTCGCTCAGGGTAGGTTCTCGAGCTCGCCGAGGCAGTTCTCGGGCGGCGGTCTCTAGGCAGTGCTGATACCCACGAATCCAAGCCTCGAACTGCTCCTGTCGCTTGCCATGGCGGTTGTACATCATGTCGACACGCAGGCGGCCCTGGTCGATGACGACGGAGACCTCGAGCACGGCCCACCGGGTCAGATTGTCCGCCAGGTTGGAAGCGTACTCTGCCGCAGTCAGAGGCTCCTGGCGCAGAAGCGCATCATCGCGCTCCAGTTGTTGATATTGTCCCAGGTAGTTGAAGACAAGCTCCATGGGCCAGTGGTCTCGGTACGCCGCACGCCCGTTCTGGTTGAGGTAGCGAGATGTAAAGTACCTCCACCCGTTTGCTCCCAGGCTGCGTCTGCGATCCTTGACCCGGCGCACTGCCTCGACCAGGTTGGGTATCTCGTCTGAGGCAACACGGACGGGGGCGAGAGTTGTGAACCATCCCACCGTGTTGGACAGGTCTATGGCAGCCTCGTCCCAGGACTCACGGCCGTGCCCTTCGCTGAAGGCAGTCGGAGCCGCCCTGTCGACGAACGCCTGGGTGAAGCTGAATATTGCGGCTGCGAGGAACAGCTCCATGGGCTCGCTGTTCAAGGTTCGGTTGGCGTCGCCCAGCAGCTGCTGTGTTGTCTGCGCATCCAAAACAAAGGACCTCTGGATGAGATCTCCATAGACGTTGCTCGTCAAGCCCCAGTACTCAAAAAGGTCGACAGGCGCAACAGTAGTTGTCTCTTCCGGCTCAATGTGCTTCTTCGCATATTCCTCCTGTAGACGCAGCCACGCTTGGAACGAGAAGGGGCAGTCAGCCTGCAGAGAACCAGACAGCAGTAGCTCCTCCAGGTCGCGGAGGATAACTCGCCATGACACAAGATCAATGATCAGATGGTGTGCAGCAAGAAACAGCAGCTGGCCGGATGGAAGATTGATCAGAGCTGCGGCGATTAGAGGACCTGTCTGGGGGTCGAGAGCCTGATGGGTGGCGTCGATGATGGGAGCAGCATCGGCCCGGCTCGATGCCTTTGCGGCCACAACGTGGTAGGATCCCTCGGTCTCGAGGGTGATGGTCTGTTTCCAGTGGCCGCCCTGGTGTTCGAAACGGGCACGGAGCATGGAATGATGTCGTACGATCGCATCCAATGCTTGTGAGACTTGACTGGCTTCCAGGGGTCGTGACGGGCGTAGCAAGAAACTCTGGTGCATCTTCATGAGCTGTCCCTCGGTCATCTCGAAATACAACTGCTGGACTGGCGACAGGGCAAATTTCTCACCGACAGTCTCGGTTGCGCTCACTGACGAGACCTCATGGCGAGGCTGGGTCAGCAGGGCCAGGCTGGAGATGGTGCGACTGCGGAGAAGGTCTTCGACACGCACCACGAGGCCTTCACGTCGGAGACGGGCAGCCACCTGCATGGCGGTAATGGAATCGCCACCGAGGCTGACCAACGAGCGGCCTCTGGGGACACTGTCTTCTGCAAGGTTGAGGACGCGGGCGACGGTCGAGGCGAGCAGTCTCTCGACAGGTGTGCAAGCCTCTCCTCCCAGTGTTTTCTCCTCATGGGACTCTGCCTGGCCGAGTGCCATCTGGGAAATATATCCCTCTTCCAGCTTCTCTACTGTCCGGCGAACATGCGCACGATCGATCTTCCCCGAGGTGTTCTTGGGAATATTCGGCACTGCAAGCCAAACGGTGGGCACCATGTATCGGGGCAGCTCCTCTGCCACACGGTTGAGTAAAGCATCGAGTCGGCCCTCCGCCAGTTGACGGTCCTGCGAGCTGAGTAAAGGGAATAGCCCAGCCATGCTGGTGCTCGCCAAAGGCACCTCCATGACGGCGACGAGTTTCTCCCTCAGAGGACCCGATGTGGGCCACACCACGATGGCATTGTCGAGGTGGTGGTCGATCTCACTCAGCTCGAGACGCTGGCCGTGGATCTTGATCTGCGTGTCTTTGCGCCCGATATACTCGAGCGACCCGTCCGCCTCGTGCCGGACCAGATCGCCTGTAGCATACATGCGGCGCGAGCCAGTGTACGGCTGGGCCTTGGTCCAGGCCGGCGCATTGATAAATGATTGCTGCGTCTTGACCGGGTCATTGAGATACCCCCGTGCAAGGAGCGGTCCTTCCACAAGCAACTCTCCAACACATCCGATCGGGGCAAGACGGTCGTGGTTTGCAGTGTCGACCACCCACAGGCGACTGGCCAGGCCCTGGCCGATATTCGCTGGCTTCCGGCCTCGTCCAACGTCTCCGTTCCACGAGCAGAAGATGGTGCTCTCGGCGGGACCGTAACAGTTATGGATCTTGACTGCCGATCCCGCAAACAGGTCAATGGCACGACGGGTCACGGCTTCTCCGGCGAGAATGAGGATTGAGAGGGTAGGGATATCCGCGGGGAGAAGCGAGGCAACGGTCGTGGTCAGGCAGGCAGCAGTCACTCTCATGGAGGCCATCACTGCGGCGAGGTTACCAGTCCGCTGCTCTTCGGAGGGCACACAGACGCAACCACCGTGGATGAGGGTGGTGAAGATATCGTGGATGCTAATGTCAAACACATGGGCTGCGAACTGGAACACGCGCGAATTCGGGCCCGTCTGGAGGACCTTGCCCTGCGCAATGGTGCTGGTGCAGACGGCGGAATGTTCGAGGACAACTCCTTTGGGCGTCCCGGTGCTGCCGGAGGTGTAGATGAGGAATGCAGCATTGAATGGCTGGATATGGGCCGCAGTCTCGGGCTGCTTGGAGGAGAGCCGGTTCACGAAGGATGCTCCGACAGCCAGAATGGGAAGGTGGTGAATGGCTTCCTGAGCCACACGCAGCGCGCGACCCTCGCTGGCCAGCACGAGCGTGGCACGCGCAGTCTGCACGGTTGTTTGCAGGCGACGAGGGGGGTGGGAGGGATCCAGGGCCAGACAGACTCCGCCTGCTTTCAGAATGGCCAGCATGCTGACGACAGTCCACGCGGACTTTTCAAAGCAAACCGCCACCGGATCCTCAAGGCCGACTCCCAGAGAAATCAGATGGCTGGCCAGGGAATCTGACAGCTCGTCCAGCTGGTGATACGTAAAGCTGGTATCCCAGCCGGAGACCGCCTCTGCTTCTGGACGGAGGAGAACCTGTCGGCCCACGAGCTCGTGGACGCAGCTCGCGACAGGAGAAGGCAGACGATCTGCACTCCAGCGGAGCACCTCCATCTGATCTGACGGGCTGCAGACGTCGATATCCCCGACGAGCACCCCAACCGCAGAAGTGCTCAGTTGCTGGAGGACGTGGTGGAGCTGGCCCAGTATTCGCTGCAGCTGGACCCGGGGAACCACATTCGCGTCGAAATCGACATTCACCTCGATATGATTCTCCGCCACGCAGCATTCGAGCACGAGCGGATACGAGTGGAATCCCGCCCCGCCTCGCGAGGTCTGCTGCAGGCCGATGGGGCTGGCACGCTGGTTCTCGGCGGGCTGCACGACCAGGAGACTCTGGAAGTCGCACGCTCGCTGCGCGTCTTCGCTGAGCCGGCGGATGTTCTGTAGGCCCGCGTGCTCAAAGTCGATCATGCGGGCTGCCTGCTCCTGGATTCGCGAGAGTAGCTGTGCCACCGTAAGGTCTGCATCCACCGAGATCCGCAGAGGGACAGTGGTAACGGTTGGCCCGACCATCTTCTCGACGCCCGGAATGGCAGCATTGCGGCCCATCAAGGTAGCCCCGAAGACGCTCTCGGACGACTCGGAATATCTTGCGTGAACGATGGCCCACGCCGCCCGAACGAGCGTAGAAGTGGTCACGTCGGACTGGCTGCGCTCGAGGGAGAGAGTCTGGCTCAGAGTATGGTAGTCTGGGTTGGCCTTGCTTTGCATGGATGGCGAAGGGAAGTTGGACTGGGGGGCTCCCGCCAGTTCAGAGCGCCAGAAGTCATCGCAGGCAGCCTGGTCAATCTGCCCAAGATATCTTAAGAAGCCGGAGAAGGGGGCAACCGTGGGCAGATTGGTCCCCTTGTACGCAGCCCCCACGGCGTCGAGGATGATTGGAATGCTCCAACCGTCGTAGAGGGCGTGGTGTGCAGTCCACACGAACCAGGTCTGCGCCGCCTCCGTGGTGATGTTGTACCTGGCCAACCGGCTTCCGTAGTCGATGGGGATTGCTGCGGTTTTCAGTGACTGATCCAGACTGTTCGAGGAGTCCCAGTCAATGGTCTCCCTGCTCAACACCACTTGGAGGGTCCCGCTATCGCCTTCGATGATGCGCGAGCGCAGGATTGGGGTGTGGTCGACTACTGTCTGCCATGCAGCACGGAAACGATCAATGTCCAAGTCTACAGGCAGTTTGAAAACGTTGCGGAATATATAGGCTCCGGGATGGCGACGGGTGAGGGCCATCAGGCCCTCTTGCAGGGGTGTACAGGGATACACATCCTCGATCGAGTCGGCGGGCAGCCCATGCGCTGATGCCAGCTGCAGGAGCTGCGAACGAGTCATATCAGGCGGCAGGAGAGCAAAGGGGCTCTGGTGGTCCATTCGCTTATCATTCGCTACCTGGAGAGGCTTCATCAGCTCCGCCATCTCCGACAGAACAGGCGAAGCGAATATTTCGGCGACCCGAAGCCGGAAGCCAACGTCCTGGGCAGCAGCCACAAGACGCATGGCGGCGATGGAGTCTCCCCCCAGTCTCATGAAGCTGTCATCGACTCCAACAGCCTCGTCTGGGAGGTTGAGGATCTGTGCCCAGAGCTGGTGCAGTTGCCTTTGAGCGGCCGTCACTGGTCGTCTTTTCTGGGCGTCTGCCAGCGAGTACACAGACACTTGGTCGCGGGTCAGACTGCCGGCAATCTCTTGGAGTCTTCGCCTGTCCATTTTGCCAGATGCACTCTTGGGGAGAGCGTTGAGGCGGATGAATATCGAGGGCACCATGTAAGATGGGAGACTATTAGCAAGCTTTGCAATCACTGTCTGGAGATCGAGGGAGTTGCCGTCCAGCTCCAGCGGCCGGACGGGCTGGTCAGCGGCCGATTCCGTGGCGAAGAACAGAGCCAGTGTCTCGCTGGTGATCTCTGCAGTCGGCTTGATAACATGGGCAGCCACATCGACGATGCGTGTATCTGCCCGCTTGGCTTGGTGCTCGATCTCGCCCAGCTCGACTCGCTGGCCGTGGAATTTGACCTGGGAGTCCTTGCGAGCCACGTACTCGAGAGTTCCATTAGGGCAGTAGCGGACAAGATCGCCCGTCTTGTACATGCGGCGCGGCGTCTCTTGCCATGAGGCGCCGTCGACAAAGGAAGAGGCCGTCAGATCCGGGTTATTCAGGTACTCGCGCGCCAGGAACGGCGATTCGACAAAGAGCTCCCCGATGCAGCCCACAGGCGCCAGCCGGCGGTGGTCCGACGGCTCGACTACCCACAGTGTACCGCCAACGCCACGTCCGATGTTGCTAGGCCGGGAATTGATGCCCAGGGTGGTGTTGACTGCGGCCGCCGAAGTTTCCGTCGGACCGTAGAGGTTCTGCAGGTTGACTGCATCCTTCCACGCGTCGACCACCGCAGGAGTCGGAGCTTCTCCCGCGAGCACCAGCGTCTTCAACGTCGGCGCATCCTGCGGGCGAATCAGTGCGGCAACCGTCGGGGTCAGGTCTGCAAAATTGGCGTTGAGCTCGGTGATAGACGCCGCGAGGCGATTGATGCGGTCCTGCTCCGCCGGAATGCAGAGGCAGCCTCCGCGGAACAGGGCCAGCCCAGTGTCCATGAAGCTGACGTCAAAGGTGTACGAGGCGAATTGAAAGACTCGAGTCTCGGGAGTGCCTCCCACAACGGGCCCGTGGGTGGCGATGCTGGTGGACAGGCTGGAGTGTGAGATGAGAATGCCCTTGGGAGTCCCAGTCGTGCCCGAGGTGAACATGACCGTTGCGATGTTGTGCGGCTGCACCAGGGGCAGAGATGCATCTGGAGTAGAGGGCAGCGGTACGTCCACTGCCATTGTCGGCGCCGGACCGTCTGCAAACAGGCTCTCCAGGTCGGTGGTGGTCACGACAAGAGGCGCCTTTACCGCGTCAACAATGCGGTGCAGTCGCGCGCGAGGATGGGCAGGATCCAAGGGCACAACCGCGCCGCCAGCCTTCCAGATGGCAAATTTGACAATCGGCGCCAGCACCGATTTCCGCAAGCACATGGGGATCATGGCGTCAGGGCCGCTGACTCCGCGGGCTACCAACTGCAGCGCCAAATCCGTGGATCGTTGGTCCAATTCTCGGTAGGTGAGCTGTCCGTCGTGGGCATGCACCGCTGGGGCATCAGGTCGAAGCTGGACCTGGTTGGCGAGCTCGTCGTGGGTGCACAAAGGGACCGGCTCGTGGTGCTCTTTGTTCCAGTCGCGAATCTCCGTCAGGTCTCTCGCCGTCAGCATGTCTATTTCAGAGAGTCGATCATTATTCTCGTGGTCATTGAGCTGCCGCAGCACTTGCTCAAGCTGATACAAGAGGCGTTGCATCTGCACTGGCGGAAGTACGCGGTCGTCGAAGCTGGCCACGAACTCGATGCTCCGCCCGTCCAGCTTGCACTCCAGGACGAGCGGGTAGTTGAAGAAATTGCGCGACTCGATCCTCTCTGCAGGCAGAATGGACGACCTCTCCCTCTCTTGCTTCGGCTGCACGATGAGCAGGGTGCGGAAATCACAGGCCGCCTGCGCAGCCGGGCCCAGACGGCGGATGCTCTGCAGGCCAGTGTGCTCGAACGGGATCATTGAGGCAGCCTGCTGCTGGATTCCATGTAGGAAGTCAACCACCCTTTGGCCCGGGTCGATGCGGACGCGGATGGGCACTGTGGTGATGGTCGGCCCGATCACCGTGTTGACGTCCACACCAGGAAGAGACACGTTCCGGCCGGTCAAAGTCGCTCCAAACACGACATCATCCACTACATCGCCGTCCGAGTACCGCGCCACTAGCAGCGCCCAGGCAGCTCGGACCATGGTGGAGAGGGTGACCGAATCCCCAGCGCGACGAGCAAAGCCAAACTGGTGGATGTGTTTTTGGCGTGATAGTGGTGAGGGAGATGAGGCAGGGAAAGAGGCCGCCGGCGCATCGCGGAGCTGCTCTCGCCAATACTGTTCCGACGATGGCAGATGCTCTTCGATATGGTGGATGAGGGCTTGGAAAGGGGGACTACCGACTACAGACTGGCCCCGGTAGGCCTGTTCGACCATCTGGATCATCTGAGGCATGCTCCATCCGTCGTACATGGCATGGTGCACCGTCCAGACAAAGTACCGGTCGCCCGCGGGCTCCTCGATCACGGCATAGCGAGCGAGAGGAACGCCGTAGAGGAAGGGTGCGTCCCGGTCGTGTTCTACATACTGGTCTACGCTCGAGCCAGTCTGCCATTGGATCGCGTGCGAGACCGCGACTTGGAGACATCCTCCGTATACATTGGAATGCACGATTCGGGTGCGCAGAATGGGCAGGGTGTCGACCACGGTCTGCCACGCGGCCTGCAGCCGGCCCAGGGTGACCGTTTCTGGCAACCGATAGACATGATGCGCCGTGTAGGCACCTTGCTGCCGGCTTGAGATGGCTATCTGGCCCTCCTGCAGTGCGGTGGCCGGGTAAGCGTCTTGGATCTCGCCTTGTTTGATCTGGCAGCGCGCGGCGACCTCAGCAAGGACTTCGTCTGCCGCGTCGCCCAGGAGCTGAAAGGGAGCTACTGTCGCTGCCACTGGTGCGGTTGTGTGGTCGGCGTGAGCCAGCAGGCTTCCAATCTTCTCCACCTTGAATATATCCTCCACTCGCAGCGCGAACCCTAGCGTCTGCGCGCTGGCGGCCAGGCGCATGGCAGCGAGGGAATCTCCGCCCAGCTCGAAGAAGGTCGCGTTGAGGTCGAGGGGCTCGCTGAGGCGCAGGCTCTTCCGGAAGAGCTCGCGAAGCCCGGTTGTGGTGGCATTGGAGCCAATCTCGACGCCGTCGTCGTCGAGCAGGTCGTCGTTGATGGCCACGGTGACGTCGAAGCTGGGAGCCATGGCCTCGATCGCGTCGATGGACAACATGGTTGGTTCCTGGGAGTCAGACATGGCAGTTAGCTGTTGATAGTCACTCTCGGGTTTGTTCAGAGAAGCAGCAGGCATGGGTAAAAGGGTCTTAGGGTTTTGGATGTTTCTTGTTTGTGTTCTGGTTATGGTTATCGTTGTAGACGCTGACAGTCAACTCGAGCTCGGGGTGACCTTGAAGCCTGAAGCTCTGAGACAGCTGTGTCAAGCGAATCAACAGGACTCTGTGAGCAGCTCTGGCAGTTGCTCGTCGGGCAGTATACGAGGGCTGAGCTAGGGCCCAGCAACATGCGAGCTCTACTGGTGGGTACGGCCAACGTCCGTTGGAGTACAGCTAGCAGTACTAGCTGTACTTGTGTATGTATGGTATGTATGGTATGTATGTATCGTGTGTATGCAACGAGTTCTCTGTGCGAGTCATGGCTGGCTGGGTGACCAGTCCCCTGTGGGCGATGTGAAACCGCCCCCAACGCCAGCACATCGAGCTGCAAAGCCAAGCGTGAGACAAGCCAACACAAGGCGTGCCCTATCGCTGGTTCGGCGCAGGGGATTACAAGACTGATTAGAGAGCCCCACAGCCAAAGCAAGGTGACATCGTGTCCATTGTGCAATATCAGTCGCCTCTACAACTAGGCTGTACTCGTCTCTCCAGCCTCCCTCTTCCTGCAATTCCCTCAACGATGCTTCTTGACAACCCGACCCTGATCCAGCCGGGCCCCGCGGCCGCAGCACCCCTCTTCCTGCTTCACGATGGTGGCGGCACCATCTTCAACTACTTCATGCTCGGCGACCTCGACCGGCCGGTGTACGGGATCCAGGACCCCAAATTCGGGAGCGCGGAGCAGTGGGAGGGCGGCATGGAGGAGATGGCCCGGCTGTACATCTCGTTTATCCGCGCGGCCGTACCTCAGGGGCCCATTCTGCTTGGCGGCTGGTCGCTTGGAGGGCTCACAGCCCTGGAGATTGCGCGCATCCTGGCCGGCGAGGCAACCGGCCTCCAGCTGCGTGGACTGATCTTGATTGACAGCCCCCTGCCGGAGGAGTGGGCGAATCACCGCGACCGCTTCGTCGATGCCGATGTCTGGGTGACGGAGACGACATCGGCCAAGACGAAGCAGGCGGTTGACTGGCGCATGGATGAGTGCGACAGGCTGCTGGACGGGTGGAGGGCCCCGCGCTGGCAGCAGCCACGGCCAGGTGGGGGGCGGGCTGAGCCGCCCGGAAGCCTGACCCAGCGCGCGCACGGCCTCCCGCAGGACAACATTCTTGGGCGGCCCCCACCGCCGCCAGAGCTGCTCGTGGCTGGCTCTCCTCCCCCAGTCGTTCTCCTGCGCGCAACCGACCGTGTGCCCGTCCCCGCTGGATCGAAGCCCGGCAGCCTCGTGGACGTCGACCTGCACCGGGACTCGGCACAGCTGGGATGGGACCGCCTCGAGTATCCCCTGCTGCACGCGGTCTACGATATCCCTGGCCACCATTTTGACCTCTTCGAGGGGTATGATCGGGTGAGTCGTGACGAGTCGCTATTCTGGCTCAGGCTAACGTGCGTGCTCAGCTGGAGAAGGTTACGGAGCTGCTGGGCCGGATTTCTCGTGAGATGGACGTGTAGATCAGTCTTGGTACGGGGTAGAAAGCTTGCATCCCAGATTCTGCATAATTCTCAACCAGACTTTAGCGCTAGCCTGCTCATAATCCAAATAACAATACAGGAAGTTGTCATAATCCCATGGTCGAGTGGTTTTATGTATTATTTTTGCACAACTGCTCCGCGTTCGAATCCCGCCTGGATCGACTAGCATCCTGTTACTTTTCCATCGATCCTGCCACGAAACCATCATTTTTTGTAAATCTAACTGGCTGTATAAGCTGTCTGTGTAGTAATTAATTGATATTAATGCTTTGCAGCCCGCCCAAAGCGCCGTCGTCGAGTTTGCAGATTCAATGTGTCGAGATATATATCTTGTACTGCACCGCCACTAAGGAGATCACCATCTTCCACTCTCGACTAACAACATTACTGTAAACCCAGCTGAAACGAGCGTCTTAAGCTACAGGGGTCACCTCGCACACCTCTTCAATTTAATATTCAATGCGACGCAGTCCCAAGTGCACAGCAACCATCTGTTCACGTCCTGATTACTTCAAGGCGAGTGACATCGATCAGCCGCATTACCGAGGCAACGAGGCAATAACACAAAACACGTGACCCCATATGCCCTAAGAAGAGCAACCCTTCAGTATATACAATGGGGGTCTCCACCGCTGTAGAGTATACAATGATGTACCGAGAATACATTCTACCATGGATAGTATTACAGCAGTATCAGGCTCCAGATAGCTAGAAAAACCTGTCTTATAGTTGTTAACATCGCACATTGACAATTCTTCGAGAGATGGCACACAGTAGGCGGCATTTCAGCTGGACAGTCCGAAGACCAAAAGACCCAACACAACATGTCGTTCACATCGAAAGCACAAAGAGCCATCACCGTCTCTTGACGCCATCGAAAATGCCTACTTTTCCTCCTCCCTCGACCCCAAAGCACTTGTATGAACCGTCTCCACCGGCCAAATGCGCACCGTATTGAGATCCCAGATCCCCTGCGCGTACGGGTGATTGGCAAGTTGCTCGTGAACCGCCTCACGACTGGCCGCACGGAGGGCAATCACATTCCCAGGTTTGGATGCAGCCTTCCGATGAGATGCAGTCGTCGTGTCCTCTCGATGGGCATGCAGAATCTGCCCCGCGAACGTCTGATGAGCCAGGGAGATCGGCGCGGTGGGCACGGACGTTCGATCTCCATGTGGGAGATCGCGGATCACCACGAGACTGCATGATGCATCTGTTATCCAGGGCTCTGGTAAGAACTAGCGTAGGGTTACATACTACTCTTGGAGCCGAGGACGTGCAGCAGCAGCAGCAGCAGCAGCCGTCTTGGCTACGCGGACAATGGATGGACTCGCCGACATAGTGAAAGGGATCCTGGGGATGAATGAGAAGAGGAGAAAAGATCAAGATAAAGGACGATGAGTAGACGGCTGCCGTTCTTACGAAGCCCGCGGACTGGCCAGGATTCCCTTGGGAAAGACCTGCGTGATATGGACGACTACAAAAGCTAAAGATGGGACACCCCCCCGCCAGGCTCACGCCGGACCATCCCTCAACGCTGAAAGACCAGCAGACACTGCTTCTTCAGACTCCCATTGCAGCAGCTCCTCGCGACCATGTCTTCTGTTCGAACCGTTGCCCGCGCTCTCCACACCGTGGTCACCAGCAAGCCACCTGTGCGCGAATGGTTGGTCATTCTTCCCGACAATGCTCAAGTGGCAAGGACCATCTCCAACACAACACCTGCGATACATAGCACTAACAAAGTACTAGCTGGCCCGCCGTATCGCAATCCGGCCTCAGCACTCCCCCAATTTCGTGCGCCTCCACAAGGAGGGCTATGTCTCCTGGGCCGGTTCGTTTCCCTACACCTTCCTATTCTAGTTTCCATCGCCCCCATCTGTCTTGATTATCTCGAGCATTCAGCTGAAACCAACACCAACACAGGCCCCATCTTCGCCCGGCCATTCGTCAAGGGCCCCGTCGAGAACCGCCCCTTTGTTGGCAGCGTGATGATCGTCAACGACACCGATCCTGAGGCAATCCGCGCGAAGCTCAAATTGGACATATACACGCAGGAAAGGATCTGGGACTGGGAGAATGCGGAAATCCTCCCGTTCCACACGTTGGAGCGCAGTCCTGCCGAGTTGGTTACTTAGGGTTTGGTGCAAAATGTCACCCTTGGGCGGTGGGGCTGCCCATTGTTGCTGCCTGGACGCTTGCGCGAGATAGAGTAGCAATGCTTATTGTCTCAAGCTTTAGCGCTCGAGTGCCAAGGCATATAGATTGGCTTCGCCCGCAGTGTTTCTCACTTAGCATCATTTGCATCATTTTGATTGGAGCTGGCGTAACGATACATAACGAATGACTTAACCACCGCCGAGACAAATGTACCTAGAAACCAAAAAAAAAAAAAATGAAGAATAACAGAAATCACTTTGGAACACCCCAGTCCTTGCCCGGCTCAGGCACTGCCACCCCCATCGCAACATCCATACGGTCCTCCAAGGTGACATTGCCGTGTCTTTTGGCGAGGACAGCGCTTCGCACCGCATCCCTCCAGCCGGCCCACCAGTCCTGCTCGCTCTGCACGGCACACCGTCGTCCGGCCTCATTGGCTGGCACATTCGCGAAAGGCCAGATTACCTCGATGCACTCGTAGCGCTTCGTGGGGTCCCTTTTTGCAGGGGGCTGTGCGCTCCAGTAGAAGAGGTCCTTGAACGAGGTCCTGGGCGACCCCTGCTGGACGACCACCTCTGCAAAGGTGGCGGAAAAGCTGATGTCCAGGGCGCCCCGGTACCGCGTCGTGGCGATCGTGTTGCGGATCAGGCCCTCCAGGCTGTCTTGGTCGAAGTTGACTACGCGGCGCTTGAGCGAGAAGCTGAGGAGGGCGAGGGCCCGTAAGTCATGGAAGACCATGCAGCCAAGGAGATGAGAAACAACAAACGTACCTTTTCACCGGAGCGGGATCCTCACAGTACTGCACGACCAGCTTCTCCAGCTCCGCCGGTGCAGCTCCAACCGTGGGAACCGGTTCACCGTTGGCAGAGATCCTGCTCCCGTCGAGCTTGCGATACGACCAGCGTTCGCTGTCCGAAACCAGCAGCGGGAGCAGGTTGAGGGTGAGGTCGAAGTCGCTCTTGACCTCGCCATAGACGGAATGCGATCCGCGTATCCGTAGGAGTAACTTTGGGGGCAGTTGTGCCTGCTCGTGCATTAGCTGTAGGAGGGCGTGAGGATCGTAGCTGAAGCGCTCGTCGCGCGCTACCACCGCCACGCGGTCATCTTGCAGGACGGCGCCTGCGATTCGATACTGGGTGTAGTCTATGGCAAGGTGCTGCTGCTGCTGTTGGAAGAGGAGGCCCGGGCTGGATGTGGATGTGGAGGTCGACGAGTAAACGGGGGGCAGTGGACTGGCGTCCTGCTTCGAGTCTGCCATGACGGGGAGGCCGTTGCGTACGATGTACCGACTGGGTGGGGGCCGATGCGATCTTAATATATCCATCCCTTCGGCCCCGGCCGCTGGGGCCGTTCGCAGGACGAGGGTGGGTGGAGCACACGTATCAATACTAGCGTGTATATTTCGAATACAGTCTAGACTAGATTACTGAATTACACACGGAAACAACACGACTATGCGGAGTGCAGCAGCTGCGCGAATGCAGAATCCCCCCCCTGCAGCAGCAGCTCCTGGGGGTTGCCCAGCTCAACCAGCTGCCCGCCGCCAAACACCGCAACCTGGTCGAAATCCACCAGCGAGACGACCCGGTGGGCCACCGAGATGACCGTGCAGTGCCGGAGCTCGTTCTGCAGCAGATCCGCTACGAGGGCCTCGGTGTCGCTGTCGCCGCTGCAACCTTGTTAGTTTTGAAACAGCGTGTTGGGGAGACAGACTGGATTCGATGTGGCCTACCTGCTCGTCGCTTCGTCCAGCACAATCACGCGGGACCCATGCATCAACGCCCGTGCCAGACTGAAGAGCTGCTTCTGGCCGTGGGAAAAAGGGACCAGGGCCATCTCCGCGTCCAGGCCGCCGGCCGCGGCAATCGGGTCCCACAGGCTCACTCGCTGGAGGGTCGTCGTGATGTCCGCATCCAACACTGTGCCTGTTGGGTCTGCGTTGAAGCGCACCGTGCCAGACAAGGTGTGCGCGTCTTGCGCAACCGCTGTCAGGCGATGGCGCACCACTTCCTTCGGCACAGTCGCCAGATCAACCCCGTCCACGACGATGGAGCCCCCTTCGATCTCCATCATGCAGAACAAGGAGAGGATCAGAGACGTTTTGCCGCTGTTTCCGGGTCAGCGTAGGAACGGGCTGGAGAGAAAGAGAGATGCTACGAGTCGTACCTTCCAGTCTTCCCGCAAATGCCGACCTTCTCGCCCGGACGGATGTGTAGATTGATGTCGTGGAGCACTGGCTCTCCGCGGCTGTGCATCACTCGCTGGTTAGTGGCTGATCACCGGGGTAGGGTTAACACAAACGAGTAACGTACGTATACGACGCCGACAGGTTGCGAATCTCGATTTCACCGCGCGACGGCCAGTCCGCCGGCGGCTCAGAAGCATCCTCACCCGTATCCTCGCGCTCTGTCGCAGCGGCAAAGGCCTTGACACGTGAGATGGACCCAATAGACGTTTCCAGCTGAGTCCATGAGGTGACGAGGAACTTCATCGTCTGGTTAAACGACATGATGTTCAAGAGCGCGACGCCCGTATACCCGGGGCTGACCAGCGACTTTGCCTGCATGGCGAGGACGATCAGAACAATGGCCATGATGGCGATGATCATGTCGATGGTAAAGTTGAGCCATCGCTGGATGGCAAGCAGGAGGTAGTACGGCCGCTGCGTGGTGTCGAGGTAGCGGAAGTTGCGCACCGCGTATTGGACTTGCCAGCCGTAGGCACGCAGCGTGACGAGCCCGGAGAGACTCTCTTCGAATTGGGTGTAGAGGGAGGACTTGGACTCGAGGTCGAGGAACCGCAGCTGGCGGGAGGTGCGCAGGTAGTACTTTTGCAGGAAGTAGAAGACGACGAAGAGCAGGGGCACGGCGAGGGCGATGTACTTGGCCGAAACGGCGAGCAAGACAATCTGCCCGACGCAGGTGAGGGCGGCTAGTGGAGATCAGCGTGTGACGGTTAGGGAGACAGATAGATAGAGTCAAATGAAGAGGACTGACCGATTGCTGCACTCAGCGCCGCCGAGGGCAGCTCCATGTCAATAAGCATCAGATCTTGACTGAATCTGTCGTCTTGGTTTAGCACTCTGAGCGGGGGAGAGGACGAGGGGCTGCTAACCGGTTGAGCGTGGTTCCAATGTCGGTAGAGGCGAAGAAATGCATTGTGGCTCTGGTTCAATGGTTAGAGGACATGTTCCCTTGCTGGACAGGGGGCACGAGGCTACTCACTGGGAGACCGTATCGGCGAGGACTCCATGGAAATGAAGCGCAGAGTCCGGGACCATGAACAGGAATGCATCCCTGCGACAACACCGTTAGCGCTGGCAAGCAGTGACTTGTCCTCCAGTAGAGAAACATACCAACAGCCCACGACGAGAGCGATGACAGAGCCGAACCCCAGCGCAGCATAAACGCCCACATATTTGCCCGTCTCGGCGCCTGCATGCTCGAGCTCGCTCTCGGACCACCATTTGATCCAGATGTCTGTCCTGGTCAGCAGTGCGATGCGGATGAGGATCAAAGGATTTCACTCACTGGGGAACGACGTCCCAAACACAAAGATGACCATGGAAAACAAAAACACGCCCACCGCAAACCAGCCAAAGGCCTTGAAATAGAATCGGTACACGGTCCAGTCACCTGTACTGCGCGCCAGGTCCTCTTCCGAGGGGAGCTGGACATTGGGGCCGGCGTCGGCTTCGTCGACTGACTCTACATCAGGGGCAATCGGTGTCATCCCAAGCCCCTTCTCGACCGAGCCCTGGAGCTGGCTGACGACGCTCTGGGTCTGGCTCTGGGTCTCGGGGGTCTCGGTGCCCGCTAGAGACCGGGGGGCTGCTTCCTTCACAGGGGGTAGCGAGAGGCCGAAGACGTAGCCCTCCCGCTCCAGGAGCTCCTCATACCCTCCCTGCTCCACAATCCGGCCCTCAGAGCCGAGGACAATAGCGTGGTCGGCAAAGGGGAGACGTCGAGCTGCAGTTGTCAGTGACGGATCCAGGGAACAAGAGAGAAACTCACGATTAGAGCTGGTCCAGATGACGGTGCGACCCTGTTCGCGCAGGAGACCATGCGGCCCTAACACGCGGTCAAAGACGGCCTTCTCGGTGTCGTTGTCTAGCCCGCTCAGGCAGTCATCCAGGAGCAGGAGTTCGCGCTGGCTGTAGACTGCCCGGGCGAGATCCAGACGCTGCCTCTGCCCGCCGCTGAGAGTCACGCCTTTGCTGCCGACCTGCGTTTGATCGCCCAGCGGCCAGCTCGCAATATCGGGCTCCAGTCCGCATGCCGCCACGACGGTGCGGTACCAGGCGGGCTGGTACTGGTAGACCCCAAGAATAACTTGCTGGACGGTCCCACCGGGGATCCACGGGGACTGGGCACAGTACGCAAGATCCCCGGAGGACAGGCCGACGAAGCCTTCAGAGACAGGAAGCTCGCCAAGGAGGGCCATCAAGAGGGTCGTTTTGCCCGACGCAACGGGGCCAATGACCATGTTGACCGTTCCCCGTTGGATGCGGAAGCTGATGGCTGGTAGGGTCGGCTCGGCGCCGGGAGTCCAGCCAAAGGCGCCCTCGTGCACGACCACCGTGTGGCGAGCCATCAGAGACCGAGCCATGACCCGGGCCTGTTTCTCGGAGGCGCTGTCTCGGCTGGACAGGGATTTGACGGTGGTCGTGGACGGATCGAGTGCGCCGCAGACTCGGGATTCCTCGCGGTCGGGGAGACGGAGATACTCCTGCACGCGATCGATGCACGCCCGGGCACCGATCAGGGTCGGAACTGCGGTGTAGAGGGTCGCCAGGGGCCCGGTTAACAGGGCAAAGACGGAGAGCGAGGTGAACGCGCGTGCTGTGTTCAAATCGCCGCGGTGCGTCAGCGCGTAGACCAGAAAGGTCAGGACCGGGGCGATGACGGGGGTGGCGGTTGCTGGAGAATGGTTAGCACATATGCACAGGGCCGTGATGCAGCGAGCAGAACGCACTGAGCATGATTGTCCCCAGGAAGATCTTGCGCAGTCGCTTCGATGCCTCGACCTCCACTTTCCGAAGATCGCGGATGATCTGCCATGCTGGGCCGGCGAGACCAGACAAGCGCAGCGATTTCATGATGCCCAGCGTCCCGGCGGTGGTGGCAACGCGCTGTTGGATGGCCAGAATCCACGCTGTCTGGCCTTTGGTTACGCGTTTGGCCAGGATGACAGCCAGGATACTCGCCACTGCGGCCGGTTAGCGGGCTGCATCACAGATCAAGAGACAAGACGACATACCAATGCCGAATCCGACGGGGATCACGACGGCCACACCCAGCTGCCGCTCCAGCAGCCAGATGGCAATGGCGAGCTCGACCACACTGGCCCATGTCTCGTGAATCTGCGTGACGCCGCCAGCGATCCGCTCGATGTCGGTGCTCATCAGCGTGATGGCGGCGGCAGGGCTGGCGGCGCTGGACGGGAGCAATAGGGTCTTGCGGTAGATGGCGGCGACCAATCCACCACGGATCTCGACGACCAGCCGGTTGGATTTGTGGCTAAACTGGCCGGTGGTGACCTGGGTGGGGATGAGCAGGGGAAACCGGGGAGAGGGACTAGGGCAGGAAAGGGGCTGACGAACCGCAATTCCAGTGTACACCAGCGCATACGCACCCACCATGGCGTATCCATGGTTCTTGTTGGCCGGCGTCGAGGGCGCCGAGCTGAGATTGATCGCCGTCTCGATCAGAAAAGGCTGCACAACCGTCAGGGCGACCAGGCAGGCGCGCGGGACCAGACCAGCCAGCAGCGTCCACTTGAAACAGCCGACCAGCGTCCACAGCAAGGCATTGCGTGAGGTGGACTGCCTATGCCGCTGCCAGTGGTCCGTCACGTTGGCCTGGATCCCCTCCGAGTGTAGTTTGCGGTCGAGCGAGAGGAGGTCGCGCAGCGTGAGGATCTCCCTGGAGCCCCGGAGGAGTAGCGGATTCACCCAGCCAAAGGCTGCGCGGTTGAAGAAGCCGGCCAGCGCCTCGGGTCCGTAGTGCTGGTAGCTGGGCAGCAGGGTCGCTCGCTTCTTCTCGACGCTCTCGGCGACGAGCAACGAGGCCTTGAAGGCGAATGCGGTGGTGTAAACGATGGGGATGGCGCGGCTCACGGGGACGAGCCACAGCGTCCGGACGATGGCGAGATCAAACAGGACGTTGAGCGACAGGAAGGCGAGGATGACATTGCCGGGGCGGACGGTGCGGACGTGCTGCAGCCACACCAGGACGGCGAGCAGCAGGCTTGCGAGGAAGGAGACGATCGAGACGGCGATGGTTGCCCGCGTGCGGTATGCGTCCAAGCTGCGCAGGACCACCAGGACGAGCTGCAGCTCGGCCAGCGCAGCAGCAACAGCCTGGCCGGTGCAATCGCGTTAGTGTCAGCTCTCCAGCAGCCAGAGGGCGTACCGACCACTTTGCCCGCTAATAACCACCCCTGCTGCACCTTGCGGGCTCTCCCCAGCAGGTGCCAGACATACGGCGGGCCGACGAGCAGGAGCGCAACCGCCGGAATGAGGGTGAGAATGCTCTCCTCGAAGAGCAGCGTGAAGTCGAACTGTCCTCGACAGCCGCCGGCCCAGGGGCCAAAGGAACGGTCGTTGTCCAGCGTGCAGTCCATCGGAAGCTGCGATAGGGACGATAAGCTACGAAGTTGGAGGACGATCGAACCATCGGCGACGGGGGTGTGTTTTGAAGAAGGGCATCGTTTCTCCGCTGCAGCGCCCCCAAGCGCCCTAAAGCCCCCAAGCGCCCAAGCCCCCTTGGCCGGCAGCAGAACAGGGTTCGGCCGGCCCACCCGGTCGTTTTGCGTAATACAGCGTATGGCGTATGTACGGGCCCGGGGAATTTCTGCAGCTAGTCGATTGCTAATGCAGCGCCAGGCTAGTCTGGGGGCCATGGGGGCGGTTTCCAACACTCTACAACGCTGCAGGCAGGCAGACAGGGATCGGCACCTCCGTATGGAGCAGAGTAGAACATAACCACCATCTCTGCGTTCTATTTAGGTGGAACACGCGTCCGTCGCTGCGTCTGGCATGATTCCCGGCCAGCCCGTTTGCAACGGTGGATTGGATAACTGCACGATGGGGCGAACAAAGAAAACCGGGCGGGCAAAGAACCCTCCTTCCCTACCTTGTCCTCCTGCTTCTCCTTCTTCTCAGCCATTGACCAGCGCTGCCGACGAGGCAGAGACGGTCGTGGAGTGTTTCTTCTCCCTCCTTGACGCCTCCGCCCACAGCCCGTCGGCGTTTACCGAAGACCTCATCCACCTGTTCGAGAGTCCAGCGCGGCGGGAACCATTGCTACGTTCGTGGAAAGCATGGCGTGACAAGAATAACCGCACACTGCAGAAGAGTCTGCCGACTGTACGAATTACAAACATACCCAAGTCTGGGCCTCCGGCGCAGAAGGTTCAATTTAGACGAGCACTCACGCCCGCACCAGCACCAGCACCAGCACCAGCACCAGCAGTTGGTGTGTGGTGCCAGGGGCCGCCAGTCGCTCGTCTCGAGCAGGAGGAAGTGACAGAGGTCGAGGGGGTCTTTGAGCCGGTGCGCGGCCGGAAGAAGAGGGTGGTGGTGGCCTGGGGGTGACCGAGGGAGCTGGGAAGCTGGGAGGCTGGTAGAGAGAGGCGCTTGGAGTAAGCCAGAGAGATATAAATGTATCACAATGCAACCAACATCCACGTTTCTGGCCTGAATTATCCCTTAGCTTTGCCCATGCACGTAAGCAACATGCCGCAGCTGGAGGAGGTCTACATTGTCTCGGCCGCCCGAACCCCCCAGGGCGCCTTCCGCGGGCGAGTCTTGTTGTCGGATGCGTTGCTCTACAGTTCTGACGCCCTTCCAGTTCCTTGCGCGGCCTCTCTGCGATTCAGCTGGGTTCGTGTGCAATCAAGGGTGCGTTCGCGATGTGCAGGCTTCTCCGTGTGGCGTGCTGATCCCCACTGTTAGGCACAATCGATCGTGCAGAGGGCATTGACCCGAGCGCGGTGGAGGAAGTGTTTATGGGAAATGTTCTCTCTGCTGGGCAAGTGACTACTCTTGCTGTTGCACACACACACACACACACACACACACACACACACACACACACATCTATATATATATACCTCTCGCGCGTACTGACCGACTCTTCGCCTTCTGCAGTCTCGGCCAGAACCCAGCCCGACAATGCGCCCTCGCCGCTGGCCTCCCCAACACCACCGTCTGCACCACCGTCAACAAGGTCTGCTCTTCGGGAATGAAGGCAATTACGCTGGCAGCCCAGACGATTACCTCTGGCCAGGCAGACATCGTCGTCGCCGGGGGCATGGAGTCCATGTCGAACGCGCCTCTGTACATCCCCCCGAACGCAGGCCGGCAACAGGCGCTGAACGGGCTGCTCGTCGACGGACTGACTGATGCGTACGGCAAGAGGCATCACATGGGGGTCAAGGCTGAAATCTGCGCGTCGACCCATCGCATCCCGCGGGTCTTGCAGGACGAATACAGTGTGGAGAGCTACGAGAAGGCGCAGACTGCACAACAACAGGGCTGGTTCAGCGAGGAGATTGCGCCTGTTACCCTGGATGACCAGCAGGTGGTGGACCAGGATGAGCTTCCCGGCAAGGTGAGATTCTCAGAAGCAACAGCAACGGCAACAACCACAGGATCTGACCGACACAGCTCGATCGAGAGAGGCTGCCGACCGTAAAGCCCGCATTCCTCCCCAGCGGGGGAACCGTGACGGCGGCGAACTCGTCTCCTCTCAGCGACGGCGCCTCTGCGGTGCTTCTGATGTCTGGGACGAGGCTGCGCGAGCTCTTGATCCAACCGCTGGCCCGTCTGCGAGGCTGGGCCGACGCCGCCACCGACCCTTCCCAGTTTCCCACGGCGCCTGCACTCGCTATCCCCAAGGCTCTCCGTCGGGCGAGCGCGACGCTGGAGGAGATGGATGGAATCGAGATCAACGAAGCGTTTGCGGTTGCGACCCTTGCGAACATCCAGGTCCTGGGGATCGACCGCGCCAAAGTCAACCAGCACGGGGGCGCGGTCGCTCTGGGCCATCCGCTGGGTGCGTCGGGCAGTCGCATTGTGGTGACGCTGCTGTCGGCGATGAAGAGGAAAGGGGGCAAGCTGGGCTGTGCTGCGGTGTGCAACGGAGGAGGAGGCGCGAGCGCACTGGTCGTGGAGATCAGCCAAATGTAGATCAGACCGAGATATTATTAGTGTGCTTCTAGCTGAAAGGTTCGATATCAATATTATCACATTAGGGTAGACACCCCCACCGCGCACAGCTCATCCAATGCTTTCCCTACCACCGTCCTTTTCCTGTTTTTCTCCCTCTTCTCCTCCGCCACAACTTGGAAGACTGCACCAGCAACCATGCTGAGCCAACGCCTGCTGCATCGCTATCCGCTCCATGCGCAACTGCGTGCGCGCCCTCGCGCTCGCCCTGCGACGCCGCTGTCTATCCTGCTCCAGACTCGCTACAATTCAGCGCAGGCAGGAGCGGCCATCGACCTCCGTACGACCGTCCCCGCGCCGCTGGACCTGCCCGCCCAACAGCCCGGACAAGGCGCCGCGAGCCACCTGTACGCGACGGGCAAGGCCTACCTGGCCTTCTACCGCACCGGCCTGCGCCATGTCTGGCTTAACTACCGTAGTGCACGCGGAATCCAGCGCTCCCTCCGCGACCAAGGCCTGACCGTCCCGCAGGCCATCGCCAAAGGCCGTCTGACGCGCACGCAATTCCAGCTCCTGCACCGCAATCGCCATGATATCCGGCGCGTGCCCCTTTTCGCCCTCCTCTGTGTGTGCTGCGGCGAGCTGACTCCGCTCGTCGTGTTCCTGCTGGCAAACCAGGTGCCGTGGACATGCCGGACGCCCTCGCAGGTGAGAAAGTCCCGGCAGCGCCAGGACGCGCTGCGCATCTCCGGCCAGCAGCAACAGAATATCGCGCACAATGGAAACGGCAGAGAGGCACTGGTGCGTGTCTCAGGCGTGCTGGGCTTGCGTGCTCGCTGGCTGCGGCCCCCAAGGGGCGTGCTGCAACGCCGTCTCGACCGCCACGTGAACTACTTGGAATGCGACGACAGGCTCATCTTGTCATCGCCCGATAAGGATGGCCCACGCGGGTGGGCTGTGACGGAGGTGGAATGGGCGCTGGTGGATCGAGGGATCAGTGTTTTGGGGAGGTCGGAGGAGGAGCTGAGGGACGCGCTGGATAACTGGCTGTTGGATCGCTCGCAGGCTGACGTGCGGAGTCTGCTGCAGCGCAGGGTAGAGGGCTGTTCAACGGCATAGATGGTGGCGTGTTGTGAGATTGAGATGGCAGGGGTCGGCAGTAGTGGCAATCCTGGGCCCTGTTCTTGAGTCGAGCAATACTAGTGCATTACCAGCTGTATCATCTTCGCCTGCTGTATTACCGTTACCGTAGATTGCCCTAGGACAGCGTCCGACTAGCAGTCTTGGACTAGAGATGCTTTGCTTGGAGCTGTTGGAGCTGCTGCTGCTGCTGTTGTTGCGAACGCTGAGAAGACGCGCTGGACATGCAAGAGGAGACACTCAGAGTGAGCTGTTGACCATTGCATCGCAGCAAACGCTGTACACTCGCAAAGACAGAAAACAAACTACAACTACACACACACACACACACACACACATACACAGGCAAGTCCTCCCTTCGCTGCGTGCTAACCCTACAACAGTGCAACCATGGCGGACAGCAAATCGAAACCCGTCAAGATCCGCAAGGAGCTCATCCAGGACATCTACTCGTGCACCCCTCTCCAAGAGGGCCTCATGGCGCTCTCCATCGGGCGACCTGGCGCCTACGTCGCCCAAAACACCTTTGAACTCGCCGCCGCCGTTGACCTGGACCGATTCCGCCACGCATGGGATGCCGTCGTCGCCGCGACCGACATCATGCGCACCCGCATCGTCGCCTCGGAGAAGGCGGGCGCTCTGCAGGTGGTGCTCAAGGCGGAGGAGCAGCTGGGATGGCAGACCGGGACCGACCTGCGCACGTACAGCGAGGGTGCGCGCAACCAGCCCGTCCAGTACGGAGCACCGCTCGTGCAGCTGGGCCTGGTGACCGACGAGGCCAGCGGCCGGCGGTACTTCGTGTTGACGACGCACCACGCCGTCTTTGACGCGTGGAGCATGGCCCTGATCCTGCAGCACGCGGAGGAGGCATACCGCACCGGATCGGCCGGCCAGGTGCAGCTGCTGCCGTTCAAGCTCTTCATCCGGGCTCTGCGCGCCGGCCAGAGCTCGACATCGACCGACCAGGCCTTTTGGACTGATTACCTCGAGGGCGCCGAGCCCCCGGATTTTCCAATCCTCCCCGCCGCGGGATTCGCTCCGCGCGCAGGGGCCAGATTCGACCATTCGATGCGCATGACAACCGGGGCCTCCCGATCCATCACTGCCGGAACCTATGTACGCGCAGCCTGGGCGATCCTTCTCGCCCGGTATACCGCAGTCGACGATGTGACGTTTGGAATGACCCTGTCCGGGCGAGATGCCAACGTGCGTGGCATCGAGCAGCTCGTCGGGCCTACTATCACCACCGTCCCCGTCCGCGTCCGCGTCCCTGCTGTGTCCACAGTCGCCCAGTACCTCCAGAAAGTCCAGGGCGAAGTCACCGCCATGATCCCGCACCAGCACGCCGGCCTGCAGCACATTCGCAAGATGAGCCCGTCCGCCCGTGCCGCAGCGCAGTTCCGTACCCTGGTCGTCGTTCAGCCTGCGCTGGCGCGGGGAAAAAGCAGCAGCCAGACTCGCCAAGCACCCTCGTCGCTGGAGATCACGCACGTCCCTGCTGAGCTGCCGGGCTTCCACACGTATGCGCTGGTGGTCGAGGTGAAGCTCGGCGCCGACCAATGGACGCTCGAGGCGCAGTACGACGAGGTTGTGATTTCGCAGCCGCAGATCCGGCGTATCCTGCACCAGTTCGAGAACATTGTCAACCAGCTGCTGATTGGCAAGGAGACTCGGCCGCTGGGCGAGGTTGGCACCGTCAGCCAGTTCGACCAGGACCAGATTGGCGAGTGGAATGCCGCGCTTCCTCCGCGCATCGAAGAGTGCATCCACCAGCGCATCCTGCAGCAAGTCGACACACGGGCACCTGAGCAAGCCGTCTGCGCGTGGGATGGAAGCTTCACGTACAGGGAACTCGGGCACTGGTCCGAGCGACTGGCTCAGCTCCTCGCTGGCCATGTCGTTGGGCCGGGAGTCAAGGTGCCTCTGTGCTTTGAAAAGTCCAAGTGGGCTATCGTTGCCATGCTGGCAGTACTTCGAACGGGCGCAGCGTTTGTCCCTCTTGACCCAAACCACCCTGAAGGGCGATTACGCACTATCGTCCAGGCTGTTGGTGCCACTATTGCGGTGACAGGGGCGTCGACGGCGTCCACCATAGCGAAAATCGTAGGCCGGGTGGTTACTCTCGACACAAACAGCCCTTGGAATGAGCACCAGGCTCATAAAGGACCCCTAACATCCCGCGTACGGCCAGACGACCTGGCAGTGGTCATGTTCACTTCTGGAAGCACCGGCGAGCCCAAAGGCGTGCTGCTCCGACACGACAACATCGTCACCAGCGCGCAGGCCCACGGAGACGTCCTGGGCATCGGCCCGGAGTCGCGCGTCTTCCAGTTTGCCGCATATACCTTTGATATCAGTCTGCAAGATATTCTCACAACACTCATCCGCGGCGGGTGCGTGTGCGTCCCCTCGGAGGACGACCGCCTCAACAACCTCCCCAGTGCGATTAACCAACTACAGGCCAACCATGCATGCATCACGCCCACGGTGGCCTCTCTGCTCACACCGGCGGAGGTTCCGACCATCAAGACCCTGACCCTGGCTGGAGAAGCCATCACACAGACCGCCGCCGATATCTGGTCGAGCGCCGTGGATCTGAACAACTGCTATGGACCGGCCGAGTGCACCATCTACTGCGCGTGGCAGGGCCAGATCGGTCAGACAGGCCAAGTCGGAGACATTGGCCGAGCAATCGGAGGCGCACTATGGGTCGTCGATCGTGACGATCCGCAGCGGCTGGCCCCCATCGGCGTCACTGGCGAGCTCGTCGTCGAGGGGCCCATTGTGTCCGACGGCTACCTGAACGACCCATGCCGCACGGCGCAGAGCTTCCTGGATAACCCAGCCTGGCTGCAGCTGGTACAGCGTAGCGGGCGTGCATATCGAACAGGAGATCTGGCACGGTACAACGCCGACGGCAGCCTGCGGTATCTGGGGCGAGGCGACAACCAGATCAAACTGCACGGCCAGCGCATTGAACTCGCCGAAATCGAAGCGAATATCCTGCACAATGCATCGGTGCAGGCGGCGCTTGCGATGCTGCCGCGCAAGGGACACTGCTCCAACAAGATTGTGGCCCTGCTCTCGTTCCCAGGGCAGGACACCGCGAGCAAAGCGATTCAGGTACTGGAAGGGGCAGCGAGAGAGGCGGCCATGGCGCAGATCTCGCGTGTCCGCCAGCAGCTGTCGTCCCAGCTGCCCGAGTACATGGTGCCGACGGTGTGGCTCCCCCTGGCTGCGCTTCCGCTCAACACGTCTGGGAAGATCGACCGGGCAGGGCTGCTGAACTGGGTTGAAACCCTCGACGAGACGCTGTACCAGCAGGCACTGGATGCTGTGGGCGACGATGACACGGAGGATATTGTCGCGACCGAGCTGGATGTGGCGCTGCAGGCCGCTGTTGCGAAGACGCTGAATCTCACCGAGTCAACACCCTCCATGGGCAAGTCGTTTGTCCGTCTGGGCGGCGACTCGATCACGGCGATGCAGCTGGTGACGCGGTGCAGGGCCGAAGGCATCCTGATCAAGGTGCATGACGTGCTGCAAAGCCCTTCCATCAGCCAGCTGGCCCTTGCGGCCCGCAAACTCGATGTGGCCGAGACGACGCACTATGAAGAGGTGCTGGACCAGTGGTTCACACTCTCGCCAGTGCAGCGATTCTACTTTGGCCTGGCTGGAAACCAGGTCAACCACACCAACCAGAGCTTCTTCCTGCGGCTTGGCCAGCCAGCCTCAATTGCCGACCTCAGCAGCGACATCGAGAGCGTCGTGCGCCGCCACTCCATGCTGCGAGCCCGATTTGGACTGGACCATGGAGGGTGGAGGCAGACAATCACCACCGACATCTCAGGATCGTACCGATTTCAGGCACACGACGTCGACTCGCGCACTGCCATCGCCTCCCACATGGCCAGCAGCCAGGCTGCCATTGATCCCGTCCATGGTCCCCTCCTGGCGGCGGATGTCTTCAACATCAAGGGCGACGGCCAGCTGTTGTATATCGTCGTGCACCACCTGGTGATTGACCTGATTTCATGGCGGGCGATCCTCAGCGACCTCGAGTCGCTCCGCAAGGCTCGCCAAACCCTAACCCTGCAGCCCGTCTCCTTCCAGGCCTGGGTCTCTGCGCAGGCGCGGCACGCCCGCGACCACCTCCAGCTGGACCGCGTGCTGCCGTACGAGGTGCCCCAGGCCGACTACGCGTTCTGGGAGATGCAAGAGCAGCCCAACGTGCAGGCAGACATCACGACCGAGAGCTTTGTGCTGGACCAGGCGATAACCCAACAGCTGCTCGAGGAGTGCAACACTCCCCTTGGAACAGAACCCGTCGAGCTCTTCCTAGCGGCGCTGAACTACTCGTTCGAAGCCACCTTCCCTGACCGGAGTTTGCCAGCCGTGTATATCGAGGGCCACGGCCGTGAGAGCTGGGATCAAGCGACGTGGGACCTCGGAGGCACTGTTGGGTGGTTCACCACCATCTCGCCTCTGCATATCTCACACGCAAACTCCCTCCTTGAAGCGGCTCGACAAACCAAAGACCGGCGTCGCAGCCTCCCCCAGCACGGCGGACCGTACTTTGCCGCCCGCTACCTCACCCCAGAAGGCCGCGAGCGCTATGGACATCACGCGCAGATGGAAGTCCTGTTTAATTACATGGGCCAGTTCCAGCAGCTCGAGGCCGCGGACGCGGTCTTGAAGCCAGAGCCCAAGCAGGGTGACGAGATTACCGTGTCCGATGTCGGTTCGACGGTGACTCGCATGGCGCTGCTCGACGTCTCGATCGTGATCCTCCAGGGCGTCGCTCGCTTTGACTTTGCCTTCAGCAAGCGGATGGCCAAGCAGCATCTGGTCCGCAGCTGGGCACAGAACTACAAGCACGCCCTGGTGGAAATGTGCACTGTCCTCTCGTCAACGCCGCCTCAGCGGACACTCGCGGATTTCCCACTCTGGAAAACGTCCCACGACGACTTCGATCAGGTGCGCGCACTCGCCTTCCCGGGGGGCAACTTCGAGGAGGCAGTCGAAGACATCTATCCCACTTCTCCCATGCAGCAGGCGCTGTTCCTCAGCCAGAGCCGCCAGGATGGACTGTATGAGACGGCATTCACTTTCCGGCTCACCGCAGCCTCCGGACCAGTGGATGTCGATCATCTGCTTGCCGCCTGGAACCACGTTGTCGACCGGCATGCGATGCTTCGAACCGTCTTTGTCGAGCGTGCCCGGGGAGATGGGCTCTTTGACCAGGTGGTGCTGCGACGTGTCACGCCGTCGACAATCTGCATTCGGCCCGACTCTGTGTCTGCCCTAGACGCCCTCGAGCGATGCCCTCGAAGCTCGCACGGCGGCGACGAGAACACTCTTCGTCCACTGCACCGTCTTGTTGTCTGCGAGGCACCCTCGAAGGAGCTTCTGGTCCGCCTGGAAGCCAGCCACGCCATCCTCGACGCAGCATCCATCGGCTTGATGGTGCGAGATCTGCAGCTCGCCTACCAGAACCTTCTCCCCGAGGCACGCGCGGATCCCTACAGCGAGTATATCCGGTATATCCAGGACAAGCCCGAGGGTGCTGCAGTCCAGTACTGGACGACGCACCTCGCCAACGCACAGCCCTGCATCTTCCCCTCGACCTGGAGCAACGAGCCCCCAGTGCTAGAGTCCACAGATGTCGAGCTCACCGTCTCCCTCTCCCAACTTGCCCAGCTCGGCGAGACCATTTCCGTCACGGTTCCCAACATCCTACGTGCTGCATGGATCCTTGTCCTACGAGCATACACTCTCAGCGAAGATGTCTGCTTTGGTTCTCTTGCGTACGGTCGAGATGTACCAGTGAGGGGGATCCAGGAGATTGTCGGACCCTTTATCAATATGCTGGTCTGTAGACTGGCAATTGAGCCATCGGAGACTCTCGCCACGCTCGTGCAAAAGGTGCAGGGAGACTACGCCGCCGCGCTGGAGCACCAGCACTTCTCGCTCGCCCAGATCCAGCATGAACTGGGGCAAGCTGGCCAGAAGTTGTTTAACACGATTTTGTCAATTCAGCAAGGCCCATCGGGCAGCTCCCAGGATGCAGAATTGAACTTTGAGAACGTGGACGCATATGACCCCACCGAGGTAAGATCTCTGAACCATGAGCGCAAAAACGTCTAGGGACACTGACATACATATCCCTGAACAGTTCGACCTCACAGTCAACGTAACCACGATGGAGGATTCCATCCGCATATCCCTCAGCTATCTTTCCCCCGCGGTCTCGCCGTGGCAGGCGCAGAACGTGGCCGGCACGTACGCGCAGGCGCTGCAGAGCATGGTCGACGCCCCATACCAGCCAGTTGCCGACATCGCCACGTTCAGCCCCGCAAACGAGCAGCAGCTTACGGCGTGGATCAGCGCGATGCCTACAGCTATCGAAGACTGCATCCACGACTTGTTTTCTCGAGTTGCTGCCGCGCAGCCGTCTGCCCCTGCGGTGGCCGCGTGGGATGGCTCCCTGTCGTACACGGAGCTTGACGACCTCTCGACGCGAGTCGCCATGAAGCTGGTGTCGCTGGGAGTAGGGCCAGATGATCTGGTCTTGCTCTGTTTTGCAAAATCCATGTGGGCGGTTGTGTCCATGCTTGGGGTGTTGAAGGCTGGAGGAGCCTGCGTCCACCTCGATCCTGCACATCCGGCCGATCGCTTGAGTCAGATTACCGCAGACACCAACGCAAAGGTCCTCTTAGCCTCATCCGAGGCCAATCACAAAATCATGAGTGCAAGGCATCAAACCGTTGTGGTCGACGCGGCTGCAACCGAGTCCATGCCAACGGCATATCCCCTCAACCGCCGCCAGCTTCCGCAGCCTACGACACCGGCATTCGTCATCTACACCTCTGGCAGCACCGGGGTCCCCAAAGGCGTAGTACTGGAGCATCGGACAGTCTGCTCTTCAATGCACGCACATGGAACAGCACTGGGGATCCAACCTGGCACCCGCGTGCTCCAGTTCGCCGCGTACGTCTTCGACATCAGCATCCAGGACGTGTTCACCTCGCTCACGCGCGGGGCCTGCGTCTGCGTGCCCTCGGAGCAACAGCGCATGGATCTGAGCGAGCTTGCCGCGTTTATCCGCGAGAAGCAGGTGAACTGGATGGGGCTCACACCGACGGTGGCGCGCCTGCTGGACCCTGCAACGATCCCAACCGTCAAGACATTAACCTTGGCGGGTGAAGCCGTAGACCAGGCGACTGTGGATCGCTGGAGCAACGCCGGATTGACTGGATTCCACAACTGCTATGGGCCTGCAGAGTGCACCGTCTACTGTGCGCACAATTCAGCTGTTGGGGCCCGTGGCCAGAGCGCGGCGAATATCGGACGCGGCCTGAACAGTTTGCTCTGGGTGGTGAGTCCACAGGCGCACGACCAGCTGGTGCCAATCGGGGCGATCGGTGAGCTTGTCGTTGAAGGGCCTCTTGTTGCCCGCGGCTACCATAACGATACCGCAAAGACAGAAGCCTCCTTTATTGTTGGTCCGCGGTGGGCGGACCGTTTCCGCCCTCAGGGCTGCGGTGACGAGCGGAGGATGTACAGGACGGGGGATCTGGTGCGATACAATCCGGATGGGTCGCTGGACTACCTGGGGCGGAAGGACACCCAGGTCAAGATCCGTGGCCAACGCGTCGAGCTTGGAGACATCGAGCAGCGGATCCTGCCTGCTCCGGACGTGCAGAATGGGCTGGTCGTGGTGCCCAAGGCCGGTCCAGGCAAGGGCCAGCTCGTCGCGGTCGTCGCATTCCAGAACAGCCCATCCACCGGGGGAGTATTGGAGATGGTAGCGAGAGACGAAGACACCAACGCAGCCTTGGCTCGACTCGGCGAGAGCATTGCAGACAGCCTTCCTGCCCACATGGTTCCTCGCTTCTGGCTGCCTGTGGCGGGGATCCCCCTGAATCTGTCTCGCAAAGTCGACCGCGCGCGCATCGCCCGCTGGGTCGAGCAGCTCGACGAGGCCTCTTTCCGCGACGAGCCGGCCGACTCTGCGCCAGCAACGGCGATGGAGGGCCGGATCCAGCAACTCGTGGCCAGGGTTCTGGGGATGCCGCTGGACAGCGTCAGCATGAGCAAATCCTTTATCAGACTAGGCGGCGACTCAATTACCGCGATGCAAGTGGTGGCCAGAGCCCGGGAGGAACGAGGGATCCGGCTGCGCGTCCGCGACATTATGAGGAGCAAGTCGCTCGTGCATCTGGTCTCGCTGGCCGGTCGCCACACTGCATCGGACGAAGCCTACACGGAGTCTGGGGAGCCTGTCTTCGGGCTCTCCCCCATACAGCAGTTCTACTTCGACTTGGCAGACCAGACGCCTTCCCACTACAACCAGAGCTTTCTCGTGCGGATTTCGCGGACCGTCAAGGGTTCGGCCGTTGCAGCAGCCCTGGATTCAGTGGTGCAGCGACATGCGATGCTGCGGACCTTGTTCTTCCAGGCGGATGGGCGATGGCAGCAGCGTGTGCACTCTCCGTCCTCCGCATATCGTTTCCGAATTCACACCATAAACACACAGGATGAGGCCGACGATGCTATCCTCGCCAGCCAGAGCAGCATCGACATTCACAAGGGCCCGATCTTTGCCGCCGACCTGCTCAACCACACCGAGGACGACGAGCAGCAGCTCTTCCTGACGGCACACCACCTGGCCATCGACCTTGTCTCTTGGAGAATTGTCCTTGCGGACATGCAGGATATTCTTATGACGGCAAAGCCCCTCCCCCAGCCCCCGGTGCAATATGCAGCTTGGGTTCGGCTGCAAGCGGCCCAGGCAGGGACTGCCGCTCTGCTCCCCGAGCGCGTCCTTCCCTTTGAGGTCGCCGGGGCGGACTATGCGTACTGGGGCATGCAGAGCAAGCCGAACCGCTACGGGGATGTTGCGCACGCAGTGTGCGAGATGGACAAGGAGACCATGAGTACAGTCCTGTCGAGGGCTTACGAGGTCTTCCGAGCAGAAGCCACCGATATCTTCCTGGCTGCCGTGCTCTTCTCGTTCAACCAGACCTTCTGCGACCGCAAACCACCCACAATATTCACCGAAACGCACGGTAGAGAACTCCCCGATGAATGGGATGCCGACATGGATCTGACCGGGACCGTCGGGTGGTTTACTGCGCTGGGCCCTTCTTTCCTTGCCCGCGACGAGGCGCAGGACATCGTCGAGGCCCTCCGGCTCATCAAGGACCAGAGACGCCAGCTACCGGCCAGCGGAACAGCCTACTTCATGTCGCGATTCGGCGACCAGCGGGGACGCACCGCGTTCAAGAGCCACATGCCCATGGAGCTGCTGTTCAACTACCTCGGCCAGTACCAGCAGCTGGAGCACGACGACAGCCTGTTCCGCATGGTCTCCAAAAGCCCTAGAACGGCACTGAGTGATGTACATCCGCAGAGCACGCGCATGGCGCTGATCGAAGTGTCTGTCGTCGTGACTGCAGGCTCGACTGTGTTTGACTTTGCGTACAATGCCAACTCCAACCGCAAGGACCAGATCCAGACCTGGCTGCGAAACTGCGAGAGCTGCCTGCGGACCATGGCGCGGGATCTTGCGGATCTCGCACCCCAAAGGACACTTAGCGACTTTCCTTTACTGGACGTCTCGTACGCAGATCTGCAAAGCATCGTACAGACCCGCCTCCAGCCCATGGGCATCGCGAGTCTGACCCAGGTCGATGCAATGTACCCAACCTCGCCCATCCAGGACGGAATCCTTCTGGCACAAGATCGCTCCGAGGAGGCCTACAACGTGCACTTTCAATATGAAGTCTCTCACCTCCGCACGGGCACCTTGACCCTGGTGGACCAGAATCGCCTTGTGCAGGCCTGGCACCAGGTGGTGGCCAAGCACGAGATCCTGCGAACCGTCTTCGTCGACGCAGTCGCGGAAGGCGCAGTATTCACCCAGCTGGTGTTGCAGGAGCCTCAAATCAGCGTCGAGCTCGTGCCCGCCTGCGATGATGACGAAGCGTTGGCCATCCTGTCCCAGCCTGCCCAGCACACCGCGGGCGACAAGGGATCGCCGGCGCACTGTTTGCGAATCTGCCAGACGAAATCCGCACGGACGCTGTGGAAGCTCGAAATCAGCCACGCGCTCATCGATGCACAGTCGATGGCCATCGTGCTGCAGGATCTCAAGGCCGCATACGAAACCGGCACCCTCGACGGGGACGGATCGGTGTATTCCGCGTACATTCGCTACTTGCAGCGTTGTCCGGCCCACGCTGCTTTGGACTACTGGAAAGCATATGTACGAGGGCTGGAGCCATCACATCTTCCTACAAACAGCAGCAGCAGCAGCAGTGGCGATGAGCCGAAACATGAGCAGCAACATGTGGAGATCAACCTGTCGACAGTCGCAGCCCGACTCAGTGCTTTCTGCCGCGAAAACGAAGTCACCATGTCGACCGTCTTCCAGGCCGTGTGGGCGCTGGTCCTGAGCTGCTACACCGGTGATTCAGCCGACGTGTGCTTCGGGTATCTCTCGTCTGGCAGAGACATCCCTGTCGAGGGGATCGAGTCTGCAGTGGGCCCCTTTATCAACATGCTCGTCTGCCGCGCGGCGACAGGTGCAGACGTCCGTGTCAACCAGCTGTTGAAGCAGATCAAGGACGACTATCTCGCCGGCTTTGAACACCAGCACTGCTCGCTGGCGGAGATCCAGCACTCTCTGGGGCTGGCGGGCCGACGCCTCTTCAACTCCATCATGACCGTCCGACACGATACCAGCGATGAGTCTGCGGGCGACCCCGATGGCCTCACATTCAAATCCATCGGCAGTCACGATCCGACCGAGTACGAGATGGTGGTTGGGGTGGTCATCTCCGAGACGAATCCGCGCTTCTCGCTCACGCACCAGAGCCCCGTCATCTCGTCGTGGCAGGCCCAGAACATCGCACAAGCCATGCAGACGGCGCTCGAATCCTTCCTGACCAACCCATACGCAGAGCTGCAGAGCATTGATCTCGTTGGGGAAGCCGCGCAGCATCTCATCGAAGGGTGGAATAGCCATCTACCCACAACGAACCGCGCGTGCGTCCACGATCTGATTGAACAAACGGCACAGAAGCAGCCTTCTGCGATTGCCCTCTGCTCTGCCACGGAGCAGATGACCTACCGCGAGGTGAGCGAGCTGTCCACCCGGTTGGCGAGACACCTCCAATCGCTGGGCGTGGCCCGGGGCACATTGGTCCCGATCTGCATGGACAAGTCGGTGTGGGCCGTTGTCTCTATGCTGGCAGTCATCAAGGCAGGGGGCGCGTACGTGCCAATCGACCCTGAATTGCCTGTCAAGAGGCACGAAGGGATTCTCGCCCAGTTGCCGTCGCAGGCTGTCTTGCTTACTTGCCCACACACCTCCTTCCACGCCCGATTCAGGGGAGTCAAACTCGAAGTCACACCGGAGATGCTGCACGGTATCAGAATATATAATCAGCAGCCGCTCCCCTCGGTGCATCCGACCGATTCAATATATGTGCTGTTTACGTCTGGCAGTACCGGAGAGCCCAAAGGCGTGGTCGTCGAGCACCAATCGGCAGCGACCAGTCTGGTCAACCACGGCGCAGCGATGAACCTGAGCGCTGATTCTCGAGCCCTGCAGTTCTGCGCCTTCTGGTTCGACGTCAGCGTCTGCGAAATCTTCGGAACTCTGCTCCACGGCGGAAGTGTGTGTATCCCTCGCGACCAGGACCGCAACCTGGACATTGTGCAGTTCATGGATGAGATGAAAGTCAACTGGGCCTTCTTCACTCCCTCATTCGCCTCGCTCATCCAGCCAACGCAGGCGAAGCATCTGAAAACACTGGTTCTGGGCGGCGAGGCGATTCGAGCGTCGAATATCAGAGAGAACGCGGACAAGGTGGAACTGATCAACGGATACGGGCCCACCGAGGCAACGATTTTCAGCCTCGTCCACCATATCAAGTCGTCCAACGAGGACCCCAAGGTCGTTGGTCGGGCCGTTGGCTGTCGCGTGTGGCTGACCAGAGTCAACAACCCGCACTGCCTCGCCCCCCTGGGAAGTGCCGGAGAGCTCCTGATCGAAGGTCCGCAGCTTGCGCGTGAGTATTTGGGCAGTCCGAGCAAGACCAAGGAAGCATTTGTCGAGGAGCTCCAGTGGTGCCAGCGAGTCGATGTTCATCCTCGCCCACATAGGCTGTATCGAACCGGGGACCTCGTGCGATACCGTCCCGACGGCGCTCTGGAGTTTATCGGAAGAAGGGATAAGCAGGCCAAGGTCAACGGGCAACGGCTGGAGCTCGCGGAGGTGGAGCAGCATCTCAGCGCGCATGTCCATGCAGGGATTGCCCTGATTCCCTCCCAAGGCCGCTACGCAAAGCAGCTGGTTGCCCTCGCCTCTCTGCCGGGGCTGATGAGGAAGAACAATGAGCTCCGCCTGGTCGACATCAGCCATCGCGAGACTGTGGCATCCGCCATAACAAGGCTGCAGGATACGCTCCTGGAGCAGCTCCCTCGGTACATGGTGCCCACGGCCTGGCTAGTGGTGCAAGACATCCCTCTCAGTTCAGCGGGCAAGCTGGATGTGGCGCGGGCCAGCGAGTGGGCTGAAGCACTTTCCGAGCTGGATCTCCAGCACGCCGAGGCCCTGGCGACCCCAGAAGACTCCGCAGCCCCAGTGTCAGATCTCCAGCTGCAGATCATGCAGATCCTCGCGCGCGTCCTCGGGATCCAGTCCGATAGGGTAATGCTGCACCGATCGTTCATCAGCCACGGAGGAGACTCCATTAGCGCGATGCAGGTGTCTGCGCAATGTAGGGCCGAGGGAATCCTTGTGCGCGTTCAGGATATCATCAAGAGCAGATCCATTGCTCAACTATCTTCAACCGCTCGCCTTGTTACGGAGACCGACACGTCAATATCGCCGATTTCGACGGCTGATCCAACCGAGACCGTCTTCGCGCTCTCGCCCATTCAACAGTTCTTCGTTGACTTGTCTGGACACCCGGCCTCGCGCTTCAACCAAAGCACATTCGTTCGACTCCGCGATGCTATCGACCCAGACCGCGTGGCCAGGGCTGTCCGAGATCTAGTTCAGCGGCACTCCATGCTGCGCGCACGCTATGTTCGTCGTGAACAGGAATGGGCCCAGATTGTATCCAAGGACATTGGATCTTCGTTCCGATTCCAGCACCACCTCGTGCCTCGCAGCAGGCTGGCAGAGATTATGCACGCAAGCCAACTGGGCCTGGACGTCGAGAGAGGCCCGGTGTTTAGCGTCGACCTGGTGCACACAGACGACGGCGCCGAATTCCTCTATATGGTCGCCCACCATCTGGTCATTGATCTGGTCTCCTGGCGCATTATCCTGCAGGACATCGAGCATCTGCTCACGGTCAAAACACCGCTGGCCACAGTCCCCTTCCCCTTCCAGGCCTGGCTCAAAGCACAGGCTGCTCATGTCGCTGAAGTCTACACTGTGGATGATGTTTTGCAGCACAGTGTGGTGCCGGCTGATTTCGAATACTTGGGCTTCAACGAGCCCAAGCACAACGTCTATGGCAACACGGTCAGCGGTCATTTTAGCCTAGGTGCAGAAACCACCTCGGTGCTTCTGGGGACCGGCAACGATGTCTTTGGAACAGACCCCGTCGACATCTTTCTTGCTGCGCTCTTCTGCTCTTTCCAAGAGACGTTCCCTGCCCGGCGGACCCCGAGTATCTTCATCGAGGGCCACGGAAGAGAGTCGTGGGACGATACAATCGACCTCGCATCGACCATTGGCTGGTTCACGACTTTGTTCCCCGTCTCCGCTGCGGAAGGAGCACAGCCGGAAATCTTGGATCTGATCCGGCACACCAAGGACACCCGACGACGCGTGCCCAAGAACGGGTGGCCGTACTTCAACCTCCGATATCTGCAGGCGGCAGCGTTCAAAGACCACGCACCAATGGAAATCCTCTTCAACTACTTCGGCCAATACCAGCAGCTCGAGCGCAGCGACGCCTTCCTGATGCCCGCCGAGAAGCTGCCCGACGAGGCGCGCATCTTTGACGTCGATCTCCAGCAGCCCCGGCTTGCCCTGATTGAAATCTCCGCCACCGTGGCTCAGGGAGAGGCTCACTTTGACTTTGTGTATCCTGGACAAATGTCCCACCAGGGAAAGCTGACCAAGTGGATCAGCGTGTGTCAGCGCATTCTCACATCGATCGCGCGCCAGCTGCCCACGATGCGCGAGCAGCGGACACTGGTTGACTTCCCGCTGCTTTCGATGAGTTACGCGGGCTTGGATAAACTCGCGAATGAAATATTTCCTGCTCTTCGAATTGGTGGCTTCGACCAGGTCGAAGACATTTATCCATGTACCCCTCTGCAGCTGGGTATTCTCCTCAGCCACACCCAAGAGGAGCAGGCCTATGCCGTCCAATCCATGTGGGAGGTCAAGGGTCAGATCAATGCCACTCGGTTGGCTGATGCGTGGAGTCAAGTAGTGGATCGCCATGCGATTCTGCGGACCGTATTCATTGAAAGCGTTGCAGAGCAGGGGGCCTTTGACCAGGTGGTGCTCAAAACAATTGACAACCCGGCCGATGTTCGCCAGTGCAGAGACGAAGACGCAGTCCGCGTGGTCAGCGAATACTGCACGACAATATCCCCCTTTGGAGGCATTCCCCACCGCTTCACCATCTGGGTGACCGAGGGCCGCCAGCGGGCCTTCTGCAAACTCGAGGTGAATCACGCCATTATCGATGCAGTTTCTTTCTCACTGATCCTGCGTGACCTGACCGAGGCGTATGACAACAAGCCAACCTTCCTCGAGACGGAGAGGCCTCTGTACCGGTCGTACGTCGAGTACATCCAGAGCAAGCCCAAGCAGGCCGGCATCGACTACTGGAAGACTCACCTGCAAGGCATCGAGCCATGTTACTTTCCAGCCGACTGTGACCGCCACGCGCAGATCGGCCAGCTGAACTCGGTGGATGTCGAGATCGCCGACTACAACTCCCGCGTGAAGCAGTTCTGTGCCCAGCACGGAGTGACCCTGGCCAATCTGCTCCGGACTGCCTGGGGCCTGGTACTTCGCGCGTACACGGGATCCAGCGATGTCTGCTTTGGATATATCAACTCTGGCCGAGACATTCCCGTTTCTGACGCTGTCCATGCGGTGGGGCCGTTTATCAACATGCTGGTGTCGCGGGTTACGTCTGCATCAAGCGATAGGATTTCAACGGTGTTGGAGAGCGTGCAGTCTGCGTATGCCGAGGGACTCGAGCACCAACATACATCGCTGGCTGATATACAGCATGCTCTGGGCTTGTCGGGGAAGCCGCTGTTCAACACCATCATGTCCATTCAGAGCTCTTCTGGCTCTGCTGGGGTAGATGCCAACATCCCTGCGATTCGGTTTGAGAATATCGGCGCGCACGATCCAACTGAGGTAAGTTGCCCAAATGCAATCTCTGAACTTCAGACACTGATCGAGGGAAAAACAGTATGACATTGTGGTCAATGCCTCCCTCTCCGATGCTCAGGTGCATGGAGTATCGCTCAGCTACCAAGCATCGCGCATCTCGCAGTGGCAAGCGGCGAATGTTGCGAATACCTTCAGGGCTGCGCTCTGCAGCATGATTGACCGACCAGACATTCTCGCTGCTCAGCTCAACCTCACCACCGATAAAACTCTGCGCCAGATTAACCAGTGGAGCCCGCAGTCTCTACAAACAATTGCTCGCTGCGTTCACGAGGTGTTTGAAGAGCGCGCTGTCCAGACGCCTTCGGCGCCCGCTGTCAGCGCATGGGACCTAAGCTTGACGTACGCGGAATTGAACCAATGGGCAAATCGCCTCGCGCACTATCTCCAAACTCTCGGGGTTGGACCGGAGGTGCTGGTTCCGCTGTGCTTCGACAAATCGGCGTTCAATGTGGTTTCCATGCTCGCCGTGTTGAAGGCAGGCGGTGCCTTTGTCCCTCTGGATCCCACTCACCCAGCTGAGCGCCACAGGGCCATTATTACTGATATAAACGCACGTGTCGTACTCACAAGTCCTTTGTATAGTACACATTTCAGTGTTATGGTCTCGGGTGTTGTCATGGTCGACCTGCAAAACCTCTCTCAGCTGCCTTCCAACGAGGTCCCAGCATCAACGGTGAGCCCGTCGAGTGCAGCGGTGGTGATATACACCTCTGGAAGCACCGGAAAGGCCAAGGGAGTGGTTCTGGAACATCGCAATCTGTGCACGAGTATGGAAGCCCACGGATCTGCCTTGAAGATCGGACCCTCCAGTCGGGTTCTGCAATTCGCAGCACATATCTTCGATATTAGCTTGCAGGATATCCTAACCACCATCACGAGGGGAGGCTGTGTCTGTATCCCCTCACTGCAGCAGCGCGACAACGACCTGCCCGGCGCCATCAACAAGTACCAGGTCAACTGGGCCTGCATCACCCCGACCGTCGCGGGCCACTTGCTAGAGCTCAAGCTGGTCCCCACGCTCAAGACCTTGACCTTGGCGGGCGAAGCAGTCTCGCAGCGCGTTGTCGATATCTGGTCTCCAGCAGGCGAGACGAAGCTCGAAAACTTCCACAATTGCTATGGCCCCGCCGAATGTACCATCTACTGCTCATGGAATGGCCGCGTCGGCCAGGGGAGCAAACCGTTCAACATCGGCCACAGCCTGGCGAGCCGACATTGGGTAGTCAACGCCGATAATCACAACATCCTTCAGCCCATCGGAAGTGTGGGCGAGCTGGTGGTGGAAGGGCCGCTGGTTGCGCGAGGTTACCTGAACGACGCTGCCAAAACAGAGGCCTCGTTCATCACAAACCCTGCCTGGGCCGCGGCGGGTAACGAGACCACTCGGAGAATGTACCGCACTGGCGACCTGGTCCGGTATACGAGCGATGGGTCGCTCGATTATCTGGGCCGCAAGGACTTCCAGGTGAAGCTGCACGGTCAGCGCATCGAGCTAGGAGAAGTCGAGCATGCGCTCTTGCGCGACGAGCGAGTTCAGGATGGCGTCGTTCTCTTTCCTCGCTCTGGCAGTGAGCAGCAGCGCCTCGTTGCCATTGTCTCTCTCCATTCCAGTGCTGGATCAGATTCCAAGACAGCGACCGGCACGACTCGCGTCTTGCAGCCTGTTCATGCTGACCAAAAGAGAGCCGCTTGCAGGCAGGTTATGGAGGTCAAGGAAGGCCTGATGAGCCGGTTACCGAACTACATGGTGCCCTCCGTCTGGATTGCCGTGCAGGATATTCCCATCAATGCATCTGGCAAGATCGACCACGCTCAGATCACCAAGTGGATCGAGAGCCTGCAGGGAGCGCAGCGCAGTGACTGGGTCATCGACACAGAAGAAGAACACCTTCCTGCCCAGAGCGGCGCCGCACTGCAGACCCCGAAACAGAGCCAGCTGCGCAATATCGTTTCCCAGATCCTCAACTTGTCACCGGAGAGAGTGCGCTTCAGCCGTTCATTCCTGGGACTGGGCGGAGACTCTATCACCGCCATGCAGCTGGTCGCCGTGGCTCGTGGACAGGGGCTTGCCGTCAAGGTGCAAGATGTACTACGCAGCAGATCGCTCACTGCTTTGCTGGATCGGGTTCTGGAGGCCTCGCCAACAGCAGAGGCCGGGCAGATATCCGAGAGCATAGATTTGCCCTTCCCCCTGGCACCGGTGCAGCGCCTGTTTATGGACATGTCTCAAGAGCCCGAGACACACTTCAACCAGAGCTTCTTCCTCCAGCTTCAATGCCGCATATCGGAGTCGGAAATGCTGCACGCAGTCAACGAGATCGCTCACCGTCACAGCATGCTCCGAGTGCGATTCAACTACCAGAATGATGCCTGGGAACAGCGAATTCTTGCACCGACTCGCGAGGCTTATCGGTTTACTGCACATCACGGAGTAACCTCGGAGGAGATTGCGACAATCCTGGGCACGAGCCAGAAGTCTCTCCACCCCGTTCAAGGCCCGGTGTTTGCAGTAGATTTCATTGATAATGGCAATGAGCGACTTCTATACCTGGTGGCGCACCATCTGGCCATTGATCTAGTTTCCTGGCGTGTCATCCTGGGTGAGCTGGAATTACTCTTGGGTGGGAAATCCCTGCCATCTCACCGGCCCTTCCCCTTCCAGACATGGGTTCAACGCCAGATCGAGCGCGCTGAGCAGTTGGAAGCGGCCAAAGAACTTGGATTCTCCATCCCCGCGGCCGACTTTGCGTACTGGGGAATGGACAACCGGCCCAACACGTATGGAGACACAATTCGCGAGAGATTCACCCTCGACCCCTCCGTCACTCAATCCATTCTCCAGGACTCCAATAGAGCATGGAACACGGAACCCGACGACATTTTCCTGGCCGCATTCTTATCATCTATGGCTCAGACCTTCCCCAGTCGTCTCGAGTCTTTGCCGGCCATCTTTATGGAGAACCATGGACGAGAGGCCTGGGACGACACCATTGACCTCGCCCAGACTGTTGGCTGGTTTACGACCATGTCGCCTGTCTACGCGCGTCATAGCGACCTACAGAGCCCGGCTGAGTCGGTCTACAAGGTTAAAGACCTGCGCAGGAGAGTTTCGCACGGGGGCCTGATGTACTTTATGTCGCGCTTCCTGACTTCAGGCGGCCAAGAGGCATTCGGCCACCACTGGCCCATGGAGATCCTGTTCAACAACCTGGGCCAGTACCAGCAGTTGGAGCGTGCCGACGCTCTCCTCAAGCCCCACGCACCTGTTGCTGGAGTTTCGGATGTGAGCCTCCGCGCCACACGGCTTGCCCTGATCGAAGTATCCGTGGTGGTGGTGCGGGGGGCTGCGCGGTTCGACTTTGTCCTCAACAAGCACATGAAACATCTGGATCTATTTGCCCGCTTTGTCCAGAACTACGAAAGGTGTCTTACTTCACTCGCCAGCGAGCTGCCTACGATGCAGCCCCGGCGGAGTCTCTCCGACTTCCACCTGCTGCCCTCGCTCACCTACCGCGGACTGGATCGGTTAAACCAGGCACTCGGCGACCTACAGCCCCTCGTCGAGGACATCTACCCTTGCTCTCCCATGCAGGATGGCCTTCTGCTGAGCCAGAGCCAGTCACCGGGAAATTACCAGATAAGTTTCACCTACGCCCTGCATGCCCCAGAGGGTGCTCCCGTCCACGTCCATCGCCTTCAAAAGGCCTGGCAGCAGGTCGTCAACCGGCACGCCATCATGCGCACAATCTTTGTCGACAGCGTGTCGGATGAGAGTGCGTATCTGCAGGTGGTTCTCAAGAATGTGGATGCGCTTGCTCGTCCAGAAAACCGAGGCTTTGCTCAACCAGACCACAGCCTGGTCATCTCCAACAGCGGTGCAGCGCAGACGATTGTCGAGCTGAGGGTGAACCACGCCCTGATCGACGCAGTATCCGTCGGCCTCTTGCTACATGAACTACAGGCCGCTTACGATGAAGCTTTTCTGTCTACGGAAGCCCCTGGATATCAGAACTACATCCGCTTCCTTCAGGAAAAGGATCCGAATGCGGCGGATGAGTACTGGGCCAGGTATGTCTCTGGCGTCGAGCCCTGCATACTGCCCCCAATGCCAGACGCGTCAAGTCAGGAGAAACAACTGCGCTCCTTGGAAATCCCACTAGACGAGATCACCCAGAGCCTCCGCCACTTCTGCGAGCTGCACGAAACGACCGTCGCCAACTTCTTCCATGCAGTCTGGGCCCTCGTCCTCCGCACTTTCGCCGCATCAAACAATGTCTGCTTTGGCTACCTCGCCGCAGGCCGAGAGGCCGCAGTACCGGGCATCGAGAGCATTGCTGGCCCCTTCATTAACCTTCTTGTTGGCCGCTTTGATATGGACGAAGCCAATACCGTTTTGGATGTGATGAAGCGTGCCCAGTCGGACTATGCGGCAGGCCTCGAGCACCAGCATTACCCACTGGCGAGCCTGCACCATCATCTGAAACTCGCAGGGGCTCCTCTGTTCAATACCATTATTTCCGTGCAGCGCGGTGCTTCGCAAGCGACAGATATCGCTTCCCATCAGCCGTCTTTGACCTTTGAGAGCGTCAAGTCTCATGATCCCACCGAGGTAAAGGCTGCTCCCATCCAGAATATATAATCTTGACTGACTCCTTGCAGTACGACCTGACAGTCAATGTCATGTCTTCCGCCGCCCACACTTCTATATCGCTCACATACTGGAATTCCGTCCTCTGTGACTGGCAGGTCCGTAACGTGGTGGACGCGATGAAAACCGCCATCTCGGCCCTGCTCGATGCCCCGTCCACGCAGGTCCAGAATCTCAGCCTGGTCGGGCCACGCAGCCAAACTCTACTCGGAGAATGGAACAGAGGCTACGAAACCACCCTTTCCGTTCGTTCCACAGTTCATCGCGAATTTATCAAGGAGGCACAGAGGCAGCCGCAAGCCCCCGCGCTTGCCGCATGGGATGGGTCCATGACCTACGCGGAGTTGAACACTGCGGCGGTCCGGCTTGCTACCAGACTGAGCGTACTGGGCGCCTGCGGTGTATTGGTTCCCTGCTGTTTCGAAAAGTCCATGTGGGCAGTCGTCTCGATGATGGCGGTGCTCATGGCAGGAGGTACGGTGGTGCCGATGGATCCGTCTCACCCTGATCATCGCTTGGAGGCGATTCTGCGCAATGTGGATGCGAAGCTGATCCTCACGAGCGATGCTCTGGCCCATCGATTTAAACCTCTCGTTGACGCCGCTCTGCCGGTTGGAAAGGACTATGTGGATGCCCTTCCTACCGTCACTGATGCGCTTCCGGATGTCGAGCCGGAAACGTTGGCCTTTATCATCCACACTTCTGGAAGTACTGGAGTCCCCAAGGGCGTCATGCTAGACCACAAAACTGTGTGCACGAGCATGGAAGCGCACGGCAGCCGCCTCAATATCCAAGCCGGACAGCGTGTGCTCCAATTCGCTTCGTATGCATTCGACATAAGCCTGCAAGACATGTTCACCAGCCTGACACGCGGTGCCTGCGTCTGCATTCCTTCCGAGGAGCAGCGACTAAACAGCCTAAGCAGTTTTGTCCAAGAATTTGGCGTCACCTGGGCGGGCATTACACCAACAGTCGCTGCTCTCTTGGAGCCGGCCCAGGTTCCCTCGCTCAAGACGTTGACCTTGGCTGGTGAGGCGATCACCCAGCGGACGATCGATGTCTGGTCAAACGCGGGTCTGCAGAGTTTCAATAACTGCTACGGCCCTGCCGAATGTACTATCTACTGCTCATGGCACGGCAACGTTGGGGCAGACCCTGCGCACTCCGCCTCGAATATCGGCTGGCCGCTGGCGAGCTCTTTCTGGCTGGTTGATCCGTCGAATCCGGAGATTCTGCTCCCCGTGGGCTGCGCGGGTGAACTTCTTGTTGAGGGTCCTCTGGTCTCCCGAGGATATTTGAACGACCCGGGTCGAACGCAGGCGTTGTTCATCACAGACCCGGCGTGGACACCCCTGGTTGGAGGGGGCTCAGGCCGCAGAATGTATCGCACCGGTGATCTGGTCCAGTACAACCCTGACGGTTCTCTCAGCTACCTTGGCCGGAAAGACACGCAAGTTAAAGTGCATGGTCAGCGGCTGGAATTGGGAGAAATTGAGTCGCACATTCGGTCCAGCGCCCCGGAAGACGCCCAGGTGGCCGTGGAGATGGTCAAAGACTGGGGCCTCGTTGCATTCGTGGCCCTGCCACAACACGCCGCGAGCGACACGACGATTCTCCCGTTGGACACCCAAACGAGAAAGACGCTGGTCTCCCTCTGTACCTCACTGGAGGCTCTCCTGCCGCTGTACATGATCCCCGCGCTCTGGATCCCCGTATCCCACATCCCCCTCAATGCGTCGAGGAAAGTGGACCGACGTGCCCTGGCCCTGATGGCGTCAAGCCTGTCTGGGGCAGAATCTGCACTGTATTCTCTCGACGCGGCTACTGGCGAGGATGGCGACAATGGCCTGATGATGACACCTGGCGAGCGACGGCTGCGCTCCCTCTGGTGCAGCATCCTCCAGCTTCCCGAAGACCAGGTGGGCGTCAACAGCAACTACCTGCGGCTCGGAGGTGATTCCCTCGCCGCAATGCGCATGGTCGCCCTGGCCCGGCAGGCCGACGCCCACATCACGGTGGCGGATATCCTGCGCCATCCAGTCCTGAAGGTCATGGCCACCAAGCTTGAGCTTGATTCCGCTGTTGCAGAGGCTATTGCGCCGTTTGCGCTTCTGGATGATGGAACCCGATCAAAGGTAACAAGGGAGCTTGCGGCACTCTGTGGCGTTGAGGTCGCCAAGGTCGAAGATATATATCCCACCACGCCGCTGCAGGATGGACTGATGGCGCTGTCTCAAACCCAGACAGGCGCCTATCTGAATGACATGGCCTTTGCCATCTCTCCGGAAATCAACATTGCCACATTCAAAATGGCATGGGAGCATGTCGTTCGATCTGTGGAGATCCTACGGACTCGTGTTGCCTTCTCCGAGATCGCCTCGCGCGCCTACCAAATCGTCATCGCCGATGAACCCCAGTGGCACGACAGCTCTTCCCTGCAGGCCTATCTCCGTGAGAGACAAGCACTCCAAGTCGAGTACGGCAGCCATCTGAACCGGTACGCAGTCATAGACGAAGGGGCTGGCCGACGGTTCTTCGTCTGGTCCGCGCACCACGCAGTCTACGATGGCTGGAGCACAGGGCTGATCATGGCCGACCTCCAACACGCGTACCAGAGCACAACCCCCATCGAGATCCGCCATTCGCCGTATAATCAGTTCATCCGCCACCTGGTGGAGGTTGATTCTGCGGTCGAAGAGCGCTTCTGGCGGTCCCAGCTCCAGGGAGCCGTAGCCCCCAGCTTCCCTCCACCACCAGCAGCCGACGCCACACCTGCTCCAAGAACACTCACACGCACGGTGCCTCTTCTTCAGACTTCTGCGAGCGACGCTACGGAGCCCTCCATTATCCGCGCCGCCTGGGCGCTCCTCCTCGCTCGATACGCCAACTCCGACCAGGCTGTCTTTGGAATCACCCTCTCCGGCCGAGACGCCCCTGTCGGCGGCGTCGGGGACATGGTTGGCCCTACAATAACGACTGTTCCGCTATGCATTCCCGTATTGCAGACCCAGCCAGTCGCCCAGTTCCTGCACGATGTACACCAGCAAGCGACGGAGATGATCCCCTACGCGCACACAGGGCTCCAGAACATTCGGCAATTCGGCGCGGATGCAGAAGCAGCCTGTAACTTCCAAGCCCTCCTCGTGATCCAGCCAGCTGGAGAGACGGACGACAATGCGGCATCTGGAATGGGCGTCGAAGCAGTCTCGCCGGCGTCTGAGGTGGAGGGAACACCCCGCGGCGCGTTCCACACGTACAGTCTGGTGGTGGAATGCGTCGTCCGCAAGGATTTCGTCGATATGTCCGCCTTGTTTGACGAGAATGTCATTCCAGCTGCCCAGATGGAACGCTTGCTGGCACACTTTGCTCGCATCTTAGGCCAACTGCGCGATACGAGTAATATCGATAGCCTCCTTGGCCAGCTTGAGATGATCTCTGAGGACGATCTCGTGCATATCCGGGCCTGGAACTCTGAAGTACCACTGAACCGCGTGGAATCATGCGTGCACCATCTCTTCCAACAGCGGGCCCTCGAGCAGCCCAATGCACTGGCAATCTGTGCATGGGACGGAGAATTCACCTATCGCCAGCTGGAGGAGCTTTCGAGCCTGCTGGCATTACAGCTGGTTGGGAAGGGAGTCATGGCGGAGACAAAGGTGCCGCTCTGCTTCGACAAGTCCAGCTACGCGATCATCGCCATGCTCGCGGTTCTCAAGGCTGGAGGGGCGTGTGTGCCCTTCGATCCAGCGCATCCCGTCACCCGCCACGAGACCGTCATTGCCGACACGGGAGCGGCTGTCGTCCTTGTTGGGGAAGAGTACAAAGATAGGTTCCCTCTTACGGGAGTGGAGAGCCTCGTGGTCTCCGAGCGGTCACTCAAGGAAACGACTGTGATGCCAGGCCTGTTCCTGGCTCTCCAGAAGGCTACAGTGGCCACCCCGTCCAGCGCGGCGTTTGTGATATACACATCAGGCAGTTCCGGTGTACCCAAAGGCGTGGTTCTACAGCACGACAACGTCTGCAGCAGTCTGGAAGCCCATGGATGCGCGTCAGCACTGAACATTGGACCCGGAACGAGGGTTCTGCAATTCGCCTCGTACGCCTTCGACATTAGCATTCAGGACATCTTCACCTCGCTCACCAGAGGCGCGTGCATCTGCGTGCCGTCTGAAGAGCAGCGTGTCAACTCTCTTGCAAATGTAATCAACGAGATGCAGATCAACTTTGCGGGCATTACGCCGACGGTGGCCAATCTGCTGCAACCTTCCGATGTTCCATGCCTAAAGACCATTGCATTGGCTGGCGAGGCAGTGACCCAGAAGACCATTGAGATCTGGAACAAGACCGACGTGCAGCTGTTCAACTGCTACGGCCCTGCAGAATGCACCATCTACTGCGCGTTGGCCAAAAATGTTGGCCAGGCGCAGCGCCAGCCGGCAAACATAGGATTCGGCTTGAATTCCAGGCTCTGGGTTGTGGAAGCCTCGAATCACCAGAAGCTCACCCCACTTGGGCTTGTTGGAGAGCTGGTAGTTGAAGGCCCTCTAGTGTCGCGAGGGTATTTGAACGACCCAGAAAAGACCGCCGCCTCCTTTATCATCAACCCGGAGTGGGCAGACGTAGCCCCAGGCCAGGAAAGGCGCATGTATGTCACTGGCGATCTGGTGCGATGCAATCCCGATGGTTCACTGGACTATCTGGGGCGAAAGGACTCGCAAGTCAAACTTCGTGGCCAGCGCTTGGAGCTCGGGGACATTGAGCACCACGTCTTCTCGCGCCCTGGCATTGAAAGAGCAGTGGCCCTTGTGCGCAGCCAGGAAGACGGCCAGCAGACTCTCGTGTCTGTTCTGCAGCTCAGCTCAGTCAATCAGGCGGACACCGAGGAAGAGCTGACTCTGCTTTCCCCCCAGTCTCTTGCTGCTGCTCGGGCAACAATTTCGTCGCTCAGAGAGTACCTGTCCAGCGTTCTGCCGGGGTACATGGTCCCCACGGACTTCCTGGTTGTGAGCTCAATCCCCCTCAACGCGTCCAGGAAGATCGATCGGGCCAGAATGACAAGATGGATTCAGAATCTGAGCCTGGATGCGTTCAAAGACATACGTTCCGCCTTGGAAGATGCCCCCGCCGAGCTTTCAGGCCCTACCACAATCAAGGAGAAGCAGATCCAGCACCTCATTGCCCTGACTCTCAACAAACCGGTCACTAGCCTGCCTCTAAGCGGGTCCTTTGTCTCCCTCGGAGGCGATTCCATCACGGCGATGCAGCTCGTTGCCCGCTCTCGCAGCCTGGGCATGGCCCTGAGCGTCAAGGAGATCCTCCGCAGCAAGACGATTGCCGATGTCGCCCAGCGTGCGACAATGCTTGATTCCTCGCTGGATCTTGTGGAGGACGAGACCGGGGAGCCGTTTGATCTGTCCCCGATCCAACAAATGTACTTTGACATGTCGAACCAGGCAGCCACTCATTTCAACCAGAGCTTCTTCTTGACGCTGACGAGGTGGATTGACCCGAATGAGCTGCGCGCTGCGATTGCACGACTCGTGCAGACTCACTCCATGCTGCGGGCCCGACTCACCCGTGCCGGAAGCATCTGGCGCCAGTTCGTGCCGCAAGAGGCTGTGTATCACTTTGAAGCGCACAGCGGATGCTCTGATGGCCAGCGGGAGCAAATCATTGCCGCTCGGCAACAGGAGACCCTGGATATCGAAAAGGGACCGGTCTTCGCCGTGGATGTCTTCGAGTCGGTGGAGACGAGCAGGGCGCAGTCGGTATTCCTCGTCGCCCATCACCTCGTCATCGACCTGGTTTCTTGGCGCGTCATTCTGCAGGATATCGAGGATATTCTCGAGGGTCGTGAAGCGGCACTTTCGAAGCCACTGCCCTTCCAGACGTGGCTTCGGCTCCAGCACGAGTATGCGGCAGGCCTCCATGCCGAGCAGGTTCTTCCTTTCCCAATCGAACCAGCTAATACTGGTTACTGGGCCATGGCAGATAAACCGAATGCTCACGGAGACTCGCTCCAGAGAGGCTTTGTCCTGGATAGCGAACTCACTGCACAGCTTCTGAGCGACCGCTGCCACCAGACCCTGGACACCGATGTCACGGATCTAATGCTGACAGGGCTGCTGCACGCATTCTCCACAGTATTCACCGATCGTGCGATCCCCACCGTTTTCAGTGAAGGACACGGACGTGAGCCCTGGGACTCCCAGATCGACCTGTCGCGCACGGTGGGCTGGTTCACGACCATGGTGCCCCTCCACGTCCCGACAGCAGAAGATATCCTGAGTTTGCTGCGACAAGTCAAGGACCGCCGGCGTCAAGTGCCTGGAAAGGGCTGGCCGTATTTTACCGCTCGTTATAGCAACCCGGACGCACGCCAGAGTTTTGCTGACCACCTGCCGATGGAGATTCTGTTCAACTACCTCGGCCAGTACCAACAGCTGGAGCGGGACGACGCCTTGATGAAGCCTGAGCCACGACCAGCCAGCGCTTCGGACATTGGGAGCTCGACGCCCCGCTTGGCTCTCTTTGACATCTCCGTCGTCGTCGGCCAGGGAATGACCAGCTTCAGCCTCGGTTACAACAAGTACATGCAGCACCAGGAGAAGATCGGTCGGTGGATCGCAGAGACACAGCGGTCTATCAAGGAGCTGGTCCAGAGCCTCGTGGCCTCGCCGAAGCAATACACCCTGAACGACTTCCCCTTCAGCCGGAGCATCGGCTACGAGGGCCTCACCCGACTACAGGACGCCTGCGTGGGCGAATTCGGCATCCGAGGGCTGCAAGACCTCGAAGACTTCTACCCCTGCTCTTCAATCCAGGCGGGACTTCTATTGGGCCAGCGTCTCTCTCCGGGCGCATACGAGGTGCACTTTATGTTCGAGGTTCTCCCTCGGAGCGGCGAGGCTGTCGACCTTGACCGTCTGCAGGCCTCGTGGCAGTCCGTCGTCAACCGCCATGCGATGCTCCGCGCAATCTTTACAGATAGTCTGTCTTCCGACGGCTCATTTCACCAAGCCATCCTCAAGCATCTGGACGCTCCTGTACCCATTATTCCATGTGATACGGATATCATGACGGAGGAAGCGCTGTCTAAAGAGGCAAGCCAGATCGCCCTCGACCCATCCCGGCCTCTGCAGAGACTCGTCCTGTACACCACACGCAGTGGACGGGTGTATGGGAATCTTGTCATCAACCATGCTATGATGGACGGAGCGTCGCTGGGGATTTTGTTGCAGGACTGGACCCGAGCGTACACCGACCAGCTTCCAGAGAACCGCCCACTGTACAGCGGCTACATCGAATACACGCAGTCCGTTTCGCAGGACGAGATGAACCGGTACTGGATGGGATATCTCGCAGGCGTGCAGCCATGCCATATCCCCGTGGATAAGCCCGGTTCCCCACGGGGCACACAACTGAAAACAATCAACGTGGACCTGAGCTCGACCCTGCGGGTGATGAAACAGTTCTGCGACGCCTACTCTGTCACTACGGCCAATATCCTCGAGACTGCATGGGCACTGGTCCTCCGGGCGTATACCGGATCCAGCGACGTGTGCTTTGGCCATCTGGTTGCCGGGCGCGACTGCCCTGTCGAGGATGTCGGGGAGGTTATTGGGCCCTTTATCCACACCCTCGTCTGCAGGCTGGTGTTTGAGGACGATGCTGATGTTGTGGCCGCGGTCCAGAGGGTCCAGACGGAGTACACCTCCAGCCTCGAATACCAGCACTGCTCGCTGGCGGAGATCCAACATGGTCTCAACATGCGTGGAAGAGCCTTGTTTAACACCATGATGTCAATCCAGCGCACCGTTTCTGCCTCTGCGGACGCACCGCTAACATTCAAGACCGTTGGTGCCCATGATCCGACGGAGTACGACATTGCGGTCAGTGTAGACCTTTCGAACGAGGGGGTCAAGACGACCATCAGCTACTACCAGTCAGCTCTGAGTGACTGGCAGGCGGGCAACATCGCGAGCACCTTTGCAGCTGCCATCCGTGGCGTCGTCGAGCATCCCTCGCTTCCGATCAAGGCAATCGACCTGTTCAGTGAGGCCAACCACGCCCAGCTGCAGACCTGGAACTCCGACAAGGAAGACGGAGTCCTGGTCCGCGAGTGCGTGCACGACCAGTTTGCGGCACAAGCAGCCGCGCAGCCGCAGAGCCCAGCAGTGTCGGCCTGGGACGGCTCGTTCACATACGCAGAGCTGGACCAGTATTCCAGCATCCTGGCCTCGGACCTTGTTGAGGCTAGAATCACCCCCGGTACGATTGTCCCGCTTGCTTTCGAAAAGTCGTGCTGGTACGTTGTCGCCATCCTGGCCGTGCTCAAGGCTGGGGCAGCCCTGGTGCCGCTGGACCCGGCCTGGCCGCCCACTCGACTCTCCCATATCCTCAAGGACACCGCCGCCCGGACGGTGCTCACATCCTCCAAGCTGGAAGCCAAGTTCCGCAACCAAGGGGTTGCCGTCTTCCGTGTCGACAGCACAATCGCGGCCCGGCCGATGAAGCCGTGGACTGCCCGGCCGTGCAAACCCGAGGATGTAGCGTCTCTCATCTACACCTCAGGAAGCACCGGAACCCCCAAGGGGGTAGTGCTTCAACACCGTAATATCTGCTCCAGTCTGGGTGCACGTATTCCGGCCCTGGCCATCGGACCTGGCACTCGGGGTCTGCAGTTTGCCGCACACGTTTTCGACATGAGTCTTGACGACATCCTCGCCGCTGTCACGCGTGGCGGCTGCGTGTGCATCCCGTCTGAGGAGCAGCGGATGGACATTGGCGCCCTGTCTGCATTTATGCGGGAGCACGAGGTCAATTTCGCGACTCTCACGCCCACATTCGCCAGCCTGCTGCGGTCCCACGACATCCCCACGCTCCGCACCCTGGCTCTCGGTGGCGAAGCCGTTACGCAGAAGGTGCTGGACATTTGGACCCGCGCAGACCCGCCGCTCACGGGGCTGCACAACTGCTACGGACCAGCGGAGTGCACTTTCTACTGTGCCCGGAACGGGAACCCCGGCAAGCCAGGTGTTCGGCCATGCAATATCGGGCGTGCAGTTGGTAGTTTACTCTGGGTGACCGAGATTGATTCTCACGAGCGACTCGCGCCAATTGGGAGCATGGGCGAGCTGGTCGTTGAAGGCCCGTCCGTCTCTGCAGGGTACCTCAACGATCCCAAGCGAACAGACACCTCGTTCATCATGGACCCCCCATGGAGGCGCCTGTTTGGAAAACCGCAACAGGGACGCCGGATGTACAAGACCGGCGATGTGGTCCGCTACAACGAAGACGGCACACTGGACTACCTCGGCCGACACGATTCCCAGGTCAAGCTGCACGGACAGCGCCTGGAACTGGGAGAGATCGAGGCGGCGCTGCAGACCCAGGACGGGGTCCAGAGCTCGGTCGTCCTTCTGCCACGCCAGGGCAACTGCGAGGGCCGCATCACCGCGGTGCTGGCACTCGGTCGGGCTGTCGAGCAGCCGGAAGCCCACAGGGTTCCAATGCGTCTCCTGACAGCCGAAGAGCGACGGGAAACCAGGGAGCTCATAGCCGCTGCTCGCAATAATCTCTCCGCAGCGCTCCCACCGTACATGGTCCCGGATGTGTGGCTGCCTGTGACGGACATTCCTTTCAACCAGTCCGGCAAGCTGGACCGGAAAACGGTCGTCCAATGGATCGAGAACCTCGAGGCGTCTGGACTGGAAGCTGTCCTCGACGATGAGAATGCAACGACAGGGACAGAAGACAAGGGAGAGAGTAGCGAGTTGGCGACCCAGCTGCGAGCCCTCTGCGCGCATATCCTCAACCGCCCCGAAAAGGGAGTGCCCCTGCATCGCTCGTTTGTCTCGATGGGCGGGGATTCGATCACGGCCATGCAGCTGACGGCGGCAGTCCGAGCACTGGGTCTCCGGCTGTCGGTGGGCGAGGTGCTGAAGAGCAAGACGCTGGCTGAGCTGGCCGCGCGCCTCAGTCCCAACCAGCCTGTCGCCCCCAGGGCTGTGGAGGACCCCGTTGACCAGACCTTTGCGCTTTCGCCCATCCAGCAGCTGTACTTTGCCGTCTCACACCAGCGCGCGACCCGATTTCACCAGAGCTTCTTCCTCCGCCTGTCGCAGCCAGTCGCTGCCGAGAAGATGGCTCGCGCAGTCGACGCGATTGTACAGCGGCATTCGATGCTTCGCGCCCGCTTCGTAGAGCAGTCGTCCGACGAGGGCTGGGCGCAGCAGATCTCCTCCACCTCCAAACGGCCCTTCTCTAGCTACGCTGGTCTCGCACGTGAGGCGGTTTGGGAAAAGATGGAGTCTGTGCAGAACAAACTGGACATCGTTCAGGGCCCTGTCTTTGCAGTAGACATGTACCATTTGTCCACCGGCGAGCAACTCGTCTACGCGGTGGCTCACCATCTTGTGATCGATCTGGTCTCCTGGCGAGTGATTCTGAGTGATCTGGAACAGCTCCTGCGCGGCCTCGAGATGACCCTCGACACTCCCCTTCCCTTCCAGGCCTGGAGCCGGATGCAGGCACAGTGTGCCGAGACCCATTTGGACGCGAGTTATATCCCTTCAACCCTAGGAAATGGAGATCTGAGCTACTGGGGCATGGCCGACACCGCCAACACATTCGCAGATGCGAAGCTTGAATCGTTCGCCCTGGACACGGAAACCTCAACCCTTCTCCTCACGGGCTGCCACCAGGCGCTGCGAACAGAACCCACCGATATCCTGATGGCATGCCTCCTGACCTCCTTCGGAAGCGTCTTTATGGACCGATCACTGCCCATCTTATTCTCAGAAGGCCATGGCCGCGAACCGTGGGACCAGGGGATCGATCTCGCCGGCACGGTTGGGTGGTTCACGACCATGGCTCCCTTGCAGGCTCACCTTGGGCAGCATCCCCCGCTGGTGGATGCTGTTCGCCACGTCAAAGACCAGAGACGTTCACTCCCGGGCAACGGGTGGCCGTACTTTGCCTGCTCTTTCCTCAACGAGCAGGGCCGGAAGAAGGCTGTCGACCACACCAGGGTCGAAGTCATGTTCAACTATCTCGGGCAATACCAACAGCTCGAGCGAGAGGACGCTCTATTCCGACAGGAAGAGAAACTCCCCAAGGAGCTGGCCGTGTCCGACGTGGCTTCTGGCACGGCAAGGATGGCTCTGGTTGACGTCTCTGCAGTGCTCGTGCACGGAGTCTTCAGCTTCAATTTCATCTTCAACCAGAAGATGCGTTATGCTGAGAAACTGGCCCGCTGGATGCAGCAGTTCGAACACGATCTCCGCGCGGCCGTAGGCTCCTTGGCCGATCACCGTCCTCGCCTAACCCTGAGCGATTACCCGCTCTTGCAAACCACGTACAGTGGCCTGGACGACCTGCAGGACGAGCGGCTGCCAGAGATTGGTGTGGCCGAGGTTGAAGACGTGGAAGACATCTACCCCTGCTCGCCGATGCAGCAAGGCCTGCTCCTTAGCCAGAGCCGCGAGTCGAGCCTGTATCAGACGCAGTTCCGCAGCGAAGTGACGGCCCTTGCTGGGGCCCCCGTCGTCGCCGATCGTCTGGTCGAGGCCTGGCAGAGCGTCGTTCGCCGCCACTCGCTCCTCCGGGCGGTTTTTGTCAATGCTGTTTCCACCGAGGGTATCTATGACCAGGTGATCCTGAAGGATGCCCGCGGCCAAGTTCATCGCGTGGTGTGCGATGAAGATGCCGTTGCACCGGAGGTCCTGTCCCAGCCGCGAATGGCCGCCGAGGACTACCAGCTGGCCCATTCTCTGACGCTGTGCGAGACGCCGACTGGAAGGCTGCTGTGCAAGTTTGAGTTCTCCCACGCTATCGTCGATGCCGCCTCGCTCGGCATCCTTGTACGTGACCTGGCCGCTGCGTATGAAGGCCGTCTGGATCCGCTGCCCGGGCCCGCCTACAGCGAATACATCCGGTACCTCCAGGATCGCCCGCTTGCAGAGGGCATTGAGTACTGGAAAGCCCATCTCCACGGCGTCGAGCCCTGCCTGTTCCCGACCCTTCACAGCAGCTCCCTTGCGGATCGCACGATCCTCAAGACCACCTCGCTGAGCCTAAACGTGGACCCCGAGCTTCTGCGCACCTACTGCGCAAGCCACGGAGTGACTGCAGCGGTAGTTTTCATGGTCGCCTGGGGGCTGGTCCTGCGCACGTACGCGGGGACCGCGGACAGCACCTTTGGATACGTGGTGATGGGGCGAGACATCCCTGTGCCGCGCATCGGGGACACCGTCGGGCCCTTTATCAACATGCTGCCGTGCCGCGTGCGCACCGCCAGCGGGGCAGGAACGGTATCAGACCTCTTGGGCGAAGCTCAGGACGCCTATGTCAACGGCATCGAGCGCCAGCACGTCTCCCTGGCGCAGATTCTCCACGGCCTGGGCCGCTCCATGGAAGGGCCGCTGTTCAACACGATGCTGTCGGTGCAAAAGACGACGGAGCGTGCAGCAGCACCGGAGGCACTCTCGTTTAGGAATCTGGGCGCTCATGATCCGACCGAGGTGAGTTGCACATCTGTACTCGACAATATATATATGTTCCAAGGCTAACATTCCACAGTACGATCTGACAGTGCAGATCAACACGTCGGACACTGGAAACACCGTTTCCATCAGCTACTATCCTCCGCAGGTAACGGACTGGCAGGCTGCCAATGTGACGCACGCCTTTGAAGAGACCCTGTGGCAGATGATCCGCCACCCCAACCGCCCAGCCGCCGCGGTCGACATCCTCAGCCTGCGCGACGAGCAGCAGATCCAGAAGTGGCATGCTGCTGCACAAGGAGAATTGATCGAGGATCTCGTCCACGAGCGCGTGTCGATGCAGGCTGCGCTGACTCCCTCGGCGCCCGCTGTCTCGTCCTGGGACGGCGACCTCACGTATGAACAGCTCGACGCGAAATCGACAGAGCTGGCCGAGCACTTCCGAACACTTGTCCCCGCAGAAAAGGCTGAACCATTCGTCGCACTGTGTTTTGAAAAGTCCAAGTGGGCGGTCGTTTCTATGCTGGCAGTTCTGAAGGCAGGTGCAGCATGCGTCTCGCTCGACCCTGCCCACCCTGCCAGTCGTCACCAGGCCATTTTGGCAGACTGCAATCCATCTTTCGTCCTGGCGTCGACACTGCATGAGGCAAAGATAAAATCTGCTGCCCCTTCTATCCCAGTACTAACGATCGACGACTCAACGGTCCTCCGCACACCCCGTCAGCCGACGTCTCCACTGCAGTCCGTTGTCCCCAGCAGCGCCGCGTTTGTTATTTACACATCGGGCAGTACTGGAACACCCAAAGGCGTCGTGTTACCTCATTCCGCGGTCTGCAGCAGTATGGCAGCCCATACCAGGAGCCTCAAGATTGGCCCTGGAGCCCGGGTCTTCCAGTTTGCCTCCTACGTCTTTGATATTAGCATTGGAGATATCTTTACCTCACTTACCAATGGAGGCTGTGTTTGCATTCCGTCTGAGCAGCAGCGACTGGACAGTGTGAGCGGCGCCATCACCAGCCTCGCCGCCAACTGGGCGTGCCTGACACCGACTGTGGCGAGCCTGCTTGACCCCTCTGCACTCTCGGGCCTGAAGACACTTGTGCTGGCTGGTGAAGCTGTCAATCAGCAAGTCATTGACACCTGGACCGGCGACGCCTCTCCACTCGATCGCTTCTTCAATTGCTACGGTCCTGCCGAGTGTACGATCTACAGCACGTGCAGAGATCTGACTGCGTCTGCGTCGCACCACGCCGCCAACATTGGCCAGCCCCTGCTGGGCCGAGTGTGGGTTGTTGATCCGCAAGATCACAATCGCCTCCTTCCCCTGGGCTGCGTGGGAGAGCTGTTAATCTCGGGCCCACTGCTGTCGCGAGGATACCGCAACGACGAGGCAAAGACCCAGGGCGCCTTTATCCGCCGTCCAGGCTGGGCCTCCCGACTCGGCCTGAGCAGCGAAGAACGGCTATACAAAACCGGCGACCTAGTTCGATACACGCCAGACGGCAGCCTGGATTACCTCGGCCGCAAGGATTCGCAGGTTAAACTGCACGGACAGCGCATGGAGCTGGCCGAAATCGAGCACCATCTCCTGAAGCATCGCGAGGTCACCCAAGCCGTCGTGGGGATCCCTGCAGCGGGTGTTTGCAAGTCTCGCCTGGTCGCTGTGCTTGCGCTTGCCGGAGCACCGGAGACTGCGGGCGAGCTGGAAATCCACCCAGATCAGCATCCTCGCGGCAGTGCCATCCAACGAAATCTGACCAGCGAGCTCCCAGCGTATATGGTTCCGTCCGTGTACATCGTGGTCCGATCGATTCCCCTCAATTTGTCCGGCAAGGTTGATCGTGTCAAGGTGGCGCGCTGGGTGGAAGAGCTGGACGATCCAGGCGTGCTCGGGGAGATGGAGACGGTGTCTGAGGACGAGCTCGAGACGCGCCAGGAGAAGGAGGGCACCATCGAGTCCTCATTCCGGGAGATCGTTGCCTACGTGCTCAACGTCGACCGCTCTCGCCTGATCTCCTCGCGATCCTTCGTGGGCCTCGGCGGGGACTCGATCAGTGCGATGCAGGTGTCCTCTCGCGCCCGTGCCCAGGGCTTGGTTGTCCATGTGCGCGACATCCTGCGCAGCAAAACGTTCCGCGAGGTGATTGAGTCAGTTCGGCCTGCACGATCGCAGCAAGTCGACCAGGCTGCCAGTAGAGAGGACGAGTATGACACCCCCTTCGGCCTCTCGCCCGTGCAGCAGCTCTACATCGACGGGGCCAGGAATGAGATCAACCGCTTCAACCAAAGCATGCTGTTGCGATTCAACCGGCCAGTATCTGTCCAAGAGGTTGAGGCTGCCGTCCATGCAGTGGTGCTAAAGCATGCGGTGCTGCGGGCGCAGTTCAGCAAGACACGCGACGGCCGCTGGAGTCAGTCGATCCCGCGAGAGGCGACTGGATGCTACACGATGAGGTCCCACAGCATCACAGGCAGCAAAGGGCAAGATCTGGCCAGTCTGCTTCAGCATGCTCAGCAGGCGATCGACCCCACGAGCGGACAGGCCTTCTCAGCCGACCTGATCGAGATCAGCAACGACGGACAGCTCCTGTACCTCGTTGCGCACCACCTGGTTATCGACGTGGTTTCGTGGCGTATCATTATGGAAGACCTTTCCAACCACATCCAGGACGGGCAGCTTGCCCACCGTGAGCCGCACTCGTACTCGTTCCAGCAATGGCTCCGTGCCCAGCGCGAGTACGCCCTGACTCTCCCGGCCCCAACGGTGGTTCTGCCGTTCGAGGTGCCGCCAGCTGGCCTTGCGTACTGGGGCATGGCCGATGCGTCAAATCTCTATGGGCAGGTCCTGTCGGAGCGCTTTGTCCTCGATGCCAGGACGACCAGCACGCTGCTTCACGACTGCCACGTCTCCCTCCGCACGGAACCCATGGATGTTCTGATCGGAGCCCTCTTTGCCTCCTTCAAGCAGGTCTTTTCCGACCGCCGTATGCCTTCCGTGGTCACTGAAGGCCACGGACGCGAGCCGTGGTCGCCTGACATGGATCTGTCGACAACAGTCGGCTGGTTTACGACGATGCTGCCTCTGGCCGTCGACGATACAATCACCGAGCTCAGCGAGATCATCCGGCAGACCAAGGATCGGCGTCGCCAGGTCCCCCACCGCGGATTCGACTATTTCACATCCCGCTACCTGAGCGAGGAGGGTAAAGAGGCCTTTACACACCATGAACCAGTCGAGATCCTCTTCAACTACCTGGGCCAATTCCAGCAGCTCGAGAGGACCGACAGCCTGCTGCAGATGGAGCGAACGGTAGCAGTGTCGGACGTTGCAGACAATACCCCCCGGCTGGCATTGATCGAGATATCGGCGGTGGTCAGCGACGGCCTGCTGCAGGTCAACTTCGTGCTTAGCAAGCGGATGCGGAAGCTGCCCTACATGCGCAAGTGGGTGCGCGTGTACGAGCAGACTCTGCGCGCCGCTGCAGCTCAGCTGGCAGTGATGCCCCCCCGGCCCACGCTCAGCGACTACCCCCTGCTGGCTCTGTCATACGAGGATCTGGATCGGCTGCAGGACGAGGTGCTGCCGCAGTGGAACGTGTGGAGCTTCGAGGATGTTGAAGACATGTACCCTTGTTCTCCCATGCAGTTGGGCCTCCTCCTCAGTCATCGCCGCTCGACGGGCGCCTATGAAAACAAGTTTACCTACGAGGTTACCCTGCCCGGCCCTGGGAACCCAGATCCCTCGCGGCTACTGGCCGTGTGGCAGAAGCTCATTGACCGTCACGCAATGCTGCGGACAGTCTTTGTCGAAAGTGCCGACGCGCGGACCCTCTACGACCAGCTGGTCCTCAGGGAAAGCGAGGCCAACACTGTCTTGCTGACCTGCGCTGATGACGCCGTCGCAGCTATGCTTGCCGCACAGAAGCCCCTCAGCCACGAGGAGCGCCGACCTCGACATCGCGTGACAGTGGTCCAGACGGAGAGTGGCCGGGTTCTTCTCCAGCTGGAGGCCAGCCATGCGATCCTCGATGCCAGCTCCATGACGAATCTGCTGCACGATCTTACGCGAGGCTACACAGACGACCTGCCTGCAGGCCCTGCACCATCATACCGCAACTATGTCGAGTACCTCGCGTCCAAACCCGTAGAAGACTCGATCGAGTTCTGGAAACAGTCCCTGGGTGAAGTGACCCCCTGCCACCTCCCCCTCCCAGAGGCACTTCCCGACACGCCCCGCGAGTACGCAGCGTTGAACATGGACCTCGACTGGGCCGCGCCTTCGCTCTCGACTTTCTGCCGTGCCCAAGGCGTCACGGCCGGCAGCGTCTTCCAATCCGTGTGGGGTCTGCTGCTGCAGCGGTATACAGGCATGGCCCAGGTCTGCTTCGGCAACATCACCTCCGGCCGCGATGCCGATGTCGCGGGGATTGACGAGATTGTTGGCCCCCTGATCAATATCCTGATATCACAGATCTCGATCGACCCAGAAGCCCGGCCGGTGGATCTCGTTTCCCAGGTGCAGGCGCGCTACGCGGAAGGTCTGTCGCACCAGCACGTCTCTCTGGCCAGCGTCCAGCATGCACTCGGGACCGCAGAGCAGGCGCTGTTCAACACCATCATGTCTATTCATTGGTCCCCCTCTACCTCCGCTGCTTCGTCATCCCCGGAGAGTCTGCGCTTTGCGCCGGTTGCCTCGCATGATCCTACAGAGGTAAGCCGCGCATCCCCATTCCCTCCCCAAGCAGAAGCACAAGCTGACCTTGCTTAATTTCTAGTTTGACATGACCGTCACCGTTGTTGCTTCGCCAGTAAGTGTCCATGTCTCGCTCAACTACTGGCGATCAAGCCTCTCCGCCTGGCACGTCGAGAACATCGCCGCCACCTTCACCACCATCCTCCACACCCTCCTCGCAGCCCCCGATGCCCGCTTGTCGGAACTATCGATGCTCAGCGAGCGGGACTTCCAGCAGATCCTCGACTGGAACCCCGTCCGTGGCGGAAGACAGGAAATCTCAGTTCCTCAAATGTTCCAGCACCAAGTCCAGGCCCGCCCGGATGCCGCTGCAGTCGCGGGCTGGGATCGCAGTCTGAGCTACCGAGAACTCGACCAGTTGAGCGACATCTTTGCTGCGCACCTCGCGCGCCTCGGAGTCGGACGGGGCGTCTTTGTCCCCACCTGCTTTGAAAAGTCGACCTGGGCAATCATCGCTATGCTTGCGATTCTAAAAGCTGGCGGCACATGTGTACCCCTCAGCCCAGCCTACCCCTTTGCGCGCAATGCTCTCATCACCAGAGAGGTCAGTGCCTCTGTCGTGGTCACTTCCGCAGCAAGCGCCCAGCACGTACAGGACCTCGAGGTTGAGCACGTTGTTGAATTGTCTGAACTGATACTCGACGGCGCGTCCGCAGCGCTGGAGACGCCACCAATCCATCCGGACGACCCTGCGTTCGTCATCTATACATCCGGCAGCACGGGCAATCCCAAGGGCGTCATCCAAACGCATGGAGGGGTCTGCACGAGCGTGACAGCGCAGGCATCCGCATTGGGCTATACTTCAACTTCGAGAGTGCTGCAGTTCGCCGCGTATACGTTCGATGTCAGCATTGGCGATATCCTAGGTGCATTCTCACAGGGCGGCTGTGTCTGCGTGATATCCGAATCGGATCGCGTAGGCGACTTGAGCAGCGCCATCCAAGCCATGCAGGCAGACCATGCGTGTCTTACTCCCACAGTAGCCCGTACCCTTCGCCCAGCTGATATCCCTTCCCTGCGGACACTCGCCCTCGGCGGCGAAGAGCTCGCCCGAACCGACGTGGCCATGTGGGAAGACCAGGTTCGGCTAGTCAACATCTACGGTGTAACCGAGACGACCATATGGTGTACCACAGCGGAGATTGCGGGCGGCGACTCGGTCGATCCCAGAAATATTGGGCGCCCCTACGTGGGCCGCGTCTGGATCGTGGACCCGGCCCATCCCAGCCACCTGGCGGCCGTGGGCGCCGTCGGCGAGCTGACCATCGAAGGGTCGACGCTGGCTACTGGCTACTTGAATGACGAAGTGAAAACCGCCTCTGTTTTCAGGCTGTCTGCCCTGCCGGGCGTCGACGAGGAGCCTACTCGCCGCTATCATTCTGGCGATCTTGCGCAGTACAACGCCGACGGCACGATCACGTACATGGGCCGGCAGGGCTCACAGGCTAAGATCAGAGGCCAGCGAGTGGATCTTGGCGAGGTGGAATACCAGTTGCGCCGCGCCCTCCCCGCTGTCGACGACCTTGCAGTCGAGCTGGTTAAGCCCTCTAGCCGCGATGGGCAGGGGATGCTCGCAGCCTTTATGTGTCTGGAAGGCCAGCAGGAACTCGAGCATGTACCGGGCGTCGAGCATCTGCTACAAGTGTCGGATGGGCTACGCGAGACGTTCCTCAAGACAATTGACGCGCTGTCCGAACATCTTCCGTCCTACATGGTGCCCTCGCTGTTCATCCCCACCGCGAGCATGCCCCGGACCGTCTCCGGCAAAACCAGCCGCAAGACTCTGCGCGAGCTTGCAGCGGCCTTTGGCGCCGAGCAGGTAGCGCACTACGGCCTGGCCGACGGGACGAGGCAGCAGCCGACGACCAGCACGGAGAAGGCCCTGCAGGCTCTGTGGGCACAGGCTCTGAATATCCCCGCGGAGTCCATCGGCGTTGACGACAGCTTCCTGCGCCTGGGCGGCGATTCGGTCAACGCTGTGTGGCTGGCGAGTCTTGCGCGAGGGCAGGACCTCCCTCTGGCCGTCGAGATGGTCTTCCAGAAGCCCAAGCTGCGCGATATGGCGTTGTTGGTCGACCAGGCCCGCAATGCTGAAGACGAGCAGACCCAGGACTCAGAGTCGGCGGCGCTGATAGAGGAGATCCGGAACAACTACCAGCTTCCGTCAGGGGGGATCGAAGAGGCTCACCCTTGCTCCCCATCGCAGGAGGCGGTGATGCTCGCCACTGCGCGAGACCCTTCAGCGTACGTGCTACAGAACGTGTTCAACCTGCCTGGACACATCGACCGGAAGCGGCTGCAAACCGCCTGGATGACTGTTGTCAGCAAACATTCCATCCTGCGCACTCGCATCTTCCACCTGTCACGACATGAAAAGGCATTCCAGGCGGTGATGAAGGAGGAAATAACGCTCGCCACGTTTGTCGAGCTGGATGGGTATCTGGAGAAGGACATGGCCACCCCCTTTACATACGGCCAGCCTCTAATGCGCCTTGCCTTTTCGGAGCCTTCCTCCCTGGTCTGGACCGTACACCAGGCGATCTGTGACTCGACCTCCATATCGCTGGTTCTGCAGCTCGTCCAAAGAGCGTACCAGGGTCTATCTCTGCCTTCCACACTCCCCTTTGCGGCTTTGGCGCACCGAGTACAGGATCTCAACAGCGATGATCGCGCAGCTTCGTTTTGGAAGTCGCAGATGGCCAACCTCCAGACAACACATTTCCCCTCGGGGCTCGTTGGCACGCAACGAGACCCGGCTGAGTCGGAGCTCGGCCACCTCATTACCCTCCCCAGTCAGCACAACCACCACTTCCTCCCGACTGCGGCGCAGGGCGCATGGGCGATCGTCATGAGCCGCTGGGCAGATTCACCCGACGTCGTCTTCGGCGAGGTGCTGCCCGGGCGCGACATGCAGCTGTCAGGGATCCAGCGCATGATCGGGTTCACTACATCGCTGGTGCCAGTGCGAATGGTAGTCACCGCAGACCAGACGGTGCCCCAGTTCCTCACTGCCATCGACGATCAGCGAAGGCAAGTCGCCGAGTTCCAGCACATGGGCCTGCATAACATTGCGCGCCTGAGCGAGGAGGCAGACGCCGCCTGCCACTTCGACACGGTGCTGCAGATGGACCTTGCCTCCTATCGCCCACCCCTCGACGAGGCCTTCTGGAACCGCCGCGAACATGAGCGCTTCCGAGTGAACCCCAACTCGTACGGCCTGCTTCTCGAATTAGAGCAGTCGGACGCCGAAGGCGATCTCCACGTCCTCGCCCGCTATGCCTCGACGGCCCTATCGGAGGCCCAGATGCAGCGCATCCTGTATCAGTTTGAGAGCATCCTCCTCCAGCTGATCAGCTTGTCCAAGGATTCGCGCAGGACCATTGGATCGCTCGAGCTTGTCAGTGAAGAGGACACCATGGACATCGAGCTCTGGAGCGGTACTCCTCCGCCGCGTCGAAGCATCTGTATCCACGAGCAAATCTCAACTTACGCCACTGAATATCCAGATTCTCCGGCGATCGATGCATGGGATGGATCTCTGACATACCGCGAACTGGACAAGCTCTCATCCCTCGTTGCCACCGCTCTAGTTCAGATGGGAGTTGGCCCCGACGTGTTTGTGCCCCTTTGCTTTGACAAGTCTCTCTGGGTAGTTGTTGCACAGCTAGCCGTGCTGAAAGCAGGCGGTGCATTCGTCTTCGTAGATCCCGCGCATCCACGCGAGAGACTTCAGGGAATCGTGACAGCGGCCAAAGCCCAGCTCATGCTCTGCTGCGCGCGGCATCGCGGCATGTGCGAGTCGTTTGTACACAACGTTCTCGTCGTCGACGACGAGTTGGTCGAGTCCCTCCCCGCGAAAACATCAGACAGTTACTACGTCTCCCCTAACGCTAGCCCTGACCACTCCGCGTACGTGATCTTCACCTCTGGCAGCACCGGAAAACCCAAGGGAGTGGTGATGGAGCACGGATCCTTTGTCACCGCGGCTCTGGTCCACGGCGAGATGATGAACCTCGACCGCAGCTCGCGCATGCTCCACTTTGCCTCGTACGCTTTCGAGGCGAGTATCCTCGAAACAATTGTTGCGCTGGTCAATGGTGCCTGTGTGTGTATTGTCTCGGAAGAGCAGCGCCTGAACCACCTGCCACAAGCACTCGATGAGTTCCAAGCGACGTGGGTGTTTTTGACTCCCTCGCTGGTGCGAACGATCTCACCGAGCCAGGTGCCCAGTCTGAAGACGCTGGTGCTTGGAGGCGAAGCTCTTGGCCGCGACAACATTGAAACCTGGGTAGACAAGGTACACCTGATCAACGGCTATGGACCGTCAGAGACCTGTGTCTTTTCCATCATCAACCGGGCGGTGGATTTCAGTACCCACCCACTGGACATTGGCACCCCCGTCGGTTCGTCCTGCTGGATTGTTGATGTGGCAAACCACGACCGGCTGGCCGCAGTCGGCTGTGTCGGTGAGCTGCTCATCGAGGGACCGACGCTTGCCAGAGGCTACCTGCTCGACCCCGTCCGGACAAGCGCCAGCTTCATCGTGGATCCCAAATGGGCCGTCACGCCCGGTGGCGCCCCACGACGCATGTACAAGACCGGCGATGTAGTCAAATACAACCTCGACGGATCCATCACCTTTGTCGGGCGGCGGGATGCACAGGTCAAGGTGCACGGGCAGCAGGTCAATCTCCTCGACGTGGAAGACCACATCCGACGTGAACTACCTAGCCTGACTGATGTCGTCGTCTGCTTCGTGCCTCTCGAGGCGCAGAGCCAGCGTCAGGCGCTCGTCGCGTGTCTGCAACTCTCCCCCTCACAGGGAAGCATGACCGACGCGCTCCGCCAGATGCTCCGAGGGCTACAGGCCTCGCTGACCTCTCATCTGCCGTCATATGCAGTCCCGTCAATCTACCTGCCCATGGTGGCTCTCCCACAACTGCCCTCAGGTAAGGCCGATCGGAGAAAGCTGGCGGATATTGTATCTCGCCTATCGGCCGACGACATCCGGCAGAGCTCTCTGGCAGCCGAGAAGAAAGAGGCCCCAGTCACGGAGATGGAACAGACCATCCAAACCCTGTGGGCCGACGCGCTGCATCTGGATCAGGCCTCGATTGGAGTGGACGACACGTTCATCCAGCTCGGCGGCGACTCCCTGGCCGCCATCAACCTGGCGGCTGCTGCGCGCGAGCGTGGACTATCCTTGAGCGTGGTGCAGGTCTTCCAATATCCTCAGCTGAGGGAGCTGGCTGCTTCGCTCGAAGTACAGACGAACGGGAATGTAACCAAGGCGTCTGATCGACAATACGAGCTACTCCAGTCGACGGAGCCAGTCGAGGAGATATTACAGCGCATTGAAACGCAGCACGGCATCCACAGAGAAGATGTGGAGGAGATTATGCCGTGCTCCTCGCTGCAGGAAGGCCTCATGTTCCTCTCGATCCGACAGCCGGGTTCGTACATGTTCCAAAGCGTCTTCAAACTGCCGCAGGACATCGAGCTCAATAGGTTCAAGCGCGCGTGGGATCTGACGGCCCAGCGCAACGCCATCTTGAGGACCCGCATCATACACACCGAGTCCTCTGGCTCGCTCCAGGTCGTCATGAAGCAGACCATGCCTTGGGTTTCTGTCGACACGGCGGTCAGCGAGTACATCACGCAGGACCGCAAGCAGGAGATGGCGCTTGGAGTTGCCCTTGCGCGCTATGCAATCGTCCGGCCAAACCACGCAGATAGACGCTTCGTCTGGACCGCGCATCACTCGCTGTACGACGGCTGGTCGCTGCCGTTGATCCTGTTCGAGGTTGAGCGCGCATACATCGCCGACGGCCCTCCCGGGCCCGCACCGCCGCCGTTCAGCCGTTTCATCGAGTACGTGCAGGGCATTGACTGGGCCGAGCTGGATGCATACTGGCGCGACCAATTCGCCACGGGGATCCCGAAGTCGTTCCCCGCCCCGCAGTCGGAGCGCTTCATGCCCTGGGCGGATACCAGCGTGACAAGAACGGTCCGCATTGGCTCGTTGATCGGACAGGGCATCATGTCCGGGACCCTGATCCGCGCGGCGTGGGCTCTGGTTCTCTCTCACTACTCGGGGTCGGACGACATTGTCTTCGGTGCCCTGCTCTCTGGCCGCAATGCTCCCATCGAGCGCATCGCCGAGCTCACGGGCCCGACCATTACCACTGTCCCGGTGCGTCTGGGCGTCAAGATGGACCAAACCGTCATGGAGTTCCTGCGCTACGTTCAGAACCACAGTACCAAGATGATCCCCTACGAACACGCCGGCCTCCAGCGGATCAAGACGCTGAGTCCGCAGCACGAAGACATGACCAATTTCCAGAACCTGCTCGTCATCCAGCCTGCGCAAAAGGTCGGCAGTGGCAGTAATGGCGAAGGCAAGGGGCTCTGGGAGCTGGAGGATGTAGCTTCAGCTGGCCTGGAGGAGTTCCTCACGTACCCGATCGTGCTTGAATGCCGCCTGGGACCGCAGCAGCTGGACCTTACAGCCAAGGTCGATCGCCGGCTGGTCTCTGAGGGCCAGATGGACCGGATGCTGCAGCATTTCGAAACCGCCCTGGATCAGCTCACGCGCAGCCCCGACGTGCCGTTGCGCCAGGTCAGTCTCGTTGGTCACCAGGACCTGACTGACATGCTCGCCTGGAATGGCGAGGCGCCCCAACGCCTCGAGCAGTGTATCCACGAGAATATCATGCAAGTAGCGGCACAGTATCCGTCGCACCCCGCGGTGAGTGCCGCCGACAAGCAGCTCACGTATGCCGAGCTCAACGTGCTCACCTCCCGATTGGGCGCCTACCTGACTACACTTGGCGTCGGACCTGAATCTCTAGTCCCCATCTGTTTCCACAAGTCCGCCTGGGCGGTCGTGGCCATGATTGCGATCCTCAAGGCCGGCGGTGGGTATCTCGCCCTGGACCCCGCGTATCCGGCTGCCCGCAAGAAGCTCCTGATTGAAACGGCCTCGGCGCGGGTCGCTCTTACGAGTGCTGCGCACCAGGAGAGGCTTGCGTCGTTGGTAGAGCATGCAGTCGTGGTTGACGAAGGTCTCATCGCGTCCCTCGCCATGCACGACCGCTTTACCCACGCAAACGTCACCTCGTCCAATGTAGCCTTTGTCGTCTTCACCTCGGGGAGCACAGGAACCCCAAAGGGGATCGTCATGGAGCATGGTGCCTTCTGCTCCGGCGCCCGCCAACACGCCGCAGCGCTACGCATCAACCGCGAGGCACGGGTGATGCAGTTCGCAGCCTACACGTACGACGTCAGCATGGGCGAGATCTTTACGACACTAATGCACGGCGGCTGCGTGTGCGTGCCGACGGAGGACGAACGCATGAGTAACCTGGCCGCCGCCATCACCCGCACGCAGGCAACCTGGCTCTTCCTCACCCCGACCGTTGCCAGTCTCCTGCAGCCCGATCAAGTGCCTTCGCTGCGCTACCTCGTCCTGGGCGGCGAGCACGCCACCACGGAGAACCTCGACCGGTGGGGAAACAGGCTGTGCCTCATTAATAGCTACGGACCTGCAGAGTGCGCAGTCTGGACTAACTGCGCCTTTGGAATTACAGCGCAGTCCAGTCCGGCCAATATCGGGAAGCACATTGGAGCCAGGCTCTGGGTGGTGGATCGTGATGACCACCACCAGCTTGTCCCTGTGGGATTCGTTGGCGAGCTGCTAGTTGAAGGTCCAGGGCTCGCGCGTGGCTACCTCAAGGAGCCCAGCAAGACAGCAGCGGCGTTCATTACAGACCCCGAATGGGCACGCAAGGGGAAGGCTCAGGGCCGGGCCTCACCCCCCCGCCGCATGTACAAGACCGGAGATCTGGTTCGGTACAACACCGATGGAACATTGAGTATCGTTGGAAGAAAAGACATGCAGGTGAAGCTCAACGGACAGCGCCTGGAGCTGGGCGAGGTCGAACATCAGCTATTCCGTGATGCCCAGGTCCAGCATGCCATGGTCACCATGCCACGCGCAGGCCGGTGTGCCAAGCGCCTCGTCGCCCTGCTGGCTCTCAAGCAGTTCGCCCCAAAGAAGAAACAGAAGGGGAAGACCAAGACATCTACCATCCACCTCGTCGACGTCCAGCACCACGAGGGTATCGTCCTCAACGTTTCCCGCCTTCGCGGCGTGCTTGCGGACCGGCTCCCGAGCTTCATGGTCCCCACGGTGTGGCTCGCAGTCGAGGAGCTCCCCCTCAACCTCTCGGGCAAGCTCGACCGCCCACAAATCTCCGCATGGGTCGATGCACTGGACGAGGCTGCGTACAACCGCGCCCTGGACGTCAGCAGCGCAGCCTCGCTGAGGCGCGAACCCACGACCGAGATGGAGCTCCGCCTGCGCAGCCTGTGGGCTCGCGCTCTCCGCGTGTCCCCGACCACGATCGGCGCCGACTTCGACTTCTTCCGCATCGGAGGCGATTCCATCGCAGCGATGCGGCTGACGGCGGCAGCGAGGGCCGCAGATATTAAGCTCGACGTCGCGACCATCTTTCGGTACCCTCGCCTCAGCGAAATGGCCCTGGCTGCCTTTCAGGGCGAGCCCACACCCGTGGTGGACGAGTACCAGCCGCTTTCGATGCTGGGCACGGTCAGCCTGGGCGAATTCCTCGAGACGTGCACCCCGCCGCAGCATGCGCGCGCCGAAGCCCAGGTCGAGGACGTCCTCCCGGCCACCGACCACCAGTCGTGGAACCTGGCCCGGGGCCACCTACGCACACGCGGCTACAACTGCTACTTTGCCATCCCCTTTACTGGACCTCTCGATGCGTCTCGCCTGAACAAGAGCTGTGCGCAGGTGGTGCAGCATCACGCCATCCTCCGCACCATCTTTGTTGCCCGCCAGGGCCAGCTATACCAGCTCGTGCTGCGCGCCTACAACCCCGAGTTCCTCCACTACGACAGCGACGACTGCCCCAGGCAAGAACTCATCGCCTCGGCTATCCAAGAGGACATGCTCCGCCCCGTGCGCCTGGGGGCCGGCAGCATCCGATTCATCCTGACCAAGCAGGCGCGCCACCAGCACACTCTCATCGTCCGCATCCAGCACGCCCAGTATGACGGGGTCTCGGTCCCGACTATCCTCAACGACATCAAGCTCGCCTACGCGGGCACGCCGCTGGCCCCAGCCCCCGACTTCTCTCTGTTCATCCACTACCAGCAGCAGGCCAATCTGACCCAGGAACGCGCATTCTGGCGGCAGTTGCTGGAGAATGCGCCCAGCACGCAGCTCGTCGTCCACGACCGACCCGCCTTCCAGAACCCGGTCAACCGCTCCATCATCCGCACCGTCGAGCCTCACTCGCTCAGCACTCAGGGCATCACCGTTGCAACTCTGATCAAGGCTGCCTGGTCGCTCGTCCTTGGGCAGCTGCTCTCCACCACCGACGTGGTCTTCGGGCAGGTGACCACCGGGCGCAACTCTCGTCACGACCGCATCGAGGAGATTTCCGGCCCCTGTGTCAACATGATTCCCGTGCGGGTGCGCATGGCCACCGGCTGGACCGTGGGAGACCTCCTCCACGCGGTGCAAGACCAGCATCGCTCGACGATCCCGCACGAGACACTGGGCTTCCAGGACATCATCGAGAACTGCACCAACTGGCCGCGCTGGACGCGCTTCAGCTCCATCCTACAGCATACAAATCTGGGCCATGGGGTCGGAGAAACATCTGCAGCAACCATTACTTCCGTCCAGCTTGCAGCCTTCTCCCCACCCACAGACTGCGCCGACGTATGGATCTGGTCGGCTCCTGCTGCCGACGAGGGCCAGTACACCTTTGACTTTACCTACTCGGACCGCACATTCCCGCCCGCGCTGGCTGATCAGCTCGCGGACATGCTGGCAGACTCGATCCAAACGCTTTCATCCAACGTCGAAGCTCCTCTCTCCACATACCTCCTCTCCAGCCCCTGCCACACTCCATTCCCCCTAAACCGCCCACCCATCGCCCGCACCCGCACCTACCAAGCGCACAGAGACGAGCACTTTGAATCCCCCCTCTCCTCTCTTGCCTCCTGGTCCCAAGTCGAGAACGCCTGGCGCCAGGCCCTCACCAACATCGCACCAGACACCTACACCGCGGACACCCCCTTCTTCGACATATGGGGCGACCTCATCTTCGCCGTGCAGCTCTGCGCCCTCTACAGCACAGGCAGCCCCCAGGCACTCGACATCCAAGTCGAAGAAATAATCCAAAACCCGACGATGCGCGATCAAGCTCTGCTACTAGCCTACAAGGCGCAGCACCACCCAAGACGCAGTTCGCTCGTGCGGTACCCGATGCCTTCTGTGCGCCAGTCCATGGCTGACTCCCGGGACAAGCGGACGATCGTACATCCGTACGGAACCACGCGGGCTGCTGGTGCGGGGAGTGATGCGAGGAGTGAGACGAGGGTTCTCCGGGGGAAGTTCCGGCCGTCAGCGGATGATACTACCTCAGCGGGGATTCGGGCGTTGACAAATTCGTTGACAGCGGTTTATGGGCTTATGCGGTTGCGGTGAGGGGTAGGCAGGCCCTGTGTTTTTTGTGTTTTTTGTGTTTTTCTTTTTTTCGTCTTGATTTCTCTCCTATCTTTCTGTCTTTCTGTCTTTCTTTCTATTCCATCTCTTTGCATCCTTTATATACTACTCTCTTATGTTTTGTTGTGCCTCCTTTTGTTGATTCCATGATTTGCCGTTTAAACATGCTGTGAAGTAGTCCTATATTATTCTATCTATCCATTTTTTTTTACCACAAAGTTCGCCGCGCGTAGGGCAGGGGGGTTTAATGAGAACTTTTGCTCGACATATTCTTCCTGCCAAGTATCAGGATGCAATGTGCCTGGATCATGCCTGATCCGGCCAGGCCGTGCGCTCTCCTCACCTCATGTCATGGGGATTGGGCAATCAGCGCAGCTCGGAAATGGCGTAGGCGCAGCGAAGTAAGTCCTCGGCGGGATGCTGTCATTGCTAGTAAGTACTAGCATGGCACATGGCCAGGGCTAGGACTAGTCCCGTGACCTGGTCCAGCCTGGGCCGTGACAGCGGATACATGGTGCGGGAGGGTGGACCGGCGACAGGCTGGTAAGGTCTAAGTAATCTTTACTAGTAGCAGTAAGGCCCAGGAACCTGAAATATATTTTTCTCTATCTATAAACTATATAGTAGTGTAAGGCACTAAATAATGCCAAGGATCTAGCAACTATCGAGCGATGTCAATGTAGTAAAGGAATACTAGTTCAACCAATTAGAATGCTCTGTTCAAGACATAATGAATTACTTAAGGATCTATAGGAACTAGAGCGTCTAGAGGTGTTATATAGATCCTTCCCTAGGGTGGTTCTCAGCAGCAGATCAGTGGTAGTCCTGAGGCCTGCCTCAGCCGACCCCTCCTGGTCAGGCTGTCATGCAGCTCCTTTGCCTAATTCTTTCCTAAATAGGAATACACGAGGCCACAGCTGCTTCTACAGGATTGTGATATATTAACCTCTTGGTAGTAGTAGCTGGAGGTGTTCGGGGATCAGCAGTAGGTCAGTATAGTTGGTCTAGTAGTAGTTGCCGGCAACGGCTGGCAGTGCCGGACGAGCCTGTGGTGCAGCCACCGTTGACGCCCAAGAAATCGGCGAACGCTCAAAGGTCACTTGGCTAAGATTTCGAAATCAGAACAACGTCAAAATGGCGATGAAGCTGAGAGTGAGACAAATTATATATAATCTGTCCTTTTGGTTCTTTTTTGCACAAATTCACTAAGCATAATATTAATTATATATATTTTGATATGGGGTTCTAGTCAAATTTGATGAATGCAATACTCCACTAAATAAATGCAAATGTGAAGGAATTCTAAAATAGTTGCATCTATTAAGGTTTTACTGTAAACCCCTCCACTTCGCTCCTCGTTTTAGGGCGTGAGAGGGAGATTTGGTGCGAGAGTTGGGTCGCAGCGTCAACGTCGGCGTTGGGCAGCTTGGGTTAGTAAACCCTTCCACCCCGTTCGTTCGTGGCGAACGCGGCGTGTTGAAAGATAGAATTTTGTTCTGGGTATTACCACATTACTCATGGCCTGGCAAGGGAGTTTCGAAACTCAGCCCGTACAGTTAGTTAGCTTATCGAGTTGTGTCATGAAGTTACGGCTTATCTGTCCTACCAGGGCCCATGATAAGAGGAACGCGCTGCCGATTCTCCTCGATCAAAAGCACTTCCCCCCAGCTGCGGTTCCAATAACATCAAATAAAAGCTCCAAGTCGTATGTCATTACCGCAGAGTAACGTTGCTATGCCTGGAAATGATGCGTTCAAGAAGAGGTCCCGAAGCGGTTTGTCTTGCCTATCTCTAGCCCCGTATCCTTATCTTTGCTTTGGCTCTCTCCCCATGACCCCATTCTCCAGACAAACAGAATTTGACTATTCTTCCAGGGTGCCGTACCTGCCGCAAGCGCCACCAGAAATGTGACGAGAGAAAACCCACGTGCTGGAACTGTCACTTGCGCGGGATTAAATGCGGAGGGTATGGCATCACGCTGACCAATTTCACGGCCTACAGCGGTGTGAAGGGCCAGATGGTGTCAAAGATGATGAGAGACGACCCTGATAGCGACAGCTCCCATGACGAGAATGTCCCGAACGTCGCGACTTCTGCGTCAATGCCGCAGGCGGAGGTTGATCGTGAGCAGCCAGAGTCGCCCTTCCCGTCCACAGATCTGGCTGTCCTGCCGGCATCTGAGGCAGTTGCTACCGAAGTTCTTGATACCCTTTGCCTGGATAGCCGCACAAACTCAGTCTCACCCTCGGATGTATCTATGTCCGGGCAATGGCTTCCCGCCAGCGATCAGCCTATAGAAGATGAAGGCATCATCGATTTCTTGCCTTTCTCATCTATTCCTGAACCGACCCTGCAACTCACACCACGGGACCCTTTTGATCAGTACCTATTTCGTTATTGTATGTTTTCTGGTCGCAGGCCGGATATCCCCCACCACCCGACGGGAGGTTGAGAAGCTAACGACGACGTTGCGTAGATATGGACAACCTCTCTTTAAGGCTCTACCCAGTCAAACGCGACCAGAACCCGTACCGGATCGTCTATGGAAATTTAGCGACCCAGTCTGAACCACTTTTTAGGGCCATCATGCTCGCCTCTGCCTTGCATCTCTCGAAGTTGGGAAAATTACCCAAGTTCGCCATCAAGCACTACCGCACGGCAATGCAAGAGTCATTTCGCGATAATCTCAAGAAGGGGGGAGAGGCCTGGAGTTTGGGAGCTACCGTTCTTCTTTCCGTCGTCTTTGATGTACGCGTTTTCGATTCCTTGGTACTTTGGATAACCGCCTGATTTCAGTAGATCATTGGGACCGGTATGGATACGTGGAGCTCGAGACTCATCGGCTGTCGTCGACTACTGGAGATGGCTGTCCGGATGCCAGGCAGCGGGACACATGTTGGACTTCAGTGCGTGCTCTTACAATACAACTGGGCCGTCACTATGGGGAAAACACTACTAAGGGGCTTAGTGCCTCCCGCCACATTTGATGAACTCAAATGCACCGATGAAGGTGGGAAACACCCATATATGAACCTAGGCTGTTAAAACGGACCTTTATGTGCTAACGTCTGTCTTTGTGTTTTGTCTATCCAGCGTCGGCCTTCCCTGGTGCAGTTGAGGGCACTGAGATGGCTACACAGCAATCACAGTGGTTCGATAACTTACCGGACTATCAGATGCATGTATTCTTGCGCGAGGCGACCGAATACTCTCTTACGGTGGACCGACTAAAAGCGCTTCCCGGGGGTGTGGAGGAGCTACTGCAAATGATGCCCCGTGTTGCCGACCTTGTTCACAGAATCGAAGCCTGGCAGCCTTGTGTCTCAGCTGTGCAGGCTAAATACGTAGATTCGGTCCAGCATTTCAACGAAATTTGGCGGCTGGGCATGCTGTGCTTTATCTATAGCGAGATTTACAGCCTGGGCCCCAGTGACTACTACTTGCAGACGTGTGTGGAGGAGTCGTTGGAGCCGTTACGGAAGCTGTCCTGGCTGCAGGCGTGCCTATTCCCTATGTTCATGATTGCCGTGCATGCCCAGACAGAAGCAGCACGCACAAGTTTTATGACCAAGCTAACAGAGATGCATGTCTTGTTAGGGTTTCAGGGTCCATTGTCAGTGGCTTCGACCCTCAAGCACGCATGGGAACGGTCGGACAACACCGAAGCAGGCAAGGTCAAATGGAGAGAGGTTATCCGAGAACTAGGCATGGAATTAAACATTTTACTGTGAGGATCTATCTATAAGGCATGAGCTACCCCCTACTGGTGGTGTTCGGGTTAATCTCCGAATGAGACGAGGCGTCCGGACAAGATGTGTAGGCCTTTTTTATCATTATCTAGTCCACTATCGAAAAATTCGACACCCAGGCAAAAGAAAAGCAACATCAAAAGCAGAGCCTTGTGACTATAAAAAGATATACATCTATAATAAGCCAGACCACTCTTACCAGCCACAGAGATGTATTTGGTGGTTATCTCGAATCGGATCGGCTATCGCAACCCAAACAGGAAACGTAGGGCTTTCGTTGATTGGGGTGGCACATACGATTGGGCCCAACTCCCGGACTCGGGGAGAGTTGAAATTTGAAAAGCCAGCATATGTGGATCGCATCATGGGAGTCATCATTAGATGAGATCGACTGGAACATACTTGGACCAGTCGCCTTTCACCTTCAAGAAGTCCAAAGGCTCCATGTGTTCGACTGCACCGCCGTAGGGCCGGCTCACGTAGTAACCGAGGAAACGCTGCACGGCCGTGGGATACTTTTCTGCCACCTCCCATGGAACGGCCAGATATTGATTTTCCTCCTGGCGGAGATAACCGGGAGTGGCAATGGCACTCAACAGCACGCTTGCTTGATCGGTAGTATTAGACGCGCGCCCATAGTAAGTGGAACCAAGCCTGTCACAACTGGCGTATCAGTATCGTTCCTTGGCTTTCCAAACAGACAAGCAGAGGGTCACAAGAGGAACTAACCAAAGCAAAGCGTCTCCCTTACGGAGCTCGACTAGGAACTCCTCCTCCTCGGTCGGGTCGCGCTTATCGGTCCAGTTGTTCGAACCGATGACCACACGGACAGCACCATTCTTCGTCGTAACGTCGTTGGCCGCGTACATGATCCCGAAGTCGCTTTCACGCTTGGCTGGATGCGAGATATGATGACAATCGTCCTGGCGGCGCAAACCCCAGGAGGCTGAACCAGGCCCTGCGGACAGAATAGAGCTCTGGGAGACCTGAGGTTCCGAAATGGATACTGTTCGCTCTTGCTCGTAAAATATAATGCATGTGTCGGTGAGGATGCGCTTGGTCAGGTCAATGAATAGTGGATTCATCAGAAGTTGTGTGGCAAATGTTGAGCTCTTCGCGGCCAAGGCGAAGGTCTGACCCGCCGGCACTGTCCCAGTCTCCTCGAGCACCTCCTCGATGCTCTCGCGCGTAGCAGCACCCTCAACGACGACTACGCCGTCGGCCTTGAGGTACTGATGAACCACATGGGGGTCGGCGACGGCGGGAAAGCGCTTAACAGTGGCAGGCATGGTGGGCAGTCGTAACTCTAGCGGCCAGGTTCGACAGACGTAAAGTAGAACTCAAGATGGGGGGTTGCGAAGGAGCGAGAAGGTTGGAGGAATATTCACTGGTAGAACACATGATGAGATGTCACGTCTCTAAATATGCTTAGTCCTTAGAGCGAAATCCGCCATGTAATTCTCCTACACTTCTAAATAGCAATGCACGTGGTGAATGGATTGCCCGTTTCAGCCACGATAACCGAGGCGCCGCCTTATCGTTAGCAAATCCATCCCCGCGCAACAAAGTCCCGATTCGTAATTCCTGCCATAGCTGTATCGATAAGCATGCGCGATAGGCGAGGCTACGTAATCCATTTTGAGCGATAGATGGATGGATAACTGGTTAATCCGAACCAGACCCCTTAGGTATTTGCATGGGCCTTATTGCCTTATAGCCAGCTGCCAATTCCATCCACGATTCTTTGACTTAATCAGACAAAGGTTCATATTCTACTTCTCTCACGGCCATTTCCAGCACTCTCGGAGTCTAGACACAGTACCAAGATGCCGAACCCTTCTCACCAGGCGCATAACCCCGAGGTAGTGGAGTTGGATGCCTCTGCTCCTATTGAAGAGATCGTGAATGTCATCAATCGCGATGGCGGTATTATCATCAAGAACTTCTTGAGCCCTGAAACGATCGACAAGATTCAGGAGGAATCCCAGCCGTACTGGAGTAAACTTGGAACATATTGTGGGAAGCTGTTCGATGCAGCAGACCCTCCACTCAGGTGAATATACTCGGTGAGAGTTCGGTTCTTTTGACCCTCATGACTGACCATACCATATTTGTATAGTGGTTTCGCGGGGAAATCGCCCACCTTCGCCCACAAGGCGATCAATCACCCAACCTATCGCGAGGTCGCAAAGGCTCTCTTGAAGGAGGAATCGTAAGTGTCCTCCAGCTATGGCAAATGAGTTAAGGGACAATATGTATTAATGTGGGGGTGTAGCAACGTGTATCGCGATGGGAAGAGATACAACACCGTCTCCTATCCAGTGTTGGCCGTGTCCGAGGCATTCAACCGCGGTTCCCCCTCAACCGCTCAGCAGCTCCACCGCGACGACATGGCACAACACTTTGATCATCTCGAGGGTAGCGGAGAGAGCTCCCTGCTGGGTTTGCTTGTTGCAGGCGTGGTAAGTGTTGCAGACCGGGTGGAAGAATGATCGGCCACGGGCGTGCTAATGCGATTATATCTCAGGACACGAACTTTGAGAATGGTGCCACACAGGTGATCGTTGGTTCCCACAAGTGGCCCGAGGCAGCCGTTCGCGGACCGGCCGACCGCTCCCTCTGCTCAACCTGCGAGATGAATAAGGGTGACGCGGTCTTCATCATCGGCAGCATCTGGCATGGCGCCGGTGAGAACAAGACGAACCCACCCGAGCGCCGGATCATCTATTCGTGCCATATGACTCGTGGTTCGATGCGCGCGGATGAGAACCAATACCTAGGCATTGATCTAGACGTTATCAAGACTTATGAACCTGAAGTCCAGGCTCTACTGGGGTACTCAATCAGCCAGCCGAACTGTGGCCACCTAGATGGGAAGGATCCCATCACCCTCCTGGGCAGCAAGGAGGATCCGTTCGGATATGGATCATTGCCGAGCCGGATTGCTACATAATCCACCCAGGCCCTCACTGCTTGAGTGAGGTTGATCACATAGACGACGAGTCTTGGTGTTATCTTATTGCTGCCCTTTGTGCTGGATTGTATATCATGACAGATTTGACCTCGCGGAATTTTCAGGCAAGTGACAGTACATTATAGAATCCGGTCAACCATAGGGAATCAAATTAAATACCATTTTCCTAAAGATAATATTCTGCCAGACATTTTCTTTCTGTTTTTTTCTGGCAAAGACCAGGTACATTCAATGTCAAGATGTGTTACAGTGCGTGGGACGTTATTTTACTTCCCGATCACACCAAAGAGTTTGGAGAAAAAACACCCCTTGTCATGTCAGCGAGCGGACATGTCGACTTTATAGGCCGCTCTAAACGAGTCAGTATCAGACATTTGATACGTGCCAAATTGTGTATTCGTTCAAGATTCGTGCCGAAGCTTCATGCCCTCCAGGAGTACGACCCGCTGGTTTCAAATGATATATTACATGTAACAGCTCAGCATCTGTCAACTACAAAGGACAAACCCAAGATTTATTGATATAAATCATGGTATACTCTATATAACATAGAATTTATTCCATATCAACTTCAAAGCTTCAAATGCCTTTTATACAGAAATATGCTAACGTATATCGCTGGGCGGGTCGCCCACCGACCGCCTCTCAATATATTTTCAAAGTTGAATAGGAATTTACCATCAAAAACGCGATATATTTTAAAAAGATTATCTAGAATTGCAAAAATTACCAGATTTAGCCACCTGCCAGCAAAGGCTGCATGTGGGCAAGGCCTCCTTGTGCTGCTAGGACTACCGGGCCTGCGGGCGTGTTGGTAGGCTGTTCTTGTTGCCCACGCCTCCTGGGATGTTACGGGATGATTGACTAGGACCATCGAATATCCTATTCCCTGCGATAGATGCGCCCCCTATCACATACATCCGCTGTGCTGAATGCGTAGCTTTCCGGTGTGTCTTCTCGTTGAGGGCCTGCGACCCTGCCAGTTGCTTTTTGGGGGAAGCCGCTTCATGCATTGCTACCCTACCTCAAAGTTGATGACTCTGCCTAGTGGCTCATCTGGTGAATAGGTTACTGTTAGCCGGTTGCTAGCTTGAGCGAGTTTATGGATTTGCCTGGTAGTCCTAGCGGCAGTTCCTAGGGGTGTTAGCGTTGGAGAGCGTAGTAGGTACAGATGGGGGATATTGAGACTATTACGTACACGTATCGGATCCAAAGCAACTAGGCCAGCGCCAGCGCTAGCGGATATGTTCCGAATGAACCGAACGCTGATAAGCCACAGAGTGCGCTATTAGTAACCCAGGAAGAAAATCAAGCTTATTGCTATCGTTAACACCGGAACGGGTCAACGTCTCAACAACCTTAAGCTACCTCCTAGCTACAACTAGGAGCAGCGGGTAGGGTAGAGCTAAGCTTGGATAACGGTGCAATCGTGAATAGGCTACTCCTACCTTACGATTGAAATACTTAGGGCGGATAGGCGGACCTATAGTTGATTAGCGATTTGAGGTACCTATGGAGTCACGGCTGGACTATCGATAAGGTAGGCTATCGCTAGCTCGAAAAGGCGTTTACACTACACCTGCTTAACATCTCCGTCTAATTGAGTTAATTGAGTGCAATTTGCGCGTCTCTCGGCGCGGTGGGTTTGCTTGGTCATGCGTGCGCATAGTGTAGAACACGGAAGATCGTAAATCTCAGCGATGTTGCCGTATAGAATCACTAGAGGTATCATGGTGGTGATTGATAGCTCATAAGATGCGAACCTCTTGAGAGGGGTCTTTTGGTTATCTCGGCCACGGATTGGAGGCAGAGTGTTGGGTTGAAAATAGATGGGACACGTGGGCGACGCGGGTTTTCGGCCCTGACTCGCCCAGGATTTGCGTTATGTTAGTAGAACACACACACGCACACGTAGACATATGTAAACTTATGCATTCTCCAATGGCTGGGTGATGGACGGAGTAGCAAAGCTGGCAAATCCTTGGCCATGACTCGCCGAGCCTTGGCACCGAGACCTAGCGAGGTAGGCAGTAATACCGTCCAAAAAACTGCGAGCACTCCCTTCCTGCCTGATCCAGACGTCGCTGCTTTAAGAGGGTGAGCCGGGTGAGTCAGGTGATCCGCTCACCCGCGAAGGTGATTCGCTCACCCTCAAAGATGCCTATCTAAGGTGATTCGCTCACCCTTCGAGATCTATACTCACCCAACTCACGCCGTCCTCTCTTCGTGCCGACACCATTCCTTTAGCTGCTTCACCAGGAAGTCAAGATACTGAGACAAGAGAGGGTAACAGGCCTGGCTGAGCAAAGCCGGCCCACTGCTGCTCCAGCAGGAGGGTGCCAGGATATCCCCTTCCTCTCTTACTCTCCCACCTCCTGAACCTCGCAAACACCGTGTAAAGTGCACCTCTTGCGTCCTTTTTACCCTTTTACCCTGCCAAGTCACGCCTTTTTTTCTGCCACTTCGCTATCTCACAGTGCCCTCAGGATAAGCGCCCTAATTTCAATTCTGCTGCAACAATGTCCAAGGGAAGAGGGCGTCAAAGGATCGATAGAAAAGCCCGTGCGGCAGCGAATGGTTACAATCGTGGAGCGCACCGCGAGCAAGATAAGGAGCGCTGTGAGATCATCTATTCCGACGACTCTATTGCTATGCAGGATAGAGTTATATCAGTTTATATTAAGTAAGTATATAATATATCCCCTTGCCCTGTGGCGTGTGATCATCTTGCTGATTTCTTATCCGTCTTACCTTCCAGCTGGGCGTCCGAAGAAGATGAGTCTCTCCGAGAGAAAGGCCTTCAGAAGGGATACCCCGTGCCCAACCTCGCCACGATCAAAGATTTTGTGCGCTTTTACGTATCCTCTACCGACGGAATTCTCACGCTGCGTCCTACAAAATCTTCCGTGCTGAACTTTGCGGAACGTTTCTTTGCCGGATATACACGCATTACAAAGTCAGCTTTTGATAAGAAGGATTCTGATGATGTGTATACGGTTCGTAATCCATCTATTGAATACCTGTCCATGGTCACTGAACGAAAACAGTTCATCAAAAAGAAACTCGTGAAAGAGGAAAAACAGATCGAAGATGTAAAGAGGCCATGAAATATGTTCACCCACTGCGACCTGACGAACATTCTTGTCTCACTGTGGAATGACGATGACCCTGTTTTCATTCATCTGAGGTATAGAGTGCAGATGGCATTTACTATTATAATATATTGCTACTCGGGTGCTCGAATTGGCACGTTTATACCGGACATATCTAAAGCAGACAAGCGCGGACTACGCTACCAAGTATTTTACCCGAACCTGCTCACTAGTTAAGGCTGTTGGTTTAGCTGATATGTAACAGGACATCGAGCTCTATATCTACCGCAGACCAGACGATGGTGAATTAGAGCTGTTTTTCCGTCTTAGCCAGATCTGGGTTAAGAACAATGATAATCCAAAGCATACGGTGTATGTTCACCCTTAATAACCTCAAACTCACCTACTGACAGTGTTTGGTCAGCTTCCGTCTCGCAATAAGGGAGTACAGAAAGTTCCGGTTCAATCCTGTCGGCTGGTTGTTGAAGATAGTGATTCAGGACGGTATGTTTGCACACGTCCACTCCTTGGAGGCCTTGAAAAGATGGAATCCCGATCATAATGATCCAGTACTTCTTCAATGGAAACCGTCTATCGCAGGGGAGCCCGTTCTACGAATAGTCACCATGGCCGGTGGTATATCAAAACGTCCGTGGACCCGAGTGAGTTTCTGCAAGCTATTTAGAGCGGTCGTCATAAATACAGGATATCCTGAAATTATTACAATCCATAGCTTGAGGCGTGGTCTTGCAAATAGACTTGATAGTAAGTTTAAGTTAGCTTGGCGTCCGGGTAATCCTCGATTCTAACATTTGTCTATAGAAGTGGCGACCGAGGCTGAAAGGAGCTAGGTACTTACCCAGAAAGATAAGAATGTCTTTGGAAGAAGCTATATCGACAGTACCTCAGCACTTAGCACTATGGATGCGTTCCTTGGAGAGAAGATGCGCCTTGACCATGTTGAATACCTTCGAGGCGTGGGTAAGTACCGTGTGGTTGGATATCCGAGATGTCTGCCGGCAGAGCGGGAGCATAATCTTGGACATGATAAAGCCCTACAAGAGCTCAAGAGGCGGCTTCAAGAGCTGCAGAGCGATGATGATGTCAAGGGTAGCGATAACGACGCTGGTGTTGCTGGTGATGACGACGTCGAGTTTACTATCAAGCTTACCAAGAAGCAGCTGCAGGTTCAAAGGACCCGCCTTTACAACACCGAACTAGGAAAATATCGAGATGAATGGATTCAGAATCGCGTCGAGGCGCAGGTAAAATCAGGAGGCAAGGCTTTGGATGTGGTTGTGTATAACGATATTACACAATGCCTCTTCAAGGCACAACCTGAACGGCAGCGTGTCGCTGAGTTGATGCTATCAGACAAGTCTTTCTCTTATCAGGAGACGCTCTCCACCGTTGAGGACCTCCTAGTCTATTGTAACAAAGACTATGATGTTTTCTACCGGCCGGGGGAGGAGCCCATTAATGGAAGGTGCCCTGTGGGGGGTTGTGACCTGGATCGGTAAGTATGACCTTTGAACTCCGTAAACTACCAGATTCAAGTTTTTAATGTGTCCTTCATTAGTCTTAAACGCGCGGACCGGTCTAATCACGTTCAAAACTGCCGGCTTCAGGAGCGCTGCAAGGCCTCCGGCTGTAAAGACACTCAGTTGAAGTACTGCTATGAATGTTTTGATTTCTTCACTGTGGCAGAGTGGGAAGACCATTGCAAGAACTATCTCCAGCGCGATATCTCCAGGAGATGCGAAATAATCACGTACTGTCATACCCTCGTTCGGCCTGGCTATTGTCCATTTTGTCTCGGATGCGATAGACTTCCTCCCTCCCGACGCATGGATGCTTGGAAACGGAGCAATGAGTTAAGGGCTCATGTCAATGAAGATATCAAGCGGATGAGCGATAACTACATCTGTTCGCATCCCTTATGCAACGTCAAATTTGACTCCGAGATGCACCTTCGTTACCACTTGTGCGATATACATGGGCTGAATAAAGCAATCTGGACTCAAGTGGGTGATCTTGGTAAATCGCCAAAGAACAAAGGTGTCAATGATCAGGTCACGTCGCATGCTGGCGCCGGTAAAAGAAAAGGACAGGACCTGCTAGGGCAAAAAGAGAAGAAAAGGAGGCAAGTCGGTCAAGGGCGGCCTGAAGACCTTCAAATCATCATGTGGGAGTATCCAGATCCTCCAAATCACCGCGTATTATCCTACGACGACCCTATTCCTGCTGGCAACGGATCCGGCTCACCATCCGCCAATCCGAATGATCTTGTAATCGAATTCTGGAAGCGCCCTGTTGAGACTGAAGGGAATCTAGTCGGACTGTGCACGACAAAGCCGACACTCAGCAGCGGCACTGATGAGAGTCCTGTCAAAGATAAAGAGCATATTCCTGATTACAATGGCTGTTCTCCCTGCACCTCTAGCTAGCCCAGTCCTCCTGGCCTCACTACAAGCGTCGGGTCCGAGCCTTTAAGTACGAGCCCCGAGCTTCCGCCGATCGACCCACAGATCTTGCCTGGGGGCAAGGATTGGTCAGTTGGAGTAGACAAGGGTGCATTTGAATTTGAAGAAAAGAAGGAAGAGGGTGTGCTTGGGCTTCATGGATCTTCTTCGGATTCCGAAATCTCGACCGCGGTCGAGACATTACGATTCAACAGACCTCGGTTGATGGAGGCAAGAAAGCCGAGTACAGACAGACGGGCGAACTTGACCGAGGCCAACACTATCCAGGGGACTACAGACAAGAATTCTCAAACTTCATCGGCATCTCATTCGGCTCAGTCCTCGCCTACGATAGATTCATCGAGGAACCACACTTTACGGCGGGGTCCGACCACTAGAGCTCAAAAACGAGCTGCGCAGGCTCAAGAAAACCACGCGGTTTCTCACAAGTTCAGGCGAATGACGAGGTCCTGTTTTGCCAGGCAGAATGCGCTCTCTTTGGAAAATTAGATGAAGAAAAAAGCTAAGCCGACAGGGAGTTGTGGGGAGCTCTTGGGATCCTTCCGCCAGAACTTGGCAATTGGCTCTTGCTGATATTGGTTCAACAATTCAATACAAGCTGCGCGTCTGGGGGTCAAAGAGGCGTATGCCGGAGGCTCCCCTTGACTCCGAAGTTTCATACAGGAAAAAGGCGGGTCTTTCATTCCTCTTGCTCGGTCCTAGTTTTTGGATGTAGGTTTAGATTGGTATCCGCCCCTTCAGCCATTATTAGACGTCTTCTAAGAAGTCTTGTCTGGTCAAATGAACAGCAGTACTCGTGAAGAGCATCATCCATCTCTGCCGTGGACATGCTACTTCCGCCAAGCCCATAGTCCGTCAATGCAACTGAGCGTGTTTCAGACTTTTCGTGTCGCTGTTGAGTAACATCTACTCTTAAGCCCTCAGTTTTGACAGTTCTATTCATGTTGCATTCATACGCAGCAGTCGAAAAGTTCTGCAAAGCCGATGGAGGAGACGACACGTTGCGTGTAGAATTTTCAGCGTAATGATGGAGCATCATTAAAGATGCCGGTAGCCTGCAGGTGCGATGATGCGACTTGTAATAAGGCGCATGCTTCGTGATTAATAACAGTCTGCAGCAATTGATAGATCCTGCCATGTGTGAATATAACCGCTCGGGGTTTCGAAAGGTTAACTTACTTTGATTTCGAAATCCAGCACCTAGCACCGCGCAAGTGCAGTCAGTCGACCGGAAAATTCAATGCAATGTCTGGGCTGTTGTTGTATTGTTCTACATCATGTTGAATAGATGATATATATATATAGATGTCTTCAGCTAAGTTATCTGGTTGCATCATCCCAGTGCAGAGGGCCCGTTACATTCCTCAAACCATCAATGATTGACAAACCACAACAGTGTGCCGTCATCAAAGCGTCTTATTGGCCAGCGTGATCCCCTTAAGGACTGATCCGCGGTTGCAAACCCTTACCAACCGGCGGCAACCTACACCAGCTGACGTAATTGTTTCGGATTGCATCACCGCATCCAAAACCAGATGAATGGGCCACCTCGCGTTGATAGCTGATAAGAGAAATTCAGGTAAAACAAGCCAACAGAGAGAGGAGTAGCAACAAGAAAATAAAATAACGTTTCTGCCTTGACACCTAATCTCGTTTTTCTCGTCCCATATCGCAATAAGCATGCCCACTTCTCTTCACATCCCGATCACTTTGTCTCTCGAACTGATCTAACTTTCGCTTCAGGGCCGGCGGTTATGAGCAACCAAACCGGATAATATATGCAACACGTTTCAATGATGTTAAATGATGCAAGAGACCCAACGTATTCTCTTCGGATTTGGATAGCCGCTGAGCTTCCGGCCCTGAAGACTGGTGGGCCGCACCCACAGTATACAACATTCGCTCTGTTCAGATGGAGGTTCTTCCACGTCTCGCGGTATGGCCGCCCAACGTCTCCGAGAGTTTAGGTCGCTTGTTCGAAACGCAGCCATTTCCACCTTCCCTCTTTCGCTGATGGGCAGATAGTCATCGGCTATCCGGCGTCGCCACCACCAGCATGGGGCTTATTGTTGTCTGGCGGAACCTTTGATTTTGCCTATTGGGATACTGCGTTCGGTTGCTTCGCTTGTTGGAATAACGAACGCAGTTGAGCTTGTAGAAGGAACGCCATTTGTGGAACCACCCCAAAGACCAGACGGCAGAGGTTCAAATGCTAAGCAACTGCCAGGCAATGATGTGTCTCTTTCTGTCTCGTCTTATTTGGAGTAGAACCGACACGCGACACACACCTGTTTTCCTGTACCTCTGATTAAGCGAAAGTCTGTATTGTCATGAGTCGATCTGCGAAAGCATCATATATCTAGTTGATTGGTGGGGTGAACTCTTTGGAACGTGTCAAGTTCCTAGCTGATCTGGGGTTACTTACCAAATGTAGGGTTCCCAGCTTAGTTACAGCAAATTGTTCTCTCTTAACTTTCACAATCCCGTGCGAATGAGCTTGCCGGTTGCAAACTAAGCTTGATGCTTAGGTTCAATTTCTGCGGTAACCTAATTTGTCTGAGACCTTTTTTTCCCATTCCTGTTCACCCTCGCGGACTCAAGTGGAGAGGGAGAATCGTTTCGGAGGCTGTCTGCAGGAGTGTTGACCTCACTGAGTCTAGGGATACTGAGCTCGTCATATCCGTTGGATCCGTAGCGTCACCCAAATCGCTAAAAAGTCTTTGCTTTCTTTCCATCTGCACTTCAGCTCATCTCATTGCACTTATTGCTAGCTGGTCTGGACATGGCTCCCGGTAATGGCAAGAAGGAACCCAGTTCTCGTAGCCGTAGGCTCAAGAGACGGGTAGATATATTGGTCGAGATCTTCTGCTCAATTTGGAACTACTGGACCACGGGTCCATCCAAATAACGATGTCTGCGCTCCTAACATGCGACGTTCGACCTCTTTCAGCGTCCGCTTTCTAAGGCTCCCATTTAATTATCACAGGTTGATGGAACTCAGGGTGAGAACAAAAATCAGAGCTTTCGAATTAAGGGAGTTTATTTAGCGAATTATACGTATTAAGTGGAATTTCGGATTGAGCTTCATGGGTTCATTGAACTGCACGGTCATGTTGGACTTCGCATCACACAAGAGGAATACTGAGAGCTGGTATGTCGCGTCGACTTCCAGAAAATCTCTGGCAATTACGGCTATGACTCCAGCATGAAGTTTTCTCACAGCGATAACCTTTACGTTGAAATGATGATTGATCCTCAGCGTCGCACACCTATCCGTAAGTGGACGGATGTCAACGTGGCACATGACAGGTATGTATTGGCAGAGAGGCAACAATAGCAGCTTAGTAATAAGTGGGTTTCATCGTGTAGCTCCAATTGTGAGAGATTCTTTCATTGTACAAACGGTGAATCGTCCGCCTTCCACCTTTGACTTTGATGGCGAAGACGCGATGAATATCCCGTGGGTGAGCTACGGAGTTGATTACTAAGGGGTCGCGACAGTACTGACCTGCAACCACTCTTAGGTTGCCCAGTGATTGTGCACCAAACTGGTCTTTGCGGTCGGCGATTTATGAGTTTACTGATTTGTGTGTTCTATTTCTCTCAACCTAACGATCTGCCTTGCATTTGGCCGGCCCTAGGCGCAAAGGAGTTATATTCGCTCTATTAATACGTCGGTCTTATCTCTAATAATCAGATATCCGATACCCATCCAGGTCTTACCGGTATCCACGCCAAGGAGAAGCCGTCCAGTCTCCCGCAGGCGGGGGCTAATGGACAGGGCGGCGAACGTCTTTCACAACCTCAATCCAACAGTCATCCCAACATTGTTCCGGTTTCTAATCCTCCGGGCCCGCCTGGATCATCCCTACAAGTTTCGCGAGAAACCCCGCGCAGTGCCATAATTACCAAAAGAAAGCAAATGTCGAGTAGCAACAAAGTCACAATACCTCGCCAACGGTCCGGAACGACCACCCGTTATAGTCACCGTGTACCCTTGGCATGCGAAACTTGCAGAATACGCAAAACAAAATACAGTGGTGACACACCCATTTGCAGACAGTGTTTAGAGTCAAAAATCAACTGTCAGTACCCAGTTTCATGGCGCGAGCGATTAAAAGGGTTTGTCTCTCCTATCTTACCTCACTGGGCACCCCATATCTTTTGCGCCATGATAACTGACTGTTAGTTGCTTGGTATAGATAACTCGCATAACTTTCAGCCAAGTTGAATTACTATGAGAACCTTCTCCGTGAGATTAACCAACTTATTGACGGCCGGATGTCAGAGCAGATTAAGCATACTCTTGACAAAGTTTGTGTTGTTCGTCTTGCCTTCCGTGGTCTCGCTTGCTGACTTGCGATTTTCTAGTACGCCGAACCTGGGAACGAACCCTCGAGCGACCAGCTATCTACAAACTCGGTGTCTGCTGTTAATGAAGAGCCCGAGGCTGATTTGAAGAGTCTGCCGTCTTCTATTGGGTCATTAGATACGATCAACCATGTAGATGAGGATCTAAATCGCAGCTCACATGCCCGGGCTACAGGGTATATAGGAAAGAATTCAGAGGTTACTTGGCTGCAACAATTAGGCAGGGAGGGTGATCACCATACACGCAACTTACCAGGGCCAGCCAAACTCCAGCCAGATCACAACTTCACCCTTCATTCTGTAAATTATTATCTCAATAATTTAGACATAATACCTCCTGGACCCGTGTATCTTTATTAGGTGCCTCCCCGGCATCTTATAGACAAGCTCTTTAAGAATTACCTTAATACAGTTTTTCCTGTTTTCCCTATCATCAGCCGGCTACTCTTTTCTACACAGTTCAGGAATTTCTTCAATAATTCAGCGCGACCAGGTAATAAATAGCTGGCTATTTTAAACCTAATTTTTACCATATCATCCTACCATGCTCACCTTATGCTGGCGCCCTGGCGCGGTGATAAGCGTGATCACTCCATTTACCTGGCCAGGGCCCAAGCTCTAAGCATAAACAGTAATTCCATCTTTACTCAGCCTGATCTCCAGCAGGTGCAGGTTAAGGCTTTAACAGCATTTTACCTACTTTCTACTGATCAGATTAACTAGTATACATATATATCACAAGTCTTCCAAGGGGGTTCACAGCTGAACTGATGAAATTTTAGAGCATGGAGAATTACATCATTAGCTCTCTAGTCAGGCATATCTCTTGGTTTAAATCTCAGGAACACTAGTAAAATCATCTCCAATGCGTCCAAAGAAGCCTGATATAGGGTTTAGTAGTGTCTCTACACCTTTAAACACCTGCTTGGGATTATAACTGGATGTATAACAGGCATCTTGGATAGTATCTGCGCGATACTAATACTGCTTCCTGTAGACAAGGATCGGTTCCAAGACCTAATTATTACAGAGCTGCTCGGTAGCCTAGAGCTTTGTCAAAACCGCGTGGAATCAGCTGTGGCGAGCTGCTTTGTTCGGCAGATACCCATGAATACACAGCCCTGTCAAGGGGCGCAAAATACAATAGAGAGTCAAGATATCTTACGCTTGAAAAGTTTACCACCGAGTACCTCTCTTTTCTTCCTTTACTTTATCGACCTCGGTGTTATTACCCAGGAGATTATTAACTAAGTCTACTCTCTCGACTGTATCATGACACCTTTGGACCAGATCGAGAATCAAATTAGGGAGCTTCGCACAAGGATTAAGTATTAGTATATAAATCTCCCTGAAGCTTATAACTGGACCAGAAGCCATGAGCAGAGCCTAGAAACACTCCGAGCAAGTCTCTATCTCACGTTCTATTACTACAGCGCGTAAATTACACTAGGTTACCCCTGCTTGTGCCGCCGCGATATCCAATCATTAATCTTCCTGAATCAAGTAAATTCTTTTAGTCACGAGGTATCAGTGGCCGCCCTTAAAGCTATACAGCGGCTAATTAGTCTGCTTCCTGATAAGCCTGATACCTCACGCATCTACTAGATCTACCCTTGGTGGTGTATCCTACACTATCTCATACAGGCTACCACCGTTCTGCTCCTTGAACTCTCGTTTAGTTGCGTCCATATACCCCAAGAGGAGAAGAACATCCTTAAAGCTGCTAAAAAAGGTATTCGCTGCCTCCACACCATGTCCGAGTGCAGCGTGGCCTCAAGACGTGCTTGGGAATTATGCGATTGGAATTTCCGTCGTCTCGCTGCAGGCCTGAAATTCAACGTGAGTGATATTCCAACCACCAATTACCAGTTAGATCTCTACGGCAGTACACAACAGCCGCAGCCGCAGCCACAGCCACAACCTCTACAGAATAATGTCAACCCTCCTGTCGCCACAATGGCCACTCAGTTCCCGGCTCTTGCGTCCTCCACGCCCGTCTTCAACCCCTCAATCCCAGACGACGTCCAACCTCACCCGCTTTTCCAAGATCCGATGGCAACGACAGCAACCATGACGGCTTTCCAACAATACCCAGTTTCCACACCTTTCTTCACCTCCCCGCGCACCGAAGATCCCCTTCTCTTCGGTGGTTTTGGTACTCCTACCACTGCAGTTCCCAATGACACGTACTTCCCCAACGACCCTATCTCTGGTGAATCGGCCCTACCGTTTTTTTTAAATTCAAGCGAGGAGTATTGGGATGATTAATTTATTTGTGGTCAACGTTAAGTCACGTCATATTTTCGATATACCTTCGGATCTTTCTCTTTCTGTCTTTGCACATGGTTCTGGATATAATGTTTCTACTCCTGTGAGAGTTTTTTTGAGGATGTTGCTTATACACCGTTTATTTGGCTGTGTTCTATTTTGTTCTCGTGAGACTATTAGTGCTTCTAATAAGTAGCTGGCTTGTATTTGTAACTACTTTATTACAATTAACGTGGAAAATACTGGGACGACATATTCTGAGCATGGCAAATTATTTCCATAATTTAGGACTGCTTGCTCTTAGTGCTGAGTAGTGGTTGGAATATCTCGATAACTTCCCTGCCAGAAGGCGACCCAGGCACTCCATTCGCAACGATGTGGTACCATTCATACCCTGTCGCCATCTGAATTTTGGTTCCATCAACTTGAAATTAGTCCGCCCCCTTCTCGCGCGCCTTTCCCACTCAAAACGGTCGAGGATGCTCGTACATTCGCCCCTTTCCTGATGCGTTTTATCATGGCATGTCCTTCCACATCCACCCAAATATCTCTCTTGTCAACGAATGTTCGAGGCAATCCGGCGAAATTTTCTTCAAGGAGAACCTTGTGTATGGAAAAAGGTCGTAGGGACAGGACTACGACGTAGTGTGGAAGAGTAGAGGGTTTTTGGAGTTTTTCCAGTTCTTCTAGGATTTCGCGGAAGTTTGCGGAAGGTCGTCATGGCAGGCGTCAGTTAATAGGGCCCTTCGGAAATATCAGGGTACGGTTGCTCTCTCTGGTCTATGTTTGTGCGATAGCTTGATCGCCGGCCCGGGAGCTCAAAGGCAGCTAGGGTAGTCTCGAAAGGTGGTATGAGCGTAGCCCGCCGGACCCCATGGAAATGACTTACTACGACCCTGGATTGCAAGACAGCGCACCATAACGGAACACCTATAGGAGTAATACGCGACATTGCCAGTAAATAGGATCTGATTTCAAATAACTTCATCTTAATCCCTGTGGTGATGCGAAGACTTGCGTCCAAGGCCGGCTGTTATATCCTGCAAATCCCAATGGTCCCGAATGACGCAGAGGACCCAACATACTCTCCGCCGGATTCGGATAGCCGCCGATCACCGGCTTGCAGCTGAGCTTCCGGCCCTGACAATTGGTGGGCGTACCGCCCAATATACAATACTCACACTGTTCAGAAGGTGGTGTTCTTTCATCTCTCGCCGTCTGGCAGGCCAATGTCTCCAGAATTTAGGTTGCTTGCCTGAAATGCAGCCTAGACTCTACGCCCTGCTGTTGAGCCATTTCCACCTTCCCTCTTTTGCTGGTAGACAGATAGTCATCGGCTATCCGGTGTCGCTGCTCACAGCATGGCCTCCTTGTTATCTGGCCGGAATCTTTTGCTTCGCCTATTGGAGTAGCTCGTTCGGTCGCTCTGTTTGTTGGGATAAGGAACGCAGGTGAGCTTTCCGAAGGAACGCCATTGTGGAACCACTCCAAAGTCCGGACCTCCATTCCATGTTCTTTGGAGTAGATCTGAACCGCCACGCACCTGTTTTCCTGTACCTCTGATTGGGCGAGAGCCTGCACTGTCATGAGTCAACCTGCGAAAGCGTCATACATCTAGTTGATTGGTGGCATGCTTTCTTTGGAAAACGTCAAGACCTTAGCTGATCTGGGTTCGCTTACAAAATGTAGGTTTCCCCGCTTACAGCAAGTTGCCGTGAAATTGATGTAGGAGCTCATTTCTACTTTACTGAACCCATTGTTCTCTTTTTCAGTCCCGTGCCAATGTCCTTGTCGATTTCAAACAAGCTTGACGCTTGGGTCCAATTTCTGTAGTAAGCTCGTCCACCCGAATTGATCAGAGACCTTTTGTCCCATTCCTGTTCACCCTCGAGGACTCATGCTACTTTGACCTTCTGTCCCTTCGAGAGTACGTACTCCGAAAATCATCCTTGTTGGCGGGGAACCTACTACCTACTTCAAGCAATCCGTACACCATTGCCAAAACGAAAGTGTCAAGTTTCAGAAGTGGAGAGAGACGTTTCAATACGCACGGCCTGGTTAATTTGTACGCCATATCTTGGAACCAAGGATCGTCTTTTGCAAAATCTGCAGAATGTCTGCCCAGGCTGCTTTCTACCAGAGTGATCCGTCCTTGGACTCGTTGATCGCCTCAGAGCCCCTATACCTGGGAAACAGTTTCTTTCCCGAGTTTATCTCTCTATCGATATTAGAGAATGGTGGCCAGAACGAAGACATGGAGATGCCATTTTTATCCAATCAGACGGGCTCCATGGAGGCCATGGCACCAAACATGCAAAGCGAAGATAACGACATTAGCCTACCACGCCTCCACAACGGCGCACTCCGACCAGCCTCGCGTGACAGCCTTACAGAGTCGATCGACACTAAAACCAATCGTGCGCCACCATTTTTGCACTCGTACCAATCTACGCCGAGCTTCTCATCCACCTCAGTCAGCAGATGTTGTACTGCGAGCCATGGTACGGAGCTCAGCTTCGATAACAACCGAGGCTCTCCTCCCTTGTACATGAGCAGCAACAAATCCCTATCTCCGCTGGGCTGCCAGAAGACCGGCATAGACAAGCGTGCAAGAAATCTTGAGAGGAACCGCGCGGCAGCCAGCAAATCACGTCAGAAGAAGAAGCGGGAGACAACTGAGCTTCAGAGCCGGTTCCAAACAGTGAATCACAAAAGGTCTAGCCTTGCTAACGAAATTAAAACACTGCACAGACAACTACTTTCTTTAAAGGATCAGATCCTTTTGCACTCGCGCTGCGAGGACGAGGCCATCCATCTTTATCTTAGCGGCATGGTTAAACAAGCGACGAAGCGCGATTCTATCTCCCATCTAGGGACGCACGACAAGCGCAATCCTACAAGCCTTAATTATTCTGCCTTGACTTACTACCGATGAACCTGAGATGGAATGACCACACCCACTGATAGCAACAGAAAATATAAGCACGCTCGTTTATCATCATGTACTTAGTTTACTACTTAGTTCTTCGCGATCAATATCAATTACCATTGCAGAGTATACCTTTGCTAGTTTAATCAACTCGAAAGTGCTATTCTACATCTACTGTATATATACAATAGATAACGTCATTACTGTAATCTGAAATATCTGACTAGCTACGGAGCTCGTATGAGATCGTGGGGTTAGATGCAACTTACTTTTAGCAGGAGTGGAGCATTGTGTGACAGCTAGTCGGGTGGGGAGACCGTTACCGAACACCCCTCGTCGCATAACCTCTTGATTGTCCGAAAGGAGCTGTTGATATCTCTCACATTACGGCACTTATTCGTTTGCACGTGCTGTGGGTTTTTAGGCCCTGGAAAATGTCCCAAGAAAGGATCCGTGGTTTCGTTCAAAATCCCGACGAAATTGGTTGACGGCAAAGCGAGGTGAAACCAAGAACGTTTATCCAGTGGAGCCGACCAGGGGACTCTTGTTCAAATATGTACATTATTAAGCAACTCCTCCATGACTGCTTCCGGAGAAGCAAATGTCTTGAGCTTAGCTTTTAAATTATCGAGATCACTATCAGTTCCTTGGTAAATAATATTAATTATTGTCCTTAAGGCCTCCTTGGTTTGCTGGGCATCTTTTAGAGCTTCTTTCCGACGTTTATCCTTTCTCGGATCATAACAGCAGATAAAGTCTGTCCCCGCACATCCATCGCACGGAAAGGACCCAGAACACTAAATTTGTAAGCATTAGTTAAATTCAAACTTATTAAATTTATTACTCACCTTAACACGCTTTATTTGACAAGATGTGCAAGCTACTGTCTGGCGTTTTCGCTTGGGCTGGCTCACTTCGGGAACATCAGCAGAGCACGACGCAGTGGCAGGGAGTAGTGGTCGTAAGAAGGATTCTGTAGCATGGCTGGCCATAATTTAGAGAAACAGAAATTTAATAGTTCTTTTTCTAGTTGGCACGGGGGTTACCGCTAGCTTTATAAGTACAGCTCTTGCACTTGTTATCATACCCCTCGTCTAAAGTACGGATTAGTCATTGTCAAACGATGAAACCCCACAGTAAAAAGACTTCAGTAAGGGATAAAGAACATTTCTCTCCGCCGACCACGCCATTATCTAAGTGCCTACGGAAAATTACTGAATTACTGAGCGACTCTAGACTAGTACGTAACATTTCGTCAGTGCACGGAAACTAGGCGGTGTGGCTCACAAATCTTAGATTTATATCAAAAATTGTCATCATCCCTCGGCAGTGAGAAGAGAAATCCTAACCCAGTTTCCCGATTGACGAGTCTTAGAGTGATGGCCTTGGAACAATTAACTATGGCCCAAAATGAACAATTGATTTCGACTTTGCTGAAACCTGGTAAGTGCACGGGATATATACAAGGTACAGGGGACTCAGGATACACATGTTTGCTGACGGGACATTCTATCTGTCTTTCAAAGTTGCATGCTTTTATATTAAGTTCCCGGGAAATGATTTCCACCATGCTATATATATAGCAGACAGGACAGTATGTGAATTGAGGGACCAGATTTCACGGAAAGCGCAGATAAAAATTCACCGCATCATCCACGAAATCCCCGGAGGTCGAAAGATATCAGTAGATGAAGATTTTGTCCGGCAACTTCCTGATCGTCAGGTCTTGACAGCGGAGTTTCTTAACGGCGTTGATATTGTATTGCAATGAGTTGTTGAAGAAGATAAAAGCATCTGAATCTCCCAGTCAAGCTTTTATTGGTTTTGCTCGAATTTAAGAGGTGGCTGGATTCGCTGGGGACTCAAGTTGTTGGGGTTCTAGATAAAGGAACTTTTACGCAACTTTAATAAAAGTCACGATACTGCTCAAGGATGATTTCGAGTGTTAAACTGGGCTTGTTTATATAGGCCAGCTGACAATACAACAGAGCCTTTTTGCGATATATCAACCGGCATTCAGAGACACAGAGCCGTCATTAAGAAGTAGTGATACTGGATATAACATTCTTGCTGACTTACTTGAAGTAAGTAAACCGCCAAAAGTACTCCTCGCTGGTCGCAGCATTATATTCACGGACCGCTGTAGTAAACAAATTACTTTTAAGCCGCAACAGTCCGTCGATCCCGTTATGAATTAAACATAGAATTGCACGTGCCTTGTAAATAAAACATCAGTTGCGGGCCTGTGGGGTAAATTAAGAACCTATCCAGAGTATATAATATTTGTATGAAGTATAATAATATACAAGTTCAATAGTTGGCGGCTTAACACAGCATCCTTGTTTTGCAGATACTTTAGAGAAACTGGAAGTTGGGGCGCGGCTAGAATATACTGTACACTCGTCCAGGGCCAGGTACTCCAGGTCGGAGTAGTAGGAATACGCACAGGAAGATGCAATACAAAGCCTAGCTTCTGCACGTTTCCTTTTCATATTTTTGGTCCTTTTAGCGGATCCTGATATTGGTTATAGAGGTGGAGGGGAGTTAAAGTTGGCGGTGGGTAAATTTTGAACAGCGAGAGTTCCGGTGCCTAGCCTTCCTAATGGCAGACGTCATGTCCACCCCACTGCAGCAGGGGGTTTCGCCAAAGCAGCGTTCGACTCGGAAGCTCTGAAGCAAGCATTACCATTTCGGAGCTTCTATATGCTGTTTTCTGACTCCCAAACCCAGTTCGAGTTTAGCGTCTCCGCAAATTTGATATCAAGAGTATCTACAATTTGCTCGTTCAGAGCGTGCATGACAAATATGAGTTGGATTCAACAGAGTTGGATCCAGATTTTGGAATATAAACCAGCTAGACCTGCTACACCAGAATCAGTTTGTTACCAATGCCGCCCAGGATGTGGCAGTAGAACGGGAAATTGTTGAGCCACAGACACATCTCACGCTCGACCGAGGGGCATACTATCAGTAAAGAGCCCCAACGGAAAAGTCAAGTTCCGATTTTCCGCTCGACATTGAACAACCTCAAGACAAAAGTGGTCAGGACACGTTAAATTCATTACATGCCTACCGAAAGGAACGCCGTGTCCAGAGCGAAAGAATGCCACTGGCGTTCGCACTCACACTCCATCTGAGATACCGTTCTACCAAGCGCCCAGTTTATTGTATCCTCCATTCTCATCGTGCGGTTTCCGCTCCTGCTCGCATCCGCAGTCTGACCGCTCCTCTGCTGGCGGCTTGGACGGCTCGTCAACCCAGGAGTCTAGCTTCGTGACATACCAGTGAGATCGAGCCACTTTGCGTGACATATGCAGGATGAAGCTATCGCTGATTTGCAACGTGCGGCGCGAAGACGGGTCGTTCTTGCTGGAATGTGCAATCAGCGGAGAAATATCAACCATGTAGTAACCCCATAAACGGTCCATCACATATCGACCGAAAAGAAGTCAGGACTCCAAGCAAATGGACACTGCTGCAGTTCATGATCTGACTTAAAAAAAGCAATAATATCTGAGCTCCGATTCGCAGACTTCTGGAAGTCTGTATGCCTCGGCGACGGCCTCCTCGAAGTGCGCTCACTGCGTTGTCCGAACGGTAGTAATTGTGGCTCGGCAGAAGACAAGTCTTGTATATGAGCATCATCAGGGCGGTATTCCACTGGCGTGACAGAGTTATTAACCGGTAGTTGCTGTTGACCTTCTTTATTGAACTTGCTAGCTTCATTCTCTAGCTTCCGCAGACAGGCAATTCCGGAGTCCTTGCATGTATAACTGGCTGCTCTTCTCCCTAGGTCGCAGTTACTGTCTTTCGACATGACGTTAGCTTCGTCGGGGCATTCGACTGACGCAGAAGACGGGCCAAAAGATGCAGAGACCCGCCGGACACAATCACCTATGACGGGCTGGGTAGGCTTGTTCAAGTCAGCCGACAGCTTGATAAAGAAAAGACAATGGCAGGTATTTTCCATACTATAACTGTATCCTTGAAATCGGTTGCTGTACTGCTATATCTAATACGGGGTAAGCTCCTGTTGCGGCTTTCAGCATGTCTCAAGCGACTGTCCCGTACATTCAAGAGCAGCTCTGCTAGCTTTGTTATGTCGCCGGCATCAAAAGCGTCGAGAATATTGTCCAGTAACTGATATATTAAAGCAAGTTCCTGCGCGGCCTGTCTCTGAGCATATTTCCGACGTTTATCACGACCCGCAGAGAAGATACACACGCTGCCGATTTCAGTGCATTCATTGCAGGGTTGTCCGCCGATACACTGGGCAAGTCAATTGTTACTAGCCAGTCTTGCAAAATTTCAAATATCCGCACCTTTGACTCTCGCGCCTTACACGCTGCACAAGCATTCGATTGCCTCGTGTGTTTCGAGAGAGGCAGGCTCTGCTTGGAGGGATCATCGGGGAGGGAAGGGGCGAGGAAGCCCAAGGACTTACGGCTGGCAGGTGACGTCATGTCGCTGAGCCAACAGGGCGGTTAAATCACGCGGGAACAGTAAGAGCCTATGATTGTTGGGACTGTTTATATTTCTTGCTGTTGTCCTGCCACACAAATGATGATATTAGCGGCAATGTCTCCTCTGCGTGCGATAGGCGAGGATTGTGTGCAGACACGTCAGCAGCGTGATACCCCGCACTTCTGCTGCCCGAGACGCTATATGATTCCATAGCGCAAAGTGCAGTTTTGTCTAGACCTTGCTCAGCCAACGCCTGTAGCTCATAACGACCCATTATGGCTAAACTAGGCAGTAACTAGCATAATTGGCTTATTTTACGGACGCCTAAGTATAACAGGGGTCTCAGGGTGGGGAATTTCAGGGCTCAATTTTAATCTAATTCCATGGGCTTTCACTTCGGGGAAGCGAATATCTGATGTAGATAGTCCAACTGCACTTGTATCGTCAACTATTTTCTGCTGCTCCGCCGGAACAAAGATGGTGTATATTCAGGATCTAGTATGACCCCGTGATAACGGAATGATAAATTTATTTGGTAGAGTCAATTTTGCAGCGATATCAATACAGCCTGGTATAACCAAAACGATTTCCGGCAGGGCAACATTAAATCGCATGTTCTGAGATTGGTAGAAAAGTCAATTAGGAGGCCCCAGAAATATCGCGTTTTCCAATACCGCCAGCGATGTGTTCGAAATGCCGGGCAGATCAACCACGCAGTGATTGGACCCTTTTGCCCAACCAAACAGAAAGAGCCAGCCGTCACGATAAGTCATTCAGGTTAGAATTGACGACTTTCTTAAATTTCATATACGAGTTTGTAATCAAGGGGACCTTCGGAGCGGTCCAGTTCAAAGCCGGATTTAACAGCATACAAACCTCCCTTGAGTATTCGTGGATGGTTTGGTTTTATTATACTATCTCGGAGCCAATTTCCGACAGCGGAAAACAATTCAGTTGCCGAGTTGTGGCTGCTTACTGATGGCTAATGATTTCAGGTTAACGAATGCCACCGGCGCGGGGAGTGGGTGGAGAGGTAGGTAGAAGCTCACAGAGAACCGCCTTTCACCTTCCCAGTGATCGTGCAAAAACGCCTTCCAAACGCAGACGTCAGTAATTGATGCATATGAAGAGATATTCGATTGATATGCATCGCTTTGACGTATGGTGCATAGCCTACGGCTGACACCAGTGAGCGCTTCTGAGACAGTAGATGAAGTCTTCGATGACCCCATGGTGTCGAAAGCATATTCTAGCCTCGGCGAGAGCTCATGGATGCGAGGTATCACGTCCATGTCACGGTAATCAAGGACATGGCTTGCTCCTAGCGATCGGACAAGATCGAAGTTGCTGGGGCTACAGGTTGCTATAACACGGAATCTATAAATCGTAGCAATTTGAATCGCAAAACGTCCAACACAAGCTATGGGAGACTATTAGGCAAACAAGATCAAGCTGGCGAGACAAAGACTTACAGCTAGCACCCCATATGAGGATAGAAGCTTCCGGGCCTTCTTTCCGGTCAATGTTGAGGCACCCCGCGGAGAAAAGGCCCAGATAGGCCGTACAAACTGCCAGCGGGACTGTGACGGCTTCTTCTCGAGGGATATTGGGCGGTAGCTTAAAACAGAGTTCCTCGTCAGCCAAAGTGTACTCGCTATACCCTCCGAGACCCTTGATTTTCCCTGTAACTTATCAGCACCTTGTACAGATTATTTCTGCACGTTTCACAATAGTGGTCAATACCCCCTAGAACAATTCCAGCGATTATGTCACCTTTGCTGAGCTTGGAGACAGCATCTCCAATTTCCTCAACAGTGCCCACGAAGTCGCATCCCAGAACATCTCCGTCTCCGAAATTCCCATTGTCAAACGACTCAACTATGCGGTCATTAGTAGAAGGAGGGTGACGGTCTCTAGACGTAGGATATCTTGCCATCTATTGAATTTTGAGCCACGTGAGAGACGCGCACCAGTGCTTGATTCGCGCGCGGCTTGGGAATTTGACTTAGACGTTGCTCGAATGATGACTTCCCTCCAGTCGTTTTTATAACTAAAGCGTTATTACTGATAGGATGGAACATACTGGCTTTCCGAAGGACTGGGACAGGTGGGGAGGACAAAGGTAATTGTTATATATATTCGGGCCATAGGGCACGGATATGCTCTACCATGAGAGAGGTATGTGGTGACGTTATGAAGCGTTCATGAATCGTTACCGCCTGCTCTTTCTGATTTTAAAAGGAAGCATGACATACACTCGTTTAGCCAATCATTAACTACCTGACCATACTTATCGAGCATGGGACAGGTTTCTTGAAACGAAAATCTGATGCTTGTCCCATTAATAGACAATCAGTCCGAATTCTATTGAATGGGCTTTTGAACTGATTTCCTCAGCTATGACTGCCAGTGGTATTCAGCTTTGTTTCGGGCGTAGATGAGATTTGACTCCCCCATTGTACGTATCTTCTGTCTTCGTGGTGTAGCCCAACGAACGAGACCTACTTGCAATTATAATCTACCAACGGATGACAGACCGAAGCTCGAACTACACAGCATTGTTGATAACAAGCATATTACGTTACATATCAGCCGAGAATAACGCCGGATCGAGGGCGAACGGTTGGTGCTGACGTTCATACTCTTCCTCACAAACTGTACAATCAGGTCCCCAGTTCATCATATTCTGCATCCTTGTCGTGCGACTTCCCCTTCCGCTCTCACTCGCAGCCCGTTCTCCACTCTGGTGCCGACTCGATGAGCTCGCCGAAAGCGGCGACTCTATCCAGGGATACGAATTGCCTGAACTAAATGCCGATGGCGCTTTCCCTAATAACTCCGCGGCAGAGGGAATCCCAGCGAGATCTAGTCCCTTGGCGCGGCCGATGCGACGGATGAAACCATCGCTGATCTGGAAAGCGCGGCGCGAGGAGGGGTCATCCTTAGCTAGTGTGTGTAGCCAACGGAGAGCCTTTTTGGACGCGGACAGTATGGTCACATGAGTTCGGTCCTCGGTTGCCGCAATTTCGGCATCACTACCACCCTGACCGACTTCTTCTCCGTTATTGGTAAGGAATGGTACCGGCCCGATAGAGAGTTGGATGAGGAGGATCGTCAGGGCTTGCATGATAAAATGGAGGATGGACCACCAGGGGGTCATTTTGAGGGCCCATTCTGTACTTGGTTGGTCAGGGAGTACGGAAATGAGGGCGAGAGAGGACTGGACACATGTTCTTGCGGTGTCGTTTCCGAAACGCGAGCGTGGGAAGCGGATGTTTGTTCCTTCTTTCATGCCTGGCCGATTGAGACATGGCCGGCTGAGGATTATCTGTGAACTGTAATAGGTTAGAGCCAGACTGACCTGGCCACGGCGGTCGCGGGATAATAATGGGCTATTGTAATTGTCGGTAAATGCAAAAGGGGGCTGGAGGGTTGATAACCAGGTTTGGAGTTTTCCTTGGTAGTACGGAATTTTTGTTTGACCGCCATCTTTAGCGGCAGTTACGCTGTATATAGCGGCGACGGCGGCATGGGTGATGATAGAGAGGTCGACCAGATGGAAGAAGTAGACGGCCTGGGTAGAGCCGATTTTCCGGAACCACCTGCTTCTCGTCTGGAGCTCTGAATCGCTGGCGTATAAAGTCCACTGGAGTCGCTCTTCACGCAATACAGTATCCCCAAGAAGGTCCTCTAAGCCAGGCTGATGGAACATGCTTTCGTCGTACGGGACGGACGGATAAAGGGAGATAGACCGGTAGTCAACGCATGAAGAACGTCCAGTCATGCCGGCGAGCAGACATTCAAGGTGGAAGATGCACCACCAAATGCGGGTTCGCGTCTCTTTCGAAACCGCGTCTATCTGATCACATGATGCACGTAGATTGAGTCCTAGGGAGGTTGCGGAGCGTGCAGCACGTCCGTTGGCCTGCCATGATCTAAGATATTAGAGCAGCGAGCATGGTATCTTCTGGAAAAATGCCGTACCTATTTACCTGGCCCGAGACCATATAATAAATGGCGAGCAGGAGGTCAATCTGGACTTGATGTAGGTCTGCATGCTCTAGTGCCAGATTGTGAGAAGTGCTGAGGGAGATTGCTCTCGAAAGGAACATGCGGTCATCAACATCCTTGCCAGCAACGGGATCAGCTAGCTGGTAATACTTTGAACTTATAGCGAGCACAAGGTTGAGAACAGCAAGCCACTTCCGTGTAGGTTCTTCGGAGCTCATGAAGGCGTAATTAAACTGGGATGCAAATAATGGCCTATTAATTAGCGGAAAAGAAGGAGCAATTGATTCAAAGAAGATGTTTACAAGACGTGCTGCCCATGGTTTCGGGGGTAATAGCCGTGGCTCGGTAGGAAGTGAGTCTGTTATATGAAGATAATCGACGTGATAGCTCATTGACATGATAGACTTTTCAATAGGGGGTGATCGATGGTGCGATTCATTGTTCAGCTTGCTGGCTTCAGTCTCCAGCTTCTGCATCCATGCGATCTCAGACTCCTTGCCTATATAACCGGCTGCCCGGCTTTCCAGATTCCGGTTTGGGTCTTCAGTCAGTGTGTCGACTTCGTCGAGAGATCCAACAGACGCAGAGGAGTCCGAAGAGGCAGAGACTCGCCTCTTATCCTTGCCTGGGACAAACTGAATAGACATGTAAATGTCAGCTACGGCTCAGAAGCTTAGAAGGACACAAGGATAATGTAACCCATACCATGACCATGTCTTTGAAGTCTGTTCCGATCTGCTCATCACTTGGCAGATTATGCTCTTGGTTTTCGGCCTGGCTCGAGCGACTGCTGCTCCGTACCTTCGAAAGAAGCTCGCCCAGCTGTGCTAGGTCGCCTGTATCAAAAGCATCAACAATCTCGTCGATCAGTCGACGCAACGAGGTAAGCTCCTGTTCAGCGTGTCTCTGGGCATATTTCCTGCGTCTATCGAGACCTGTATCAAATATACACGTGCTGCCGACTTCGATGCATTTATTGCAAGGTTGCGCGCCGCTGCACTACTACTAATTTACTTGGTGTCCACTGCTCCTTATCATTTTGATGCACATACCTTCGACTTCCGTGCCTTACACGCTGTACAGGCACTTGATCGCTTCGTGCGCTTCGGGAGAGGCAGGCTCGGTCTGAAAGGCCCATCGTGGTGGAAGGGGGCGAGTGCGCGCCGGTACGTATGAGCGGCAGATGACGTCATGTTACTGGATGGCAAACTGAGCGGTTGAAGGAACCGGAAGCAATCATGACTTATAATTGATTCAAGGCGTTTTATACTGTTTGACCAAGCTGTGCAGGCAGGTGGTGATGTCAGCTCAAGGGCGGAGTAAAGCACGATCTGTGAGCAATTGTGGGTTGATGACTCATTAAACCCCGCACATTTGAAGTTGCTCTGGTTGGTATGACTTCATAACAGCCAGGATAGGCCTTTCTCGACCGTAAAACCTAATTACTGCTCATGGCTTATAAAGATATCTTAAACTTAAATTTTCCTTCTGAGGCCTGTTCGGCTTTGTCTACAAAGTAATAGTTCATCCAGACCGAGTGACAGTTCCTGATTACTGACTATTTTCGTATATATTCTAGTAAACCACGCGCGAGCTCCGCAGATTGATCGACCAACCTCTGACACGGTAGTTAACGTAACTTGCCTTCTTTGAATTATCGATGAGTCCCACCAATCCATATCCATAATGCCTCCCAGTGTCAGTATGATATATCCAACATTCGCGCGTGCAAATGAGCAGAATACCCCACTTCCCTAACCCTTTCCTCAATACTGAATAACAATAGGGTTAGCCTGAGCGCTGCAAGCACTTAATATGCCGAAACTATAAGCAGCGGGGACAATTTTTCGACTCGCAGCCAAAGGCCCAACATAATACTCTTTGACTCGGACAACAGTTTCCTGGCAACTACTGGAATCTACGAGCACACAGCACTCTCAGACCCGACCGTTGTTTACAATAGGGAAAGGTTTCGAAGGCGGGAAAATTTTAGGTTAAGAGTATCTCCTTACTAACGCAGTTCACTTTGCCGGATCCCGGGTTCCGACACGCCATTGGCACGCTTTGAGAGGTTAGTGAGCTGATGTGATGTGATGTGACTTGTGTGCAGGTTGCGGCTACCGCGTGTAGTACATAAGAATGGAGGATGACAAGTGACGACACAGTATATATGTAGAGAACTCTGTGACCACCGCTGGAGGAATTCGAGACCGTTCGATCTCAAAATCAAGTAGCAGACGGTGGCGCAGATTATCCAGGTTTATAATGCAAGCGAAGATCCGGTCTCTATATAATATACCTAGGGTTTAGTTACAGTTCAATAAGGCTAATTCTAGGGCCAGACCATCTAAGACTAGACAAAGATCAGCTCGGCCCTTGCCAAAGATACACCTCGGCAGATTAGGTGCTGTCATGGAGCACACGACTGGAGAAGGGGTGGTAAGTCATCAAAAGATGTTTTACTGTGGGATAATTACTAGTATGACTTGGATGGTCATAGCTTCTTTTGGATTACTTGTTCATTTTCCGTAGGAGCCTGAATTATTCTTGACCTGCTCCTCGCTAGGACAATAACAAAGAAGAAATTGGAATTAACTATTTAATGACTAATTTCCTTCCCCTTCAAGTGACATTTCCAAGGTGCGCTTTAGCTTGTGTGCGCATTTGCCGACAACAGCTGGTAAAGCTACTTTTATTGTTTTTGGGACATGGTGTGCGTTAAAATGACCCAAGAGCCGTTCTGACAAACACCATATATACTTCGTCCAACTCTATCAGCAACGATTCTAATATACGAGGTTCAGCAGCGCTTCATGCACCCAGAACTCTCCTATCGTGGGCCACTCGAATTTCAGTTATCAATTGGAATTACCACCAGCCCCTTTCGGAACGTTTCGCTCGCCTCCAACGCGTCGGACAAAAGCACGCCACGCGGGGCTTCCGGATGTCAAGCATACTCATTCCTCATTGCTGCTGGCCCGCATTTCATCGCCTCGTGGCCCGTTGGTTGCTTCCGCAGTTGCTGTTTTCTGTCCGGCAGCAGACGTGAATGTGGGGGGGGGGGCATAAACCCTAATTTTATGCCTAGTTATGTTCCTTGTTGCTAGGGGCTTGACTAGGGAGTGTTACATGTGCGCTAACATCCTGGCCAGGGAACATTAGGAAAATATCGCAACGGCGGCAATTACTTTATAATTGACAAAATTACAAGAAGGATCCTGCTGCCGCCGCTCAAGCCTTCTCTTGTTGGAGTAATATGCTATGCTGCGAGCAAATACGATGTACACTTTTGTAACGCCAAGCCGTCCGTCCACGAGCCTCTTCTACCACTTGAATGCAACGCGCCAAGAAGCACATCCTGATGGACACCAATTTTATCTTCAAATCTCGATTGGTTTGCAACAACAGATTTCGGTCGGACTGCACGTAAGTGTAAATCCGGGCAATGCGGCTGCGCTATTATTCGGTAGAGTCAAGGTACTGATCGACGAAGCCATTACTATTGCAATTGATGGTGCATGAAATATAAACGCCTCATGATCGTCACCAATGGTCGGCAAATGGGAAGCGAACGGCGCACTGGAGCTGGAACCAGGGCAAGCTTCCCCGCACAGTGGCCAGACGTAGCTTAATGCTGATCAGTACTGGGCAAGTGATGGGCGGTTGGATAATTTGGGGACAATGGGTGATTGGTTACAAACAAGCTCGTTCTGCGGTCTTCAGAGCGAAACACCCTGTTAAGCGGCCCAGTTGAGCTTTATGGAAAGAGCAACTGAACGCCGAAGAAGTGACGCACCGAACACTTTCCCACCTGGTATAATATGGAGGTCGTCATGACAATGTTGTTGGAGGATCCCTGATGTCCACTACCGATTCCATTTGGCTTGGCTTGGCTTGGCCTAAACTTCGCAATCTGCGTTCGGAATCGATGAACCCTTACTGCATCCCCACTTGCACGCTGTACACCCACTCCCCTCGACCCCATTGCCGATATCTTGTATGCATTTCCTTTTGAAGGATAGGCCCATTCGTTTGACAAAGACTTATCCACCTTTTTCGGGCTTTGCTTTGCTCCTCACATTCCAACATTGGGGTTCGAGCGCTACACTAAAATCTTGCCGGTTATTGGCTACTAGTAGTTAGCTGCAGCTTCCCCGGTTGATCTGTCATTCTGGAACTCTAGGCTCCTCAAATTCTCGGATTTAAGTATCCCTGCGATGGCCGTGTCTTTTCAGCCTATTCATTTCCTGTATTGCTCAACTTCCTCATATATCTGGCTATCTATTGCACACCTTCGTTCCGTTGGGTATATCCTTTGAGACCTGTTTTCCTGAGCCCTAGAGTCTTGTCTCCAGGCATCACAAACTATCCTTCGCTCTTCTCCCTTGAACCATTTATCATCACCGCCACCTGCATCTATTATTCCTTTTTTCCTTTCGGCCTCCCCAACACCAAAACTTCGTGGCCATGGCCTCCGGTCACAGGCGTGATTTCGGGTGTCCATGGAGGTACTGTGGAAAGGTACCAACCCCCTTTTAACCAAGCATGGAACTAATCCCCAGACTCTTAGACTCACATTAACCATTCCCAGTCGTTTTATCGCAACTCCGATCTCCGCAGACACTACCGAATACACATCAACGAGAGACCGTATCGCTGCCGGGTGGAAGGCTGTAACAAGGGTTTTATCCAACGAAGCGCATTGACAGTCCACTCACGAACGCATACGGGCGAGAAACCCTTTATTTGCAGTTTTGAAGGATGTCACCGTGCTTTCTCTGATGTATGATCCGTATATTATCCTACGTTGTTTGACCGCAGAGGGGTTGGATGTCCTAAAACGAAAATCTGTTAGTCTTCGAGCCTGACTCGGCATCGCGGAATCCACACAAATAGACGGGCATATGTATGTCCTGAGCCAACGTGCAAACGGCGGTACTGCCTACATTTCTCCTTAGTCTCATGTTTTTTTATCTGCCCGATGGAGCACCTCTCAGGCTAATCCGCACACTCATGAAGATTCCGCCGGAAAACAACCCTTACAAACCACCAACACAGCTCGCACGCCCTGAATCTGGCCATCCAGACACTGTCAGAAGCCTACACAGCCTCTAAACAAGGACAGGAGCAAGAGCAATTCTATTTCCCTCCGATACCTGTTCCTCCTCTGCCTCCACGACCCATTCCCCATTTCGCCTCTCAGCAGGGGTACCGGTACTGCTACCGTCCCAATATCGCTACCCCAACACCCGACCTCGCTTCCCACCTAAATCTACCAATGACTCCGCTTTCGGCCACCGCTGCCGTACCTGTTCCAGGACAAGCACAAGCACAAACCACCCCATACAATCACAATGACTCGAAGTCGGTCCAGCCCTTGCTTTCGTTCAATGAGTTGCAGAATTCGCAAGATAGCTACTTGCAAATTATCCACCAGCAGCAACAACCTGATACGGCCAGTGCCGTGTGGATATAGGGGTGGCTATGTTACAATGACAATGTTCCGATTGTAATATACCATTTATGATGCCCTAATGATGATGCTCCAATGAGATGTCGTAACGATAATGCTCCAATGACAAGCTCGGAGGCTCCTGACAGATTGTTCATGTAGATTTTGATCAGTTCCGTGGGTAAGTACAAGTAAAAATGCGCGATACCCTAGAGACCACTTATCAAGATAACTCGCAAAGGTGAATCGCATTTATAGAGTCAAACCAGAGCTTCCAGGACACTCTCTTTATGACCTTGCTCCACAGAAAGTTCTTTTAGGCATGAATGGTCTCCGATGATAGAACTTGATACTGCATGTGATGGAGAGGGCTTGAGCACTGTGTTGGAACACAGGACCGGCCAGAGTTTGCGACTCCCGACGGCGTTTGAGTCGTGGACTCCAGTGAGTGTGAGCGGCGTTCTTGGTTTATGAGGGTGGTTTTGCGGCGGAAACTTCGTGTGTGGATCAGCTGAGGTTCACTCTGGGATTTGCCAGAGAAACACCAAAAATGCCGTACCTTTGTTGGCACGTTGGTTCCGGACACGTATACGCTTGTTTACTCCCACCCCTCTTCCACCGAACGATGAGTACGAGCAGGAATGTTGTCCCAACATCGCTAGCGTGACTCGCGAATTCAGCTCACACCGAAATATACCAATGGTCCCAAGAACAATATTTGCAACTTATTCAGCAGCGACAACCACAGCAGTATGCGTGAACCCAGAAGTGGCAAAGTCCTAATATTTTGCATGGACGGGTATCCTGTATTGAGCCCGAGTTATCGCCATTTCTCGTTAGACGGCATGATTCTGCTAGTTTTCCTTGTTTGTGATTACTCCGCGCGCTATGGTTGTTTACTTATGCAGGGTCGAGTGATGGGAAGATTGCCAAGTATGTTCTGTTTTTGCGCAATGCCAGATATTACCGGACCATTTTGATTGGATGGCACGAAGTTTTCCGAGAATTATTTCTATGTGGCCGAGTGTCTGCATAGTTAATGCAAGCTTGTCCACACAAGCAGGACGTATTTATATGGCTTCGTCAACATGCGTTGGTAACGAGTGAACTAGGTCTGCGTACAATTGGTTGCACAGCCTAAGCAGCGGACGGCAGACTGAATATTTTAGCATCAATCCTAATCAGCTCGGTCTCAAACACGTACAGAAGATTCTGACCATTAGCACCATGCACTAATGGCATGACTTTTACTTCTCTCCAACATCGAGTACACGGAGTGGATCCGAATTTAGCAATCCAGGAAGAAGTCTTGTCAACAGGCCAAATCTGGTATCTGAAGTCCTCCGCTCCTTTCACGTCTGGATGGGCTAATATGATAATAGATACATGTTTGCCTTCCATACCACCTTTGAGTATGGGTTCTTCAATAACTTGGTAACTTGTGAACCCGGATGGATGGAACCTGCGTGGGGGTGGAGGCGTTAACACTGTTACTTCTTCACCTTCACAGATATGCCATGCAAAAAGAGCTGAAGCTCCTTTAATATACAAGGACCACTGCTTCTTGCTCTTCTACATAGATAAATAGTACTTGCTCTCTTTAGCTATAAGGGGCTCTATAGCAGTGGTCAATGTTTGCATATCATGCTTATTAGCCTATCGTTAAGCATGGTCCCTGGGTATTCTAGTCCATAGTACTTGGCAATTTCGGCACCAGGAGCTGTCTTGAAACTAATGATGGATAGCGTTCTTTTCTTCTGTAGTAAGAAAATGGGAGATATATTCGTCCATAATATTCGGTAGTGTTCGATAATGTTCGTGCGGTATAAGCAGGTAGCTAATGTTAGATTTCCGCGTCATATTATAGCTTTGCTTTTGCGTATTTGTCAGAGATATCCTTGTAACGTGGTCTAGATGGGGCCTATCTTATAAATCAAAACAAGAAGTATTTGCGCACCACTATGTCAGGTGCGTGATCACTATTCCAGCCGGCCACAAGTCACGAGACTTCGCGAAAAGCACGGTTATGAAGGGGTGGTTATTAGGGTTAGGGTTAGGGTTAGGGTTAGGGTTAGGGTTAGGGTTAGGGTTAGGGTTAGGGTTAGGGTTAGGGTTAGGGTTAGGGTT